GAAGAGTAGAGAAAGAGAACTAACTTAATAAGTCTTACTAAGAGAACGTTAGTAAGTTGCTAGCAGAGATAGACAGCTAGGTATTAGTCGCAGTATTAGACTATAGCGTAAACAGTACACTAGGTATAGAGAAGAGGTTATAAGAGAAGAGATTCTTCTAGAGTTGTAGGGTAGAAGTTACTACAGTCTATTTCGCTATAGCATAAGAGCTTAGCCCCTAAAGAAGAGAGAAGAGAGAGTTAAGAACAGGGGAATTAGTAATGTCTAAAAGCGCCTGCTGCTTTCTAGGTAGAGATCGCGTAGCTTTATCTACACGCTATTAGCGGTAGATAAGTTAAGAATTATAATAAGAACTACACGTTTTCTTCTATTTTCTGCTCTTAAACCTGTTTATTGTATACTAGAGAAGTTAATTACAATAATTATAAAGAGGTAGCGAGAAATTAGACATTATAGATATAAGTATTGTTATATAAAGAGGTAGTAATAGAAAGAGAGGCGAATAATTTTAGTATATATTTTCTATATAGAATATTAGAATAACTAATACCTAAACTAATACTACGCAGGTTTATTTCTAAACTTTTAATGTTCTATAGCTAGAGAGAGTGCGTAGAGCTCTAATTAGGCGTAGCTATGTAGTAGTATATATTTCTATTATCTAATTAGCTAATTAATTATATCTAATTATACCTAATTCTAATTATATCTAATTACTTTTTAGTAGAACGTTAAAGTCTCTAATTAGGTAATTTTTTTATCTAAATTAGAAACTAAAGTTTCGCTAGCGTTCTGCGAACCTAATTGTAATTACTTTGCTTATACCTCGCTACGTAATTAAGTAGTACCTTTATACGTTTATAAACTTCTATTAAGATAATTAAGTATAATTACTATCTCTTACTAAATTTATAATAAATAATATAATATTAAAGACTACTAGCGTATCTTTATTCTTTATAAACTATAGCTATAACCTCTAGCTAGGCTTAGAACTATTATAACTATACCTACTAAACCTATCTATAATATAGAAATACTAATTCTATTATACTAATACTATAACTAATTACTTTAAGCGTATACTTACCTAGCTAAAAGCTCTTACCTAGTAGTTAATTAACTAGTATAAATAATACGCGAATAATTACCGCAAGAATATACTATATTATAAGAAAAGCTAGAAAGTTTATATTAATATATATAATATAAAAACTAATTACTCTATAAAGAAAGAGAATAATAAGATAGCTAGACTATATAAAGTTAAGAAAGTCTACTTACGTGTCTACCTGTTAGACCTACTACTATTAATAAAAATCTTTCTAGTATTCTACTATTCGCTTCTCTAGCTCTAATATAACGTTAAGAGCCTTCTAGAATAAGATAAAATTAATAAGACTAAGTTACGCTATCTATATAACGTACTTTACAAACGAACGCTCTACACAAACAAACGCCCTAAAAATGCTAAGCTAGGAAAATTAAAAGGTTTTTCTTAAATAACTAAGCGAAACCTTAATATTTTTCTATAAAATTTTAAATATAGATAGAACTATACTATATATACCTATAATTAAAATTACACTATATATTTCTTATTACGTAAGCTTAAGATAAGCCTTTTTCTAAAAAGTAGCTATTTTTAGAGTTTTAACCTTATAAGTACTAGTAAACCTTTATAATAATCTATAAAACTTATAGAACATAATATTTAGAACTTAATAAAAATTTCTAGAAAACTTCTATAGAGCTAGCTCTTCTAGATATAGCGTAATAAGAGATAGAAGTTAGAAAAATATCTTCTTTAGAGTTTTTTCTTCTAACTATATATATATATAGCTAATCTAGCTATATAAACTTATTATTCTATAAATTATAGTAGATTTTAACTATATAGAGCTTATTAACTAATAATATACTAGCTTTAAGTAGTTATTTAGAAGTAAAGTCTTTTTAGTAGTATAGTATAGAAAGATAGAAATATACTAAAACTATCTTAAAATTATTACTTCTAAATATATAGAAAGATTATAATATAAATAAACTTATAATTTATAACTTTATATAGCTAGATTATTAATATATATATATAGTTAAAGAAGAAAACTCTAAAAAGATAGTTTTCTAACTTCTATCTCTTATTACGCTATACCTAGAAGAGCTAGCTCTATAAAAGTTTTCTAGAAATCTTTATTAACTTATAGATATTATATTCTATAAGTTTTATAGATTATTATAGAGGTTTACTAGTACTTACTAGAAGTAAACTAGGTTTTTTCTTAAAAATTAGTTAAATACGTATAGCTTTTTAATTACGTAATATATCTTAGTGTAATTTTAATAGTAGGTGTATATCGTATAGTTCTATCTATATTTAAAATTTTATAGAAAAATATTAAGGTTTCGCTTAGTTATTTAAGAAAAACTCGTAAATTCTTATTAATTTTCCTTGCCAAGAGATAGTGGCCAGCTCGCTTGTGTGGCTAGCTCGCTTGTAAAGTACGTTATTTAAGAAAAACCTGTTAATTTTTATTAATTTTCCTTGCTAAGAAATCGTAGGTCGTTTGTTTATATAGCTTGTTCGTTTGTAAAGTACGTTAGTCTAACTTAGTACTATAGTCTAACTTAGCTCTACTCTAGTTATATAACCTTGCCTAGCGTCTTAGTACTAGGCACTCTATATATAGAGAGCTCTTAGAGCCTTCTTTTGCTTCTTACCTTTAGATAGCTAAATTTAACCTAACCTACCCTACTCTCGCGCCCCTATTCTTACAGCTCGTGGAGACAGTGCTGCCTGCAGCTAACTTACCCAGCTAGGTGTTCCGGAGCGCCGCACAGCCAGTGGAGACCGGGAGGCAGCCCTCACATACAGGATGAGAAGGGCCAGAGAAGCCGCATTGTAGTTGTCTGCCCCGATAGCCGCTTACTTTGTTGATCGTTGCTCTCGCTGACTCAGCCGAGGTACACACCACCTCAGCGTCTTTCTCCTTCCTGCACAGCGCACAGCCCCTTTCGCACGGCAACTATCACGAGGCCGCACCAGCCTCGCTTACTGCAGTATCGAAGGATGCATGAGCGAACGCGATAGGCGATACCAAGCTATGTGGCTGTTCTCCGGTCAGTCTCGCCTCATTGCTGGCGAATCCGGGCGAGTTCTCACGCCTTTCCGCCCCCGTCACGCCGCAAGACACATGGGAAAGCGGCAGCACGCCAAGGTATTTAATCCCATCGCAGGCTACCTCAATAGGTAGCGGTTCAGCCACTATACCCAGGGTGGTAGTGCTAGGCAGACGGTTTTTCAGCTCTCAGCCTCGCTGCTCGTATTCATAAGTATATGGAGCCCACAATGGCCGCAGCCTTGCTTGCTCCTCGTCGACGCGTTTTGGCAAGCATTGAGAGTTCAGGAGCGCAGATCCACGCGTCGGAAGTATGTTCTCAAAGCAGTTCGGCGCTCTGTTGCTGGCTTTCGGGGGTGTTGTTGGTGCCATCCAGTTCAACGGACCAGCCCCGACGCCGATAAACAAGCGATGGGACGCGAATGGGTGGACGCCGATACCCACATCCAAACCGAAGCCGATACTTGAGCTCTTCCGGAGGCAGTCAGACCCAGCGTTCTGCGGCTACCTCGAGGGAGACCCAGGTATGTTCTCGCATCATGTCCCTTTATGCAGCCTATTGATGCCTTTCAGAGGAGCCCGTATCCTGCGATTTGGGTTATAGCTGCATGTACGACGACGTTTACTCGTGGTTCGGATGCTGTACTGGCTCCTACATCACGGACTGCGACGTCTATACGGCTTGCGTTGAATACAGGTCCATTGACGACTGCATGGAATCTTCCGAATGCTGGGATGACCCTCTTGCTACGGCCTGGTAAAGCAGCCGATGAACCCCTGTTGCGCGGTATGCTAACATTAACAGCCCGGATCCGGAGAGGCCTTATTGTGCTACGCTCTACACCCTGGTGTCGGGCGAACCTTACGGGCACTTTGCATGCGCCGCAACAGATACGGCTGTAGAGGTTGTGTCTACCACAGTCGACGGTGACTCGTCTTTTCTCTTTCCAACCGAAACCGAGGACTTCTTTACCGTGAGCCCGACCTTTACCTTTTCCCCAGAGGAGACGAGTACGGAGGACGAAACTAGCACGGAAGAAGAGACGAGCACCGAGGCTGAATCTTCGACGAGGAGAGGGAGCACTCGAACTCCTCTGACCGACGACTCCACCCAGGCGCCTTCTTCTACTGCACCCGCGGAAACAGGGCAGAATGCGCCGAGCTCTGTGTCAACAGGTGCCGCCATGAGGACTGCGGAAGCGGTCTTTGGGGCGGCAGGCGGTCTTGTGGGAATCCTTGCGTTGGTCTTATAAGTAGTGAGTAAAGGATTTGAGACGCATTGAAGTCTCACAAGATTGAACAAGTAATGTTTAGTGAGGCGGGTATTTCGTATATCCTCAAGTCCCCGTCAGTCGATACCGTGAATGAATTTCTATCGCGATGTCATCTTCTCACTTCTCTCGTCTCATATAGATCGCCCATTCGTCCATTTAGGGGGAGCAAGGGCCACCCACGCGCCGCAATCTTTTGAGAGGCACAGAATGAAAATCAGACAGATCTACATCTTCGTCTGCATTAACAGCGCTCCAAGTGCCTTAAGGAAAACGCATCATATCCAGTGTACCCTCCATCTCCGACTGCTCCTTCCCCAGTCTTGACCATCTCTCCCGGTGAACGAGCGCGACTTCCTCTTTCCCTCCGCAAGCGGTCATCCTTTCCATAGCTTCCTAATGCTAACTCTTAAAAGCTCTTCCCGCGCCCTCGCTACCCAACCTTCTTCCAGTCCATATCCAGTCACCGGCGTAGCATCAAACCCAGCAGCTTTCCATCTCATTCTTACACACGCCGGTCCTCTCGCTATCGCCAACATGCTGCGTCTGTGCGCCGTCGGGCCAATTCTGCTCTCCGGCATCGCATCCACCGCACTCATACACGATCTCCCTTGTCCCGATTTCCTTGCACAGGGAGTCCACCCCGACTGTCACACAACCTCGTGGATCGGAGGCGCGTCCTTGGATACGGCGACCGTCGCTTGTCGGACATACCTTAACCTCTTAATATACTGTCTCTGACCAAATACACAGACAAGGGTGACGCGGGCGAGTCTACTGCCACCATCGGCCTCAGCGAGCCGACGCCCACCTCCGCCCCTACAACTACTTCGCAGCTGACGGGTATCATGACCGCAACCATAGCATCGACCGACCCGTCGTCCTCCGTGAGGGATCGCGCGGGCTAGCAGCCCGAATTCCTCGAGGAAATTGGAGACTACACACATTATGGCTGCTTTGGAGAGAGGTCCCGCTCGCACCTCAGTGGCAGCTCAGCCATTCTCCAGGGCGCATTGCGCACAGTATGCCGGCTCCTTTCTTCATCTCCCGATTTTGTACTTGTGCTGATCTCCACTAAAGCCGCTCTCGGACGAACGCATGGATGTTCGAATGTGTATGGAGCACTGCGCAAGCTATACCTGGTTCGGCATCATAGGAGAAGAGTGCCTCTGCGGTACCGCCATCCAGGAGAAAGATAATAGGATTGAGCCGGGCAATTGCAGCACACCGTGCCCCGGCAGCAAGGACCTAGAACATCTCTACGCGTGTGGCGGGCAGAGCAGGTGGGTGCTTTCATACTCCCGCTATGCAAAACCACTTAAAGACATACAAGCTAACCTATGCAGCATCACCGCATACCGCCACAAGGACTACCTCTCGCGGTCCGCCGCGCCGGAGAAGAACTGGTCCTCGCGCACCTGGAAGAACCTCACGTGGACATTCAGCGCTACAGCTTTCATCATGGGCTATTTCTTCTTCACTTCCATCTGCGGTAGCGCCTTCTGCTTTCTGTGGATGCCCTGGACCGTTGAGAATCTCGCCTCAACCCTTGGCGCGCTCTGCTTATCCATTGTCCTTGCTATCACGCCTATGGTGGTCTTCTTTGGCATACGCGGCGCTATGCGGCATCCGGATACAGTTTGAGGGTTTAGTGGTCCTGATGGACTTCCGAAGGTCATCGGTAGCATTAGGTTTATTTTTCTGGTCTTGGGTAACTGGCGGTTGAATATGAAATCTATTCCCGCCCAAGTGTGGATGACTGATGCGGGACTGATTCATCCTGCTGAAGGCCTCCGGTTTAGATGGTGCATGCCCTATGACAATCCCAATGCACACTGCGTCCCGTTCATCGTACAGTACGACATTTGAATCGCATCTGCGCCCACACCCCTCGCCACAAGCCTCTCCCTCATCTCGCTCAGCCTCGGCGCTGCTTCGATCTGGCTCCTATTCTGTCCATTCTCATCCTTCGCTCCGCTCCACAAAACCTCCGCCGCAGCCGCGGCTCGCGGCCAGATCATGCGATCGACATTCACGGGATCGGTCTGCTCGGCCCACATGTGCGCTTCGCCGCCGAGCACGAGATGCTGCTTGTCGTCGGGGACGCCGGAGAGCGGGTCGTACGAGTACATGGCGCGCCAGTTGTGGTAGGGGGCGCAGTAGTCATTGAAGGGCCAGTTGGAAGCGGCGATGGAGGGGTCGAAGTTGAGCCATTGGCCTTTGCCGCAGTCGAGGTACTACAAATCTGTTATCAATAATTTTGGAGGGATGCGTGAGAGTGGGAAGCATGGACGTACCCAGTATTGATAGTTTCCGACAAGCGCTTTATGTCCCTTTTCCACAATCTGCGCGACTGCTTCGTCGCTCTGCCAGCTCTGCACTATGACGTCGTCGCCGAGCGTGAGGTTCCATTCCAGCAGCATCTCCTCCCAGACAATTGGCGTGAGGCCCATGGCGCGGACTTGGTCGTGGTTTCGGTCGATGAATTTTTGCATCAGGGGCTGGAGGACGGCGGTGTCGTTGGATTGGACGGTGTCGTCGAGCGTGTATGCGTTCTTGTTCACTTCGTCGCCGCCTGTGTGGAAGTAGGAAGAGAATGGGTAGATGCGCGGGAGAAGGTCGTCAAGGAGCGTTTCGAGGAAGTCGGATACGGCGGATGAGTTTAGCTTGAGAGTTCCGGAGGGCGGTTCGGCCGCGTAGGTGTTCCAGTTTGGTTGGACGTTGTAGGCGGCGATGAGGTCGGGGTGGCTTAAGTAGATTGAGGAAGTGTGGCCTGGCATATCGATCTCGGTGATCATCTCAACGCCGTGAATAGCTGCAAAGTGCTGGAGGTCTCTGAAGTCGTCTGCAGAATAGACTAGATCCGGACGGTATGCGCCTTTTTCGGAGAGCTCGGGTAGAGATGGAATCTCAAGAGGCCATGACTGGGAATCGGTTACGTGGAGATGGAACCGGTTCATTTTGTTGTAGGCTAGAGCGTCGATTGTGCGCTTGATGTCCTTGACTGAGAAGTAGTTTCGCGAGACGTCGAGATTAACACCGCGGTGTTGGAATTTCGGTGCATCGAAGATTTTGACGGGTGCGAGGGTTGTGTAGGCTCCTTCTTTTGAATGCTGGAAGAATAGCTGCGTGAATGTGGTGAGGCCCCTAATAATTCCGACGCTCGAGTTCGCGGATATGGTTGCTTGACCGTCTTTAGTCAAAGTGAGGGCATAGGATTCCTCCACGGCTCCCGCTAACGGCTTTGCGATATCCTCCGGATCTTCCTGGAGCAGCTCAAGCTTAACCTCCGTGATGTATGTCGCTTCATCTGGATCCGGCTCCTCCCAGTCCCTTGGATGGAACTTCCAGGGCACGAAGCCCCTCTTGAAAATTGTCCTATGCGCCGAGTAGACGGCGTAATCGACCATGTCGTCTCCCGTAGGCGCCTCACTTGCATTCCCGTATTCATCGGAGGAGGCGCGTTTGCGATAGCCACCCTGCTGGTCCTGTACGTGCGATATTTCGTCAGAGTTCGCCCTGAAGATGTATGTGTTCTCATGCTGGTCCGTGAAGCCTACATTGCCTGCGCCAGCCCCCCAGTTAAAGGAAACATGTTCCGATATGAATAGTACACCGTCTCCGTGTTCATATTGGACGGGAATCGGCCATATTGCCGATGCTAGGGACGCGAATAGAGGTAAAGAAAGGTACAGCTTCATATTCCAAAAAGATGGGACGAGGAAGACAAGACGAGAAGAAAGAAAATCAGAAACCCCTCACGGAGGTTTTTAATGTGGAGCAAACGCGAAGAACACGCGACTATAGGAATGCCTGGTAAGCTATGCTGTATACCCGGCGTGATGACGTGCGGAATGCAGGGCTGGGGCGAGGCATGTATCTCCAACGGAGCTCTATCATCCAGAGCGATCCATATCCCATCAGGAGCTGGGTGACCGCTACGCAGCAATACTATGACGTCGGAGATGAATGAACGCAGTGAGGAGGTGCTGTCAATTTGCGACTTGTGAGAGGTCGGAGGAAAGGTGCAGCGAGCTTAGCCGAGAAACGTTGGGCGTTGGTTTGGCGGGACGCTCCGTGCAGACTAGCAAGCTGGCGAAACTCAAGCCAAAGCAACTCGTAGAAAGTCTACTTCGTATGGAACTTTTTAAAGGTTTCCTGTAGATACGCGGTCGGGTGAGGCGTCGTGGTGGAGTGGGTGCTCGGCTCAGACTGCGCACCGTGAGTCAGCAGCTGCACGCCTGACGGCTTCCCACGCTTCCTCTTCGGCTTCATCTGACAACCATACGCAAAGCCGCTGGACTACGAAACGCGCCCACCAACACGCGTCGGCCGAACTTTTGGAAGAGCCCTCTCGATGCGCCGCATTGCGATCCCACTGATTGGCTGACGGGCCAACCGGAGCTAGAGTTTGGCCGACAATGAAAGGCATTCACACCACCCCACCTCTCACGCATCACGAACTTCCCCGCCTTTTGTGCGCCAGGGGTAATTCTGACGAGCCCGCGTCGCCGATCCGCTCCAGTATCCATCGATGCCGGCATGCCTAGTCGCTTAAGCCTGAGCAAATTGAGCGGTGCTTGCGATGCCAACGCTCCCACGCTGTGTGCCGAGGTGCGAAAGACTTGCATATGATGGATTCAGCATGGGAGTACTTAGATGAAGCAACCGCCTGGGCCTGGGTGCATCACTGCGGCAGATGCGGCGTTCCGCGTATTCCGTGCGCTAGAGTACATTGAACTGGGTTCTTTGAGGCAACCATTACTCCCCAAGTAAGTAGGTCCCTCAGTGCTTTGTTCTAACGTCACGGCACACAGAACTGATCTCTTTCCCAGGTGCATTCGAGCTTAGGAGCGTCGCCCAACATGCTCGACTATCTTCGAACTCTCCCAACCTCTTACCTTGTCGGCGCTCTCGTCGGCCTCTTCATCGCCTACCAAATCTCCCTCTCGCTCCTCCTAAATGCCAGGATTCGCAAGCTCGGCGCGCGGGCGCCCGTCCGGCGCACATATCTGCCATATGGTCTTGACATGGCTTACGAAGTCGTCAAACACGCACTGGCGGACAGAAATTATGAGCTGTGGTTAAAGATGTTCGATAAGTGGGCTTCGGGGAGGTATACACTTGAGGCTGGCGTCGGCGAGCGGGTCATACTGACGGCGGAGCCTGACAATATCAAAGCTATTCTTGCGACGCAGTTCAAAGACTATGGCAAAGGAGAACAGTTCCATAAGGACTGGATCCACTTTCTCGGGAACGGTGGGTTCTGCTTTGCTATGGCTCTGCATGATCGCTTGGATAATTCTGGGCATCTGGCTTTTCAACGTGGAAGTCCAACGCTAATCTCTTAAGCAGGAATCTTTGCCACGGATGGTCAACTTTGGCATAATTCCCGCCAGCTGATCCGTCCTCAGTTTATCAAGGACCGTCTGAGCGACATTCATATTTTTGAACAGCATGTGCAGATTCTCATGAAGAAGATTGAGCAGACTCCAGAGGTGGACATGCTCGACTTGTTCTTTCGATACACGCTGGATGCTGCAACTCACTTTCTACTCGGCCAGAGCGTTGAGAGTCTGCACCATCCGCAGACGGCGTTCGCGGATGCATTCTCTAATGCGCAACGCGTCCAAGCACTGATCGCGAGAGTCGGGTATGCACTGATGCTTCACCGCATAGATTGATCCACACTAATATCCGTACCTCAGGCCTTTGAACTGGATGATCCCGCGAAAGCGAATGGGCTTCTATGAGTCTATCAAGATCGTCAACGATTTCGTGAATCAGTACATTGAAAGAGCTCTTGCTCTTTCCCCCAAGGAGCTTGAGGAAATGACCAATCATGACGAAGGGTACACCTTCCTGCACGCTATCGCGGCTTACACTCGCGACCGGCAGACGCTTCGCGATCAGCTTGTCTCCATTCTCCTGGCCGGCCGGGACACTACGGCCTGCACTCTGACATGGACCATTTATGAACTATCCCTCCAGCCTCATATCGTCGCCACATTGCGCCAAGAGATCGTCGACCATGTCGGCCTCGACCGGGCTCCGACGTACCAGGACTTGAAAGACATGAAGTACCTTCAGCACATCTTGAACGAGACGTTACGTCTCTATCCTGTCGTCCCATATAACGTCCGCATGGCGCTCAACGACACCACGCTCCCTACGGGCGGTGGTCCTGATGGCACGCAACCAATCGGTATTTTAAAGGGCACACCGATCGGCTACTCCACACTCGTCATGCAGCGCCGCACTGATCTCTATCCACCCATCGAATCAGGCTTCCCTGCAGTCGACAAGTTTGTGCCTGAAAGGTGGGATGGCTGGACACCGAGGAGCTGGACCTACGTCCCTTTCAACGGGGGACCGAGAATCTGCATCGGCCAGCAGTTCGCTCTGACAGAGATGGGATATACGCTTGTGCGATTGTTTCAGAAGTTCGAGACGGTGGAGAATAGGATGGGCGGGGAATTTCCAGGCCTGCATTCGGATATTGTTTTGCAGCCACGGAAGGAGGTAAAGGTCGCTTTTAGATGAAGGGAATGTGGGACAAGCTCCGCAGGATATCTTGTTACATTGCTTTATTGTGTACAGTCTCTTTTCGAGCTAAATACTCTACTGAAATGCTGATCTGGAAAGACGTCCTCATTCTATGCCGCTGTTTTCTCGCGGCAACTTTTGCCGACCCAGGTAGCGCCTGCCCCACTCAGCTCCAGGCGGCCAGCCTCTCCCAGCTCCTCACGCTTCCACCTCACCAGTCACCATAACTCCTCCTCCTCTTGCGTCACCACACCTTCATGTTACGTTGCATCTATTCCCAAGGAGAACCATCACATACTCACGAACACTGAGGAGACAAGCCCTGCGCCTCATTCAACTTCTCCAGGCTCAGCCTTGCACGCATGCTCTCTTCCATACCTTGTCAACACAATGACTCGTTGGCACAGCCTTTATTGCGAAGTTCCAGACGTCATTGTGGGGGAAAACAACGTACCGAGATGTCGGGCTTGCCAGCAGTCGTGCCCATCTGTTGAGGAACTGCTCTCGGGAAACGTGAGCGGGAACTCGGCTTCAGTGCTCCCTCCCGATGAGCCTCCAGGGAGCATGAACCTGTGGTGGCCAAAAAGCGTTCCGTATGTGAGGGATGAAGAGCAGTCTTGCATGTCAAGGACTTCGCCGGTTCCTGAGAGCGCCCCAGGTACGCCGGATTTTCCGATTAGTCGTCAACCATGACAGTTTGGCGCGGCTCCCACTACCCCGTTTGCACGACATACCAACGCACAGAGGGGTTTACGTTGCCATTAACGTGGGGGGTGCTCCACGCCACACCGAGCAAGAACTGCCCTCGTGGCTGACATATCCAAACAGCGAAGGACTCATGCGACGAGAGCGCAGAGAGCGTCCCAGAATCGAACCTCACGGGCACTGGAGACCTCTCCATATATGGAGAAACGTTGAAGTCAGACGAGTTCCGGTTGGCTTGCCTCTCCGCTGTTTCGAATAAGGAGTACCCAGTCCATCTTAGCCTGGAAGTCTACACCCACAACGACCATCCAGAGTTCGAGGCCACCTCGTACTGCTGGGGTGGAGAAAATGGTGATAGCTCACCCTGCCAGCCTGTATATTTTGGGCCGTATTGGGACGTACTGCTCCAAACAAAGAACTGCTGGTCGATGCTCCAATTCTTGCGCCCCTGGCGAGGCACACGCATGATTTGGGTAGACGCAATCTCGATAAATCAGGGGAACCTTGTCGAGAGGGCTTCTCAGGTTGCCAAAATGCGACAGATCTATAGCGACTGCTCAAGAGTAGTCGTGTACCTGGGGAATGACATAATTACCACTTCCACACGCTTTCCGGCTTTCAAATCCCTCCAAACCCTTGAAGAGGGGAAATTAGACCGTCACATCTTCCCAGCCAGCCACGCATACCATGATAGGTAAGTGTGTTGCAGTCCGCATGCCAGCACCTATGACGCGTTTCTGGAAAATTACTCCTGGAGACCTTCAACAGATTAGGCACAGATTGATATGCCTGCAGCGACCCCCCTCTCCCTTACTTTTAGATATTTGCTAATCATTACGGCATTTGCAGGCAGTTCGATCTGCATGAACTTCTTTCAAGAAAGTATTTCAGTAGAGTCTGGATCGTCCAAGAGCTGATCGTTTCTGAACGAGCCATCATACGCGTTGGCGACATCGATTTCCGAGCAGACGCGTCCATCATTTCTGCAACCTTGCAAGCAGGCCGGAACCACTCAGAGCCAGAGGGCAGCGTTTCTAAATCTAAGTGGGATGGAACTTCCGCGCCATGGATTCAGCATCTGGCAAACAAAGCCTTCCCCAAGTCCCAGATTGGAGATGAACTGAGCCTCCTGCGGCTGACTTCCAAATCTGAGGCCTCGGACCCGAGAGACAGGCTCTTTGCGGTGATTCCTCTTCTCCAGAAGGGCAGACTACGAAAGCAATTCTCGCCGGACTATTCCTTGTCTTTTCAGCATTTCTGCATCGGCCTGTTCGCTCACTTTCTCTTAACGAGCAAAAGATACTGGTTTTTGTATAATGCAGGAATTGCAATCAGAGCGACCCGGGATCATCTATCGCTGACGCCATCCTGGATCCCGGATTGCAGGTCTGATGCATCGTGGAAAAGTGTCTGGGCGAGCATCAGGCTTCCTAATCCCTTGATGGAGCTCACGGACATAGCCCTCGCTTACGGCGACGCCTTTCGCGTGATCCTCGAGGAAGCTTGTCTAGAGCGTATGGCGCGGACGCTCGACCCGGCGAAGCCGTTCCATGTCGATGCTACCGTGGATAGAGCGAGCGGAAAATTATCCATCAATCTGATCCACATGTTCGTGTTCGTGGATCAGCCTTCTTTGAAGGAGAGATGCGGCTCACTCAACGTCTACGGGCTTCCGGTGCGAGATAGCAAGGGTCAAGAAACAGAGTCAAACCTATCACTTGTGGTGCCGGGTGGTCTCGACATCCAGCCTCATCAAGATCATCTCTTTATTCTAGATCCTGGATCAGGCTGCGTGCTTGGACTGCCCGGAAAGCATTGGAACATCCACCCAGTTACGTACCTCATCCTACGGGAGTACGCGGACGGACCCAGTACCCCAAATTTCAAGCTCATCACGTCGCGCGTCCGCCTCTTTGAGGGAGACCTTGTCCTACAAGACGATATGCGGACACTACAACGAGACGATCGTCGTGACTCGGAGAGTTGGTCTACAGTTGGCCGCGTCTCTGGTTACACCCTAAACAAGATCCGGACAAGCGTAGCGACGGTATTAGCAAGCATACAAAAGCAGATGCGCTCCTTGAAGCATCACGAGGGCTACGAAATTCTTCTTCCGGTATCTACCAACCGCTTCTTCCTCCAGCCAGAGTGGCAGCAATTCCTACCCCACGTGGAGGACGAGGATAGCATGCTGCATACCGTTCTAGTTCTATGTCAAGCGCTGCACGAGAAGCGTGAGCAAAAGGAAGAGAGGGAAAGCCCGAACACTCGTCTCCAAAGATCGTTCTTGGCATGTATCGAAAGAATGTTCCACGCAGAAGTCGTTCGTGAGGGCGATTATGGCGAAACCTTCATCAAGCTCACGTTAGATTATCAAAAGTGGACGGCTCGCACTCGATACTACTGCATGTTGCCTGAACAGCAGCGAGGGGTCCCCACTTCGGGACTTTTTTGTGGATTCGAGAATATAACAGAATTTTGGAAAATGCGGAACCTTCTCGATAAGATAAAATGGGAATGGAAATTTGAAAGTGATGAGCACTGGCAGGCTGTTCCACACTCTCCTGGAGAGGATCAATACCGAGAGCTGCTGGAGCCACCACGGAAACGGACCCGTATGCTACCACCTGAGGAGCGTGTCTGCGTGCGGGCAAAGATTAACCCGATTCTCGAAGGGCTCCGTATGCTTGTGCGCCACACAGTGAGATTGTACGGGATGGTTGTCGAGGCCTACGATCCGCCTCCAGACCTGGAGACTCTAGCGGGATGGATTAAGAACGGCCCGACCGAGGAGCAGACGAACAAGGGGGTGCCCAAGTATATTGGGGGAGTGAGGGTGGATGGGAGCGTATGTCGGGTGGGAATCCTGTAATGAAGGGAGGGATATTCCTCTGAGGTCGGATGATTCGAACCGACGCCCCGTGCAGCTCACCAAAGACACACACCCACGCAGATACGGTGATAGAGCTGGCTCAGCAGTAGAGAAGGTCTCAAAGATCGGGTTAAAGTCCTATCCGCAAGTAAAGGTTGAGAAGGAATACGCCCAAAAGCCTGCCAGTATAGCATGCGTTCGTAACTGGGTAGCATAAAGTGTGTTGCCTCAGACTGCAGCTGAGCTTTTCAGAATTGAACTAAGCAGAGAGGGGAAGAGGGATCTCTGAACTGATCCCGCCCAATCCCCCCCAAGAAAGATAACGGCGGGGAGATAGCAAAGTCACTCCAGACGCAGTACAGCATCCTCGTAAAGACCGACCACATACATTTCGAAAACGACCGAATATATCTCTCGACCCTCAAAACTACGAACAAGTCTCAATTTCTCAATAGCATTTGTCCTCCTCCAAACCGCATCAACGCTGGTCAAATATTACATACCACCGGCGCCGGGAAGCTTGTCAAGCCCTGTGAAACGAGTCAGTAGCTAGCTTAAGGTCTTTTTATAAGAAACAGCAACTTACATCCGTCAATAGGCTCGTTAATAGTAGTCTTTAAGGCGCACTTGTTCGCCTCGGCCACGGACTGAGTCTTGAGGTTGTTGCTAACCAAGCTAGTCGAGTCCATAGCGCGCTGGAGCGCATCGCCCTTCCAGCCGAAGAGGTAATCGCCATGGGTACCGTAGCCCTTGCTGTCGTCAAAGCTCCACACGAACGGCTGCGAGCCGTCCGCAGGCCACAGGGACTTGTCGTTGAATTGGGTGGTGTTCCACATCGTCTCGTAGGCGACCTGGGGCATGCGCACGGGATGCGACGCCGGGCACGGGCCGGCGTTCTGGAACATGCCTTTGACCGTGTTGTACATGTGGTCCTGGTGGTTGGGCGAATCGAGGTTCTTGCCGTCCCAGCACGCGGGGAAGTGGTGGATTGCCATGATGCCGGCGGCGCACGGCTGCTTGGGGAAGTCGTCGGTTTCGCTGCCGCGCGTCATGATGTCTTTCAGGCAGGTGTATTTGAGGCCGGGGTTGCCGCCCTTGGTACTGGTCGGGCTGCCGACGGTCATGCGGAAGCCCTGAAGTGGTGTTGTTAGTAAGTCTCTTATAGAGTCAGTCGGCTTCTGTGAAGAGTAAACTCACTGGTTTGAACGACGTTATCTTCGTCTTGCCATTCGAATTGAAGTCCTGCTGCAGATAATAAACAGTCATTCCGCCGGTGAGCGAACCCAAGAGCGCATTGGGGTACTGCGGCACGCGCTTGTATGTCCCGTTACGGGCCTTGAAGTACAGCACGGCGGTCCAGTAGTTAGAGAAGTCTTCGGAGAAGCTGCAGGTTGTGCAGGTAGCCTTCTCGCCGATGTCGCCGGTCATCGAGGCGTTGAAGGCATTGCCGCCGACGATCTGGTGGAGATGAGCGGAGGGGAGGCGTCCTGGCTAGAATAGAACGTTTTAGTGAGTGTCTTGGAGCAGTGGAGTGACTGACCGGTTGGTCTTGAGGCTAAGAATTACATATATACGTACCTCAACGACGGGATCCAAGCGCTGCACAGACAGCGTCGCGCATCCGAATCGAATGTACGCCTGGGAAGGCGCTACGAGCGCAAGAGCGAGGGAAAGCCACTTCATCGTTGTCAGGATGGGTGTTGTGATGCGTCCCAGATGCGGATGCCCAAAAAGCAGACGGTAGTAATCCGCTCGACCTGAATATAAATACTCAACCCACCATTGCGACTACATCCTGCCTCCTGCCCTCCTCCCATATGCCGTGGCCAAGGGTCAGGATACACGGGTGCTGGATAGTCTAACGTATCCAGCATTCGCTCATCCAACCTTGCAGCGACCGAGTCCGTAAAGCCTTCCGCAATTAATTCTTAACGATTTCCCCGCATTAGAACCCCATTCTGGGCGGCATCCGTAGAACATTTAATAAAGCTCTCTCCCCTGTGTCTCCAAGTCCCGGCAGCCGAAGCTAGGTTGCACTGAGTTATCTGCCGACAGGTGAGATTAGCGAAGGGTGACGGCGAAATACCCTTGGGGAAGATAGATTGCGAGGTATCCAATTGCGAGGATGTATTATTTTGCCTCCTCCAGTCGAATGTATAGTCATTGGCTTCTGCCAGGTGCTAAGCCCTGGGGTCGAGCGAACCACGAGCAGCCCGGGGGTGGTGGTTCGCGATTGAGAAGATGGCGTCGCAGAGGTGAAGCCGACCATCCATCCACGCGACTGTCTTAGCTAAATCCTTAGCCCATAGTGCGGCAATGCGAAGGGAATGGCTAGGGATCCGCGAGATGGCAATTTCGACAAAAGTCTGAAAGCCAGTTTTGGAGACCTTGAACAAGCTTTGGGAGACGGGTTGTACGCTGCGAAATACCGTGAGGGCCTCCAGGTGTACCTATGCACAGCTGAATCAGGGTCTTAGCTTATCCATGGAATGATGAATCGAGAAATCAAGAGGGTCTAAAAAAATGCTGAATCAAAGTGCTTCGATTCTGACGTATCTACCATCTCGCATTATGTCCAAGAGAGCCATAGCTCCCCCGTTTCCAAATATTAACCCCTATTATCATCATGATCATGAATGCATGTTCCTCCGAGGAGTTCTTCTCTTCATTCGACAGACCCAAAACCCAGAGACCGTAGTCGATATGCCGAACGCCGTCGCTGATGCCGATAAGGATCGAAGTATAGAGGAAAATCGAAACCGCACTCGCAATGCAAGTCTATTCGCCGTTTTACAGGGTGAAGGAAAGGAAGCCGATCGACGCAGCTAGTAAAACAGCGCCCGTGTTGACTAGCAACCGGAAAGCGCTCGAAGCAGAGGCAGAGGGAACAGGAGGAACGGACGACGACGCTACCGCAGCATTCTCCATGACGTTAGCATTTGCACTGACAGTGGGTGTTGGTGCAGCAGTGACGAGGAAGCCCTGGGAGTCATATGACTTGGGCTGGGCTGTATAACCAGCTGGGACTGTGTAGATGGTTGTGAAGCCCTGCTCATCGTAGGCAGTAATTACCTCTTCAGATCCGCCAGAGGAGACTATGGAAACCGATGGCGACGCCGCAGACGACGGCGTAGGCAAAGGGGCTTGGGATGTGGACTGGGATGAGATGTTAGCATATATGGCTATAGGGGTAGGAAAGGAGGCAAGGAAAAGTCTTACTGACAGGTGCCAAGCTGGGCGGAACTACTTTGCCAGAGTCTGAAACAGTCCACCCGCTTGGGAGTCCCGGGTAGTTGGAGTAGGTAGCTTGAGGTACAGTCGACATCGTTGTATCAGGTACCCAGGGGTACTCGCTTGGTCGGGTGTAGGCAGATGTCTCGGACGGGGTGAAAGGGATGGGCTGTCCGTTGACTGAGGAGGTGATGGCAGGCGGCTCGTCTTCGATGGGTGTGCCGCCGCCGTTGATTTGTCCGCCGTTCGACTCGATGGATTGCCAGGTACCGCTCTGATCGCCGTATGTGTACTGCGTGCCCGTGGAGTAGTCTTTGACGGTCAGCGACTTGACCTGCATGGTGAAAGGCCCCTGGGAGTAGTCGGTCGGTCCTCGAGCCCATTCAATGGTGCCGGGGGCATTCGCTGGATCACCACCGCTCCAGGCGCCAACCTTGATCTGCATGGGAGTCTGAGGGTACTGGTTGCTCGACTCTGCGGGTGTAAGGGTCCTGACCGTCTGACCGCCGATCTGCCAGACAATCTGCTCGGAGGTCCATATGATGGTGTACTTTATGAAGCCGTCTTGGTTGCCAGGGTTCGCGTGGAAAGCACCGCGGTTGTAAGTGGTCGTCTGGCCCTTGCCAAAGTAATTGGACTGGACCTCTGAGCCATCGGCACCGAGCCACTCCCAGTCTATCTCGTCAAGGCAGTCAGACTGCATGACGAAGCTGCTGACAATGCCCGCACCTGGCGCCGCCTTGAGCTCCACGTCGACCTGGCCAAACATGATATACCATTTTGACGTGAGTTGTGGAGAGTCACCCGACTTGGCTACTGTGAAGGAGGCGCCGTTCGAGTCGTAGGTCGGGTTGCCTTGAGCCGTGAAGCTATCGGATGCCGAGGAAAAGTCGATGTTGACCGTCTTGCCGAGCGCTGAATCCGGCGGGCAGTCGGTTCGTGAAAGAGGATTGCAGTTGGTGTACGTCTGGGCGGATGCGGGCAAAGCGAGGAATGCCGCTGACGCGAGAGCAGCGACTGCTCTTGCGGTGGATCGCATATTTGCGTTGGGTGTTGTGAGGATGGGATGGAGGGAGTGCGGCAACGCGCCGAGTTATAGTACTAGAGTGATGCTAGTGACAATGATAGCGTGACGGGGTAGGACTGAGTGCTGGCGGTATGTGTGTGTCGAGGAGTGAATGGTGAGTTTTGAATACCTGCCCGTCAGTCGAGAGGTCGAGGCGAAAGTGTGTGTGATGGTTGTGACATGGGCCCAACGGGCAGCTGCACATTAAAAGGGCTCCTGCCAGCCATCTCATTAGCTGCTATCAACGTGTTAGCTGAGATCTCCCACTTGAATCATGTGGCGTGCCGTTTCCGATGCTGAGGTTGGATGAATAAGGACGAGGTTGGCGAGGCGGCACCGCGGAGGAGGCTGGAAGCGGATCCCAGCCACACCCGGCCGCGGCCAGACGTCACGCTCCAACATACCGAGCCACCAGAGGCCCCTACAAAGCGAAAATCAATAGACAAAAACTTGCCAATAGTACGACTGAGGTCATAGCTTGCGTGGCTATTGTTCAGGGTCTTGCCATGAGCTGAGCAGCGAAAGAGCGAGGGGTGCTGCAGGGTGCACGCGCCACTCCGGCGTGCGCCACAGATCGAGACCCCGCAACACCACTCCATCCTACCAAAACTATTGATCCTACCCACACAAAGCTTGATCAGGAGACTATCTTTAGAAGCCGCCTTTCCATTCGGCACCAACCAACCGTTCCCTGCAGCCAAACTGTGGGCCTGCATAACATTCTCTGGAGAAAAGTTCTTCCCCTTTGGGCTTTTTGAGTCACACGCCCTTCGCAATACGGGAAGGTCCTCAACGCCGGTCTCACCATTGCCGGACTCTCGATAACCCTCCACTACAATAATGTCTCTAACAAACGCGACGCCGCTGCAGGTCGCTCAGGCGGCACGGACTGGCTCACGGAAGCTTGCCGTACTGTCGGCTGCAGAACGCAATGCTTCACTAACTGCAATTCACGAGGCATTAGCGGAGGGGAAAGAGGAGGTCCTGGCGGCGAACGGAAAGGATCTGGAGGAAGCGAACAAGGCTGCAGCGGGTGGCCATCTCAGCCAGAGTCTAGTGAAGAGACTGGATCTGGGGAAGAAAGGGAAATATGAGGATATGCTACAGGGCATACTAGACGTGAGAGACCTCGAAGATCCCAGTAGGTTTTCTTCCTACATCGGACACGATGGACTATCTTGAAACTTGTTTCGCTCAACTTCGATATTCTCTTTTGAATTAGTGACGTCTACAAGTCCTCATTCCCAATTCACCTAAACCACCTCCCTGATCTCCTGATTATACTACCCTGAATGCTAACATCTCCAAGTCAACAAAACCACCGCGCGGACACTTCTCGACGACAACCTCGTTCTCTCCCGGATAACCTGCCCCATCGGCGTACTCCTCATCATCTTCGAAGCCCGCCCGGAAGTCATCGCCAACATCTCCGCACTAGCCATCAAATCCGGCAACGCAGCGATCCTCAAAGGCGGCAAAGAATCCTACCACAGCTTCGCAGCCATCGCCTCAATCATATCGCAAGCTCTATCACAGACAGCGGTCCCTTCGGATTGCCTGCAGCTGGTCCAGACTCATGATGTCGTCTCCGACCTCCTGAAACTGGATACGTACATCGACCTATGCATCCCGCGCGGCGGTAACAAGCTCGTCCGCTATGTAAAAGACTCCACCGCGATTCCCGTCCTCGGCCATGCGGACGGCATATGTACGACGTACCTGTGCGCCGACTACCCCGCCGACAAAGCAGTCAAGATCATCGTAGACGCCAAAACCTCATACCCCGCGGGATGCAATGCGCTTGAGCAACTACTGGTCGACGAAGCCGCGCTCACCACCACGCTCCCCGCTGTGGCAGAAGCCTTACTCCAGAAAGGCGTATCGCTCCGCTGCGACGCGGCCTCGCTCGCCGCATTGAAGGGAACGCTGGATCCGCACTCCGCGGCGCTGCTCCAAGAGGCCACGGACCAGGATTTTGACTTCGAGTTCCTGGACTTCGTCCTCGCTATCAAAACCGTTCACAGCTTGGACGAAGCAATCACCCACATCAACACACACTCGAGCCACCACACCGACGCTATCCTTACCTTCGACTCTGCCGCCGCGAACACCTTCCTCGCCGCCATAGACTCTTCGTCCGTGTACTGGAATACTTCGACCCGCATGGCAGATGGCCAGCGCTACGGCTTCGGCACCGAAGTCGGCATTTCCACCAACAAGATCCATTCGCGCGGCCCCGTCGGCCTGGAGGGCTTGACCATCTACAAGTGGACGATTGCAGGCGATGCGCAGGTCAGCACTGAGTATGGCGCGGGAGGCAAGGCCTGGAAGCACGTGAAACTTCCCCTGAGCGATGACGAGATGGTCGCACAGAACGACGAGGAGAGGGAGCTGTTGCGGAAGTTCAGGGCTGGCAAGGCGGCCGTGAGCGATATTTGAGTGCCACCAACCGAGAAAGGGCTTCCTTCCTTCATACGGCGTTCCGTCCATGGGCACGACGGTATTCTAAAAAGCAATTCGAGGAATAAAAAGGGCCAGCTCAGTTCAATTCAGTCCAGTTCAATCCATCGTACCGTATTCCAAGTCCAAAGTGCAAAAACACACATTGTTCCCCTGTCATCATTCTTCTGGTGGCTTCCGCTGAATTGTCCCACCGTTCACTCTCCCCTCCATTTAACACATTATTGCGTCACAAACCGAAATAGAAGGGGGTGTTTCGACAGGAAATAGAAGGAGCGGCCTCGGTCCCCACCGACCATCCGGCCAACTTTCGGAACGCTTCCTACCGGGTTTGACGTTGCACGCGCTGCGCAGGGCCGATCGCGACGATCGGTTTCACAAGTAGTGCGGCGGAAGGAGCACCGAAGCAGACCCTGCATCGCGCTGTGGGGGAGGGGCCTTGGGGCCTCGAATACTGACAGGTGTTCAAAGTCACAAGGAACTGGCTTCAGAAGGGCAGATCTATGTCTATTGGTAGGCAAAAGGAGGCATATACATGCCGCCGGCCCAAAGCTAGCTTCTGTATAGAAACATCGCCTGTACATTCCTGGATCTTGGATCGAGGCATGTCTGGCGAAAACGTAGTCTATCTATCAAGAATGCTTTCATGCGCGAGTGAAGACCCGCACAAACTCCATCCTGTGCTCCGGAACCCCAATGCACCCATCTTGACCATTACATTGCTGCTCTTTCGTGGTATTCCAGAAGATCGTTTCCGCATCCCATATAACATTCCAACGTGCACCGCGTTATGTACGTTTACTCAACCGACTTCTTGCTCTTGGCGAAGAGCTGGGCGCCGTCTTCGAGACGGCGCTCCGTGTTGCGGCGGCTGTTGACAAAATCGGGGTAGTTGAGAGTAAGCTCAACCGCGCCGTTGACAATGTTGTCGACGGCCTCGACACCCAACATGAAGGAGTGGTCCTGGTTGCCGACCTCGTAACGCCACGAGCCGAAACGTCCGCGCGACCAGATATCCTTGTCTTGCAGAGCCGGGAGAAGCTTCGTCAGCACACCCTCGCGCTCCAGGGAAGGTGTGGGGTATCCGTGATCGAAGCAGCGGTGGTACGTTGAGACGATCTCGTCAGTAGGCTTGAGCATCTCGGTGTTGATGAGACCCTGGATCGAGTCCTTCAGGAGGTTCTTCACGTCCACGGGCTTCATGCTGGACTCGGAAATCTCCAGCATGATTGACCAGTATGGGCCTTCCTTGGGCGAGCTCGAGCTCGGCTTCGAGCCATCGGCCATCTGCTGTGTCACCAGCTTCACGTCCTTCTGTGGCTGATTGAAGGGCGAGTAGTTGGAGAAAATGGTGGCGCGATAGAAGGGGCAGCTATCCTCGGGGAAGTACAGCCAGCACTTGTCGCCAATGCGCTCGGGTCGCTCGCCGCGGATGCCTACACCCACGACATGTGTGCTCGAGTAGAAGAGACCCTTGCTGAGGTCGGTCAGCTCCTTGTCGCCCATGATCCGGACAAGGCTGTCCACCGCCATGGTGTTGACGAGCTTCTTGTAGTTCACAACAGTTCCGTCCTTAAGTGTGACCCGCTTGCCATCCGCATCCACCTTGGTTACGGCGCCGTAGTCGCCGAACCGCGTCTTGGACTTAGGAAGGGTTTTTGCGACAGCGATCCAAATGCCGCCGGTGCCGTCGCGAGCAGGGAAGCGGAAGGTTGCGTTCGGACCCCAGCCGCCTGCGGTCTTGTTGTGAATGACGTTGTACATGACTTTCTTGACGTCTGGGGCGGCCACACGCTCGCCGAGCCATGCGCATTGCATCTGTTCAAGGTGTGAGCTCAGCAAAACTAGATCACAATGCCCGTGCGTCGTACCTTGGTGGTGGGGACAGCCCACACTTTGTAGTTGTACGGCCTCATGAAGAGGTCAGCCACGCCGACACCCATAGTCCTCAGGATAAACTCGTCGAAGTCCTTGGGCTTGGTGTTGGCCACGCGGCTCTCTAGGGCAGCGTCAATCATGCCGTCGAGGCACTTCGCCTGGTCCTCCTTTGGCAGCATCGAGATGTTGTTCTGGAACGGGTATGGGACCCAGAGGCCCTTGCAGCGTACGTAGGAGATACGCTGGTGCGTGTACCAATCATCCTCGCTAGGAAGCGCCTCGTCAATGCAGTCGTCGAAATACTTGTAGTGGGAGAAGATGACATGGCCGCCGACATCGTAGAGCTGCCGCAATTAGCCGCCTACCGGTGCAATTGGCAGCAGAGGTTACTCACGAAGCCTTCTGGGGTGACGTCGGTGGAGGCCAGGCCACCGGGAGTCTCGTTTGAGTCCACGATCAACCATGAGGGGCCGTCCTAAGCTTGTTAGCCACTGCGCGCATTGTTTAACGTTTTCTTGGGAATCTTACAATCTGGTTCAGACGCTTCGCGGCACCGAGGCCAGTCGGGCCGGCGCCGATGACGAGCACGTCGACAGAACTGGCAGCTGTCAGCTCGAGCTTTGTGGGAGAGCAGCGATGCAGGCGGTGAGGCATTGGGGAACGCACATTTCTTCCTTGGCGGATCCCATGGTTCCCTGCAAGAGCTCTTGAAAACTTGGAACTCTTTTCAGTGTCTGGCGTGCGTAGTTTAACATGTACTCGGCGGGCGAGCAGCAGCAATGGCAGATATGCGGTGACGTGGACGGGGGGCGGTTGACAGATGCGCCGGGGCGTAGTGGTGAAATTATAGTTCCAGGGTCGAACAGGCTGTGCCAAGGCGAGTCGAGCGTGCTTAGCGGGTCCAGCGACGGGGTGCAGGTGCGAGCATCCAGGCCCATGCGCTATCTCCGCCTCGATACTGTACGGGCTACATGGAGGAAAAGGGGGTCACTAAGATACCCGCGGCGTGGGCGCTCTGATTGGCGTGCATCTTTTCTTCTCTTTCGCCTCTTGCTGCAACCTGTGAGCCGCACGCTCGAATACTCGCGTGCCCCTGACGAGCGTCCTGCCACTGTGGACATTACCGGTATTGCAGGATTTGCCCGTGGATCAGGATGGACGTGAGATGTGGGACTTGATCAACAGGCACCGTCAAACCAGCGGCTCCATCTATCCCGCCCTCGTACCAATACGTGTACTTCGCCTGGAACGGAGTAGAACAGCAGAGCCTTGATTCGCCCCCAGCGTCTAGCCAGCGCTGCGGAAGAAGCAGGAGAGCCTGTAACGTCGGATATCTTTGATTCCATCCTGCAATCCGCAACCCATGTGTGCTGATAATTATGTCGATATGTACCTGTCATGCTGCTATTTTGGGAAAGGCCATCGCCGCATGAACTACGCGCGGTATAGCTGGTGCACTGTTTGAAAACCGCTGTGGCGCGCTGCAGATTCGCTGCAGATTCGGGGCGGCGGGTGGAGCGCAGCTTGCGCGTACAAAGGGAGCTCCACGGCCAGCCTGTTTCAAGTCGCTCTGGACTGCAAAGAGCTGGCGTCCATCCTCATCTGGCTCCATATCGAGCACGTCACCCGCCGTTGCCCAGCAAACGCTGTACTGTACACAGTAGAGCGACTCCCTGTGAGACGGCCGAGCGCAGCTGCAGCCCCAACGCCCGCTCCGCCCCTCCCCTGGCCGCTCATTTACCCGCATCATTTCTCATCCTCATCCGCCGCCTCCTTTCGCTCTTTTTCTCCAGCAACACCACTGTCCCACGACACTCTTCGTGCGCGCGACCACAGCCGCTGTCCGACCTCGAGTACGACACGTTTGTGAATCCGTCGTCGAGGATCCTGTGCGGCAAAGCTACCAGTCAGCTGCGCGCCAATCCGGGGCCAACTTCACCAGCGGCGCCTCCTCCGGCCACCTTCCCTCTTTTCTCGACAAACCACCTCCCTACACCACCGCGACCGCAACCCTCACCCAGTCTCTCGTTAGTCGCCCTACAAAATCACCAAAATGTCGGACGAGAAGGTCCGCTCCTCCGTCGAGGCTGCCCGCGATCCCGCCGCGCCTGTGCTGCCGACCGTCAATCCCAACCTTGAGAAGTCTCCGCAGCCAGAGGCGCCCGCCTTCCATCCCGCCGTCTACATTTCGTACGTCGAAGCCCTCTACCCTGCATTGGCGCACGCTGACCGCCTGCAGCACTTGGATAGCCCTTAGTTCAAGCGTCATCATCTTCAACAAGTGGATATTGGACACGGCCAAGTTCCGTAAGTGACAGCTGCCACGACAAGAAGCTTTGCGGGCTAACACATCTCACAGACTTCCGTACGTTATACGTATTCGATCGCTTCCACTACGAGACTGACTGTTCCCAGCTATCTTCCTGACAACATGGCATCTCCTCTTCGCGACCATCATGACGCAAATCCTCGCGCGCTTCACAACCATCCTCGACTCGCGGAAAAAGGTGCCCATGACCGGCCGTGTGTACCTGCGCGCAATCGTCCCAATCGGTGTCTTCTTCAGCTTGAGCTTGATCTGCGGTAACCAGGCATACCTGTACCTGAGCGTTGCCTTCATCCAGATGCTGAAGGTATGTGCAGGAGGGATTACTTAGGGCTGAACAAAGCATTAACGCTACACAGGCCACTACCCCCGTCGCTGTCCTCATTGCTACCTGGAGTCTCGGGGTTGCCCCGCCTAACATGAAAACCCTTGGCAATGTCTCCTTCATTGTTATTGGCGTCATCATCGCTTCTTTGGGCGAAATCAAATTCGTCATGATCGGCTTCTTGTTCCAGTGCGGCGGTATCGTCTTCGAGGCCATCCGTCTAGTCATGGTCCAGCGCCTGCTCAGCTCTGCCGAGTTCAAGATGGATCCGCTCGTCTCCCTGTACTACTATGCTCCGGCATGCGCCCTCATGAACGGCATTGTCTGCCTGTTCACCGAGTTCCCCGTCCTGACCATGGAGGACATCTGGCGCGTTGGCGGCTTCACTCTTACCGCTAATGCCTTGATCGCCTTCTTGCTCAACGTCTCGGTGGTGTTCCTGGTAAGTCCATGTCCGAGTTTCGTCGGAACCATGCCTGACCATCTATAGATTGGCAAGACCTCCTCCCTTGTCCTCACCCTCTCCGGTGTGCTCAAGGACATTCTCCTCGTCTTTGCCTCCATGCTCCTCTTCCGCGACCCCGTCTCTCTTCTCCAGGCTTTCGGTTACAGCATCGCTCTCGCCGGTCTGGTCTATTACAAGCTCGGAGGCGAGAAGATCAAGGAGTACTTGGGACAGGGCCAGATGATGTGGGGCGAATTCGGTCAAACCCGCCCTGCTGCTCGTAAGCTGCTCGTTTTCGGAGCTGTCCTGATCTCTGTGTTCCTCATGTTGGGTGCTCTTGGGCCCCGGTTTGCTCCCGACTCTACCGATCGCCTCTACAGCGGCATCGGAAGCATCATCGGCGAGAAGGGCGCGTGAGCGCTTCTAGAGCTTCTTGCCCTCTCTGTCCGCTGAATAGACTGAGTGCGACGTCACCTTCCAACTGTTGGAATATTAGTTCCACAGGGCGAGACCAGCCTCTTGCTTCACTTCTTCCCTGTTTTTCTATTCTCTTTTGACGCGGGGTTCACGGGTTATCGGTGTTGGTAACATAGACAAGCGGGTTCTTTCGACGCCCCGAGCGCCTCCACGAGAAGGCTCGGCCTGGAGTTTCTTCCTTGTCTCCAGGTCGACTCGGCGAGCGAGTATAGCATTGTAGTTCGTGTCGTTACACATTTCGGGGCAATGAAGGGAAGCCATGAAAATCGCGCATTGTGTCATAGATAGATCCCGCAGTGTCTGGCGACCTGCGACCGTATATACGCATTAGCTACATAATGGTAATGGACGTGTCAACAGCATCGAACACTTGACACCCCCGGTTCGTGATCCGGTGCATGACTTTTTTTCGCGTGGGAGAAATTCTGCCGCGGGCGGCGTCGATTGCCAAGCCGCTAAAGCCCGCTCGCCCACACGAAGTCGAAAATGCGGCACTGATACACCTCCCGTAACCTTACAGCTCGACAGCACCACCACAACCTCAATCTTCAGTCAAAATGGGGATTGATCTCGACCGGCATCATGTTCGAGACGGGCACCGCAGTACGTGTTCTCCCCCGTCGAGTCGGCGCACATTGCTGCGCCGGCGAGCTGCTGTCCTCCGGACGCAAACATGATCTCCGAGTAGTGTGCGGGAGTTGACGAGTATAACAGAGGTCCCCAAGTCTACCAACCCCTACATCAAGCTGTTGGTGCGCCTCTACAGGTTCCTTGCGCGTAAGTTCTTCTGCGGTGGGAGTGTAAAGGTTGGGGACGCTGACGATTCAACAGGCCGTACCGATGCGCCCTTCAATAAGGTCGTCCTGCGACGCCTCATGATGTCCAAGATCAACCGCCCTCGTAAGATGACCGAGTTATAATTATAGAGTGAGCAGGTTCTAATGGATGAACAGCGGTCAGCTTGTCCAAGATCGTTGCGACCGCTGCCAACAAGCACTCTGGCGAGGCGCACGCTGGCAAGACCATCGTCATCATCGGAACTATTACGGATGACAACCGTCTCTTGGGTAGGATATGAATCTGGAGGGATTTGGAATTTGTGTTAACGGGCCCAGAACTCCCCAAGCTCTCCGTTGCTGCCCTACGCTTCACCGCGTCCGCTCGTGCTCGCATCGAGAAGGCTGGAGGTGAGTGCCTCACGATTGATGAGGTGGCGACGAGGTTCCCGACCGGCTCCAACACCCTCCTCCTCCGTGGACCGAAGAACGCTCGTGAAGCCGTCAAGCACTTCGGTTTCGGCCCGCACTCCCACAAGGTACATTTCCAAGATATAGAGTATGTGGAACCAGGCATTGACAGCTATGTAGAAACCGTATGTCGCGAGCAAGGGACGCAAGTTCGAGCGCGCTCGTGGCCGCAGGAGGTCTCGTGGTTTCAAGGTCTAAGCGGTATCTTGAGGCGCAGCTGTTTCTTTGGGTCGTCGGCGTGGTCATGGTCATGGAATTCAGTCACAGAAGGCATGCATCATGTCTAGCAGGCTCTACGGGTTCAAAAAGATAATGTCCGGTTATGCAATGAAAGCATAGTATGGGCTGTGGGGTGCTCAACAGGTGATACAATGAAACTCTGGCATCGAATCTGTGTATATGTGATGCCCAACAGGGAATAGAGATCATTTTATTTTCTGTTGAAGGAAGCCGCGATTGACGAATTATGTACAGTGACGTTCGCACGTCAGTCTCCAGCCCAAATTTTTCACCCCAAAATTTCCCCCACCATCGCTCCGAAAGTCGAACCTAGCCACGCTTGAAAATATGACTTGACAACATCTTCCACTGAAAACACACCCTCAGTCTCCTTCGTATACCTCATAATGACCGATTCAAGGAAAGTGGGCGTGCTTGGCGGCGGCCAACTGGGCCGCATGCTCATTGAAGCCGCAAATCGCTTGAATATCCAGGTCAACGTCCTCGATGCAGCAGCTTCACCGGCAAAGCAAATATCAGCACACGATGATCATATTGAGGGCTCATTCAAAGATGCTGCGGCTGTCAAAAAGCTGGCGCAAAATTGCGACGTCGTCACGGTGGAGATTGAGCACGTGGACACGCACATGCTAGAAGAGGTGTCCGGAGAGGTACACGTTGAGCCCAGCTGGAAGACGCTCCGGACCATCAAGGACAAGTTTGCGCAGAAAGAGTATCTGAAAGAGCATGGCGTTGACGTCGCAGAGAGCGTGGATTTGGAGGGGAAGGGTGCTGAGGGGCTGAGAGAGGTGGGCAACACGTTCGGGTATCCGTTCATGCTTAAGAGCAAGACGGAAGCGTATGATGGCAGAGGAAACTTTGTGGTCAAGGATGAGGGAGATGCCGATGCCGCAATGAAGGCGCTGGGCAATCGGCCGCTGTATGCGGAGCGCTGGGCGGATTTCAGGATGGAGCTTGCGGTCATGGTGGTCAAGACCAAGGATGGGGTCCTTACATTCCCTACTGTCGAGACGATACACGAGGACTCTATCTGCAAGCTTACATACGCTCCGCCGAGAAACGTGTCGAAGGAGACGGCGGGGAGAGCACGGGAGCTAGCAAAGAAGGCTATCGGAGCGTTTGAGGGCAAGGGCGTCTTCGGCGTTGAGATGTTCCTTCTCAAGGACGACACCCTTTTGGTCAACGAGATCGCGCCGCGTCCGCACAATTCGGGACACTATACTATCGAAGCCTGCCCGCTATCGCAGTATGATGCACATCTACGGGCCATCCTCGACCTTCCCATCCCGGAAGCTGGCCTACGTCTTCGTGAACCAGCAATCATGCTCAACATTCTCGGCGGACAAAAGACAGATTCGCACGTACAAGTCGCAAACAAAGCTCTCGAATCGCCTAATGCGTCGATTCACCTTTACGGCAAAGGTGATGCTCGCCCAGGTCGCAAAATGGGCCACATCACGGTCACGGCTCCAACCTTGGGTGAAGCTGAGCGCGAAATCCAGCCTCTGATCGACTTCGTCGACGACCTCAAGGGTAAGCCACTCGGCCCGCGCAACGTGGCCGAGGAAGAGCCTCTCGTAGCCGTGATAATGGGCTCCGACTCCGATCTCCCTGTCGTCAAGGCCGGCCTCCAGATCCTCGAGAAACTCAAGGTCCCCTTCACGACACGCATCACCTCGGCTCATCGAACGCCCGACTGGCTCCGCGAGTTCTCAAAGTCCGCAGGTGACACCAGCATCCGCGTTATCATCGGTGCTGCAGGGGGTGCAGCTCATCTGCCCGGCATGTGCGCGTCCTGGACGCAACTCCCCGTCATCGGCCTGCCAGTAAAGGCAACGCATCTCGACGGCCAGGATAGCTTGTGGAGCATGACGCAGATGCCGAGGGGCGAACCGGTTGCTACGGTCGGTATCAATAACTCGACGAATGCGGCGCTGCTCGCTGTGAGGATCATCGGGGCTACGGATCTAGATGTCAGGGAGAGGTTGAGGGTTTGGATGGAGGGCAATGAGAAGGAGGTGCTGAGGAAGGATAGGCAGTTGTTGGAGCAGGGGTATGAGTCTTATTTGAAAAGTATGGGGAAGTAGAGATCCGGGATACGACGGTGGCAAGGTACGGTCTATGCGAGGGTTGGAAATGGCCTGGAATGAAAGCGGCTGAGCGTCTCAAAGGGGACGAATCCATCTCCGGGGCAAAGGTCAGGGCTCTGTATCCATACACTGCATGGAAAAGTATGATTTAGGTTCACATCCCAGGACTATTCCATTCCGCATCATTACTGCATTATCGTGTCGTGGTGCGCATCATCACGTCCGCCTCATCGCTCCCCATCCCCTCCGCTATCTCCTCCAATTTATTCATCTGCGTCTCTAAATATCCCTGCCTCTTGCCATTCAGCATCACCCGCGGCAAGGCCTCTCTCCATATTCCACGCCGCCCTTTCGTTCTCTTCATCATCTCCAAGCCGCTCCATCGCACGGTTGTTTGGCATCTTTTGGAGCGTCTTCAACTCCTCTCACGAGCTGAGACCTGGACACGAGGCACCATGTATCGCCAACTCTTGGTTTTAGAGAAGTGGAAGTAGGATGTGCCGTGAGGAAGAGAAGGAGGACGAAGGAGAGGGATTGATATTTATATGCAGGGAAGAAGATCGATCCTATGATACAATCGGCGCAGTTATTTCTCGGTAATGAGAAGAGCGAACGAAGAGTAGGACGCCAATTCCCTCCCGAGATCCCCATGAATTAGCGACATGTCGTATCTGCATTACCGGCCGCCAGGACACATAAAGCGCGGAAGCTATTTTTTGAAGGTGTTATGCGTTGTAGTCTCAGGAGCCAACGCCCATATGAACACTACTGTAAGAGCAATCTAGGTCATGATTCATATGGGTATTGACTTTAATAGACAATGCTCCGTCGTGCTCTGGTGCCACATGATGTCTTGGTCGTTTTCGTTCTAGAGACCCCAGAGAGCCACGAAGCCATGCATATTGTCCTCACCCGTTTTAGTAACGCTTTCGGTCAAGTGTGCAGAAGGTAGGGAGGGGGTTTATATACCAGAGAAGAGGACGACGGTATCCTCCTCCAGGAGCAGAACTCATATTAGGGGTTCTCTCGGTTTTCTTCGGTATGCGTGAGGCTCCGCAGAGGGCGTATCGCCCCATTCGGCCGGGAGCCTCTCCTCTCCTTCCGCAGAGCCCCATGGGTATCTTGGAGTCTTTGTTTTCTTGTCATTTTTTTCTCCCTCAACATGATCTGCCTTTTCCCCCGAACCGAGAGCAAGTTCCGAACTCCATGTGCAGAGCTTCGTCGTCTTTTGGTTCCTCACGCATGGCACGTAAGGTTGCGTGTTTTGAGCACATATCACATATTCTTAGTGCTGTTGTACCTTTGAAAGTTCCAAGTTCAAAGGGTCATTGGGAAGCGCGTCGAGAATTTTTAGAGGCGCGGATGGGGAATTTGTGTGGAGAATGGGAGGAGGGGAGAGGAGAGGAGGTCATGCATATCCATGCACGCGCACTTGAGAATTGGGTCTATAGAGGTGGACCGGTAAAGCTATGGCCTTCTCTGGTAGGTAAGAGATGAGGAGGAATGAGGAGTGTCTTTTAGCGCATTGGAATTGAGTCCATAGGCACTCGAGGCTTTTTCTTTTGGTGGCAGACATACAGCAGCCTGGCTTAAGGCAGAGTGGAATCGCATGGCGGAACGGACCAAGTCTTTTTGTTCCAGTCGAACAATGCACATGGAGTTCGCAACCCCCGCGTTTTAGAGCAAAGAGGACCCCGTGACTGCGCTGACAGCCGGTTTTGGTTTTTTGAGGCAAAGCTCGCGTTGGTGAACTGCCATGGACGAAGAGAGTATGAGGTATACAAACCTTCAGATAACGAACTGGAGTGATTCTCGAGATTGTAAGACCATCAAAACCGGGAAGTAATGAGGAGGTAAATTTGATTCGCCCCATCAACATGAGCCGCTGCCAACTTGCTAAGCGCATGGGTCGATGCTAGGACGCAGGAAACCCATATTGTGACTTTGCTGCACTCTTTTATTTTCCCCTATGCAATGAGGAGTGAAGTTCAATAGCCCATCCTCGGCGTTCTAAGGTGACATGCTGAGTATGTTCGATGGCTTTGGAGGAGAAGAAGGCTGCGGCGCCATGGGGCATCTGGTAGCCTGCTTTTAGTGTTCGCTTTAATGGTATGGTTGAGAAGGGAAAGAATGTTGAGTGGGTTTATATAGGCGTCGACGACCCTTTTTAGACTTAGTTTACAGAGCCATTTCCTTCAGTCCAAACATCCGCTTCTGACACTCCGGTCTGGTCTGCTCCATCCCGTCCCCTTTCTATCCGATTGTGTCGTTTTGACCCACAATGAAACAAGTCTCGACTCGGCTTAAAAGCAGCCTCTTGTGGGGGTAGAGAGGTTGGTCGATGGGGAGAGGCCTAGGGAGTGAGCCCGCTAAGGATCCATGGATCGTGGCTGCTCAGTGGTAATGCGCACTATGTCACATGCCAACCACGTCGATTGCAGAAAACAGGGATATAATACGGGCGCTACGTCCAGTCTGATGCGAGAAGGCCTACTAAGATGCTTGACCGGTTTTGCAGATGGGCTTAGCACCTTCGCTGATCGGTCACGGTGTGGCTTAGACTTTCCTACAGCCTGAGACTTAAACACTCCTTCAATCCCTCGATTAATCCTTCCCCAGAGCCTCTCCGAGAAAATATGGAACCTCCACGTCTGACACACCGTACGTACGTCGGACAAGTCCCATACTTTAACTTCGCTAAGCCTACAACAGGGCCGTATCAAGCCACGCCCGCGTATGGCAAGCCTGCCTCAAATGAGAACGGCCAGCCTCGTCAACTCGATCACGAGTACAATCGCGCATCCGGTTTCCACTACCCGCCTATCGATCTATCAACGCGGCAGATACGACTTGTTCGCGTCCTCCCCTCGGCTCTGGGATCTCCCATACGATGCGAATTCGTAATGAGCTCAATAGACAGCACAAACTATCCTTACACTGCGCTCTCGTACACCTGGGATGACGCGACAAGCGAGTATGGCATAGTCAAGATCATTCTAGACGGCCAGGATTTCTGGGTGCGAAAGAACCTGTGGTACTTTCTCCATCACACTCGATTGAAGTCAACCGCATCCCACACCCAATATTGGATTGATGCTATCTGTATCAATCAAACTCCGAGCGAGGAAGAAGACATGAACGAGAAAAATCACCAAGTGCAACTTATGGGCGAAATATATAGCGGAGCTCACATGGTGGTTGCATGGCTTGGAGAGCCTCCCGAGCGTATGATACCAAGCCTTGAGCGTATCAGTCGCCGCGGCGTCGACATGAAATGTCTCCTCGATATTAAAGACCCGTCCTCCGATTTTACAGACGTGTCCACTCGAACCGCGTACCTAGATCTCATAAGCCGCCCTTACTTCACTCGCGTTTGGGTAGTGCAAGAGATAATCTTGGCACGCAAAATCGTCTTCAAGTACGGCAGTTCTAGCTTCAACTCAATCCAAGTCTCGAACGGCCTCACCCAAATGAAACACCTCTGGGACAACTATGCCTATCCACATGGACTTCGGATAGATCGCGCCATCATGGAATTCTTGGGCCTAAAGTCTTCGAATCCGCTCGACAAAATTTATGGGTTGCTTGGTCTCCTGGACGCCGATGATATCGTCCCTGATTATGCCAAATCTCGAGTAGATTTGTACAGAGATGTCCTAAAAGCTTGTATCAGGGGCATTTGGCGCGATTGGGCTTCTCGGGCCGATGAGCTTAGCATGGTCGTATACGTAGGCTACGTTCGATTCTGTTTACTCGAATTACTTGAACTGGATGATAATGCTGTTGTGCATGCTGATAGCAGCGTCAAGGAAGAAATGGGGATTGACTGGACGGCGATCCCGCCTGACCTCTTCGCAGAAGAGCTAGGAGATCATGTTATAGATATCAATAGAGCTGAACGTCGGCATTTTCGCTCAGGCACACGCGGAATGGCGCCGCTCTGTATTTTCGTTTTAGCTGGTAGGTATCGCAGTAGCTGTACTGTGTAGGGGGTTCTGCACGCGGGGCGAGCTAGGTCTCGCGTTATACCGCACTCTCTGCTGAACAATCGTCTTCTACCGTCCTATTGAGTTAGGTTTTACGTGGGGAGCTACGTCGTAGAGAGAGGTTTGTACTATTACATAATACATGCTCTGCGAGCAACACAGTATAGGCACTATACCCAGCGCATGTATGTATACACGGTAACTTCTACGGTCCTATACGGATAGAGATGCCACTCTTGGAATGCTACAAGTGAATTGTCACTGAATCCGTGCACTACGCCGCTTCCTAGCAGCTGATAACTTCTATAGAATACTCTCTCTGGTCTCCTTCTCCTCCTCACCACCGGAGAGATCCCATCTCCGCGAGAGCAAACTCGCGCTCATTGTCAACACCGGCGAGTGACGCTATCTACATATCCAGAGTAAAGAGCCGAACTGCTTCGCCTTCGTCGAACGAGGCCGAGCTTGTTCATCCGCAAGACTCCCAACGGTCTCTCCTGAATCGCCTACTGCTTCGCACTTGCCCCAGTACGCTTGGGCACCCGCACAATACCTTCCTTTACCTCCTATACCTGAGTATACGCAACTGGGGACCTTCAGGACTGCATATCAGATCACCCAATCCGAGACTTGTTTTGCAGACCACTTACTCCACAGGCAGCCTACACACTTCCATTTCCCCCGAAACGAACTCTGGTCTCACTCCTGCGCACAGCTCCAGACATTTAATAAACCATATACCATAAATAATACATCATTCATTCAATACACATACATCCACCTCAACCCTCTTCACACTCACAGTCCTCCCGCAACGATGCCAGCGCCCCCAGGATACAGCGGCACATTCAACCGCTCCGCGAACGTGCTCTCCCTCGCCCTCGTCTCTTCCCCACCCTCATCCCCACTCCTCTCATCCTCGCTCTTCTCCTCCACCATAATCCCACTCGCCGCATCGGCACTCGACCTCCCGCTAACCGCACTGTTCGGCCTATCCCCCTCGCTCCGCGTCGGGCTCAGACTCCTCAGCCTCTCCAGCGGCGTGCGCTTCCGCAGTCTGCTAGCCGCCGTGGGATCGCCATCCGCGAGGGCTATGGGCGTCGCGAGGTGTACGAGTTCTTGGACGGCGCCTACATCGCCCTCTTTGCGCGCGGCCTCTAGGTCGGGTTCGGACGAGGCGCCGGTCGTTTGGGGCATGACGGTGATGTTGGCGAGCCAGCGGCGCACGAGGGATTGTTTCACGCGCGACCAGACGCCGAGCTCTTCGTCGCCGGGGTCGTAGCCCTTCGCTAGAATGGTGCGCTCTGCATCGAACCATTTGGTGAGTAGGCGCCACTTGACGCCCGCCCACCATCCCACGGGTATAATACCAGGCCGGGGGCCACGGCGACTCCACAGCGAAGGATGCTTGCTTGCGAGATCGTAATACAGATTCTCGTACACACCGCGGCGGAGCGGATCTTGTCGCTGAGAAGCGAGGGAATGCTTGATGCCATACCAGCCGATGATGACGACAACAAAGAGCGGAACCGTTGCGACGAACCACCATTTTATGCTGGGCTCGTTTTGGAAGGTGTCGACGTTCATGCCGAAAAAGCCGCACACAAAGGTTAGCGGGAGGAAGATGAAGGTTATCCAGCTTAGGCGCCACATGCTCAGGCCGAGCTGCAGGGAGTGCCGCGCGTCGCGGATGCCGACGGATTTGTACATTAGGTCGGAGAGGTTGGTGGTGGGCTTCACCACGCCTTCTTCGAATTGCGTGGTTAGTTTGTCCATCTCCTCTGCCGCAGAGCCTAGCCATGGCCTGTCGCCCGCTAGGTCGTCCGCGAGGTCATGAAGGTGGTTGCGCATCTCTTTTATGACGTCTGTGTGAAGGTACATGAGACGCTCCACCTTGAGCCAGAGAGATGAGTTGGTCCAGAGTTCCGGTGCTCGACTCTCGTCGGCGGGATGATCATAGATTTTATCTTCTAGAATGCCCACGTGCGTTTCGCAGATATTGATGTACTTCTCCCAATTAAAGGCTAGCGCTTTGAATATGTCTCGCAGGACTAAGTCCATGCACTCAGTGGCCAGCCTTTCGTCGTTCTTCACCTCCTCTTTCGGCAAGTAGAAGGTAAGCCGTCTCCAGCGAGCCTCGATCTCCTGCCGTGCTCCAATCAGCGTATCTTGGACCGATCCAGATTGCGAATTCTCGAAAACTATGATCGTGCTGCCGTTATCGAGCGTTTGCAGCTTCGGTATGTAATGCTCTGGTAGGTATTGCTCCTGCCCATTTGCATCGATTGACGCATACTGCCTCTTCAGCCGTTGGAACTCTTGATACTGGTCCTCATCATATGGATTGCGAATGTCCGGATCGTCGAGCTCTCCGGCCTCTCCATCGTCCAACTGGACGTACACCGACAGCCGCTGCACATACACGTCGAAGCCGTACGTCGGCTGATCCAGCGCATCGTAATGGTTTAACTCCATCATCTTCATCCCATTGGTCGAATCCTGACACTTGTGCTTCTCATAATGCCGTAGGTAGTCGAGGCCAAAGGCTGCTCTGCTGATTCCTCGCCAGGGATCTCGTGTCGCGCGGAACGTCTTCCCATTCAACACAGGCTTCCCTCCTCTTTTCTGTGGCTTCTCGTACTTCGCCCACCGCCCAAAATTTGTGCCCACCAGATCATCGGTCGCATCGATATTAAACTTTTGGAGGAAGAACTGCGTCGCCCAACTCGCGTTCTGCACATGAATGACGCGCAGCGCCGCCTGCTGTGAGAGTGCCTCGTTCTTGTAGTACCTTTTCAGGCTATCTACGTCCGAGAACTCCTGCGCTACGATCTTCCTCCTGCCCTCCCCACTGTGTTCCTTCGCAACGTAGTCTACGAGCAGGACGCGGCCTTTCTTCCAGCTGTCTTTTGTCCACTTCTCGTGCCATCCGATGTTGGGGCTGCGGTGGCGCCGGTGGCCCTTCTCCCATGTGCTCTGCCGCCGGTCGCGAAGGTACGCTCCGGTGAAGGAGTCGTTCTGTTTGGGTTTCGGGCGTTCGTCGACGGTGCTGAAGGTTTTCGATTTCTCTGTAGCATTGTCAGGAGTTTGTTTGTGGGTTCTGGAATGCGACTTACCTGGCCTAGTTGTTGGTGACGGCGAAAGCTGCGGTTCAGCTCCCGTAGCTGTGTCTTCCACCATGATCGGCGGGGGATCAGACTGCGAGCGTGTGTGAAGGAACGCCATTCCTGCGCTAGAATGCACTGTAAGTTCTCCGTGGACATTGGTAGCCCACGAGATGTCTTAAGTCTGGCCAGCAAAGGAAAGCAAACAACGACGTGGTGGCAGCAAACAGTTGAAGAAACATCGATTGGTGTCGCGCCTGTGCGCGAGGCATAGCTAAGCAAATAAGTATTACATACTGTACACTAATGAGCGGGACATGGGGCTGAATCTGGTCAATTGCGGGAAACGCATGGCGCAAGCCATTTGGGGGCCTGAAAGCTCCAGGAGGGAACGATGGGTGGAGGTGTGGAAGGGGTGTCATCTGCCACGCTCGGACCAGCACGCCGAGCCTCCCATCTCACCGGTCAGTCACCAACATTTCTTATGTCGTTGGGCGTGTCAGCGTAGGGGAATGGGTAGCACGGCAGGGCGGATGGATTAGGACTGCGGAGCATACGCCCCGTAAATGCATCCAAACAAGGGAACACGTAATTGGTGGTGAAGCACTGGACGGGGCGCAATAACGCCCCATCTAGGCAATTGCATTTTCATCAGCTTTACAGCTAACACCTCCTGTGTATTATCCAGCAAAAAGTACAGCACTGGTAGTGCCCTGTGTATCCGTCCAAAGTCCCCAAAATGCCTAGCCTTCCCAGCGAGGACTCCTCCATCCCTCGCCCTACATAGCCGACCTCCCTATGAACGAATGGTGAGAAGTGTAAAGATTAGATGCAACGTGAAATGCTAGACAGCCAGACAACAGAGAGCGGTACCAGATTTTCCTCCACGCGTGAGCGATTAGGTCTATGAGCGCGTATATGGTGGCCAATAAGCCGGGGAATCGACATGTGAGAGATATCTAAGGAAATGCGGACGTGGTCGTAAAGTCGTGTCGGGCGGATGCCACGCTTGTTCGCGCTCGAAGCGCATATTAACAGATGTATGGTAATAGATGGTTATGGTAGAATGGTATGCTCGCTGATGCTCGCAGAAATTTGCGCCTTAGCAATGCTGAACAAGCATGTCGTGGGTATCCGATTATTCGTACTGCCGGCTGAGCTTCGTGATCTCCGCATCGCTCAGCGCGGCTAGCCATAAGCATTTGCTGATGATGTTCGGTTCGGCCTTGAAATTGTACTTCGAACTAGCCTCGAGGAGGCGCAAAAGGCTTTTGACAATCATGGCAGCAGTGTGATGTCGTTCGAAATTGACCAGTCGTTCTCCATCTACGGGTGGAGCATCGATGAATGCAGGCTTTTGGGCATTGTAAATCAGATCGCGCGTGTAAATGCCTTTACTTACGTTAGTCGTTTCTCTCCTTGCTTAAAGTATGGGCACTTACCAATAAATGGGATGCAACCGTCCTCCGTGGTCGCCGTTTCCATCTCGACGCGTAAATTGTGAAAGTTACGTAGGGGCTGGACGAGTGCTTCCAACTCTCTCATGGTCTGCATCTCTGCTGCAGGGACCAAAGCCCACGTTTTCCTGAGCCGGGAGACGTCATTGGAGAGGAGAGCGATCGTGATCTGATACATTGTCGCGTAGTTCCTTAATCGGCGTGCGTGAGCTGCGATGTGGATGTATTTGACGATGCAACGGGCTCTCTCTTCAGTGCACTCGGTGAGGACGCATTCGGATACGGCCCATTTGACGACCAGATTGAATCGCGCGATGACAACATCAACACCTCTCGCTTCTTGCGTGCGGAGATACTGGACCCAGTCACGGATCTGTGGAGATGATTGCTTCCATCGAAGTTCGATAAGCTCTCTCCAATCTATCTCATCGAGAGCGTCTTTCTCGACGATCGTAAACTGTTGGGCAAGAGTCTCGGAGTCGTAAGCGAGGACGAAGGGTAGATGTGCTGGTGTCGATGGGCTTTTCTCCTTCTTGAGCTCTTGCAGCTCGATAGCAGGCTCCACTGGCTGGCTGGTCTGGCCGAACGGTTGATTGTTCAAGCGAGACGTCGGCGTAAGACCTGGAGTGGGCAAGCCCCTATCAAAGACAGTTGTATCGACATGCGGTAATGGGTCGTTCAAGCGGTTTCCGGTGAGAGGCGGTGTTGGCGGATGACGCATTGGATGCGTCGGCAACATATCCTTTTCATTCTCGTCCGTCGTTGGTTCATCGTCGAAGAAGCTTCGTACGCCGTGACTGCTATCGTCGGATCTGGTCCGCCTGGCGGATTCCATGTCGCTGAGGTCTTCGTCGTCATCAAGCAGGAATGATTCGCGAGGGATTGATGATCTTGGCATGGTACCATCTCTCGGTATCCTCTTCATACTGTCCGTTTCGATCACATATTCAATCGATGAGTTTGCGGATGTCACTTGCGCCGCCGCTTGCTCGTTCTGTCGCACAGGTGGGGTGTTGGGTTTGAGTGGCGCAGGCTTTGCAGATGATCTCATCGTCTCTAAGGTGTGCGCACGCTGTGAAGTCGTAACGTCGCTGAGACCGCGATCAAGAAGTGGGATGGAAGAATATGAATCTTCCGACTCAACAGCAGAGTTGACCGCAGGCACGCGACGATTGAAGTTCTCTCCTGAAAGGCGATACATGCCCTGACCTTCGGCTTCCGGAGGTGCGAGCGGCCTATAGAAAACGTCATCGGTTTTCGCATAACTTCGAGTCTGCGAAGAGTTGTATTCGGATGGAATCCAAGATGGGTTGGAGGATGCGATAGGTGCTCCGATAGGTGAGTACACCTCCGGTTCGAGAGTCACCCGCGGAGAAGGGTCGGGGTCTGTTTTGGATAGATCAGGGGACTTCTTTTCATATCGCCCCTCTAGCTTCATCAGGGCGGACTCAATACCTCCGTCGTCGTCGGTGTCATCTGGCAGCGCAGCAAGCTTAGCCACCTCGACTTCGAACGAAGGCCTCAGGTTGGGCTGAGAAGAGTGCGTATCCACTAAAGAAATGGGTTTCTTGCTCCGCGCGTCCTCCTCGCTCTTCTCTTCACCGGCAGGATTGTCGGCTTCTTTCGATGGCTCCACATATCGATCGGCGTGTAGGATGACCGAGTTGGCGATTGAATGTGTACGATTGGAGACAGATCCGGTAGAGTGTGGACGCTGCATGTACTCCAGGTCGTGAACATTATCGACAGCACGAAGATCGCCCCCTGGGCGTCGACGCAGCTGACGGGCGGGGCCGGGAGCTGAAGTCGGATGTCTATCCAGGAAAAATGGATCATTATCGGACGACATGGTTTGGAAGGTCGCGAAACTTGTGCCTCCCTGGTGTCTGCTGAGCCCGCTATTATAGGATGCATGGCGTCTCAGGGACCCCGAACGAGACATTGACACCTTTGTCGAGCCGCGGCGCCGGAACGAATGCATTTGTTCCCGCTCTCGGCCTTCAGACAGTGATCTCCTTTGGGTGGCAATTGAGCGTTGAACGGAACGGTGTGAAGTCCTTCCCCAGTCCAGAGAAGGCTCTGGCTCAGGCTCAGGCTCAGGCTCAGGATCGTCATATAGATCAGAATGTCGAGTAGCCGGCACCTTCTCTTCAGCTAGTCTTGCATCGATAGAGGTACTCTTCGGCACAGGATCTATCTGCGGGTTATTGAGATCACGCTCCTGTTCAGGGCTCGGTAGAGCGCCTGACATCAATGGGAGTGGCGGGGCGCCCGTATCATCCATGATCACAATCGACTGACTGCTAGCGGTGATGCCACTATGGAACCGGAAGTCTGCATCATCGAACGTCTTTCTTTGTTCTTCGTTGGCGGCTGAATTGTGCTTCTCAAAATCGAACTCAAACTCTCCGAGGCTAGGCATTGCACTATGGTGGTGCTGCTCGTTTTTAAATTGCTCTTTGACGGCCTCTCTGTAGCTGTCCGCGACCTTCGATGCCAGAATGTCGATTCGCACTTGGGGTCGCGGCCGAGCATATCGCCGCTTGTGTACGCCCCCGGACACTGTTGAGATGGTGGCAGGGTTGGATGACCGAGTAGACGGCACCGCGTGGTGATGGTGCGCAGCGCTAGGAAGATGTGGAGTGGAAGCAGATGGTTGTTTGCTGCTTAATGCGCGACGCACGCTGCCAAAGAGCTTTTTCATCCCTGGGTTAGTCCCATATTGTCCTCTGACCTGGTCCTGACCGGACGCGTCCACAGATGCCAGCTCTAGGTGCGATCTTGTATGCCGCAGGCCACCATTCTTAAAGTCGATATACGGTGAGCTGGGCTGGAAGAGCGCTCCCCGCACCAGACTCCCCGGCATTTTCGATATCGCCGAGATGGCAGCGTCCGATGGCGCGTTCTTTGGGAGAGACAAAGGCGCCCTATTGTCCCTCAAAGCATCGGAGAAACTTCCGCTCCGTTTATGAGCGTGAGATGGTCGATTCGGTTTCTTGATTGACGTGGGTTGCTGTGGGCTTGCAGCAAAACGCTGAGGCCCAGCAGGCACCGGATGCGGCACAGGGTGTGGATACAGGGGCATATCGTGAGCTTGCTCTGCTCTGTTCAGACTCCGCATCGGAATGGAACAAGACAAGACGGGCATACTGTTCTCGCTCGCTGGCGACAGGGGCACCTGAATGCCCTCATATTCCTGAGAGGGTATATAAGGCGAGCTCATTGAATTCTGAGGTGTATGGCGGACCTTCTGGGCCCAGTCCATATGTTTGCTGGCGAATTGATCGCTCGGGTTTGATCCAATGGTATCCACTTTGGCACTACGGGCAGTCTGGCGTGGTGGCGTCGCGGGTACCGGCAGCTGCTGAGCAGCATCGTCGAGAGAGGCCTGCGATTCGACCTGTCCACCGGGGAGCAGCTCTTCATCCGTTGAATCTTTCCCAAAACCTTCTTCTGTATCCCAGTATAAGGCGCACGTACGTCGCCAGCACTTTTTCAACTCCCCAACGATCTTGATATCTCCTCCCCCGCTATCTTCACGAGCTCTGAGGTCCTTATGGAGGCTGTTGACAAGCTCGCAGAAGTACACGCGCAGCCGATACACGGGCACAAAATCGTCCACGAAGTAGTTCAATATCCAGTGTCGAAGAGCCACAAATGTGCGCACGCGTACAATACGCCCAAAGTCATCTTGTCTGTTGACCGCCCACCGTAGACGAGAGATGAGATATGCCACTAGGTCTCGACTGGAGAGGAATGAACGAAAGGTAAGGAAGAAGTCTGACAGCAGCTCATAGTCCAGGAAACTGGGCGATGTTATGTGGGCAACGAGGCGCGACGGGGTGGCCGCGAGGATATCTCCAGAGGATGAGAAGCGGACAACAGCCCGATCATCCGGATTAGCAGTAAGCGCGTCATAAATCTGTGGCCCAATTGGTAGTTTGGATACGCGGGCAGAAGAGGGCGCGCTGGGCGGCTGGAGGGGGCCGCGATCCATGGTGGTGCGGAAGTTGAGCGAGATAGGCGAGTAGACGTCGGAACGGGGTCGGGACGAGAGGAATGAGTGGGTCGCGCGCTGCGGAGTTAGGAAGGACGACCTGAAATCCTCGGTGCCCGACGCGCGAGTGTACACGGAGCTGCGCAGAATGGCAGTGCCGCGGTCGCTGAAACGGGGTGTGCCCAAGCGGTAGTGGGGAATGGGCACTTCGAGGATGGGGAAGGATCCGGTGTCGGCCGTCTTGGGGCGTCCGAATGGCGGTCTCTCAATCACCACCTTGAACGTCCCCGGCTCCACGCTATGCGAGGACGCGGTGTGCTCGTCGGCGGTCGAGAAGGAGCGCGAGCGAATGTGCGCAGCTGGCCGAGGCGGCGAGTCAGAAGTCGGCGGCCGCTGCAAACCGATACCATCGTCCGTCTTCACTTCCTCCGGCACAGCGCGCGCAATCTCGGTCCGGGTGGGTGTCCTCGAGCCGTACAAGCTCTGTTCCCAGTCATTGCTCGGCGGTCGCAGTGTGCTCGAGTCGAGCGTGGCGCTGTCCGGCGGAGTCTGGGGGAAGACGAAGGGATCTGGCGAGGGCCGAGTGCGCTGGTTGCCGGGGCGGACGACGGGTCTGGATGAGGGTCAGCAAATGTATCATGTATATCGTGTATGTATGCTTCAGCGGGAGAGGCCTGAGGGGCGCTCCTTCCATCTGCGACGCCTGCTCTTGCCCAATGGTTCTCTGCCCGACAGCCTCTGTTGTTCCTCCTCTCCCGCCTCGCCCACAGCGAAAACACGCGGCGTCAGCACGTACCTGAGGTAGATGATGCCGTTGTTGATGTTCGCGACGGTGAACGAGCGGCCGGCGGTGGTGCTCGTCGTCGAGGACTCGACGGTCGCGTTGCTGACCCCCCGCGATCGGTTTGCCCGCAGCTGTTCCTTGGAGTCCTTCACGCGGCGCAGCGACTGGCGGCGGGCTCCTGCTGGTCGTCGAGCGTCTTCGGGGCGTCGCTTTGGCGTGTGGGCTCGTCGTGTTGCGGCTAGCACTTCTCGCTGCGTTGGATCTGACGAAAACCCCAGGGAGCCTGGGTTCTGCTGCAACGCGGGCAAGGCCATCCTGCCGCATCCATCATCCGACGCGCGCGAACACGGTTACAGAGGCATCAGCGGAGCCGTTGGCGGGGCGTGACCTGAAGAGATGTGCAGCGTGCAGACATCGTTAATATGGGACTGGACTGGCGGAGAGTGGGAGACGGCGACGGATGAAGTCGAGCAGGCCAGTCCTCATCGACCAGCCAGCGCCTTCCAGCCCAGGAAGACGCAATTGAGCCAGTCAGCGGCCCCTTTGGGCAGAGAGGCGCGCGCCGAGCACCGATAAACAGGCATAAAGCAACGGCGGCACCCCGGCCCATGCAGGCGAGCCACCCAGCGCAGCCTTTAGCCCTCAGCGTCACGGGATCCGCTGCCCGGCCTCGTCCAGGCGCGGGTCCTGCCATGTGCAGTTCGCAGCCTGCCGGCGAGTTTAGGCACGCCGTGTTCGCAGCTGCTGATGCGCTGGCAGAGCTCTGCTGCAGTGCCTTCTGCTCTCTGCCGGCTGGCGGTCGAAGAGCCGGTTGCACAGTCGCCCGTGCCGCAGCCACAGCCCAGAGGGAGATGGGAGGACGGGCTGAGATCCTCTCTGGACCGTCATCGAACAAAAGCAGCTACAACTGTTAGCTGCAGCTTCACAGCAACGGCACTGCGCCGACGGGACGGCTCCACTAGCCCATCGACACCTAGACGTCCTCGGTTGCCACGAGGTGCCAACCCTTCAACCATCCGGCGACATTGGCGTGCGCGGTTTCAAGAAAAATAAACAATAAACAACAACACCAGTCACGCTCGCATTTTGCGCGCAAAGCATTGCTAATCACGACCTCTACGTCGATGCTGCGCACTGGATCACAGCACGACAGCATGACGGCGCATACCCGGCCACCCAAAAGCAACGTCCGCCGCCTCACCATTGCGAAAAAGGAACACCCCGCTCGCAAAGTACTATATCCCGAAAAGTATCGACGGGGACCAGGTGTTGAAAAGCCGTTGGCAAAGCAAAACTGCCGGCTGGCCATGCATTACCGTACCATTAGTCGCGCAGTAGCAAGGGCAGGGCCGGTTGTAATGGGTTTCCCTATTATCACGCCGCCGTCTCTTCGCCAACAGAGTTGTCACGCTCGGAGCATGCTGCGTACAGACACATGCAGCCCCGAATATGGAGTTTTATTTCCTTCGGCGGGTGAGATGCTCACGGACCAGCGCGAGCTACTGCACGACATGACCGATTCGACAGGCCATGAGTAAGTAGTCGCCGATCCCTCGACCTCGAGTATCTTTCCTCTCTGGGTAGTGAAACCTGAGGCTTCATGCGCAACTACCCAACGCCCGACAACCCAGCGAATACCGAATCCCGCTCGAGACGCGAGGTCGACGTCGCCGGAGATCCCAGATTAAAGTTTGCTGCAGCATGAAGAGCAATCTGCGCCGTCTAGTCCCCGACATCTATAGCACCCGGCCTCAACTGTATTGCCTGTGGCAGTCCCTTTCATCTCCACAAACCACACCGGTAGGCGGCGTACCGGCGGACCGCGCATGAGATCTTCTAGAAGGCAGGACCCTTATTCTAGGTCCCGCAAAATATACCACAGGGCTATAATAATAGAGCCTGCTACCTGGACTAGAAACTCTATTGCGGTACTATATGCCCCCTGACTATTATAAGGGCTGAGCTATCCAGATGCTGGACCAAGATTCATCGAACCTCCAAAATATGCTAAATGTCTAGTAAGGGTATGCGCGATACTCATCCTCTTTCGACAGATCCAAACCATTCGCGACCTGCTCCTCGTGCTTCTTATCCAGATACTCGAGAAGCACCTCCTGATACCGCTCCTTTCCCTTGTACTTGCTCACATCATCGCCCCAGCTCCGCACTGCACTCGCCAGTCGCCCAGGTACATACGGCTCTGCGCAGATGTCCGTAATAGGATGGAAGTATGTCCGGATGGTAAAGACGACACCACCAGAGCGCGGCAGCCTAGTATGAGTCAGCGACTTCCTAAGAGATGAAAAGGGGGTTAAAGGGACATACCGACGCAAACTCTGCCTCTCACTCCTAAACCAATGATTCTCAATCGCCTTGTTCTTCTCCGCCGTAAACCAGCCAATCCCCTCGCTATCCTCGCTCCCAATACTATTACTCCACGCCAAATTGTCATCCACCTGGATGAAGTAATTATTCCGCAACACCGGATTTCCCGGCTGCACGCGCCGGAAGAAATTCATCATACCCTTCTCCAGCTTCTCCTTGAACTGCGGCACGTCGCCGCTGGTGTGGATCTCGGACAGCGGCATCCCGAATTTGTCTTCTAGACGCCAGAAGCCCGCGAGGAGGATGGAGCCAGCCAGGAGATAGTACTGTCCGTCGGCCTTCTCGAACATGATGGCAAGATCGTCTTGTACGAAGCGCGCGGCCATCTGCATGGGGTCTTCCTTGAGCGGCCTCTCTACGATGTTAAAGCTCTCCCCCGTAACCACGTTATCCATACCAACCGCCGTCTTCCGATACAGACTCGGATACCGTTGCGGAAGATAGTCACAAAGCTCTTCGACCAGCTCGACCGCGCCGTCGAACGCCTCGGGCGCTGTGTAGCTGCACTTCTTCCCGCGCTCAATAATGCGCTGAGCCTTCAGGTCGTGGAACTTCATGTAGTGGTTGTCGAGCTCGATCCACTCGTCCCAGTGCATAGTGCGCAGGCCCATGGTTACGTTGTACTTGGGGCCGTAGCGGAAGGGGCGGTAGGGCAGCGGCTTGGTGTCTGTGACGGACCAGTCCGGGTAGGGGGCTGCAGCGGGGCGCTTGAAGTCTTGGGGAATCCATACTGGGTATTGTCAATAATCTGCGCAGGTATGGCGGGGGCTGCTGCCTTGGAGAGTGTGGTACCTCCTGGTTCCCGCGTTGGAGCCTTGAACGGGGAGCGCTTCTCTAGATCGGGCGTGCTAGGGCGCGAGACGGGGACTTTGCGGGAGCGCAGCCGGCGTGTAACTATCGATGCGACCCAGGCCAGTGTAGCAACGAGAAGCACGCCATATAGCAGGTGCTTAGGATCGATATCCGCATTCTTCAGCGTTGTATTGAGTTTCGCATGTGCAGCGTTGCAGCTATGTCGCACCCAATGCTTCGCGTCTTCCGCCTGCTGCTCAGCTCGCCGCCTGAGATCGGACATGATGTGTATAATTCGGATTGGGGATCGCAGCTCTGCCGTGGTGACGATAAACACAGTCTTTACCGCGCAGACCTATCATTAGGCGGGTGCAGAGAAGTACTTGAAGTGCGCAATCGCACGGAAGAAAAAGGGTTTGGACCGAGATTGGAGAGGAAGAAAGGAGAAATACGAATTGCCATTGTGCGTGTCCATACCTGTTTCTATACGAAGAGTCCCGATGCCGATATGCAGCCAGACGATGGCGATAACGTTCGCAATCCCGCTCTGTGTGGGGTTCGCGAACGCAAGCAAGCGTTGTCGTCAATCCCAAGCCCGGGATATGATTGCCGAAATAAGTTTAGCCTGTGTTTGCCATCTTCATCCCAACCCAGACGTCCTCTAAAAGTACACCGGTACATCGGTGTGTAATTCGATGCAGGCGTGTTAACCGCGCGACCAAACCCCCGAGGAATCCAGCCAGAGGAGCCGGAACGGGCCCCGAATTTGCAGTTTCGGGCCTATTTCGAAAGGGGAATATTGGTACGACGAAGTTGTCAGGTCACCGTCTGCTCATTGATCATGCATATGGCAATAACAGTTACGCTGGCGGCTGCTCACTTTTTCCGCTTTGGTCTCTGCGACGCAGAAGGCAGTATTCGCCCCACTTGCGCCGGAAGCGCGGCGGAATGAAGGGCCAATCCGGAACCCAGAGCAGACGGCCAAGCGTGGAAGTGCGGCCTGCGTCCAAGAAGGGCTTGCAGGTCATCTTTTCCCAGGTCTCTGTGTCGGAGATGTAGTTGGGTTCGAGGGAGGTGGATGGCACACTTGGGAGATGGGAGTCTACGAGGAATTTGCAATGCTCGAGGTCGATCTGTGGATGGGTTAGCGGTTGTGAAGGTAGGGTGTGCTTGAGCGAGACTTACATATTTCCCCGGATCCTCTTTGTTCTCATCATTCATTCCGGATGGCATCAGCCATGTGCCGGGGAAGAATCCGAACCCGACATTTGCCTCGCTGAATTCACCAGGAAGGAGGCCTGAGAATTCGCTTTTGATGAACTTGGCTCGTACCTGATCCGGAAGGAAGTAGGAAGACGGGAAGCGGTACCATTCCTTGCCCAGGCAGACATGGTCACCAGGCTTCGTAGCGCCCTCCTTATTCAGTGGCTTATATACACTGAGAGGTGCAGAGTAGGCTGTCATGACCCCGATCGTCCGGAGCGCACCCAGGTCGAAGGACCCGAGGACGAAGAGGCTGACTACCGCGAGCTTCAATTTTGGAGGTATCTTGCTGACAAGATCCCGCGGGTCCGCGGAACCGAAGTTTGCCAGCAACACGTGCAATGACATCGCCGCGTTTAAAGCCAAAGCAGGATATGCTGGGTACATAAACCTTTCCTCCTTGTGAGACTGAAGCGTGAAAATCCCGAGCCACAAGTAGAACGGACTGACGAAGACAACGCCGCGGAGGAGTGTCTGTTTAGAGATCGACTTTTGACGAATAACATGCTGAAACAGGAGTAATGGAAGAGCGGCCATAGCCAGGAAGAACCAGACGTTGAAGTTCAAGGCCAGATTACGGATGTAGAAGTGCCACGGCTCCACTCCGTAGATGTTAGGACCTTTGCTGCCGCCGCTGAAGACATTGTAGAGGACGATATTGAGCGGGACGCAAACGAGCTTCTTGTAGAAGAACGTATCGATACCCATCTGGACTACCTAAAAGAGATGAGCATGGCTATCGTGTGAGCATGGGGAAGGCATACCAAGAGAACCAACGACCTCACAGCCCCAGTGAGTAATCTCCAAAAGCCCTCATAGAGTTCGCCGGTGACGGTCGCCAGCAGAACTTCTTCTAGTACGAAAGGAACCACAAGAGCGCCGGCGAAGGGCCATCCAAGCAAAGCCCCAAGGGCGAACCAGAAGATGCCCTGGGCCGTTCTGATGCCGCCTCGCCAATCCATGAATGCAGAGAAGCCAAGCATAGTCGTGTACATGGTAAAGCTGGAAGGCAGATATGCCGCCGACGCGTGATACATACCCGGACTAAAGATCATGACCATGAGGAAGAATATAGCCACTCGCGGATTCATGGTCCTGGATATTGTGGAGTACAGTCGTGTCTCGCATAGGGAGCAGACGAGGGCTAGGACTAGGCGGAGGAAGTAGAATCCAGCCATATTGTTCCTGAGGAGGAGATGCCCCAGCCAGATGATTGCTGCGTGTACTCCAGTGTATGTCCAACTCCGAATCGCATACTCTGGGGAATACTCCCAGGTCTGCAGGCCGTATCCACGATTCAGGTAATGTGTGGGCTCCCAGTAATTGAACACTTCATCGCAGTCTTGTATAGGAGAGAACAATGCAGCGAGGATATTGGCAGCGAAGAATACATAGAACGCAACGATCGGCTCGAGTTGAGGAGGCTTTGGCTCTTGAGCAACCGGCTTCCTGCGGATCGTTAGTTCCAGAAGAACTGAGCACCAATTTGATCTTACCTGACAACTCTCTGTGATGATGGCTGAGCTACAGCACGCGATTTGGGTGGCATTTTGTGCGAGAGGAATGGATAAACGTGGAGTTTACTATCCAGCCATGAAATGAACAGGTGGAGAAATCCGCGACGACTTTGAAGTCTAGAGGTCTATGCTGAACATCTTCGAGGGAAAGAAGGAGAGATGCAGCTTCATCTCAGAGGGAAGGGACCGCGGGGAGCATCCATGCCGCTAGCTACGTCGAAGGTCGAGGTGGAGGACGTGAGTGAATGCCAAGGCATAGGGCTGAGGCTTGCTCGCCAAGGCGCTAAGCTGCAAGCTTCGAGCGTCGCATTATTGGAAAAGCGCCTTCCTCGACTTTCTCCTTGCAAGACGCACCACCAACTGCACCACTGGCGAGACTGGTGCAGGCTGCAGAAGACCTCACGCATATTATCAGCGCGTCACACAAGCTGCGAGGAGAGAGGATAACATGGCGGACATCACCGAGCCACCCGCCAAAAAGGCGCGGCTCGATGTCGACGCAGAGCATGGTGTTTCGAGTCTCGACGCGCCGAGCTCGCCGGTCGATGACCTGGACGACGACTTCTACGGCACGGCCACCGTTAGCCCCACGTCGGCTGGCGTACATACTGGGGAGACATCACATACTGCCGCCGCTGTAGCTCCTAAGCCAGCGAGCCAGTCGTCGCACATCCCTGGCCTCGGCCTCTGGGGCGCGCCGCCCGCTCCGCAGGCCTCTGCGCAGAATGTCCCGTTTCATCGCGGGAGCGACGAGGGACCCGAGGAGGGCGAACTCTCAGACTCAGACAGCTTCTACGGTGACGTTAAAGCCGTCGATGCCGTGACCACCAATACTCAAGGTGAAGTCAGGGCGCCACAGCAGAGTAAGCCAACTCAACCTGGCCATCACGTTGCATTCTTACTCTCGTCAGACGGTGGCGATGCCTCTGCTACCGCTACCCTCGATGTCGAGACCGCGCAGTCACCAAAGACCTTGGGAGCGTCCAGCCCAACCGCGTCCGCACCTGCGGATATCGTAGCCACGGCTCCAATCGCGGCTGAGAGCTCGGGACTTGCAGATGATGGCAAAGCCGAGTTCCTCCAGGCCGCTGAAGCGAACAAGAAAAACGCGGATGCAGAGTGGCAGCTGGATTCTGAGCAGTCGGATTCAGATTCGTCTTCCGATTCGTCCAGCGACGACTCTAGCTCGGACGATGAGGAAGCATCGGAAGATGGCGAGCTGCTCGACCCCGAGGAAATGGTGCGCCGGTTGATGGCAGAAGACAAAGACGACTCGGGCCCTTCTACGAAAGCGAAAGTCCGAACACACAACGAGGTCGCCGAGGAGTACAAAAAGCCTAACATAGAGGTCAAGGAAGACACAAAGATCACGGAGCTTGGGAAGGTTGAGTCGATTGTCGACAATCTGGTCGTGATCAAGGCCAATACATCTGGAGACTACCAAGTCCTGGAATCCGGCTCTGCGCTGTGCCTGGAAAACCGCACGGTTATAGGCCAGGTTTCCGAAACCATTGGCCGTGTCCAAGAGCCACGCTACTCAGTAGGTTTTGCTGATCCGGCAGAGATTACGACCTTAGGTATCGCCAAAGATACGCCCGTCTACTACGTCAACGAGCATTCGACGTTTGTCTTTACTGAGCCCTTGAAGGCACAAAAATACACAGATGCATCTAACCTACACGATGAAGAGACCGGCGAGCCAGAGTTTTCCGACGACGAGAAGGAGGCGGAGTACAAGAGGCAGCAGAAGGAGATGAAGAAAGCCAGGAACCAAACTAACTACGAGCCTCGTGAGAGTGGTCGACCTTCGATGCACCCCGATGCACACCCGCCTGCTATGCCGACCTACTATCAGGGTGGTGCTCTCAATTATAGCGACGACGATGACGAAGATCTCGGAATGTACAAACCGCTTACTCGCCCAGAGCATTTCGAGAACGTGGTCGGTGCAGGTGCTCCGATCGAAGATCGCAGCCATGTGCGAAGGGGCATGATGCGTGGGGGCAGAGGGGGCAGAGGAGGCTGGATAGACCGCGGCAGGGGATTCCGTGGCAGAGGTGGAAGAGGTGGACGAGGCGGCATGGGTGGAAACGGGTTTCGGGATGATAGGAGCGGTGACTTCTATAAGCAGCCTCACGCTCCCGCAAGGCATCAAGAGCAGAACCGGCCGAGAAACGGTCCACCCCAAGATCACCGTAACAGGTCTGCAGCATCCGCATCTCCAGCCCGTCAAGACCACGGACGCCCTCCACCCCAGCACTCTCCCCCGCGTGGCAAAAACAAGCGCAAGCGGAATCGCCATACTTCGCCACAGCAGCCAACGCAAACGCCGGCAGCTGCAAATGCGAACGCATACGCAAGCAACAATGCTCAGAGTAGCGCAGGGTATTCAGCTCCGTACTCAGCACCAGCGCCGCCCACATATACCCAAGCGCCTGTAAATCCACCGGCATTCCCGCCTACTGCCTACGTCAATCCTGCCTTTTACCCACAGCAGGCTCAAGCACCAGCACCAGCACAGAATCCGCAGCAGCAGCAGCTGGCGATGGCCCAGTGGCTTCAAATGGCGGCAGCAGCCATGCAAACTCAGAACCAGCCGCAACAGCAGCCCCAACCACAGCCTCAGGCCCAGTATGCGTATCCGTACCCATATCAGCAGAACGCAGGTCCGAGTGCTACCAATGCACAGCAGAACAATGGTCAGGCTGCGAACCTGTCATTGCAGGATATTATGCGAGCACTGGGCCGTGGCTCAGGCGCTTGAGGAGAACTTTCTTACTCTGTATCTTAATCCGAGTTGTTTACGAGGTTTCGGGAGCACAGCGTTCGATATCTTACACAGGGGAATATTTCTCCCTGTACCTGGGGACCTCGTTTCCCTGCCTCTTCTTCCTGCCTTCAGTATTGGATGATGTTCGACGCCAAGTCGGCGCTGAGCCGAAGCTGCGTGTCACCACACCTAAGCTATTTTTGCTTGGATGTGTGGAGCGTTAGATGTCCGGGATTCAACAGATGTACTACCTCGTGTATTCGTATGTGTCCTTGCCAGGGACGGAAAGTACGAACAGCTGTCCAGCCGCGTGCGGTACTTATGACTAGATATCCGAATCGGCAAGAATGAAGATGCAAACCGCTCATGCTCATGGTATCGTGGTATGTGAGTGGCTGATTCTAATGCTCAAACACTTGTCCTCGGCAGATTTGGAAGTGCGAGTAATGGCCGCAGCAACGCAGCCTTCATACCATGGGAATCACGGTTCCAGACTCGTCAAGATGGTCAGCAGCGGGCTTCAACTGGACTTGGCTGTGGCCTGTTTCGGCGCTGCAGCAGCACGCAAAACACGCCGCCTCCTGCGCTGCGACTTGCTATCAACAGAGGACGGGAAACGCGACCAACAGGCACCCTAGACGCAAAGTGCACGAGAATATGCACTCCAGAGAGCAGGCCCGCCGCAGCACACATGTTGGAGATGGGTTCTCTGGATGACGGGTCAGGGGGTCGAGAGAGAATGATGGAATACAGGCTTTCTTTTTCCCCCAAGTGTCGTCATCTGGCTTGCTCGGGGATGGATAAATGGATGGAAGGGTGGAGCTTGGGCGGGCCAGCCAGCGGGAGCGCCACGCGCCATTGTGGCTTCGAGCGGGGATGGCGATGGCGCGCCCTCAAAGCTGGTGGATAGAGGCGGCCGGCGGCCACAGAAGAGGGCCGTGGAGTGATGAAGGCGCCGTGACTGACGCAGCTGCTTCCGGCAGCAATCGGTGGATGAGTGACGCTCGGCGGGCAGCGTCAGAGACAATCGCGGGCCTTTCTTCTGTCGTGCTGTTCTAGGCTTCAAGCCGAGCGTGGCTGCTGGGGGCGGGCCCGGCGTGCGAGCTAGTGGCGGGATCAGGCCCGGATGCTCACTCCTTCGTGGTGGAGCCGTCTTCAACTCCTCATCCACGAACACCACCCCCTCCGCATCCCTACTGCCTGCCCGCGACCGCCGTGCACGCGTGCTGTGCATCTGCCCGCTGAACGCGCCCGCCCGCCGCGCCGCCCATGTGCACCCGCCCGCCGGCCCAGCCTCGATGAAGCAGCCGTCCTAGCCCTCTCCTGCGGCAGCAGCCCTCGAAACCCGCCCGCCGTCCGCGCCCGCAACAGTCTCCCGCGGCGCATCGCGACCCCGCAGCGCAGTCGCTGAGTGACAATGGCGAGGAATGAGAACGTCGGCCGCCATGGATCCACCGAGAGCTCCGCGAGCTGGCGGTCCGTCCGGTCCAATGACACCGTGCGGCCTTTTGGGCGAGCTTCTCGCGGCACGCCCGTGACGGTGCAGACCCCCAAGGACCACAACAACCACCAGTATGTAGCCTCTCGGACGCTTTGGTGCATTTGCCTCGTCGCACATTGGACGACTTCTCTGGGTGGTGGCCGAGCGGCGCGCGCTGTGCGCCTCGAGAGCTGCGCCGAAGCCCGCTCAGCTCTCTATGTGGTGGTGTCGCAGAGCTCCGACGAAGCTTGCCCGCCAATGACCCACAACGCTGCCGCCCCTGCTGCTGATTCCCAGACAATGTTTCTTCCGTCGTCTCGGTCTGCGGTTCAAGACGACGTAAAACGCGGGCCTAGACAATGCGCCAGCCTCGCGTCTACGCCGGTCTCACCGCGAGAGATGCATCCGCTCCCTGTGCTTGAGTCAGCTAACGTCGCCGTGTAGGATTGAAAAGGAGTCGGAGATCTCTCCCGGCACTCTCCCGCCAGCTCCTCCGCCAAAAGACCCCGGCCACAAACCCCGGAAAAATTCCGGCTGGGACGGTTCGCAGACGAACGACTTCAGGGACTATCGGAAACAGCTGGCTGTGCTCGAGACTTCTGGGGGCAGAATACCGTCGATATCGCGCAATCCTCCGACCGCCACTTCGCCGATAACGCCGTGGGCCGCCTCGGGGACCAATGGTTCTTCGATGGCCGCCAGCGTATGGGGCAGTTTCTTCAACGACTCCAATGAGGACATTGCGCAACTATCACCCGGACTCGGGCGTCCCGGAAGCGGCAACGATGCCATGGGATATCCGGGAGACGACCGGCGGCCATCAGTCGCAAGCGCAACCACCGTTAGCAGCACTGGCTCCAAGTCCAGCGTCAGTAGAGGAGGATTCCACAAGAGACTGCAAAACGTCTTTGGCGAGGAGTTCCCCGCAGATTCACGTCAGGGCTCCGATACCAGCTTGACGACTCCGTATGCGGCGGCGGCGGCGGAGACTCAGTCATTGCGCGGGGCGGGAAACCGAAATCGCACCAATTCGGTCAACAATACGTTAGGCAGTAGCCTCAACAGCAGGCCCGGGTCACCTATTGGATCGCGGCCCCGCACGCCTCTTCCCTCCTCAGAGGTAACGCCATGGGAGTTCCAGGATTTCAAGGTGAGTGTAGAGCGCGTCATGGGAAGGAGTGGGGGACCCTGTGTGGGGAAAGAGCGTCTTCTTGCTCATCCACCGCCCTTTCTTCACTGCACTTGAATTGGCGGCACCTGCGTCCGCGACGCGAGAACGGTAACTGACATTCACCAACAGGAAATACCTTTCCAAGGTGAAAATGGCCGACCGTCTTCCGAGCAGCATTCGAACAAGTCGGGCAAGAGCTCGCATCACCACCACAAACTGAAGCTGCCCGGCCATCGGCATAATCGCAGCAAAGAGGACAACAAACCACTCGAAGGTCGCGCCGAAATCAGCCAGCCCTATCCGTTACGTCCAGTTACAAGTCGAGAGGATTCTTCATACAGTATCCGTCGAGACCAGCAGTATCCTTCCGCGCTAAGTTCTGCTTTTGGCTCGAAGTCCACCCTTGTTCCTCGCCCATCGAGCCCGACCCCGAGCGCATTCAGCGAGATGTCTCGGGACCCTTCGACGCAGAGATCACCCAGTACCACCAAGGGCCCAGGCGGACTTTTTGCCCGCTTGAAGAATAGAAGGGACAAGACCGACCGCTCTACGCCGGATGCTTTGAGCAATCTCCCACCTTCCACCGTCTCCTTACAGCCATCTATCAAGTCGGCTAAGCTTCCTCGAGGAGAACCTTCTCCTGGTACTTTTGGTTCTAAGAAGAAGGGTGGAGCGGATGGAACCAAGGACAAGTCATCCAAAGAGGGCAAAAGAGAGCATGGACGGGGACTCCTCAAGGGCTCCAAGCGCGCCGCCGCTTACGAGGAGCCACGTCGAAAGGATCCGAACGAAGTGGGTGTTGGCTTGCACGGGGATGAAGCACTCTTCAGTCTCGACACGGATTTGGAACATATGGAGGGTATAGTCAACCCGCTGCATCCACCCATGACCCCGCCTACGGGCGATATACCTACCACCACTTGGGGCCCTGAAGAGCGGAGGACGGACTCAAAAGATGACGGCGCCATGTGGGACGCTCCTGATTCCTGGGCTGTGAAGCCGCTTGGGGACGAGGGGGGCGTACCTCAACATGGGGAATACGAGGATAGCGGTGTCACTCCCAAGGAGGACGATAATCGGACATATTGCGTCCGTATTTTCCGGGTCGACTCTACTTTCGCGACGCTATCTGCGACACTTAACACCAGTGTCTCTGAGATCATCCAAATCCTAGGAAAGAAAACTCTGCTACAAGATGATCTCGACAACTACCACATTGTGATGCGAAAGCACGATACCTCGCGGCAACTCGACACTCTCGAACGCCCCCTGCTCATACAGAAGCGACTGCTGGAACAAGCTGGTTACACGGATGCTGATCGGCTCGAAGAAGTCGGACGAGAAGACAACAGTTATCTCTGCAGGTTCACGTTCATCCCGGCCAAGATGAGCGGATATTCCAGCCTAGAGAAAGATCCGGGCTTCAGCAAGATGCAGAAATTCAGTCATATTGACCTCCAGGGCCGGAATCTCATCACCATACCCATCACCTTGTACCAGAAAGCGACCGAGATCATATCTCTCAATCTTTCGCGCAACCTGTCCCTCGCCGTACCTAAGGATTTCATACAAGCCTGCACTAATCTCAGGGAGATCAAGTATACGAGTAATGAGGCGCGGCGGCTACCTCCCAGTCTCAGCCTGGCAAGCCGCTTGACTATGCTGGATATATCGAACAATCGATTGCAAGAGTTGGATCATGCTCAATTGCATAAGCTGCAAAGCTTGCAAGGGCTCCGGCTTTCCAACAACAGATTAACCCAGTTACCCCCGTATTTCGGCCAGTACCGCGCCCTCAGGAGCCTCAATCTGAGCTCCAACTCACTCAGCGAGTTTCCCGACTTCTTGTGCGAAGTGCGGACCCTCGTGGATCTTGACATCAGCTTCAACTCGATTACCAGCCTCCCCAAAATAGGGCAGCTCACCTGTCTGGAACGCCTCTGGGCTACAAATAACAAGCTCAAGGGTAGTTTTCCGCCAACGCTCAGCAACCTTGTCAACCTCCGCGAGATCGACGTGCGGTTCAACGCACTCAACAGCATGGACGTCATGTCTCAGCTACCGCGACTGGAGTATTTGATGATTGGTCACAATTCGATATCCGCGTTTGAAGGTGCCTTCCCGAAGATTAGGGTACTCCACATGAACCACAATCCAGTCACGCGGTTTGGCGTCAGTCAATCGACACCATCTTTGTCCGTGCTCAACCTTGCTTCCGCGAAGCTCGCCCAACTGCCCGAAGATCTGTTCCCCAGGCTCACTGGACTCACTAAACTCATCCTGGACAAGAATCACTTCACTTCACTTTCGAGCAACATTGGGAAGCTAATTCGATTAGAGCATTTGAGCGTCGCGCGGAACTCCTTAGACGTACTCCCAGCCCAGATTGGCGGACTCGCGGAGCTTCGTTATTTGGATGTACGCGAAAATAACTTGGGCCAGCTGCCTCCGGAACTCTGGTACGCTCGACGGCTGGAGACACTCAACGTCTCATCCAACGTCCTAGACGGCTTCCCAAAGCCGAGCGCACCCCCGCCAGCAGCTGTCAATGGAGAAGTTTCCAATTTGGATGGCGCAACCCCAATGTCGACGCCAGGCCTTGGATCGAGCCCCAGTTACGAAGAGCTTGGGAAGCTGGAGGACTTTGCCAATCGACGACCGAGCCAGGCTTCGGCTGGTTACCTGGGTGCAGGCACTTCTCCAGCGTCGACCCAACGCAAAGGTTCCATGGCGTCATATGGTTCCGCAAGTACAGCGACCACTGCAAGGAAACAGTCGGTAACCTCGCGGACGCCGACGGAAGGCGCTCCCACCCCAGTTTCACGCAAGGACTCAAGTCTTTCCAATAGAATGGTGACAACCTTCGCGGGATCTTTACGGCATCTATTTCTTGCCGACAACCGCCTTACGGACGATGTTTTCGATGAGCTCTGTTTGCTCCCAGAGCTGAGAATCGTGAATCTAGCCTACAATCTCATCTACGACATCCCGCCGCGTACAATAAGGAGATGGCAACATCTCGCTGAGCTTTACCTTTCGGGCAACGACTTGACATCCCTGCCTGCGGAAGACCTGGAGGAAGTGAGCTCGCTCAAGGTCCTGCATATCAACAGCAATAAGTTCCAGGTCCTTCCCGCAGAACTAGGAAAGGTAGCGAAGCTCGCCATCCTTGACGTTGCCAGCAACTCTCTGAAGTACAATGTTTCGAATTGGCCCTATGACTGGAATTGGAACTGGAATCACAATCTGAAGTATCTCAATTTGTCCGGTAACAAACGCTTGGAGATCAAACCTAGCGGGCCATATAGCAACAGCGGCGCCGCCATGCGCGAAGGACGAGACCTAACCGACTTCACCTCACTTGGTAACTTGCGGGTACTCGGTTTGATGGATGTGACTATGATGGTTCCGTCTGTCCCCGAGCAGTCCGAAGACAGGCGTGTGCGAACCTCCGGTTCTGCTGTTGGCACGATGGCGTACGGTATGGCGGACAGTTTGGGTCGGAATGAACACATCTCGACGATGGATATGGTCATTCCCCGCTTCCGAAGTCACGACGACGAACAGATTCTAGGTCTTTTCGATGGTCAGCCTCTTGCTGGCGGCGGCTCCAAGATTGCCAAGTACCTCTACGACAACTTCAAGAACCGGTTTTCAGAAGAGCTAGAACGTTTGCGCCCTCAAGAGTCCCCAGTCGATGCACTGCGACGTACATATCTCGGTCTCAACAAGGAGCTGGCGCTCGCCGCAACCCAAACCATGGACAAGCTCAGCCCAGGTCCAACTAGGCAATCAGGCAACGCTGTTCCCGACCTCGCCGACGACGACCTGACTTCTGGAAGTGTCGCCACCGTCATGTATCTCAAAGAGATGGAGCTTTACATTTCTAATGTTGGTGACGCTCAAGCGCTTCTCATCCGATCAGAAGGCGGCCACAAGGTACTCACTCGGAAGCACGACCCTGCCGAACCCGGCGAGCGAATCAGGATACGTGAAGCCGGTGGCTTCGTTTCCCGTCAAGGCAAGCTGAACGATGTTCTAGAAGTATCACGAGCATTTGGCTATGTGCAGATGTCTCCATCCGTCATCGCCTCACCTCATATCCTGAACCTCACTCTTGGCGAAACCGACGAAATGATCCTCATGGCATCGCGGGAGCTATGGGAGTACCTCACTCCAGACTTCGCTGTCGATGTGGCGCGGTCGGAGCGTAACGACCTCATGCGCGCCGCACAGAAGCTTCGGGATCTTGCAATCGCTTTCGGTGCGACAAACAAGATCATGGTCATGCTTCTTGGAGTAAGCGACCTAAAGAGTAAGCAGCGAGCCCGATTCCGAACGCACAGCATGTCCATGGGACCTTCCGGATCACCCGACGACTTCTTCCTGCGACCGAGGGGCAAGCGTGCTCGAAATCTACCCAACGATTCTAAGCTTGCTCGTCTCGACAATGAAGTGGACGCACCGACTGGAGAAGTCAGCTTGGTCTTCACCGATATCAAGAGCTCCACCCTGCTCTGGGAGACCTATCCCATTGCGATGAGATCTGCTATTAGAATGCATAACGAGCTCATGCGGCGTCAGTTGCGAATCATCGGCGGTTATGAGGTCAAGACAGAAGGTGATGCGTTTATGGTGGCATTCCCTACCGTCACGTCAGCCTTGCTTTGGTGCTTCACGATCCAAAGCCAGCTGCTCGAAGTTCCATGGCCACAGGAGATTCTCAACAGCGTGAATGGGCAAGAAGTCGTTGATCCCGATGGCAACGTCATTTTCCGTGGTCTATCGGTCCGCATGGGCATTCATTGGGGTACACCGGTGTGCGAGGTCGACCCCGTCACGAAGCGTATGGACTACTTTGGTCCCATGGTCAATCGAGCCTCTCGTATCTCCTCTGTCGCCGATGGAGGACAAATAACAGTCTCTTCGGACTTCATCGCCGAGATCCAACGGCTTCTGGAGACGCACATTGAAGGCGACCGGAGCAACTCTACAGGCTCGGAGGAAGCGTTTAACGACGACCAGACGACCCAAAACATCAGACAAGAGCTGCGATCTCTCAGCAGCCAGGGCTTTGAAGTGAAAGACCTGGGTGAGCGCCGCCTCAAGGGTCTTGAAAATCCGGAATACATCTACCTGATGTACCCTCATTCTTTGGCTAGCCGCCTTGCCATCCAACGGCAGCTCGAACAGAAGGCGCAATCGCCGGCTAACGCACAACAAGCTGGGCAGAAGATGCCGGACAGTCAGCTCACAATCGACACTGACAACGTCTGGGATCTCTGGAACGTCAGTCTACGTCTGGAGATGCTGTGCAGCACTCTCGAGAATCCTGGCTCTGCGGAGCTGAAGCCTCCGGAGACTGCGCTGCTGGAGCGAATGAAGAGCAGGGGTGGCGAAATCACGGATCGATTCTTGATCAATTTCGTCGAGCACCAGATCTCGCGAATCGAGGTAAGTCTTCCGTAAGCAGCAGGGTCGCATCGTGTGCTAACCCACCCAACAGACGTGCGCAACTACCTTGGCCCTCCGGCACATGGTCCGCCCCTTCGGACAATATCCGCTGCTCGAGCAAGCGTGCCCCATGGCTGACATCCTTAGCGAGCTTCAATCGCAGCTATCCGAGTTGCAGCAGTACAGAGATGAGGCGTCCTCTCAATTCGCGTCCGCTTGAGCAACAACAGCCCATACCTCTCGACCAACTTACTTAATCCCGTCGCGCATACGCCCGGCCGGTTTCTACGACGTCTACGACACCATATTTACTACTCCGACCTAATACCCGCCGCCCTTACCCAACATTGAGGGGTCCGGTCAAGCCCCCTTATATCGCGATGTTCATACTGGCCGGCGATCACACAGCACTTGTATCATCACTGCCCCGGCGGCCGATTGGATATTCCTTTTCAACGTGGTTATGACATACCTACGGACCAGGCATACACGGTGCCCTGGCGTCTTTGGAGCTCGCTCACCACACATTGGTTTATGTTACCTTCTTTCTGCTTATCTTTATGGGAGGGATGCACTTCGACGCCGGAACGGCTTTCTCTCGGGTTTTGGGCTTGAAAGAGGGGCAAGGGATGGAATTTAGCGGACATATATCGATTTTGCGGGTAGCGCGCGTTTCTGTTTTCCCTGCCTGGGCTCGATGGGATGAGTTCTTTTGGAGCAACGGGTGGTTATGCTGATGTTGATCTGTGCCATTGCGCTAAAGGGAGGAAGAACGTGTGGATAGGCCTTGTATTGTTGTTCCGCCGTGTGCATTGAGCACGAATCTCTCATGCTTCCGTGTTCCTGTTCTCGTTTGATGGTCGGTAAGTGAGTGATAAGGTGGCGCTCCTACGCCGCAATGCCCAGTCACTCACCCTTACAGTCAACCCTCCCTTGTTGCTCACCGTTCTCCTGACTCCACAGCACTTATAAAGCTTCCTCAGCGAGAATTGCACTCTTGTTTTATCGCTCACGCATTTTCCACGCTCCTACTGCATGCACTCAATTCGCTGAGCCCTATTAAGTATCTCAAGCCTTTCCGACCGAACAACACACACAGCGTACAAACCGCCATCCACGCTTTTCTTTTCACGGCTTGCACAAATACGCAGAGCGAGCGATTCGCCCACACAGACTCGCTCGCTCGCTCCCTAGCCGCACCCCGCCCAGCATACATACTCTCCTTCCTTCCTTGCCGGCCGGTCTGTATCGCCCAGCCCAACCAGTGGGTCAGTCCTCGAGACCAAGCCAACCAAAACCAAACCCGCAAGAATCCAGAAGCGACTTTCATAGAAAAGCGATGGCGCTGGCTAGGAGGAGGCCGAACCCGAAGTCGCTTCGCGTGCCGTATTGTTGGTGGCGCTTTTGGTGCTGGTGCTGGAGGCGGAAGGAGGAGAAAGAGGTTGGGGGAATTGTGACGAGGAGGTATGAGGATATGGTGGCGAGGCCGGTGGGGATTGAGGGGAATGGGAATGGGATGAGTTTTGGTGTTGTTCCGGGGACGGTGGAGGTGCTAGGGCTTAGTGAGGAGGAGAGAGGGGGTTTTGGTGGGAAGGGGAGGAGGGGCGAGAGGGAGAGGTGGATGGAGATTTTGACTTTGGCGCAGTGAGGACGGATGAGGGGGAGGGTAGAGGGGTGCTGTGAATGAGGGATTGGGCTGAGTGATATCTATTGGATTGCATGTACATACCTGGTTTTGGTACCCGCAGGTTTTTCATATATCGGGTTCTATTGCATGACCCTGTGAAGTGTTAACCGGAGCTATGGATATATCTCCTAGACTAGGTGCTCCGCGCGAGCTTCACAGTCATCGAAAGATGAGTCTTCAGTACGACCTGGCTTAGCCGCCACGCGTCCTATCCACACGGGTCGCTTCCCCCTCCATCCACAGATCGCCGAGGCTGCACACAAAGCCAGCAAAATAACCAAGAGACGACATCGGAATGGCCTTGCTATCCGATAGGCCCAGAAGCAGCCACCTTCCTGCACAGCCCCAGCCTGAAACATAAAACCCGCGGTTCCCCCGCTACAAGGCTCAGTCCGTTGTATCCATTCCGCATCTGCATTCCGCTCTCTGCACCTCGTGTATCCGCTCTCTCGGGGACAAACAGCACGAAGACTATCGAACAATGTCGTCCGAAATGTGGCCCATGATAGCTGGCATCGGCGCCTCTGTCGCCGCAGCAGGCACAGTCGGCCAGATGATCGTCGCGGCCATGCAGTACGGCAACTCGGAGGAAGCCGTATGTAGTCTCTCCTCCCTCGATCATCTCTCTCTCTCTCTCTCTCTCTCCTCGAACTAACCATATAGAAAGGATCGAAGAGCAGGCGAGCTCCTCCGTCGTGTAGAGGCGTTGGAGCAGAAGCTCCAGCAGCATCGGTGCGAGGCTGAGCTCGGTGAGCTGAACGACGCACGGAGTAGAGGTATCCGGGCACTGGCCGAGAAGACGGTAGAGCTCAAGGAGAAAATTGGATAGAAGACCGCCAGACCGGTCAGCATGAGGTCGCCACGGGCTGACTATGGCGCCTCCGTGATACCGCGATGCAAAGTTTCGGGCGGGGGGTTCCCTTTATTCACCATCATGGCCTTTTCAATGCCTCCTTTGCTCGTGCTTTGCGCACGCTTCCATCGACTAGTTCCCGATCACAAATAAAGAAAGTCTAGAACGGTAGTATTAGTCACACCTCATACCACCCAACGAGCGTCCCATATAAGCACTTCACTTCATCGCCCCACCCCCTAGCCATCGCAAAGTCATCAACATACCTCCCCTTAATGGCAGACTCTCCTCCGCTCCTCAAAGCGCATCTGCGCATCGCCCGCCCTACCCCCTCCATCACCGCACTCCTCCCCTTCTACACCAGCGGTCTCGGCTTCTCCATCATCGGCTCCTTCACCGGCCATGCGGGCTTCGATGGCGTAATGCTCGGCCACGCGTCTCTCCCTTACCATCTCGAGTTTACGCAGCAGGAGGGACATGATGTGGGGAGAGCGCCGACGAAAGACAACCTATTGGTGTTCTATCTTCCAGATGAAGAGGATTGGACGGACGCGGTGCAGAGGATGGAGAAGGCAGGGTTCGAGAGCGTGAAGGGTTGGAATCCGTATTGGGAGGGGGATGGAAAGGTGGGCGGGACGAAGGGGAGGACGTTTGAGGATGCGGATGGGTGGAGGGTTGTGCTTTGGAAGGGGGGGTGGAAGGTGTAGATACGGGAATGCGGTTCGGTGCCTTGGGAACGGAAGGCGATCGGGAAACAGAAAGAGATATGCTGATGGGGGCGGTGTTTTGTATTTTGTGTAATGATTTGGACGGCGTCCTACGTATTAGCAAGCAGCTCATGCCCAGTCGAAGGCCATTCAGCCTTTCCCGCAGTGTAGCCTGCCCCGGTTGCCAGCAACTATGCATCCGCCTGGTCCTTCCCCTTCGCCAGAGATAGCAGTGGGCGCTCCGCATCGAGCTTCGCCAACGCCGCAGCCATCCCCAACAAGCATGCGTCCTCTTCAAAGTCTCCGTTTGCGGGTTCGGCTTGCGTATCGGTTCGATGGACCTCAGCCTCGGTGGCTGTGTTCGTATCGCCATTTCCCTCGTTTAGCGTGAGCTTCGCTGCTTTTGCTGTGAGATCAGCGGTCGCGAGAGGAACAGAGTCTACCTCCATCGCGTCCGGGTCGTCGTGATTCGTTCGGGCAGAAGCGACCTGAGCCCCCAGGGTGCGGGCTTTGTCTTTCTCCGTCGCGAGGTCGGCTAGTAGATTGTGCACACTCTCCCGAAGGGTTGTAACCTCTCGTTGTAGGTGGCGGGTGTGCTGCCGCTCGGCCCGTGAATACTGTCTGAACGCGTTGAGGATCTGACTGGCGCTCGAAAGGGTGGAGGAAGGATATGCCGCTCGAAGTCCCAATCTACCGGGTTGGCCTCCACATGCGGCATTGGAGGCAAGGCGACGGGAACTAACCCCTCCCCTTCCGCGACCGCCGCCGAAAAATGTAGCCCTGTAAGAAGTGATCTGAGGCTCGTTGACGTTACGGTTACCCTCAGAGCGGAGAGGCCTCTGAGAGTTGATTCGTGCTGCCCGGCTGTACCTTCCCCGGCCGCGACGACTTCCTTTGATGCCATTTCCGCCTCCTCGCCTCTGTGGGTTGTCGCGGCCTTCTTGACTCCCATTTTCGTCTAGGGGCGACTGCGGCATGCTGTCTTTCGAAATCTGGCTCTGGAGTCGAAGCTGGTGTGGGTGGGAGGATGGTGAACTGGGAAGCTGTCGTGAGAGACGTGAGGTGAGTGAAAAGGCCAGGCACATCTGCACCTGCTCTAGCGCGGTGTAAGAGGAAGGAACGACTATCAAACCACGTGGATATATTCAAGCGAAAAGGAAAATATGAACAGAGAACTGGAGAAGTCCAAAAAAGCAATATACACACGAATAGAGTAGTCGTCGCTGTTCCACTCGCCTTATCTCACCGCAGCACACTTAAGTCATCAGCATTTCGCCAACGCAGCAGCCTGCCCAGGATCCTTGGGAATGACGCCCGCATCGACCGCCGCACTATAACTCCATCTCCAATCACCGCCAAGCTGCGTCTTCCAGCTCCAGAAGGCCCACCCGAGACCCTTCTCATATGCCTGCACCTGCGCGGCCCACCACTGCGTGTAAAACGCCTTGTTCTCCTCCTTAGTCGGATCCCAGCCTGCATTCCACTCCTGATTGCTATCGACAGCCAAGCTCCACTCGCCCACGATAATCGGTTTGCTGTCGCCGTCGCCGAAGGTGTCGCTGCAGGAGGTGCTGAGGTATGATTGCTTACTCTGCTCGATAGGCGCCCATTTGAGATATCTGTGGTCGTCGAAAGCAACGCCGGTTTTACCTTGCAGCACGTCCCTGGGGTTACCGGCGCCCCAAGCTTGGTCCATGAACTGGATAGTGAGTTGCTGGGCGCCAGGGATATTGAGGTTCTCCTCTGTCTCGCGGATCTTGTCGTATGCGGTGGCGTAGTAGGTTGTGATGAGGTCGGGGTGGTTGCGCTCGGGCTCGTTGAGGACTTCGATCATGCCGGTGGTACGGTACGCGTTGTTCTTGTGGATGCGTTCGGTCATTGTTTGAAGGAACTTGTAGGCGCGGTCGTATTGCCAAGAGACGAAGAAGCCGGCGGAGGGCGCGTACTAGGAGATGTTAGCCTTTGAGTGAGAGCAAGGAGCGGGTTAAGTTACCTGGCCAGTAAAAGGCTGGTTTGGCTCCTGGGCACCGGGAGCACCATGAAGATCTAAGATCACATAGATGTTCCTCGAGGCGGCCCATCCAGCGAGCCGGTCCAGATACTCCAGCCCGCCCTGCGGGAAATGCTCGCTGTCCGCGTACACCGTGTCTTCAACCAGCCAGTACCCAACAGGCACACGAATAGTATTCAGACCATACTCTTTCATTCTGTCTAGATCCTGCTCGGTAATCCACGTATCCCAATGCTTCTTGAAGGCAGCATTTGCAGCGTCCTGACCCAACTTCAGGACGCAATCGAACTCAGAATTAGTGCCGTCGCATCCCATGGATTTCCATTCATCCGCGCACATCCAAGGCTCGATGATGAAGAGAGAACCGAGGTTCACGCCGCGGATCTTGTTGTAGCTCGAGTCGAAGCGCTTGATGGACCTGCCCTTCCCGATGGATACACTTCTCGCGACCGAATTGGGCTGTTCGCCAAAGAGGTCACGCTCAGATGGAAGCCAGGCGGTAACTGCACCAGAGAGAGCCAGTAGGGAAAGAAGATAGTATCTCATGTTGGTGATACCCGCGTGATGCTAGTTAAAATTTTTTGTACCGGTGGAAGGGTGGACTGTACCCGAATCGAATACCTCTACTGGAGAGGTAGGGGTACCGAGGGAGACAATGGGACAAAGAGCGCACCGCTAAATGAATGAAGACAAAAGAGTGCCGAAAGGAAAGAAAGAAAAGAGCGTCGGGAACAAAGCGCAGCAGATGAGTCAAAGTGAGAGTGAAAAGCCGCTCCCGAGCCATCGTCACACGACTTTATACTATACAGACTGCTGCGACTGGGGTTCAGGTTGACTAGGTTGCCCACCTACCATAGTCCCAGCATAGAAAATTCAACCCCGTGCGAGCGTTAGTGAGTGACATTCTATCCGTGTCTCGTTTCTTCATAAACTCCTAGCCTTGCAGTCAGCCTCGACCAATTACGTCGCCCAGTCATACTGCAACCTCTCAGTTTCGGACATACCACCGCTCTCCGCTGCATCGCGGCCTCTGTCTGGACCTAGGCGTTCAGTCCTGCGGAAATTGACGTGCCGCGCCGAGGCCAACAGCACCAGAAGCGGGGCATGATTAAGCTCAGGCGGGAAGGAAGGGGGGAGGGCCACATGCTTGATCAAGCTCATAATAGCTGGCTCCCGCCGCGCCACAAGAAGTCCGGGCAGCTGGCGCGAAGGATCAAGAAACGTAGAGACAGTAGAAACAAGAGGAGATGAACGGCGTTTCAGCGTAATACGGAGGCTGGTGGACCACACCTAGGCGTGGACTTTGTCAGCTGCGGATGCGGTTTGAAACAGACTCTCGCAGGCTAAACGGTCCTGGAAATTGCAGCAGACGGGGGCCCTCGTAAAAACGACTGCAAAAAGGAAAGAAGGCCGCTTTGGCAACCATCTTGGGGTGTGTAGAGTATCATCGCTCTACCAGTAATGATGGTGTTCTCGTGTGACTGTTGCGCGTGTGTGGTTGATGAGTCGGACCGTTGGATCGGACGTCGTTCACTGCCAGCGCACGGGCCTTCATACTTGTCCGACGGAGGTTGTCAGAGGGCAAAGGGCAACATCAGCCGAGGCCGAGATCGACATCAAGATTCGGCATGACAGATGGCGATGTTTTCCTTTGAGAACTGCTGCGCTGCTGGACGTCACGACTGACCGGTGCCTCGACGACAAGGGGCCTATGGAGCTTCCTGAAGTAGGGTCGGCAAGGGGAACCCCGGCAAAGGGTCATCCGATTAGTGCCTCCGCACGTGGGAGTAGCCCCAGAGAGCCATATGAACGAGCAAAAGCGAAAGGACGGTGTAACGTCAAGATGCTCTCTCGCAAGCGGAATGCCCGTGTCTGAACTGCTCAGGGCTTAGCTCAACCCGCCAGTCAGGGCTGATCAGAATGGGCGCCTCATAAGAATAGGTAAAGGCCACGGATACATACACAAACAATAGCATCAAGGAAGAGACGCTGGAGTAATTCTTCCATTCTGAATAATTCATTTGAAAAGCCACTCGACCCTGTCCTAATTCACCCACCCGAATACTAATTCTCCCAATCCCAAGAGTGTCCAGCCCACGATAACCAGATCAACCTTTATCAACCTCCCTGATCCCCTTTGTACACCAAAAAAAATACACATTTGAACCAAAACCAAAAAGGGTATCAATGCGCAGCAGCTCAAGCCGCCGGCTAGCCGTATAAAAACGACAGATTAGAAGTAAATATGGATATCCCTGCGCTTGAGCGCCTGCACTTTCTACGCCGTTCAAGGCCCCTATTAGAAGTAAAGGAGAGAAAGAAGAGGAGAAGAGAAGAGAAGTAAAGGACTAGGAGATCCAAAATGAAGGGACGGCCACTTGGCCAATGCCACATGTACACATCTAAACGTGGCCGGCATATCCATACCGTGACTTTTTGCCAGACAAAGGAGATCGGAGAGGGAAAGACAGAGCAGCGACATTCTGAAACACGGCGCGAAGCCTGAATGAAGCGACAGCCATAACACATGCTCATGCATCGTACGCGATAGGCGCATCCGTACAGGTCATCTAGAAGCCACGGAAGGGATCGGTCATCATGAAGTCTTCGTAGACGCCACCCGAGCGACGATGGTCGTTGGTGCTACCGCTCCATTGGCTGTTGCCGCGGCGCCTGCCCATGCGAAGGTTGGCTGCGGAGCCGGCACGGTGCGTGGGGTCTTTGCCTAGAGAGTCGTCGATGAATGCTTCCATTCGGACGGTACCCATGGTATCGAAGAAATGTTGGCGAGTAGACGTGCTGGCTTCTGATGTCCTGGAGCTTTGGATGGCGCTGTGTGGGTTGTATACTGATGACGGCACGGAAGGGGGCTGCCTGCTGCTGTACATGTCCGATTCGGTGGTGGAGTAGAGAGACGGGACGTGCTGATGCGAGAAGCTTCGATAAGGAACGTTTGGCGGAGGAGCGCTAGGTCCGGTTGAGCTTCGCTTCCGGCCATGAACTGGACCGCGTGGAATGGTGGGCGGGTCTGCTGAATCGGGAAGAGGCCTCTCGACGCGGGATCCCATATGAAAGTCTGGCATCGGCTCGGCTTGGCTCGGGAATCGCTGTGCCACAGTATTTGCTTTCCCCTTGGCGAGGCGGACCGAATCGCGAACGTGGGAGCGGCGCAGCGTCGCTCCTGTGGAGCGCTGAGGTAACTCCTCGGTAGGCGGAGGTGCAGGTGGCATGGGCCCAAGATCCGGAATAGGAGAGCTTGAGTGAGCTAAGAAAGACAACGCTGTGAGCCAGAGGTAGTGGCGTTCCCGCGACGCGGTGGTGAACTTGAGTGCTCGTGCCGGCGTTAAAATCAAGATGGATCGGTTGAACAGGGCTTGTGTCCCGGCATTCCTGGGAATAGGTGTGTTATCGGCGACATCTAGGACAGATTGGATCGTGACTAGAAGACATGTTAGTGGTGAGATGAACGATATGCGCTAGGTGCCACTTACGCTTGCGACCGCTCTTGCCCAGAAGCGCTGACCCGGATGTTGGTTGTTTGCTGCTCCATAGCACTGAGCGCTCATACGGGGAGATCCAAACCCAACGTTTGTGTCGCACACCGTTGCTTGTCAATACGGCATTCTCTTCCGCGCGAGCAATGTCTGCAGGCGACTCTGCTGCGCCGAATGTCTTCCTCTTCCGCACATACTTCCACATCCATTCACCCACCATCGTAGCTGCAATAGCATCCACGACACTGGTCTGGTACCCGACGCTGCCGATGGAGCCGCTGCCCGTGTGTGTGGTGTTAGTTGACAGCTGGTGTCGGTGTCCGAATCCTTGGCCAGTGACAAGATCATTCGGCAGGGGTGGGACTGCAGGACTTTCAGGCATAACAGGAGTAGCGGGGAGTGGAGGAGATCGGCTCCGAGAGCGACCAGTCTTCTGAATGACTGCGGCCGATCGCACCTTTCGCAGACTGTCCTTGCGCTGATGCTGTCTTGTGCCATATGGGCGTCGGCCTCCAAAGCCACCGCTGTTGCGCGGCGTTGGACTCTGCGAACCCTCGCTCTTGCTGAGCGGAATCTTGCGAGAGCTTGAGCGCGTGGGTACGGGGAAAGGAGGCTTCGCCATATATGTGCTCGAGCCGTGGCTTCCGAAACTGGGGCTTCGAGAACGCATATGCGCGGCTGTTCCGTTCTGGATCATGGCAGACCTCCGAATGCTGGGCTGGCGACTGAGAGAGTTTCGTAATGGCTTTCCGACCTTGGCAGGTTTCTCGAGGGAGTTACGGTTTGAGAGCATCCGCCCAGAGTTCACTGAGTCTTCAGAAGGCCGAGAGGTTGATACGACTTCTTTGTCCTCTGGGACCGGAGTTGGGGGGTTGTTGAACACTCGTCCGTTCTTGAGATTCCGCGAAGAAAGCATCGGCGTCGAGTACTGGGGAGCCCTGTACTCCTCTTCGTCACTAAGCTCCGCATCGTGGTCTTCCTCATCGGACGAAGGTCCGTCGAAACCAGCAAACAGGCTGCTTGTTCTGAACGGCCTGCTTAGGCTGCTTTCTTTATCGCGTCCGAGGGGACCGTTATCATTGTTGCCAGGATAACGGTCTTCAACCTTCCTGTCGGTGGTTTTCTCAAGCAATGCCATGAGATCTTGACGGGCAGATGGTACTGCGGTTGTCTTCTCCGGTGCACTAGACACAGCCTGATGGGAATCCTTCCTATTAAATCCGCTGGGCGCTGGCCTCTCTTGCCCTGGTTCAGGTGTGCTAGGCTTAGAACTAATAGCGGACGGCAGAAGATGAGGAGGTAGCTTGACGGGCCGCTTGTCTATCCTAATCGGCTCGGTTTGCATGCCTGTTGAGCGCACTGACGAGCTCATGTCGCCGGTTGTCTGTGTTGAGATGCTCTTCGTCCCTGGCGGCAGGATCGGTTCCTTGGGCGAAGGAGGGGCCGAGGTTGGAGCGTGGATGGCAATCGACGGAATAGAAATCGGTACTGGAGGAGGCGCACGTTTTGGTTCGACCGGCTTTGCCTCCGGCTCTTCGAGTTGTTCCGTCTGGGTCGATACGGACGCAACTTCGGCTTTGAAAATTGGAGATATCGGTGTCTGCGAAGTGGGAATTACGATTTTGGGAGTTGCAGGAGGACTCAATGGTTGCTCAACAGTCTGCGACGACGTCGAGGTCATCAAGGGAGGAACGGCAGTACCCGGCAAATATTGAGTGGAGACACCGGCAGGTGCAGATACCCGCTTCCGGCGCTGGTTCGCTTCGACTTCTGGGCTCGCCGATGTTATCTCAGTAGGTTTCAGTGCTGTAGACGACTCTGATGTCTGGGGTCGTACAGGAGATGGTGGCGGAGACGGTTGCACACCGGTGTCGACATAGTGTGGTTTGACCTCGACGGGTTGCGGCTTTGGAGGAGGGAAGACCAGCGTGATTTCTTGGGGAGTGATGCTCATCGAGGACTTCGCCGATTCGTAGACTGGATTCGGTGGCTCATTTTCCATTACCGCAGGCAGGCTATCCCTGTTGCCCTGTTGGCTTTCGATACTGAGCCCTAGGATACGTTTTGCCTTTTCGTCTTGACACATCGATTGCCGCGATTCGAGTGCTCTTCTCGCCCTCATCTCGTTCTCCGGGAAGTCGTCAGAATCAAGCTCTAGCTCACCCAAGTCCTCCTCTTCCTCATCAAACACCAACTCGTCAGCTAGGCAGACCCCATTGGCACGGCCGTGTCCTTCAGAGCCAGTCCCGCTCATTAGTGACATTCGGTAGTTGCGACCGATGCTTCGGTAGCTGCTGTTACTGAGGTTCCTGGAGTGTCGGGCGATTCGCGTGGAGGGCCTCCGTTGCGGTGATGAGCGTACGCTGCCCGCATCACTTTCTGGTCCCACTCCACTGTCCCGGTGAAAGTCTTCGCTCTCGCTCTCGAGATCGGCTTCTTCTTGTGCCGCCTCTTGTATGGCAATCTCGTCTAGCAGCACCTTTAGTCGACTCTCCGAGATATGTACACGTCGTTCGAGGGAGCGCTTCTCGCCAGCCCAGATCTCCTTTTCGCGCGCCCACATGTCGTGAACACGGGTCGAGTCATCTTCCTGGCTTCGTAGCTTCTTTTGCGTTGTCTCAAGCCTCTCGCGAAGATCAGCGTTCGCTTCCTTCATCTTATCTCTCTCGCCAGCGATTTCTTCAAGCGCCGAGAGCGTGCCATTCTCAAGTTGCTGCAGCTGGCGTTTCACCGTCCGGCTCTCTTTTGTACTTGTAGATAGCTGATCCGTGAGCGCATCGTTCTCGTTTCGCACTGTGTGGAGGCTTGTTTCCAAGTCCTCGATGAACTTGTGCTTCGAATCTAGTTCACGTCTGAGGTTGAGGATCTCAGACACTAGCGATGCGTGCAAGGTTGGCGTGAATCGTCTTGGATCAAGGATAGACACATCCTCATCGTTGGTCCCGTTCTCCCTGTTATTCTGGCCATCCGGTGGCAGCGGCACCGGTGAGCCTGCGCTCTCGCCCAAGGGAGTTCCATAGCGGGAAGTTCTTCGAGATAGCGAAGAATACGGGGTATCGGAAGGCGGTGGTAGGGGTTGATTTGTAAAGTAAGCGTCGTTGTCCGAGAAGTAGTCTGTCGCCATTTTGTGAAGTGTGGCTGTTACTTCCCGGATATACCGTTCGACTCAACAATCACTATAGTCTCCCAGAACCACAACCAAGTGGTGCTGATCCTATCGGGTTCTCAATGCATGCCTGCGGGCGAAATTAACCCATGTATGGAGCGAGATATGGAGACCAATCGTACTTCGATCGAGACCGCTGCTATGATCTTGAATCAATCGCGCCTATGCTTGTGCCTCCAGAACAGTATCCAATGGTTATTGCCTCGGACGAGCTTGGGTACAGGTGGGGACTGGTATAATCGCCCGACGATAGAATGAGCTGGTATATGCAACGGGTGGGTGAAAGGAACGCGTCGGACGTTTCTGAGAAGTCGTCTTCGAAAGGTGTCGTGAATGAAGGGAACGAAAATTTGGTACCCTAGAGCTTTGATACACAGTCAGTACCAGGTAATTCAGAAACGGCTTGGTTCATCGGTGACAGATAGATGAGAGGGTCGACCCACGATCTGGATAATTGTGGCGAATGGATATTCCACGGCGATGACGGATTGTGCAAGAGGTTCTTTTCCCGAGAGTTTTGCCTTAAATGCTGATGCAATTGGACTTTTCTAATGCTCGAATGGCGCAAAGAAGCAACGGGAAAGGACCGAGGAACTACAGGTGTGAATTCAACAATTGCAATGACGGAAAAGAGAAGAGAGAGATCCAGCAAGAACACGCGACTCTGAGTAGAGATGTCCCTGAACGCGTTCTCGACGACGTGAAGCGTAGGGAGGGGAAGAGGAGAAACGAGCAATTGGGGACCTGGGCATGAATGTGCTGATCCGCGAATAGCGGGTTCATGCACCGCTTCCTGGGACCAGCAAAACGCTGCTGGGCTCTGCTCTGGGGAGACGGGAACGGACATGGGCCGAGACAGGTGGGCGAATGAGGTGTAATTCACCCCATATCAAATTTGTTTTGCACCCAGCTCCCGCTTTATGCACACATCCCAGCTAGCGAGCACGCTGCATGTGCGCTCGTTGCTCCCTGCATACAGCCGGCCCAACGTGGCGGAAGCTCGTTATTGGCGAAACAGCTCCACTCGACTGGGCTGATTGGTCACACATTTCGCTCCAACGTATCCCGTTCCGCGAGGCTAGCGAATGTGCAGTCGAGCAAAAAGAAATGACACGGTGCGAATTGTCCGAGCGGTGCCAGGATGCCGTGGGATTCCGTACTTCGGAGCAAGCTCGCAGACTGAAGTGCCTCGAGCGCATGTGACGGCGTGTGATGATGCACAGGAACGAGATCGCCGCAATCTCTGTACAACAGCTGGCCTTCAGAGGGCCGAGTGATAGGCTTCGCGAGCAGCAGGCCGGTCACATCAATTTGCGAAATGAGCATCTTCGTAGCAGAATGCTCCGAGAGCCATCACCTATCAGTAGCTCCAACGCTACGCAACGCGGTCCTGAGGATAGGAGGCCAAGGTTTCAGCCTCCTCTCTGGGGCGCCCACTCCGAGCAATTGCCTACAAGGGCCCGGCGGACAGGAGACGTGATCCAGTCGTGACCGCAAGGCTTGCAACTCAAACAGCTGTGCCGCAATGTGGCCACGGCTATTCCGTTTATTCTTAGCGCGAGACTCGATTCGCAGTCCCAACATTACCAAACAGCCGTCAGCATCGGACTCGAGAGAGGCTCAGAGCAGAGGGCACACGCGTCGCGAGCCGGGTCTTCGAAAGCTTGCAACTTGTGCTCCACCGACGCGAAAAGGAGAGAGAATAGTTGCATGACTTTTCAGAAAACCCGGTTCTTCGTTGGCTATGCTATAGCACTAGCACTGTCCAAACAGATCAGGAACGTACCCTCTCCAGCTCCTCTTCCGTTTGATTACTTCGACGGGGACCCGTGTTCTACTCGTGTGAGCTGCTCGGCTGGCGAGTATCTGACCCGTCGGCTGGGGATCGACAGTCCTGAGGCCCAACCTAGGATTGCTTCAGGACCGCGATGTCGACATTGTTTTCGCCGTTTAATCGGTTGTGGCCTAGCATCCAATAGACGGACGACGGCGCGAAAGCCTCGCTGAGAACCGACGACGGTTAGGAAACAACAAGCTGACAAGTCCCTGTCGTGGCTACTCGCCGTTGCTGGAGGCTAGGGTCAGGAGTCAGGCAGCTGCGGTCAGTACCAGTGGATCCAAGGTCCTGCCAAAAACGCGTGAAGCCTTTATGCAGCCCTACATAATAGGTACGATATCCTCCTAAAAAATAGAGAAGCGACGTCATGTACTTCCCTTCTGTCCATCAGTTCGTAAATCGCCTTGGGAGAAATAGGAGATGCCGGTCGTTGGCGGGTCCGCTGCTCTCCTCCCCCACGGCCCGACCCCCTGTAGCGTCAGCTGCACGTCGCGAGGCTGCATGAGCCCCTCTGAAGGCCCAGAAGCCCTTGAAGAAATGATATCTACCCCAACGCTGCCGCTTCATCTCGGCACGGCCGCTTCTTCGAGATTTCGGCGGCGAAGGCGCACTGCTGCGGAGTGCATGCGTAGTCTATGCGTAGTCTGCATACGCGCGTTGCATCGGACGTTTCCCGTGGCCTGAGAGTTGTCGAGACCGGCATTTCAACGTCGCGGAGTAATCCGGCATTCCCTTGTTTGCTTGCGTCGCGTAAAGTCGCGTGTTGTTGACATTGTCGTTGCTTTTTGTATCCCGTACAGGCCCCTCTGGTTCCTGACTCGTATCCGCAGCGTGAATGGATCCGGGCTGGCTGATGCCCTCATGGTCTCCCCGGCAGTTCGCCACTCAAATTGCAAGGGTTTGATAACGTCTCTTTTGAACGTTGCGGTTTCCCTTGGGATCCCCAAAGTCCTCGAACGAACTGCGAATCACGTGCAGGCTTTATCGATAAGCGAAAAAGTTGAGCGCATCAGTAGAGATCAACAATGGCTAGACAGGCCAACAGACAGGAAGAAGCCTGTACAAGAGCAGAAAGCCGTTCGAGACCCCCAGCGCTCAAACATCCCATTTCCGGTCCCTCAGCCAGAGCTGAACGCCAGCACAGCAGCCAATATTCAACATGGCACAACAGCAGCCCACCGCTGCAATGCCGCCCGCAATGGCAGAAATAAAATCCCAGAGCGCGGACGAAGTGCTAAAGGAGATGAAACGCCTACCACTGTTCATGACGACCTTGGACGAGACCGACGGCGAGGGAGGCGAAAACGTAGCCCTAGAAGCGCTCAAGGCACTGGCGTATGAGGGCACTAGAGCAGAGGTCGCAGAGAACTTCCGCCAGCAAGGGAACGAGTGCGCGCGGGCGAAGCAGTGGGGTGATGCGAAGGAGTTCTACGACAAGGCGATAGCGGCGCTGAAAGCACCACCGAAGAACGACCCGGATCCGGAGCATGGACCGCAAGTTATCGAGGTGGAGGTTGATGAGGAAGAGGAGCAGAGGAAGGAGAAAGCCGTTGAGGAGGCGTGCTATGTCAATCGCGCACTGTGCAATCTGGAGAAGAAGAACTATCGCTCCTGTATTCAAGACTGCGCTTCTACCCTCCGACTCAACCCGGAAAATGTAAAAGCGTTTTACCGCTCCGGCCTCGCCTGTCTCGCGCTCGACAAGATCCCAGAAGCAAGCGATGCGTGTATGCGAGGTCTGGCGCTCGACCCCTCAAATGCCGCCCTTAAGACTCTCTCCACCAAAGTCTCCTCTCGCAAAACTTACCTAGACTCCGTGGACAAAGCCCGGCGAGAACGCGAAGAAAGAGCAGCATCCGAGAGAGCAACACTAGCCCTCGCGCTGAAAAGCCGGGGCATCAAGACGAGGACATCAGAAAGAGCGCCCGATCTCGAAGACGCTGCCATCAAGCTCGCCAATCCACTAGATCCCAGCTCCACACTCTCCTTCCCAGTCATGCTCCTCTATCCCGCGCACTCGCAATCAGACTTCATCAAGGCGTTCTCCGAGACGGAGGCGCTAAACCAGCATCTCGACTACATTTTCCCGCTGCCATGGGATACCGAGCAGGAATACAAGGCGGACGATGTGGAAGCGTACATGGAGACTACAGCAGGCGGGTTGATCAAGGTCGGCAAGAAGATGGGCTTGGGCAAGGTGTTGGGCAGCGGGAAGTGCGAGGTTGTAGATGGATTAGTGCGCATCAGCGTGGTTCCGAAGTCGAAGGCGCAGGACTGGATCGAGGAGTTCAAGAAGAGGAGAGGCGCCTGAGGTACATCATTCTGAACGAATAGGATAGCGTTTGATGGCCAGACTGTGCAGGTCGGTGTCGACTTCGAGGAAGGTCCTGCAACCACGCGGCGCCTGCCTCATCCCACCGCTCAACCCAACCTTGTGTCACCTTCGCATGCGCAAACCCCTCACCAAATCCCACAGCCTGCCGTATGTCCAACACACTCCCGCTCCGAATCCACCCTCCAGCTTGCTCGTGCTCCTCCCACCCCACACCAGACCACCTAGGCGGCGACCCAACCATCAAATCACGCCGTCAAAACAACCTCGCATGCATATAACCCCCGCACCCGCACGTCGTCTACGCCGTCATCTCTGCAGCATCAGCGCCAGCACCACTCCTCTACACACCCCCATCTGCGCCTATAATAAAGCCTAAATAAGAGGGTTTTCCGCACCTTCCGCGTCGAGCGCCCTCGCCCGGGGGCTCGGTTCCGGAATCCTGGTCCGAGGGATGTCGGATTTTCCTCCGTGCCGCATTTAGCGTTGGTTTGCAACGGTTGCATCTGTTGGGCACCTGCATACTACCCAACTAATTGGGAAAATGGAGTCTGCTGTAATTGTTGCGCGTAGATTAACTGGCTTGTATGTGATGGCCGATATCTAGGAGTGCGGTATCTGCACAGCTACTATGATTTATTGGATGCTGTACGACATGCTCGCTAATGCAAGGTACCTGTACGCAATTTATCCGTCGTGAAAGCTTTCCACTCACCACACGCCACGCGGACGCGCACAGCTGGACTGCAATGCGACGCGCTCGATGCAGAGAGAAGACAAATAAATATCGCATCGAGTGGGTGTCCATTTGATGATTTTATACTACCTCTAGAAGAGAGGTTTCCTGGTACACTTTTCCACCGTTGAGCAACTATCCCTTTAAAGAACACTATAAGCAGGCATACATCGAACCACCAATCCACGGGGAAAAAAGAAAACCACCTTGTCCGTCTCGGACCTCCCGTCCGCCGATTTCCACAAGCTTTGAAGACAGTGAAGACAAATGCAAACTTGCATATAGCGCAAGCCTCCACGCTCAGATACAAACCATATCAACCGTTCCTCGGTACGTCGGCCGGAGTCCGGAACATGATGTGCGACAGTGCTGAGGCAAGCAACAGGGGGATAGAATGCAGACCGTAGCCGGGAGTACAGAGTGTAATGATGCCGATCGGACCGAGGCCGAGGCCTGCGTGGAAAGGGCCGAATGCTGCAATGTGTGTGATTGTGACAGTGGTGGATGACGCCGAAAGAGCCGACGTCGGACAATTTCCTACGCCTTGGCTCCCTTCTCTTCAGCGTAGAGTTTTTTCTTTCGGGTCATTGACTCCTTAAGGTCTTCCCACACTCTGTAGCCAAGCTTGCCCGGGGGATGCGCGGACCACCCGGTCGACTTTTCCTTCTCGCGAACTATCTCGTCGGCCTTGACCTGCTCCAGGTACCCCAGGAATCGGACGTCCGTCTTGTGCAGAGTGCGGCGACCATCGAAGCGGAGAGTGAGCTTTCGGAGCTTTGCCTCGCGGAGGATGCGGAGACAGTCGAAGAGGTGCTCGTCGTTGAGAAACCGTCGCTCTTCGTGGGTGAGGTAGGATGTCGACGACTGAGTGGCATCATCGAAAACGAGCCTGATGTCTCGCAGGTAGGCCAGGTTCTCAGGGCCGATTGCCTTCAGAAAGCGGCGGACATCCGTGTAGCCAATCTCCCTAGGGATTTTCTCCCAGAACGGACGCCGGGTGTTCTTGTTGCGTTCGAAGGAGAACTTGTTCTCGCCATAGAGGATGCTGCAGCCTTCCCCATATACCATTTTGCAAGTGCTCAAGAACTGGCCGGATCTACAGAGGTTGTCGGCGTCGGGGAATGCAAGGGTTTCGCTGGTCACAAACGCAAGCCGATAGACTTTATTCCGAAGTTCCCCAGGCAGATCGCAGAAGCCGGTCTTCTTCTGCTCCTGGGCTGCCGTGCCCTGCGATTGCGGTACCGGTGTGGGCTTGTTCAACTTCCGCTTGGTGCGGCGTGGCTGCAGTTCCTGGGTGGTACCTTCTGTGTTGTCCTGCAGAAGGCTCCGGTCGAGCTTCACCACCAGAGGGCCATGGAAACCAAGCGGGACGTTGAATTGCAAGGTAATGGTCGGCGGCTTCTCCACGTTATGATGGAAGTTCCCGACGTCCTCTTCGTCCGAGGCCTCGTCCGGCTCCTCGTCATAGATGATAGGGTCCAACGGCGGAGGAGGAGGTGAGGGCGTCCGCTTGCGCTTGCGCGAGGGCTTGGCTACTTCGTCTTCGTCCTCTGAAGGCACCTCGGAGGGTTCATCATCCTCAATTATCGCAGAGTCGACGTAATCCGCGATCATCTTGATTTTGCCGGCGCTCCGACGGATCGGTCGGCCTGTCTTCTTGTTGTACTGCGGCAGTAGAGACGGACTCCCGAGCTCGGGGCTGCTGTCGCGATCTGGCGGGGTCGACGGAGCCATACTGGAGGAGTGTTAGTCCAACGGATGGTCTGCAAGCGTGTGGGTATCGGCGGGTCGAGGTGAGGTGAGTTGTGGGGCCAAGAGAGAGCGGTCACGGTCGGTTGGAGGGGCCCACTTGAGAAGAGGCAGGCGCGAGGCGTGAGGTTAGGAAGGTGCGCCCGGGCAGGTCCATCGACGACTAGGATGGCGGGGTCTTGGCAAGAAGAAGTAGAGGAAGGAGCGGGTGGAGACAGGTGAAGCAGGAGGAGCATAGGGAACAGGTATATGGAGTATTTCATGGAATTAAGACTGCTACCTACTGCGTGTCTGTGCCTGGGGACTGTTCGACAGGTGAACGTCAAAGCCGAGACAGCTGACCTTCATCACGAGGTTGCGCAGCGGTGATGCTTCTGTGAAGACTGCTCGACCTCACCATTGCTGAGACGGATCTCGTCCGTCAAGACACACGACTATTGCCAATCATAAGGTCTCTTGTCTCCTCTGGGTGGTGAGGGTGCCCGGAGCAGGTCAGCAGCACCCGCGTCGACCAGCGTGCGCCGGCCGAGCGAGAATGCGACTGTCTAACAGGCGTTGAATCATCTTGGTTTTAGTCGTGATGAAGAGTGGAAGTGAGGCCTGAAAGCGAAGAAAATGTGCGAGCGGAGAAAGTTCGGCCCGCGATCCCCAGCCACCACCGCCGCTAACCCCGGTGCTCGGCATAAGGCTATTAACGAACCACATATCGTTCGACGTCTACGACCTCTAGGACGCCGGCCACCTCCTCCACGACCACACCCCACAATGGCCACGCTGAGGTCTGTTTGTCGGGCGCCGCTCAGGCAGCTCAATTGCCGTTCTTGTCTTTCAATTGCCACAAATCATCCAAGATTGCCGCAGCGACAATGGCGGGGGTATGCGTCTTCCTCTCTGGAGAACCAGCAAAAGGCATGTTTCTCATAGAAGCTTGACCATGGGGACATAGCTAACACATCTTCAGCTACTCTCCGCAGACCTCGAAGATGCCGACCCAGTTGCGTACCAGATCATCGAGAAGGTACGTCGATATCCTCCACCGTCCTCGTAGCTTCCGCAAGCTCACCACGCTCCGAATGCAGGAGAAGGATCGGCAGAAACATTTCATAAATCTCATACCATCCGAGAACTTTACCTCCAAAGCTGTGCTCGATGCGCTCGGCAGCGTAATGCAAAGTACGTCCTCCAATGCCCGCCCTACAGGCGCGAGTCTCACACATCGCACGCAGACAAGTACTCCGAAGGTTATCCTGGAGCGAGATACTACGGAGGCAACGAATTCATCGACGAGGCTGAGCGCCTGTGCCAACAGAGAGCTCTCCAGACTTTTGGTCTGAGCGAGTCAGAATGGGGCGTCAATGTTCAACGTGAGTCTTCCGCGGCACAGGCAGTTGCGTCGCTAACAGTGTCTACTAGCTCTCTCCGGCTCTCCAGCAAACCTGTATGCTTATTCCGCCCTTCTAAACACCCACGACCGAATACTCAGTCTTGACCTTCCGCACGGCGGTCACTTGTCGCACGGCTACCAAACACCCACAAAGAAGATCTCCGCCGTTTCCAAATACTTCGAGACACTGCCATACCGGCTAGACGAGAAGACAGGCCTCATAGATTACGTGAAGATGGAGGAGCTGGCGAACCTCTACCGCCCGAAGATCATTGTTGCGGGAACATCCGCGTATAGCCGGCTGGTGGAGTACGAGCGCATGCGGAAAATTGCTGAGAGTGTAGGCGCCTACCTCCTCTCGGATATGGCACACATTTCGGGATTAGTCGCTGCTGGTGTCATCCCTTCGCCGTTCCCGCACTCTGATATCGTCACGACCACGACCCACAAATCGCTCAGAGGCCCGCGGGGTGCCATGATCTTTTACCGCAAAGGAGTAAGGAGAGTAGACAAGAAGGGTGTGGAGGAGAAGTACGACCTAGAAAACCCGATCAATGCTTCCGTATTCCCAGGACACCAGGGCGGTCCGCATAACCACACCATCACTGCGTTGGCCGTGGCGCTTCAACAGGCACAGACCAAGGAGTTCAAGCACTATCAGCAGATCGTGCTCGACAACGCTAAAGCCCTGGCGGAGCGGTTAGGTAACTCAAAAGAGCACGGCGGTCTTGGATACAACATTGTCAGTGGCGGAACGGACAATCACCTTGTGCTCGTGGACTTGAAGGACAAGGGCGTAGATGGTGCGCGTGTCGAGCGTGTTCTCGAACTCGTCGGTGTGGCGAGCAACAAGAACACCGTACCAGGCGACAAGTCGGCCATGAAGCCTGGCGGCCTGCGGATGGGCACTCCTGCCATGACCACGAGAGGCTTCCAACCAGAAGACTTCCGAAGGGTCGCCGACGTAGTACACCGAGCGGTCGGAATCACTCAGAAGCTCGATAAGGATGCGAAGGCCAAGGCCGAGCAGACGGGCAGGAAGAATCCGGGAAGCGTAGCGGCCTTTAAGGAGTATGTGGGTGAGGGCGAGGATATCATGGATATCATACAGCTGAGGAAAGAGGTCGAAGACTGGGTAGGGACTTTTAGCCTTCCGTGGATCAAGAACCAGTGACGGTAATGGAAGCGATTGCAGTCTGTGGAGGTCGGCAAGAAGTTCAACATTATGGTCTTAGGACGATCTCTTGACTTGGAGCTACGGAGTTACGGTGAAGCGGTTTTGCGTCTGTATATAATTTCTCGCTTCACTCGTTCTCTCCGCTCGGAACAATTGGAGAAATAGGGTTTGCTCTTTCACCGCCCTTGTCCACGCTCGTCCTCCTCGCTTCCTGTCCGCTACGACGCTGCTATTGTCCACTGCGACTCTATTGTTTCCTCTCATAGGCAGATATATCTCTTGGCCGCCCTCTGTCTTCCCATCAACTCCCAACCTTCTTGCGCGCGCCTTTTCTATCCCTGGACGACTCTTTCATTGCAGTCTGCTTCACGGGGCTTGAGGACCTCCAACGCGTTGAGCATCGCCACGTCCTGCATCCCTACGATCGACATTATCATCGTGGTCCCCGCCATCCTGAAGCCACTCAGCGCGCCCAATCGCAACGTTCGCCATGCTGTTTGCCGCGTTCACATCCGTCCTGCTCTACCTCCTCCTCAGCGCCGGCGCCGCCCTCTCACTCACCATGCCGACCAAACTCAACACCACAACGGCCTGGGCACCGCCCACCCTAACCACCCTCAACATACCAGCACCAATACCGAGCGTCAGCGACAGCGACCCTCCTACCAACATCCTCTCCACAGCCGCCAGTCCAAACCAGCACATACCCCCGCCGACGCACTGGCCCTGGTGGACCACGCCCGCTGCCTGGGTCCTCGTCGTCTACGACGTTGTTACTGGATTCGGATTACTGTGGCTGTATTGCACGGGCGGGATGGAGGGGCTTTGGGGGAGGCAGAGTGGCAGGAGTGTATGGGCTGTAGGCGCGAGGGGAGGCGGAAGAACGGGTGGGGCGAGGGTGGGGAGTTGGGTGCTGAGGAGGGAGGAGGCGAGGGAGGAGGTTATTGGGTGGGAGTTGAGGAGGTTGGGTATGATTTAGGGGAGGCGAGGGAGGATGGGGTTGGGTGGGTTGCTGTGGACTCTGAGGAGACAGGGAGATACTCATTGGTTGGACGGGATATCGTCGCGTGGATTGCTTCAGGCGCAGGAATGAGGAGCCGGCTACGCGTGGCTGAAGTACTGATTACTATAGTCGGTTTGAGAGTAGGATACTCACACCTAGCGCTTCATAAGCGTTCTTCTGCTTAGCCACTTCGATCTACCCATACCCTAGCCTGCATTCGGACTGCCACAAGCCCACACAGTACACCAAACTCACCTTTCCAAAAGTCAGTTTAGCCCATCCCCAAACCACAGTCACCGTTGGTAGGAGCAAAATGTGAACACACTCTTATATATCCAACAGTCATGCACCACTCCACGCGTCTCCGCCCAAATCCTTGGACACCTACCTACCAGGATTCTCTCTATACAGTACTCGGTGACTTCATACCACACCACACCATACCATGCCATTATCCATCATCGTACGACGGACCCACTACATCCCTCCCTCCACTCAATAGCATACACTCCCCTCCCTAAATCCCCCTCGCACTCGCACTCGCACTCGCATTGCCCATCCCTCATTCTTCCCCCTTCTCGAAGCCAGCCCATCCCCCAAATCCCCCAACAACACCCTCCGCTCGTACATTTATCACATAAATGCAAGCGCGATCTCTCGGCATCTTAATGCCTCGGGCCGCATCCCCTACCTCCCACGCGTACAAGCCCGGCGACATGACCCCGAGTCGCCACTTCCACCTATACAGCGAAGTAGGGGGAAGTCTGAAGGTGAACGCATAAAGACGGCGGCCAGGCGTTCTCAAATCCTGCGAACTTCTTGTAGCGCGCTAGACTGCGTTTGGGGTGGGCGAAAGCACTGCTGGGCTGGGTGAAACCGGGGTCTCCCATGACAAATGGCGTGTTTCAAGCTGAGGCTCGGGGAGCTTGGCGGGAAGATGCGCGCAGATCCATGGCTCCGAGAGAGGAGGCACGTGCTGGAGATGGGTACTGTGACGGTGACAGGTTGGGGTATTGCGGTTAGTTGAGGTAGATGTGCTGGGTTGATACTTGCGAATTAGACGATAAGGTTGTGATGGCCGTATCAAGGATATTGGGAGGGGATATTTGCTCGGTAGAGCCTTATGCTAATAGCGTTGAAGTGATGCGATGGGAGAGAATCACGAGCTTTGGATTACAGACATAGTGGACAGAGTGTAATACCTATATTTTTTGAAAGCGAGCGTCTGGATGATCGGGGGTATTCTAAGGTGCGGAAGACGCGTGGTGGGAACTAAGCTATGCTCATGCGGGAGTAAAAGGTAGTAGTAGGGAATAATTATGTCGAACAGCGAAAGGAAAAGAAAATGCAAAAATCCCTCGTCGACGATGATAACGCCTGTATAGCTGCTTTCTGCGAGCGAGCGATGGAGCCATCGGAATACTTCCTGCCATCGCGCAGATATCCGAGCAGCGCAAGTCTTCCCATAACATTAACTCATAGACGCCGTGGTGCTCCTCATTATATCCTTCGTTTCCCATCGCGTCTTGTGCTCTTCGGCCTGGCCGGTGCAGCTTGCGCGGAATTTTTCTCCGTCACGTCTTGTGCGCCATGGAGGCTGCAGCTTGCGTGGCTACCTTCGGTCCTCGTCACCTCCTCACACTCGGATTCCTCAGCGGTCCAGGTACCGCACTCGCCCTCTCATAGGGCCCGTCATCGACGCTCACCCAGTTGGGCACTGTGCTCGTTCGATTGCTCTTCGAATTCTGTCTGGTTACGCTCGCGCGTACAGTCCGCCCGCCAACGTTCCCAAACCCAAGGACTTCAGGCCGATCGAGATCGAAGGGATCGGATTGTCGTACTTTGGATGAGAACAGATTTGTTGACGGCCGACTAGGTCCTGGCTCGCCGAAGAAGGTGAACGAGGTGTTTGACTCACGGGAGACGGTGCTTGAGGTAGCGTTGAAGGCCGGAAGGGGAGCATATGCGTTGGCAGGACGAGCTGGTGGATTTGGCGGTAGTGGCTGGGTGGGCACCGGCGGGGCTTCCGTAGGGTCGAAAAAGGGGTTCTCAGCAGTCGTGTAGACGGACGCGGTGTAGGTTGATGGCGGATGGGAGCGCAGGGCTGTCTGAACGCTCGTGCTCCGTTTGTGTTTCTGTGCGGTCTCTCTGAGCCATTCGGGCGTGCCACTGCCGTCGCGCTCTGCGATTTCATCAAGAAGGGAAGCGAAGGGGTCTTTGGATCCTCGTTCGGACATGGCTGCCGGCTTTGGTGTGATGGGGGGCCGCTGCTGGTCCTGCAGACCGTCGAAGACGGATTTCGATTTCGTATCCCGATCAGGATTTAGTAGCATCAGGATCTTCGGCGGCTCTTCAGTGTCTTTGAATGGGTCGTCGAGACCGTTACTGCCGCGTCTCACAGGATCCTCTACAATGCCTGGGAAAGGCGACTTGGTGCCAACGACACCGTCCGGATTTTTCTGGAGGAGCGTCCTGGATCTCTTCAAGCTCGGCATACGGTCACCAAAGCCCCGGAGCTGCTGTCGTAGTTTCGACGGTGGCTCGCTGATCGATTGACTGCGCCGGTTCGACCGTACGGAGTAGACTGAACTGACGCTGCTGCGCACGCTGTGCCTTCGGTACGGATTTGTTGCCGGGCCAGCCTTCTTTCCCTTCATCTTTGCGAAAAACATACCGACCGTTGCAGGGATAGCCTCAAGTTTCTCCTGAACAGCCTTGATCTTGGCCAACAAGCCGCCATCTCCCCGACTCTTTTCGCTTATACGTTGCTGCCATTTCTCGAAGGTTCCCGTCTTGCGCCTCCTCAGGCAGAGGAATAGCAGGGTGCTGATGAGCGCAATACCCACGAAGCCGCCGACCACTCCACCAACGATACCAGCCACGTTTGTCTGCCCACCGTACGGAAGAGTGAGCCCGTTGCCGTCGCTGCTGCCACCCTGATCTGGTGAGATTACTCCAGCTGATCCCCCGGACGGTACTCCTGTCTCTGTCGACTGTGGCGGTTCTGGCTGTGTGTCCGACGAGGAATCCGAAGGCAGAGGAGAGTTGGACTGCTCTGGAAGCGCTGCGATGGACGACTGGGACGGAGAGTCGGATGGTAATACGGGTATCGGGGACACTGGGGATGTCGAGGTAACAGCTGTGGGTATGGAGTCAGAGCTTGTTGGTGCTGGGCTTGTTGAAGGCGCTGTGGTGGCAACGGCAGCCGCAGATACCACAGCCTGCGACTCATCGACTTCTGGTGCAGGAAGTGGAGCTGCGGCTACTGGACTCGACGGCGCGAGGTCTGCTAGAGCCGAGGCTTGCGCTACTGAAGAAATGACTGCACTGCTCGTACCTATCGCCGAGGATGCTGCTTCGGTCGGGGACGCTTGCTCAGCGTCTTGCGTCGAGGATGCGGGAGGCGGCGGCGGAAGCGAGGATTCGGCAGCGCTGGTTTCGACTTGCTGGGCCTCTGAGGTGGTGGTGGTAGAAGTAAATTCAGTGGGAGTAACAACTGCTGGCTCTGCAGTAGAGGTGGAAGTGGCCGCGGTACGGGCCCGGGAGCGAGTACATCGTCTCCCACTCACCGTCGTCGTCAAGTCCTGCGGAGTGGCCATGCAGAAAACACACTCATAGAAAGAAACGCCAGCAAGGGCTCAGAAGAAGAGACAGAGAGAAGAAAATCAGTGCGCGGTGGGCGCTTTAGGCATATTAAACGTGGGAAATTGAAGTTTCTGCAGACTGCCGGTGTGGACTGGAGAATAATGGCAGAGGTGGTGGCGGGCGTTGGAAGAGCAGCCGGATGGCCGTCAACCGTTGGCATAAGGCACAGCGCTTGGGGGGTCCTGAAACGGGAGCGGCTTCAGGTGCCGCTTCGGGCAACGATTCCAACACATGTGAAGCGTGGTAGGCATCGCACCCTCTAGAAGACGGCGACATGCTTGTCTCAGCCGAGAAAAATGATGGCGGACGGGATATGCTGGCGGCGGCGCGCGAGTGCATCGCGAGGCTCGCGGCTTCGCGAGTCGTGATGGTGTTGAGGGGCAGCGGAGACGCTGGAGCCGGCCGCACGTGACGCCGCTAGCCCAAGGCCAGAACTCGACTGCGCGATGGCTTTCCTCGGTCTCGTCAGGCATAGACGATTGCGCGGGGGGGTGGTGTTGTGGGAGGGTTGGTGCGCCATGGTGGAGTTGCTGGCGTCTGCGGAGCTGGGAAGGGGATTCCCCGGGCCAGCAACAACACCTCCGCGGACCGCCTCAACCAGCTTTCAGAGCGTGGTGTTTTCCGGATACAGTACAAGGCGACGGCAGGCGCGAGGAGACAGACGGCAGGCGCCATCGGCCCGGGCGTTCCTGCAGCTTCCAGCGTAGGCGAGGCGTCCCGACCGCTAATTCACATCCTCCGTCAACCTCCAACGCCATCCGCCCTCGTTTATTGATAGCCGCCTGGAAGCGTGCGCCTTCACGGCCATGTTCAATTTCAGCAGTAAGTCGTCTCCGATTGCCCCAGCACACCGTCCCCCGTCGTCCTTTTGCCGCTTCCTTCCGCGCCTTGGATTCACACTTGGGTCGACGCCACATCCGCGCCTGTTAGCCTATCGTTACATCCTCACCTTTGCACGTACCGCTTCAGCCTGGAAGCCACCTTTTCTTGCATCGAAGTCGACGTTTCGTGTTGATTTCGCATGTTTGGCTCCCTCGTTACATCCTCTCCACGGTTCCAACGACCACACGCGTTTCATCTGATCCGTTGCGCTCCGTGCACGTGAGTTATCGTCGCTCATATAGCTCACCCATGCAGACACGCTTCTTGCCGGCCAACATGACTGCGACAAGGAGAGGCCGCCGCCTTCACGTCCAGTCCCCATCACTTTTCCATCATTGACGCCTCCGGCGCCATCAATACCGGATCCCCCGCCTGCTTGGTCCAGCGGACCGTCTCGAGGGATTGCAGCACACTTTCTGAATCTCAGGAAGCCATCTGATGTCAGCACGGACACGCTGGCACTCTTGAATGTATCGTTTCAACCCGAGTGCGACTTCGAAACACTTTTCTCATCCCTGCCAAACGACGCGCAATCGCATCTACCACCCAAGTCTTGGTTGGAAACACCAGTCCAAAGCGAACCTCAAACCTCCGTACCGACAGTCCGCCTCCTCAGCAACGGAAGAAGGCTCCCAGACCGTAATGAGTTCTATGTCCGCGCAAAGGAGCTGTTTTTCAAGAATGAGGATGCCTTTGCCCACCTCACCCGCAAAGCGAACGGCCCCCAGGTGCCACTGCGATTGGCCCACTTTCGCAAATTCTGGGAAGGGCTCGACAACCTGGCCTACTACTGGGACAACTCGCTAGATGAATATCTACCGCCGAAAACAGGAACCGCCAACGATGAGGGCGCCGATGATAAGCTGCCAAACTTCGCTCCACGGATGACTGATGGTAAGGATCAAGCCACGGACACGAACTCAGAACCTGAGGCTATATCCGCTACCCAATCCCACGCTATCTCTCCAAGCGTCGAGGAACCGCGCAAGAAAGCGAAAACACGGCCGGCTAGTAATGAAACAGTTGCCCTCTCAGCGGACTCGGTGGGGCCAGCTAGCCGAACGGCGCCCCCTCGGCCATCTTCGATATCGTCAAGCAGGGAGCTACCGGCGAGATCCGCGCCGATGAAGGTCCCAAACATGGAGCCTCAGTCACAGCGAGCGCTTGATCTCTCCAAAGGGTCATACAAGGGCTATCGCATCGGCAACGGCGCCGAGATGCCCGATCAATACCGGCTTGAATGTGTCCGTTCATTCCTGGAGCCAATAGCTTGGGCGTTTGGCGTGACTCTCGTGCCTCATCGACGTCCTCCGGTGCTTTTGCTTGAGCATGTGCGCTTTCCGGTGCGCGTGAACTCAGTCGCGTGGCGAGGTCCGCAAGATAGAGCGAGGGCACGGCAAGGCTGGATGGAGGGCCCCGTTCTAGGTGTGCAATGCAGACCGGATATCAATTTCGGTTCTACTGGCAATCTGCAAGCAGAATCTGTCCTTGATGCCGTCCGAGAGCTTGGTGGAATGCTCTTGTTAGCTCAGGAAAGAGCACGCGAAGGAAAAACCGAAAGGAGGGGTGGCGAAGGGAAGTGGTGGACCAACAAGGTTCGCTGGGGTGGTGGGCCTGGCGGCGAAGTGGGTGAAGCTACAGGTCCCGGTGATGCACCAGTCGAAAGCACGCCGCAAGCAGAAGAAAGATCTAGCGGAAGACTTCGACTCGGTTCCAAGGATCGGCGGCGACCGACACCCGCAGAGATTTGGAAAGTCCTTAAGCCTGGAAACCCACTCTGGGATCCCAAAGTTGCGTATGAGGCCATCGGTAAAGATCGAACCGTCGAGTGGGATGATGTGAGTCCTTGTACAGCAGCTAGAAAAGGGCCACTCGCTGATGGGCATACAGATCTTCATGGTGTCATCACTAAATCATCATATCAGCGTGCTGAAGCTTCGTGTACACCCGCTCTATCTCCGGTATCTCACGGAGGGTATCCTACCAGAAAGCACACCATCCGATCCCACCTGGTGTTCTCCTCAGCTTCACAGGACTCGTTGGTACGATCTATTTAGTATCGAAGATCGAACGGAAGCTATGCGAGGACTATGGGGCATCATGGCCTATCTAATGCGGACGCAAGAGAAGCCCGATGTTGCAATGAAAGAGGGTTAATCCTTTTCTTCCGCTGTTTGACTTGTCTGACGAGTCATATGGGCAGACCGGTTTTGACGGAAGACAAACCTTCATTTTAGCATTGGATGTCTATATCAGAAAAGTACTTATCTTTGCCGTCGACCACATGGATGACTCAGTATCCATGTGAATAGGAACTCCCCGGAATCATTGGCCCTATCGACCAACAGCGCTCGCAAATGTAGCAACATAACGGTGTTGCCTTGCTTGTGGAGCAGAACCAGCCGGTTCGTGCATTACACGGCTCAAAATCCTCAAAAGCATTTCAAGCTGTTGCCCAGATCCTTTGTGGCACCATGTGGGAAGCAGTCTAACTGTTCCCAAATTAGGCCGGACATTGACAGTAGTAACAGATTCGAGAAAGCGGAGGCGATATTGGCGATGCGATTTAGAGCGCTTGCTCGATCATACGAGTGGGGGTTGCTTGTTGAGGGCAATTTGATGAGTCCAAGGCGTCACTAGATCATGATCGACAGTGAGCCTGTCGCCTTTGCATCTCTGCCTCTTGCCTCGTCTCCCAGTACGTCTCGCTGCCGTAATCGTGGCCCGGCTAAGGCGCCTCGGATTCTGTCTGACTCTAACTTCGATCACCCTTCTCACACTTGCCCCAACCTCACATCCGCTCCAACCACGAACCCGTTTTACCGGCCTATCACAATCGCCACCAAAAATACACAGATGGTTTGTTCACACAGCGACAGATTTAAACAACAACGGTCGTAATGCGGCTACACAAAATGTGACTGGCGAGCGGCTCCTCGTACCAGTAACACGCTCGCACATGTACGTCACGGCCCGGAACGCTGATTCCTGGTTCCTGCCATTCTCATATCAGTCGTCAACACCCAGATATTGCGAGTACGCGTCGTCTAGTGACTAGCAGTCTTCGCCCCTTTGCTGCGCAACTGTGGCGCTCGATAGCTTCATTGTGGGCAGGAGGCGCAGACCCTACGAATGTAACGCCTCTGTCAAAGCCCTTCGGCTCAGACGTGCCTGGAAGGCGTTCGACGCTGGTACAACATCCGGTGTTTCCCTACTTGGCCTCTAGGGACGACATCACCAAACCGCGTAAGACTCGTTTTCGAGAGCCGTCTCGATGCCTACTATTGGAAACAGTATACTTCGCGACCGTTGGAGAGGAATACGGCGAGAGACGAGTTGCAATCACCTGCTAGCAACCTGTGCCGGTTACGCTGATGCTATTACAGTTCCGCAGTCCACCTTTGCGCATCACGAGGGCAGCTTTTTCGAGTACCTCTCTTTCCGCTGTTGTTGCGTCCTTGAGTGCGCCGCACTAACTGCGACTCGCTCCAACATTGTGTGGCCCTCCTTCAGGCCACGGCAGCAATCCACGGACCGGGTTTGCAGTCCACCTCGAAGTACCTACGTACCCATCACGTATCTCCCGTGCGGACGACGGATTGCATCTCGGTTAGATGTATGTTAATACAGCACCCAGGCTTATATGTGAGCGAGGAATCCCTCGAGGATTTGCCCGGGAGGGATGCGGAACATGTCTCGGCGGACTGTCCGAGGTGCACAGTAATGGAGCATCAGGGGCTCTATCACTCGCCCATGCCTAAGAACGCCCCTCTTCCATTCGGAGTAACAGTGGCTGGATTGCTACGACAAAGGAAGAGGCGGTCAGTCTTGCTCTGCCCACTGCTTGATTCCAGCCTCGTTGTTGCCCTGTGGGTATAAAAGCTGCTCGTGCTTCAGACAGACGGGTGTTCCATCTCCACAGGACACGATTGACCTTGAGCGGTGAGCATCACTGCATTTTGCTCTTCTAATTCGCCTTCTTCTTCTGACGCCCCGCCCTCTGTCGTTTGTGGCATACACCGTCTTCACTCCAATCACTCTCATTCGTCCAACTCCCTCCGGGTACTACACTTCTGACTTCTTTCGTCATCACATACAGGCTCCATCCTCTACATATATTCACCCTCGACCTTCAAACCATCCACTCATCCGTCAACCGGACACCACACCACTACACCATGCATATCAAAACCCTCCTCCCAGCCCTCGCTATCCTCGCTCCCCTCGCCCACGCCGTCGACAAAACCTCCAACCCCGACCTCAACGGCCGCCTCCTCCTCGCCTCGACCAACCTCGACCGCCACGCCCTCCTCAACACAGACGAGGCGTGGATCCACGACTTCAACACGCAGAAGCCCACCGACGCCTTCAAGCCCGGGTCCGTCAAGAACGCCAATGCCGCCACCTTCCCAGCTTTGACGGGCATCGGTATGACGCTGGCGCAGTTGAACTTGGGGCCCTGTGCTATGCTGCCCCCGCATCTGCATCCGAGGGCTACGAACGTCGTCATTGCCATCACGGGCAATACGACGACGTATATGTATAATGAGAATGGGGTGAGGCCGGTGATCACGGAGTTGAGCCCGGGCTTGATGACGATTTTCCCTAAGGGGAGTCTGCACACGATGCAGAACAACGGTGGGTTACGCTTCTGTAGCTACTCTTAGTCTTCCCATCTAGTTCCCTAAGTCCTCCATCCATTCTTCCCTCCTTCCATCCAGAAAATACAATGGATATACGGCCATGGTGACAGACACGTTACTAATACATCCGCAGGCTGCGACAACGCCTACCTCGTCAGCGCCCTCGACTCGGACGACACGGGCACGCTCAACATCCTGAACGGCCTGTGGAGCTTCGCGCCGGACATGGTGCGCGCCGCGCTCGGCGACGCGAATCTGGATGTGCAGGACGTGGGGAAGCGCATTCCGGAGGTGGGCACGGGGTCGAGCCTGGGCAGCGAGGAGTGCAAGAAGAGGTGCGGGTTGTGAGCTTTGCTGAGCTGGGACTGGGCTGGGGCTGAAACTCAGTTGATCTGATTGAATATTTTTCGGTTGTGCTTCTTTGCATTTGCGTAGACGCTCGTTGTTGCTGCTGTTGGCGGGAGGGGAGATGAGATATCGGAGGGTTGAGTCACTCACTATTTGCTGAGGTTCTGCGTTGAGTTTCTTGCTGGCTTACGTTCTTCATGCTTGTTGTTACGATGTAGAACTAGGAAAGCAAAAGTAGGTGGCGGCGGCGGAGGAGAAATCGAATCCGAAAAAAATCGCCTGTTGGTTGCGCTCTATCTACACTACCTACCCACCTCATTGACCAGCTTTCTTTCTTTCCTGCATGCTATTTCTCCTGGTTGTCTTTTCTTCTCCCTCTACCCCACTTCTCCTCCCCTTCCTTCCCTACGTGCACGAATCTACACAGTACCACCCCAGCGCCCTCGAGCGTGCGTAGCGTGGCACCCATCCACCCACCCATCACACACAGTGTCACCTCTTCGCATTCGCACTCGGCATCATCCGATCTGTCTGCACCCACCGACCACCACGCCCGTCCACGCCCGTCCACGCCCGTCCACATGTCCCCCTCCCCAATACGCAATATGCACAGGTCACTCACTGACTTAGTTCCCCCTCACCTACCCCCTCACCTACCCATCCAGCAAGACCAGACGTCAGGTTCCCTCATGACACGAACAGCTGGTACGCTTTTCCTCCCATTGGGCGGGTAAGCTGCGGTAGGTAGGTAGGTACGACGACGCCGTCTTGCTGCTAGTCGAGTCATACATATGTGATAGAGGGGTAAGGGAGGGGTTGTTCACGCTGCTATCTGTCTGCATCGAGTGAGTGGATGGGTGGGTGGGTGAGCAGGACTGAATGGCAAACGTGTGGTAAAAGCAGAGCCGGTGGCCTGGTTCATGGAGGATGTGATGGAAGGGAGTGAGGGGTTCTTTGACCGGCATTTCGCACGTCGAAAGGAAGAAGATCGAGCGCAAGGAGAAAGGGCACACTTGGAAAAAGTCATGTACATGTATGTATTTCCATCCCATGTCTCCGACGGCCCAATCTACTCCAACGGGGCGTTACGAAAGACGGACCCTAAACCCTTACAATATCATACACTAGCACTATACCCAGTGCCCACCAATCTCCTCCCCATCTTCCATCTCTGGAACCACTTCCTCCCCTCATCCGCCCAAAACACACAGCTCGCCACGGCGATTAAATGCACTAAATCGATTAACCCCAGCGCCTCCGTCTGGAAAATGCTCTGCAGCGGCGGAAAGTAGATAACCAACAGCTGGCCAATCAAACTGCCCGATACGGCGTAATTAAACATCTTGTTGGAGAAGAGGCCGATTTCGCCGGCGAGCACGGATTTCGACTCGGAGCGGCAGGTCAGCGCGTTGAACATGTCGAACAAAACGAAGCAGGTGAAGGTCATGGTGGTGTCGCGGGCTGTGACTTCGTTGTCGGCGGTCATTTCGCGGTAGTAGGTCGTGAGGGTGCCAAGCATGATGATGGTGGCGGATTGGACAACGCGTTGGAGGAGCGCTCGGGTTAGGACGCGCGCTTTGCGTGGGCGAGGCGGGCGCGACATGACGGCTGGGTCGACGGGCTCGACGCCTAGAGATTGCGCGGGTGGGCCGTCCATGAGGATATCTGTAAGGAGTTAGCGGGTGTCTTGATTTACGAAGGAGATGGACGCACTTATCCACAAGATCTGCATGGCATTGAGCGGGTTCTGGAAACCGAGGAAAGTGCTCAGCAGGACCAAGCTAAGTGCTGCTGCGCTGGTGCTGAGCTGGAATGTGAGGAAGTTCTGAATGTTGTAGAAGATGCCTTTCCCTTCCTCAATTGCGTTCAAGATTGTCGAGAAGTTGTCGTCGGTCAGAATCATGTCAGCAGCCTCCTTGGCGACATCAGTACCTAACTTCCCCATGGAGATGCCGATATCTGCTTTCTTCAAGGCCGGCGCATCGTTGACGCCATCGCCAGTCATAGCAACAACGTCTCCTCTTGCTTGAAGGGCACGAACAATCTTCAGCTTGTGCTCCGGGCTTGTCCTCGCAAAGATAGTGGTTGTGGCGATGGCTTGTGAGAGCTCCTCTTCGGTCATCTGGTCCAACTCATCGCCGCGCAGGACAGACCGGCCGATGGACGAGTTCATGCTGATCGGCATACCGAGCTTCCTGCCAATAGCAACGGCCGTCGTCTCTGCGTCGCCGGTGATCATGATCACCTTGACCTTGCCAGCCATCAATCGCCGAATGGATCGCTCCACACCTTTCCTTGGCGGGTCGTTCATGCCAACAAGGCCCGCAAATACCAGGCCGCGATAGTGCTCATCTTCGCCAAGCCCAGAGCTGGATGGTGGCCCTGGGGATGCTGTTCCACTTACACCTTTGCTAGGTGATTTCCGACCGTCTTTTGATGCGCCGCTTGCGAATCCAAGCACTCGTAGCCCGTCTTGCGCCATCATGTCTGCCGCTTTCATAGCCTCCTGCTTACGTGCTTGATCTAACGGGACTTCCCGACCTTGGGCGTTGACGTAGGTATCACAGCGATCCAGCACTTTCTCTAGGGCGCCTTTGATGTATGCCACGTCCGGCCCGGGGGTAAGTTCTGGCCCTGAGCTTCCACTGATGACTACACCCATCCACTTCCTTTCAGAACTGAAGGGTGTTTCGTAACGTCGAGCTCCGATCCTCTCTCTTACGTCATCCTCCCCAAAAGCATCTAATAAATCGAGCAACGCAACATCCGTAGGTTGCCCAACCCATCTGCTCTTTACGCCTGACGTGTCATCGCCCATGGTGGATGACAGAACAGCGGCGGTGGACGCTGCGCGGGTGCCTAAGAGACGCGCATTATTGACAATGTTTCCAACCCTTAATATCGTGCGAGTTGGCGAGTCGAGAGCGGCCGATTCGTGTTTCTTTTTCACATCGATTGGAGACAACTCGTCGAAATGCCAGATCTTCGTAACGGTCATATGGTTCGTGGTCAATGTGCCTATACTATCGTTAGCAGTGTTTGGAGTTCTGTCGGTATCAGCGACATACCTGTCTTGTCGCTACAGACTACATTGACGGATGCCAGTGTCTCGACACTGGGTAGACGCCGTACAATGGCATCTCGCTTCGACATGCGGAGAACACCCAAAGCGAGCGTGACGGTAACAATGATAGGAAGTCCTTCCGGAATGGCCGCCACGGCCAAAGACACACCAATCTGAAACATCTCCAGGAACGCCCAGCCCCTCCAAAGGCCGAGCAAAATGATAAAGGCAATGACTCCAAACGACATGTAGCTGAGCTCTTTCCCGAGTCTGTCCATAGAAAGCTGCAATGGTGTTCGCGGGCTCTCGATCTCCTGTAGCGATGCTGATATGGCTCCAAACTCTGTATTTCCGCCTGTACCGATTACTAGACCTTGTCCGTATCCGGAACGGACAAGTGTGCCCATAAAAGCGATGTTTTTCTGATCATTCAGTCGAATATCGGCACCAACTGTACCCGCAGCGGGTGATGCGTAGAAAGGCGATCGTGGTCGCTGTATGCCGGCGGCAGCGGCGATTGTGTCTGGCGACTTTGGGACCGGCTCATTCTCGCCGGTGAGATTGGACTCGTCGATGGTAAGGTCCGCCGCATGAGTGATCCTGATATCTGCTGGTATGCGATCGCCAGTGTGGAACAGGACTAAATCGCCCGGTACCAGCAACGTAGCGGATATGGTGATGGACTGACCCTCGGCGGCTTCTAGAGATGCTGGAGTATCTTTAAGATTGTCCATTTCGATGCCCTCGGAGTTGGCGTCGTTCCCCAATCGACCATTACGCGGGTGCTCCGCCCCAGCGCGAATAACATGAGCTGAGTGCGGGACTAATTGACTTAGCGCTTCGAGCGATTTTTCAGACCGATATTCCTGCACGAAGCCCACTGTGACCACGATGGTGACGGCAGCCGTGATGCTGACCGCATCCTCCAGGTTTCCCATTATTAGAGACACGACGGCGGACCCAAGCAACAGCAGAATCAGCGTCTCCTTGAACTGCTTGATAAACCGTAGCCATAGTGGCTCCGGCTCCTCGTGGGGGAGCTCATTGAGGCCATGGGTGTGTATTCGAGCGGACGCGGTTGACGAGGAAAGGCCACGGGTGACAGACGTTGACAGCTTTCGCGCGGTCTCTTGGGGAGACAGGAGGGAGAACGAGGAGGTTATCGACTGCAATGCAGGTGTCTATTAGCTCTGACACGGTGTGGAGATGAATGCGCTGGGAGAGAATACCGAAGGTGTTGCGCGGCGCTGCGGCGGCTCCGGAGGCTGCAGCAACGGCGACGCTGCGCGCGGAGCCTTGGTTGACCCGTTGGGGACATGATATAACGGTAGCGCAGGCGTCGAGGCTCCGGACATATTGGCATGGCCAAAGGGCCACTGTTGCGCGGCGCACTCTTGACGTGGCCTGTACGGAGGTGGAGGCGGCGAGGAGCGAGGAGCGAGGAGGACTACGGGTATGCTGATTATCTCATTGATGCGAATGGGGGCTATTGCTGTGGACGTGGACGGGGAGCGCTGGCGGCGAGGGCAGGATTGAGGATCGAAGTTCTTTGGCTCGAGCGAAGTACGCGGATCGTGGGATCTGAGTTAAAACGTAGAGCACGACCGAGCGCCTCGGGTGCAGTGCAGCGTCTGGGGTCTGGAGCTTGTCTTGTCTATGAGTTTCAAGTGCGATTGATTGTTTTACCGGCCCGCTGGCGCACCGGGCGCACGCCTGGCAAAAGCAAGCCCAAATGCCCCTGTTCCCGGAGCTATCTCAGACGCAAAATAACTGCTATTGACGGCTTCATCCACAGTCTCACGGATCTGGCCTTGGCAGGCCGCATTGGGCACTACGGCATCAAGTGACAGCGTGTTTCTCGTCTCGAGCGCCGGCTTCATCCGTTCTCGAACGGCACGAACTGTGAAAGCGCTAGACTGTTAGCCTCCCAGAGACGGCGCTTGGAGCCACGTCGCCGGAGGGTGAGTGATTCGGGCCTGGCTGCGACGTGATTGTATCCTTTTCGGCCCTGCAACTTCACCCGCGCATCCCTGCAGGACTGTCCATGCTGGATTTCGCAGACAAATCCCGCCGGTAGAAGCTGCGCGGAGTGACAGACTGAGTTATGTTGGGGAGCAGCAGGCGCCCGCGGGCTGCAGCAGTGGTGGCAGAAGACATCGAATTTAGATAAGCGCCAAGCGCCCGCCCAGGCAGTCGCCCCTGCTGTGCTCTCCCAGCCTCTTCGCTTCGTACCAGCCCTCACCCTGGAGCTCCGACCGACGTCAACACCACACACTTCCTCTCCATCCCCCGCCGACGCCTCACGCCCTCGCTGCAATTGCGACGACCGCGCGCACGTTCGGCGCTCCTCGACCTGCCGACTGCGCCCAAAATTACACGACCAAGCCTTCTCGCGCTCTGACGCGCCGGACCAAAACAACACAACTCCCGCGCGCACCACCCGCGCCCACCCTCAACCCGCATCTCAGCTCTCGATACAAGCGCAATCATGTTCTATCCGACGGAATTGCTCCAACGGTCGGGCGCGCTGGCCCGCGTCTGGATGGCCGCCAACGTGGAGAAGAAGCTCACCAAGGCCCAGGTGCTGCAGGACAAGATCGACGAAGACATCAGCGAGATCATGCGGCCCCGCGCCCCCTTCTCGCTGCGTCTGAGCGGCTCCCTCCTTTTAGGCGTCGTGCGCATCTACAGCCGAAAGGCGCGTTATTTGCTCGACGATGCTAGCGACGCGCTCTGGAAGATTAAGATGGTATGTTGCGCTCTCGTGCTTTTTGCTGCACTCTTAACGCGTCTCAACAGGCCTTCAAGCCTGGCAATATCGATGTGTCGGGCGCATCCCACATTGCAAACCCGGCAGCTCTAACCCTGCCGGATGCCATCACCGATATCGACCTGCTCGCGCCAATGCCCGACCCATCGTTGCTCCTGTCCCAGCCGCTAGACTTTGGCTTGGGTCTTCCCGACGTGCCCGTGCCGGATTGGGACAGCAGTCAATTTTTGTCCGGTAGCATCGAACAACCACGCGCGGAGCCCGACATCTTGGATGACGGTGAAGACCTCAACCTCGACATTGGCGGCGATCTGGACCTGCTGGAGCCATTTGACGACGGCACCAGCATTGAACGAGGTCGTGACGCGCCGCTGGAGCGACGCGCTTCCGACGAATTTGCCTCAAGCCCAAAGGACTTGCCGGAAGAGGACTTAGGGCTAGATATTGGCGAGGACTTCACTGAGCTCCCGCCCGCGCCGGAATTGAACATCGACGACGATGTAGACATTACTATGGGTGGCATGACTGAAATGGAGCCGCCGGCTGGCGGCGCTGCCCCAGGAGCTCGTGAGCGATCCATATCTCCGCTCTCTGAACTGGCAGAGGACGAAGAACGAGCACTGGAGCGGGCCTACGAACAGGATCAGAGTACAAGCATGTTCCGACCTGCACCCGAGGAGGAGGAAGACGAGGAAGAGCTAGTACATCAAGCTCGAGCCAAGCGCCGAAGGGTCATTCAACAGGACACCCAGACTCAGATGTCCTCCAACGAAATCAGGGCGCAACAGAACAATCGCGATAGCATCCTCAAGCCGGCCTCCTTCCTACCGCGCGATCCACTGCTCATGGCGCTCATGAACATGCAGAAGTCGGGAGGATTCGTGTCCAGCATTCTTGGAGACGGTCGAAGCCAGGGTTGGGCTCCCGAGCTCAGGGGTATTCTGTCAATGGAAATCGTGTCGCGCCCAAGCCATAAGCGAAAGCGAGACAGCGGTGTCGCTGACCTGGAGACGGGCGACGAACAGGCAGGTGCTGGCGCAGAGAAGACTCCTCAGCTGGAATTCGAACACGATGAGATTGCTTTTGAGGATGTTGAGGTCCACCTCGGCGGTGACATATCTCTTGGGGGAGAAGAGGAGATGATCCAGCTACCCGACGAGCCCATCGAGCTACAAGAAGAGGAAGACGTCTTTTCACCCGTGCCGGACAACTTTGACGACACCACCGCTCCTCTACTGCACCCCGCGGATAGCGGAGTTGTCTCGCTCGAAACGAAGCATGCCGTCCACCTTCTGCGCCAGGTCTTCGGAGACGCCGCTGCGACCAGCGAGGAAGAGCGAAGGAACACCGCCATATCATTCCAGGGTATGTTCCCCGAAGCCTCGACAACAACGGCGGATGTCGCCCGGATGTTCAACGAGGTGATGGTTCTGGCAACCAAGGACGCCATCAAGGTCGAGCAGCAGCCGAAGGAGAACGAGCTGGGTGGGCCAATCAAGATCCGTGCCAAGCGAGGTCTCTGGGGATCGTGGGCAGAAACAGATGTCTCCGGAGAGAAAGCCATCAAAGCCGCGGCAGATGCTCAGCAGCCGCCGCAGGCAACCGCATCAGCAACACCCGTGGTACCCATCCATTCTGCCGAAATTGCTGTGGAAGCATGAGGGAGGGACCGTTTGTTTGAGCATAACCTTCGCATCGGATTCTCTAGGCGCTTTCTCTATTGTTCTAGCGGCGTTAGAATACCCTTTTGAGTATGTGTGGGATTGAAAAGACTTGGCTATGGTGTTGAAGGGGTGCGTGGCTTGGTATTCTTATTTCTTGCATTGGATAATGGGCTCCATTAGAGAGCGGAATGCACATGGGCTCGCAATGTACACCGTTTAAGTGTGCCTGACTGACTTCAGTGCCCTTTCCCAATGTCCGTGATCGCTCGCAAAGGGAGTGACGTCCACTCTGCCAAGCCCGGAACTTTTCTGGCTGCCGATTCCGATCCTCCGACTCATAAATTTTGGGACCAGCCCGAGCTTGCTGCAGGTCACTCAGAAGTGTTCTGATGCCCATACACTACCTCCGCATCCCAAATGTCCAGTTCACACGAAGCTTCTCCTCGTACACTCGCGCTCTACAAGCTCTGGCGCAGGCCGCTGCACCAGAGTCCCGACATATTCCTCTTTCCGCGCTAAACGCGTCGCGACCGCGATTCTACCCTCACAACGTAGACACATTCACAATGGAGACCGCTACCTTTCCCGTGGATCCTACTAAGCTGGGGGAAATTACGATCAAGAAAGCAGAAGAAGTGGAGGATCTGGTGGATCGGTGGAGCATTCAATATGAGCAAGGGCAGGACTCAAAGAGCTTACATGGCGCGGCGAGAGAGCTGAGGGAGACCGATATACCTGTGGCCTTTCCGACGGAGACAGTTTATGGGCTTGGAGCAGACGCGACCAGAAGCTCGGCGGTGCGCGCTATTTTCGCCGCGAAGGGCAGACCGGCGGATAACCCGTTGATCGTACACGTCCACTCCATACCGCAACTACGTAGTTTGCTGTGGGGGAAGAAACACGAAGTAGAAGGAGGTCCAGATCCTATCCCAGAGATTTACAAGCCCCTGATCAGGAAGTTCTGGCCAGGACCTCTAACGATTATTCTTCCGAATCCTGAGGGCTCTGTGCTAGCGCCGGAAGTCACAGCAGGGCTCAACACATTCGGCGCCCGCATGCCACGCAGTATACTCGCACTGGCGCTCATCAGGCTCGCAGGCGTACCGCTCGCTGCACCCTCTGCAAACGCATCCACGAGACCCTCGCCCACCGCTGCCGAACATGTCAAGGAAGATCTGGATGGGCGAATACACACGATTATCGACGGCGGACCCTGCGAAGTTGGTGTTGAGAGTACGGTCGTAGACGGACTGTCATATCCTCCCACCATTCTCCGCCCCGGCGGTGTCACAGTCGAACAATTACGGCGGTGTTCCGGCTGGGAGAATGTCGTTGTGGGGTATAAGGACAACCACGAGCAGGGTATCAAGCCTAGGGCGCCTGGAATGAAGTATAGGCATTACTCGCCGAAGGCTACGGTCATCTTATATGAGGCGGGCACGAAACCGCCCGAGCTACTGGATATGCTCGACCCGGAGAAGGGGTACAGCTCCATTGGAATCATCCGGACGAAGTCTTGGTCGATAGCTTGTGGATCCTCAACTGGCGATGGAAGCGGAAATTCTGCAGCGCCGCAGATAAACGGGACCCCAAAGTGCACGACCACAATTGCAAAAGCCAACTTCCAGAACCCCGACTCAAGTCCTTCCAACCTTTTGCGCTCCGTATTCCAGCATCAAGTTCCGCACGCTACATTGCACTCCTTTCCATCGTCGCTTGGAGCGCCGACTTCCGTATGGGATATCGCGCTCGGCACATCGACCGAAGACGTAGCTCGAGGACTCTTCTCAGCGCTACGAGAGCTGGACAAGAAAAGGGTGGATGTAATATTCGTGGAGGGCCTTGATGATAAGGTGGGCGATGATATAGCAGCCGCCGTCATGAACCGGCTGAGGAAAGCCGCCGAAATAAGAATATGAAAGAAATGAATCAAGACCTCCCCTCAAAAGTCGCATTTTAGTGCGCAAAGCAACATAGCCTCGACGCGGTTGTTCTTGAATGGGCTCCCAGTCAAAACTCCCTGATTTCATTAGGCTCACCTCTTCCCCCTTTTTCTCTCCTCTTCCACCACCTCCAACACCCTCCTCGTAATCCTATCCCTCTCTTCCGTATCCACCGTCCCATAGCACTCCTTCGCCTGCCTAAAAACCCCCTCCTCCCACCCATCCCCCACATTAACCCTCCCCGCCTCATCCCAGCAAGCCTGCACCGTCCCCCCTATATTCGCAAAGAACCCCTCCAAGCCCGTCGACCCCCCACCCGCATGATAGCTCTTAAACGGGCCCGCCACCGCCCACCTTGGTCCCATCGAGCTCTCCACAATCCGATCCAGCTCCTGCACGCCCACCACCCCCTGCTCCACCAGGTGCACAGCTTCCCGCAGCAGCGCAAACGCGAGCCGGTTCGCTACGAACCCCGTGGTTTCTCTCTTCAGCTGGATGGGCACGCGCCCGCGACTTGTCCAGAAGGCCTGCGTGCGCTGGATCACGGACGGCGAGGTGGAAGGTGAGGGCACGAGCTCGAGCAGCGGCATGATGTGCGGCGGGTTGAACGGGTGCACGACGAGCAGGCGCGTTTTGTCGCGCATGTGCTGCGCTTGCTGCGACGCGGGGAGCCCGCTAGTGCTGCTCCACAGCAGGGCGTCTTGCGGGGCGTGGCGCTCGACGTCTGCCCAGAGGGATTGCTTGAGCGGCAGGGACTCTGGGCCGGATTCTTGGATTATGTGGGCGGTGGAGACGGCGGAGGGGAGGGAGTGTGCGATTTTTATCTGCGAGAGGGAGGCTGGGGTTGGGCTGTCCCCGGGGGGGAAGAAGGTTGGGAGGGTGGAGAGGATGTGGGCTTCTAGGTTGGGCCGGGGGTCGTAGATTGTGAGATGGGAGGGGGAGGGCAGGTGGGTGAGGTGGAAGGCGGCGAAGGAGAGGCCTATGGTGCCGGCGCCTATTAGGGTGATGTTTAGGTGGGGATCTTTCTCCATGTTCGAAGTGTGAAGGGCTTGTATGGTTGAGGAGATGGGGGTTAGATGATGACTATGGAGTAGTGGTGGGTGTGGTGGAGGTACAGCCGAGGGCTCGATGGCAGATGGCGCGCACTTCAGAGCAAGGTAGCCTACGTCCCTGGGCTGGGGAAACCCACAATGTTCGGAGCCAGGTTCGCGGGTTTGAGGCTCTGTATGCAAAGTTCGAGCTCCTGGGCGTCTGAGTAGTGGTTTAAAAGGTGTAAGGTCGATCCTCTCCGCTTTCGGATAGCTTGGGAAGCTTCCAACCCCACCCTTCAAGCTCCATCCCCGCTCCACGATCGACTCGACCATGATGAATCCGCTGGACCTGCCCGCTCCGAGGCAGAGTGATGGCGCTGGTCATCGGCACAGACTCGGCCGGGCATTCCGAACCCTTAAATACTACATTTCCCGAAACTTCGCATTATTTAGTCTCTAGCACCATTATTGCAATTCTTCGAGATACATCCGAATAGACACCGCGTCCGTATAGATAGTCCATCTACATCACAATGGTCATTTTTAAATCAAGACAGCCACCAATTAACCGTAAACATCCCCTTCAGACCCGTCCATGCAAAAGCCACCCCAAACTGACATCTCCCAGTGCCAACCGATTTAACAGACTGGGACTGGCTCTTCGACTCCCCCTACTCGCCTATCAACAACTACCCGCCAGACCAACTCGCCGGCTTCCAAAATGCCATCACAAAGGAACGTGTCAACTGGGCCGACGTCAAGAAATACTCAACCTACATCTCCACCGCGCTCGTCAAACGCTATGGCCTGAAGGAAGGCCAGACGATCTCGCTGTTCTCCCAGAACACTGTCTGGTATCCCGTAGCTATGTTCGCGGGCTTAAGAGTAGGAGCTAAGATCTCCGGTGCCAGTCCGGCGTATAATGTCGAAGAGATGACATTTGCGCTCAAGACGGCGGATGCGAAGTTTCTCATGACGACGCCAGGAAGCATGGAGGTCGCGAGTAAGAGCGCCGAGGCAGCGGGCCTACCGAAATCAAACGTCTTCCTCCTCGAAGGAGAACTGCCCGGCTACACCACCGTCCAGGAGCTCATCCGCATCGGCCGCTCCTACGGCGAATCCGGCCAGACACCCGCCTTCAAACTCCCACCTGGCAAGAAGAATAAGGACGTCTGCGGCTTCCTCTCCTTCTCCTCTGGCACCACAGGCCTCCCCAAAGCCGTCATGATTTCCCACCAAAACGTCATCGCGCAATGCCTCCAGATCCAGCAAATAACGCCGCCGACGCAGAAGAAAATCATGGCTGTTTTGCCGCTCTTCCACATCACCGGCCTCGTCCACCAAATGCACCTCCCGGTGCTGATAAACGCCGAAGTCGTCATGCTGCCGCAATTCAGCATGGAGAAAATGCTCGACGTGATCGTCGAGTACAAGCTGGGCGAGCTGCTCATGGTGCCCCCGATCCTGATCAGACTGGTGCGGGACCCGATAGTCGACAACTACGACCTCAGCCACGTGACGCGCTTTTCGTCCGGCGCCGCCCCGCTCAGCGAGGAAATCATCCAGCTGCTGCAGAAGAAGTTCCCCAATACCGGGTTCAAGCAGGGCTACGGCATGACCGAGTCGTGCAGCTGCATCACGGCGCACCCGCCCGACAAGTTCAGCTACAAGTACGCGCACAGCGGCGGGGCCATCGTCGCCAGCACGGAGGTCAAGATCATCAAGCCCGACGGGACGGAAGCGGATGTTGGTGAGCAAGGCGAAGTGCTCGCGCGCGGGCCGCAGATCGTCATGGGCTACTTGAACAACGAGCAAGCGACGCGCGAGACGTTTGACGAGGACGGCTTCCTGCACACGGGCGACCAGGGCATGGTCGACGCCGAGAATATGATCTACATCACCGACCGCATCAAAGAGCTGATAAAAGTGAAGGGCATCGGCGTTGCGCCTGCCGAGCTGGAGGACCTGCTGCTGGGGCACCACAAGGTGGAGGATGTGGCTGTTATGGGCATCCAGGACGACTACTCGGGCGAGCTGCCGAAGGCGTTTGTGACGCTGAAGCCGGGGCATGTGGCGGATTCGGCGGTGGGGCGGGAACTGATTGAGTTTGTGCAAGATAAGAAGGTGCGGCATAAATGGATTAAGGAGGTCGAGTTCATCCCGGAGATCCCGAAAAGCGCGAGCGGCAAGATTCTGCGGAGAGTACTGAGGGAGAAGCAGAAGAATGGGAACGATAAGGGTGTTGTGGTTAAGGATGAGAAGAGGGCTAAGCTGTAAAGTGTCGTTTGTGAAGGCAGGAACATGAGATCGAAAGACAAATGCAATACACTTGCTCATTCTAAACACTGAAGTAATACTTCTGGATATGACCGCGATGGCTGTGTAAGGCCTAATCCCCGCTCACTGTTCTCCGAATGCGTGAAGGTTCTCCTGGCACAGGATGGTGGAGATACGCGTATCGATAGGTGCATGGAATCTGGAAACGAACCATCCCAACTCCTTTTCGCGCCTCTCAGAAATGGCTCGGAAAGCCTTGCTCGCCAAACGCCTTGCCAGATGAAGTATCTCGCACGTTTCGTCATGCGCTTGGACGGGAACCTCCGCGCGCATAGAGTTCGCCCTCTTGGTCTGCCCGCACAGTCTTAACCAAATTTCTCTCTCATATCGCCCACCGGTAACTCGCGTATCGACCAGCGGTCTCCGATTTCCTGATAATCTTGACAACTTGCCCTCTCCTCAGCCCCAAGTACTTCGCAACTGGATCTGTGACCTGAATCCTCGGCAACTGTGTCTCCTTAAGGCGATACCGCTTTAGCAGCTGGTCTTTCTCCTCCCTGCTCAGTAGCACATGCTTCGGCACTAGCTCATGTTTCGTGATGTTCACCAACAGATCTTGCTCAACAAAGACCTCTACACCGCCCTTTGGTCCCTCCTGGATGCCCGCTGCGCCGCGTAGCAATCGAAGCGCCATGCCGGTCATGGGCTTCATGCAGATCATGATGCCGGAGTAGAAGGAGCCATTGATCAGATGCTGCATGTAGTCGCGCAGCTGCTTGAGGCCGACGTTCTCGTCCGAGTTGAATTCCACCCAGATGTTGCCGATGTCGGGCTTCGGGTCGGGCTCGGTTTTGGAGGGCGGTGGCGTGTATTTCCGCATCATTTCTTCGGAGGGTTGGCAGGAGAAGTGGAGGCGTGAGCGGCTGCGAGAGTGTCAGTTTTGCGCCGCGAGATGCTGCGGCCGGAGTACGTACTCTGGCTCCCCGTCTTCGCGCCCATATCTCGCTGCGAACTCAGAGAGAGATATCTGGGTATCTTCATCAAGCATTTGGTAGCCCTTCACGCCGCCGTCAGCTCTGTAGCTTGCCTGCGCCGGAGAGAGGAACGAACCCTGTCTCTGCACATCTCCTTGGTGGTGCGGTAGACGCGCCACATGCGAATCAGATTTGGGTGGTAGTTCTCGCGGTCGTCCGCCATGTTACTTTCCGCGCGCGAGGTGAGACTGTGGGGGTGGTGTTGAAAGAGAGGACGAACAAGGCGTTCAGTCGCGACTTTCAAAGAAAATGCTGAGGACCGCAAGAGGCTGGCTTGGCGTGCAGATTCGGCCTTTCCGGATTGGGGCTGGCGTGCCCCGCTCCCCGGTTCCGCCCCGCCAAAGCTCGTCCTCGCCCGACATCATCAGCATCATGGCCGACAGTCAAATACCACACCTCAAGGCGCTTCTTGGGGGTCGACGCGGAGGCCTCTCACGAGGCAGAGGCAGAGGGCGAGGAAGAGGAGGTTTCGGAGCTTCCCATGGCGAACACGAAGCTATCGTGGATGATGCGGTGCGTGGGACGGATCAAGATGCCGCGGGCTCGAGGGTGAGCTGTGTGGAGCTTGGGTATTTGGACGATCCGTATGCGAAGCTGTTCGCGACGCGACCCTCGACACGGAGGCTCCCTCTTCTAAATAGAGGTAAAGCAAAGATACACCCAAACAATGGCTCTGCTAATGCTATGCTGCAGGCAGTTACGTCCGCACCTCTGCCATCGACCTGCTCATCGACCGATTCCTCACCACCTCCCCCTCCTCTCCCAAACAGATAATATCCCTCGGTGCAGGCACCGACACGCGCTACTTTCGTCTGCGAGACAAGTACCCCAACACGCATATCCTATACCACGAGATCGACTTCCCCATGAACACCGCAGCGAAGCTCATCTCAATACACCAACATGCCCAATTACATACCAAGCTCACCGAGTCAACCTTTAACATAGTGCCGACCCAAACATCTTACTACGCACCGTCGTATAATCTCCATTCCTTCGACCTTCGTGCGCTGGCGACTTCCACGGCCGAAACTCCTCCGCCCCATCTCCCTAACCTCGACCGGTCGATACCGACGCTGATCCTCTCCGAAATGTGTCTTGTATACCTCCCAGTTACCACCGTCTCCGCAATAATGTCTACCTTCCTTAACCACTATCTGTCCCCATCTACACCCGCCTCCCTCATTCTCTACGAACCCATCCTCCCGCAAGACGCATTCGGCCGAACTATGATATCTAATCTAGCAACACGAAACATACACTTGCCAACTTTGCACGCTTACCCGGAACTCGGCGATCAGCGTGCGCGGCTGAGGCAGTACGGATTGACGGATGGATCTAGAGCTGCAGATAACCATTTCATATGGAAGGAGTGGGTGAGCGAGGGGGAGAAAGAGAGGGTTGCGGGCCTGGAGATGCTCGATGAGCTTGAAGAGCTGGACCTGCTGCTGAGGCATTATTGTGTTGCTTGGGGCTGGAGGGATGGTGGTGCAAATGGTGTCTTCTCGACAGCTTGGAGAGATGTTGGCGAGCAGGATGGTGGTTAGGCGCCGGGTATCCTACACCGTCGAAGACAGACAGGACCAGGATTCCCTTGGCAGATGGTTGTTATTATTGATTCCCCGTATCCTCTAGTGCAGTGGTGAGGTTGCAACCCCGTTAGCCTCTTTAGATGATGTATGAGCGTGAACCCAAATGGAACAAACCCAGAAGGGTATTATCCAGAAGATACCAATCGCACCGCTGCAATACTAGCAGCCTTTCTCAGGATAGTATCCTACACATACTCCTCAAACGCCATACCCTCCCATAACATTTGTATCATACAATCTCCTCGCCCCCTCACAGCGACCTCGTAGCATTCCCCCTCTCCCAAAACTCCAACGTCAACGCTGCCAGAAAGCACGGGATTTCCTTCCTCCCCTCCACCCAATACACAATCTGATCGCGGATCTCGCTCGCAAAAGCTGACTGCTCCCCGCCACTGACCTTCATAGTTCCATTCTCGCCGTCAAACACGATGCTATTTTCACCGCCTTCGTCCGCAGGCCGGAACATGCTGGTCACTTTGACGCGGCCGTTGGGCATGAAATCGAGCTTCCAGCCTAGGATGGAGGCGACGGCTTCGCGGAACTCGAGGGACTTTGCGGTCCAGATTTGTTTTAAGCGTTTTATTTTCTTCTCGTGGCTGGCGATGAGGGATTGGGCTTCGGCGAGTTGGTCTTGTGCCGCGGTGAGGGTGGCAAGGGGGACGGCGGATGGCGGGTTTGTGCCTTGAAGTTGTGCTAGAAGCTGCTCGTTTGCTTCTCGCAAGGTGCGGACGGTGCTGAGCTTGAGGGCCTCTGCGTCAGCCGTCGGGTTTGATTTCAACTCCAGAATCCGCGTCCGTGAGGATTCTTTCAGTTTCTTGAGCTGTGAGTGCTGCGCTTTGTACTCTGACTCCATGAGCTTGAGGCGCTTTTGCAGGGCATTCATTTCGTCCTGTAGCTGTCGATTCTTGCGGCGCAATTCGCCCACACGTTCGTCTATTTCGTCGGTGTCTGTAGTGTCGAAGGGCCGCTTCTGGCCTGCTGCTACAGTGGCAGGTTGCTGTTGTTGCTCGATGCTGGAGAATTCCTTCTGGAGTGTGGAGATTTCGGTGCGGTACTGGTCGACGAGGTCTTCGAGCTCTTTGATGCGGGTTGTTTTCGCGGCGTCGAAGGTCTCCGGCTGCATTTCGCGCTCTTCGTCGTCGAAGGCTTGTACTTGGGCGCGGAGGAATTCAACCTCTTTAGTTGCGAGGGCTTTCTGGCGCTCTAGTCGGGCGCGGGCTTTGGCTTCGTTAGGGTTAAGGGCGGTGCTGCCAGTGGTTTTAAGTTGCTGGATTTCAGCTTGTAGTTTAGCCTTTTCGTCTTCTAGCGCTTGGATGTTGGCTTCTTTGACGGTGAGCTCTGGCTTGATCTCTCCTAGTCGGTTCATCAGGTCGGTCTTCTCTAGTCGCTCTCGAATAAAAGCTCGTGCGAGATCCTCCGGCGTCTCGAATTGTGCATCGCCTTCGGCTTCTGTCTCCAAATATGAGGTCCATGAATTCCTTTCGTCTTCCAGGATCTGCTTCCTAAGCTCTGCCTCATTGAGCTGTCGCTGCAGGTCATCCATCATACGAAGCTTGTTCTGTAGCGTCCTCTTCTCCTCTTCCACGACCTCGATGGACTTGTGTTGCTTCCGATACTGCTTCAGTTCCGCATTCTGTTCTCGTGTCAAGGTCTCCATTTTCTTGCCGTACGCGATTTGCTCTGACAAGTCGCGCTTGAGAACAACCAATGTTTCCGCATCGCCAGTGCTCGCCTTCAGTCGCAGGACTTCTGCCTCCAGCTCTCCGACTTCCTCCTCTTTCTGCGACAGCTTCCTTTGCGTCGTCTGTAGCGCATTGACTTTGGCGTCCAGGTCCGCTTTGACCTCTTCTACCGAATCCTTCAGCGACTTGTGCTCCGCTTGCAGCGTGTTGTACCGATGCTCGTTCTGCCTTTGTGTAGTCGCCAGCTCGTCCTTTAGCTCATCAGCATCCTCCTGTAACTGCTGAGCCTTCTCGTGCGATGCTCGCAGCCGCCTTTCTAGATCCTGCTTCTCATTGACACTCCGTGTCTGCGCCTCTGAAAGCTCTCGTTGTAGCGTCTCATACTTCTTGGCCGTCAGATTGCTCGCCGTCTCCGCTTGTTGCGCCTTCTTGAAATCCGCCTCGGCGCGATTTTGTAGATCTCGGATCTCGCTCTCATGCTCCAGCTTCAATTTCTCCTGCTCCTGCTTCGCTGTCTCGAGCTCGTATCGGAGGGTATTGAGCTGCGCTCGCAGCTCTTCATTGACCGAGTCGGAGGGCACGACGGTATGTGGCGCATTTTGTGAGGTGCGGAGGGTGGTTCGGAAGGTTTCGCGCAATGGCTCCCGGACTGGTGGAGGTGGCTCTGCCTCGCCACTGAAGAGGTTGAAGGTTGGTTGGTTCGCTTTTCTGAAAGCCATTGTCGGGTTGGCCTGCTGTCGGATTGCGGGCGTTGCTCTGAAGGAACCACGAGTCGGGCGGAAGAGGGTATCGTAGGGTGGGAAGCCTCGGGGTGGAACCCAAAATCATGTCTTGCTTGGACCCCAACTGGCTTCACTTGATCCAGCGAGTGAATGTGCTGCGAGCAGGAGTGAATTGGTTGTTTTGAAGCTCGGGCCCTTGGTTCGCCGGAGAAAGCTTAGCGTGCGTGAGCCGGAGTCGCGGAGCCACGTGCTCGCCCTATTCACTCCCTCACTCGCTTAATCCCTAAGCTAGGCAAGCTCTCGTGATACGCTCTGTCGATGCATACCAGGATACTACCGTAAGGCAGTAAACCCGCCCTGAAATGCCGCGACTTGTCCCAAGACAATCTACTGTGTATGGCTCTAAGCCTTGTGGGTGACGTTCTGTTGCCTCATTGCCACGTATATCCCCACTTGGCTATTAGCCTGGCCGTATTCCTGACCAACAGTCTGAATACAAAAGAACTCGATTAGCCTTCCACACCAGTCTCCCCGTCTTATGTGAGATCAAACTTCATCGTATTCTCGTGGAAATGGCGGAAATCGTGGGATTGATTGCAAGTGTGCCCACCAGTTCGCATGCTTTGACTGCGAGTGTGCAGCTTGCATTGCCGTATTTCAAAGCGGAAAAAGAGCTCGAGAAACTGCAGGCAAGTGGCCCTTAGTCTTACGAACTTGAGCGCGTTTCCAGAAATTGCATGAGGCTTTGAGATCTCTCTGAAACCACATGGGGCAATGGTGTCGCGGTGCAACTTGATTGCTGACTATGGTAACAGCATGATATCCAAAAGTTCTCTGAGCTAGTCACAGAAATCAGAGGTCAGAACCTGCAGTCTCCCCACCCGCGCATGACTGCCATCCTTCTGGGCTCTAAACATACCATCGAGCAAATGGAGCGCATCATACAGAGAAAGCTCCTGAAACGAGAGACTGGGAGAGTGCGAGCGCGGCGCAAGGCATGGGTTAATCATAGGGCTAAACTTGTCACGCTACACTCCGTATTGCAAGTACACAAGGAAGACCTCGTTACGGAAGTGAGCGTGAGATGTCTGTGAGTATACCGGGGGCGGACATTGAGAAGGCTGTAAGTCTAATGGACTGTCTGCGCATCAAACAATAGGTCTGAGGTGATGCTGTTTGATATCAGCCGGGACGCCGCTGTTCTGAAGGACAATACCTGCAAGATCGATGAGAGACTGGCTTTGGTGCATCAGAGCGTTCTCGATGCCCATCGCACCGCTTCCCTCCACGTCAGTGCTATGATGGACATACTGAACTCCACGCCGCAAGCTCCACTACCCGGGGGCCCTTCGATTGAGCAAGGAATACCCTATACAGGATTCTTGGTTGACGCCCTGAAGGGTAATGAGCACTTGGCCATTCGAAACGTCTCGTCTGATTGTTCCGCCTCCGTGGTTGGCGGAAGGAGATTCGAGTCGACCGATGACGTTCCCAGCGAGTATGAACTGCAGACATCCCTTCAGTCTCTGCGCACTGGGCCCGCTACGCTGTTGGAGTTGTCGCAAAACTTCTTTCCCGAAAGCTACACAAACACGAGCATGATCTCAAAAGTGCTCCTCGCCTCCAGTTGCGAAGAAAGCACTTCGCTCGTCTCGCGAACGAACCAGTATCGCAATTTATACTTCCAATCGCCGCGCCGATGGTGCCACCTCGACGTGTCAGTCGAGATACAACGCTCATCTATTTATTGGGCAACGACAAAAGTACCGAAGCGCAGGCTTCTGCAGAAGGAGAACGCGAACGGGGGCTCTCGTGCGGCGCCGTTCACTGTGCCGGGCTCGCTTCTCGGGAAGTTACAACAGGGACTAGAGAAATACGGAACCATCGAGGAGAACGCTCATATTCGGTTTACTTTACGGGATGGCTACTCCGTCAAATCGGGCAACCTGCAGCCCTGTCAGCGAATTCGACCTCACGCGAGTCGGGCAGTATCCTCAGAGCCTGCAACGTCTACGTTTGAGATGGTTCTTGCATACCTAGGCGACTTGGGCTGTCCAACAATTCCCGAAATGGAAATTGAACAGGTGGCTCCTCTCCAACCGCCCGACCACTTCGTAGCACACTCGTTAAAGAAGTCAAATGCGCCTACCAGCCTCCAAGTTCAAGGTTTCTTTATACCATCCAGCTTCTTCACTGTCTTCGGGAGGTTCCAGGGCTGGTGAGGCTGGCAGGTGTGGCTGTCGATACGACGAAGCGCTTCCTGAAAAGCTACCTCCTCAGATTGCCGGACACCAGATGCGAATTCTTACTGCATCGAGCAAGCAAGAGCCATCCCAACTCCTGGCAACAGATAGAGGGGTGGGCTAGACAGCTTGTCGAAAGAGTTAGCGATGTACACTCCGGGGGTTATGTTGTGGGCACGCTATGGTGTCAACGGCCACCTGTCTTGGTAGATGCGTTCAACAAATTATATCTGTGCCGCTTCGAGCCCAGAATCAGACTCGGAGGCGTGTTGGATCCATTTCTCCCTCCAGAATTTCGACGATACAAGGGAGTCTCAAAACTCATGGGCGAGGCTAGCATCCCACTTGTCACTCCGAAGTTCGACGTTTTCCACCTGGGACAATTGTTGTGGATTCTTGCTGAGAGCTGGGCGAGCGGAAACAGCGCTTTGTCTTTGAAAGAGCAATTGTATATGAAAGAACCGTGCAGCAATGGCGGACCTGCGGAATCGGTCGTTCTTCCTCGCCTCTCTGAAAGCGCTCCCGGGTATTACAGGGATGTGGTGGAAAAGTGCTTCGCCGAAAATCCACTCGACCGGGACCCTGCATTGAAGCTCTTGTCACTGTTCCCGCGTGGAGGTAGTTGGCAGGAGAGCCATTGTGGACAAGATCTAAAAGCCGAAGCTATGGGAGTTGACGCTATGCGAGAATGCTGCCTGCACTCAAACTACTGCGACCATTGTGGAAAACAGGAGATAGTTTCGCTCTTTTACACTTGTAACATTTGCGAGTTAGGGGACTTCAATGCATGCCCTGCATGCTTCCATGCAGGTCTGCATTGCTATGAGGAAGGGCATTTGCTGGTTGAGATTACACCTGATAGGGCTTGCTCCGGAGCAAATCGTCGATTTTATTCGAGTGTGAGCAGCTCGGGGCTTCGGAATGTCATTGAGGGTTGAAGATACAGATGAGAGGCTGCCAGATGAGCGCGGGAGTAACTGTTGCGGTTGATCGGAAACCGCATTATTTCCTAGATTCTTGATGAGTTGAGAATACTGTCCCCCGTAGGATTTGCTTTCTTCCGCGCTGGCATCGATGGTGAGGGGATCCTGGGCTTCTCGTTGCTTTCGCAATTGCAATTGTTGAACTCCCATTCTCTCGATCCCACGCAGAATGAGAGGATATCGGCTCCGTATAGGACGATTATAGTAGGCGTAATCAAACAGTATCGTGTCCCGACTCGTCCCCAGGCTCGTCCCTATAACTAGATGATTGGCTTGCTGGGGCCTCAACTTGTCGTCGTTGAAACTCCAAATCGGCCGCCCACAAAGCAGAGCTCACGGCCGCTGTTAACAGGAAGAACATACTGAGGCCAGGCACCAACTGTAAAAACAGGTACAAGGTTCCGTAACTGGCTCGTCAGTTACGCTTGTGAGACGCAATGAGAAACACTGACCAAGTATACTGCCATCTTCTCCTTTTCGCAAATGCATTCCGCTGTTTCCTATCGAATCCTCGCAGCTTGAAGTACCGCCAATGCTGTAGCGGGCCTGCTCGGTAGCCCGTAAGCAGCAGGAAGAGCGGCACCCCGACATACGGCACGAAATTAAGGGGTAGTAGAAAGATAAACTCCGTAATCTGGCGGAACGAGAATGGTCCATACACGGAGGATCTCGTTGGCTTCCCGAGACGTCGAATGGGGTCGTTCAATGAGGCCTCAGACACCGGCCGGAAGGGACGGATCAGGTCTTCGTAGCCTTTATGGACCATGACAGCGTCGAATATATCCACTTGTGACTCATCCACCAGAAAAGCCTCAAACAGGATAGCTACTACGGCTGCTCCTTCACCAAGCACTAAGAACGTGCCATTGAACCAGGCACTTCCCGATTTGTGGAATAGAGCCAGGAAGGCCACTTGCGGAAGGTAGGTCCAGAAGAAAAGATTCAGGAGGACGAAGGCACTGAGAAGGAAGGCGGGAAGAAGGCGGGCCCGTAGGAGTGGGTAGAGAAACGGGTGGCCGATGAAGTAGACTACGCCCTGCTGGTTGTTAGCTTGCATACGGTGTTTGTGTAAGCGAAGCGCACCTTGAAGGGGTAAACGGCTGCGACTGCATTCTCGTAGGTCGGATATATCAAGACACGTTTGAGGGTTCCGAGTGTACGCTGCGACATATCGGAAAGTTGTGTGGTGGAGTTCACGAGCTGTCGGAATGAACCCTAGGCGTGGAAGATGACCTCATTAGCGTGGAGCATGGGCCACTCTTAGGCTGGGGTCTGTGCCCAATTCGCACGATGCGAATAGCCTCGTTCCATTCTAACGGTCCGCTGTAGTAGGAGCTCTAAAAGTTTAGGGAACAATGAAGAGACAAAAGTATACGAAGTTGCGATAGGCCACCCTAAAGTCCTCCTGTCTCTCATCTGACTGTCGCCTCGTTCAAGCGGACTCCCTTTCTTTTCTCTCATCCTCCATCATGTTCTTCAACCCCTCAGCCAGTTCATGGAGGCATGAGGGATCAATCGCTGATTCAGAGGTTGAGAAATTCCATCGCCGCCTTCCAGACTACAACATCACCCCGCTTGTCCCACTTCCCGGCTTAGCGAAAGAGCTCGGACTGGGGCATGTTCTTCTGAAGGATGAATCCAATCGATTTGGATTACCAGCTTTCAAGATTCTCGGTGCTTCATGGGCCACATACAAGACAATAGCCACAAAGTACAACCTTCCTATACCCGTTTCACTCGAGGAGTTAGGAGCATCGGCGAGAGGGCATGGCCTGAAGCTTGTAACATGCACGGAGGGTAATTGGGGAAGAGCAGTTGCGAGAATGGCGAAGTACCTCCGGATTCCTTCCACTATTTTCGTGCCCGAGTTCATGGATCAGGCTACACAAGACAAAATAACAAGCGAAGGGGCAAGAGTGGTTGTTGTTGATGGAGACTACGACAAGTCTATTCAAGTAGCCAGAAAAGAGGCGGAAAGTGATAATAGTCTGCTGGTGATGGACGTCTCATGGGAGGGCTATGAAGAAATACCACAGGTACAGCTTCCACCACTGATGATTGTTCTTGCTGACTTCCGTGCAGTGGGTGGTCGAAGGATATACCACCATGCTCAGTGAGACCGATCAGCGACTGCAAGAGTTGGGCATAGGTCCAGTAACCCATGCCTTTGCCTCCGTTGGCGTCGGCTCCTGGGCGCAAGCAGTTGCGATGCATTACAAGTCCAAGAATCCGGGCTCATCCGTGGTGGCAGTAGAACCGGAAACAGCAGCTTGCCTAAAAGCTAGCCTAGAAGCTGGGAAGATAACGCCAATCGCGACTGGCCATACCATCATGAACGGTATGAACTGCGGTACGGTGTCATACACAGCCTGGGAAGTTCTACGGAAAGGAGTCGATGCGTGTGTTGAGATAGGGGATTTGGAAGCTCATCGCGACTTGCAATACCTGCACAGTCAAGGCGTGAAGAATGGGCCCTGCGGTGCGGCCCCGTTGAGCGCGCTGAGGAAGCTGGTTAAGAAGAACAAACTTGGATTGGACGGTCGGTCCGTGGTGGTACTGTTTAGCACTGAAGGAGATCGCGAGTATGCGATCCCAACATGATCTAGAGCATCATGCGGGGCCATCCCGATCCGTACGGGATGGTTGGATTTACGGGTGACGTGAAAAGGCTAGACGAATGCTTAGGGAGTTTTGTCAGCTAGTAAAATCTTTGCAACGCAATAACTCGCGATGACATCGGTCGTGTAAACATAGTAGATAAGGTGACAGATGCAGGGTGGGTAAACGAACCGTGGTGATGCCATGCATCATTACTAATTTAGCCTAGCGTGCACGTGCTGACGCGTTCAGGCTGAAAGTCTTGGATCAACGACGCGTCGAACCACCACCATCACTCCACGTCTCACCCATCTACACAGTCAAATGTACGTGTGATCATGTGCTTTTGCTTTCAATCGCTGATACTATACAGGCACCGACCGAAGGCTCTCGCAGGCGAGAAAGGCACTCCTTCCGCAACAACCCCGACAAGGCTGTACAGCACGCCCGCGTCCGCCGACCGTCTACACAAGCCCTTCAAATGCCCTGGCTCCGCGGCGTCGACGCGAACCTCAGATAAACCTGCGAGAAAGAAGCGGAGAGTCAATTATGCGGGCGCAGATGGCGAGAACGAAGAGGGCGATAAGCCATATTCGAACAACGAACGGCTGGCCCTTGCCACTCGAGATGTAAACAGATTTCCGGTGTTCAAGCCCAAGGACAAAGAGTCCGCGTTTAAGTCAAGATTCGTCGTCCCGCTGAAGAACAAAGACCCTGGAGGCTATAACTCGTTCCGTCCAGCGCCGCTGCTGGGAATGCGACAGGGAAGGGTATTTGTCGCGCGGCCATTACACGATCCTAGTGGAGAGTTCGCTATCGTGTTATACGACCCTACAATTGACGATAAGCCGGTGCCGAAGGAAGAGGTGGAGCCGAAGCTAAGCCAAGAGGAGAAGAAATGCTTAGACGTCCCGTTGGTACACAAGAGTCTGGCAGATATTTTGGGTCTGAAGAAGAAGGTTGACAATGAACGGCCGAGGGTGCCGGTTGTCATAGATCCTAGATTATCCAAGGTCCTCCGTCCGCATCAGGTTGAGGGCGTCAAGTTTCTGTATCGCGCTACGACAGGTTTGATTGATCCCAAAGCGAACGGTTGCATCATGGCAGATGAAATGGGTCTGGGCAAGACACTGCAGTGCATCACGCTGATGTGGACACTACTCAAGCAATCTCCCGAAGCTGGAAAGTCGACCATCCAGAAGTGCGTCATAGCTTGTCCGTCCAGTTTAGTCCGGAATTGGGCGAATGAGCTTGTGAAGTGGTTAGGCAAGGACGCCATCAATCCTTTTGCCATCGACGGAAAAGCTTCCAAGGAAGAGTTGACGCAGCAGATTCGGCAGTGGTGCATTGCCACTGGTCGTGCCGTCGTCAGACCCGTTCTCATCGTCTCATACGAAACGCTACGACTCAACGTTGGAGAGCTAGCCAACACGCCTATTGGCCTTCTGCTGTGCGACGAAGGACACCGCTTGAAGAACGGTGAGAGTCAGACATTCACCGCGCTCAACGGACTTAACGTCCAGAAGCGAGTCATCCTATCTGGCACACCCATCCAGAATGATCTTTCAGAATACTTCTCTTTGCTCAACTTTGCGAACCCGAACTATCTTGGCACAAGAAACGAATTCCGCAAACAGTTCGAGATCCCCATCCTGCGTGGTCGCGATGCGGCAGGCACGGATGAACATCGCAAGAAGGGAGATGAGCGTCTCGCCGAGCTTTTGGCCTTGGTCAATAAGTTCATCATCCGCCGAACCAACGACATTCTTTCGAAATACCTCCCAGTTAAGTACGAACACGTCGTCTTCTGTAACCTATCATCTTTCCAGAAGGACCTCTACAACCACTTCATCCAATCGCCTGACATCAAAAGCCTCCTGCGTGGAAAAGGCTCGCAACCCCTCAAAGCAATCGGCATGCTCAAGAAACTCTGTAACCACCCGGACCTGCTGGACCTTCCTCAGGATCTCCTGGGCTGCGAAAATATCCTGCCAGAAGACTTCGTTCCCAAAGATGCGCGAGGCCGCGACAGAGACGTCAAAGTCTGGTATTCGGGCAAAATGCTCGTCCTAGACCGCATGCTCGCCAGCATCCGAGCAGCCACAAATGACAAGATAGTCCTCATCTCGAACTACACGCAGACACTAGACGTCTTCGCGGCGCTGTGCCGCACGCGTGGATACGGCTGCCTGCGTCTTGACGGCACTATGAACGTCAGCAAGCGGCAGAAGCTTGTGGACAAGTTCAATGACCCCGAGGGTCCCGAATTTGTATTTCTTCTATCGTCAAAGGCAGGTGGCTGCGGACTCAATCTCATCGGTGCCAACAGGTTAGTGCTGTTCGATCCGGACTGGAATCCTGCTGCAGACCAGCAAGCACTCGCCCGTGTATGGCGCGATGGCCAAAAGAAAGACTGCTTCGTATACCGCTTCATCGCAACCGGTACCATCGAAGAGAAAATATTTCAACGCCAGTCTCACAAACAATCTCTCTCCTCCTGCGTCGTGGACTCCGCTGAGGATGTCGAGCGCCACTTCAGTCTCGATTCTCTCCGCGAGCTATTCCAGTATCGCGACAACACTACCTCCGACACGCACGATACGTTCAAGTGCAAACGGTGCAGGAAGGAGGATGGAAGGCAGGTGCTCAAGGCACCAGCTATGCTATATGGTGATACGAGTACGTGGAATCATTTTGTAAATGATGGGGAGAGTGGGCCGTTGGGCAAGATTCAGGATTTGTTGCTTAGACAGGAGACCGCGGAGCAGCAGGTTAGTGCCGTGTTCCAGTATATTAGCCATTAGATCCGGTTGGGCATTGCGCGTCGTCGAATCTTGATCTTGCGGGGCACCTTGGGGAGGGTTAGTCTTTAGGAGCCAAGAATTTTGGGCAAGCCTGTAGGTTATAAGCCTTGCATTGATAAAAGGGAAACTTTAAGTTTCAAGGTGCCGGGGCCAGGAGTTCGCTTGTTGCTGGGGCTTTAGTTTATCACGCGGTGTTACGGTGTAGGGATGGTGGTGACGAGTAAGCGCTTTTTGGACTAGCATTAGAGTTGCACTTTATCCATCGTCCCTTGTCCCCGGTTCGCGGTGCAGGTATAATATATACATTAAACATAAGAGAAGAGCTAGGTCGTCTGTTTCGGAACTGTTCATAACCGCTGCAGCCTTGCAGATCTTCTCCTGTCTCCTTCCTCTTCCAGCCCCTATCGCATCACCGCATCGAACCATCTTGGGACGGCACCTCCCATCTACCCTCACAGCATCACACCCTGGACCTCGTTCTCTGCATGAAAATAGAAAACGCCGCTAAAACAGGAAAGGTGGAAAACGAAAGCTAGATATACGGACGGCTATACGCCGGAATCCTCCTCTTCGATGCCGGTCGATTCCGCCCAGGTGTTCCAGGCGGAGCATGTATCTTGCAGGGTGGTGGAGTTGAGTAGGGCAGATATTTCGGACTGCCGCTCGACGAACTGCAGCGCGAGGCCTTCGGAGGTGTGCCAGCCGATGTGGCAGTGCATCTATGGTGTCGTGTTAGCAATGCCCTGCTTGCGTAACGAGCAATGGGAAAAGGAGAGATGAAGACCTACCAACCATGCTCCAGGGTTATCCGTCAGGAAAGCGATAACCAAGTACCCGCCCACCGGCAGGTTAGCTACATCCCTCCGTGGAGGATTATCGAGATTCAGTGAGACCGAAGAGTCAAACACCGCGTTGTCCTGCTGCGCTAGGATATAAAAGTCGTGCCCGTGAAGATGAATTGGATGCGGCACCGCGAGCGCTGTTGAGATGACGAAGTACACCCACTCATTCGCATTCGGCAGCTCATACACCACATCATCGTCTTCAAAGCTCGAGGTGCCGTTCGAATTATATACCGTCAGCACTGACGGCTCCGCCCACTCGACGGCCATGGGAGTGAGCCCGATTTGCCACTTGAACAGGTTGCCCTGGGCGACGATGGTGACGTCGAGGTCCGAGTCGGCGGTGGGGTCTACTGGGGAGGAAGACACGTGCGGGACGAGATTGGAGTAGGCGACATCGACGCAGGTATCGTTGTCGAGGGCGGCATAGGCGATGGATGTGGGGTCCGCTGTGGACGCGCCGTACCGGACAATGCCGCGGACGTCGTCTGGATTTTCGTTGTTGGAGCAGGCCAGTTGTGGGATGGCGCGCATCCAGTAGTCGGTTGCTTCTTGGTCGGCGGTAACGATAACATCGTAACGTTGGCCTGTTCCAAGTCAGCCCTATTCCCCCAAAATCGCAAAGTAGAAAGGGCGGAGACTTACCCATAGTAATATCCAAATACTCGACCTCAAACGGCTCCACAGGCACGAAATCACTCGCAATGACGGTCATAGTATGGTTATCAATAGCAAACTTAAAGTGCGAATCAATCGCGCTGTTGATGATCCTGAGACGATAGCTCGTGCCGGATTGGAAGGTGGCCTCGTAGCGTGAGCCACCGCCGTTGTACGTGTTCTTGCCATTGATGAGTGCGTTTTCCATGGGGGGTGGGCCGACGGTTTGTGCGTAGCTGTAGAGCGAGTCGGCGGTTTCGTGGGACCAGTCTGTGAGCATGATGGTGTCAAGTTCTTCGTCGTAGTTGGCAGTGGCGGGGCCGTGGATGACGATGGGGCCGAAGACGCCCTCCCACGCTTGCAAGGAGTAGTGCGAGTGGTACCAGGAGGTGCCGTATTGGGTGGCGCGCCAGGTGTAGGTGTAGGACTCGCCAGGCTGAAAGAGGGGTTAGAAAGGTGCAGTGTACCCGGAGGTGGGGAATGAAACTTACAGCGATGGGGCATTGAGTGATTGAAGGTACGCCGTCGTCTTGATTAGTCCAGTTCTGGCGGATGCCGTGCCAGTGTATTCCAGTCCCGTTAGCCGTGAGGCTGTTCGTGACGTGGATTTTGACGGTGTCTCCCCAATTGGCTTCAATGGTGGGTCCTGGAACTGTTCCATTGACGGCGAGGACAATGCGCTCAACGCCGTCAGGCGCGAGCGTTACGTTCTGAACATCGAACCAGTACTTCAATTGTCAGTTCAAGATCAATGGCTATTAAGTCAGGATACATACCTCCACGGTGACGCCAGTATCAGGAACCTCGTTGTAGTAGTTAGTGTCAATGCTGTAATCGCACCAAACACTTCTATCATCTGCAGTGTTTCCACTGCAAACAGAAGCAGCAGCCGAAGAAGCCCCAGACGGGCTCGTTGTGTTCGAGTCCGCCTGAGGGGCAGGCACAGCAGCTACTGCCGCAATCAAGCAAAAAAATGTTCGAAGGAGAGTCATGGTAAGAATGATGAAGGATGGACAGAATCCAAAAGATAATGAGTGAGGGTAATGACGAATATAAGTTACCTTCTAAGAAGTGAAGATGAAGGGCAACATAGTAGACGAGGAACGAGCTTCCTCGGTATATGTAGTGAACCTGAGGCCGCAGTATGTGATGGACTCCGCGTTGGGACTTCCGTCTCTTCCGTCTCTTCCAGCTCATCATGCTCTAAGAGAGTTAGCACCATCCGTCGCTTTCGCACTCGCCATCGGATGAACAAGTGTCGGCATACTGAAGCTCGCTTCGATGCTCTCCCACGGGGCCAACAATGTGAATGCCGCGTGGAGGAACCCACACAGCCTTGGACGCTTGCAAGGCCTCGGTGTGATGAATCCACCTCTTTGACGCTCCTAACCCTTGTTAGGACCTCAAAAAAGCACATGTTGCATACAGCGTACGTACAGTTCCCGGATATCTGGGCGTGAGGGTAGCATGCCGAGTCACCTCGCTTGGACGTGACTTGTGTTGCTCAGATAGAGACTATTGAAGGCGTCGAGCAAAAGAGTTAGATGCATCCTAGCGTTGATCTCTCGGGCCTAGGACTAGGTAACGAGGCTCTGCACGGCACAGGGGAGGGGATGCGCGCGCGTGGTCCCTGAAACTCTGTTCGTGTTTAGAAACATGGGATTTTCATGCATGCAAGCGCGGGAGAGGTACGAAATGAGCTCGGACCTGTATAAAGATCGCCCGAAAAGGAAAGTTCAAGAGGGCTTACGCCCCAGGAATCTGGTCGTGGAGGATCGGTAAGACGTAAACCAGGGCTTTTCTGAATCCCATAGCTGCACGTCTGCTGACCGAGAGGTCAGGAGACATGCTTCTTCTGATCCTGTAATCTCGCGGCAGTTCTATCTCTAGTTCTTGAATCATCTTGTCGTCGTCTTGTCACTGTTCCTGCAGATACGAGGTACGAGTAATAATGTGACTTGGATATCGCGTCGGCCAGCAATCACAATAAGGGTAGGTAATGAGGCCGAGATGCACTTTTGCACAAGTCAGTGTGATGGCTCCACTATAGATCCTTCACAGCGCGGCTTAAACAGAACAAGTAGAGCGTCCGGCAATAGTGCTCGGGGAAGGGCAATTCAGGTGCCGGTGAGGCGGGATAGTGTATTGGAGAATCCCCTAGCCAGGGTCAGCGTCACAACCACGAGGCTATAGAAAATGGTGGCCAATAGCAAGACCCCCGATTTCGCAAACATTGGAACCTTGAAGTGCAATGCAGCAAAAGGTGATCGGGGTTGGGGTCGAAGTTGGTACAAGAGAGCAGGGGTCTGAAGCCGCGTAATCGACCCTCGGCCATCGGGGCGAACCGCGAGTCACGAATCCTCCGAAGAGCCACAGCGTTGGATCCCACGCGGCGCAAAGGGGACCGAGTCGCCGTGCATACAAGCTTATAGGCTTGAAGTGGAGGCTAGGAGTACCCAGGAAAGGAATTGCAGCGCCGTGGCGTGAAAAGGTAAACAAGCATCCCAGCGGCGCTATAGCAGCAACATCAGTGGAGCGTCGTAAGCCTCAGGCGTTCACTCACTGCAGGAACGAAACAAACCCGCTGCTTTGCTTGGCTCGGCTTCTTGGCCAAGTGGTCGAGTAGACGAAAGCGACGCTCTGCATACCTAATCGTGTTGGCGAACAAGGTGAAGTAGACATGGGTTTGGGCAATGCACAAACCTTGATGCCTTGACTATTGATTCTGCGATAAGGGTCAAATGACCGACTCCAACACACAGCGCGAAGTTACACCCCAGTGCAGCGCTAGACAGGCAGGCCTGGTCGCAAACTCGTCAGCAGCAGCTCTGGACGACTGCCGGAGTGACGAGGCCGCTGACCGTGGTCGTTAATGATCCAGGAGAAGGAGAGCCTTTGCGTATATCATAGCCGTGCGTCCGACTTCAACTGTCACACCTGTTACTATCCCACGACTTTTAAGTTTTCTTGTCACTCCTTCCAACTCTTGCTTCATCATGCTATACCAACTATATTTAGTCACCGTTCTTGTTGCGTGCGTTGACAGCGTAGTCTCCGCCCAGAATTTCAGTCTCTATGCCTATGGTACCGGCATCACGTCGGGCCTGCAGCTGTTCTATGGAGATGGTCAGTCCTCTGTCGCATCTCAAGATGAAAGACTTACCATTCCAAAAGGCCAAGCCTACGTCGGCACCAGCGCGCCGTCCTTTCTATCTCAAGCCGTGAACATCACTCGTACGCTGACCTGTCGCCTGAGGAGATGGATCTCTAACTACAACAGTCTCCAAGAGCGACGACGGCACGGAGTTCGTAGCCTCGCCGAACGGAACGGTGGACTGGACTTCTCAACCGACCATGTACGTCGATACCACGGACGGCGCCATGAATGCGGTCGGCTTCGTCGCGGGTAATGAGACAGCCCCTGATGGTGCGACTGTCACAGGCTTCGGTCTGTACGGAGGATGGGCCTTTCACAGGGATGACAGTTCGTCCATCGAGATGAAGTTCATTGCCAGCCCGACAAATGAAACAGATGTCTATCTGTGAGTTCTTTCTCTATGCTGAACGGGGCCTGGCTGACAACCAACAGGGTTAAATGGAATGCTGGAGGTACCAAATCGGCAGATGACGTTGCGATAGCTTTAAGGACCATGGCGCCTGTTGCTATCTCTTCTTGATCGAAAGTGGCATCTTGGTGGGGGAACGGGGTTATATTCTGAGTGTCTTCTATTGAACGGCTGCAATGTCTTTTGAGTACTCCCAGAAATGCAGGAGTATCCTTTTAGTAGAGAATGGGTAGCCATCAACTCGTGAGAACGATGCTGAGGCAGGTGTTGGTAAGGTGTGTGTGGCCTTCGAGCTGGAGAACCTCGCGGCAGGTCAAAACGTTAGGCCGGGTTCTAGTTGAAACAGCTCATATGTAATTCTACTTCATACCTCGTCAGTATCACTTAGTGCAAGCAGGGTGAAAGCATAAACTGTCTAACCAGCTCGGAGAGGGGCATGTCAAGGGACTCACCACGGCCTGTTTACCTTTACTACTAAGGACTCCTCTATCCAAAGCTTGCGCTCCTCAAGCTACCCACCAGAAGAAGGCTCCGGCACTCAGCAAGTAAACTTTGACGCTGGCCTCAAAAAACATAACGGAATCTTCCACTCCCCCACACTTCGACCTTTCGGAAAATAGATCCGCCGAACGTCGGTGGCGCTAGCTTGGATTCCCCGCCACCTTCCAAAGCTTCCGAACGCCAAACCTCCCACTTCAGCACCGACTTTGCGAAGGTCTACAGCACCACGCCTCGAGGCCTTCATCGGGCCGTTCAGTACCGACTTTGCATACCCCCACCTGGAGGCTTCCGGGGCCCATCCCACGCCGTTGACCGTTTCGATCCAAAGCCACACTCTCCGACCGCCGCTCGTCCACGATGCCGCCCAAGCGACCCGATGCCGAAGACATCTCTGACCTCCGCCTTCGGTCACGACAGCAGTATCTGGAAAAGAGGGAGCAGACCCAACTTGCGCTTCTTCGAAAACAAGTTGCCGAGGAAGCTGAAGAGGAGCGATCTAACCCTCGCCTGTCGAAGAGAGAGCTAGCCCAGTTTGCTCGCAATCGTGAGACACTGCGCCTTGCAGAATCACGTCTTGCAATATCGGATGAGCTGGACGGCTTTTTCATCCCAGACGCAAGCTTCAGCGAAAAGGAGAAGGTCTTGAAACGGAAGGACAAGGAAGCCCATAAGACCGAATACCAGCAATGGTCAGAAGAGCAGGAAACGAAGGCCAGGGCTGCTCAGGTCCACCGACCTGTGCGCGAGCGAGAGGAGGAGTACGAGCTGGTCTTTGACGAATCACAGGCCGTCCACTGGGTCTCAGATGCGAAGCTGGTGGATCCAGAGAAGCAGCTGCTTCAGGATGCGCTGGATGCGGCCGAGAAACAGGCAAAAGATATTGAAAGCACACGAAAGAGCTTGCCTATGTACAAATTCCGGGCACCCATACTTGACGCAGTGAGGGAGCACCAGATACTCATCTTGGTTGGTGAGACTGGTTCCGGCAAGACTACTCAGATCCCTCAGTATCTGAAAGAGGATGGTTATTGCCGGGATGGGATGATAGTGGGCTGCACTCAGCCAAGGCGTGTCGCGGCAATGAGTGTGGCCGCGAGAGTTGCGACGGAAGTGGGTTGTAGGCTTGGCAAGGAGGTGGGATACAGTATCCGTTTCGAGGACAAGACGAGTCCAGAAACCGTGCTGAAATACATGACAGACGGTATGTTGCTTCGAGAGTTACTCTCCGATCCAATGCTCTCGAAGTACTCTGTCGTCATACTTGATGAAGCACACGAACGCACCGTCAACACGGACATACTGATGGCCGCACTAAAAGATCTTTGCCGACTTCGGGCAGACCTCAAGCTCATCGTCTCGTCAGCCACACTTGACGCTCAGAAATTCAGCCGCTATTTCGACGACGCCCCCATCTTTTCTGCGCCCGGACGCAGTCATAGCGTCTCAAAATACTTCAGTGAAAGCGCAGAAGCCGACTACCTCAAGGCCGCAATAACTACTTGTCTACAGATCCATCTTAGCCAACCTCCTGGGGACATCCTCGTCTTCCTGACGGGTCAGGAGGAGATTGAGGCCGCACAACAGAGCTTGGAAGAGACAGCTCAAAAGCTTGGCTCGAGGGCTCCAGAACTGATTGTACGACCACTCTACGCGGCTCTAGATTCAGCCGCTCAGAGTCTCGTGTTTCAACCTACAGCGGCCGGATGCCGTAAAATCGTCCTCGCAACGAACATAGCAGAAACGAGTTTAACCGTTGACGGCATCCGCTACGTAATCGACTGCGGACTAAGTAAAGAACACCTCTACAATGCCCATACGGGCATGGAATCACTTGTGGTGACACCCTGTTCGAGAGCCAGTGCTAATCAGAGGGCCGGTCGTGCTGGACGTACCGGCCCCGGCAAATGTTTCTACCTTTTTACGCGCTGGGCTTACTGGAACGAATTGGAAGAGAACACGACGCCAGAGATTCAACGGGTGAACATGGCTTCGACGGTCTTGATGTTGAAGAGTCTAGGGATCAACGATCTGATCAGTTTTGACTTTATGGACCCGCCGTCGGTTGAAACTCTGGCGAAATCTCTCGAGTCTCTCTACGCCCTCGGTGCCCTCGATTCAGCTGGCAATTTGACGCGCGTCGGAAGAAGGATGGGGGAACTTCCTCTAGACCCTTTCTTGTCGCGGGCCATGATTGCCGCCGACGAATTTGGGTGTGTCGAGGAGGTTATCTCCATTGTGGCTATGTTGTCAGAGTCGGCCTCGCTCTTTACACGGCCGAAAGACAAGAAAATGTACGCGGATGCAGCTAAGAAAAGGTTCGCGGACAAGGCTAGGGACGGTGGGGATATGCTCACCTATCTGAACATTTGGAACGAATTCGAGGAAAGCGAATACTCGCCCATCTTCTGCAAAGAGAACTTCCTCCAATACCGTACCCTCAACCGCGCTCGAGACATTCGCGAGCAGCTATCCAAGCTCTGCGACCGCATTGAGATTTCGCACTCAAGCAACCCGACAGACGATGTCGCAATCCGGAAGGCCCTCACCGCCGGATTCCAATTGAATGCGGCACGTCTCCAGCGAGATGGATTGTCATATCGCACGATAAAGAATGGCTTGACGGTCTATATTCATCCAAGCTCCACATTAATCGAAGCGAGGCCAAAATTCATAATCTATTCAGAGCTCGTGTTAACCTCGAAGGAATATCTCCGAAATGTTATGCCTCTGGATGGGCAGTGGCTCAGTGAGCTCGCTCCGCATTTGTACAAGCCGTCAGAGATTGAGAAACTGGGGTTAGACAAGAAGATGCCGAAAGGCCAGGGCAAAGTGGGCATTGATGGGAAATGAGGTGGGAGCTCTTGGAAATGACAATGCCGACTTAGTTAAGTTGGCTTTTCGAGTCGTAGTCGTTTCTTCGTTGTACAAAGCAGTCGGAGCTGGATAGAGCGGACGTGGAAAAGAGGACGGCGCAAGGAGAAGTCGGGGAAGAGTCCTGGCTCCGATATGCCGGCTTCAGCGGCGTGGAAGCGGTCATTTCCGGCTATGTACAAGTCAGCTAAGTGTATATGCATTCAATGATACCCAGATAGTTCAATGTATGATAATGCGAGCTTCAGACTCTGTCCCTTCTCCTGTGCTGCGACTGATGAGCTCTGGCGCATTAATAATGGTGACTAAAGTACTTCGGGAACCAATCCATAATTGAGAAGATATACTACCGTGCCTTTTGGTTCTGTTTGCCTCACTTTACTACCTGCGCTGAGAATCCGTGTCTTCGGAGATAGTCCGTACCCTGCTGGAGCTTGTCAAGCGCTATCTACATTATATATAGGGATATCGAATTGAGAGATCAGCATTGCCATCGGGCTTCCGAGCGGATGTAGAGGGTGGAAGTGAAGGCAGCGGACTGTCTTAGATTTGGACCGACTTTATTAGCCTGATCTTGAATGGAAGAGCTTCACAGTGTAATCAGCAGCAGGTCAACACGTAGAAACGAGGCGACTGAGAGGAGAAGAACAGCCGAATTGCAAGATTAGGAGACATGAAGTACTCTTGGACGGTTGCTTTACCTTAGAATAGCTGCTATAGATATTCATAAGCTCCCAGGCATTCCACTTCATTCACTTATCCCGCGAACTTCCCGCCACAGTAGATACACGCATCGCAAGCGAGGAAAAGCACTCTCGCCAGCGTGACGGGGAGTTCCCTTTTGTCCTCATCGTCGGCTTCGCCATCGTGCTGAATCTCCACTATCTCGGCGTCCTCGTCTTCAATGCGGGGTCGGTCCTTCATCTCAGTGACCTCTCGTCTGCTCGGTGCTCGAATCCCTTCTTCCTGCGCTACCACAAACTCATCGCTTAAAAAAGGCGTGCTACAAATTCCGCAATACTTTGTGATGCGCGGGGCTTGGATTGCCAGGAAGCTCAAGCCGCACCTCAGGAACTGATGGCCGTTCGTGCATGCCGCAGTCTTCAGATCTGTGAACGGGATCGCTGCTTCACAGAAGTCGCACGTATCGGTGTCGGTAATGGCGGTGGCCGTTTGCAACTGGGGGTCAATCGCTATGGAAGCCGAGTTGTCTAATTCGCCCTCGGCATCCTCATCGATCAGGGTCTGGATGAGGGTGACGAGTTGGCGATGATGCGAGGCAATTTCGGAGCTGAAGGGCGTGGCTTGGGTAACGGCTAGTGGGAGCCTTTGGGCGGCGGTAGCTAGGCGGAAGGCGATGAGTGTTTTGGCGAGATCGTTTGACTGGGTAGGCATGCATGTTTGAGAGACAAGTATGTTGTAGCGGTCTTTTAGAGTGTGAGGGTCGAGAAAGGCGCGCTGTTTGAATTGAACCACAAGCTGCGAGTGGTCAGCGATTGCATAAGAGGTCGTGGAGTTCCCGTTACTGCTCGCGGGTGTCTGCAGCGGTGCGTATGTTTGCGCTAGTTTATTTATGACCCTTTCAGCGAACTCCGGAATGTGATCCGCGTCTTCAACCGTATTCTCAAGCCACTTCCTCAAGGTAAATATGATTGCCTCCGTAGTGACATTCCCGTCAGGAAATTTAAGCGAAGCCTGGTTGTAGCTCATCAAGTTGTTGATGGCAACGATTGATCGCCGGTCTGATGGCGGGCCATACTCGATCATGTTAGATGGATGCAATGTGTGGATGGCTGCAATGAAGTCTCCAAGCGGAGCGGCTGACAAGCCCCAAACTTTCGACTTGGCATTGCCTTTCAGCTCATGTCGAGCGCTGAAGAGGATCTGTGTATCATTTATGTGCTCACGCCAGTTCGGCGAGGGAAGTGCTGATAATCCATTCTCTGAGAGCTTCAGGACTGCTGTGGGGCAGTTCATGGTCGAACTGAGGGAGCAGAAGTGCAGACGGGGAGAGATGTTCGACATCTGATCCCACACTACCCCTGAGATTTCGTCCCAGCGCCCGTCCAAGTGGTGTGTCGTTCGGTTCAGGATCGTGGCGTCTGAGGCTGATATACGAAGGCAGATCACTTCGGATCTGGTGAACAAGGCGAGAGTCACCTTGTCGCCGTCGTGGACCCTCTGAGACCATTTCATAGGCCCCGCATGTCGTATTTCGATATCAGGATAGATAACCTCATCACCCAGGCCGACGGTGTCATGGGCATATGTAACCACTCTTGCGCGCACATCCTCGTTCGTAGCATAGACCAGCACAGCGTGGTACCAGTCGCCATGAACGGTCCACGGACTCCAGGCGAGATGTGAAATATGACGTTGCTGTTGCATAAAGTCGTCGAAGCAGGAAGGGTTCGAGAAGACGCATTCCGAATCCGGCGTGACTGAGAAGTGATTAAGAACCTCAGCGCTCCAGTCTTCCTCTGCGCCTAGTGTCGAGGTTGGTGATTCAACGACTAGGACCACGACTTGGTTGTCTTCATTCGAGACTGCTATTATGTGTTGACCCCAAAAAAGCTGCGTGCCGACGATGTTGGAAACTTGCGGGCCAGGCAGAGCGGGAGCCCAAGCAAACGCTCGAATACGAGTCCTGAGTCGCAGTTTCTCTCCAGGCTCCGACTCTATGTGACTCTCCTCTTGCATTGCGTTGCCGGAGAAGCGTTCCAAGAGGGCGTCGTTGATGATCAGCTGTCGCTCCCAGCTTGTTTCATCCTGTGGTTTGCCGTTGGACGCCCAAACGGAGAGAACCAGGCTTGAAGTAAGTGCGGCAAGAGCACATCTCCTATGCTTTGCAAGTCCAGGTGGAGACCATCCTAAGCTTGTAGGAATGCTTGGCGATATCTCTTCCCCAATTGAGTACGTCTTGAGCGGTGCTGGATCCTTGATGGGAAGCTCCTCCTTGGTGAACCAGGGTACTTGAAGCGCGACATGCTGCCATGCTGAAGCTACATCTTCTTCGGTACTGTGAGACTCGGTATTTGGAAACTGCAAACCTCATGAGTTCAGAAATTCAGATGGAAGAGATATATTATGGGCGCACCAGCAGTTCAACTCTGTCATCGGAGGCAAGAGCGATAATTCCCTCGGGGGACCAGGTAATCGAATCGATGCAGCACGGCCAGCATTTCAACTCTGTCACATCGGACATCGCAACTGCAGTGGTTTGAGTCTGGAGCGTTGAGTCGAAATTCGAGGATTCATTGTTCTTGTCGTGGAAAAGGTGAAGTGGTGAAAGCTCGCTTCTGCTTTTGCTACCCCGCGAGTCATGCAACGGGAGACTGCCAGACTCATGACTCATGTATATACTTTTTTGTCCGCCTGAGTGCTACAAAAGCAAAATCGTAGTGCTTTTCTGCACGTATGATAGAACGGTTAAGTCTATTTCACGATACTGATCAATCAATAACTTTAAACCATTACGCTGTGCATTCAGCCTCACGGCTCCCTTCGACTTATTAAGCTCCGAGTATTCCATCGGACGAAGAACACTGCAATGTGTGGGATGAAATATTTATAATTTAGACACTTTATCAAGCTTTATACAAGCTTGAAGAGCTTTCCGCCTACGCGATCCCACTCGTCGTCCCATCGGTTTTCGCTCTCCTTCAATGCGCCCTGCTTCAACGTCGTCAATAACCCATCTTTGCTCTCAAAGAGCTCTACTAGCTGCTGCGCAAGCTGCTCCGAGCTCTCAAAGCCCTTCCCATTGACATCCTCTCTAACCAACTCCGGCCAAGCCTCGAACTTCCCCCATCCCACTACCGGCAGCCCAGCGCCGAACATGTCCACTACTTTCATGGGAAGATCCACGCCGGAGGACGAAGTATGTAATGATACACCCAGGTCGGCTGCGGCTAGAAGCAGAGCATAATCCTCTGGCGTCAACCAGGCTGTCTGTATGACGACATTGAGCAGCTTCTTCTCTTGATTCATGACTTGAATCTTGGAGAGATAATGCTCTTTCAGCGGACCCTTCCCAGTGATGATTGCGAGGATTTTAGGCAAGTGCGTCTTTGAGGTACATTGCGCGGAGTAAGCACTGAGTGCGTCGAGAAGGAGGGAGAAGTCTTCGTCTGCAGTCCAGGACGTAGAGCTGACGATCAGTTTCCAGGGGCTCTTCGACGACGATGAGAGATCTTGCGCATATTGCGCCGTTTCAGGGAGTCGGGCAAGGAACTTTGCTCGGTCCTGGCTGCTGATCGGTCGGAAGATGGCGGCCGGGCGGTCATGCAGCGCATGCGCGGATACTCCGTACTTCGTCTTCAGCACCCGAGCCATGGCATTGGTCACGGCGATGTGATCAGATGCGAATCTTGAGAAGATGTTCTCATACAAGGCAGAGATCTTGACGAGCGGGTGGCTAGACCCGAGCTTGAGAGCGAGGATGGAGTAGCCAAAGTTGTGCCAGTCAATGACAAGCTCGGTGTTCCGGAAGAAGCACACGATGGCTGCAATGGCTAGAGTAGGTATTGAAGGTGGGTTCTACTAGGAGTCAGTCTGGCGTAAGAGTCAGGACTTGGGAGATACCGACCTGTACGAGCATCCATCTTGCAGGTACTGCTCGATAGCCCAAAGCCCTGTAGAGGTTTTGTGCCTGCCACAAGGCTTTCAGGGGAGCAAGAACGGGGAAGAGAAGTCTGCTGCTCGAGCGCAGAAATGATGGTGCGGGTACCAACGGGACGATTTGTATCAATGGATTCGAAACAATATCAGGATGCAATTCCGACTCTGAGAAACATGTGAGAAGACGAATAACGTGGGCATGAAACGACCCGAACCTACCCTGGTATCCGGTTAGGTAGACTCTGCCGCCGTGCTTCGCGATGCTAATTGCATGATACTGCATGCGCGGTGACCGGCCAATGTCTCCTAAAACAACGACCTGCACCGTCCTCCCTTGCTTGAAGTTGACCTTCTTCCGTCCGTCTTTGCCCTTCATCTCGATCTCCTTCCCCTCCTCGTCCACGACTTTAAGCGGCTTGTCCTTGTAGGGATCATATTGAGAGGGCAGCGTGAGTAAAACAATGGTGAGAAAGGTCGACAGGATAAGCGCGGAGAAGAGGACGATATCGAAGCTGCGACTGAACTTGTCCGTGAAGAAGTCCTCGCTCAGCATCTTGTCATGCTCGAGTAGCGGTTGGGTGCAGAGGTTAGATGCGGTCACGTTGCAGCCTCGTCGTCAGCCACCGAGGCGCTAATGCGGAGATATTGGCGGAGCGCCACAAGATCGGCGGTTCTGTCAATCTGCCAACCGAGACCCCTGAACGCGGCCGCTATCGTCGAAACATTGTCGCAGACGCCGCGTTTCCTCTTCGTTCCCTCCCCTCCCCCATCCACCCCCCTCACCCCGCAATTCGCTCCTTCCGCTTTGCGCGCCCGCCGCCCTCGACCCTCGAACCTGCCTCTCTGGAATTGGGTGCTGGACTGCCCTATTCACAAGCAGAGGTACGGCCCACCTGCCTGTTTGGGTGCCCGAGTCCACTCAGCGACGGACCCCCGAGCGCGCTGCCTATGGCTTCTACCTATGCGCTTCCCTTCAATCCCGCCTCACAGTCTCACAGTCATGGACATTCACGGTCGCACTATTCCTCGGACCACTCTGCGCCTTGGAACAACCAGCGCAACGACTCGTCGCCCGTGAGAGGACAGATACCCCCCGCGGGCGGCCACCGCCACAACAGATCCGAGATGAATGGACAACTGTACGGCCAAGGCCTCTCACCATACGCCGACGGTAACGGCGAAGCGCGCGAACACAATCACCAGCACACCCGGTCTACCGACACCACGTACACATTGAAGCCGTTCATGGGACGGCCGAAGGGCAGACCGCGAGGGGATTCAGACTTGGGGAAGCCTCCCTCGCGGAAGAGTGCGGCGGCTGGGAATTTTGGCTTTTCTCCAATCCAGGAAACGCCTCCGACGCTGCTGCCACACTCACACTCGTAAGCATTCTGTGAACTCGGTCTGGCAGACAGTCTGTTGACATGCATATAGATCATGGCTTGAGCTTCCCGAAGCCCTCACAGCCCTCCTCATACCCCTCCCTTACCTGTTGGCTTCGCTAGCATATCCCACCGTTGTCGCTCCAGCTCGAAGATTGCCTGCTACGCTATCCGATACCGTCACTGATTCGAACATTCCGAGCTCTGCAAGTCTCGCCAGCGGCGGCCAGCTCCTGCACGCGTGCACGCTCTCCTCAACGACCTTGATTCTCATAAGCATTATAGCCAAGATTCGAACCACAGTAGAGCAGCCCTTGGATAGGCGGAAGTCTTTTGGGAGCGCTGAAAAAGCCGGCAGCACATCCAGCATACTACGAGACGCCAGTTCGCTGTGGCGCATGCTCACCAATGTGCTTAGCGTATTGATGCCCTTTTACGCCACGATGCAATTGGGCGGAGCGAGGACAGCCCTGTTCTTGTTGGCAGCAACAACCGCGGGACTTGGGAGTTTGGATCAAAAGCCGGGGAAACATACGATCTGGGAGGGTACCAGGCGGACCCTACGAACTCGCAGAGCGACGTGCGGAGTACTGCTTCTTACGGTGCTCATAGACGCGCTTGGTTCCCCAGACGCGGCAGGTACGCTCGTCGGCTACCTCGCTTTAGCGGCCTCAATCTTTGCTATACCTCCGCCCCTCCCAACCGCTGGATGGTTCTTACACACCGACCCTAGAAGTCAGGACTCGTGGGCTTCAGGTCGAGCTTCTCTACCGAAGCCCTCATCCCCTCTCGTGGGCTCATCCGAGGACATCTTGCTCACCTTTGGATCCGGCCTTGGACTCACCCTCATAACTATTTTCTATTCGAGCGTTTCTTCTTCATCTCCATCTCTCTCTCACCATGCTATTTTCTTTTCTACTCTGTCGGTTGCATCAGCGACGGCGCTTGTGTATGTTTCTCTTCCAGCTGCTTTGCGAAGTCAGAAGAAATTCGGTCTAGCGTTGGGAACGCTTCTAACGGCAGTATTTGAGGTTTTAGAGCATCCAGGCGCATGGCGGGCATGGTCACTCTTTCTTGTAGTTTGTGTGCTTGTTTTTGGGGCGCTTTGGTTCGATACGCGTCCGTCTGCGATAGCTCGGCCACATTCTCACGGCCATTCTCACTCTGGCCATCAGCACTCTCATGGTCACTCTCACGACCACGATCATCACCTGCACGGAAACCATTCGAAGTTCTCGGCCTTCCTCATTGCTTGGTGCAAGCCCGGCTCGATTATGCATAGCATTCTGATCGAAAAAGACTCGCGGCGCATTGCTTACTTTGGAGTGTAAGTTAAGCTCTTCTCCCTTGCAGCTGGTTCCACAAACAAGAGCTAGTCGCCATTAACTCAGGCTGAGCGTCCACAGAACGCTCTCTCTAGAACCCTGGCTGACTTGGATAGACTTAACCTGGCTTTCATGCTCGTCCAGTTCTTCTACGGATTCGTAACAGGATCCCTAGGTTTATTGACGGACAGCATCCACATGCTGTTCGATTGTGCTGGGCTTGCGGTGGGCTTGGCTGCTGCGGTTATGAGCAAATGGCGTCCGAATGCTCGGTTTCCGTACGGCTATGGCAAGATCGATACGCTGTCGGGGTTCGCCAACGGCGTATTCCTTCTGTAGGTTCACCAGTACCCAAAACACGGTTCGCGCTAACCTCCTCAAAGGCTTGTCAGTTTAGAGATCATCTTTGATGCCTTTGAAAGGCTTTGGGAGGGCCATCATCTACACCGGCTGAACGAACTTCTCATTGTTAGCGTGCTAGGCTTCGTAGTGAACATCGTTGGCCTCACAGCTTTCGGGCATGCTCACCATGGCCACGGACACGACCAGTAAGTCTACTGGTCCTCCCCTGATGCAACGCGCATGAAGGACTAATTGGAACAGCTCCCACGGCGACCATGGTCACTCGCACGGCCATTCTCACGACAACGAGAACATGCACGGCATCTTCCTCCACATTCTCGCAGATGCCCTGGGTTCAGTAGCCGTCATCATATCAACGCTCCTCACCAAGTACTATGGCTGGTCTGGCTGGGACCCAATTGCGTCGTGCATCATCGCCATCTTGATCTTCATCTCTGCGATTCCGCTCGTCAAGAGCTCCGGTATGCGCCTTATGCTTTCTCTACCCGCCGACGTCGAATACGGTATTCGAAACACACTGCAAGAGTTGAGCTCTCTCCGGGGTGTGGTGGGGTACGCTGTGCCGAAGTTCTGGCTGGAAGACGAAGGCGCTGCACATGCAGAAGCGCATGCTAAAGAGCACGGTGGTTGTGATCATAAGCATGATCATGATCATTCAGACCACGATACCAAGCACGAGCATGATCATTCGGGACATAGCCATCCGCACTCGCAATCACATAGCCACGGCGACCATTCGTGCGACCACTCGGACCATGAACATACCCACGCCCGCCAACCAAGGATCCTTGGCGTCATCCACATTATCGCCTCCAGCGCCGCGGACCTGGAAGACGTGCGAGAACGTGCGGTGCAGTTTTTGAAGGGACGAGGCATGGACGTCGTGGTGCATGTCGAAAAGGAGGGCGAGGGTCGATGCTGGTGCGGCGGCGCAAACAAAACGAGCTAGGCACATATCTTTTTTTCGGTTCCGCAGCATGCGAGGTATGGCGTTATCAGCAATTTCCTTTGTGGATATTCCCTTTTTGCGAGAGCATTTTCTATATCGACTTTCATGAACTTATGTACTTGTATCATGGATTGGAGCGGCAGATTCTCGCTTGGGACGAGCCGTAGGTTGAAGAGGTGGCATGCTCGGCGTCGCTATTGTATATAGATGCATCAAAGGTATATCAAATGGGGTTGGCTCCGTTCAACACCCTCTATGCTCGTACCGTCGTCACCACTAGCTAACTCAACATGCACTCGACGCTACAGGAATTGAATTGAGGATGAACAGAGCCGGATTTTCGGTAGCCACGACCGATATATCCCATCTCCATCTGGCGGTACATATCACTAAGACTTACTTTTAATGCTAGAAGGCTCGCCCTCAAGGTTTTAGGCAGATTATGCACAGACTATCGAAAAGTGCAATAGCTGCCGAAGCTCTTCAGGTCTCGTTTCCCTCGTAGCAAGAAAACGAAGTCTCAATCCGGCTCTGGCATATCCTAGCCCCTTGAGCGGATGGAATCGGGTACACTCAAAGTTGAACCTTTCCATCACCATGAGCTTGTCAGCCCACAACAATGTTATCGCAACGTCGAAGCCAACGCCCAGAACTTCGCTGCATCGCTTTCGGCGCCATCCAATATTCTGGCATGCAGAGCTTGGAATACGATGTCATAATAGCATGAAAGCCCAGCGGCTTAACTTTACTCGGCTCGCGATTCCCACCAAGCGGAGCGTGTCCAATGACCCGATCCACACGCCACGTTCACGAGCTCTTTCAACCCCTCTGAGCCACAACACCACCCGCCCTGCTTCCACCTAACCTCCTCAAAGGCATCCAGACCCTCGCTTGGCAACCAAGCCCCTTCACGGTAATACTTTCCCGCTTCTCTCGAATCCTACCTCTCCACCTCCACCTGCGGTACAGTACGAATCGATGTCGATGTCGTGCAGCCCTCGACGCAAGCGCGCAGCTTCTCGCTGTAAAACACCACCCAACTAGCAGCATTACTTCTCAGACCCTCCCTCCACAAGTCTATCCAAGGCTCAAAGCCTACGCGAACCCTGCATACAGTACACGTACGCGTACGCAAGTAAAACCTCACCCTGCAGAAGCGCACCAAAGCAGTCCCCAACGCTGGCGATCCTGCCCCGCATCCAGCATGCGGTGATCGGCGGGTGACCCCTCACCCTGCATTCAGCGATCGAAGCCTTATCCCGCGATGCGCAGCTGTTTGTTGGGACGGGAGGGGTCGGGGGTCCTTGTTCGTGGTTGGGTTGCGAGGCTGGGAAGCTGTGATAATCCTGACGGGAACGGTAGTTTGCCTTTAGTGGTGTTGTGGAGGGGGTTGGAGGGTAAGGGTAACGTCAGGCTGATGTGCGATCCATCGGACAAGCCTGATCGCGAAGTGGGAGGAACCGCATCGACGACGATTGGGCAATGGGATTTTGATGACGGGATTTTTTTTTTCTTTGGGGCGGGTGGGGATAGAATTGCGGGCGTTGTGGCGCACGGGCGATAGTAGCGTGGTGGAGAAGAGCGGTTGTGGTTCTACTGTAGTGGAGCCTTGCGGGCTGGGGCTGAAGTCATACTGAAATCAGACAAGCAGAAGACCCACCGAACGCAAGGAATTGTCGAATTATGCATGGGCAATCTGAAGCGATATCCTTGACTCTAGATAGCCCCATCGGTCCGCGGGTAAAGGATCACTCTGAGTTGTTCGACCCAGTGCCGTGGAAGCAGTGTGCCCATGAAGTCACAACTGAGAATTCATGATGATGCAGAAGACGGTTGGATGTGTAGAATATTTGGATTATGAAGTTAAGAAGTACAATTCATAGGGTAACCAAAGAGCTGCCCAGCGCATACATCGCGCTCAAAGTGATGCATGCAGTGGGGTATCATGGTGTTCTGATTTGAGCACTTCATTTCAGAAAAACACCTTGCGCCAACCATACCAAACCATATCAAACGCCGTAGCCATTCCATAATACGGTAATTCGTGAAACCATAACCCCTCGTTAATCAATCTTCCAGTGATACATGTCACATAGACAGTGATTCCCCACAGTTGAACATTAGGCGTATCTCAAGCCGTGTTTGGGATTCTCTCGACATGTCGTGGACCCTTTCATGCCAAGACGATCGCCGAGGGATGGAAGTCGTGGATAGATCGCGGGTCGTGGGATGTTGCTCAACTCCAGGTCTTGCAGGAATGGATGCCAAGGTCCAGGTGCTCTGCGATAGACGAGGCGAACTCTCGGTCGACGATGGAGCCACTGGATCGGCGACGGCGCTGCTGGCGGATCTGGTGTTCCGCATCCATAAGGCGTGCTTGCACCCAGGCCCGGTACTTTTCGTCTGAGCGTACAGAGTCGGTGTTCAGCAGCTCGGTAAGAGTAGCCTTGATCTCCTGATTGATCTCACACATCTTGTGGGAGTCTTCGCAGTGTGGGTCGTCGATGGTGTTTCGGTGGACCATCCCGGGTTGTGCTGGGATGGGTTCGGTAGGTGATGGCCAGGCCGAGGCGTAGTCCGGATCAGCCGACCAGGGCACAGCGTAGGTAGGCCGAGAGTATACGGGTGACGATGCCAGAGACTGGAATTCAGGTGACGAGGCCGTCATGGGGGCGGAGGTGGGGATGTGGAGAGACAGGCGACGGCGGAGGACCTCCTGTTGTGACGACAAAAGCATGTACTTTTGTACCGAGTCGTCCTGGCGTGATAGTTAGCAAGGCTAGCTCATTGCATTGCACAGCAGGGCAGCTACTCACGCTGCTCTTCGAGTATCTTGTAGGAGGGGCCATTGAGTCCGTTCGCGGTATGATTGCTTATTCTGAGTTCGAGCGGACAGTTGAGTGAAGCTCGGGGTCCTCAGAGTGTAGTCGTAGGGAAAGGGCGGGATGCGGGGTTTATCTATATTTGATAACGGAGCCGGAGGCAGCTAATGATCGAATGGTACGGAAACGTTTAGACTCCCAACAAGCGTGAGCTCGATCTGGGGATCGTTCGTGCTGCAGACGCTGCAGAGCTGCGGGCGCTGGTTGGTTGATTTTCGCTGGTGGAATGAGCCGGTAGGGTGATATCAGGAGATGGCGCAATTGCTGAACACGAGTCGCCGGTGGGCTCACGGTATTTGTAGGTAACAACAACTGACGGCAGGATAATGTCGGAGAGAGTAGGGCAATAACTCGGTAGTTGCGAAAGGAGGAAGGGAGGACCCAGGGGCTTTTATCAGCGTCGCAGTGATGTGCACCTCATTCCTCAAAGCGGCCATGACGTGAAATAGCACAGAGCTCCCGGGGCGCAGGACCATGGCTGATGAAGCCTGCTCGGGCCCAGTTGCTCGGGGCGCCTTTGGACAACGGTCTCAACCTCCGGCTCCTCAGCCGTAGCCTTCCGCGGGTTGGCGCGAGAAAGGTGATTGGGAGAGAGACGCTCCTCTGGCGATCGACTGCGTGGTGGTGCTGTGCGAAACCCGCCAAGGCTACATCACGTCACCCGTGCCAGGGCTCCAAGCCGTCTCAGATCATGGTGCGCAGAATCGCGATCGTGATTCATCCTGCAAGCGCTGGAATGCCCTGTTCCTGACTATCGTGACCCACGGCAGTACCTGCATTGCATACACAGTGCACACATGGCACCACTGTCCGCGGACACCCCCGGGTGGGGCTCTCCACAGCGCATTTTCTCATGCTGAAGAAATGATGGGAGCATTTTCCACCACCTTGAAGTCGAGAAAATTCCCCATGAGAATGCGACGATGCGATCTGAGCAAACGATGACGTCCCCACGAAAACAATTGGGATTGTGCCTGACAACATGTCAAGAATGTTTCAGGCCGCAACGGCTATTCCGAGCCCTTCGACGTCACTTCTGCCCCATGCTCAGTCAGACCAACTTTCAGGTCACTCCAAACGAGAAGCCTCACAGATTGCTTCTCTAGGCAAGAGACGTGGCTTGTACTAAGATCATCTTTGATCGTCTTGTACTCGCTCTTTGATTGCTCCTCCGCCGCACCGCCACATATTTCTCAGGGAAAATAGAAACAAGTTTTCCAGCCTCGTTACGTGGCTCGTTGGTGCCACGCCAGCTACGGTTATTCATCCTTTCTGACGTCTTTTGTGCGGCTGATGGTCGGACATCCGGTGGGAGGCTTCCAACTCCTTTCTGGATTCCTTCTGGAACAGGGAGCAAGCGAGACCAAGTTTCACCCTCCTGACTGTGGACGTCATGCACTATGCTGGCAATCACTCGCAGAACCCACGTGGGAGCGCTTTGCTTTTTGGAAGTTGGTTTTGTTGCGAAAACCACGTGCCCGTCGGAGTTGTGTACAAAGGCCATGAAGCCGAAAAGGATGGGAGACATCCGCGACGTCATACGCGGTTCGAGAGCTGATCGCGGGACTTGATGCAAGCCCTTGTGCATCTGGCGTAGCTCAAACTTGCAAAGAAAATACCTCCGGAGGTAATAAAGCGCTTCCTCAAGCGGAGCTGTTTTGAGTGATGAAGTGCGATATTCTCGACTCTTGCCGGTGTGTTGGCGACGCGGACCATGGTGAGTAGGTTCGCAGGGCGGATTGCACAGCTTTACCAATGCCCGGGATTGAAAGACCAGCGGTGGTCTCGTTGGTTGGAGGGCGTCAGACAAGGACAGTCGTCGAGCCGGCTTGCGATGTTGCGCAACGTGTATAGCAAGGCCGCCGGCTACGCAGCTTCTCCTGTCCGCTCTGTCGAATATATAGAACGACGTCTTTTTTTACAGAAGCCACAAGTCTCTACAGAATAGTGATAGAATGCATGTCCCGCGGAGAAGTTCGACTTGCACTGCAACAATCCTAAGGGGGAACCTCTGCGTTCGTTTAGTGACGTCCAAGGCGAAGTCAGTCTGTCGTCTAGCTCGACGAGGATTTCCACCATTCTAGTGGCCGCAATAGAGAATATGACCACCATCAAGGCACGGACGAATTCGCCATCTTGCCGGACATATTGAGTGAGCGGAGGGACCTCAGCCAAGCGCTTTCCCAAGGACTCGTGGGAGACATTAGTGCTTAGTCCTTCGGTGCCCAGTAAACCAGCCGTCCATGAGCGTCTCCTTTGAATGTTTGTGCGTTGCATCGGCTTGGTCTGTCCAAGGGCACGCAGGAGTCAAGAGACGACGGCATGGGTGTGGCGCTAGCCCCGCCGTTGGTAGAAAAATTCGTACGCGTGTCATCACTCTTGCGTAGCAAGGCGTCCGCTCCAGAATCCTTTTCCGTAGCTGACGAGAATTTCGTCACCCTTGGTAATTCCCTTGGCTCTTTTACCGCTCTTCCCGGCACTTAGCACGAAGACTCCCATTCTCTTTTCTACCTTGCCATGACCCACGTCTACGAGAATGTTCCGAAACTCAGCATTTGGGCTATTTGAAACGCCCCGATAATCGTTGATGAATCTTGCTTCGTTGCCCATCTTAGATGCGTCGACCCCAATGCCGTGCTCACGATCCAAGGATAGATCGTAATCGGATGTCTCGTCGGTGTCGGTCTGATCGTGGACGTAGCCAAGATAAGAGAGGACGAACGAATCTGGAAGAAGATGCTGGTTGGCAAAAAGCCCGTATTGGCCGATAGCAGGGTGTGAATTGCTTGCTATGGGAGTGATCTTGATGTTTGAGTATAGTCCGCCGGTCTTTCGAGCCGGTTCGCCCTGCGAAGGGTTTGACTTGGGCAAGATTAGAGAGTTGATTATGTCGCTTTTGAGCTTCCTAGAATAGGAGGGTGCACGCAAGTACACGACATCCTGCGGCCAGCCCTTCGGAATTCCAGAAGCTGTAGATGGTGAGCCGGGCTGGTCGATTTTGCTGGCCTTTTGCCGCATGGCAATGAAGCTGCTTAAACCGCAGGCCTTTGACTAGTTCGCACGACGCGGTGTCCAGGGCAAAGTCCCCGACCAGGTTTGAGCGGACGAGAATAGGGTCGGTTCAGTTGCCCCGTCTCCTAGGCGTGCATGGGTCTTGGTGAAAACAACGGGCCAGAGGCAACATGAGGGTATTCGAGCTAATCGTCTTAGTCAGGGAACTCAGAGAGGCTAGCAAGAGAGGTGACGCGTCACCAGATGAAGTTGGGAGTGGACTAAGGCTCGGTGCTGTCCGTAAATCCGGGGTTGAGGGCGGAAACGTTGATGGTGGAAGGAGGGTTGAGCGCAGGCAATTCCTTCCCCGCCTTTCTCCCGAGGCCGCTTCCACACATCAAAAATGTATGCGGAGACCCAACGTCACCTTCGATGTCGTCTATCCGGAAAGCTCCGAGTATTCGCTTTCTGCAATTGATTATGCTCAACGAACAGCGTACTGTGGGAAGGTGGAGGTAAGTTCATGGACACTCTTCCCGCTTCGGATGTTGCTAATCGCTCAGGGAATCACGTCCTGTTGCGCGACGCGTTGTTTTTCAACACCGGAGAGCGCACCCGAAGCCGTAAACGCATGAAATCCAATATCAGCAATGGCGCGGCGCTAGGCCCGTCGAACCTCGTGAGGATCCTTGATGCGAAATTGCATGCGCAAAGACAACGTCGGGATGAGGAGACAACGACGACGTCGGGGATCCTATGGCTCATGCGAAAACGGAAAACTCCCGACCTGCTCGCAGACTGGCCTCCTAAGCTTATCGCAAAGGATCACTCAGCTCCTGGGCTTCTGTGAGCCTCCTTTCCTGAGGCCGCCAGGCCGCGTTTGCTGGTCGGCTCCTTGAAGCCTTTGCCACCGTTTAACGCTCGGCCCAGGACCGATTTTAGTTACTGGTTGAGATGCAGGAACCCGCGTGCACTGGCGAATCTTTCGCTGCAACCGTGTCAGTGTCCATCTCCTCTCTGGCGACTCGGAGCAAAACTGCTGTTTTTGTAACTTTGCGCTATCAGCACGGCGGCTATTTTTGCTCGGAGCATGGGGCCCGCCAGCGCTGTTCCGCACCGTCTCCCCACCGCGATCTCGCCTGCAGTTCGTCGCCGCGTCGGCGCCCTGCGAATCGGCCCAAGTCCAAGAAGCTTGCCATGGGCTCCACGAGAATGGTGATGCAACAGCCAAAGCTCTCAGTCCTTGCTCCGGAGCCGTTGAAAATGTCCTCGGGTCCGTCTGCAACGACCACACAAGCCCGCTCTCCTCATTCATGACATGCCGCTCGACTGAGAAATATGCACGCCGTGCAATTCGGGTTAGCCAGCGGTTGTGCACGCGGTGCCTGCGCGAACAACACTTTTCACTAACCTTGGCCATCCTCGGAAGGGCATAGCGCAGCCAACGAACTTTCGAGGCTGCATGGGTCCTTGGCAGGGGATATTGGTTTGTTAATTTCGTTTCTCTCCGGCTTGCCCGCTTTGATAGGTGCCGCCTGCTTTCATCAATAAACACCTCTGATAACCGGTCTGGCCTAGCTTCGCTCAATCAGCGGTCCCCCTTTGCCGTATCGTCAGAGTCGTCCACCATGCACGCCACATGCATGGCCAAGGCATGCCGAATGCTGGGAAACGAGTGCAACCGTGGGAGCCCCTGGCAGAGTCTTTGACGGGCTGGTAAGCCACAGCATGGCACTATGGATATAAAGTTCCCCCAGTTCCTGCCCAGCTCTTCTTCCTTTCCTCCTCACCACACACTCGCTCTTAATACACCGGTCTATACGCCGATTTCACTCGTTTTCGCGACCTCCACGATCTATACCTAATACCAACGTAATATCCAAACCAACAATCAAAATGCGCTCCTTCGCTGCCATCGCCGGCTTTGTTGCCGCTGCCAACGCCTGGGCCTACAACTACACTGCTCCCCCGACATACGAGACCACCGTCGTCTCCGAGTACACCACCGTCTGCCCCGGCCCGACTGAGATCCCTATCGGCCCCGGCAAGACCATCACCGTCACTGAGTCCACCACTCTGACCATCACCAACTGCCCGGTACGTCGATTCGCGAGACAGACTAGAGACCGTCAGCTATTGTATCTGGTTTGGAACCTTGACAAACGAGGCTTCAAGCACGGCCGTCAATAGCTTGCCCCGTTTTCTGTCTCAGTTCATCTACTCGTTATGAACCTTCGCTGACTTCATGGCAGTGCACCATCTCCAAGCCTGTTTATACCCCGGCTCCTTCCAGCCCGGCCTATACTCCGGCTCCTCCGGTCTACCCTACGAGCTCCCCGGCGCCTTACTATCCTCCGGGTAACAGCTCAGCGCCCTATGTTCCGGCCCCGACTGGCACTGGTGTTCCCACCTCTGTCTACCCGACCAGCACCCCGACTCCGTCCGAGTTCCCTGGTGCTGCTGGCAAGGCTGGTCTCTCTCTCCTCGCCGTTGCCGGTGCTCTCGCCGCTTTCTTGTAAAGCGATGAGGCTCCGGGGGGCTTCAGTATGAGCTATCCACTAGCCATTCTGGTCTCCTGAGAAGAGATGGGGTCAATGGGGAATTGGCTTCTCTAATGGTTAACGACTTCTTCGGGCTCTGCATCATGATCCTGCATTGCGATGACGGAGTCCAGGGGTCCTCCTAACCATGATCACCGCGCGCACAAGTGCGCAGCAGCATTTCGATTGTACAGTTTAATATTCACGCTTGGTCGAAGGGCTCCTGCCAACCTAGCTCATGGAGGAACTTGTGTGGTCTGGTGGATTCTCATGTTCATAGACTTTTCGGGCGATAGACGAAGAGTCGGCAAGATAATTAACATGGATTTCTACTGCTATACTCGGATTTTCCTTCATGGAGTGTTTTGTCTCTTCGTTTCTGCCTCGCCGGGCGGATAATGCTTCGATGTCTGGGTTTACGATACCAATGCCGCGGTTTTGAGGAATGCTATCCATTTAAGCTTTATTTTTGGCTTCAGAGTGAGCAACCGCCTTCTTGGCGCGTTTCGAAAGTGAGGTCGTTGTAAGCCCGTTGCACACCAACAGGCACGAAGTGATTGCAAAACACGGCTCTGTAGGGCTGGAATCAGAGTCAGGCCTCGCTCTCGGGGGACTGCGTTTAACCCTGAGCCCCGAAATTACGCCCAACGCCACCCGGTCGTCTGTGCTTCCTTATCACCACCACCGGCGCCTACCCGCCTCGCCTTCGGCTACCCTTTTAATATCCGGGCAACTGGTGCTTACAACCTTGCTCTGGTGGGCGCCACGGCAGACTGCAGGATCGGACCATGAACGCGTTGTGCACGCGCGATCGAGGGACTCAGTCGCCTCTGAGGTTGTTGTCGCCAAAGCATGGGCTTGCGGAGCTCAAGTCGAGAGGGATTGCGCGAATTTCTCGTCCCAGTTCATCTTGGATAACGATTTCATCTTCGACAATTAAGCAGGTTCCAGAATGAGTTCACATGTCAAGGCGCTTCTCTCCTCTGTCTCTTCCTTTCTCCTTCCTGGGGATCCAACCGGTCACCGAACCGCTGGATACCGTTTTTCTTCGCTCTTCCAGAAGCCCTTCAACGACCCGCCATCAACGGCGTCATTTCAATTTCCACTTCTTGCTGTTGTTCCCTCTCTTCGTATCCGTCCCACTCCTTCGCCGGTGGGCTTCCACGGTCTCGCCGATAGCTTGTCAAACAACACCCACGCTGTGTCGCGTGCTACGCAGGACGTGAGGACGGCGTGTGCACCGCTTCACAAACCGCCGTGTGACAACGCGGTAGCACTTGCCGCTATTGGCTTCTAGATCTTTGTGCTACTTTCCCCGGGGCTTCAGAGGAATACCAACTCCTCGCTGCTAGAAGACGGGATGTCTTTCGTCGGTGGACGGCGTCGGGGCAGACTGCTCTCTAACTGATCACGCGAAATTGCCTAGGTGTCATCTTCCCAGTCATGGTATTCGCTCTAGGAGTCTCCTAGCTTCTAATTCTTCCATACCGGTTTCTCTCTCGCTGCGCGCTCTTTTTTGTGCCGCCCATTTTCTTTCTAGTACGTATCCAGGACAACGATACTGGAGCAATACGCACTCGCATCTTCCAGTTTCTCCGGTGGAATGCAGTCCGGTCAAGAAAAGGCTTACGAATACCGAAGTTGCGTTCTAGAGTTTTGTTCGTTTTCAGTGAACGCCCAAGCCGGCAGTGGACGAGAACTATGTCGAGCTAGAGCAAATAGAAGGCCCTTCCACCCACAGTCCTTCACTCTTAGGATTCAGATTGTCCAAGCGCGTGGCTTTCTCTTTAATTCCAAAAAAAATCCATGGTATTTCAGTCTACTTAGCCTTGCCCTGAGAACTTGACGTTCAAAATAGGGATGATCTCGTGCGGAACCATTCCGTCGACATGCTTCCGACAGCGGAACGTCGACCCCACATGCTCCAACTACATCAGAGCCATGATGCGCGTCCTTTAAGCTACTTTGCATCTCCCTTACCTTCCGCTCATTCTCTCTTCAAAATCAATCACAATGTCTGTTCAAAAAGTCGCCCTCATAACCGCCAGCTCGGCGGGACTGGGTGCTCAAATCGCACGCGTCTTCGCGCCAGATTTCCGAGTGGTGAGTGCGCTCCTCCAGCTCCAATACCAGCCGTTGGACTCTTCACCCCTCCTTTCTACGCGTCCTCAGCTTGCTGAACTTTGCACCAGGTAATAAACTACGCCTCCAACGCCTCCCGCGCCCAGCAACTCGTCGACGAGCTCTCCAAAATCCCAAGCACGCACTCCTCTCCCGCAAGCCCCCGCTTCCACATCCTCCAGGCCGATGTGTCCTCCAGGCCCTCCGTGGAGAACCTCGTCAAGGAAACGCTCAAGACAATGGGCCGGCTAGACGTCGTGGTCTCAAACGCCGGCTGGACACGCATGACGACGTTCCTAAACATCGACGAGGGAGTCAATGACGAGGACTGGGACAAATGCTTCGTCATGAACGTGAAGACACACATGTGGCTCGCATATGCGGCAAAAGACGCCTTGGCAGAAACCGAAGGGACCTTCATCTCGACCGCAAGCGTGGCTGGTGTGAAGCCTTCTGGTTCGAGTCTTCCCTATGCGGTGACGAAGGCGGCGCAGATTCATCTTGCGAAGAGCTTGGCTGTTATTTTGGCACCGAAGATTAGGGTTAATAGTGTCAGCCCGGGGATGATGCTCACGGAGTGGGGGATGAAGTTCCCGGAGTCGAAGAGAGAAGCAGCGAGGAATAACACGAAGTTGAAGAGGCTGGCGACTGTCGAGGATGTTGCGGACCAGATTAGGACGTTGGCGCTGAGCAGGAGTGCTACGGGGCAGAATTTGTGCATAGATGGAGGGTCGTCTTTGTAGAAGAGGAAAAGTAGCTAGTCAAGGGCAATCGAACTGAACGGACATTAACTGAGACGAACTTGTTGAGACATCGAAATGTGTTAGAAGCACTCTACCTTGCTCTTTCTAAATGATGTAAGCATCTTTCGACGAATTCACTACGCTCAGCACACCACCCTAAAATCCGGAGTTCGTTTTCATCTAAGCAATCCCCTTTTGCTCTCTAAGACAAGATATGCATCAGGAATGTGAGTAAAGCAGCGCTAAGTGCCCGAACACAGATCAAATGCATGTCACTGCCCACCTCGCGCGCTAACCCCATTCGTAAAGCTCCGTGAATTCAACCCCTCCAACACGTCTCCCGGCACCAATTCCACTTGAGAAGCCCCACGCCTCACCCGAAGCCGTCAAGCATGCTTCAACTAGAGTCGAGATGTAAGCCAATATTTCCCTTCTACAACCAGCATCAGTTATCCGCAGAGTGGGGGAGCGGAGCTCGAGCTAATGCTGCCCATCAATCCAGGATCGACGTGCCTCGACGGCTCCGCCGCGCCATCCTCCTCAACGACCTCGCCCTCGTAAAGCGCATCGTGCGCAACAATCCGCACTACCTGCGGAACCCAGACTTCGAGGACAAGAGCAATACCTCGCTCCACCTCGCGGCGAAGAATGGATTCACGCAGATCGCCGTACGTCATGTTCTCCAGCTCCACAACACGCGTGCCATAGCTAGCGGAAGGAAAGCTGATACAGGACCTGCGGGAGTAGGAGTTCCTCATCGAAGCCGGGCACGAAGACGAAATCGTGAGCAGGAACAATGAGTGGGAAACACCGCTCATGTTGGCCGCGATAGCGGGCAAAGAAGACATGGGCGTTATGCTAGCAAAGCGTTTCCCAGAGTGCATACCATGGCAGAACAAAGCCGGACTCGACGCCGTAAGCTGCCGTTACTCTTTCCCCCGCTCTCCCATGACCTATCAAACTAATATCTCCCCCAAGCTCATGCTCTCCTGCCGCTCGGGCACCGGCACCCTGCACCTGATCCCCACGCTGCTCCTGCACGCGCCCTCCATCCTAACAACCTACGACCACACCGGCAACACCGCGCTACACCACGCCAGCGCCGCCGGCGAACTCAAAGCCCTGCGCATGCTGCTGCAATATGGCGCGAATCCGCTCGCCCAAAACGCATATTCCTGGACTCCCGTGCACTACAGCGCCACCCCGGCCGCAGAGGCATACTTCAAGACGCTGATCATCGAGTTCGAGAAGAAGAAAGCCGAGGGCAAGAGAGTGGAGAGGGAGAGGGAGCGGCAGCGGAACGCCGGCGTGAGGTTGGTTACGGATCAGGAGGGGTTAGGTGGAGGAGGGCTAGCTAGTGGGGGTATGAGCACAGATAGGCAGCGGGCGAGAGATGATGCTGCGATTGCGGGGCTGCCGGCGCCCGGGATGGATTGGAGTCCGGTGGAGAGGCGGAGGGCGATGACTCCGACGGAGAATAGGGGCGGAGGCTGGTTCACACCTGATGGGACGCGCCCGCGAGCAGAGAGCGGGGAGTCCATGTCATCGCGGTGATACTTGGACTTGATATTGCTAGATCTATGGCGTTTGTGTGGATTGGCATGGAGTAGACGGACGATACTACATCACATAGGATTTTCATCTGGCATAGCATACAAATTGGCTTGCACGCTTCATTATGCTGTGTTCTTCCAAATCACCTCCAGGTGGATCTATCGATGCTCGCTAAGAAGCACGACTATCTTACACCGTGCACCGCTCTGTCCCCATGTGCCGTTTTCATTCCTTGTCTATAGACCGTCGAAGTCTCCAGCTGCATCATCCTCATCAATATCGCCCTCCTGGATCTCCTTAGCAAGCTCCCGCTCCCGCTCTCTCGCCTCTTGGGCATTCTTCAGCTCCAAGCGATGCTGGTTCATAGGATATCGCATCGCCTTGACGCACTCATCGTGCAAAGTCAAGCAAGCTCGGATACGCTCGTGGAAGGCCTCGCCAGGTTCGCGCGTGGCATAGATGTCGCCGGCTTGCTTTGTCTGCATGAAGCCCTTCTCGTGGTCGATTGAGGCCTCAATGACGCCGTCGCGGATAGCCTTTGCAACAATGTACTCAGCCGACTCTTCGCTCTCCAGCCCGAGGCGAATGCAGATATCTCGTAGCGAGATGCGCGAGTAGGACAGCGAAAGCATGCGAATGCCGGTCTTGATGACGTTTTGTCGGAGACGGAGGATCAAGGTGTAGGTACCGTCGCGGTGGAAGGTCGAGGCGAAGGTGGCGACAATCTTTAAGAAGCCTTGGAGATCACCGACACGGACTGCTTGAACGAGGCGGAAGTACGGCTCCAACGCATACTCAAGGCGAGGCTGGCTGAAGACAGCACGGTCTGGAATATCACCCATGAGCAACTCCACCACGATCAACAGCTTCATAGAAGCCTGGTAAAAGCCGGCCGCGACCGAGTTCGTTGGAGACTTGCGGGTTGCGCTTGTGAGGTGGTCATGCGCCTCCGTGTAAGACAGTTGGATCGCCCGTATGCGGCCAAGGTAGTAGAGGTACCTTGCGACCTGGTTGTTTGGGGCATTCGGAGGGAACTGGGTTTGCGCGACGAGGAGATCGGCCTGTGTGATATCGGCGGTGGAGATGTAGTTTCGCAGGAGCAATGTCGTCACCGAAGCCTGTGTGTCCTGGTCCTTCCGGAGGACGGCGCTGCGTAAGGCCGCAAGCAGCTTTCCACGAAGCGCGATAACGGGCGACTGCTTGGACGGCGGTTTCGGATCGAGCTCTTCGTGGAAGAGCGAGAAGTAGAAGTAGGCTTTCGCGGCTAGGGAATCCAAGGTTCGCCTGTTCAGCTCCCGGATCTTGTCTACTAGCTGGGACGAGAACTCGGCGCCCTCCTCATAGTCTTTCTGGTCGTAGAGATACACCTGGAACGGTCAGCCGCGACATCGGACAAGCCTGCTTCGTCGCACATACCTGGATCAGGATGGCTATGTAGACGTCGATCTCAGGTATCGGCTCCTTGGTGCTGCCCTTGTTCTGCTGAATCTCCTCCTTGTACTGAGACACTACACTCTGTATAACCTCTCCATCCATACCAATCGCCTCGATGAGCACCCTCGCAGTGGCGTTGCTCGGCGAATACGTCAGGACGATGACTGAACATAGCACGCGGTCGGTGAGCCTCTTCCGGAGGGACGATATTGATCGAAGAGCCCTAAGCGTAAACCGCGAATCGAACTGGGCGACGGCTCGTTCCAGCAGGGTGAAGTTGCCTCGAATGTCTTGGGCGGTTCGGTCAGCTCGGTCTGGAAACGAATACTTGTTGGAAGCCAGATTCGTAGCAATCATGAAGGTCGGGCACATGCGACGATGCAGTTCCGATGTCGTGGTGCAGTAGGAACAAGGACATGAAAACGTAACCATGTTGCGATATGATACGGGAGCCACTTACCAGCGACCGCCTTCTGCTCAACATTCTCGGCTTTGGGCTGCTCGCCCTCGGTGACGACGCCTTCCATATTCTCCGCCATGTTGATCGTTGGGGTATGTTTAGGAGGGCAGAGGAGAAGGTACGAGCGGCGGTTGTGGGTAGGCGGAGGCAGAGGGCTGAGAGCTTAGGTAGGTGATGATGAGGTCCGAGAGGCGGAAGCTCTAGCTGGTGAAATCGGCCCGATCATTTCTCCGACGTGATAAACAATGCAAACACACCCCCCGCGTTCAACATACAACGGGTTTTGCAGAGCTGAATAATATATGTCCGTCATGACGCTCCTCGACGCTCACCTGGAGCAAATATCGCTTTGCGCCCAGTCAATCGCCGAGCTACCGTATGTTTACACCCTGGGTACAAAGCTCCCGTCTAAACGCGTTCCAGGTTTCCCCCACCGAAGATCTTCACGAACGCGCTGCTACATCCTCACGATATTACGACGCTAATCCGCGACACTGAAACGCATGAACGTGCTCTCTTCTCCGTGCCTCCACCTCACCCGCCGCTAAAAGCTCAGAACCCTTCGGCAGGCTCCAATCGGCGCAACACAATCTTCAACCCCAATGGAGCCGCTTCCAGCATATCTGGAGGAGGCGCGAACGCTGTCCGAGCACCCAAGCGCAACACGGCGGTCGCAGCGGTATTAGGGACAGAGTTAGTTGAGAGGATACGGAGAGGAGGCGGAGGAGGAGTTGGAACTGGGCTGGGCTACCGAACGTATGACGGGGGCAATAGAAACGAGGTCGATGTGGAGACACTACTAGAAGGCGCCGAGAAGTTGCTTGGGGTATAGTAAGTATATCACGCGCACAGAGTATGGAGTTCCTCTGACCAGCTGGCAGTCCTATCCCTGGTGCTGCAGAACGAATCGCCGCGATGCGCCAGCGACATAGCAGACTGGAAGCGTCGATCGAGTACTACGAGTCACGGATAGCCAACCAGACTACACAGCTGAGCAGACTGAACCGATCACGCGAGTACATAGATGATGAGTCTGCGGAAGGGGGACAGGAAAACCAAGCACCTGTCTTCGAGCCCATGACTGAGGAGGATCTGCGGCGGGAGGAAGAGGAGGTTAGGCAGCTGGAGCGGAAGAAGAAGGGACTAGAGGACCGGGTAAACTCAATGGGCAGGGATATATCTGGTGTGTTGCGGTGAGATGGTGTAGGGCGCATGTGTGGGAGAATTGAGGATGCAACATGTGCTCTACAGTAAGTAAGATACCCAAGCATTGAAATAAGAGAGATGGCTTCCGCATGTCTACTGTCTCGTTTTCATTTTACTGTTCTTTACTGACCACGGTTACGACTGAAGCATATGTATTGTACTCCGGAGCCCCCAAGACCGTATGAGACCGATGCTGCAATGAATTCAATACATGATCCATTTGTACTTTTGTACATGATAAGAACTTTTGGTCATACTCGCACCTAAATATGCCAAGGAAGTTTTTGTCGAAAGCCACCCTGTTGTCCCGTCATATCATCGTAAACCCAAAGCCAATCCCTCTACTGGGCCTTCCACTGTTGAATCTCCGCCTCCGAAATCTGTCTCAACTTGTTTACCGCCGGCGACTCTCCCGTAGCGACACCCTTAGCCAACTCCACGAATCCACCGATCATTGTGCGCCTCGAGATCGCATACTGCACAGTGCTCGCCCTCACACGGATGATCCCAATGCGCGGGTCCTCTGGACCGCCGTCATGCGTGCCGTCACCGAGGTCGCCGATCCATGCCTTCAGTGCGGGAGAGTAGTGCTTCCTGACAACTTCGCGGTCCGTCTCTACGGTAGCGTGGCCGGAGATGGATGCCCACTCGCCGGATGGAGTGATGAAGGCGATATTGATGGAAGGGTGCGTCTTGAGGTCGTCGGTCTTGCCGGATTCGGTGTTGGTGTGGAAGAGGAGCTCGAAGCCGTTGCCCTCCTGTACAGTGTCAAAATCGGGACCTCTTCACATCCCATGGCGGGTTAGCTTATTCGTACCTTTGCAGCCAAAGCCATGGCTCTTGAGGCGAGCAGATCACTGCCAGCTGTCTGGGTTGTCATCATGGCGAATTTCACCTTGTCGATGAAGTTCTGCAGGTCCTCGACCTTCTCCTTGAGAGACGACGAATCATCGAGGTTCTTCTGCGTGTACGGATCCGCGGGCTTGGAGCCAGTGTCCGCATTGCTGAAGGAAGACATTGTAGGTTGGATATTGCTTAAAGTATTGGAGGTTGTACTATAGCAGGTTTGTTAGTGTACGAACTCGATGGTGCGATTCGCCAATGGGACTATACACCCCCCCAAAACACTATTTGCATTTGTAGCTGAAGGTCTCAAGACTGCATGAACAGACTACCCACATGAAAAAAGACTGTACTCACAATTCAGGTTTGATTGAAGCGTTCGGGTCCCGTAATGAGCACCGTAGAGGCTCACTTATTTAAGAACGGTCGGACGATCATCCATGACGTCAATCTTCCGTTTGTCACATACCACAACCAGAAGACCCCACCATATGGGGTAATCGCGATCTGACGAATTGCACCAGCGCCGTGTGCATCGCGATTTGCGGTTTTCGATGGCCCGAGACAGCCTTGTGGGGCAATCGTCAGGTCAGGCGAGCTCATTAGAGAGGGTTTACCACCTAGACTCTTTCGTCACCGGGTCCATCCCAAAACGAGACGAAGAGGGAGTGACTTGGAATAATGACCTTAGTTTAGGTATTCAGCATCCTACAATTGTTGAATAGAGACGTAGAATACGTTTGCGACCATGCGAAACAAAGACATGCCAGTCCCGTTCCGTGACCATGCCATGCAGAGCCAGGAAATACGCTCGTATCATGAGAGCTAGGAAGACCGGCCAGCATTCTAGGTGAAAGCCTAGACAAAAATGGCTAACTTTTGCAGACTCATATCCCCTCTCTATCGCATATTAGCATTCTATGCTGCTGTCTCCTCCTCCTTATCCTCAATCGAAGCCTTCTTGAGCTCCTCAGCCACATCTGCTTCAGCTTCCTTCTCCTGCTCGAGCTCAGCAGCTGCTGAGACTTTACCGCCGTTGACAGCCTGGTTCTTCTGCGCTGGTTTACGCGCTGTGTCTGTTGCGCCTTCGACCTCCTCAGCATCCAGACGATCGATCTCCTTCTGGGCCTTGGCGATGTTCTAACGATTCGTTAGCACACTTACACGTAAGACACCTTGCTCTACTCACCTCCTTCGTCTTGCGGTCCTGGTCTTCCTTCCAGTGGGCGAGCTTCTCCTTGAGCTTCTCAACTGTGGAGGGGACTTCAGCTTGGCTAGAGGGAGCGTCGACGCCAACCTTAGCCAGCTCTTCGATGATGCCTATATTAAGATTGAACTTAGAACCCTCCGCCGGGGCAGCGGCTCCTTTCCGGCCCTTCTTGCCCTTCTTTCCACCGCCGCCGATGAAGTAGTTCTCTTCATCTTGGTCCTTCTTAGAGATACGCGTACCCTTGAAACCAGAGTCGTCGACAGTTCGCTGTGCGGAGGCAGCGAACTTGCTAGCCGCAGTTGCCTCCTTGGCTGGAAGCGCGGACGGGTCAAAGTGACGGATCAGGCCTTCGCAGGCGAGAATCTCATCCTGGTATGCAGGTGCGCTGGCTTCCTCGAGACGTCTGGCAGCGGCCTCTTTGCGCTTGCTCGCCTGGTACTCTTGCTGCTCCTGACGCCTCCGTTCCTGGCGAGCCTTGCGAGCCTGGTAGTCGTAATCGGCAAATGCGCGCTTCTGCTGGTAGTACTTGTCCTTGAATTCCTTCATAGCCATGTACTTTTCCTGTTGCTCGGCGCGAGCCTTGTCTGTTGCATCCCGTAGAGCCTTCATGTTCTTGAATGCCTCGTCTTGTTCGCCCTTCAAGCCGTCCAGCTCAGTCTGCAACTCGGTGTACTTCTGGCTGAGGGCCTTCTGTTCCGGATCGTCCAGCAACTTTTTCTGCTCTGTGATCTGGGCCTTGATGTCGTCAATCGCTTTCTGCTGCGCATCGAAGCCGGCGAAATTCTTCCGTGCCTTGTTGAGGTTAGTAATCTCGCTGAGCGCCTTCTTCTCGTCCACCAACTTCATCGTGCCAGTGTCCACCTGCTTTTGAAGACGAGCAATTTCGTGGTCCACATCCTCAACGCTCCTGAAGTTGACACGCCCCTTTGAAGTCTTCAGCTCGTTTAGGCGCGACTTGAGTTGTTCGTCCAGGCGCTTGATCTTCTCGTGGATGGCGTTCCGCGATGACTTGTTGCCCTGCTGCGTCTGGCGAATGTTGTTCAGCTCGGCCTTCAGTTCCTGCTGTCGCTTCGCGTTCGGGGAATCTTTGTTGTTCGGTCGCGCGAGGTCTTGCTTGGCTTTGGCGGAATTCTGAGGAGTTAGTTAGCGAAATGTTACCAACGCACACGCCTCGTCCCGGTATGCAAGTAGCCGAATGCTACTGAAAAGTAGCAAGCTCTCGGTCCAGCTTGCAAAAAGATTCGAGAAATATCTCAACGCGCACCCACACAGGCAATAGCCCAGGAATGAGCAGCGCGAGTTGTTGGAGGGAATTGGCAGTGGACGGATCATGGGGAAATACTGACGAATTTCTCCTGCGCTGCGGCATGATCTTTCTCAAGCTTCGCAAGCTCCTCTTTGAACTTGGCCTCATCTGGCTTCTCAGGTTTGACGAACTGCTGCTTGCCCTCTGAGGCAGAGGTATCGGCAGTGGCCACCTTGACGGCGGAGGGGGTAGCGGCGTCGGCCATGCTCGCGCTCGATTTGACTCAATTGGCTTCGTGAAGCTGAGTCTGCGGTGCGGCGGTGGGATGGCGGGCGCCGGAGTTGGTCGTCTCGTGGAGGGAGCGGGCGGGTTTAACAAGACCCTGGCGAACCCTAAATTTCCAGCGGGCGACGTTGCTGAAGAAATTCGGCCCTGTGCATGCAACGTTACCCGTCTTGTCTTGGCGTACCTGGCCCGCACATGGGCCGCTCGCTTATCGGCCTCGACCTTCACTCCTTCCTCGCCATGTCCAGGAACGCCGGGGAGAAGACCCCCATTCTGTTGCTGAAGACGAAATCATCGCCTACGGATACGTACGAAGAGTTCTTCTCTACGTTTGACGAGGGTCGGTATGAGCCCGTCTTCGTACCAGTGCTAGAACATAGGTTCAAGCAGGATGCTCTCGACCAGGTCCGCCGGCATATTACGAATGGGGAGTTCGTCAGTATGGACAGGGGAGTTCCGCCAGAGTATGGTGCCATAATCTTCACCTCCCAGCGCGCCGTGGAAGCATTCACCCAGGTCATCGAAGGTCTCAGGACGGAGGGCTCTCTTTCCCTGGGCGCTTTGCTACCGGAAAGTATTCCGTTATATGTCGTCGGGCCTGCTACCGCGCGCGGACTGAGGGCTTTAAGTCTCCCTTGCCCAATTCTTGGCGAGCAAACGGGTAACGGGGACGCCCTTTCGAGGTTCATCCTGGAGCATTACAATGGCATATACGAAGGCTCGGAGAATCCATCCATTTTATTTCTCGTAGGCGAAAAGAGACGGGACATCATTCCAAAGGCACTGCAGTCAGAAGAGCTTCTACCCGAGCGCAGGTCGACAGTGGACGAATTGGTGATATACGAGACCGGGGAGATGCAAACATTCAAGTCCGACTTTTCATCGATATGGCACAAGAATGCAGAAGGCGGGAGGGGCGGGCAATGGGTCGTTGTGTTCTCTCCAACCGGATGTCGGGCTATGTTGGAGAGTTTGGATCTCCTGGATAGCGAAACCGGCAAGGTCAAATCAGGCAACCCCCCAAGAGACATTCTCATCGCGACCATTGGACCGACCACTCGCGACTATCTGGTCAATGAGTTTGGCTTTACGCCTGATGTTTGTGCCCCAATGCCCAGCCCGGAAGGTATTGGAGAGGGTATCAAATCGTTCAACGCGCGTTGAACGAGCTCTCCATAGGACACGCGTACCAAAATTGACAGCCCGGCTGCTTATGGACTATGCAAACAAATAAGAGCAAAATATATTCGTCGCGCCGTGGACGAGTCGCTGGTGATGTGTGCGGCTCGCAGAGGAAGCATGTTTCCAGAGGACGCTTCCTAGAGGAAACCCCACAGTCCTGGACCGTCATGAAGTTCGATGCGCAACCTCATAGCATGTTTCCAGAACTTATTCCGAAGCACCACAAGAGATATATACCCGTCATACGACCGTCGCTGGTCCAACGTGCTGCCTAGCGTGACTTCTGCATTTACTGTGATAGATAGGCTCGATTATTCAATATATATACCATTGCCATCTCCAACCCCTGCTTAGGCTGCTTGCGGGGCAAGGCTAGCACGTCCCAGCCGCTGGCCTTTTACAAGAGACTCGCTACACTGCGCTAGCAATCCGAGCAAGGGGGAAGCCGTACAACATGAGCAATTGCGATATGAATGACGTCAGCCTTACGGATGGCGGAAGCACGTGTTGAAGTCGCGCTAAAGACAAGTGGAGAACCAGGAACAAACTTCAAGCTGTGGAAGCATTATTCCTACATCAATTGAACACCCAAATCCCACTTGTCGACAACAATCCATTTCGCAACTATCAAGAAAGAAGAACAATGACTACTAGCACTCGCTCTTCGACGCGCAACGCGGGCAACACGAGCCCAAAGGACGAACAACATACCGAGGCCGGCTCGAAGAGAAAGGCCGACACCACCTCTCTGAAGCGGGATCGCAAAGCCGCGAAGAAACAGACGACCATTGAGGAGACCATTGGTGAGGACACGGTGAAGGATGCCCCTGAGGATACCGAGATGAAGGAAGCCTCAGAAGACGAGAAAGAGGAATCTGGTCAGAATCAAGAAGAAACCACTGCGGAAACTAAGGACGACACCGAAAAGACCAGCAAAGCTGAGGCAAACGGCGGAGAGACCGTACAAGAGTCTCCAGAGCGCGGGGAGAAGCTGCCATCAAATATACTCGAAAAGGGCATCATCTACTTCTTCACTCGCAACCGGGTGGGAATCGAGGAAGCTGAGAGTGTGGGCGATCTCCAGCGTACCTATTTCGTTCTTCGGCCTTTGCCAACCAGCGCTAAGCTCGGCGACGGCGCTCTCCCGGACCTTGAAAACAACCGCTTGTTCGCTTTGCCCAAGAAAGTATTCCCAAAGAGCCACCGTGATCGCTTCATGGCTTTTGTTGAAAAGGCGAACACGGCCATCCAGGACCTCAAGGACAACTTCTTCAAAGGCGAAGAGCACGAGACAAAGACAGCTGGTACGCGTCGCACAGAGCCAGTCACGACCGTTGCAGAAGGCGTGTATGCCATCACTCGCACGGAGGATCGCACTACCCACCTGAGTTACGCAGTCACGATTCCATCTGAGCTGGGTGAGGTCCAGGCTGACCTCGGACTGCGATCCCAGGGCAGCTTCATCATGAGCGTCAAGGTACGTAGGTCACTGTACACATTCCAGCATGTCTCAGACTTCAACCGCGGAACGCTCCCTCTAAAGGGCCTCCAGCAGGTAAAGACTTAAGACATGCTAGAGTGTGCGCTCCCCTTATCTGAGACATCTGCTAAGTGTACCGCCACCTTTGCAGAATCCCGAGCGCCCTGGACCAGCTAGTGCTCGACTCCCAAAGGGTCCGGAATTTCCGCAAGAGTAAGCCTGATTCGCTAGGGCTGCCTCCCTTCACCCGCTGACAGCATTCACAGAATCATTGAAGAGTTTCGCGGCTTGGCATGGACTGAGGTGAAGCCCAAGTATCTCGATTACAACAACGTCCAGATCCTTCTCATCGGGGAGAACACGGAACATGCTGTTGAGCCTACGACGAAGGACAAGAAGCACGGCAAGGAGGCTCCGAAAGAGGAGCTGGAGGAGCTTGAGCACGAAGATGAGCTTAGAATCAAGCATCTGCATGGTATGTTCCATTATCAGCACCACGGCGTCAATCACTAAGCATCAGACAGGCGATGATTCCATTTTCGATGATCTCCAGATCAGCAAGAAAGATTACCCCAAGGTTCCCAGTACCTGGTGAAGAGGCGCAGGATCTGGCCCGGCGAGGCGATTACCATTTTCTTTGGCGTTTAATCTACGGACGCGTGGCGTTAGGTATGGGCGGCAGGCACTTTGTGCGCCCCCGAAATGTGTCTGCACATATGGCATCACGGGTCTTACTAAGCTGAGGTAAATCAAAAGCGGACGTATGTTTTTGAGAGCTTCCGTGGGCCGTGTTATGGTCACAGGCACCAATTCAGATGAAGCATTCTCTACAATCTGCAAAATGCCACCCCAACTACGCCTTTCACTTCGACTGCTCCTTCCACAGTGTCTGCTCCGTTAGTGAAGGTTCATACGGTCTAATCCGGGCCTTCTCCTTGATCTGGTGAATGTGAAACCCCTCTTCTGCTACACCGCCTTGGTGAAGGTGAAGCCTCAACGTAAGCAACCTAACCGCGCTGAGCGGGGTCGATGAGTGATAAATTTGAGCCTTTACCATGTGAGTTATAATCTGCTCAGGCTGGCGATAAATGACGCTGGAGCCCACTTCCTGTCCATCACCGGTTTCTACACCTCTCTTTGTCGCCGGTGCCGTATCCATTCGTTCAACAAGCTTCGCGTTCGGAGTTCATCATGTCGTCCGACTATACCCTCGCTTCGGAGGAGCACTCGTCCATCGGATGGCCCCTTCAGGCCTTTGTTCTGGGAGACTTCACCTCAGCCGGCGCTTGCGAGCTTCATCTTGACCGCGAAAACTCAGAGTTCGGTCTACTGTATCGGCTGGAGCCATCTGCAGCTGTAATGGCGCAGTTCGCTGATAATGACGGTCCTGTCTTCTTCCATGCTGCATGGGCTCTTGCTGCTTGTCACCGATCGAATGGCACCTGCAAGAAGGTCACGATTCTTTTGCCAAATTGCCAGGTCGATCTAGAATTCATGCACCATGAGTATGCCCAGACGTTCCTAGCGACGTTAAAGAGCTTGGCCACGAACGCATTCACCGTATATGAGGTCACAGTGTGAGTATCATCTGGCTCGTTCAGTGATGTGTCGGCTGACCGCATGGCTGTACAGTAACGTTGCATTTCAGCGGAAGGATTTCGATATGGTAAAGATGGGCTACCGTGCTCATGCCAATCCGGCGTGGGGCGTCGTATCCGATCCCATGACCACATCTATCAACCGGTATGCTTTCGTGAGACCTACTCTGTGGGTTTAGAACTGACGTGCCATAGGCTGTGGAAGACCGGTGAATGGAGCGACTTCATGGTCATCGCGGGAAACAGGACGTTCAATGTTCACAAATCAGTGTAAGGTCTCATTCATGAAGCTGTGAGCATCCACTCTGACTCCGAATCCTAGTCTATGTCCGCGATCGCAGTACTTTGCCAATGCCTGCAAGGGCGGTTTCAAGGTATGCCTAGTCTCTTCGTCAGCCAGAGTCGAACAACGGCACAAATGCTAATGTGCCGAAGGAGAGTGTCACTGGTCACATCAAGCTCGAAGAAGATGGAGCAACCATCGAAACGCTGCTAGCCGAGATGTACAATGTAGTCAATTCCGTTACTGGATCGATCTACACCAACTTCGCGCTCAAGCCCGACATCGAAAAGGAGTTCGTAATGCACACTCTCCTGAAGCTCTTTATCGCGTGCGACAAGGTATGTCCTATCATTCCCTAGCCATGCATACGAGCACGACCGACACAGCCAGTATCATCTTGAGTGCATCAAGGCTCGCGCTGCCGAGGCATTCATCGACCGCCTTCAGTTGGTCCATGATCCGCTGGCTATCGTCGATCTTGCCTCCACCATCTTCAACGACTGCCCTGAGAGCGATCTGGGCTTGCGTACGAGCATAATCGGATACGTGGAGGCACGCATGCCCGCGATCCGCAAGGATGAGGGTGCGAGAGCCGAATTCTTGCAGTGTGAGCTCGTCATGCCAGCTCACCTTGACCGCTTTAGCGAGATGGTCGAGAAGGGGGCTCTGCAAATCACGACACAGTCTTCCTCATTGCTTCTCACGACGCCGCCGGTGTCCCCGACTAAACCTCGCAGAACAATTGCGATGAATCTTCGCAGCAGGGGCGCTTGATAAGCGTGCTCTGAATCCTAGTCACTCACAGTCCTTCGTTACGTCAGTTTGGGGAGGTTTTTGGAACGGTATTGGGAAAAGAGAATCGGGCTCTTTTGTCAACATGGAAATACCAAGGCCAGCATATCCGCATTGTCGATTGCTGGGATAGCGGTTGGATATATCAGTTGGACGCAGGGGGACTTCTTGAGTTCGTTGGGTGCATATCTGGACATATCTACAGATATCTACTGGGTATGATGTCTACTATTTGCGGGGTTGAATCGAGCGCGACGGGCCAGGTGGAATTGGTTTCTAGTTTTGCTTCAGCTTGCTGAAAGTAGCTCACATGGAAATCCATAGCTCGACAAAGGACAGATCGAATTGGTCATCGAAACACCGAAATCCCATCGCATAAAGCTTGGGATCTGAGATGTGGTCGCCCAATCTCCGAAACCTTACACCCACAGTGCCCGAAACGGATACCCGATTCTGACGCCTGAACTGTTCAAGGGATCCCAAACGTGCAGGCGGTGAGAAGCGAAGGCGGCCCTTTGGTGCGAGAACCGTCTCGATACGACGTGCATGAGAACCACCGTCTAGAAGAACTAGCTGCAGCTTAGTTCATCAACGTAGCCGGACATTTATCTGTCGCTTCAAAGTTCCGCTGCCGAGGGTGGCATGTGTATGAGGGGCATTGGCTGGATCTCCGGCTGAATCCTGGTGGCCGTCAATGCGCGTCCTGCTGTCCCGTTAGCACAATATCTTGATATTGAGCACAGCTTCCAGAAGGCTGAGAGAAGAGTAGTGGAGAGACGTCAGCGTTCACAGGCGCTCGGTGAGGATCGTCCTGCGGCTCGAGCGAGGCGTGATTGGCTCGCCGCTCGCGCCTGCTGCATCCGCATCCCTCCACCCACAGTGCAGCAACCACTTTCATGCATCCACGAGGCGGTGAATTACTGGCTGCTCCTCATGTCATGTCCTCCTCACCCTCCTTACCGGATGCTCGCCCTTCCTCCGCCGTCGAATGTGAAGCTGCCATGTCCAAAGTGCAGATCGCGTCTGCTCGCGAACCTTGTCCCCCGGAGAGCACGAGGCGTCGAAAGTGCAGCGCTGAACCCTGATTGCTCCCTTAGCAGCCGTCCCTAAGCCTCTCCTGTTGCACAACGTATGCTCTTGCTCGTCACCACGCTCGCCCCAAGCATGCAAGCAATCGCACTTTGCGTTACTCTCCAATTTCTGCCACCTTCCACGGCCGACGTCTCCATTCTAGGGCCACGCCAATATCAGATACACTGAGGTAAAGCGCGGCTTCCGCCAGCGTTGCTGCAGCCCTACCGAGTACACGTAGCATGGTGGGTAGAAAAAACAATCCTTATCCTCTCCGCTCCTGCGAGATCCTACAACCTCTTCCTTTACTGATCTCTGTGTATCGGCCCACAGACGGACCGTAGAGCATCCTTCGAGGGCCTCCTTGGCCGTTCACGTCATCACAGCCCAGGTCCGGAGGCCTCCTCAGATAGTCTCGAGGGTGCAGCATCCGGCTCTGACCTCCAATCTGCTCCCTCTGCCCCTCGGCGACGGTCCCTGCGCGTCAGAACCGCTCCCAATGAGACCCCTCAGCCCACGTCTCCAGCATGGGTAGACGCCGATAAGGCCGACTCGCGCAAGGCCAAAGGAGGCCGGAGCACTCCTCGAAGAGCTCCCAAGGCTTCATCGCAAAGCGGTACATCGCTAGAGGGCTCAGGTGCCGAATTGGACGAAGATACTGTTGGCTTCCTGCCCAAGCTCAGCCGGATACCAGAAGGGAAGGAAAGCAAGACCCTGAGGCGTCGGAGAAGCTCCACCGTGAGCTCACGGGAGGACACTACGCCCGCTCGTCGCCGTCGCCGACCTGCCGAAGATGCAACATTGAGCCGCCGACAGATCAGACAGAAGCACGGCTCACTGCAACGTCGTGCCGAAAGTCTTGCCAATTTACCAAATCCCTCTCTAATATCGGTACTTTCAGGCCTTACCCAAGTGTCTAGCGCATCTAGCGGAAGCAACTCAACCATCACGCAACAGTCATACGATAAAAGTCATATAGTCAAACGTAAACCGACGAAAGAGAGAAGGCGGCTGCAGATCAAAAGAGCCCTCCCCCGAAGGGACTCTGAAACCATGGAGTCCCAACACGCCGGCGTCTTTCGATACATGAATGATTCATTGACCTCAGAGCAGTTTCTCAATGGAGACTCTCCAGATAATCGACCCTCATCTTCATCTTCATCGTCTAATGACAGCGAGGCTAGTGGACTTTCGTCAAATGCTGAACAACCTGTTGTGGAATCCCCTCTAACGTCACCCGCGTCAATGAGAAGACCAGGTCATGATGGATCACATGACGATGATGGACTCACTGAGTCGGATAGATCAGTGCGCGAAACAAGCCCTGAGTCTGCCCACCAGGCTAGTGTGTCCGACGATGTCGAAGAGGAAGATGATGAGGGAGAAGAGCATGAGGAAGAACTCGAAGAAATGCCAGAGGATGAATACAGCGACGATGAAGACGGTGACGAGGATGCTTCCGCCGCTGACGATCACGAGGGTCATCCTGAGCACTCGCATCATATGGCGCTAGATAGGGTTCCGCCTCCCCGGCTTCCGTCAGCAACTTCTTCCCACCATAGTGATCATCACACTCGCCGCCTTCGACGCCAGGAACAGGCCCTTAATGAGCATGTCTTGCAGAGCCCTCAGCCTCAGCGGGATTTTCAGTTTGTTGGAGGGCCATCCCCGAATCCTTACCCCACAATGCCTTTCTACGATTCCTATGTACACTCTGGTACTTCGCCGGTCAGCTACTATCCTACGGCACCTCACGCTCCTCCGCCTGCGCCTCCTCCGCCGCCCATAGGCTACTACTCCCCCCCGCATGTGCCGCCTGTGTCCTATTCGCCGGGGAGTGAAAATCACTTTGCCATGGCACCTCGCCCGGCTATGGATGCTCCCAGTGCTCTGGTCCAACCTCCACCGTTCCACCACTCTCCTACCCACCCGCCTCATTACCAACCGCATCCAACAGGGCCCGATCTGACTAAGACCACGGTGGTGGGTTACGAGCTGCTGGCGGACAAGCTGAGCGAGGTGCCAAAAGATGGCCGAATTGTTCCGGGAGAGGAAGCTGTGGTACCCATGTATCGCAAGTTCGAGCATCTGAACCATCGCGTCCTGCTTCACCTCCAGGATGAAATTTCGGAGCTCGAGGAGGAACTTCGTTGTCTGGACGAGTGCATCGCACAGTGCTCGCCGAGGGATCAAGTAGGGCATGTCCATCCTGCATCTAGACGTGGCGACGCCCGCTACGGGAACGAGCTGCATTATCGGAGAACAGAGTTGCTAGGTCGGGTCTATCTCAAGCTTGGCCAATACAGTAAGTTCCGCACCCCTTCGATGCACGCGCATTACACAGAGCGGGGTAACTAGACCCTGAGTGCACCAAGCGCAGTGCCCTACTGGGAAGGAAGGTCTCGTTCATGGACGGTAAACTGATTTCATGAGCAGACTCAGCTCTGTCTTCATTCAGCAACATGCTCAAGAAGCTGGATCCGGCCAACACCGAGGACATTCAGGCGTACCGCAGCTGGATAGAGAAGCGTTCACCGATCGACCATGCCGAGACCCGCTTTCTCGAGCGCAAGACTGATCTGCTCGCGGTGAAAGGAGGGAGGTCAGCAAGTAGCGTTGGTGGCGTCACATCTCACCAATCTGCAGCAATTTGGCTCCCACTGATCCTCGTGCTACCTCTCATGGCGTTCGCTATAGTTCCCGGGCTGCTTGGGAGGCTGTTTATCCTCACACTACTCGGCGGCGCGATAATGAAGCTACTAACGTCAACAAAGGAGCTAATGGACATGATGACAATTAGAGAGTGGGCGGGATGCTTTTCCATGTAAGTGCATTTTCTTTGATGGCGGCCACCACGAAGCGAGCGAGCACGACGCCATGGCAAGCCTGGACGCTGAAGCTGCGAGCTGGCGTATGCGGGGTTCTTGATATCTCCGAAGCCAGTTCGGCTGCCGCCAGTATAGGTCGCCGAACTGCTCCGGGCGCAGCTGAAACTGGCTGGGGGTTGAGGATGGATGAGCGGATATGTCGTCTGCCTCGTCTTTATCCACGTCTTAGCCTACCGCGCTCGCCGGTATCAGTTGCTGGCGTGCTCGACCCTAACGTCTTCCGAGCGAGGCTAATGCGAGGGGCAGCTATTTCGGGCTCATGGCGGTTCTTGCGGCATTGGTGCACTGACTGACTCGCGCCACGCCGCGGAGTCGATAAAGATCGACCAGGCACACGCCGCACAGACAGGTACCAGGTCTCTCGTCATCGGGCACGAGCAACCAACGTCGGAATTCGAGAAACAATTGTCCTGGGGCGGCATTGTCTTTTTTTCTTTTTGCTTTTATGATCTGCATGTCGACCATTGATGTTAATGTAGGCTTGCTGTTTGTTTTTGGCTGGATCGAGGTGTTTCTTTTGCGGGGCTCGCCGGCGCACTGGCTGATTTTCGGCGACGATCCCGGGCATAGCATATGAGGGTGTGCTGGGCTTCACGGTGATGGGTTCGCGGCTGGGAATAATGGCGTTTCTGCTATGCCATCGGATAATGGGCTTGGCGTATCAGGAACGGCGTCACCGGAGGGAGGGATGAGCTATGGCGGCGGTGGTGCTCAGCGCGGGAGCTAAGTGAGTCTATCGGGTAGCGGCTTACTGGAAGGGGACCTGATAGAGAGAGTGGCCTGATGTTGATGGCAAGCGATATACGACGGAGGCTGATTGCGTACGCTGAGTGTTTCTTGGTGAACTATCACCGTGTGGGCGGTGGCGCGCGTTCCAAGTATTGTCGAGAGCTGTCAAGACGGAAGGAGCCCATTAGAGTTCGGTACTCCGACGGCAGGGGCAGAAGAGATGCAGGTCTCCGTTCTGCTATGCTGTTAGACGTGTTGGGTTGCAGAGCTACTGTGCGGCGGCAGAACGATAGGGCAGCTCGAGGCCAGGCAGGCAGAAGGTAATTGGGGAGGGGCTGCTGACGGTGGTGCAAGCAATGCTTGGTGCCGTCGTGGAACCTTTCGTCGACTCTGGGGACGCCAGGCACCGGCCCAGCAGCTAGCGGGCGGCGGGGCCGTGCGCGCTGGTCAGGTGCTTGGTGTGTTGCTGCAGCCCCCTTATCCCGCACAGTTTCAGAAGCGCTGCCCTGGGCTGCCCTGGGCTTGCCTGCTTTGGGACGCAGCGGGCCAGTTTGAACATTTCATACGTTTGACGCCCGCCCGCTTGCGCAACACCTCCGCAGTCAATGCAGCCGCCCACCGCATCGCTCGCTGACGTTGTGTGCCGACTGCGATTCCCCTGACTGCCCTGCGCTGCTCCAGCACACTCGCCCGCTGCATCTGCGGCGTCGTTTGCCCCTTCACGCTTCACGCCCGCCCAGCTAGCCGGAACGCGCAGCACGCAGCACGCAGGCACACCCTGAAACGCTGCTCCTGCGCCCGCCCGACCAGCGGCCGTCGCCCGTCGCCATCGCCATACTTACGCGCCTACCCGCCGCCCGCTCCCTCCTTGCGCACACAACCACCCTCCGTCTATTCGCCCGCGAGACGCTGCAATCTTCCACCGTCCCCAGCCCGCTCTTCTGGAATGTGGCAGCACCGGCGCCCACTCGTTGCCTGAGATCCCCCCGCGCCCGCGCCCACCCACCGCTCGCCCACCACTCACCAGCTGCCGCCGCATCTCTTGACCCTCGCCGCCCGCGAACCGTCCCGCGCACGCCAGACATTCCAGCAATCCCTTCCGCGCGCTCCCAGAGCCCCATTTGCGACGCCGACCGCAGATAGAGTGCTACTATCGCAGACTCGCTGGACGGGCCATCCTGGCAATCTCGCTCGCGCGCAGATCCAGGCACCGCGCACAAAGAAAACCCTTCAGACCCTGAATTCCTCGTCGCGGACAAAGCGCAGCATCCGGCGTGGGCTGAGCCATTGCCAGCGTTGCACACGTACCTGAGTCCTGATTCTTTGTCCGACTCACCCATCGTCCCGCCGCGACCCCGTGCAACCGCATTCCTCTACAACACCTGCCTCGATCCGCTCCCACCACCCCCGCCGGCCCTCACCATGGCCGTCTCCATGCTGCACGCTCCCTCGCGGGCGTCGACCTCCTCGTCCTCGTCCTTCATCCCCGTCTCGCGCCAGAACACCATGTCTTCGCACGATGGCTCGCGCTCGGTGCGCCAGTCGAAGCGCTACTCGGTCACCGCCCTGTACCTGTCCATGTCCCAGAAGGATAAGGAGCTGGAAATCGAGGACGATTTAGCAAGAGGTATATCTGGTTCAATTGCATGCGATCTGGGGTGGATGCTAACGGTCTACAGCCCAGAAGATACTGCGCGAGCTAAAGGCCAAGATCTCGTCGCAGTCAAAGAAGAACTTCGTCCTCGAGAAGGACGTGCGCTACCTCGACTCGCGGATAGCGCTGCTCATTCAGAACCGCATGGCGTTGGAAGAGGTACGCGTAGCACAGCATGCGTTGCACCGGACGGGGCTGACTATGCACGTAGCAAAACGAGGTTGCAAGCCACCTCGACGAAGCCGCTGAGCTTCAAGAGGGCTTCTTTCCCAACGACGAGAAGACGCAGAAATACGGAAACCTGCTCTTCCTCCTCCAGTCGGAGCCGAGGCACATTGCCCACCTCTGCCGCCTTGTTTCCATGGCCGAGATCGACGCGCTGCTGCAGACCGTCATGTTCACCATCTACGGGAATCAGTATGAGAGTCGAGAAGAGCATCTGCTACTGACTATGTTTCAGGTATGTTGGTTTACCCGGGCTTGTGGAAATTATTGCTGATCTCAGAAAATAGTCTGTTCTCACATATCAATTCGACAATACCCCGGACTATAGTTCCCTACTTCGCGCCAACACCCCGGTTTCGCGCATGATGACCACGTACACCCGCCGAGGACCTGGTCAAAGCTACCTCAAGGTTGTCCTGCAAGAACGCATCAACTCGCTGATTGAGTTGAAAGACCTGGATCTCGAGATTAATCCCCTCAAGGTATATGAGAAGATGGTCAGTGAGATCGAAGAGCAGCAGGGAAAACTGCCACCCAACCTTCCCAAAGGCGTGACTGCCGAACAGGCTGCGGAGAATGAGACGGTGCAGCAGATCATTGCCCCGCGGCTGACCATGCTCATGGAAATCGCCAACAACTTCCTCACTACCATCATCAACGGCCTGGAGGAGACGCCATACGGAATTCGATGGATCTGCAAGCAGATCCGCAGTCTCTCGCGGCGGAAGTATCCCGATGCGCAGGACCAGACCATTTGCACGCTCATCGGAGGTTTCTTTTTCCTCCGATTCATCAATCCCGCAATTGTTACGCCGAGATCGTACATGCTGATTGATGCGACCCCGGCTGAGAACCCGAAGCGTACACTCACCTATGTTGCGAAGATGCTGCAGAACCTGGCCAACAAGCCGTCGTATGCGAAGGAGCCGTACATGGTCAAGCTGCAACCATTCATCCAACAGAACAAGGAGCGCATCAACAAGTTCCTGCTCGATCTCTGCGAAGTGCAGGACTTCTATGAGAGCTTGGAGATGGACAATTATGTTGCGCTCTCCAAGAGGGATCTCGAGCTTTCCATTTCCCTTAACGAAGTGTACGCCACGCATGCACTGCTCGAAAGGCATGTAACCGAGCTGGCAAAAGACGACAGCTCACATTTAGGCGTAATCCTCCAAGAACTCGGACCAGCTCCGGCTCAGCTGCCGCGGAAAGAGAATCGAGCCATCAATCTGCCACTGTTCAGCAAGTGGGAGACGCCTATCGACGATCTCACTGCAGCGCTGGACATCACTCAGGAAGAGATCTACTTCATGGAAGCCAAGTCCACCTTTGTCATGATTCTGAGATCGCTTCCTCCTAATACGTCAATCACGCGCAGGCCATTGAGGCTCGACCGCATAGCCGAGGCAGCAGCTACTACGAAGAATGACTCGGTGATGGTGAAGAAGGGCATCCGCAGCATGGAGCTACTGAGCCAGCTGCAAGAGCTTGGTGTCATTGACAAGGAAGACGGATTCTCTTTGCTCCGAGATGAGGTCGAACAAGAGCTGGCCCACCTGGGTTCTATGAAGGAGAAGGTTATTGAAGAGACGAGGAAGCTCGAAGAAGTACATCGCACCATCCGTGGCCACAACGCGTATCTTGTTGGACAACTCGAGACATACAAATCGTACCTCCACAACGTCCGGAGCCAGTCCGAGGGCAAGACCAGGAAGCAACAGAAACACCAGGTTCTTGGACCCTACAAGTTCACTCACCAGCAGCTCGAGAAGGAGGGCGTCATTCAGAAGAGCAATGTCCCTGAGAACCGAAGAGCCAACATCTACTTCAACTTCACGAGCCCTCTTCCTGGGACCTTCGTCATCTCGCTTCACTACAAGGGTCGCAACCGCGGTCTTCTGGAGCTCGACCTCAAATTGGACGATCTCCTGGAGATGCAGAAGGACAACCAGGAAGATCTGGATCTCGAATACGTCCAGTTCAACGTCTCGAAGGTGCTCGTCCTCCTCAACAAGCGGTTTGCTCGGAAGAAGGGATGGTAGAGCCGCTCCCTCGCCACGCAACGAAGCTATGATACCCCCCTTTCCTAGTTCTACTCTCGGCACTTTGAGCCACATCTGATCTACATAATTCTTTACCTTGGACGGCAAACAGGACTGGGAGCCGAGGAGTCTGGCGTATGGGCCTTGCTTTTCGATTCTTTAACCGGATACCCCTGGGCGGAGGAGAAATAGCATCTCGTAAGGAGCTTACGAAGGGTAGTTGTTGGTACGAAAACGACTGGAGATGATAAGAGGCGGAGCAGATAGTGCCCGCAAAATTGTGGGAACTGTTGCTCGACAAAGCGCAGTTGCCTCACAGAAGCTGATGGACTTGAGATGCGGTAATTTCTTTTGTCTCCGAAAACCCTTTTTCCTTCTTCTACTTCACATCTCTCGCTCTAATTACCCATGTTGCAGCATTCGAGGGATGGCATTGGGCTTGGGTACCTCGATTGGCGCGGCTCATTAGTATTATACTGGTTCATCTCTACGGCTATCGGCAGGACCGAGTTGAGAAGTTTCATTTCTTTTTGATCGTGGTTTTTGCGAACGATATCCCAATGTAATGTACGATACCTGGGGGTGCAAATAGGTGACTGAAATTAATTGAGCTGCTAACCTTGGAATCGCTCTTTCTTGACAGAACGAATGCGTACATTCCGAGCCGCTGTGGCTGATAAGATAACGAGAGGCATGGTACCGCTTAAGTTGATGTCACGATGAATCGCATCCTTTCGAGAGCTTGACAAAGGCATGATAAGCGCTGAGTGATGCTTTGTCTAATTGTGTAACCGGCAATGGCGATGTCAAGGCGGTGCCCTTCAGTACTCCATGCTGAAGACGAGAAATGCAACCGACCAGGGCAAAAGGGCAACATATCGTGGCAAGCTTTCCTGTCTAGATGCATATCCGCTGTGTCTGTCACACGTCCCCGAACCCTTGTTGGCCGTCAGGCGCCATCAGGCGATGGAATGACCTCATTGGCCAGCCCCATCTAAGCTTCCAGTCATCCACCTCGAGGCTGTGACCTGCGTTCTTTAACTCCACCACTCCACTTTCTCTTCGTTCTTTCGACACTCCTTTTACTTCCTATTCACGCGAACGGCGTTGTACTGTGAGAATTATGTCTTCCAGCATTGCGATACCGAAGCGAAAGAAGAAGGTGGTGGACGCGGGGAGTAGCGGGAGTGCCAGCGACAGCTGCGCAAGCAGCTCCGGGTTCGAATATGGCAGCTTTAGGAGTGTGAGCGCCGAGTCGGCGGCTCCGAGTCCGCAGGGGAAGGTCAAGGATAGGAGGCCGTCGTTGATGTGTACGTCCGCCCATTCGTTCATTGTTCTCAACCAACCCTCATGCCCCTCATGCCCCACGAGCACCGTGATAAGCGGACGGCAAGCTAACAAACAATTCCCAGCGGCCGCCTTCTCCAAAGCCGAGCACACCGTCATCAACGTTGGCAACTCCGACTGTCCGAGACTGGTACGTGGCATACCTACAGTGAGCCTGAGGTTTAGTGAGGCTTGCATACCTGCACGGACGAAAACGGCTGATCGATGGGGTAGATAACTTGCGTCAAGGCTTCGCAAGGCTTTGACTGGAATCAGGGTACGTTTCGCAGACGCCTCTATTTTCGGGTTTATGGGAGCAGCGATACCCCAGGTTTCGCGTGTAGATGATGTGCTGGTGTTTCAGAATAGTGTGACGAGTCGAGGAGGGCGTCTCAGGCCTGAGTTTTGAGATGGGACAACGCACGGGTTGCCTCGGCGATCGACGGCACATCTTGGGGAGTTTCGTGGATCGCAAGCCTGGGGTTCTGTCGTATTCGGTGCGGATTTCATGCGCAAATAGTAGCTGACATGGTGTGGACAGAGATCTTCCTCCCAAGCTACATTGCCAACTTCGACTTCGACGACCTCGAACGCAAACAAGACCCCGTCAAAGACATTATAGTCACGGACGAGGAAGTCGCGAACATGTTCCCTTCGTAGGCCGAACCACATCATCAAATTACGTATATACAAGCATATCGCGGGCGCAATGGAACGATCTACCCGGATCGGATGGTGTTGGATACATCGGGACTGGCGACCTCGGTCCTGTTCATATCTACGCATTGGACGGTGTTATACGTATTGACATTCCGGCCATTTTTGGGTATGGGGCGGCGTGCATATGGCTGACTTTCTTTGAAGATTTATTGCTATCTCATGGGAAAGGCGTTTGGAGGCTTCGCTCACTTTGGATACTCTTGTATTGTCAGGATAGACAACTGGACGCAAGCCCACAGCTTCGTTTTAGATACTATGGAATTCTCCACTTCATATATACCAGTCACTCTTACTGCGTTCTCATCTTGTGCCTTGCAGGATGGTTCAGGGTTATCTCGCCATTCACTAACCGGCCGAGGTAGCCCCACCTTCCATGCATAACGATACGCTAGCCGCATGCGATCACGTGGCCCCGCGGCGATCTCCCGGGCGCAAAACAACACCAAAACAGAGTGAACTCAAGCCTTCCAACACCTATTTCGACACCACCACGCTTCCAATTCGACCCGACACCTATAATCTTATAGCTACAGCCCCGCGCTTTCACGCGAAAATTCGCTACAATCGAGAAACCGCACCGGCAGAGCTGCAACGCGTCATCAGCACACCGCGCATCCTCCCAGCACATCACCCCCGCAGCGACAATGGATTCGGAGCACCGCAAAATCGAACTCCAATCCCCCGGCGATCTTACATACCTCACCTCGCAAATCCGCACCGTCGCGCGCAAAAAAATAGACCTGCACCTGCCCCCGCACCCGGACTCCTCCGAGCCCGACGACCTGCGCGCCCAAGTCGAAGACCTCGTCGACGCCTTCGTCGCGCAGGTCCTCGCCGGCCTGCGCCACAACATCAGCATAAATGGGATCGATGTTGTAAAGCGCGGTTCAGAGGAAGACGGGGACGGCGACGCGGACGGCGAGAAAATGGACGTCAATGTCGAGAATGCGGTGGTGCAGGTCGAGGACTTCGAGCCCTTTGATGAGAAGCTGAGAGGGCGGCTGGGCGCTGCGGTTCAGAAGCGCGATGCGCTTGTTGCGAAGATTAGCCAGCATCGGCGGACGACGCCGGCGCTGGCGGCGAGGCGGTGGGAGGAGCAGTTTAGTAGGGAGATGGAGGAGTTGGAGAGGGGGTGGAGAGAGGGGCAGAAGAGGGCGGTGGAGATGGGAGAGCAGGATGTGCTGGGTGTGCAGGGCGTGAAGAGGAGGGAGGAGGTGGAGAGGAATTGGGAGAGGGCTGTCGAAGGGTTGGGGCGGTTGCAGAAGGGGTTGCCGGAGACGAGGGCGAGGTTGGAGAGGTGTGGGGATGTGGTTGGGTATCTGCAAGGGGGTGGGAAGGAGAAGGAGAAGGGGAGGGTGTAGAGAAGGTGATCTTGAGGCGTTCTGGATGGGAGGTGGTTATGAAATGGGCTATGGTTGGATTGGGCTGGATCGGCGTTTTGGCGTTGCGGAGTTTGGCCTCCAGCATCTGTTTAGCACTGAGTAATCCACTCAACGGAGGCGTGAAGGATACCCAAAGTTTACCTCTCTGTATAAGCGCCTTTATGCAACAAGATAATCGTTCTGAGCGCTGATCCAAGAAGCATTGACTTCCTGATTCTACCCAGTTTTCCTGTACCTACATTATACTTATGGAACCACTACGAGGGAACGGATAGAGCAGTAAGCTACTACTCCTTCCTCGTTTACTAGTTTATGGCTCTCCGCATGATAACCCTAAAGCCGTCCACATCCGCACGTGCCCCCGCGTCAACCCAACCCCCATCCGTCATAGCGCGCACGCCCTCCAACCTCAGCCCTCAACCGTAATCGGCGCACCCCGCATGTTCACGCGTCACCGCGTGCGCTTCCCACCTCGCACCAGACCTCAATGGCATCCGACCCCGCCATCCCGAATGGCGCCCCGCCCAAAGACTCCGCGAAAAAGCCCTCCATGGATCCCAATGTCCTGGAGGTCGTTTTCGGCTCGCTGCTCATTAAGCCGTGGTTCCCGTCTTTCTACCCCGAGGAGCTGGTCGGCCGGAAGGTGGAGAGGCTGTATGTGTGCCAGTGGTGCTTTAAGTATACCAAGGAACTCGTGCCGTTTCTGGGACATCTGGTGAGTCGGACGGAACTCTCGCACGCACAAATATACTCGCTCTGGGTGGGGGGTGGGAGGGTAGAAAGAGAGAGAGAACGAGAGATAGGATTGCTGATCCAAGCTTGCTAGAAAGCATGTCCGCTCCGTAACGCCCCGCCGCCAGGCGTCGTCAAATACACCAAGGACAACATAACACTCTACGAGCTCGACGGCGAAGAGCACAAGCTCTACGCGCAGAACCTCTCGCTCTTCGCTAAGCTCTTCCTCGACACCAAATCCGTCTTCTACGACGTGACCACCTTCCTGTACTATCTGCTCGTGCTCGAGCGGCCCTCGCCGGCGATCGCAGGCACGCGGTCAGACAACGGCGCAGACGGAAGACAGGTCGTCGGCTTCTTCAGCAAGGAGAAGATGAGCTGGGATAACTACAATCTGGCGTGTATCTGCGTGTTTCCGCCGTGGCAGAAGCAGGGCTGGGGCCAGGTGTTGATGGGCGCGAGCTATGAGCTGGGCCGGCACGAGGGGAGGCTTGGTGGGCCTGAGAAACGTACGTCCCTCTTTCCCCATAACCCCAAAAGCTGCTAATGGAAGATTTGTGCAGCATTGTCCGATCTAGGCCGCCTCGCCTACACGCACTTCTGGTCGCAGACCCTCGCGCGCACCATCCTCGCCGTGCCGTCCAAGCGCACACTCACCGTCAACGATTTGCGCGACGAAACGTACATCACCGCCGACGACATCATCACTACGCTGCAAGCAATGGATGTGTTGGACCACAGGAAGAGGGGTGGCGCGGAGGCGGTGATTAATAAGGCGAGGGTGAAGGCGTGGGTGGAGAGGCATGGGATTGATGTAGAGAAGAATCCGGTGGATCCCGAGGCTTTTATTTGGGAGGAGAGCGAGGGGGAGGAAGAAGAAGAGGAGGAGGAGGAGGAAGAGGAAGAGGAATGATGGTGTAGGGCTGTGGGGATCAGTGGGCAGGAAGAGGGAGGTGGGCTGGCGAATTGGTTTGGCGTTCGGAGTCGTATACCCTTGGTTTTGGGATAGATGGGCAAATGGGATGGTTTCACGCTCTCAATCAACGAGCACGCGATAGTGTGGCATTCTATCATGCCAAATAGCACATAACATAGCTTCGGCCTTCTGCAAGCAGAGCCTGTAGAGCATAACCTAGGTGTCGAAGGTGTTACAACACGGAAGTTAACGTTTCTCTTAGAGCGCCGGTGGAGCCATATCCAACTTTAGACGGTAGATGGGGTTCAAGAGAGAAAACTGATGGCAAAACATTATCATTTTCTTTTACGTTGAGGTCTAGCTGTCTAGTAAGTTCTCATGACACTCTCCACTCTCTAAAACCGGCTGGTGTCGCGCCCAAACAGCCAATTGATAAGCCTATATACAGTCAGCACGAATCCTTCTGCTTCTCAAAGTGGCACACTTACCAGTACGTTGGTATCAAGATCTTGTTCCGCCAACTGACACTCTTCGTCAGATACGCGCCGCGCCAGATCAACCACGCTAATCTGCCGGAGATATTGCCTCCTTCACCGCCCTGGAACAGCGCTTTCCAGTTACCAATGTACGCCATGACGCCCATATTCTTCCATGTGAAACCCGCCTTTTCGATGTCGCCCTTGTTGAGGCGCTTCGACAGCCAGTACGCCTTCTGCGACGCTACTTGGGCCGTAGCGGGATAGGATGTGCCCTCCACGATCGCGCAATCACCCAAGGCGAAGACGTCTTTGAGGATGGCTTCTGGCTTCTGGTCGCCGTCTTTCTCGCCTACCAACTTGACCCGCAGGCGAGAATCGGTTATGACGGAGCCTGTCTTTTGGTCTTTCTTGATTTTCCAGAGGAGGTTGTCGGGGTTGCCTTTTCCTTCGCCGGCTTCGAGCCGCTTGAAGCTGCTGGGTAGCTCGTACACAGAGCCGAGGGCTTTTGCCACGAAAGGATTCTGCATGAGGCCAGTGCCTGAGGAATGGTTAGTCCGTAGGGATACAAGCGGGTTCTAGGGAAACGTACTCCACACTACCATCCCAACACCCATCTCACCCTCCTCTTTCACCTTGAGTGTATAGACCATATGGTCCCGCCTCGCTCCCCCCTCATCTCCCTTTTCTCCCGGCGCTCCGGGCCTAAGCTCCTGAACGTGGTGCTGAGTCTTGATCGATATGCCCTCTCGTTTAAATGTGTCCATAGCATACTTCGCCAACTTCTCATCGAACATTGGCAGCACCTTTGCTGCGACGTCGTATACGGTAATCTTGTGGTACGGAATGAGTTCGGGGTATAGGCGCGCAAGGTCTTCGTGGATGAGGTCGTGAAGCTCGGCGGAGAACTCGATACCTGTGGGACCTCCGCCGACGACAGCGAAGTTGAGAAGTTGGCGACGACGCTCTTCGGGGGTTGTGGGGAGGGCGGCCGCCTCGAAGCATGCCAGGAGGCGGGATCTGATTTTGCGAGCATCGCCGACGTCTTTGAGGAAGAGGCTGCATATGTTATCAGCTGTGTTCGATTGAGGATACGGAGGGAAGTGTACGAATGTTCTTTAACCCCAGGAGTCCCGAAGGTCTGACTGTAGCAGCCGACGGTAATAATTAGCTTATCATAGGTCAAGTCGAACAGCTTGCCCTTCTTAGCTTCCACCTTCTTCTCTTCTTTCCTTTCTTCCTTCGTCTCTCCTGCATGTCGGTCATCCGTCAATGCATGCGTAGCCGTCGGATCATCCACCGCCTCCTCAATCGTAACAACCTTGTTCTTGAAATCCACCCCGTCCGCCCACCCTTGAAAGAAGCTCACATTCGTCCGCCTCGTCCGCACAGGCTCAAGCGCGGTTCGAAACTCGAGGGTGCCGACCGACGTAGAAGCAAGGAGAGGCGTAAAAGCAAAGTACGACCTAGGCGAGACCACAACGGCCTGGTACTTCTTCGAGTCCAGCTCCCGTGCGACCGTATACCCAGCCCATCCGCTTCCTAGAATAAGAACTCGTTCCCGGTCTGTGTGACGCCCGATTAGCCTCCTAAGCCGCTGGGAGAGACTCATGAGTAGTCTCTATACCGGGGGCCAAACGGGACGAAAAGGCAGCTAGCCACTACTTACTGTCTCTGCCGGAATCCAATTGACTTATAGTGAGGAGCCTCTTCTGCTGAGAAGAAGCTCCCACATGCTGTCGATAACACGGACCAGCGGCCGCATGTGAGATCAGCGAGGGCGAGGACCTGGCGCAGGCCCGAATCGTGTCCCGAGAGAGTAATTCTCGGACTCCCGAAGGCAATTGGTGTAACTGAGTGAGGCGTGCAGTTGGCTGCATTGCTGTGCGTGTTTAGACTTTGGGGCTACACATGTCGGTGTGCAGGTGCTCGGATCAGAGGAGAGGAGAGAAGATGTATGTAGAGTTGAACGCGAGCGTGGTGCTTTTTCGGCGGAACCGCAGGTGCCATGACGTACGAACGTCGTTACTTTGACGCTGGCAAGGATCGCGGCACACGGCGGAACGGCGATTCTAGGGACGTATAATCTTGAGAGTAAGCGTAGGAGAGTCAATTGATGTTGCAATTTCTTCACGACAAAGCTACACTTCTGAGGTTCGGAACGCGATGGATCGTTCATTCCGAGTTGTGCACCTGCAGCGATTTGATTGGCTAGATTGCGGCACCGGGTCATCACATGGCGGAGCTCCACCACCGGGTCACCATTATAAAGCTAGTAATTGACATTTGACAAACGGCGGTAAAGGGGAATTCCTGCGAAAGTGCCCGGAGCAGCTGAAGACCGGCGGATGGGGTAAGCTTATGCTTCCGGTTTATTTTCGCGCACCGCGCTCGTGACTCCTTGTTCACTCATCGACAAAGGCCCGAATGTCAAATGCACAGCAGAATTCTATGTATCCGCCCTAAAATATGCCCGTAATTGCCCTTGCCGTGGGCTTTTGTACTCCAAGCCGGACCATTCGCTCCACCAACGCCGCCTTTACAAGAGCGTGTCGCCGAGTGCGCATCTGACAATGCTGCAGCCAGCGCGGACAGTATCGCTTGCCCCGTGCTCGTCCAGGCTCGGATTGACTTCCACCAAATCCAGCGCAATCAGTGAGCCCGTCTCTGCCACACATTCCGCAATGAAGTCGCCCTCACGTAGCGTCAAGCCACCGCGGACCGGTGTGCCAGTACTCGGCGCCCACATCGGGTCCAGGGCGTCCACGTCGAAAGAAAGGTGGATGGGAGTATCGCTGCCAATCCAGCCCAAAGCCATGTCCATGACTTTGCCGATGCCGTGTCTATGCTCTCAACATCAGTATGGTGGCTTTCGGAGCAAGTCGGGGCCGATGGGGTGCCGCGACGGCGGCTTACCTATCAATATCGTGCATTGAAAACGCCTTGATTCCGTGGTCCCTGAGGATCTTCTTCTCGCCCTTGTCGATGTCGCGCAAGCCGATGTAGACGAGTTTCTTCGTGCTGAGGCGGTGGTGCTCTTTCAACCACCCGAAGATGTCTTCTCTCTCTTCCGTCGCCAGGCCGGTCAAGAAAGACACGGGCATGCCGTGGATGTTGCCGCTCTCGGACGACTCGGGCGTGTTGATATCGGCGTGTGCGTCGACCCAGATGACTGCAATCTCTCTGCCCAGCCGTTCCCGGATCGCTCTTGCTGTCCCGGAGACGGTTCCAATGGCTATCGAGTGGTCCCCGCCGAGCGTCAGTACCAACTTGCCGCTCTTTGCATGGCTGTACACCTGCTCGCTCACTTCCTTGGTAACGGCGCTGGCAAACTTGGGTCGCTTCATGTTGCGATATGGCGGGTCGTCCGCAGGCTTGATCTCGGCATAGTTGTGCACCTGGCCATCAAAGGTGACATTGTACTCGAGGTCCTCTTCAAGCTGCTGAATCAGTCCAGCCTCGATGAGGGCCATGGGCGCCGCGTCCACACCGGGTTTTGGCTACATTCGCCGTCAGTCGTCTTTGCGCAATCCAGACAAGCTACTCACCTGGCCTCCGCTAAAGCCCACTGCCACAACACCCAAGTCATGGCGGCTCGGAAGGAATTTGGGCTGCAATTGCGGTGCAGACGTCATCTTATCTAAACGATGCTGTGGGGAGGCGTCAGTCGTCTCGCAACGCTGCGGTTGAGGTTCTGGATGTTGTGTGTCGCTAGCTAGCTGACCAAAGAGCAGCTGCGCAACACAAAGAAGTCGGGCAAGCCTTACATTTGTACCCGCTGCCTTTCACTAGCTGAAGCCCTCGAGGCCGCGTATGCGCAATGAAGCAATCGATGTAACCACCCTTTCCGGCTATATCCAGAAAACGAGCAAAGTCCAAAGGCGACGGAAAGTGGGAAAACTAGGAACTGGGGGAACGAAAAATTGGGTGTGTGTGCGCGTGGTCCCTTTTTATCTCTGCTGGCTACGCCATCTCTTAGGTAATTGCCTTCTTCTGGATTGTTGCTCATCGCGAAGACCTGTACTTAGGGGAAGAGTTGAAGATACTATTCCCCTAAGTACAGGTATAGACGCGGTTTATCTCGCACCCCCACTAGCGGTGCGGGAAGGCAGGGATGCCGGCAGAGCGATGTCGGAACATGACAGCATCAACAGATGTCGTTGGTAGGAGATAATGCCGCCTGGCACGCTTCAGCAGCGCTTTCAGTGCTCCAAAGCTTCGTTCGACGTTCGTATAAACGTTGGACGCATACGTCTCTGACGGCTAAAGCTACTCGAGATCTCCAGACGACCCTTGCGTGATTGGCCACATCTCACCGTCTAGTCCGTGCGCGTCCTAGGGCGGCTTCAGTCGGCTTTTCAGACACCGCCAATTTCTCGCCGACACGTAGCCAGCTGACCTTCCTTATTCACTATCAAAGCACCAGTCACATGGTCTGAGTTCCATCCAATACCGACCATGTTTACCCCTGCTATCCGCTTCATCGCCGCCAAACGGGCAAAAGCTCAGGGTGGCTCCATTCAATTGCTTTGCCATGTCAAGCCGGGCGTTAACGCTAATAGAGAGGGTATCGCAGCTGTGTCGAATGAGGCCATCGAGGTCTGCGTCGCTGCACAGGCAAGAGAAGGGGAAGCTAACAAGGCTGTGAGGGAACTGTTAGCTGAAGCTAGTCTCACTGTCTAATACCTCCCAGACCAAATTGGCTAACGCCTGATTCAGGTTCTCAACGTGCCCAAGTCCGATGTCGAAATCGCAAAGGGGATGAAGGGCCGAGAGAAGACCGTCATAATCAGCAACATCGCAACCAAGAACAAGACGCCAGAAGAAGAGATTGAGAGGATTAGGATTATATTGCAAGAGAGCGTGGCTCGTTAGTGGATTTGTTCATTATGTACGTTTGCTCCACCTGTGTCTTCCATCTCTATTTCATGGCTCTTCTGTCGGTCACTTTCAATGATGATCGTGTACGATCTGCATGATCTTATACGTCTGCAAATGCATTGAGAACTTTTAGTACTCCCAAGCGCCGGCCGTAGTGGAATTAACTGTAGAGAGCGTTAGCTAACATCATATTCTAAGCGGCTCAGAACATACCGGTCAGAGCGCTGAAACCCAGGCACTCGGGGCTGAGGGTCACATTCGGGCGCTGGCCGTACACCTGCCATGGTTTGCCTTCCACCGGGCATGCAACGAGACCGCCGTCAAAGGTGAGATGGCCGAAACTTTCACCCTCGGTCTTGCTCCAGCCATCCACAACGGAGCCTTCCGGGATATAGGCCGAGTGGGGTACAGTGTAGCTCATGGTAGCGTCTGGAGCAATGTACACTGTTGCTTTGTCAGAACATGTGAATTTCATGGGAAGTGCGGATTCACGAACCTCGCTGTCCACCAGGCACAATGACCGCAAGACTGAGCGTTCCGTCGCCGCCGGCGAGCACAGTCGAGTTCCCTGGGTACTCATTGCAAACATCGCCCACTTGCGGAGGGCAGTAGGACGATGGGCTCCCGCCGAGGAAGAACTTTCCGCCGATGGCGTTCAGGGGCAGCAGATGAACCGGCGAGGCACTGCGAGCCGACATGACGCCGAAGTATCCTTGAGCAAGAGTGCTCGCAATGAGGGTGGAGAAAGCAGCGACGGTCTTCATTTTGGAAGATTGACGGAGGTTGAAGCGAGTGTGGTGGTTCGACAGTGGTAGGAAATAAGAAACCTTGTGGAGTCGAGTTCGAATGCTGCTGAGTGCTGCTGGAATCAGGATCTCGAGATGTGGCAGGCCTCTGCTAATTTATACCAGAGCCCTTGTCGTGGTGTGAGGGGCAACGACGAACATCAGCATCCTTCGCCCGAGCCTCACAAATTAACGACCGAGAGAACAGCCGCATCGCCCACGATACCTGGTGCGCCCACGTCAAGCGCTCTGGCCTGGTTACTTCCAGACGGCTATCCCGGATCGCAGCACGAACTGTCAACCACAAAGTCAAGGCGAAGGTTGCATCGCGAGCTGCCAAACAGAGCGATCAGCAAGCAGCGATAGCCGGTCGCACGGGGTCACAGGACCCGTAATATGTTCCTCGATCGCTTACAAGCGAGCTGCGGCGCATCATGCATGTTTTTAGAAATTTCGATAGCGTGAATCTGCTCTCTTTTGCGATGCTGCTGCTCGAAATACGAAGAAAGATCTGCGATACCTTCGAGAAGGAGGAAATAAGGTAATGGGCTTCCGTGTTTCTGAAACAAAGGACGTGCTGCGGTAAGAACGGGAAGGATGAGTGGAGAGACGTGGGAAATGATGGAGCGGGTGACGTCGTTGCTCGCCTTGTTCGGCCTCGTTGTTATGGCCCGCTCGCGGCGCTGCCACACCTTAACCTTATTTTTCCGCAATTCAGTGACCTTCGGGCCAAAAATAGCACCAAGCGCGCCATAAAACGCGGTTTCAGTCCCCGGAAAAGGAAATATCTAAACCGCGCATTTTATTGGAAGCAAGTAGAAGACGTTCAATTAGCGGTGTGCGGGTCTATTCAAACTGAGGTTTTTGCGGACAGTGGATGAGCCTGTAACGGTCTTTGAGGCTGTGCTTGGAGCGAACTTTGGGTCTCCGTCAATGTCAGAGGGCCTTGTGCGACGATGACTGATCCTTATACGGTAGCATATTCACGTCCGGAAAGGGGCGAAGTAAGCGGTGCGAAATTCGCGATTTGTGATCCTTTGTAGAACGTTGTCGACGTCCCTCCACGAGAGGAAGCCTTGAGAGGGCCTACCTGCATACTCTCAACCCCAATCATGGCTCGATGGAATTACTTTCTCTGGGGAGATAGCCAAGGGAAATAGCGACCTGCAATACTGTTTGACAGGGCGCTGCATGAAAGATTGCTCGGTTGCGGCGCTGCGCAAGGATAGTGGTTCTAGGTAATATGGGCGTGTTGCCCTATCCGTCTATGCTTCTTGATTACCTAGCAATATATCGTTTCCAGAGGCACGAACAATCAATACTTCTTCATGTAATTCAGATGGTATTCAAGTCGTCCCTCTAGCTTCGGCCAAAGCCGCTTCGAGACTAGAGACCATACGGCTTCGCGACGGTACTTTCCAAATGACGAGCGCTTCAGGCAAGAAAGTCCTGACAAGTGAGGCTACATCCAAAGACACAGCTTCCCACTTGCAGTCCCAGCTGCGACCCAGTCCTGCGTCGGATGGAACTTGGCGACGGCCGGAACGGCCGTGATGCCCTCGCCTCCCAGCTGCGCAAGCTGCTGACCTTTCGCTGTGTACATATCGACAAAGCGATTCATGTTACCTATGCAGAACCGCTGGACGCCATCCTGCGGAAATTGTTGCCATTGGGCTCGAAGACTGAATTGTGATACCGTCAGCATGCCAAACATGTATCGCCGTTTTATGGAAGTGCAGCACGTACATAGTAACCCATCGCCCCGTTTGGTTGTTATGTGGTATCACCACCGACGGCTTCATTTCAGCGTCGGTCAAAGATGTGCCGACCTTCCATTCCGCGCACTTGCTAAAATCGTGAATCTTGATGGTGTCGTCGTATGACGCGGTGGCCACCTGTCCAGCAGAGTTCCACGCCGCGTGTGACACAGAGAGTCTGCTCTCGTGCTCGCCGACTAGTGCTGGCAGACGCCACTCGCCTTTGCCGTTGATCTTACGCAGGTCCCAGATTTTCAACGTACGATCCAAAGAGGCTGTTGCGACTAAGTGCGGGTGCGACGGATGGAGACTGAATCCACCAATCTTCTTTTCAGACAAGTGGAAGATCTCCAAACCGGCTGCTTTCTCGGAGGGTGTGCGCATATCGTACATTCCAAAACGGCCGTCTAGTGTTGAGAAGTACAGCATGTTTGCGTCATTCTTTGAGATTTCGACACCGGATAAGGGAGCATCCTCGTTGGGATCGGACGGGGCGTACACTTCAACCGCGATGCCTTTCGCTAGGTCCAGCTTACGCACAGTCGAATCGTAGGACGCGGAGTACAGGGCATTCGCGTCGTGAGGGCTGAACTGGAAGGTGTGTATCGTCCGAGTGTGGGGCTTCAGGGTGGTTATGCTAGGGCCCTCCACGTCGGCATCTTCGTCGTCTTCCACTTTGACCTCCTGTGCCTTTTGCGAGCAGTCGCATATCCCAAGATTTCCAAGCTTATCGCCTGCAAATACCAGTGGCTTCTCGGTAGTTGGATGCATTCCTAGCGCATACTGCAAGATGGTCAGCATAGATGGTTTCGGAAGGCTGACAATGACTTACGATACGCTCGGGAGTAATCTTTAGTTCATTAGGTTCGAATTCTGGCCAGAGCTCAAGTCCGCTCATCTTTTCGCGGAGCACCCTCAACTCTTTATCGGTAGTTTCTTTCACATCTTGTTCATCGAACGTACGCTCGTACGGCTTTGCGGGGCCTACAATGGACAAAAAGTTCCCATTCGTATCCCACCCCTTGCCCGCTACCACGATGTCATTGAAGTTGTAGGCATCGCTGATACGCTGTCTCTTTGCCTTATCCGCTTCTCTCCGCGCTTCGTGTTCTTCCTCTGCCTTCCGCTTTGCCTTATCGCTGTCGGCCTCAATGCCCTTAAGACGGGACGAGGTTCGCCGCGGCACCACCTCCTCCTGCTTAATCTTTTTTGGCGCGGGCTTCTTCGGCTTTGGCTTCGCAGAGGTAGCAGTTTTGGCGGTCGGGGCTAGGCCGGCCTGAGCGGCCTCCAGCTCTAGGTTGCGCAGAAGCGCCTGCGTCTTCGCGATGTTCTCCTGTCGCTTCCGCTCATATTCGCTGAGCTCGACCTTCTTCCGAGCCATGTCGATTGCGGGTTCAATAGACTGCGACTTCTAGGCAGCGCAAATCTAAGGATGCAGATTGTCGGAAAGACGCGATCGCCGGGGGAGACGTCGATGCTACCGCGGGTTCCGCAATGGCCGGGAGATCCTGCTCAAGGGTCAGTATTCTGATCGAGGGATATACATGATGATGGATGCCCGCACACCTAGAGATCGTAGCAATAGGAACGTGCGAATTGGTGGTCTGGACTGTTCACAAGGATGGGAGCTAGGAGAGTGGCAAGGCGGCAGAGCCGCGGCGCGTGCAAGCGTCGACGCGACATCGCGTGGACGTGCGGTCACGTGGCTCAGTCACAACCTTGGAACACGGCGAGCCGGATTTGAACCATGGAATTGCTAGACGGTGCCGCTTGTGACAAATGTGCATTGCCGGCGCTAATTGACGCGTGCAGCCGTTTGTGTGGTCACTGAATGGCGCACTGCGCGATGGTCGAGACCAAGCTACCTGCTGAGAGTCTTGGCGATTCCGTGAGCTTGATTGAACTCTTCGCATCGTCCAAGATTCACATCCTTAACCCACACCAATAATGGCTCCTGCACGATTATCTAATTCTCTACTCGGGGTATTCCGAGCACCCTCACTCCGTCCAGCAGCTGCTTGGAGGCAGAAGTGCTGCTACCATTCGTACGAGTACAGCCAGCCGCCTCCGTTTCCTCCCGCCGAATCCGCCATCCTCTCCGCCGCGATATCCCACGTACCGAACTATGGCTTTACGGCAGATGCCCTGAAACTGGGGGCGCGCGATGCTGGATATTTGGATGTCTCGACCAATCTGCTCCCGCGAGGAGTCTTTGACCTCGTCAACTTCCATCTTGTCACGCAGCGATTGGCATTGAAGGACTCGGTGCAGTTCCCAACTGAAGGCGAACAAGGGAAGACGCCAGGCGTGGGAGCAAAAGTCAGGACGCTGACATTAGCACGATTGCGGGCTAATGAGCCCGTCATACACCGCTGGCAGGAGGTGATTTGCAGCCCGCAAGCTATGGATATGGCCAGTTGAGCTCACCACTCGTAGGCTCTTGCGATCATGGCCCAGCCCACATACGTTCCAGCGTCTCTCGCCGAGCTAGCTCGACTTGCGGACGAAATATGGTTTCTCGCCGGCGACAAAAGCGTTGACAGCAGCTGGTACACGAAACGAGCAAGCTTGTCGGCGATTTACTCAGCCACGGAAGTGTTCATGACGCAGGATACTTCCAAAGACTACATGGAGACGGAGCAATTTCTCGATGCGCGCCTGGAGGACATCACGAAAGTCGGTGGCTTCTTGGGAGCTCTCAGTGAGTGGGCGGACTACACTGCCCACTCTGCTGTGAACGTGCTCAGGAGCAAGGGGATGAGAATATGAGACCGCGGCCAGCAATTGAGTATATCGCAGAGAATGCTTCGATGCAGACACCGGTCCAATGTGGGTGGTGGAAAGTCGCGAGTTGCGCCATCTTGGCACTCGTGGTAGAGGGCATGCAGAGGAAGTCGCGGTCAACATCTCACCTCGTCTCGAACACAGAATACGGCGAAGATTCCTTCCGCAGAGCGGCTATATTCTCTTTGTACTTTATGCTGTACTACTATCAGTATCCCCTTCGAGCGGGCGCGGCAAAGTCGACCCTGGCGAAGTGCTCTGGCTATCCAGTCCAGCTCCCACATCACAAGACTCCCAAGACTCCCCACGCGCACCCTGCTCCACCACGATGATGCCAGCTAACGCGAATAGGTTGCTGACATGCCTACGTGGCAGTTCAGCGTCCTGTTCGCACTCAAACGTCTTGGAGCTACATCCGAGTCCAGCTGTAACCTTTGTAGCTATTCGGCGGGTCCCGCAGTCCTTTACGGCTCTCGCGGCTCGATGCGAAGGCGTCGCATTTGTCCAGGCGGTCAGAGACGACGTCATTTGAGCCCTGGGCCGAAGTTTCGAGAAGTTAAAATCAAGGTTCCGCTGGACATTTACGAGGGGTCAGGAGAGAAAGCAGAGCCTATGACGTTTCATCCTCAGAAAAGGCTCCCATCAGCTGCAAGACATCACGATCATTTGCGTCCAGCAAGACTCATTGGCGCGTCGCCTGCCCGAGGGAACAATCTCAGGGTCCACCCAGGGTCGGAACAAGTAACGATCCGCACCGCGCACTCGATCCCGAGCCCGGTAAGCAATAATTCGGCTGCAAGCGCAGCAAGGCAGTGACAAGCCGCACCAACTGGCAGAATTCAGGGTCTAGCGACACGAGGCCAGGAACTCCAACAGCCTCATGCATCGTGAGATTATGACTTCATTGCTCGTGGGGCGTCGGAGTGTCCCCTCCGGCCGGCGTCCGTTCTGAGCGGCATCGCGATGCGGCCTGATTGGAAGACGCAAGCCAAGCTCCCCTCCGAGCTCCTCCTTCCAGCCCCGTGTCTGCCGCACGGCTCGCGCCGTTGGGTGGTCGTTTACTGCTTCGAGAGTGTGCGCGCTCGAGCAGCTTCTGGACCTTTTGCGACGCAGCTGCGCTGTGGCAACCTTGTCGGGGGCGGCAGAGTGCAGTGTTCTAGCTTCCGTGTGCTGGTCGCGCACGCAAGACGGCAGCGCATTCGGGGGCGCGTTCGAGATCACGATCACCGATTGCTGGGGCACTTTGCGATGAGTGCCCTTTCTGGATCAATTTTTGGCGGCGCAGGTGTTACAGAAACGAGGCTCATCGGTCGATGCATGCACGGTCCCGGTTCTAGCCCAAGTCAAAAGTCATTTTCCTTGCGCGCCTGCCGATCCTTAGAGCAGCTCTTGGCGGCATGCAGGGTCTGGGGGATCGGATCTCTCGATGCTCTTCGATTTCCATAACCAACCACCATGTGTGGACACGCAGTCTACCCTCATGCCCGCCGCTCCGGCGCTTCGTTCCCCCTACTCTTTGACCGCAGTCGTAACTCGTGCCTCCGCGCTGCATCTGACTTGTGTATTGCCATCCTCCACGCACTCCGCAGCCCGGTTCCGAGCAGTATCAACTTAGACCTCACTGCTCGGCCAACTATCTGGTTCTCACCAACTTTGCTCTCATCCCCCTCTCCGCCCAGTTTAACCCGTTTAGCTGGCACGATCCCCCTTCGACGCCGACGATCCATTGCACCGATTGATCGTGGCTTCTCTGCACTCATGAGAGTCGAGCATGGTGTTTCCTCATAGTCAGCAAACATTTGCAGTACACTAAAAGTAACCATGAATCGACCTCCGGGCACAGTGTCGCGGGAGACTCCCCACCCACGTCGTCCGCCCGCGCACAAGTCGGTTTCCCTCCGCCATAGCCCACCGGTACCTGGCCGTCCGCCCGCCGCTCCCACCTTCTACCAGCCACTCACGTCGTTGAGTTCTCCCAATGCTCCCGCGAGCGACAAGGCGAACCCACCTTCCAGTGCCTCAACGAAAGTCCAGTCGAATAAGCTCAGCTCGGGGGAAAGTAGCGACGCCGGAAAGTGGTTCGAGAACACCAACAACAATGCCGTCCAGAGCAATGCGTCGTTCGCTGACAGTCAGTAACTGTTTATTGTTGGGCTCGCATGCCACTGACTGGTAATGCGTAGATGAACCGCCGTTCTTCCTCCGCAACTCCTCCTCGTCCGACACCCCACCCGACCGTCATGGACCACACGAACATAGGGATCATCGAACGTCTACGATGCCGTATCGGCCCGGTTTGACCCACCTTGGCACAGACGGCAGCAGTACTGAAGATTTTCGGAGTGTAATTGACGATTTGACTGTCGCGAACAAGAAATTGAAGCAAAAGTTGAGGAAATACGAAAAGCTCTACGACGCCCACCTTCAAGACGAGAAACTTTTCGAAGTGCGTTTCCATGGACTGCCAGACCATAAGAAGAAGGACTTGGAGGGAACTCTACGTAAATTCGCCGCCGAACTGGATGACAGTCCCAGCAGCGACAACCCACCGATTTCAGATCAGCCACCTTCCTTTAACCCGCAAAAGACGGCCTCTTCGCATACATCCCGGTTTGCAGAATCAGGATATGCCTCCATGTCCGCCTCGGGTCAGAACTCAATATCCGCGCCGTCAAATCAAGCTTCGAACCAGCCGTCCAGCGAGACTGACCGTCGTCGCATGACTAAATCACAATACAACCGACAACAGAAGAATGTCCAGTTATATTTACACGACATACCGGTTGGCCTGTTGCCAAAGAATCATGCACCGATGACCGACAAAGCGAAGAAGAAGTTGGTGGTGCGTCGCCTAGAACAGATCTTCGCTGGTAAGCGATCGGCGTCTGGAAACCACCCGCAACCCATGCAGCAGGAGGAGGTTGCCCAATCAGCAGCCATGGCCGATCGACGCGCGAAAGAAGCAACTGGGCAGCACTACAAATCCGAGGGTCACCGTGAAGCGCGCATCATGCCTGTCCGAACCGAGGACGAAGATATTGCTACGCATGCGGGTGCCGAATCGCTGCAGAAATTGCACCCTAACCTTAACATCCACGAACAAGACTTTGCTAGTTCCGGGTCCCCTGATCAACGGCCGACTAGGCCGTTAGACTTGGATCCGTATCGTGCCCAAGTGCCCGCAGAAAACATAGAGTATATCCGGCATCTTGGCTTCACGCCTCCCGATGTGGACACTGATGAAGCGCCGTCTGATGGACACGGGTGGCTGTATCTCAACTTGCTTGTCAACATGGCTCAGTTGCATACGCTCAATGTCACCCCCGATTTCGTCAAGGACGCAGTAACCGACTACAGCTCGAAGTTTGAGCTTTCGCATGACGGTCGCAAGATACGATGGAAGGGTGGTCACGACGTGACAAGAAACAGTAGCGACAGCTCGTCCGAGCAATTGAGCTGCACTTCTCCATATGAGACGCTGGCCAGCGGTTATAGCAAGTCGCCCGCAAAGCGGCTCAAGACTGGACACAGCGGCAGTAGCGAATCGAATATTGACCCTGAGCGCAAGGCGCGACGTATTGCTCGCTCTCATAGGGACAAGGAGCACAACAAGTTTGCCTATACGCCCATTTTCTTTCACAAAGAGGACTCCGATGACGACGACGACTTCTATGGTGTCGACATGGGCTCTTCGAGCAACTCTCTCAACCAAGCCCAGCAAGCTGGCGATTCCTCTGCCTTTGCCAGTTCGGCAATGCGGAGCTCTTCGTCAAGGAAGAAGCGCGATGAAGGACCCATGATATTCTACAGCAAAGCCAAATTCTGTACCGACCTCAGTGGCGATCGCCAGGGCTTCGCCAGCGCCAACCCCGCATCATACAAGACTATCACGACGCACCCCCTTGGAGTTACCTCCGCGTCGCAATCTGAAACCCGCCAACACACATCCGACATTGCCGAGCCGCGAGGTCCATTGCACGCTACGACGATGGATATCGATGCTAAGGACGGCGAACGGACCTCTTCTAGCGAGGAGGAAATCGACTTCTATCCTACAGCCTTGAGGAACGACAACAGCAATGACAGCCCGGACACCATGGAATTCGAAGCTTCGGGTCTCGGGGGTGTTCAACCGGACGACAATTTCGCCATCAAAGTTCGCCGCTCCCAGACCCAGACCGCGTCCTCGGGAGCTTCATCCGCACGCCGCAAATCGCAACCCTATTCCAAGAAGATCCTCGAGGTTCTAAAGGAACGCCCATCTCCTGAAGCCGAAAGTTCCTCGCCGACGCAGCAACGGTCAGTGATCAAAGAAGAGATCCTTTCCGCGTCTCGGCAAACTTTGCCCAGCTCTGTTCTTCCTCCGGCATCCTTCCTGCCCTTCGACTCCACGTCGTCAGGCGACGTAGATTCGGACCTTGAGTCTGACGTCTCCTCCGGCCCCTCGTGGACTACCTCTTCAGATGAGGAAGAGCCGACGACAGCGCTGGGACTCCTCAACATCTCCCCGGTCCATACCAGCAACGAGACTGGGGACGCCGAGGATGGATCATCTGGAGACGAAGTTTCCAACAGCGACGACTCGATTGACCTTCTCGCAACAGCTCGCCAAATGGACCCCACCTCTGTTCGCGCCTCAGAGCGTGAGTACGACGCCGCGATCGCTGATCGTCTGGCGGAGGAGATCCCTGCGGGTAGTTCAGCGGCTACCGGTGGAGGCGGCAGCGGCTTCAACAGTCCTGCAAGCGTTATTGCAGCGGACGAGGCTGAGAGGACGAGCCGCCGGGGGAGCGCCAAGCGTCGGAGCACAACCAGCGGCAGCGCGTCGTCGCGTGCTAAGAACCTGAAGCGTGCCAGAACGCGAGATACTCTAGCTACTGCGTTGCAGGGCACCAAAGCCCAGAAGAGCCAAAAGCTCGAATAAGAGTATCTCACACATACACACACACTGGCGCACCGTCGCCAAAACCGTAAACGAATCACAGGCGCCCAGTCGCCAAAATCGGAGTACATACCGGCGTCATGCATAGTGCTCAAAAGACATCGACGGCATACGGCACATGTACATGAATGGGAAATTTGACATCTGGCATATGTATGGTGCGAGGGAGGGAGACACCCTGCATTGACCGGCGTTGGCATTTTTTCTTTAGCCCTTATACCCCCCTGGTTCTCTTTTGGCGTTTGCATCATCGGTGATGGCCGAGGTTATGTGGAATGTGGAACGTAGCATGGGTTATTGTTATACCTGACTTATTCTTATGATTACGAATGAGGTGTGGCACCTTAAGAAAATAAATCGCATTGGTACAAATACTGCAACGGTTATAGCCCATAGCGTGTGATGTGATGCTCAGTCTTTGTGATTCCATGGCCGGGTGATATCGCTTCATGATGCATAATGTGATGCTCGATCTCTTTGCAATTCCGTGGCTGTGTGGGAGTGGAGCAAAGAGCTTGTGTGCGTCACCTGTGAGGTGGAAGCCGCGAGAGACCAGGCCCACTAGGAGATGCATCCACAGCACGCCGCCTTGATGCGGTCCGCATATTCCAAACATTTCCAGCCGGTGAGTCACTGGTTGTCCGACAAAACTGGGGTTCTCCTCGAATGGTTTGGTCACGCAGCAAGGGGTCTTGAGCTTAGCATAGCTACGGATGCCGGACGCAGACACGAGGGTGACGGTATCTTGAGGGATATCGGCTTCTAGATGTTATAAGCATTTCCATTTCCCAGGCTCAGTTTGAGCAGACTCTCACCGAATGTAATACTCAGGCCTGCTGTGCCGACCGCCAATTGTCGATCGACCTCTGCCCACTCGCCGCCCAGCTCGGTATCATCATTGTAGTTCGTGAAGTCTGGCCTGCTGGAAGATGGGCATACGTCGTCGACAAGCTCCGATAATGTTCTCACGAATACATCGAAGTACTCCTCGTCAGCTTGGTGAGGGTAGTACGTTAAATGAGCGTGATCTGCTTCGATGCCGAACAGCTTCTCGCCGTCCCACCCCAGGGATGATAGAGGTTTAGGGCAGACCTGCGATACTTTTAGCATATCTCGTGTCCCTACGAAAATGAAGCACCACATAAGATAAGAACTTGGGCTTTGGTTGGTCATGGATTTGGCTCACTGTAAGCCGCATGACTGCGGCTTTGGAGAAGAAATTCCAACAGGATTTTCGCTTGTTCCAGGCAAACGCAGACACAATACTTGAAATCTCCAGAGCTGCAAAGGAATTGACTTGCCATGGTTCCTACGTGGTCTGTTGTTCTATCTGAACTTGTGAAAATGGTTCCATGTCTCCACCTCCAGCCAGCGGCTTGAGTTGCGAGATGTGCTCACGATAGTGCGAAAATCAACCCTACAGCATTGGATGTTGTCCTCCAAAAGTATCTGAGACAGAAAGCATTGAAGCCATTTGCTTATTGTTGTGCAAAAACCCCCCATCAGGTTCAACCACCTGTTCGTCGCCTACATTGCGATTGTTGTCACCAAGCGAAAACATGTAGCGTCCCGTTGCTATAGTCGTTGGCCAGGAGACAGCCTCAAAGGCTGCTTTGGCCAGATTTATGAGCATCAAATCGCTTCCTGTTCAGATATCAGAAAGGGCGCGAACATGCATGCGTAGACCCACCTCTGGCGCCAACCAAAGTGCTGACAATGGGCCGGTGCTCGAGTCTACCACTGATTCGGGATTCATATGGCATTTGCGCAACTGTTTCCAGTCAGCTCTGCTTAGGTTTGCACTCCAGTGGACCCTACAGGGCAAGACAAGTTGAGGCATATGCAGGACGGGAGAGATGAACTTCTCGCCGATTGTGTGAGAAGTAGAGGGCGTTCTGCTCTGGCGTTAATCAAAGTTGAAAATAGGTCATGACAGACTTACTCATTTGGAGTGTCTCTGTATTTTGGATTGGCGCTCCCATATGGCATGAGCATGATTGCGTCCGAAAGGCTCTCGGGATCGGACGTCATAACATTCTTGTTAAACCAGTCGCGGAACACTTTCAGTTCGTGAGTGTGCTCCTGATATTGTTCATCTGAGACGGCCTTGCCGATGCCCCTAGAACACGTTCAGTGCTGGGCGCGAAGAGAAGCGCAAAGAATCCCACCATCTGAATTTCACAACGGCCCCCTCATAGGGTTCCTTTCCATACTTTTCTTCGTAGTCGGCGTGAAATCGTTCGAACATCTTGTTGTAGTCGCGGCACATTGCCCAAAAAGCGCTCTGGTATACCCGTTAGCCGCAAATGGTCGTGTATGTTAGCGATGGTCATATGGACATTCTTACCTTTGCGAGATACTCTTTCAGAGTCTTGCCTGACGCCTCTTCCGGCGGACATTGAGCCCATCTGTCTGCAATACTGAACTCAACTCTCTGAGTTCCAAGGAACTTCTCCAGGATGGATATGAGTTCTTCGACCATGGACTGGTGCTTAGCGTTGCTGTGAGGAAAGAATTCCTTTGGGTAGAGTATCTTGCTCGGGTATTTTGTCCACTTGGTCGGCAAGTCAAGCGAGCTAGAAACGATGAGACTAAGATCGTCCAGGGTACGGCTAAAGTGCCCGACAACGTCAAAGGCTCTAGATTTGCTCGGTTAGCATCATGCAACGTCGAACTACGAGGTCGGGGACGTTACGGTGAGTTGATTGCCACGCCGTGCATGGAGGTGGTATTGAATGAGGAACGAAGCGAGAACAGTCCGTTACACGACGCAGGAGCTCGAATGCTACCGGCTGCTACCCTTGCTTAGTCCTGGCATGGGGTGCAATGGTATTCTACTTACAGTCGCTTCCAAGTGAGAAGTCGAGCCAAGGATAGCCAGCTAGAGCTGCTGCTGCCCCGGATGAACTTCCAGACGGACTCTGATATCGATCGCCTCTCGGGTTGACTGGACAGTGGAAGTCAATATACTGGTCAGTAGGTTCATCAGACGCCGCGAAGGATGTCATTCTTGTCTTTCCCACGATGACTGCCCCCAGCGAGATGAGTTTTTGAACGTAATCAGCGCTTTCCTGATCCGGGCCGTATAATTGCGTGTAGTCCCGACTAGACATCGTTGACTTCACTCCGGCGAGCTTGTATATGTCCTTGATGGCCACCCGCGCACCGGCGAGGGGAAATTCGGCTGTGGGACGGGCGTACATTCTGCTGGGAACGGCAACAGCTCTCCAAATCCCGTCCACCGAAAGAGATTCTACCACTTTGTATCTGTTGTTGCACTCGTCAACATACGATGTTGACAGCAGTACATGTACGGGAGAAACCGACCGAAGGGGATTTCGCAGGTCCTCCGGAATGACAGCGAACACGAAAGCATCTAGCTCGTCATCGTAGAGCCTCCATGCTTGGTGAATGTTGCTTCCGTGCAGAAAATACGGGCCAGAGGGAAGAGGGTTGGACGTTGGACCTGAAGCTTGATGTATTGCGGAAAACCGACCAGTGTCGTTTGATTGCAATTGGCTGATGACATCGTCGGTACCTGCCTCCGAGCTCGACATGAGCACAAGCGTGTTCCCAAAAGGCTTTTGAAGGACATCATCAACCGTCGCAACAGCGGAGAGACGCCTGTCGATTTCTAGCGTGGCATTGTTGCCGGCCACATCCGTGAATACTACGACCGGAAGAATCTTGTTCGGATCAAGCACAGACTTTACGGTGCCCTGGAGACATGAATAGCCGAAGAAAACTGGACTAGAGAAGTACCCGCAACAACGTAAGATAAAGCTTGCCGGAGCGCCATTATGAGGCCTTCGTGCGCACTTTGCGCTTAGGAATGAGGAACTTCTAAGGTAGATATGGATAGTGAGATGCGTAAACCGTAGCCGCTGCTGGAATTGCTCGCGTAGGCTGTGCTCCATGCCCAGGCGTTGAGATCCAAGCACGCCCAATGCTGCGACATGCGGAGTGCACTGGCGTGCTCAGCAGTTACACACAGGGGCCACGACCGCACGCCTGTGCAGGCAAATCGACCATGTGCCCAGTTGATATTTCCGATTTTCCACCACTGATCCCACAGCCTTCGGCCAAGTGGCACATCCGCCCTACTCAATCCATGGCAGTTTCTCGCTCAGAATGTCCTCGATGCGATGTACTGTAGTGGAAAAATGGCGAAGACGATCCAAGGCAGTGTTCAGTTGTTCAGGGTCCGCCTCTTGCCATTCAGCAACACACTCAGCCGTTAGGTTCAATACCTGTGTCCACGATAATGCCGAAATTTCTAGGACATTCCCAAGCAAGAAAAAGGGGTCGGTATGAAGAAGTTCCCCGTCAATGTGATCGAGGCAGGCTGGAAGCTCATGTTTACTTCGATTTCGGTATATGCAGCCAACACCATATGAATCACTACATCACTGACGTGTCATCTCAGATCAGACTCCACTTACCGCCGTTCAACGCGTTTACAATGAACTCCCGTCAGAGGCTGAATACTTGCTGTAAGGGCGCCTGAGACTTGTGAAGTAAGTGGAGTTTTGCAATGCCTAGGTAACAGACCCATAACATGCTAACTCGGCCACGGCAGCCTTTGGCGACCAATTAATGGCCCAGTCGAAAGCTGGCCGCTCGCGCTCTGCGATGGACGTACAGTATCGCCTACATCGCTCATAGCTTCCGAACGTCTACGAAGCACATGGAGTGGAGGGACAACGTTTGTACTCCACGAAGAGGGCAACAAGTGGTACTTCATGAGTAATCAAAGGAATGATGAAGTCGCTATTTTCAAGAATTTCGACTCGAAAGAGGACGTGGCTCAGTGTGAGTATAGCCTTAGCTCTTTTATCTCTCCCTATCCACTAAAAAGTTCCTCTAGACGCCGCACACTCCTCGTTTGAACTACGAAGTTGTTATCCCCAGGCTCGTCCAAGAGAAAGTATTGAAGTCCGCGCAATGGTCTTCACATATCCAGAACACATGTGATGAAGCATTAGGTGTTTGAATAAATACTCGTTCGTACAGGGGGAGCTTTACCATAGTGGAGATAATAGATCCAAAATTGTTTACAACAGCGCGAGTGTACTTATAGGTGGAGTCAAATTCCTTCAACGGAGAACAATCGAATATGAAGCGCTCCTCCCGGAGTGACCGCCAAGGTAACAGAGGAGGCTCTGTCTCAAAGCCGCTAGGTTGGTGACCCGGTCATTTTGCTTCCCATTTCTCGTCGGACCATTCGTTATGCTTTGCTCTCTGAGCACCCACACAGGGTCCTACATGGCTCCAATGTCGAAACGCAGCGAACGACAGAAGTCCCAGTGGCAATGTCTTTCAGTGACTGCGGGAATGATTTGGACGGAAAGATTGAATGCAATTTCCTTTTAAACAAAGAAGGCGATAGAAGGGGGTCCACACTCGTAGGATTAATCTAGCGCGGAATGCCTGTACAGGGAAGTACGAGTTAACCTGCGTACTGAAGTGTGGAATAAGGGAAATTTTCGAATTTGGCATTGAAACGGCTGTAGCTCATGTAGCCCTGCCTTACTCCCTAAGCTGCGTCGTGGTGCACTATCTAGAATACTTTGAGATCCCTTTGCAGGTATCATGTTTCCTATCAAAGACAAGAGTAAACGAACCGCGGGCATGCCGAGGGAGAGCAGAGCTACAGCCTCGGTAATCTACGGTGTTGTAGTGGCTTAAGATGCCCGCAGGGCTATCTAAGGTCTAGAGGCCTCGAATTAATTCTATAAGCGGCTTCTCATAGAGGAGTATACATTACACTTTTTCTATCTCTACCCAGCCCCTGTCCATACGTGGTGCTCCGCTCCCCAACTCCATTGTAAAGCTCATGGATATCGTACACATAATGCTGTAGTAACAAGTCCGCTATGGGACTACCCACTCCTCGTATTCTTCCTAGTGAGTCTCAGGCTAACCCAAAGATATGACTCTCACGGTCCACTACCTGAACCAGACTCCGCTCCACGGTTAACGGAAAGAGTTCACGTCTGAACTGGCGCCCACAGTCGCATTCCTATGCGCCCGCAAGACCATGTCTTCCTCTCCATCTCCTACGAGCGGCACATCATCATTAAGCGCACCAACCGCCACCATATCTGACCCCCTACTCCTAACCGTCAGCTCATCCCTCGGCCCCGTCACAGCACCCTGCCTCAACCCCGGCCTCACCCTCCTCACTACAGTCCCCTCCTCCGCTCTCCTCTTCCCCCAGTCCCCCAACCGCCTCGCAATCATGTCCCTCCACACCCTCAGCCTCTTGATCCCCTCCTCGAACTGCTCCATGCCTAGCACGACCTGCATACCCCTGCCCAGCTTCCCGCTCCTCGCGACGCGATACTCGGAGATAATCTCGTCGAGCAGGTTGAGGATGCCGTAATCGCATTCGATGCCCCCGTTGTCCATGTCTTGGAGGAGAGAGCAGACTTGCGTGTAGGAGTGGTGCTGCAGCCACGCGGTGCGGAGGAGAATTTTGTAGAGCGAGGTGGTGGCGCCGAGGGCGTACGAGGAGCGGCCGAGCGACTTAAGGGTCGGTATGATGCTGAGGGGGAGCGGGGAGGCGGGGAAGTCCGTGCGCAAGGTTTTGGCAGCCACGATGAGATGATGAGGGAAGTTTGGAAAGACGATGCTGGGGTCGTGGCGGGTGGTGTCCCGTTTTGGGGGCTTGTAGATATTATCTGTGGGCGATGTGGGGAAGCGGGGAGCGGCGGCGTCGAGTTCAGGGAGCGAAGGAGGTTGCGCGGGGGTATCTTTCTGCTTGCCTTTGCCTTTCTTGCTGGCCTCAGCCTTCCTCGTCCCATCCAAATCTAAGCTCTTAATTACTCCAAAAACCTCCCTCTCCAGTACCTCCCACAGCTCGCGATCCGTCTGTGCGCCCTCCAACAGCCCCTTCACCCTCTCCCTCTCCTCATCCTGAATCCTCCTGATCTTTTGTGCTTTCGCCGCAGCCTCTCGCTTTGGCCTATCCCTCGCCTTCTCCGTTTCAGGCCTCAGTATCTCCTTCGCTAGCGTGGCGAGATCCTCCGTCTTCCTGGGCTTCCACGCCTTTGGCTTTGGTGTTCGAGGAGTCTGTTTGCCCGAAAGCACGGCATCGAAAACTGCGTCGAGGGTCGAGGAGGAAGGATCGTCGTCATCATCTTCGTAGTATTCGTCTGCGATCTGGTCTGTGTCGTCGTCTCGAGCCTGCTTCGGGCGGCCCGGGGGAGCGTTGAACTTTTTGTAGAGCTTCTCAAACGCGGCACGCTCAGAGCCTGTTATTGTGCTCTTTCTCGCCGTATTCACCTCGTCTTCGGCAGGCGGAAGCACGCCATCTTCAAAGGGGATATCATCTTCGGGATTCGATCTTGATGAAGCGGCTCGACGCGCAATTGGTTGCGCGATCGGCTTCCATTGCAGAATCGTCGCAGTCTGATAGAGGAATGGAGCCAGCGTCTTGGAGGGAGTAATTCGGGAGCGTGATAGTGCTCTAACGCCCGTTGAGCATACAGACATCGGTCGCAGACGAATAGAAGGGGTGAAAGGAGCGATGCATAGTATCGAAGGGAGTTCGAATAAAATTCCAGCGGTTTGGCTGCGGCTTGCTTTAGCGGCGGTCATAGCGCACCTCGAAACTCGAGCTCAAAAACAGTGCTCTGATTGGTTAGAGTCCGTCTGCCTGTAACCCACTCTTGGAGACATGAATGAAGCAGGACAGTCTAAAGACGAAAATATTTCATTTATCTGGGAAGGTGCTTCTTAAGCTAATCCTACGATTACTCTTACTGCCCATCGAATCAAGCAAGCGAATAATGAACGTGTATTCATGCGTCGTACCTTCTTAGGACCTAGTCCATACACAATTAGACCTACGAGTGAAAATGCTCATGACATCCAAAACGCCCCTTTCGCCCCTCCGCCGGTCTATCTAGAATTACACAGGCCACAATCTCAGACTGCTGCCATACTCCGCTCATCTCACAAAGTCTCCCAGCCCCCATTGTTGATATCCCCTTCTAGCCTCCTCGCGATCAAACTCTGGATCCCACCTTCGAGCCACACCTTTCGCAGCAGCACATCATACCTCTTTTGGTTTAAGAAAAGCTGATGATGCCTCCGGAGAGTCGGATCCGCCTCGCCATGCTTGTCTAGATACGGCGCCACCGCCCAAGTCCCATGGTCTTCATTCAAAAACAGCACCATGCACTTGCGGATATTGATGTAGATGCCAATATTCCCGCCGCACTTGGCCTGGTGCTGGTTGCAGCCGCCGCGGTGACTGTTTGCCGAGCAGCACACACCCTGGCTGCACATGATCTCACCGCAAAAGAGACAAAGTGAAGGGTCGGTGAGATCCTTCCCGGTCGTTGGACATTTGCGGCGGATCGCGTCGTCCGTGAGTGTGTCGTAGTTCTTGGGCAAGCCGACGAGCTCGAAGATGGCAGGGTGCGAGAGCGAAATGGAGGGCTGGATGGGTCGTTTGCCCTCTCGCACCCAGATCCAGTGACGAATCCAGCCCCCGACAACGGAGCGCGTAGTGTGCCCAGCCGACTCCCTGCTGACAAACGAAGCAATCATCTCGTGCAGGGACGGGAGTTTCATCAAGAACGAGAGGCGGTCAAGCTCAGATTCGTCGACACGCTCCAAGGGAACGTGGGGCAGCTCCACGCCGTAGCGGACGTGCATGAGAATCGCTGTCTTGCGTACATACGGTAACGCGTACGTAGAAATCATGGTGTAGATAAAATAGAGGAAGTTCGGATCTCTGAATCTGTCTGGCACGGTCATGTCGTTGAAGTCCACAGATGCTAGGGAGTTGCCAAGGCGGGCGACGTTGAATACAAGGCACACGAACTCCAGGAGGTTGTTCATTTGATCTCCGCTGAAAGTGCCGTTCTTGACTTTTTCGGCATTGACGAATCGCTCAGGAGACTTAAACCAGGGTTGGGCGGTGCCTTCATTAAGATCCATTTCAGATTCCTGCCTGAGGATTTCACCCCCGTCAGCAGTATAGGTCAAGACAACTCGAACGATCTCTGCCAAGTAGCATAGCCGGAGGACGTGGTGGATGTCGAGGTTGAGTGCGGACACGGCGCATACGGAACACTCCGACAGGAAGATAAAGGGGTCCTGGAGCAGCAGAGGAGGAATGCTCTTCAGATCATACGGCAAGCGCTCCGGTTGAAAGATGTTGGGATGACCGACGAATAGCTGATGAAGCTGTCGATACTGCCCATGGGAGTACTCATCCATTGTCTTGTTGGAGCATTGGTTGCGCAGGCTCCCGATGGCGAGGTACGAGGAGACAGTCTCCGAGTATATACGAAGATGCGTCAGCGACTGCGGAGAGATTTTGTCTAACAATGTTCCTCTCATTGAATCGGATTGCACACCACGCTGTGCAATCTCAACTGCAGATATCGAATATCCCAACGCACGCGCAAGAGCGTCGGTATGCGTCAAGTCTTCGACGACCGCCGAGGGAGTATGCGGGTAAGAGAAGGTTGAAGGGATAGAGTTGACGCGGAATGTGTCCCGAAGACGCTGGTATATCCTGACAAGTTCCGGCATGGGGAAATTTTGCACCACAGCTGGACTGGTCTCGGAAGGAAGGACAACCGGATCGCGAGGGTCGTCGTTCTGCATCGAGATAAAGGCTGGAACAGAGAAGCGGGGTTGTGTAGAAGGCTGAGGCACTGGCATAGTAACGAAACTGGACTTGACGATCTCAGGGAGTCTGCTCGCTACTGGCTGGATGAAGTCCCGTTCTCCATAATCATAGAGTGCCTTTTGCTGGCGACTGAGATTGACCGGAGGTTCTCCACTGGCTCGCTCAGAGCCCTTGTCGATTTTGGAGATGTTTAGGGCGAGTCGCGATCCAATCCAGTCTTCAAAAGATGTGGTTGTCTCTAACGCCCCAGGGTAGGAGACCTTCTTTCCTTTCCAGATGATAGGCAAGAACATGTTACCCAGAGCTTTACAGAGCGGACACATGAACTCCTTGAATTCCGGCCGCTCGGGATGATTCCGCGCTATCTGGCTAACATGCCGCCGTTGCGTTGCTTGGAGATAGACCTCGAAGCAGGCATAGTGCATAATATGTCCACAGCCAGTGGAGACGGGGCCCCTCTTCGTTTGTGAGCAAGGAAACCCCTTGCCCAGTTCCTGTCTCTCAATGAGGAACCGTTCGCCAGTAGATGAGACCTTCTCCAGAGTACGTCGGTTCTTGCCAGACACACCGAATGGTCGAACTGCGTCTGCTGAGCGGTCAAGACTGGGGGGAGTCTGGGTGACTTCGTCAACCCAATCCTCATCCTTGACGTCTGTTTGTCGTAGGATGCTGCTCTCTGAGACAAAACCGAAGCTCCCGAAGAGACGTTGATCGTTCGTTTCCTCCTGGCAAAGGATGCAGGTGCCAGATGGATACTTAACAATCTTCTCCTGCTCTGTTAATGGCTGACCGGCCTCGTCTTCCAGGTCGCTGAAGTCATCTCCCCAATCGAAGTCCTGATTCGCCATAAACTTCCCCTGTTGCTCTTTAAAGGATGCCATGACCCTCGCTTGTCTCTCTAGCGCTTGCTTCTTCTTCAGCTCCTTTTCTTGGAGCGTAATCGTAGCCGGTGAGGCCGTGTCCATACGCTCGGCGGCCATGTTGAGGGCTGCTGAAGCAATGATGAACGTGCTCTGTTGGCGCTGCTTGAGCCGATGCAGAATCAGTTTAATCTTTGGCTCGCAAGACTTGAAATCCTCCTTCTCAATCAAAGATTTGAGAATGGAGAGAATTGTGGGATGCTCGGGTAGGCCCATGTTTGCATGTTTGGTGAGAACGGAGGTAACAAACGAGTCCGGTGCCTCCTGAGACCACTCATGCTGCTCGGACTTGTCTTCAAGCACAGCTACGAGAAGCAACTGAAGCACGAATTGGATATAGCTCTCGACACGCGTCGCAGGAATGCTAGGTGTGGTAGTTGAGGCCATCAGACCATAGCCGAGCAGGTAGTAGATGATCTGTGTGAAGAGCGGCCGCCGCGTGAAATCGGAGAGATTCTGGAACAATCCTGATTGGATCGGTCGGAGTTTTGGTTCGAACACTATATCGGCGGCTTGCTTTCCTGTTCGCTTGGCCATGTAGTTCTTGTAGATGTTTTCGGCCTCTTCACGCTGGTTCCGAGTGTATTGATGCGCATAAGGATCGACCAGCCTGATATATTGCCCCTTCAACTCAAATGTTCCAGAGTCCGAAAGGCCTTCCGGTGGCCTAAACTTCGTCATTTCCGCTAGGGCATCAGGGAATTCATCCATGTTCTGGATCCGATCCGAGAGCTTGTTTGTCATATCGGAGTAAGAAAGCGGTTTGAAACAGAGCACGTGGGCTATGTCTCTGCGGATCGCTGCGACCTGAGGCTCAACGTCGTCTTCCGCGGGAATGAGCGATGCCCGATCGCTGAGTAGTATGATCAGAAGGTGGACAAAGTCCTCGACCACGTCGATGACTTGGGTATCCTCGAACCCATGGTGGGCAGCTTCGTATCTGCCACGCATCCAGTCTAGCAGGCCAAACCGGTCGACCATCGTCGCTAGGAACACTGATGGATTGCACAACACCAGCGCCGCCTGCAAAAGGAAGATGTCCCTTTGGTAGGATACATCCCGCTGTGAGACGCTTCTATACTGCGTCATCTGATGCCGCAGCGTGATCCCGTTCCTTACCCAGATACCTGCCCTCATCTGAGCCAGCCATGCACAGACCCTGAGTGGGAAGTCGAACAGCGCTAGCAAATATTCCTCAGGTTGGTAATCAGGCACAATGAGCGCTGGCGCGTTGATACCTTGCTGAAGCTCGTCGTGAGAGAATAGCAAGAGTCCAAGCAAATGATCTCGAGGCATACCTCGAGCGCGATCAACAAGCCAAGAGACGGTGTAATGAAGAGCGTGGTGGAAGCTCATAGGCTCCTTCGCAACAACGTAGTCGATTACCCTGTACGACGGGCCGAGGAAGGAGGACGGGTCAGCATCGAACTCGAATACATCCAGCGTCTTAAACCGCGTCTCCGTTTTCAACTCGGACTGGTCGAAGCGCTTCCGTTCGGCCCCTAGTGAGTTGACGATGGCGACCTTGGTCGAGGCTCTGATAGCGCGGCGGATGTGTGCGGAATCTTCGTTGCGGCTCCATACGAAGGATTCGGAAAACTGCCTGCACAGCTTGTTTATCTCACGAGTAATGAGGGAAGCGCTGATCCAGGCCTCGGTTTCGTATTCGAGATGTTCTCCCACCGCACGAACATTTGGACATATGCCCTGGTGGAGCTTGACCAAATCAAGGAACTGTAATAGATAGCGTTCCTCCTCGCGTATCCGCTCCTGAACATGCTCGGAGCCTAAAAGGTACTTCATGTCTAGAAAGAAGTGGTACATCCGCCGATTGGTCACAGCGCCTTGCTCGAAGGCTAGTGTGGCCTTGTGATCCACGTTCCAGGGGTAGCCAACTTGACGGGTGGTTAGGAAGGTGTAAAGGATGGCCATGAGGTTCGTGAGGAAGTTGCCTCGTTCGACAATTTCGGCCGTGATGGAGGGCGTTGTGACCATCTGTAGGGACAGGTTGATGATGGAATGGTCTGGCTCCCTGTCTGCAATGAGGTATAGCTGCGCTAACGCAGTGTACACACCGGCAAAACGCAGGCCCAATAAGCGCTTGAACTGCGGTATTGTAACCACGGTGCTGATGAAGACATCCCGTACACTAACGCGCAGCTGTTTCCACATCCGAAGGTCGTAGAGGATAAGGTGGTCGAGGCGTAGGCGCTGCCAGAGGTCTTCATGAGCTGGGGTCCCCGGCTGCCTTCCATAACTATCAGGCTTCTCTAACCAATACTGGGGTGGCCGGGATGGTCGCAACGGCAAAGATGTGGTCTGGGGAGTCTCGGGTACGGGCATCAACGGCTCGACATGGCTGAGAGATGGCGCAGCAACCATGGGTTCGCTATCAGATTCGGCAGGGGTGAGGTTCTGTTCGGTGTGGCTTCCAACTTGTTGTGCGATATTAGGCGTCTCATCCGCGCTTTCGTATGCCTCCATATGTACATCGCCGTCATGGTCTCGCCTCGCCGTGCGGTCGACTTCCATGTCCTCAGCGCCCTCCGCGTCATCTCCGGCGCTTTCGCCTTCCTCTTCTTCCTCCTCGTCAGCGTCAGCGTCCGCATCTGAAGCTGTCGTATCGTCATTGTTCTGGGCGCGCTGGCGACGCATCATCGCTATTTGGGCACGCCTCTGCTGGGTCATGTACTGACGGTAGAAGCCATAGCCATTCAACTCTGCTTCTTTGTCTTCTGTCTCATTATCATAGAGACCGTCCTTTCCAATGCTTTGATTAGACGCTTCGCTGCCGACCCGCCAGGGCTTGAGTAGTTCTTCACAGACAGTCCGCCGTAGTATCTGGTTGTCATCCGCGACACTGCATCCAGCGACGTCCGAGATCCATTCGACAATGGCCCCGCCCATCTGCTCGCGAAAAGTATCCCGCGCTGACCGGATGGTCACAGTTAACTTGATGTCTTCAATGATCTTTGCCATGCGGAGGAGATCCTGGATGTTAGATCTGGACACAATGGTGGCTCGGCCAATGTCGTTGACCTCATGCGCTTTGGCGAGCCCGAATGCCAACTTCTGCTTGCACGCGCGCGCCACCTGATCGCGAACATCGTTGACGGTGTGCTTCTCGTCATTCCACAATACTAGGCAGAACTCCTGGTCTTCCTCGGGCTGGTCGCCGGGGCCGTACCATCTTGACGTCAGACGCGACGAACGCTCGTCCTGCAATATGGACTCTTCCGTCTTGGGCAGACGCAGTTGCTCGGGCGAGCAGGAGAAGACGTCGATGAGGTAGTCGAGCGCCCTCGCGACGGTCATGCGAATGCTTTCCAGAAGCTCGTCAGGCAGTGCGGAGCCTTCCTTCGCCTTGCCGGCCGCCCTGGACTCGGCTGCTGGCGAGGCGGAATGGATGCTGCACTTGACAGGCCGCACCCACGCCTCGTCGTCGCCGCAGTCGCAACATCCCGAATTGCCAGGCGATACGCTGACATAGACTTGGTGGCCCTCGTGGTCTGAGGCGTCGAAGCACCGGGCGCACAGCACGCAGGTATCGTCCGCGGTGCACGTCTTGCACCGGTATGTGGCTTCACCGCTCTTGAAGATGTGTCCGCATGGCTTTCCCCGTGCCGCCTCCGTGTATTCTGCCCCCTCCACTGCCCCTTGGGCCTCGCGCAGGCTCCACGTCCGGTCTGGGTCCGTCGGCGGTCCGTTGGGGAAGAACAGCGGCAGGTAGTCGCCACGCCCGGCGAGCGAGCGAAAGAGGATCTGGTACAGCTCTCGCGTGGCTTTATCAGTGTACTTGTAGCCATGTCGCCGCGGAAGCTCGCGCAGGTGTCGACATAACTCCTGCTCCTGCAGGGATATGAGCATCGTGATGCTGAGGTCGAAGTGGGATGTGGTGGGGTTGAGGCGGCGATGGAGCGTAAAAAAGCGTCAACTCTGAAACAGTTGGTTATGTACGGGCGTGGGCCAGCCACTACCTGGAGACCTTGGAGTTTCACGGGAAATGGCAGTAGTGGTGTTTGTGAGTGAGAAAGTTAGAGCAGTCCGGAACACTTAAAGCTATGAGGTCAGGGCAAGGGCGATGCCAAGATATCTAGATTTACTTGCACCTTTGAAACATGTACGCCTAGCCTTAAAGATCATGTGAATCGTAAGTCCGAACGAATAATTTGAGCCTTGTGCTCTGGTTTCATTGCCGAGGGACTCTTTGTGTGGTGCAGCCCACGGTACGAAGCTGCTCTGCGGAGCTCTCGGACAAACGCTATGGAAACCTACTGAGTTCTAGGACGGTATGTGCAGACTACCTTCAAAATCAAACATCTCGGGCTATACTCGGGTATAACAAGGCTTTGGAGGTGCATGGGAAGACGTCGAGCTGCCGCTAACCACTCGGGGATCCGCCCTTGTATTTGATGCTGTAACATACACAATTGTACAGGGTCCAGTCGCGAAGGACTGTCTGAAAGCTTCAGAACGGCTCTATATACCTCCGCTCCATGGCCGGACCCGTGCTTATTCCTCGTCCTCGTCCTCCTCAGGCTTCTGTATGTATGCGTGCTTGATGTCCTTCCATTGTCGCTAGGAGCCGTGTCAGCCGCATCCACTGAGACCGTCAGCCTTACGTACGCCCTTGTTGATGCTGTCCCACGTCCTCTGCGACGCGGTGTCAAAAGCCCTGTTGCCGCCTGTCAGTACGGCCATCCGGGAGCCCGAGATCCTGCCGATACGACGTACAACTGCATGGCGAAGGCGGAGACGAAGACGGTGCCCAGCATGGTCACGTTTCTTCGGAGGAAGGTGCTGCAGTCGGGGGTCAGTTACGCGCGGTCGTTCGGCCTGAGGGAGACTCGCTTGTAGATGAAGCTTGAGAGCTGCGCGGGTCGTTAGCGACGTCCTCCACAGCTTGACTGTCGGGTCAATTGACTTACTCCTGCCATTTTAGAGGTACGGAGAGGAGACTCGGGGCTGCGGAGGTTGGCGTTTTCGTGCGGTCACTGGTGGTGTCGTGGTTGAGGAAGCTCGGTTTTCATGTCTTGCCGGATTGGCTGGCGGTCTTGGCATCGCGGCTTCCGACCCTGAAGACTTCGCGACCACGCTTTCTTTTTTCACTTCACCGACGTCAAGCCCCGCACCCAGTCCCGAATCGCTCTCGCAAGGACCGCATTATACGCCGCCGCACATACGCCTTCAATTGGCCTTCGGCTCGCTCGGCGTTGCTGACTGCTTTATCCTACTCCACCAACGGCGGTCCCTGACTCTTTTGCTTCGTACACAGCAGCCGCTATGCCTTCCGTAGAGACCCCCGCCGTCTCCAGGTCCGGCATCACAACCTCCGCAACTGGCGAACGTCATATCCCCTCATCCACCCGTGCCGATGGCTCCGTCCGCAAAGAGATCAAGGTCCGCCCAGGCTACCGCCCGCCCGAGGATATCGACGTGTACAAGAATCGCACTGCCGAAGGCTGGAGGAACAAGGGAAAAGGGGGCGTTCCGGGAGCGGAGGGTCTGAAATCGGAGGAGGACCCCGCCAAAGGAAGCCCTGCGGCGAACAAGAACGCGAAACGCAGGGAAGCCAGGAAGAAGGCGGCTGCCGCGGCGGCGGCGGCGGATGGTAAAGAGGAGGAAAAGACCGCGGATGCTGAAAGCAAAGAGGCACCTGAACTCGCCAAACCCGTGGACCCCGAAGCAGAGAAGGAGAAGGACGCCAAGAAGCTGCTCAAGAAGCTACGCCAGGCCCGCGAGCTGAAAGACAAAAAGGAGAAGGGCGACGTGTTGCTGCCAGAGCAATTTGAAAAGGTGATCAAAATCAACGAGCTCATCCGGCAACTGGAAACCCTTGGATTCGACGCTCAGGGCGAAAAGAAGAAGGCTGAGACTTGAATTTAGGAAAGAGCCAGGTTGCAAGACGAACGATATGCAGACTTGACCCGCAAAGGACTCATCCAAGCCGACGAATTACATGCCGGGTCCGTACACCGCCACTGTTGTCCACAGATGTGACGAAGGCCGCCATTGACCGTGCACGTCGCCATCTGTCATACGACTGGGTCCATCCTCCATCGCGGATCTTCCATCGGCCACTTGCGAGGATTTTATTCACTTTGGATCTGTAACGGCATCGAGCCTCGTCGAAATGAGATACCTTTCTAGGAACAGTCAAGAATGGCACTATGTCCTGAACCGTTCAGGCAGCAAGCTACCTTTCCATAGGGATACCTCTTTGGATTTGCGAGGACTACCAACGTACTGGGGCATCTTTTTTTCATGCGCGTACACTTCAAATCTGTTCCTCAAACGCCCCTTTAGGTTGCTACATATAGCAATATAACGACAATACGTTCATTCCACCGCACCAATCAACTCATGTCTCATCTTCAAGCACGAGGTAGCTGCGCAAATGTGCTCATCATATACCCAAAAACGCCCGTTTCTTGCGCTAGAACATCCAAACCCACATCAATGCGGCGGAAATGCAGCTTTGTGTATTTGATAGCCCAGCCAGACCGTCTGGTTGGACGAACCCTGCCAGCCGAACGCGAGTCTCATTCTTCGGAGCGGTCATCAGCACCGCGCATCCACCCGAATGATAACGCACTGCTTCGACATCGTATCGTAAAGCCCGAATTCATTGACGGTCCTCAAGCATATCTCCTCCAATCGACATTTGACTAGCACCTGACCGACGCTCTCGACTTGACTCACACCCACCTCTAGACTGCCATCTGGACTCCCCTCATCCTGCGCCATCGCATTCGCCACCCGCCCAAAGAAGCCCCTCTTCTGCCTCTGCGGCACCTCCTCCCGCTGCGCCCTCCCCACAAACACCGGACTGGTCGGACTCCGCAACCTCGGACTCGCATTCAAGCACTCCCTCAGCGTCCTCTCCAGCTCCAAAATAATAGCCTGCGGCCGCCAAAACTCTGTTCTGTTCATTTGGCCCTCCAACCGTACTACTTTCGGCTCTTCATCCGAGCTAAACCCAATAACTTCGACTGTCTTTTCGCTCGAGGTGGGCGTGTCGAAGCTGAATTCGGATTTTTCGGGCGCTTCTTCAGGGAGCGGGATGTCGGAGGGGAGTAAAGCGATGGTGGTTTGTGCGATGCCATAGGCGGCTTGTTGTTCGACGAGAGGGAGGATGTGCGCGTTAATGATGGACCGGATGTGTTGGGCGCGGACGAGCGTTAGCTGGTCGAGGATTTGTTGGCCGCGGGATGTTGAAGGTATGGTGGGAAGGTTTGCGGTTTGTTGGAGGATGGATTCGGAGTAGGACGGGAGGTAGCTGTCGTCTTCTTTGCGGGGCATGTTGGCGATTACGTGGAGCGGCGGGCCTCCGGAAGAAGAATTGGATTCTACAAGCGATATTAGGTTGAAGGATGGTAGTAGTCGAGATATGGTGATAATATCGCAAAGCGAGTTTGAGGGAGTCTGCTCGCGCTCTGCCTGTGGTTCTGGTTCCGGTGACTGGTAGTGTTCCTAAGGTTGACTTTCTTCGGGCGGCGGGTGCCGGATGCCGAGCTGATATCACCAGATGATGCTGGTGGCGATGTACTTGCTCAGTAGTGAGGAGCGGAACACTACCTAGGTACCTGGGCAACTGGTGATAAACCCGTGCAACCAGGTCCAAGCTTTCCCAGGTTGAGTCTGCCTGATCTCAGCCTCGTACCAAGTCTTAGTAGTATGGCTCAGATATATGCACTGGCCCCGCAGTAGTCTCCTAAAGTGACTCTGCAACCCAACTGCGGTCCCGAAGAATGCGAATCAGAGGAGGGGAGTTGTCTTGGGGGATTCAGCGAGTCGTATGGACGGGCCGAGCGGCCTTGGCGCGGCAGTGGTATCTCTTCCTTTTGAATTGGCTTTCCAGCGCGGTGACAGAGTAGGAAACGTGAAAGGAAACAGGCGTTCAGTGGAAACGAGGCTTACGGCTGTGCGACTCCACAATGTTCCTGATGCCTGTTCCTGAATTCTTTCTCGCCTCAGGCAGTGCGCAGGCTATGCTTCCCTCTTCAAAGAAACGTGGAAGTACTCTCCTTTGGGTGACCGAAACCGTTTTCCAGAATACAAAAGCTCCGCCCAACGACCCAAGGATTCCCTCCGTATCAATGGTCAGGTGAGCAGTGGCTGCAGTGGCTGAGCCATGCAAGGCTGAATTGACTAGCCGTTTGCGGACTAGTGGCTCAACTGTCCATTCACAACGTCCGCCCTGCCCTCCAAGAGGACCTCACCGGTCGCTCGGCATCCCAGGGCGAATCATGGCTCAGACAGTTGAATGCGATACGAGGCGCGCGTGGAGTGAGTATAAAGAGTGTGCGAGCATGGCGTTATCCGCGCCTAAGACTAGTGTTTGCCGTTTCTCGTGCTTTCAATTGTCCTCAGTCACCAGCGATATCTGCCTAGTGCCTAAGAGTAGTACCGAACGGCTTTTGAGCGAGTTTGAGCGCTGAACACTGTCTGTGGCTCAACCATTTCACCAGCCATTTCAAGATCTTTTGCTCCTCTTCAGTACTTAAGGACCCCGGCAGCACTTCTGCCTTCAATTTTCTCAAGTCGAAGCTCGATTGCTCAGTCCAACTGAGAATCCTCTCTCATTCTCCTTTTTAACCGCAATCATTGATCAAGTGGACAAAATGGGACTCTGGTTTCATGTGGCGGAACCCAATTCCTACCTCGTTATTACGGGTGTAGGAATTGACAAGGTGCAGATCAAGAAGAAGGTACTGTCTCTCTCTCATTTTCCCACCATTTGTGTGGCTAATCCCGTAGGCCTTCGTCTATCCCTTCCAAAAGGTCTCCAAGATCTCGATTACGCCCTTCGACTTCTCTATGTCCCTTCAGGCCATGACCGTCGAGAAACTCAAGGTAAGCACCTCCGGTCCTGCGATATCATTGTGAAAACTCCAAGCTAACCAAACAAGTTCTCCCTCCCTGCGGTCTTCACCATCGGTCCCGCGGACACCCAGGAAGCCCTCGAGAAGTACGCGGTCCTCTTGACAGGCGAGTCCGATGGCCGACCCACTGCTTCTGCCAATAAAGGAGCGGTGGCTGTTGCAGCCGGCCGTAACCATGTCCAGGACATCGTCAAGGGTATCATTGAAGGCGAGACACGCAGCATCGTTTCCACCATGACCATGGAGGAACTGTTCCGCGAGCGCAAAGTCTTCAAGGACAAAGTCATCCAGCAGGTCCAATCTGAGCTCGATCAGTTCGGCCTCTGCATCTACAGTAAGCTATATGCATGCAGCGATTCGCGACTCTACTAACGTTCTACAGACGCAAACGTCAAGGAGCTCCAGGACACGCCCGGCTCCGAATACTTCGCCTTCCTGTCCCGCAAGGCACATGAGGGCGCGCTCAACCAGGCGAAAGTCGACGTAGCAGACGCGCGTATGCGCGGAGAAGTCGGCGAGGCCGAGAAGCAGGGCAAAACGAAGCAGGAAGTGGCCAAGATCCACGCTGCGACTGCCGTTCTCGAGACGGAGCGCAAAGCAGAGAAAGCTGCGGCCGACGCCAAACTCACAGACAAGGAAATCTCAATCGGCAAGGAGCTCAACCTCGCGCGCATCAACGCAAAGCGTGAGGCCGAGCGCCGCGATGCCGAGCTCAACACCGAGGTCGAGAAGAAGAAAGCCCTCATGGAACTGGAGCGTCTGCGCGCCACAACCGTCACGCAGGCTACCATCGCGAAGGAATCCTCGCAGCAGAAAGCGGATGCGGAGCTCTACGCCGAGCAGAAAGCCGCAGAGGGAAAGAAGTACAGCGAGCAAGCCGACGCGGAAGCCGCTGCGTTCCGCCGCCTCAAGGACGCAGAAGCAGACTTCCAGGCCAAGGAGAGGGAGGCCGAGGCCAACTATCTCGTCGCCAAGCGCAGCGCAGAAGCAGAATATTTCCGCCGCGAGCGCGAAGCCCAAGCGCAGCTCATCTCCCAGCAGCGTGAAGCCGAGGGTATGTCCGCCATGGCAAAGGCATACGGCGAGATGGCGAGTGTGCTCGGCGGCCCGCAAGGCCTCATGCAGTACCTCATGCTGCAGAACAACACGTACGAGAGTCTCGCCAACGCTAATGCCACCGCGATCCGTGGGCTTCAGCCCAAGATCAATGTGTGGAATACGGGGGCTGCGGGCGGCGACGGAGCTATGGCTGATCCATCTGCTCCGATTCGGAACTTGTTCCAGAGCTTGCCGCCGCTGCTGAGCACTATCCACGATCAGACGGGAATGCAGCCGCCGAGCTGGCTGGCGCAGATGCCGCAGGACAAGAAGATGGAGTTGGTGAATGGGATGAAGAGCTCGTAGGGGGCGGGCTCTTGTCTGTCGCCGAGCTAACGGCCTTGGAAGGTTTCCTTTGTTTCTGCATTTACGGGATGGGATGAATACCCGGCGTCGGATCAACTGGCGTTTAGGGGGCGGTCGTCTTCTCCCCTGCCTGGCGTTGGTCTGTGGGTTTCATAATCCACTACGTTTTCTTTTGGTTACTAGTACTAACCACAACGCACGCAAAGGTACTGTGCCGTTAATGCTTTCCACGTTAGTTTCCTTTGTTTTTGTAGACTAGAATGCTTGTACGTTTAGTTAAACCCAAATTGACAGCAGTACCTAGGTACGTTTATAGCCCGTCGCTCTTGTAATGTTATAGCTGAGGCGTCTTCATTCACCGTCAAACTCTGTGGTTCATTACTCCTATGTCACTTCCTTGGTCATCTCCCAGTGCTTGGAAAGCAGGCCGAAAAGGGAAGCCGTTGCACAGGTAAGGACCCGGGGATATGTGACATGATTGGTTCAATGCGGCGCAGGTGCCACTCACGGCTGGCCGCAGAAACGGCTGTGGATGCTTTGGTCTGTTTCTACTGTGAGCAGCAGTGCGTGGAAGAATATACACTTCTCTGGCCAATAACTGAGGTAACCATTCTGAATGCTGAACGTTGAATTAATAACTACGATTGAAGTGCCGCTGGTATGAAAAATCGTCTACAAGAAAGAAGAAACGAGGTATCATGATGTTGTCGGTAAAAGAGACTCATCCCAAGGATAGAGTGTGTCATCCGGACTCGTGTGAAACCTCAGCGTGTCTTTTTCCCAATTCCCAATTCCCAGTATCCAAAAATCCCACCATCCGAACCGGAACGCCGCATTTCGAGCAACCTCAGCCACGTGTGTTCCGCTTCCGATACCCGCCCCATCGGTAATTACGATCGACGTCGAGCAAGCCGTCTATCGAATGATGCCGTCGCCCTTGCCGGGTGGCGGTCCGGCTGGCGGAGCGTACACGTCGTCGCCACCGCGAGTGTGCGTAGGCTGAGGAGACTGGAGTTCAACGCCCTGCTGCTGTCCGTACGGCGAGGACCCGTAGTATCCCTGGTTCGAACCATAGTATCCTTGATTCTGGGGCTGCGGCGTGTACTGCGGGGGCGGGTGGTTGTAGTTCTGGTTGTTGTTGTAGTAGGGCTGGGCGGTGGGTTGTCCGGGTCGGGCGGCCCATCCGGTGCCGTAGAAGGGTTGTCTGCCCAAGCGACGTCGGCGGCGAGCGGTTATGCAGCTGCGACGGATTAGTAAATGCGATGTGGAGGGAGAGACGTGGTGACTCACCTGCAGACGACGAAGAGCAGGAAGAAGCCGACAATGATCACAGCGAGGACGACCCAGCGAACCCAGTCGTTCCATGCGCTGTTCCGGCAATAATACCGCCCATATGCGTCGTATCCGCAACTACGAGCCATTATGTATTAGCTTCCGAAACGGACCAATGTGTTTGTGAAGAAGTGGTGCAGTGGGTAACAAAGATATACAGGACAAGGGGTGTTGTAGGACCGCGAAAGGATGAAGTGACGGAAGGAGTTGGGAGAGGTGAAGCAGGTGCAGATAAAGCAACAACAGTGGGGCAGACTCACTATACATCATCTCGTCGGAGCAGGGCCGGCATCTTGGCTACTAACCACGGTGTAGCTAGGGTGCGCTAAAGAGTAGGTTGATGGAGCACGAAGGTGTGTGAGAGGTCGATGGCGAGGAACAAAGGCAGGATTAAGAGGTATGACGCCCATGAAATGCGAACGCAGCAAGGATACGAACCTGCTCAGCCACAGCCAAGGCGCATGATCATGGCTGACCCGGACCAAGCGGGCAGACAACTCACCACTGATTGCGCATCTGTCAGCCATGGGCATGATAGTGCTGCGGCGCGCGCTATTACGACGCTCTGCTGTTGCGCCATTATCTATCCATTGTGAGGGCTTTTGGATGGGATGATATCTCGCCACGCGGGGTACCGCGACGCGATTTCTTGTCCGGACCAACACCACTGGAATGCTCCGTCATCTATCCAGATATTCGACGACACGTTTCCTTGGGACAAGTTGTTGAAGCGTCCCCAGTGTTGAGACCGTTTCCGATCCGGTGTCTCACAGCTCGCACTTTCCGTCAGGAACAAGCAAAGGCATGAGGCGTGAGGCGTGAGGAAGCACATTCCATTGCACGGACTGCCGGACGCTTCAAGGCACTGCCTCTGCTGAGCACCTCGCAACAAAGATTCCAAATGCCGCAATAGGAATGAATATTTCCGAAGACGCCTACAGTCACCGGAATGGATTCGTGAAGGACGCCGTGATACTTGCCAGATGTCGATGCTGCGCGCAGCGCTTCACCCGGCCGATCCAGAGCCATTGCCGGTTCAGTGCAATTGGACTCGGACAAACTTCCTCCTGCATAGCATCCCAAGACGGCTTCAGCGCATTCCGCAGCTTCCCTTCTAGAAGGCCTAGAAGCCGCTAGCATTCCACAGCCTTGCGACCGCTAGACGTGTCCGCCAACTCAAATCCTCCTCCTCCCACCAGCCTCATTCACCTCCACCACCGCCACAGTCCGTCATCCCACCGCGTAATCCTACCCGCAATGCCCGCCGCCCTCATCTCGATATTGCCCCCCGGCTCATCTTCCACGCCCGCCGGTGTTCGCAGCAGAGCGCAGGGATGCGGGATCGGTTGACGCGAGGTGCAGCCAATGAGAGTGCGCAAGCAGCCAGATTCCCTGGGACTGCGCTAATGCAGGATGAGTTGTTCAATTGTAGACATGGTGCAGCGCAGCGCGCAACAGAAATAATAGCTGTGAGGTTCGCTGCCTCCCGTCCACGCGAACCTTTTCTGTTGCTCCTGCCAACCTTTTTCTTTTTGGCTGGCGACATGCGCCGGTTTCCCTGTGTGCGAACTCACGCTTTCTCTTTGCCGTAGGGGGAGGCGCTGGCCGAGGCGCTCATTCCTCGCTGCGACAGCACGCGGCATGAATTTCAACACCACGGCGCGAATATTCAACCACGAGACGAAGGGAACCCGCAGCTGGTCATACTACCTCCAATCGACCTGACATTCCTTGGGCATCGGTCTGCGACATGCCTTCGCCTCTGGACCGGCGACAATGTGATCTTGGACCTACCCCATCGCACCTGACCGATGACGAAACCAACTTGCACGAGGAATGCGAGCCGATTCTCATAAATAAGAGGTACCATTACGTTGCGACAGTTGGGTTGCGGAGGTGCCTTTGCGCTCCGGGGAGTGCGACCAACAGACATCGGCGGCCTCGCTACCAGAAACAAAATTGCGGCCAACGAACAACACTACGTTTTTGCTCCACCACCACAGTCCATCGCTCAATAAAAGAAACAACAAAGACGATACACCGCTAAGCCAATGCCCAGGAAGCCTTCTGAAACCTTTCCCGCGCTGCTGCCATGATCGTGGAACATGCCAGAAGAACCCATCAAGGAGCTGTTATCGATGACCGCCTGCAAGAATGGAATATCAAACAAGGAAACGTGCCCAGTGGGAATTCGAAGTGGCCATCGCTAGCCTGCAGATCAAACTGCCCGTCTTTCTTTCCGTCACGTCGTAAGAATCATTAAGTATGTCGTATAAAAGCTGACGGCCGTATCCATGAGAACGTAGGCACATCAGGAGTCGTGAAGTCCGCCAAAAGCCAAACCGAGTCGAATGCCGCACCGAGGCGGCACGTGGTCGCCCGAGTCTTGCAGGTCACGTTGCAACCTACACCAACTCCGAACACCATCTATTTGCTTGCGCGAGCGATCAACCACTGCAGCACGGCGTCGAGGTTGGTCTCCTCCTTTGCGCTGATGCCGTAGCAGCTCACCTCCCGGTGCGACACTGCCTTCAGGTTTAGAGCGTCGATGAGCTCGTCGACCGAAAGCTTGTTTGGGAGGTCAGACTTGTTCCCTAGGACGAGCAGAGGAATTCCCTCTAATGCTGGCTTCTCAAGTAAGAGCTTCAGCTCCTCACGTGCAACAGGCAGAGCCTCCCTGTCCGCGGAATCGACGATGAACCTACAGCCGTGAGCGAGGATATCTACCACAGACGGCGAACTTACACCATGGCGTTCACGCCGCGACAATACCTCTCCCACATGGAACGGAATCTGGGTTGACCTCCGAGATCCCAACTGCAATGCCGATCGCGGTCAGCAGACGCACACCTCCAACAGGGTAGATTATCCTGCAGCCCACAACGCTGGTTCGGACGGTCTTGGCGCTGCAAGAGACGAACGTGCGTGACCGAGACGGATATCAAAAGGACTCACCACTTCAAGGTTACATGGCCCTTCTGGACGCGCTTCATATTGAAGCCCACGGTCGGGATGGAGCTATGGCCAAGTATCAGCGCATGGACCAACCAGGAGGGATCTCGTGGTTGCGCGAAGCAGCGAATGCGGACATTGTCGAAACAGTGTCGCCGCCAGCTTGCGCTACCCGAAGCAAGCATTGACGTACTCAACAGTGAACTCTCCGCCCTGGACGGCAGTCAGTCATCTCGGTCTCGTCGCAGGACATGGTCCTAGTAGCACGCGTGTTTCCGAAACGGGAAAGCACTCACCGCCAGAACTCGCAACAGCGACGTCTTGCCAGCGTTCTGCAGTCCGATCATGGTGATGTCCATCTCGGTCGCCCTAGACAGTGCGGCCCATCAGCAATCAAGTCAACGTGTCGTCGGGTGCCAATTTGCTTTTTCGTCGAGAACAAATTTGATGGGGTAAAGGTATCAGATGGCGCGCGGTAGGCGGCGAGGATGGAGCAAAACGGAGACATGGACGGCGGGAAGAACACACCAGAAGAGGCGCAGGAGCCAGTCGTAGATGCGGCGGAATATGCTGGCCATGGTCGGAGGGCTGGAGGTGCTGATGGCGCGGAGCGGTGGTCGTCTGGCTGCGAGAACGGGTGCTGGATGATGAGCGCTGGGTGGGAAAGTCTAGGAATCCTTGCGGGCGGGGTGATTTCTCGGGCAATGTTTGGCGATCACGGCGTGATGTGGGCAGCAACAGAATAGAGAGCGACAATTCCGCAACGCGCATCCAGGCGTGCCAGCTGTGCAGTGGAGAGTGAAGACGAGAGACCGTGCCGCCCTAAGAGAAAGCTAGGAGGAGCTCGTTGTGCAGCCCATCCCATCTCTCGAGCTTGGCAAGCGGCCGCCCGTGTGACTTTGTGAGGAGCGTCCGTGCACTCGCTTATGATAATGCGCTATCGCCGGGGGGCATGAACTTTTTCTCTGGTGGGCAGCAGCAGCGGTCCACAGCATTCACTTGCTCCGCATCTTCCAATCCCCCCGCCCACGGCGAGCGCGATGCCACCGCAGACACGTCCGTGAGCCGCGCCGCCTTTTGCTCTCTAATTGCATCCCGCAGCCCGCAGCAGACACAGCTCCCCGCCGCGATGGCGCCCGCCGCGACCAGCACGCAGTGGTCCACCGACTTCGACACCGCACGCCGACAGCGCCTCTTCAGGAACCCGCCCAAAGACAGGACCGCCTATCCCACGCTCGCCGCAGCCGTAGACCCCCACGTGCACTCCTTCAATCGCATCTTCGCCCACGGCGGCCAGCTGGAGGAAGCTATAAAAGACATCGGCACCAAAGTCTTCCTCGATGGCGACCCGTCCGCGCAGCCCGAGGACGCTGGACAGCGCAATCGGCTGCACGTGCGCATACAGAAGCTGTTCTTCGACAAGTCGGTGCTGCCCGCGGCCAATAAGTTCGCCGTCAACAACCGCAACGTCCTCCCCGCAGAGTGCAGAGAGCGGCACGTCAGCTACCGCGGCAAGCTGAGCGCGCGCATCGAGTACAAGGTGAACAATGGCGACTGGCAGGAGGTGGTGCGCGATCTGGGCTACGTGCCCATCATGCTGAAGGTGAGATCTTTCCCGCACTGTCGGGCCACGCCAGGCGATGCTAACTGCGCTCGTGACAGACCAGCCAGTGCCACCTCTTCAACATGAGCCCGGACCAGCTCGTCAAGGCGAAAGAGGAGTCGGAAGAGCTCGGCGGATACTTCATCGTCAATGGCATCGAGAAGATCATACGGATGCTGCTCGTGGGCCGCCGCAACTACCCCATGGCCATCAAGCGCTCCGCCTTCACGAACCGTGGCGCAGGCTACACGCAGTACGGCATACTCATTCGCAGCGTGCGCCCCGACCAGACGTCACAGACTAATGCGCTGCACTATCTGAGCGACGGTAACGTCAACCTCAGGTTTTCGTGGAGGAAGGCCGAATATCTGGTTCCCGTCATGATGGTCCTGAAGGCGCTAGTGGAGACGAATGACCGGGAGATCTTCGAGGGCATCGTTGGCGCGGCTGGCTCCAAAGGCCTTGACGAGAAGCAGTTCGTGACCGACCGCGTGGAGTTGCTGCTCCGCACATACAAGGTCTATGGGTTACACTCGAAGGCAAAAACCAGGGCATACCTCGGCCAGAAATTCAAGTGAGCCCACCCTCTGGTCCCAGTACCGAGCATTTGCTAATGAAACCGCCAAATTAGAGTTGTGTTACAGATCCCGGATGACACCAGCGACGAGGACGCAGGCACTGAATTCCTCCGAAAGATCATCCTGCCTCACCTGGGATCATACAACGTCACTGAAAGCCAGAATGCCGACAAATTCCGCATGCTTCTATTCATGATCCGGAAGTTGTACGCTTTAGTAGAGGGCGAGTGCTCCGTGGACAATCCCGACGCCGTCCAGAATCAGGAAATCCTGCTCGGCGGCCAGTTGTACGGCATGATCATAAGGGAAAAACTCGAGGAGTGGTTGAACTCGATCCGGATCCCGCTGCAGGACTGGGGGCGGAGAGGAGGTTGGAAGACGTTTACGTCCCACGAATTTGGAAAAGAATTTGTTTCCAAAATACTTCGAAGAGCCCCCGGCGAAGATATCGGTAAAGCCATGGAGTACTTCTTGTCGACTGGCAACCTGGTCAGTCCTACCGGGCTTGATCTCCAGCAGACGGCGGGGTTCTGTGTGGTTGCAGAGAAGATTAATTTCTACCGCTTCATCAGCCACTTCCGAATGGTGCACAGAGGCGCCTTCTTCGCTCAGCTCAAAACGACCACGGTGCGAAAACTGCTCCCGGAGAGCTGGGGCTTCATGTGTCCCGTCCACACCCCCGATGGAGCACCATGTGGGGTACGTAAGGCCGGAGTGCAGACTCCATGTCTCGTCAAAGTGCCTGTGCTTCATTGAGTGAAATGCTACTAAATTAGTATTTCGCGATACCGCAGGTTACGGACTGAGACATGGTGGCACCCAAATACGACACCCCCATCCTAGTGGACTGCGCTGACCTCTGTACCAGCTTCTAAATCACTTGGCGCACCAGTGCAGAATCGCCTGCTCAGGCCTTGATGTATCCGCGATCCCGAAGCTTGTCGCTCAGTTGGGCGTATCGAGTAAATCATCCGCATCCCTCGATGCAAGTGTGGTCGTACAATTGGACGGCCGCGTCTTGGGCTTCTGTTCGCCAAAACAAGCCAAAGCAATATGTGATACGCTCAGATATTTTAAGGTTGAAGGCGGCCACGGCGTGCCGTTGGAGCTGGAAATTGGCTACGTACCTAACTCGGACGGCGGCCAGTATCCCGGCGTTTACATGTTTTCGCAGGCTGCACGGATGTACAGACCGGTGAAATATTTGCCCCTCGACAAGTTAGACTATGTGGGACCGTTTGAGCAACCATTCCTTAGCATAGCTTGCACAGAACCCGAGATCGTGTCGGGTGACTCCACGCATGTGGAATACGACCGTAGGTTACCCAAATCACAGCTTGAATACTCAATGCTAACACCAAGGCAGCTACCAACATTCTAAGCATCCTAGGTAAGGGAGAGGACATTCTCCCCGTATGATCCGAGATCGCTCACCGTATAGGTAATCTCACACCATTTTCGGACTTCAATCAAAGCCCACGGTGAGTTATTCCCTCCATCCGCTACGTGGAGACGCTGCTAATAATATTGCGAAAGTAACATGTACCAATGCCAGATGTACGCGATCCCACGGTACGAACACCAAACACCTGCTAATGATACCGCCACATTAGGGCAAAACAGACGATGGGAACGCCTGGGACCGCCCTGCGCTACCGAACAGACAACAAGACCTACCGCTTACAGACTGGTCAGACGCCTGTCGTGCGACCGCCTCTCCACAACGGTACGTAGGTCGCGGTACACACTCCAGCATGTTTTAGGTTTTACCTCCGGAAAGCTCTTCCTAAAAGCCTTCAACAGGTAAATACTAAGACATGCTAGAGCGTTTACTAATCCCTCCCTGATTTGAGACATCCGCTAAGTGTATAGCTTACGGTGGTGACAATTTTCCCAATGGGACGAATGCCGTTGTGGCTGTCATTTCGTACACAGGTTACGATATGGTACGTTGAATTCTCCGGCCCCAGAATCCTGTCCATGGAGAATATATGCTAATGTGTAACTTCGCCTTTGCAGGACGACGCTATGATTGTATGTATCAATCCTTTTGTACAATGGACGACGCTAAAACCTATTAGTTAAACAAGTCTGCACATGAGCGCGGCTTCGGGCATGGCACCATTTACAAGACTAAGATCTGCGACCTTGAAGAGGGGTCGCGGCGAAACCGGTCTAATAAGTCTGTCTCCAAGCTGTTCGGCTTTGCCCCAGAAGGTGTAATTCGAGCATCGTGGAGAGAAACGTTAGACGACGACGGCTTCCCCTTGGTCGGGACGATGCTACGTTCCGGTGATATCATCGCTGCATGGCACTCCGTTTCGTACGACCCATCTACCGACGACTATGTCAACCGCGACGGGCAAACCAATTTCTTCAAATATAAGGAAGACGAACTCGCCTTTGTAGAAGAGGTGAGGATCATCGGCTCTGACACGGGTGCAGACCCTTGCCAAAAGATCAGCATCAAACTACGCGTCCCGCGTTCACCCGTCATTGGCGACAAGTTCTCGTCCCGACACGGCCAGAAGGGTGTATGTTCGCAGAAATGGCCCGCGATCGATATGCCATTCTCAGAATCGGGAATTCAACCAGACGTCATCATTAACCCCCACGCCTTCCCTTCTCGAATGACGATTGGTATGTTCGTCGAGTCGCTCGCGGGCAAAGCCGGGGCTCTTCATGGCATAGCACAAGACTCCACACCCTTCCGCTTCGACGAGCAGAATACCGCCGTCGACTTCTTCGGCCACCAGCTCATGAAAGCGGGCTACAACTACTACGGAAACGAGCCTATGTACAGCGGTATCACGGGCCAGGAACTCGCGGCCGACATCTATATTGGAGTCGTCTACTACCAGCGTCTCCGACACATGGTGAACGACAAATATCAAGTCCGAACTACTGGACCCGTCAACTCGCTCACCGGTCAGCCCATCAAGGGTCGTAAGAAGGGTGGCGGTATCCGTGTTGGAGAGATGGAGCGCGACGCCCTGATTGCGCACGGCACTGCATTCCTTCTGCAGGACAGGTTGATGAACTGCAGCGACTACACAAAGACGACTGTCTGTCGCCAATGCGGCTCGTTCTTATCGACCACGCCGACGGTTAGCGAGTATCAGCGGAAGAATCGCGGCGGTGCGAATGTCACGGTGCGGTGTAGGAGATGTGCGAAGCTAGCGGATAGCGTGGCGAGTAAGAGCGAGGTGTGGACGGATGGCCAGGGCATTAGGTATACGGGTGGTGACGATGTGGCCGTTGTGGCGGTACCGGGTGTTCTCAAGTACCTTGACGTGGAGCTTGCGAGCATGGGGGTGAGATTGAAGTTTAAGGTCGAGCCGTGAGCCGTTTGTGTGTGTGGGTTGAATGCATAGCATTATCTGGCGCATGGGATACCAAAAGACAAAAGCAGCCTAGTTTAGCAGCATAGCGGAGTTGGAAATGACATAATTAGACATCTTGGAGTGGTCCCCTAGCAAGCGAAAGTACCTCTTCGTCCTCCGATGCTTTTGTGTGATGTGGGCCTAGGCGGAGGTGGGCTTCAACGCACAGTAATTGCCGTGGTTGAGGTATATAAGGGATTATAGGGCGCGGAGGGCTTCAGTATGCGGTGGCTAATTGCGCTGTAGCTTTAGTCTTGGATACATGCAGCCTCTTCAATATGTTCACCGCTCCGGAAGGGAGCAAAAGGAGCCGCGAACTGCCGGCTGTTTCACGGACGCAGTGGAGGGTTGCAGCGACAAGAGCGGGCATTAGGGTGGTAAGTTCCGGTGCATGGGGAAGTTCAGGTCGATGCAAAATAGTATTCATTTGCGCTTCCTCTACTTCTTATCCATCTCTTCTGGGCGATGCTACGCCTATCCATCCCCGAACCCGTGTCTAGTCTTCCAGCACCCCACTCTCACAGCGTGTAAATAAACTCTGGATTCTCTTTATCCGTAAGATCAAGCCACCTACCCGTTCGTGTCAGCCGCCGTGCGAAAATATCCCGTTTCAGAAGGGGCACTTACTCCTGGTTGTCCAGCTTGACGTACTCCGGGGCCGCTCTAATATTAACCTTCTTCTTATTTTGCATGACGCAATATACGTGGATGAAGAGGAGGATGCCGAGGCATACGCCGTAGCAGACGATAATGGTGATTTCGCCGGGGACGTAGCGGGGCGCGTCTTTGGCTCGGAATGTCTGCGGTCCTGTGCCGTGTGTTAGCTCTTTGTCCACGCCGAGCCATCTAAGTGGCAGAACGCCGAGGAAGGTGTCCTACCGATGATGTTCCCTGCGCAATACCCAATGAGGTACATAGCGGCAACGGTGGTCTTCTTCGTGTAGCCAGCGATATTGCTGCTGATGAGACTGAGAATGGCGACGAAGGGCGTAGGGCTAGCTTGCGTAAGGTAGTAGCCGGCGAGCCGTCCGCTGTTTTGAGACAGCGGGAGGGCGACGATGAGGATCATGCCGATGAGTGCGAGCGTAAGACCGATCATGGAGATAAGGATGCGGTACCCGTACCTAAAGATGTTAGGTCAGAAAGCATGAAGGAGAATGTGAGGCTTAGAGAGCCCACCTGTCTCCAGCCCACCCACAAGCGATGAGTGCAACAACTTCGACGGCACCACCCGGCGTACCGTACAGCAGCGATTCTTCGGGCGTGTATCCGAATCCAACGATGAGCTGCGAGAAGAAGTTGGATATGCCACCTGAACCCATCAGTTGCTTACACTGTTATCGCCAGCATGCACTCACCATTAGGAATATCCGCAATCAAAGCATAGAAGAAGAAGGCCCAAGCTAGTGGATCAAGTAGTGCTTCTTTCAACTGATAAAGCTTGAAGTGCTTGTTCCCGACTCCCTGACCGTTCATCCTGATGCGCTCGATAGCAAGGATCCGGTCTTCCTTGCTGAGCCAGCGACAATTCAACTGGTTATCCGGAACGACCCAGAGGAAGATGATTCCGATGGAGGAAGTGAGAAGCCCTGTGACAAGGAAGACAATCTTCCACGGTTCGAGGCTCGTGCCGTGCTTGCGGCATCCGACAGCTATTCCGTAGGCGACGAGACCGCCGAAGATCTGAGAGAGGACGTTAGCAGTGATCGGTCGCCATACAATGTGGGAATCTGATCTGGGAAGGAAGGAGTGTGCCAGACCATAGCCCTGCAGAAGCCTTACCTGAGCGAAGCCATTGAAGCTGAACCAAATACCAGTGCGGGAACCTTGCTCGGTCCTCGTACTAAAATATAAGGGTAAGTACTTATATGGCTGCTAGGACATTAAGGGCTACTTACTACCATTGGGATGTAAACAGCGCGAAGCCCGGCGTGACTGCAGCCTCGAACACGCCCAAGAAGAAACGAATTGCAATTGCTCCAGCGTAGTTCTCCACAGCCGCGAAGCATGACAGCACGATTCCCCACATGATGATGTTGAAAGCCGCTAATGAGAATCAGTAGAGCCCAAAAAAGTGTGAGAAGCGGTCCAACATACAATACTTCCCCAACGGTAGACGCTGCAGCAATCGATTGGTAGGGTATTCCCATGCCCTCATGGAGTGTAAGTAAGAAGATCAGATGAGACGATATTCGTGATCTATAGTCATAAGACGTCCACATGTAGACGTAGAAAGCACAGACAGCAATCTATACAACTGATTGTAGGTGAGATGGAAGGGGGCTAAGAACTAACAGGTAGCCAAAATAGAACATAGACCCTAGCCATGAGTACTCCGAGCCCGTAATACCGATACCGCTGTTGAGCTTGTCGTCTGAATAGGGGAGTTTGAGGCCCATGACACTGGCGTAGCTGAGGGTTGTCTTGTCGAGATAGTTAAGGCCGTATACTACGCATAGGATCTAGCCAACGCATCAGCTCACTCGCCGCGTTATATGGAAGAAGCAATTGGAAGACTCACAGGCATCAAATGCATATCAATCTTCCTCAACAACCTCTTCCTCGTCTCCTCCGTCAATTCAATCGTCTGTCCCTCGTACCCCTCGAACGCCTTCAGCGCCGCATCGGCATCATGCGAATGCTTCAGGATCTTCTCGTCGACATGCTTTATCATCTCCGCGGGTGGCGCGTCGACAACGACCTCTTTTTCGGCATCCGGCGGAGTGATTGCTCCATTGTCCGATGCAGTCGCCATGGTGCTCTACCGTACGCAATTGCGAGATTGAGCTGTGTCGCAACTAGGATCGTAACACGCGACGTTACTAGGGTATAAGCGTGTAGGGCATCAGCCGGGTACCTAGCACCCTCCTTATACTATCTCTTTCGTCCTATCCAAAGTGGCAAGCCGAAGATAAAAGCCGTCTTCAGCAGCCCGCAAGTCGCGTGTCGGATCGCGTGTACTGGCGATAGGAAGCCGCTTGATAAGAGTCCCTGTCGTCCCATGCTGCTAGGGATGTAAGTGCCGTGACGGCACTGGCGCACGGAAATGTAACGTATGGGTGCAGATCCCCATGCAGAGTGGTGGAGATAATGCTGAATATCCGCCGATGATGCCGTGGCGGTTGGCTGTCGACACTAGTCTGGAAAGGGAAGCTGCGATGAGGGACGCCCCAAGTGTCCCGATTGATGAGGTATAGCGTGAGGGTATCTCCGGGCAGGAGATGTGTTGAGATGTGTCAAGGCTTGAAAACGCTAGGATATCCTGGAAAGGGCAATAATCCATACTTTCCATAGCGAACTGTTGATGTCACCGCGGTTCTTGGACACGGTTCGCCTGTCGGCAAGCGAACAGCCTCTACCATGGGATTAGCGCACACATTAATTTAAGCATGAAAATAAGCGTAATAGATGGTCAAAGACGATGTTGAGCACAATCATGATATTACCAGACAACTTTGCCTGTTATGTACCGTACTTTGAAAAGAAAACAACATTGAAGTAGCATCGTCGAGGATGCGCCATAGATCCAACGACTCACGCAACCAGGGATATCGCTAGATTGATGCGCCAAAACTCCTGAGCCTTTCTGGCTCTCCCAGTATGCCAAGCCGCATTGTGGTCGAACTGACCGCGACCTTCGAACGCCGCCCATATGCAGAGTCGTTAATGCAAACAAAATCCCACTCCAGCTTTTTACACAGATAACACGACCGTTGATCCATTGGCAAAAGGAAAAGAGTGAAAAGGAGGTAGCTCAAGGACTCGGGGAGAGACCCCTGCCTAGGTTCGGACAAACATATTCCTGTTGAGTTTGTCCAGAGCACGTGTATCAGTGGTTGTGCTCATGCTGGCAAGCCTGTCTGGCGGGAGCTCTCGGATTGGCGGCTGGGAGCTATTGGGGCTTCGACTACCTGAGCGGCTGTTGCTCTGGACATCAGCGCTGTGATCTTGATTGTTGAGGATAGATCCAATTTTGGGTATAGTCCGGGCGGGCGATGGCTCGTTCATTCCGACAACACCATTGGTCTCCGGCGGCGCCAAAGACTCTTGTGGTCCAGCGCTGGTAGGCTGTGGTGTCGGTGGCTTGTGGTCCGACGTGGGCGTAGTACTATTGATAGCGGGCAACTGAGGACCCTGTTCCGGGATCGACGAGATGGGAGCAGGCGCGGGTGGGACATTTCGTTGCGGCTGATACTGGTGCTGAGCGAGCTCTGTTGCTTGCATAGCCCGCGCAGGAGGGTGCGGAATGTACTGTGGTGGATGACCTGGGTAACCGTGTTGAACGCCGAGCATAGGATGGCCGGGAGGCGGATGTGGGATAGCGCTGTTGCTAATCGGCGGCGGTGGGCGATCAAAAACATGGCCCTGAGCAGGATGGTATGAGGGAGGGGCGGGATAGATGACTCCTCCGGGAGGGAAGGCGAAATACTGATACTGCGGCTGCCCATAATAAGCATGCTGGAATGGAGGGGTGCCGTTTGGCGGGGTTGGCGGGTGGTACACGCCCACGTAAACAGGCTGTTGTGGGGGTCCTGGACGCGAATATGGCGACGACGGGCCCATGGTGTGAGGAGCAGATGCATAGGGTGAGCCGGGCATTGGTCCGCGAGTGACTGCAGGAACAGTCTGGGTCTCATTTACGGTGGACTCTGGATACATGTTCTTGGGAGGCCGAATGTGACGGAGTGACGGGTCGGTGGACGGCTGATTCAAAGGCTGCGAATTCGATCTCGAGTAGTAGCTGATCAGATGCAGATGTTGCCCGCTTGACGTTGTAATACTGAAGGACTGCTTCATGAGCCCGTCCGGCTTGTATCGGTAGCCATCTGGACCTTCGCCTTCAGAGTCTCCCGTGGCTGATCCGTCCGGGGATTTCCCGCTCGCTCGCTTGGGCGCCGGCTGGGTGAGGTTGGTGCCTCCTCGCTTTCCTTCCATCTCCCTGTAGGTCAGGAAGCTGCCGGAGACGCGGCTTGCACTCCACGATTTTCCGTCGGTCCATCGCCGCATGCCCGCCTCCCGCTCATCCCACACAAAGACGGATCCCGACTTGATCTGCTGGCGCTCCTTCTCAGACAGGCGGCGCTGCACGCGGGGCAGCAAGCCTATTCGGCAGGCTTCGAAGAGTAGGATCGCATCGTTGGGCGTGCGAACATGGCCGTGGTACGTCTCCATGGCGAGGAAGCGGTGGAGGTAAAGGACAGGATAAAGTTAAAGTACGTGGGGTAGCCGGAGTGAAATAGAAATGATTTCGGGACAGGGTCAGGGTTTCATCTGGGCCTACCATGCCGAAGTTAGCCCATGCCTGTGACACTACGCAAGAACCGTGGATCAGCCCAAGCGGTCCGTTGGATAGACGCGGCAGCGCGCAGACGGCGGAGGGGAAAAAAGCCAAGAGGGCTGGTGACGATGCGTGCTGTTGGGCGGGACCAGCCTCGCCTCGATGCAGCACGGCAGCAATTGGCGGACGCAGCGTCGAAAGCGCACCGCCTGGCGCAGTATTGCGGTTCTTCGAGAAGGCAGACGACGGCGCGATCGCTGGGGTGACGCACGTCGACCCAGACGCTCGCACAGCGACGGGACGAGGCAACGGGAACCGAAATGGGAGCAACTTACCGAATAGCGAATGTTGACGAGAAGAGCTCTCTGCGTGTTGAGGAACGGGCGACGGCGAGCCAGGTGACTGGCGGCTGCGTCTATGTATAGCGACGGGCGCCGAGGACAGATAGTCGGTGGAGGAGATGACGCTGCGTGGAGCTCCAGCGACGTGAAACAGCGCGGCGGATGAAACGAAATGAAGATGTGGCAGGTGCGAGGCGCCAGACTACTATATGGGGCACAGAGGGAGGAGGGATGCCGGGGGCGCGGAGCAGCAGATCGGACAGCTGCTGGCTGTCGTGCGCCGCCGTCTAGATGTACCTCTTCTCTGGCCAAGCAGCGAGCCAGCGGAGCCCGGAATGCTTTTTGGCCCTCTCGGCGCGCCCTGGGCCTTGATCGCCGCCGAGGCTTGGTGTGGCGTGGACGGCGAAATAAGGCCCTCAAGCAGTCGGGACAAGCTTTATTTAAACGCCGTTGGCTGCTAACTTTGTCCTCGTATCCCGGCACCCCGGCGGCCTCTCCACCACGCCCATACCAGCCCGCCGGCCATCCTCCCAGCGTGCTCTGCGCCGCACGCAAAGGGGGCGGCGAGGCAGCGGCTCCAGAGGCACAGCGCGGCCCTCAAGACACCTGTTCGCAGGGCAGCGCCCAAGACCACCGTGGCTCTCTTGTCCCCCGTTCTTGGACACGAATGCCCAGCCCGCCGCGCGCTCAGCAGTGCGCTGCCTCGATCGGCCAAGCGCCCCGTACGACGGCCGGGTTTGCTGTAACTCTAAACGACGCCAACCGCCCTAGTCCCAATCTTTAACGTCGACAAGCCTCGTCGCTTGGCCAGCCCAATCCCATCCCGGCTTGACACCTCTCCTCCGGGTCCAAGCCCTGGCGATGTCCATGGGACGACATCATCGTGTCCTCTGCGCAGTCTTGTGATGCTCGCCCCTAGAGCAGACACTGGAAAGCCGGCATACGGTCGGCCCAGCTTCCCGTCACCGTGCCGCCGCGAACCTCCTCGTGCTGCCGCCGCTTCAGCAGTATTATGGCATATCACGGCATTGCTTGGCCCAAGGACGCCTAAAACACCATGACAGCGCCGCTCCACATTCTCCGGACTGAGCCTCTCGGCGCGCTTAGAAGACTGACAAAGGCCGCCTGCGCCAGTGGGCACTCAAACGGGGCATCACTGCGCGCCCAGGGGTGCTGATGGTGCGGTGTCTCCTGCGTAACCTCAACGCAACTGGCCTCGTACGAGCGTACGAGGCTATCGTCTACGTGGAGGAGCACTCCAACCAAGCGTTTGCGCTCCTTCAGTTCTTGGAAAAGCGTCCGCTCGGCTCCACACACCAACGTAATCCTCGTGCGCACTCCCCTTAGCTGCTAGCGCCTCGGCATAAGCTTGGTGCATATTGCAACTTTAAGCTTACTCTGCGCCCGCTTCGTGGAGGTCGGTTCCCACGCTGACGGTACGACAGGCCCTATTCTGTTTCCGTCTGCGGGACATGGAAACTATGCTAGACTAGTTCACGTCGACATGGTGCTTTGTACTCCCCGGAATCCTTTACGCGCGAAACTACAGCAGCGTGCCGTCAATAGTGGGGCTGATGGCCTTGGGAGCGTCGAGCGCCTTGGTGCGGCCTTCGCGGCGTCTTGCGAGGCATTGGCACACCCACCGGTCCACTCCGCGGCTGGCCCAGCCATGGTTGATTCTTGGAGTTACATGTGCCCCAGGCAGCGTGGCTCTGGGGTGACTATCAGCAGAAGCCGCTGCAAGGAGCGCCATGGAAGGGCGTCTCAGCTTGCCCCAGCGAGACAAAGGCCCGAGCAAAGTTTATTGGCACGCAAGCACGCCAAGCAGCAAACGCGCATTTTGTTTCGACGGCTAGCCAAGCCTCGCATCATTAAGCCCAGCAACGGCGGCTCCTTGTCGTGGATCGGATTGCTCGGAAGGCCGCGTCAGCGTGGAAGCTTGCCCAGCAGCTAGAAGACCACTAACTCCTCCGCTCGCTAGTCTCGTTCTGGAGACCCCGCTCCGCGGAAGCTGAGTCGTTCTCGCGCGCAAGAGTGCACGCAGAAGCGCTCGATGTCGTGCAAATAGCGCCCAGGCGGCGCCAGCAAGTGATATGTCTCAGACAGGCTCGTCGCTGCGTGCGGGTGTCATACGATGCGAATACGTATACGGAGGACGGCTGGGTGCGGATTGATCAGCCGGCTCGCTTGCAGGGTTCCAGATAAGGTTAAAGACAGTTAAGCATAAATTCTGCCCCGCTGTTCCGCTTCACCGCAAGCCACACGCCCAAATGGGCAATTTTTGTCGAGCCCAGCTGGCCAGCTCTTCCGCGCAGTCGCCCCAGCTGGCAGCATCTCGCGACAGCGCGCTCATGGCCGCTGCAGTCTGGGAGGACCGGCGGCCAGCTGCTTCGCCCGGCCATCGCTCGTCCCTTTCTCCTTTGCTTTCCGCAACCTGCCAACGACGCGAAGGAATGGCACCCTTGTGCATCTTGTGCAGAACTCCGCTCCGTGGAAGACGAAAGCCGAATACGATATCTGGCAGCCACGCCGCGACCCTACTCTCGCATCCAAGGCTCGTCGCTCAAAGACGCGCTCCAGGCTAGTCTAGACTGCGCCATTCGCCCGCGCCCGCTGCCCACTTCGCTCATGGCCTCCACGCTCCACGGCAGCACGGCAGCGCGGCAGCTCCGAGGAAAAATTAAGGTAGGCCAAGCAATTGGTCTGTCCGATAGCGCCCGATCTCCGCCAACCTTCGACGGACGACCTTGCCCAGCACCGCCCGCACAGCTGCAACTCTCGAATAGCCCGCCAATCCTGTGCCGCTACGATACGGGCTAAATGGAAGTCAAATGGAAGCCTACGAAATCCGGGTTTGTGAGTGCGAAGCTATGTGCGCATACACGGAGCAAATTAATTGCAGGCTCGCTTCCACACCACTACGCCACACGAAGCTTTTTAATATCACAGCATCTCGGTCACTCATAGAGCCGGATAAGCCTGAATGAGGTGCGACCCAGGTTCTTCAGTTCGATATCTCATCTGTCACCAAGGCGAGCTCACATCAGCATCTTCACTCAGGGAAAATGGGTCTACGGTCCACTGATCCCTCGTTTAGGACCCACACTAGACCGCTCCCTTATCTGACCGAATGCGGTTTCACGGGGATGGGACTTCCCGAGTCGCAGGAGCATACGAGATGATCCTCAGCCTGTGCTCTCTCGCCTTTTTGCCCTATTCGAACCATGATTCGGCCCCTCTGTGCGCAGGGTAGGACCCGCCTGCAAGCCTTGCAGGAACATCCAGAGGCAAGCAGCTTATCTCAGAACCTTATGCACTCGCGATCAGCGCAGAGATTCCAAACTCTGCAAGCTGCAGCAGCGCCCGCACAGTCAGTCTTACGCTGAAAATAGCGGGCCCCTCATAAACCGCTGTCCGGCAATTGGGCGCTTCGCTCATCGCTTGATGTGGAAACAAAGTCGCAAGCACCACTGGGGAAGAAATTCTATTCCGCCGCAATGCGCTGCCTTACTACCAGGACGCCGGGTTCTAGGTTCGTATATTCGTCATCTATCTCGACCTTCCTGTCGGCGTTGCATGCCGGAATAGGACACCAGTAACCCATGACGCAGTCAATCTGCAAAACGGGCATCCTCACTCAGCTATTTCGAAGCATCGAAGGATCTATAACGTTAATCCCTAAAGTGGAAGGACCGTAAATTAATTTGCGAACCCCACCGGGATCCGACAAGGCTCAGCGTGACCGGAGTACTTGTGGCATTGTAACCGTATTGGCCCCCAAGGTGGCAGGTATCACCTAAGTATATTGCGGCACGAACGGACGACACGCCTCGGCGGGTATAATAGTGAAGCGGTTACACACCATCGTATTGGTACTCTATCTCAGTCTGCGTGGAACTGGCCGGAAACCTGGAGATCTACATATCGATTCTGTTCGGTTCTGAGTCCCAGGCGCAGCCTTTCTTCCTGCGTCGATCCGTGCAGAGCGTTACTAGCTTTCATGTCAGTGGCTCTCGCACGATACGCCCGAAAGCTTGTGCGACGATTGGAATCCACCGCTCTAATCCTTCGCAATAAGCAAGGCAAGGCGAAGTAAGGCAAACTCCACGTCAGGCCTCCAACCTTTATCCCACTAACGAAGCCTCGCAGGTCTGCGGCGTTCTTGCTCGTTCTCGCTCGTTCTCGCTCGTTGTCGCTCATCCATTTCCCCACACATATCCTCTCACAGCATGGCATCCAATCATTCACTTGGTGCGTCGTCTGCGATGAAACGATATGCCACCTTCGTCAGCTCCAAGACACTTCGCCTCGCTACATTACCCGGAGGAGGTAAAAGCTGCACACTAAGCTTAAGCTTAAACCCAGCGACCAGGCGATGTCTCCTATCGAGATTCCCTGCCCCCCGTCTGGGGCCAAAACACTGCCACCTTCGCGAAAGAATCAGCACCTAGAGAAGTTTAAACCGAAATAAGCATGCACAACGAGCCGAGCGGCGTTTGTGGTTCATTTCTGTGGGTTTAGGCTTGGCTGAATGGGGGATAGTTTACGCGTGGCATTATCTTCCCCACAACTTCACCATTCGGGATGCCGACCGAATGCGAATACTGTCGAAAAGATGTTATTCTCAGACGCCGGTTTCCTATCGCCGGATCAGAGTATCCACAACTGCAGGAAACAAGGCTGACCGCCGAGACAGAACCCACATCTGTAGTGCGACTATCAAGCAATCAACAATGCTCAGAATAGGCGCTCCTGTGCCTTAACGCCCGTTCACGTTCCATTCCGCTGGATGCCAACGGTTACGCAGCGTCGACTATCGTTTATGGATAAATCGAAGGTGGCTACGCCACATGCCATTGAGGGTCTACGCCCCATTGGCGCCGCTCAACGTTTCGAACTCCGGTCCCAATCGCCCTCTTGCTCGGTGGTCTTCCTTCTCAATGTTCAGTAACCGCTTTGAATGCGCCTCCAACAGTCTTGTGCGACAGACCTCGAATTTACCAAGAGTCAGGTTATGGATGCTGCGGATGTGTCCAACTGAGCCCAGGAACGCGCGTCGAAGAAACGGCGGCTTCGCTCAATCACACCATCTACTATGATCTTACTACGCCTTAGCGCCCGTTACTCCCCTATGAGCTTTGAGTGCAAAGAGTATGGTCCTTCCTTCTGAACGAGCGGTGTCTTGCTTCCTTTCTCGATCGGCTTGACACGGGGCACCGTGTTCCGATATCGTGGGTCACTCATGCGGGTGCGGATTGGAAATCATTACTCATGATGCGGACTTAAGGGTCAGGGAGTATCTCAAACTCAGTTGCAGTTCTTCACCCAAGCAGAGGTTCTCGGCGCATCGCTTGGCGGAGCCCAGCATGAACGGCATCCTCATCGTTCCCCGAATGGCCTCATGGCACAGACCTCCGCCGACGGATGCATATATCTGGCGCATTCATATGTACCGTGAGTCAAGTGCGCCAGGTATTGACTTAGGTATGCAACGCAAGAGTTTACGGCGAGGTTTGCTGCGCCGCCAGAGGATCGCGGAAGGTGGATTCCGCGGCATGTCTGGGAGACGTTTGCTCTTGACACGGTGTTGCTGGGTGGTGTTACTCGGGGCACACAGGTTTGGTTAAGAGCGTATGGACACATCTGGATATGTGAAGCTGAAGCCCTCCAGACAGCTTTCCTCGTGCCAACTCGACGACACATCAGCAGGCCAGGCTGTCTTCAGAGCGCAGAGTAAAGTTCCATTCACCTAGTCGACATATGCAAATCCTCCATACCCAGCACACTGTCCTCTTCCTCAAGGCGTAATAATGCCGCACCGTTGCCCAGCCCAGACGTAGTCTTACCCGACGCCCTGCATGAGGCACTACCAGAAAATTATGAGTCTGCGCATGGCGCCGCTGTATGTGCGCTGCAGGGCAATACGTTGTCCATCTTACAGTCTCGCCTCGATCGGTCTTCACTACTTCGCGTCGTCCATAATCACACCGCTGTGCGTATCCTAGACCCCCATTGATGTTCCACTTCTCTCTCCATCTCACTTGCAAAGTCCTGTCTTTGCCAGCGTTGGGGATCGCACTGAGGCATGTACGCACGGGAATGGGTCGCATGAATAGTTGCTTTGCTCTGCCCTGTGTTGACATTCGTCCTGATGGCCAGTTTCCCCCAGCAGCAGTTGATACCCTCCCCCCGTAGAAGTTGCTGATAGCGTAGTCTCGAGACGGCGAACGCAGCACATCATGCGTGGCGTTGGTAGCCTGTCAATCGTGCAAAGTACGTACGTACTCGTACCAGGCAGTGTTAGTGGGTGGAGCATAATAGCACATAACTCGATCGCCGGGATCTAACATTTCCCCTACTCTAATTCCGCACATTTTACTATAGTTTCCCAGTCCCACAAGAGTCCTCTCGCGCATGTATGTGGTGCCAGTATCCGCGCACTTCCAGACTGCGCAGTGTCGAGGAGATTCTTCTTCTACTCGCAATATTTCTCCGAGCACCACAGATGCACGCATGCCGGATGGATGGGTATAGGTAAATTGCATTATTAGAATGGATCAAATCATAAAGTGGGGAGATAGACAGACGTTCAGAAAGCATCTATTTGGCCTTTCTCTGCGATGGATATGATTCTAGTCTCCGTGCGAGAAGGGGCTACATAGCTAGAACATGATGCGGCCTTTAGTAACGCATGAGGAAGCCGTGAAGTGCGGAGAAGGAAGAATAGAAGAAGCGAGTACGAGGGGGTTATGTATGCGTTTGGAGGCTAGGGATGAATTTGGAAGCGGAATAGTTTGCTTGGAATCATATCTGTGGGTCAAGGCATGAAGTGGTAGGATTGGAGATGACACTTGTGCGCAGATGCTCTGGGGAGCTTCTGGGAGGGAGAATATATATACCACATTTTTATCATGCTGCTTAACTACGACTGCCAAAAATTCTCCACCAAGAGATTAGAAGGATTCTGAGATAGTATCATGTCCGCGTCTGTGGCTCTCGTGTGCTAAAAGCGCAATGGATAGGAGGATGTCTGAGTACCTTGAGACGCGGTCGAATGACGCATAGGAGGAACAGTGAGAAGTTCCATATACAGTTTTTCTTCGGCCCACTAATGATGAGCGCACTCCCGTCTCCATCCACCCATCCCCACCCCTACTCCACCGTAACCTCCCTCCTCTCCCCACCCCAGAGATTATTGAGGCACTCCGCCCAACTCGGATGCGCAAACACCCCCTCCCTCAGCACCGTCCACGTCAACCCCCCCAGCATCGCCATCTGCACGACGGCCATCACCTCACCCCCCTCGACCGCAATCGCCGAAAAGCTCACAATCTGCTCCGTCTCCGCATCCACCATCGCCTTGAGCATGCCCCGCGTCTCGTCCGTCTCCAAGCCCCGCGCAATCCAGCTCGCCGGCATACTGTACGTGACGACTTTCTTCCCCCGGGGCAGGTCGCCGAACTTGGGCCCGATGTGCGCGAATTGCGGGTCGGTGTAGACGACGCTGGGGACGTGTGGTTTTCTTTGCTCTGTCGTCTTCACGCTGCCTTCAGTCTTGGATCCTTGAAGTGCGAGGCTATCCCGCACGATGCGGAAATCGTCGTACGAGATGTGCGTAAACGCCGGTCCGCCTTTTACATCACCCAGCGCGTAGACGCCCGCGACGTTCGTTTCGAGGGTGGGCGACACAGCAATGTGGCCGGATTGCGAGGTGGCGATGCCCGCGGCGGGGAGGTTGAGAGAGTCGGTGTTGGGGATGCGGCCTGTTGCGAGGAGGATGTGTGATGTGTTTAGCTCGACTTCGCCCTTTTCTGGCGTCGAGGTGGAGACTGTGGTGGGCAGGTTTGGATCATCTGTGGACGGGGCGATGGAGGTCGAGGAGCTGTTGAGCAGGATGTCGATGCCGTCTTCGCGCAGGATGTCTTGCATGCAGTGCACCAATTCTGGGTCGTCGTTCTTGGAAAGGAGGCGTGGGCCACGGTGGACAATAGTTACTTTAGCTCCTGCGGAGGTGGTGGTATAATTAGTGGATGGCTTAGATTGGGGGAATGAAGTCAACACTCTACCAATCTTAGTTGTTAGCTGCGGAAAGCCCCTCCTAAAGGCCTTCAGCGTGTAATTGCATAAGACATGCTAGAGTGTCTACTGTACCGCGATTCACGTACCTAGCCTGCGGAACAACTGTCCGAATTCCAACCCGATATACCCACCGCCGATGACGACAAGATGCGCAGGAACCTCGTCCAGCTCCTGGATAGATGTCGAGTCCAGAACGCGCGTTTGCTCAATGGAATCGAGGCCAGGAATATCAGGTCTGCTCGGCCGACAGCCCACATTGATGTAGATGTTATCCGCACTAATCCTCTTCTCTTCACCTGCTCCTGCAGTAGTAGTAGGTGCGACGACAACCTCCTTCTCTGTTACAAACCGCGCGCTCCCCATGACAACATCCACCCCCGCACCTTCCAACCTCCGCTCGCTCCCTCCCCTGAAGCTGTTCACAATATCTCTCTTCCTCTGGCGCACTTTCTTCATATCCACGCTCACTTCTCCGGTTCTAGCGGAATGCACGCCGTAGTCTGCAGCTCGACGCGCGAGATACGCCATGCGACCGCTCGCCACCATAGTTTTTGTGGGCGTGCAGCCCTCGTTGACGCAGCAGCCAGCGATGTGCTCGCGCTCGACCAAACACACAGTCTTTCCGAGGCCGCGCAGATGCGTCGCGAGAGGCGTGCCGGCCTGGCCGGATCCGAGGATGAGGGCGTTGTAGTGTGTGGTCGACATGGTGGAGGGAAATCTGGAGACAAAACGTCGCCGTAACCGGGGCTGGTGAAGGGAGAAGAGTCTGGCGGAGGAAGTGACGTGATTGTAGCTTCTCAATGACCCGACGAGCATGAATCAAGCAATGGTAGAGCACGAGAAGAGGAAGTAGCCAATAGGTCGGATAGTTGAAGAGCAAAACCACCGGCGATGAAAAAGGGGCTGAGGGGTTCCAGGATCAGTTATGAGGATTCAGGATAGTTGGGTGATGAAGTTCACGGAGCTTCGACAGCTCGCCTTTGTTGTGCGGTCGAACTCTAGAGCTTCCCAAGCGTGCTTACTGATTCCGGAAGAGAGGGGTAGCTTTGTCGCGCCGGAGCTACCCCACCATGGATGTACCAGATCTGGCGTCTTTAGTTCGACATTCCAAGGCTGATCTGAGGCTTGTAAGCAGCCGCATATCCGAGTAAGCGCCTCACTCACCCGGCGGTTTTATTATCATGCAGATATCCTTGCCGTGCCCTGAAAGTATCTCACAAGTTGCTGAAAGCGTTCATAACGCATCACGGGGTAACCGCACACGTCCTCTTCCTTCATCCACATTCCATTAAGCATTACTCTACCAATAGTTATCTTCTGCGGCGTGCCAATCATCCCGGCATCTAGCCGCTCATGCCAAACCCAACCCAGCCCCCCGTTGCACATCATGACAACCGCCAAACCCCCTATAGACGCCCAGCCGCTCAAACAGAACCGCAGCCAGGGCCGTCCAAGCGAACGTGATACAAGTACAGCGGTACTTTTACAAAATACCGGAAGCGACCGACAGGGTATCAATCGAAGAGAAGTATTCAAGAAATGTGCGAGTAAGAAAAGCGATCCACACAATCCGAAGAAGTGTGTGCGGATCAATGCATGCCGGAGCCGCCCATATCTTGCGATGCTCTTTCTATGCCGAAAACGAAGTGATAGGTAAAGTCGCTGGAAATGCTCAAGAACTCCTTTTTATGCATAAATCGTCAGAGGCCGTCGCTGCGAGGTGGCCGATGAAATGCGTTCTTAGGGATGATAAAGTGATGTGTGTCGGTGGCCTACCGGAGGGGCTCAATGTCGGATCCGACCGTGTCACCGTCCCATAGGCTTTGGGCGTCATCGACGGGTGAGCGAGCTCCAGCGGACGGACTCCTGCCGCCGGTGGAGTATGACGAGGATGAGCCGCTTGCCCAATCGTCAGAATCCGACTGCGGGTGGAATTCTTCGTAGATATCGAGCATGCTGTAGCCGATATCTTGAGGATCGCCAATCTCAACGTAGTCGTAGTCCCAGCGGAATTCTTTGTCGGGCTGTACGCGAGGAAGGAACTTGGCGCGGGCCCAGAAGTAGGCGATGCCGGCGACTAAAAAAATTGAAATTAGCAATTGTAAAACGACCGGAAAACTGGAACTCACGCAAACTGCCGGCAACCAGGTCTACAGCGTAGTGGTGGGAGAAGTACATGGTCGACCACCACAGCCACATGGTGTAGAAGACGTACACCGGAAACAGCTTAGGGAAAACATGTCCCATGAACAAGGTCTCCAATGTCGCCCATCCAGAGTGCAAGGACGGAAAAGCGCCAAAAACCATGGGTGAAGCATGGAATGCGGACGTGTATAGATCAAATCCAAAGAGCTTGTCAATCGCCTTCAAGCCCGCAGCATCGCCCGGAATCGAGTAGTTGGCCGGTGCCAGCCCGTAGGTGTTCTCGTACCACGGCGGAGAGCAGGGGAAGATGATCTGTATTATAACAGCAAACAGGTTCATGTAACCGAACGCGCGTGCCCAGATGGGGAGGGTGCCGGGTGGCCCCCAAATAAACATGCATCCACAGACAATGACGGGCGAAACATAGTGCACAATGCCGTATGGTATCCAGGCCAGGATATCCAGAACGACGTGCTTGTGTGCGGAGAGGATGTTGCTCAAATTCGCGCCGTAGAGGATGTTTTCGACCGTGGGAAGCACACGGACCCAGATCCCAGGCCGGTGATCGCTGGAAATATATCTAGAGACTCACAGTCAGCATGTTTGCGCAATCGTTTATGCGCTGGCTTCAATGCGGGCTGTGCCGCGGCCCACGTCTCAAGCTGAATTATGCAAACAACGGCGGGAATGTGGCGCAGAAGGAGAGGGCTACGTACTTGCAACTAGAGAATAGGAGTATCCAGGTAAGCGCAGGGAGGAATGGGAGGAGGAATTGTCTTGTAATGGGTAGGACTAGACCGCCCATGAGCAGCGCAGCGGCGAAGGTCTTCGCAAAGGGGCCGGGGGCCTCGCTGACGGAGAGGGCAAAAATGGCGACAATGGCAAGTATCAGATACTGGCCGTCGTATATGGACCACGGGTGGGTGCGCAGCGAGCGCAGGGTGTCGGCGGGCGACCACGACGTCTCGAGCGAGGCGATGGATGACGTGGGAGACTGGCGGCTGCGTATCCGCGAGCGCGTGGCCCTCCATTTTCTGCGGACGCGGTGCGGGATGAAGCTGGGCAGGGCTCCGAGCCCAGGCACCTTTGCGCGCGAGATCATGGCGGCGCTCTCGTCGAGGAAGGCGAGGTAGCTCTTGTTCGTCATGACGGGGGGAGCTCGGGGACCGGCGCGGGCGGAGAGAACAATGCGGCGGCTCGAGACGGGGCGCGGGGAGGGTGCGAGGGGCGACGCACACGCGACCAAGGGCTGCTGGGCTCAGAAGGGGCGGCGGGGGAGTGTTGGCGGAGGGGGAGAGGGCCAGCGAGCCTTTGAGCGGTGGAGAGAGTCGAGGAGGTGGTGCGGAAGGTCGCGGAATATCAATGAGGACAAGCACGGAGGGTGGCTTGTCAGGCTTGCCGGGGTCCAAATTCGACTTCACAGCCGAAGTGAGCGAGCGGCTAGCCAGACGCACGGCCAGAACGCAGCACCTCCGCAGCCCGACTCCTGGCCAGCATCGTGAGACGGGCAATTGAGCGACTGCCGCGCCGGTTGGACGTGGTGTGAGGCGGGGAGCGCATGCCTCTGCACGCAGAAGCATCAAGTACCGCCGCGCATTCGGCGCATTGCATGCACATTTATGCTCGCGTGATTCACCGCCGCGCAGCATATCGTATCCGTCAGATCCCGATTTCCCAAAGCAGACTGCTGTCAAATGGTCACGCAGCACGCAAGTCCGAGCAGATTCATCTTCTCGTCGCTGTCCGTGTCATCACTGCCCCGAGCATCTTCCGCCAGATGCGCCAGCGGTCCAATGACATCAGTAGTAGCGGTCCGCATGGCGCCGTCTTTGCCGACCGTGGTTACTCAGGCTTCGAAGAACCCAGTAGATGCGCTACTACGGTACATAGTGTAAGTACTGCTGCTCGAATGGACTCGCACGAAGCACGGTAATCAGCCTCGCCGCAGCACCGTATCCGTCGTACGCTTTCGTGGCGTCCACGGCGATCATGTCTTACACGCCCACACGCCCAGCCTAAGACTACCTAAGCCTCGCCGTTCTCTTTGCTTGCAGAGCACTCGAAACATTTCCCCGCGCTGCGCTGCACGTCTCGCAACGGCTGCCACAGACAGCCAGACATAGCCTTATCACCTGCAGAAGTTCAAACAGCGTTCAAACACTTTCCTCTCCCGCTATCACGCCGCCTCGAAAATGCACTCGTACCGATTGTGCAGCCAATCGCATCACCGCGTCCCAACCCCCAGTGCTTACGGCGCGTGCAAGCGCTCGGCACTGACGGCCTCTCGTAAGCCCCGAGCCCGTTTCCGCCATGGGTACACACGAATCTTGGCGTCGGACTCGCTTCTTCAAATTCGCAATTTCCTTTTGTCTCTTTTTTTTTCCAACGGCCAGGTTTTTCGTGCGGGCGTTGCTCGGACGAACAAAGTGCCGCTTCCGTAAAATTGGGATAGCAAAATTTCTTCAAAAATTCACCCCGTCGTTAGGCTAAAACTCCTGCGCATCGCAATGCCCCCCTTTCCATGCCTGCACTGCACTGCACATTCTCCTCTCCCTTCTCTAACTCTCTCCAAACGCGTTCCTTTCTCATCAACACCCGTTCTCCTGTCCCCTCGTCCGCCGAACACCTGTCGTGCAACTGTCAACGTGACAACCCATGCAATTCCCATCCCAAGCATCGCGCAAGCGCGTTTCAGAAACCCACGCGCCTCCCTCCCGCCGCCCAGGCTCCCCCAGGACGCATTCCACCCGCGTGTTGTTAAACTAGCCTCAGCTCGCGTTCGGGTCCGGGCTCGACCCAGCGCTAACTTTAGGGCTTTCGGTTCGGAGTCGGGACGTTTTGCAAATTGCTTGCATGCACTGCACTGCCGTTGATGGCTTTTCGGTTCGCGAAGATAGATTGATTGGCGGGCCTGAGGCGGGGAGAATGCTGTTGGGAGTGTTGGAGAGGGGAATAGAAAGATATTGTATCTGAGGAAGGCTTCTGTAGGAGAAAGAGGTGTTGGAAAAAGACAATATGCGTACTTAGATATAGATTGCGGAAAGCCTTGTGGTGCGTCAAAACGGCCTACCAACAACAGGCAAGAAAGCGTCAGACATTCGGCCAAACCCTCTACGCCCCAAGAAACATTCACACCCGTCCCGTATCCTTTAGACTCCACACATGAAATCACTGGACTCCTCAGTCTTCATACCTGCCCAGCCGCACAATCCTACTCCTCGACCGTCGGTACAACACGTCCTTCCCGCCCCTCTACGCTCAATCAGGCTGCCCATCTTCACCATTGCCCGTTGTGAGCCATCGCATCCCGCTCGTACTGCCCTCCGCATATCCACAGCCCGCCGTCGTAGGAGGTGCAGGCGGGCCTCTTCTCGCCGCTTCCTCAACCGCTCTCTTCCTCGCCGCTTCCTCCGAGGAACTCGTCGGCGATCCATCCAACCTCAACCAGAGCCCAGTCTGGTACTTATACACATAGTTCCCCAGAGAACAGTAACAATAGCTCCTGCGATGCGGATCCCACACCCATTCCACCGTCCCCTCGGACGACGGCACCTCCTCGTCGGACGGAGCCACAATGCCCACGCGGCGCAGCTCCTCCTCCATACGATCCAGGATCCTAGTAACCCATTGTAAGCGCCAATTTTTTTAATAGAGCGGTAAGAGTGTATAGATCGAGGCAGGTATACGTCAAAGCGCGGTTCTGAATCACTCACCGTTGCAGAGGAGATAAGTGCTACTGTCGCTGTTGAAGCGAACCGCGAGTCTGAGGTGCCGCAATCCGCATGTTACTCCAATGCCGGCGTTTACTCGCTCGACGGTACTCATTGCTGTAGCTAGCTAGCTAGCGGCGTCTTCTAACTATAATTCGTGCCGAACATGTGCGGAGTTTCTTGATCGAGGAGAAGACAAAGGGTTCGTATGGACTTCGAGATCGGATAAGTGGGGTCCTAGTGGGCAGGTGGGCTACCTCTATTTAAGATCCTGGGGTTGGGGCGAGGTTGGGTATCAAAAACACATGGGCCGCTCTAAGCCCTGGAGAGCCTCAGCCGTGTCGTCCTTCACTGCACGTCTTTGCGTTAAGGCTTGCTCTTACTGGTTAACTGCGCATCGTGCCTCCAATGGCTAAAGGACTCCCACCATCAAGCATGCCAATGAATAGAATAGGCTAGAGTATTTCGATCGTTTTCTAAGCTTCGCATAGGAAGAGATAGGCCTTTGATTATGCGGAGCCAATTGGCGTGCCGGCCGGATGGAAAGAAATGATGTCTAAGTGAACATCACATAATTGGAACCAAAGATTAGATGCTCTGGAAAGATAGACAGTATCCGGTATGCGTTGATGAATAGCTAAAGACAATGCTCGCTCGTGGGTCGCTCACGGGTCGTAGTACTAGAGCTTCGAGGTCTTCTTCCGAAGTACCTCAATCCAACTCCTAGGTAGCACTAATACTCCTTCAGAGTCGCTACAACGTTATGGTGTATCAATCAACGACTCTAAGTAGTCATCCAGCTCGATGATCTTGAACCTGTTCCCCCACTTTGCCCTGAACTTCTTGTTCTTGTATCCGCCGCTCGTCTGCTGTCTCCAGCTGACCAGCTCGACGTTCCATCCTCTCTTAAGAGCGCGTTCGACATGAGCCAGGAATCCATCTGAGTGCTCCGCTTCCGCGCCATCTCCGGTAGCAAGAACCATGGTGGTGGGTACTTCGGTATCAATGATGCTCTGGCACATCTTGAGATGAAGAATCTCATCGACCCCTTGCTCAACCCATTTCGGGGCTGCAAGGGTCTGGGCAAGCTGACCCGTCTCTGAGTCGCTGCCACTGTCGTTGCCTGAGCGTCGTTGAGCAGCCTTCTGCCACCCCATTTTCTTCACGTCCCTGAAGAACTTCTTCTTCTCCGTCTCCTCGCGACGTATCAAAACCTGCTCTTTCACAGCATTCTCATAGCCGACAGCTTTCGACGTTTCAAAGAGTCTCGTAACGTGAGGTAGCGGGGCGGCTTCTCGGTGAGAGCCAGCGAAAACACGCTTCGCGACAGGTCGGCGGCGTTCCATCAACAAAGCGAGACTATCAAAAGACAGATCGAACGGTTGGTAAACACCATGCTCTCGAAGTGCATCTCGGAGACCGATCATAATATTCGAAGCGTCGACGAAAACATGGATACCTTCGGTGACTGTCTTCTCGTTGCATAATTGCATCGGAGAAACAAGCCACTTCCTCTCTTCCGGGAAGTCGAATATCAACTGGTTTAAGAAACGAAGATTTCGGTCTACTTGGTTCCTAACCGTAATGCGTGCTCCGGGGATTCTCACGGGCGTGTTAGGAACCACCGGCGGCTGGGGAACTACCACAGGTTGTGCGGGGCGTTGGAGAATGACAGGTTGCACGGTCCGCGGGATAAGGCTGTGGCCATAGACGGTGGAAGGCGGGACCTGAGAGGTGAAATACCCGTGTGCGCTCGACTGTATTACCGAATATGCATGCTGAACTGGAGCGAGCGTACCGAAAGTCGTATACTGTGCCGCGGCGTTTGGAATTCGTTTCGCTAAAGCGGATGAAGGAGCATCCACGTCGACGGGCTGGGATAAAGGGAGAGTATGCTCACTCTGACCAGGCGTGAAAGGTCGTGCGGAAGAGTTGAGCAATGGTGAAGATGTGGGGTGGAGTAGAGCTGCTGGCGGCTTAGAGGGCTTTGTGACCCCAAACACTTTCGGGATCTTGGCACTATTCCGTTGCTCGGTAGCATTGATGAGGTCATCAAGCTCAACGGGCGTAGTCGGACGTATCTTAGCCCCCACGTTGGATCGTGAATGAGGCTGAACCTGCTTCAATGCCGGTCCGTTGATTGGCGTAGGCGTATCCGGAACAGACGAGTCGATAAGCTCTCTCAGAAGATTCTTCCGTACCTTCTCCCTCTGAGCCAGCTGCTTCTCCGGCTGCTGCTGGGCTTTGCGCTCTTTCTCTGCCTTCTTCCGAGCGAGATGCCGTTGCTTACGGGTCATGCCGGTATACGCGTCATCAGCGACCGTATCATAGACCTCCTTGACTATGGAATTCGTGTCGACAACATCTTCCTTTGCCAGCTTCGGATCCTTGGTCTCCACCTCAGCTTCAATAACGGGCGGGGGAAGAAGAGCATCATCGGAACTGCTTGGGTCGTCGGAAAGAGGTTCAGCTGGTGACACCGGGGGGAGTGGCTCCTCGTTGAACAGACCCAGTTCCTCGAACAGTTTCCCAAAGCTGCCCAGATGCAGGCTCCGATTATCTTCCGCATCCTTTGGGACTTTGTTCTTGGATATATGATCCAGGGCCCGGGAGGCGGGGCGTAGAGTGGGTGAAACAACATGGTGCTGGAGGTCCGAGTCTATCAGCTCCAGAACCGAGCTGAAGTCCCAGCCGGGGTCATCAATCGGTTGCGACGGCATTGGCGACTGCGATTCTCGGCGGCGTCGGGTCGATGCGTTTGTCTGAACGGTATAAAGGGATTATGAGGCTAGAGCGTAGAAGAAGCTTCGCGAGCTGTCAGTCGCTGTGAAGCGGTGAGAACGTTGTCCACGTACTTGTAATGGGATCTCGGAGCAATAGCTTCAGTCTCTCCCGCATAATTAACAATTAGCGACGTGCTGCAGACGCGCAAAGTCCTCCCGGCTTACGAGCGCAGAAGAAAGTGTCTAGATAAAAGAGTGTTGTGAGTCTATTGGAAAGAAGGCGAGGGTTGGCGTGAGTGTATGTAGGAGAGAGGTACAGGTGGCGGTGAGCGGGGGATATGAGGAGTCGATAGATGGCCCGTGCGGATGATTCACCCTTCACCTGCGCCACCGCACCTGAGACCAGACGGCTCCAGATTCCGGGCAGGAACCAAGGACGCCGCATCTCGGAGTCTGCTCGCAAACAGCTGTTCATGTCCCTTGCGTCATGACTGGGCGCGCGTCGCGGTCAAGGCCTTCTGCTTTCGCCAATAGTGACTGAGATGTGCCTCGGATGGCTGCCCCACTATACGAAGACCCCTCCTACGGGATCTGCTCTGCTTGCTTGCTTCAAAGTTCATGTAAGACATGTCGGCCGACTTCTGGGCCGGATACCTGTCCGGCGCCGCTGGTATTCTGATCGGTAACCCGCTTGATCTCGTGAAGACCCGCATACAGGCCGGAAAGACAGTTCCAACTCCCGACTCTGCAATAGCCATACCATCACCGCAGAGCTTCAAAGAACACTTCGACCGCGCTGGTACTCTAGTCAGAGGTAGGCCCATTCTCATTTCCCCCAAGTAACAATTCTTCATTATAGGATCAGCCGGCTGATACTCAATTCCCCCAGCATAGGCACCACAGCACCCGTTCTCGGCTACGGCGCCCTCAATGCCATCCTCTTCGTAACCTACAACCGCACGCTCGCCCTCCTCCACGACTCCCCCGCCGTCCCTACCTCCCTCTCCAAAGTCTGGCTTGCCGGTGCCGCCGGCGGTCTCGCAACCTTTGTCATATCCGCGCCCACGGAGCTCATAAAATGCCGAGCCCAAGTCTCCTCTGACCACTATACAAGCTCCTTCACGATAGCACGGGACATCTGGAAGCGTGAAGGGATACGGGGATTATACTATGGTGGCGGGATAACGAGTGTGAGGGATGCCGTGGGATACGGGTTCTATTTCTGGTCCTATGAGTGGAGCAAACAAGCCTTCAGCTCCCCCGACGACACCGATCGCCAAACGGCGCTGAAGGTTCTGTTCTGTGGAGGATTGGCTGGAGTAGTGACATGGGCGTCCATCTTCCCGTTAGACGTGATCAAGACGAGGGTTCAGACACAGCTACTACATCCACCATCACCCGCTGAAGCCGAACAGCACCCACTACTGCCATCCCATAGGCACCGGAAAAGACTCAGTACCTTCGAGATTGCTAGAGAGGCGTACCGGGCTGAGGGTGCGAGTGCATTCTTCCGTGGATTGGGAATATGCAGCGTGCGAGCGTTTGTTGTGAATGCGGTCCAGTGGGCGGTGTATGAATGGATGATGCGTCTCCTGCAGCAGGCGTAGAGCGATGCTCAGAGAGTCCATATGACGATTATTCAAGCATTGTTGAAGCATAGAAGGCAGAAGCTTTATTATCCCTAGCTCGAGATGTGTGTTCTGCAGCCTAAATTACCTTAAAATCTAGAGTGCACGAAGGACAATTGAAGAAGACAATCTTGAGTTTGATAGAAGGATCTTATTGAAGCACCGCCCCTCGAAGCGGGAGCATGAAAGTGCCTGGAATTGACACCTACGTCCCAGCTCATTTTTCGCAATCTAGAGTACAGTATGAAATTTTTTCGCCCAGCCGAAGAAAGATTATCCCTCCATTTGATCACCCATACTCAAACTATCCGCCTCGTGGAATGCAGTCTCGCAGAGAGATGCCGGGAATATGGAAGAAAGATGGTTCCATAGGATAGAGCTGCCCACAGAGAGACGAGCATGAACCATAACCACCGAACGTGGGCGTGGCAGCCTTTTACCATAGATAGAAAGATACCTCCACCTTAACCATCTTTACATGATCTGGTCCTGAGTCAGGCCGGCGGTCGCTTCGGTGCCCTCCATGGCATCGCCGTTGCTCTGGTTAGTGTAGCGAACGTAGGTCAAGCCAAGCGGCCTGCCGCCGTACTGGTAACCGGTGAACTTCTCTGCTTTGGATTAGCTTTCGTCTTCCATATACACCTAGAGGTACTCACGAATAGAGGTCTCGGCATCGGTGCCCTTCTCAAACTCGACGACACCGGTGCCGCGAGAGCGTCCGTTGGGTTCGTATTGGATCTCAGCGCGCTTGACCGAACCGATAGTGGTGAAGAGCTCAACCAGATCCTCGTTGCTGGTAGACCATGGGAGATTGCGGACATAGATGGTGTTGCTCGGCTCTCCGCCAGAAGTTGCAAAGTCGGTGAATGGATTCGGTTGGTTCGACGTAGCAGTGGCATCGTAGGCGGGGGCAGCAGCACTGGGGCCACCACCAAAACCTCCTCCGCCGCCAGCATATCCACCACGTCCTCCGAAGCCACCTCCATAGCCACCGCGGCCACCAAATCCGCCGCGGCCACCAAAGCCTCCGCGACCGGCAAAGCCGCCTCCGAAGCCGCCACGGCCATATCCACCGCCAGGGGCGCCAGCAAAGCGATCCTCGCGCACCTCGAGATTGCGTCCCTGCCATTCATATCCATTGAACTGGGTGATTGCGTTCCGAGCGTCCTCCGGGGTATCGAATGCGACAATGCCGGAACCCTTGGGGCGGCCATCCGGAGCCATGTGGACGTCTGCGCGAATGACAGATCCGGTGACAGCTGCTTGGCGGAAGAGGTCCTTCAAGTCCTGCCAGCCGACATTGTACGGAAGCTATTCCGTAAAGTCAGCATATCAAGCAAACTGGTGTAGGAAAAATGAAGGGGTACAAACGTTGGCAACATAGACCTGTCGGGCTCCGCCTGGGGGGGGAGGATAAGCACCAGCACCGCCGGCGCCAAAGTTTCCACCGCCAAATGCTGGACCGCCGCCGAAGCCTCCGCGCGAGGCACTAGGGTTGCTGAAGCGAGGCTCGGCCTCTCGATCCTCGCGAACGTATACGAGCCGACCCATCAGGTTCTGATTGCTGAGCGTCGCCACGGCGTTCTGCGCCTGCTCCCGAGTTGCATACTCCACGATGCCACAGCCCTACACCCAAGCAAAAGCCAGTCAACCTCCATCCCTCTCAAGACCAACCATCATATTATTACCTTTGACATTCCATTCGGAAGCAGCAACACGTCTGCGAACAAGACCTCGCCGGCTGCGTCGAATTAGCGGGGGCCAGCTTTGGGCAAGCGCGGACGTACCCTGTCTCATGAAGTCCTTCAGGTGATGCCACTTCACGTCGTAGGACAGATTCCCCACATAGACACGGCGGTCCTGCTGGGACGACTCGCGGATAGTCTGCATCATGGTCTCCTTGTTGCCTGCGTCGAGGGGGCGCGGCGGGCCTCCACGACTCGATCCGTAAGACTGGTAGGCTCCCGTGCCCTGGGCACCACCTATTGGCGATCGCGACCGACGCTCACTGCGGCGGTAGTCGTCGCGGCTGCGCGATCGGCTGCGGGGAGAGTAGGAGCGTCGAGAGCGACGCGGCGAACGAGATCGGCGACGGGGAGAGCGGTCGCGTTCGCGCTGGTCATAGCTGTCAGTTTCGTACGACATTGCGGCAGCTTGTGCAGGCGGCAGCGAGTAAGAGAGCAGCGAGAGGGACGGTGAGCGGGGGGAGGAATGAGGGAGGTAGAGGAGCCGACGCGATTTGATGGAAACGTCGGGCTGGAGGTGAGGTGCGCAGCGAACGGCAGGCGGAGCGCAAGGTGAGGTCAAGCGGCTTGGCGGCAAGTTCCGGCGGGGTCACGTGAACAGCCACCCGACGGCTGCTGCCTTGCGCGCCCCGAGCTGGCCGCCAACGCTGCGCCGCATTCACAGGCGCAATTCGCAGGGCGGGCAGGCACGCGTTGCGGGGCACCGGCGCCATGCTCGTGCTGGAAGGGGGGCAGAAAAGGGAGCAGCGGCGGGCTAGACTTACCGCGGACGGGCGATAAGTGTCTCCGCCGGAATCTGAGCGTCGTGGTCAGCGCAAAGAGGGCAGGTTAGGGAGGAGGCAGATGGCGCGAGGGAGAGTGGTAGAGTTGGGAGGAAAGAGGGGAAGGTTCCAAGGGTTGGAGACCCGGGGCGCCTACCCATTTCACCGTTGGAAGTAACGACGACCTGCGTGTGGGACAAGGGACTGTGGGCTCGCTGAGGGCAGAAGTGCTTAGAGGCCGGGTCCTGGCCAGCTGAGACGGGCGGGTCCACTGCGTGCTGGATGCAAGTGCTAAGTGCTGCAGAAGACAGATTGCCTTCTTTTGCCTTGCGCTCCTGCGCCCGACGACGCCGTCGAGAGCTCGACCGAATGCGCCGCCCACGGTCGCTGCGGCCGCGAGCCAATGGGGCACAGAGTATGGGCACCGAGAGCGTGAGGGACGACCCGGCGGAGCGGTTGGTCGACGACGGCGGGTAGGGTTGATCGGGCGCTGGAGTCTGTAACCTTACGCTGGGCCTGCGGGCGAGGGCGAGTGGGGGCGCGGTGCGGCGACGGGGCCGGTGGGCTGCTCGACTGGCGGGACGAATGGCGCCTTCGCTGCGCAGACACCCTGATGGCAGTATAGTGTGAATTCTAACGCGGTGGATGCTGGCCTGCGCAGGCCGGAGGTGGCCAAAGCGGGATAACCGATGGCCTCTGCGCGCGCCGCGGAACGACTCCCGCTGCTTCCCCTCGGCTCGCTTCTGCCCTACGAGCCCACGTCGTCTGCCGTCGCTGAGGCTCCCCGAACGACCTGCCCATCACTCGCGCTCTGCTGCTCCAGAAGTGGCAGAACGTGCAGCGCGCCTTCCTCTCGTCTCGGCGCACCTGCTTCAGCAAGCCACGTCCACCCCACCACAGCGCGCAGCGGAGCACCCGCAGCATGCCCCCCCCCAAAGCCACCGCTCCGAACGACCATATTCCGCCGGGTGGACACTGATGAAAGATGAAACCGCACAGCGCGGCGCTCAGCTGCGGCCGCTACTGTTGCTCCCGCATCTCATCGCCAGGCGTCATGGCGCCCGCGGATTGGCTACCCACCATCACGACTGAGCTCCGCTGCGCATGCCGAGTCACTTCCTGGGCCTAATCACCGTCGGCCGGCAAGCTCTGAAGAGCGCCGCTTGCGACGTCTGCGTACCGGCAGGCTGGGTGCTTAATTGAAGGACTCGGAGCTGCTGAGGCCCATAACCAATCCACCCCCTCTGCGCCGTCACGGCCGCTTGTTGGCCGGCACGCTCTTCGACGGCTTTAGCCTCCCCCGCATCCTGGATTGCGCCGGCTGCGCGTCGCTGGCTGCATCGCCGAGCGAAGCGGTTTCTGGCATGTGTGCTTGGCACGCTGAAAAATGCCTTCGTCAGACTTTGGGCCGGTGTCTGCAGCTAGAGCACGTCAAGCTGCGAGCACCAGCCGGTTCGGGAGCCCTGGCCACATCGCCGATGCAGGCCTTCTGTAGAGATATGGACATGCTCGGGCCGGCAGTGAGTACCCTGCTCGTAGGGCCTGTTGTCCGCAGTGCCGCATACATAAGCTGGCCTGGCTTGCAGCTTCGCCTGTCGTGCTGGGCTCTGTTGCACATAGCAAGGCCACCGCTGCGGCCTTGAGATCGTGCCGTCTGTCTGCAGAATCGAGTGGGGCGTTGGGTCGTACAAACGCTGTGAGTCCTCCTTCCGACCACCAAAGCTGCGCGAGACAGCGTTGGGATCGCTCAAGCATCCTTATCCAATAGGGGATCATTGGCGACACGGGCGAGATGCAAGAAGTGGGTCCATGAAATAATCGTTGATCGGTGAATAATACTGTGTTCCTTCGAGCGGGAAAAGTGGCTATCGGAAAGAAGACCTCCGGCTCTAGAAGTTGGGAAATACATTGCTGAGCGCATACGAGCGTGCGCTTGACCGAATCGATGCCTTCTCGCCGCTCAGGCAGTTTCTCGGAGGCATATCCGGGGACTAACATTGTCTACGCACAGTTTCAGTCCGACTTCTCGGGCTCTGAGACGCGTCGAAGCGGTCACTTGTAGGACAACGAGAGACAGAATATGGTGCCCTTGGTTGTTCTGCCTCATGTCATGGAGAAGGCATGGAGCACCACCTTCTCCGCAGCGTCCCCTGACTGCTCGCTATTGCTTCACTTCCTTCTCCCTCGTCTATCTAGAGTCTTGGACGTCACTGAGCTTGTGCATCTTGCTGACATGTCATTCTAGGGCATAAGCTGCGACTTTGAGTAGCTATTATCCCAGTTCAGTCAGCTCTCACCGCATTCCTTATTCGCTCGTCCTACACCGCTCGGCACCCTGATCAAAAAGGGACGTTCTTTGCGCGCATAGTAAAGGCAGCAAAATCGAAGCTTTCCGGACCGTGTTCTCGGCATCGACTTCCTCGCCGGGATGATATTTGCGATGGTAGAAAATCCCGAGGTCATTTGTGCGGTCCAAGCGAGCTGCATGCGAGTAGCTCAACCGTAGGCCTTATCTCCCATTTCATCAGCAGCCTATTCGCCTTAAGCAAATTGATATCGCATGAGGGTAGAATAGATGCTAGAGCACGTATCGGGCTACAGTCGCAGCTTGCCCTGTCCCGGACTGCTGGCTGTCCCTACACATACTCTCACGGCTTCACTCTACGCAGGCTAGGCAAGCATTCTTCTTGCCTCCAGCTCAGAATGCTCCTTCCCTATGTATCGGAGTACGACGAAACCTCGGCGGATTGCCATGCTATTCCACGCAGCCGCATCCTTGACCGGCTGCCTCTGAGTTCAAAATGTACTTTCTACGCTTTTCAACCGCCACTTTGCCCCAGCCTCAGTGCTATGGATCATCCAGGCATGTGTTCGGGATTTACCGTAGTGTATTCCTTTTTGTTGCCGTGTTGCAACCTTACGTTTCTCTTCATCGCGACTTCCCGGGAATGAGTTGGCACGCTCGCTTAGCCATGGCTTTATCACCTCATTCGCGACCAGCAACGAATCCCGCAGAGGCGGCTGGTTCTCCTGATCTTCGTTGTCTCGAAGTGTGCCGTCTCTCTCTGCTGTCCGAGTCATTTTGCATGCACATTGGCTTACGCGCCTTAGCCTTGTAGCGATCACTCCATCAGACCACGGCTACACGAACACACCGGAGCCTCAATCACGCCCTAGCTGGCCCTCCATCAGCGCCTATGGGAGCACTTACGAATCGTTCGCAACAGGGTTTGTACGACTGACTATAACGCATCCTGTTTACGCTGTGCGGAGCGCGGGGCCCCGCCATCTATTCGCTCCACCAAAACAATGTCGCACGACTTGGCTGCCTCATGTCCTTCATTGCGTGTCTAAGCATCGCGAGCACCGGCTCACGCTATATTCACATTCTTAGCTAGCTTCAGCCTTCCTCAGATATCACTCCATGTTCGGCTACAGGGAGCTATGGATGCGTTCGAGGACCTGCACCGGTCAGTTGCTATTCATCTTGCTTGCTCACTCCACCGGCCTAGGCAGATATGTTTTCTATTCCAGACCGGGTTACATCTTAGCCCTCGTCCGCTCCGTTTAGCGTCCGTCCCGTCCGACTCCGTCCCGAATTCCGTCACACCGTAGACAATGACCTTAAAGTGCTTTACGCCACCCAGCCAGGCTACCAGGTTTGAGTATGTCTCACATGCTGTATTGAAGCGGTCTCGGGCTGACAGAATGATAGCATAGTCGCCGTTCCAGCAATCGGAGCGAACCCTATCGTCACCTTTCGATATCCCGGCCAGCCAAAGCCTGACCTCCGAGACTTGTCGAAATGGAGACACATGTTCTCCGCAGTCACAGATGCGCGGGTGTTCATGTACACCTTTGACCCTCCGGAAGACGCCAAGTCCCACGGCATCACAAAGTATGCGGAAGACCTCCTTCGCGAAATGGACGACCAGGGCCTAGGCTCCAACCGTCCCATACATTTTGTCGGGCACAGCACTGGCGGCATTGTGGTTAAGAGGGCTCTAGTGGTAGCCAACGGAAGCAACAAGCCCAGGATTTTGCAGATCAAGAGAGACTGTATTAGCGTTGCATTCTTCGGCACGCCTCGTAAGTCCGTCGTATTCAACCCAACAAAATCTGACCCATTTTATCCAGATCATGGAAGTACTGTGCTGTGCCAAAGCACATACAAGCAAGCCGTTGCCGATCTCTTAGGCCTCAACATACCCATGAGTGAGCGAGTGCGCCAAGATTTGCTCAAGATCGAGAACATCGACGGAGTCGGCAGCTTTAGTCGCGTATTCCAACCCCTCACAATCAATATGGAGAAGATTTGGAGCTTCCACGAGGCGATGGCGTCCAAGCTCCAAGTGAGGGCGAAATCCAGCACCGGCTCCGGTTCTACGACCATCGCCCGACTCGTAAGGCGTCCACAGCGCTGTCGTCATGCCTCCATCTTACTAAGAAGATCAGGTCGTCGAAGAGCGAAGCGCAGCACTGGACGGCGCTAGCTTAGCTCGGTATCCAGTTGACTGCGAGGAACTAATTCCTATTATTGCGGATCATGCATCTCTTCCCCGCTTTGGCGATCGCCCCAATTCCAGGGCATATGCCAAATACATTGAAAAGCTTCAGCTTCAGTTCAGGGCGATCGCAACAGTACGAGGAGAGGGTTTGGATCCCCGATGGCTAGAGCACAAATTGACAGTCGAAGTCCATCGCTTCCACAACCTCGAGGAGGACAACCAAATGGGCATCAAGCTATGGTCGGTTTATCCGCTGCTTTACGATTTGCTTGAGGACGGCCCTGAGGCTTGTCTCAACAACAGAATTGCTTCAGCCCTTCGTCCCACCACGGCAATAGAACAAACCGCCAGGAAAGATCCGCCGCCTCCGCCTTCAGAGTCTGCCGAGCCGAACCCGAATCGGCCTCGTCCGCGTAGTAATTCGTCTCCCGATCGCCAGGGTAACGCGAAGCAGCCCTTAAAGCTTCAGGTTGAGAACTCATGCAAAGGATCCGCGGATGCCCACCACGAACGTCGGCCACAAAGCGCATCCACATTGGTCGACTCGGATCCATCCAAGGCTAGTCGCGAGGAGTCCTCACGCCCTAACAACCAGCGTGACGATGACGCAGAGAGTGACATTAGCTCACCCTCTGCGTATTCACTTCCAGAAGCCAGTCGCTTCCGCTGGATTCACATTCCATGTAATCATCTTGTTTGGGTCGAGAAGATCTTCCTTGCTGTGGAAAAAGAGCGTGAGAAACAGTGGTTTGATGAGATCGCCGAGTCAACGCCCACCAGTGCGGAAACGGAGATCATGGCTCAGTCAGCTAGCCCACAAGATATAACAATGGCCGAGACGCCCACCGAGTTACTGGAAAATGCCCTGGAGGATCCTCTCGTAGCAAATCTTCTCAAAGCCAAAGAGCGTGTAGAAGCGAAGGGCATAGCTGTACCCGACCTGAAGGAGGTTCTCATGGATCCTCGTCAACAAGCTCACCTGCTTAAACTGGCACAGAACGTCTCTACGCAGAAGCGAACTAATTTGATTCCCGAAGCGGCACAGGTAGTCGAAGAGATCCGCGAAAACCGCATTATTGTGGGTACGATAAAGGAGAAGATTCGTGAAGGCCAAGTGCCAGACCCCTCAGTAATCACCCAGAAGCTGCGCGAGGATAGAGATCGACCGAGACTCACGAGTGCTGTGTTGGACGAGGGATATTGGACGCGGAAACAGAGGAACTCTCGTCACGGACTACCGCATGGGAGGTACATGGAGTCCTTCTGCCAAATATTCCTGCCGAAACGCTCGATCGAAACGGAGTCGATCATGGGTGAGACCATAGAGCAATACGTGGCGCCAATCTCCAGTCCCATTGAGTCTCCGCAGCTATGCTTCTATGTACGTTACTGTAGCTCCAAATGTCCATGACTAACCGTATCCAGATGCCTTACCTCCATTGGGATACCTTTGGCAGTATGGAAGCGCGCAACAAGCTTGTCAAGGAAAGGCTGAGGTTGCCCGTTAGCTTGGTTCGGAACCGTGCAGTCGAGCGCGGAGTCTCAATGGAGCATAAGTTGATATGGCAGTATCTCGTCGACACCTCGGGCCTCCCATTACACATCCGGCGCACTCTTGATCAGTTCGGCGATCCCCATCTAGAGGACATGGGTTCTCGTGATAAAGACCAGGTTCTCTACAAATGCACGAAGCCTGCGGATGATGATCCAATGACCAAGGAGATATTTCATTCCGTGAGCTGTTCCCATCATAGCTGACGAGTGTGCTCTAATTTTTGAGCAGGCCAAGAACCGCGCGACAAGGGCAGAGGACGCGAAAGTGCTGATGGTCGATCAGCTCTGGTGCTATGTGATTGATTCAAGTAATGTCTGCCTAGCTTCCGGTGATTTACCCCTCCCTGACATGATTCTCAGACACGGTTGCGACTTTCTTCACGCCCAAAGAGGATACAGCTTCTAGACCTCGAACTGGGTGCGAAAACGGCTCCCGACGTGGAAGCCACACGAACGAATCTGCGAAGAGTCCGGCCGACTTAGGTGTTGACATCCCCGGAGACTTACGCTATCAGCTGTATGCGGATATCAACGGAGATCAACGCTTTGCAAGGCGATGTTCCGACCCATTCGATTTCGTAGCCGCCACGATATGGCACGCGATCACCGTGTTTCTCGATAGAGCTGCCGACGAGGACCTTCAAGTATTTACTCTCTTTGAAGAGAGATTATGTGAATTGGTAAGGCTCACTCCTAGATTCCGAATGGACCACTAAGCATACTACTTCTGAAGGTTGATTACCGCATCAAGTCGTTCAAGGAGTTCCGCGACAGTCAGGCGAGCGCATCGAAGATCTTCCAGCGTATGGGATACCACAGCTCAGCAACGGGCAACGAGTTCCAGAAGATCATTGAGGCACTAAACCCAAGCCATGACCTTACAGCCCTGATAGAGCTACGTGACATTCAAGATGAGCTAGGCATGATCAACACCGTCTTTTCCAAACAAGCCGTGGTCGTCAATGATCTCATACACGCCTATGGGCTCTTGGATAGGGCAAAGGACAAGTCTGAGCCTGGAAACCACGGCCAAGCGGTCCGATGGCTCGAGGATGCAAAGACTCAGGTCATACGCTATCAAGAGAGGCTAAAACATCTCTGCGAAGAAACGAAGAACTCACTCGAAGAATACAAATTCCTGCTCGACATGAAGCAGAAGCAGAGCAACGTCATCGAAGCGTACTTTGCTCGTATCGCCGCGCAAACTCAGGGTCGGCAGAACCGCTCCATTCTGATATTCACCATATTCACTGTCATCTTCGTACGTCAAACCTAGGCTTCATCTCCCCTTCCCAAGCGCGCTAACATCAGCAGCTCCCGCTAAGCTTTTTTACCTCTCTCTTCAGCATGAACGTGCGGGAATGGACGGGCACCGAAAAAAACAAAACTCTTCACACAGTCCTGGCACTAATGGTTCCCGTCTCGGTCTTCATCATAATTGCCGTGCTGTTCCTCGCTTTTACGCAGCCCATCCTTGACGGCACGACGAAGGCGGCGACACGGACAGTGAACACGGTCAAGAATGGGCATAAGCACTTCCATAAGCTGAGAAACTGGTGGAAGAGGCGATGGGATGGGGCCAGCGAGGAGGAAGAGGAGGACATGGCGGAGGTAGGCACGAAGCCGGGCATGCCTGACGCTGGGAGCTGGGTGGGTAGCTGCTTGGATCTGGAAGGGCCGGAACAGAGGATGGAAATGAGGCGGAGGTGAGAAACGAGGGTTCAGAATGAGGGTCGTGGGAGACGGCCTCCGTGGAGAGTTTGTTAATCCTGTGAGTAGGTGTAGTGCATCCATTCTACGTAGCTCGTTTACATTAAACCACCCATTGGCCAGCTCGTTGATCGTTCCCTCGGCACCGGAGATAGCGGAGCGCGCAAGGTCGACTAGCTTAGGTGTAGCCGTAACAACCGCAATGTTGCCCCGCTCTACAAATTCCCTAGTGTCGCAGCACTGGTCGTGTCGTTCGCGACACGCCCCGGATCAGGTATTCATCACGAAAACGGAAGTCCACTAACAATATGCAGTGCAACGAGGACTGGGGCTTCGTGCAATCAGGTGCGAGGTAATTACGTTGACAGGAGGAGGCTGTGCTGGATGATTTACCCTTGTACCCGGTTGATATTCCGCGAATGACGGTAGGTGCATGGATGAAACGCACGAGTATATTAAAGATTTTGGCGAGATGGTGAGGGATCAGTATATATGGATGCCTTGGTCGCGCAGGAAGTATAAGAATATTAGTTGAAGACTGTTCTTTCGTGCAGTTGAAAGACAGCAGGCAAGATGAGACTTACTTCAGCACTTTCGTCTGTTCCCTTTTGCATTGGCCTTGCCCAAGCATATGGCGATGATCCCTTCTCAAAGTGGCATCCAGCTGGGCCCGGCGATGGTATACATGCTCCCTCAAACGTTCCTCTTCCCACAATTCCTCTTATACTAATTACTTCCCAGTGCGAGCACCATGCCCCATGTTGAACAGCCTAGCAAATCATGGTTTCCTTCCCCACGACGGCAAGTTCATCACCGAAAACCGAACGATTTCCGCACTCTCCACAGCTCTCAACATCAGCGCCGAGCTGGGAAAGTTCCTTTTTGGTGAGGCAATGACGACGAGTCCGGAGCCTAATGGTACCACCTTCGACCTGGACAATTTGAGCAGGCATAATATTTTGGAGCACGATGGGAGTTTGAGGTATGCTCTCCCCTTCTTTCCACCCTTCCATCTCCTCATCAGAGCCGTATACACTGCGATTCCTTCAAATTGGCTGTGCATCATCTCTCCTCCCTGCTCTTAAGAATATCCAACTGACACGAGATGGTGTCTAGCCGCGCAGACTACTACTGGACCCACGACTCACACAGCTTCAACGCCACCGTCTTCGCGCAGACCCAATCCTACTGGACAGGCCCCGTCATCGACATCCAAATGGGTGCCAACGCACGCCTCGCCCGCGTGCAGACGTCCAACAAGACTAACCCGACCTTCTCCATGTCCGACCTAGGCGACGCATTTAGCATTGGCGAAACCGCAGCGTACATTGGTATTCTGGGCGACGTGGAGTCGGGGACGGTAAAGAGGGAGTTGGTGGAATATTTGTTTGGTGAGTCAACAGCATTTTCATTCGGTGGATGCTATCTATCTCACTGTGGATGGAATGCGCTTCTCTTTGTTTTCCTTTGATTTGCGCGATCGATGGGCTGATTTGGGCGATGCAGAGAATGAACGGCTGCCGACGGAACTGGGCTGGACGACCTCCAGCAGGGAATTTACCTCGACGGATTTGGACAACATGATGGAGAAGATTGTTAATGCGACGGGGGCGACGCCCGAGGAAGCGAGGAGGTTTCTCGCGCGCGGCGATCTGCATGCGGGCCGAAGCAGGTGTGCCGAACTGCGTGTGTAAGTCGGCGACGGCTGGCGGCATGCTAAGTGGGGTGGGGTTTTCCGGTCGGCCTGGAACTTTTGCCGGATAAAGACGGCGAGTAGGCGGGTTCTTTTCTGTACACTCTTTGAAGCTGAATATAACGCATCGTTCATTGTCCAGAGGGGGGAGGTTTGGTGTGGATTTAGTACCGTTCGCCTGATGGGAAAACACTCCTGTGGGTCAACAGGCTGCGTGAGAGGCGGGTTTGCAGAGACCTAGAAGAAGCCAATACGGAATTTGAAAAGATGTAAGAATGGCCATAGGTCGTACGAGGTCAGTTGCGTCTGTTGCATTGGTTGCCTGTCTTATCGCCTTTCCCCGCAGACAGCGATTGTCATCAAGCACCCGGTGGCAGCGTCCCAGTTCCCATTTCCGACATAGTAATGGCGGTTGACAGCGGGTCGGCGAGGGATGGCAGCCTGGGCATTGTTGAAGCGTTACGTCGTTCCTATGCCCGTACGGGGTCGGGAAGCGTGACGAGGTTCCATCCAGCCTACTGCTCTGCCTAACAAACTAGTAATGCTCCAAGCAGATGCTATCACCCTGGAAACATTGTCCTACCCTTATTAGCTTCAGACGTCGAGTACACTCACACTCAGCTCGGAAGTTTCCAGCATTCTGCGTACAAAACGTCTCCACCAGCCACTGACGCAACCCCCACGGTCAGCTCTCGGGCACCACCCTCTTCGAAACACCAGCCGAAAGTTATCCCTCACAAAGCGGGGCGAATATCTCATCCCTTTCCAAAAATCCTACGTCCACTTAAAACTCGTCACACTTACGAAGTTCCTCGTCCGAGTTATCTCCCCGCCACAGTGGACCCGCCAACCGGAACCGGAACGCCACCATTCTAGATCAAGCCTAGCGGCGCGATCTGCTTCCGATGCTTGGGCACGCCCAAAGCTTGATATCTTCAACACGTGCTGCGCTCCGAGCGAACTCCGTGATGGCCTTCTAGAAGGTGTCGAATTTGGAGAATTCGTTATCATGCCAAGACATAGGGCTCGGGCGAGGAGGGGCGAGGAGAATAGGGGATGATGTATATATACCGTGGGATTGCCCCTTGGATGAGGGAACAACACAAGCGTCAAGAGGACGTCAAGCGCGTCTCATCACTTCCTATTACTCTCCCCTCCGTCATTGGAAGTCTCTCTTTATCTAATATTGGGATTCCTCGTGTTCCCTTTGGCAGTCGCCGCAATAGAGTATAAATCTTTCTGGTACATACCACAGAGTGTAGACTACATCCTTCCTCTTTTCTTTGAATATAACAAACATCCTCCATGGCGGAACCATCAATAAATCCGCAAATCGACAGCGACTCGTCCTCCGAGATGACTCACATTGACGACCCTCCCAAACCAATCTACCGCTCCATCACCGGCCGCCATGAACCCACATTCGACGGCGCCGACATCGTCAACCTCCCCATCCGAACCCTCAGTCGCGATGCCGACCTCGAAGAATACACGGCTGAAACGATCGATGGGCAAATACTCCGCGAAATCCGCTCCAATGTCACCGGCAACATCGAGCGCTACGAACTCGTTACCTGGAAAGTGGACGACCCCGAGAATCCGAAGAACTGGTCGAAGGCGTACAAGTGGTGGTGCACCATGTGCGTGGCGCTGACGTGCTTCGTGGTGGCTTTTAACAGCGCGGTCATTACGGCAGATATCGAGGGCGTGGCGGAGGAATTTCACGTCAGTGAGGAGGTTGCGCTCCTTACTATTACACTGTTCGTCGTGGGATTCGGTGTGGGTCCGATGGCTTTCGCGCCCATGAGCGAGATCCTGGGACGCAGGCCGATTTACGCGACTACGCTTTTTGTCGCTGTCATCTTCACCATTCCTGGGGCCGTTGCGAAGAATATCACGACATTGCTGGTTACTCGAGCGATTGCCGGCATCGCGTTCTCGGCGCCGATGACGCTCGTCGGAGGGACGTTGGCAGATCTGTGGAGGAACGAAGAGCGTGGTGTTCCCATGGCGGCCTTCTCGGCTGCTCCCTTCATCGGCCCTGCCATCGGCCCGCTTGCAGGTGGATTTTTGTCGGATGCTTGTGGCTGGAGATGGTTATACTGGATCCAACTCATCCTGAGCGGTGTCGTCTGGATCCTTATCTCCTTCACCGTCCCTGAAACCTACACACCAAAGCTACTCACCAAGAGGGCGAAAGAGCTCCGCAAGGAGACGGGGGACGACAAATTCGTCACTGAAGAGGATCTTGACATGCGACCCCTGAGCCAACGATTGACGCTCTTCCTTCTGCGACCATTCCAGCTCTTGTTTCGGGAGCTCATTGTTTTCTTCATCTCGTTGTACATGTCGGTCTTGTACGGGCTGCTGTACATGTTCTTCGTTGCGTAAGTACTCCCCTCTCACAAGTAAGATGGCTCAGACTAACCTCAGCAGGTACCCAATCATTTACCAGAAGGGCAAAGGCTACAGCGCTGGTACGACCGGTCTGATGTTCATCCCGATCGCTGTCGGCGTCGTGCTTAGCGCCGCGTGTGCGCCCCTGGTCAACAAGCATTACCTATATCTCGTCAAGAAGCACAACGGCAATCCACCTGCAGAAGCGCGTTTGATCCCGATGATGATTTCCTGCTGGTGCATCCCCATCGGCTTATTCATTTTTGCATGGACATCATACCCGAGGCTGCATTGGGCCGGCCCGGCGTTCGGCGGCTTCCCTGTCGGCTTCGGCTTCATCTTCCTATACAACTCGGCTAACAACTACCTCGTCGACTCTTACCAACATCAGGCTGCGTCCGCTTTGGCTGCGAAGACGTTCATCCGGTCATTCTGGGGAGCTGCGGTCGTGCTTTTCACAAATCAGATGTACGACCGCCTGGGTTACGAGTGGGCGAGTACGCTGCTGGCTTTCATTGGGCTGGCTTGCTGTGCGATCCCCTTCGTCTTCTACTTTAAGGGCGCGGACATTCGCAAGCACTCCCATTATGCATATAGCCCGGACGAAGAGAATCAGGGCAACCTGGAGAAACGGCCAGGTTCAGTCCCAGAGCCGTGAATGCGCGCAGACGCAATTGCGTGAGGTCGAACATACAGGTGTATCGGGTGTCAGGAAAGATGGGTTTTTGGTCAGACCACACTGTTTCTTCTCCTGCGGATTGAAGTGCATGAAGCGGGTTCGTCGACAGTCAAAGAGCGGGTAGAGGACCAATCATTGGTCAATTGTACACTCGGCGTGGAGACATGCCAAGCGGAATGCCGTAAAGCGACGTAGGTGGTTGATATCCTCCGCGAGAGGATGGAGTTCTAGATTCCCATGGGCCTGCGAGCGTATCGCAGAGCCTTGAGCGGCGCGTAAGGCGTATCACGGTTGAAAGTTCGGCCAGGCATGGAGTTGTACTCCCGAGGTCGGTGCCTGTAAAGTAATTTAGTAATTTATCAGTGATCGTCGTTCAAATCGCTTGTTCCAGCAGTGACTGCAGAAGTTCCATACCGCACCTGACCAACTTCTCCGGATATTCTGCACTTCCGTGCCGAAGGCCAAAGGATTGCTTCGCTTTCGGCTCATGTCGTACGAACCGAGTTTCGTTGTGTTCTGCCGGACGGGTTGCTGGAATGGCCAATTCGTGGCAGTCAAGGTAACTCCCTTCAAGCGTAAAAAGGAGCTCGAGAACTTAGTAAGAATCCCCCACAACCCAAACCTTGCACATGACGTGTATCTGCGGAAGAGGGCTTTGCGGTTCAGAGCTTCAGCTTCCCAGTGCGACGTCATGGGCAGGCTCGAGCCAGCGCCTCGGTATCGAGAGTGGCGGTATTTCCGCGTGAAAACCTCAGTCGCCCCGGTCCGGCACTGGGCGAGCAAGAAATTACCGCAAAATGCCCCTTGGACTCATGTGAGGCTTGAGATACGAGGGAGAAAACCGATGAGTTGAGGGTGGGCATGTGCTTAGCGCCAATTAGTCATGCCAGATTGACCAATCATGGTTGGTTCTGCCAGACTTTTCCGCCATGAATGGAGGTCCCGGTCCAGTGGCCGCGCCCCACCCGATCTGCTCAAACCATCTCCTCAAACCTCACCATCGCCGACTCATTTTCACCACTCAGACCGATCGATGATACGCGCGCCGCCGCCATGGACGAAGGCACGCCGAATCAGCAGTCGCACGCGTCGTCGACGTTAGGGCAGGACATGCCACCCCGAGCCGATATCGACGAGATACTGAGGCGGAAGCGGAAGGCACGAGAGTATAAGGTACGCAGTGCGCCTTTTTGTTGTCGGAATGTTGGCATCCGTCTATTCAAGAAATCGCGACCCGAGTGGGAACAGCTTCGTCGACTTTCGGTGCCATCTTATGGCATGGGAACACCTCCAGATGAGGTCATGCCAGAGCTGACGCGGGCGGAGAGAGGCGTCAATGTTACTCGAAATGGTTGTTCTAGACTCTAGCTAACTTATTATTATTCAGGCCTGCTACCCGTGCCGACAGCGCAAAGTCAAGTGCGACCAGAACGTGCCATGCAAGACATGCGTCGTGCGCGAGCATCCAGAGCTCTGCACCTACCATCCTCCGAGCGAGACGCATCCACCCGCAAAACGTATCAGCATGGGCATGGGGCAGAATGGCAATGACTTTTCCAATGGGATGGTCCACATCCACGGAGGAACAGTTACGCTGCCGCGAGAGGTTCGCACATCGGTTGCGGGAAGTATAACAGAGCGCTGACCGATTCAGGACTGGGAGCGCATCTGCGCAAAACTCCAGACAGCGGAGAAGTCACTGGCTGACCTGAAGAATTCCATCAGCAGCGTCTCCGAAGTGCCACCAAATCCACCATCAAATGAATATTCACCAGGAACCGCTGGGAACACACCTCTGGCCGCTGCTGCGCCGATGGATGGCGAGACGAGCCATGTTAGAACGCAAGGCGTCCACACGCACAACGACTTTACCGGCCAGACCATCCACATTGGGCCGAGTTCCGTGCCGGCGCTCGTCATGGCATTGGGAAGAGGGGACAGTCAATGGCCGGGAATTCAGGATGCCCTGGGCAAGAAGAGCATGCTGCCGATTTTTGGTCTAGATAACGAAACCGCCACGTACCCGTTCGTCGACCTTTGGGGCCTTCCACATGGTTCTATTTCCCGTGCCAACGAACTCGCAAACGCTTTGCCAAATGATGCTGAGTGTTTGAGTTTCTTCCGGTGTTATCGAGAGACAGCCCACGTCGTCTACCCTGCCGTTGCAGATATCGAAGGCATTGAATCAGACCTACTACTTTTCCTGATCAACCGTGCAAGCTCGCAAGGCACCGCCGGGATTACAGACCAGCAAATATACGGAAAAGACTTCCATTGGATTGGTCTCGTCTTCGCTATCCTAGCATCAGGATGCCAATGTTCCACTCTGCCGAGAAAAGAGAGGGAGTTGACTTCGCAGGTCTACATCTGTTGCAGCTTTGAGTGTCTTCGGTTCACCAACTTCCTCTCCCATGCGACGTTGGACAACATTGAGACGCTTCTCATTCTGGGGAATGTCATTTCCAACAACATGAATGCCGGCGTCGCATGGAGTCTCATGGGCTTGACCGTCCGCCTTTCGCAGACCCTCGGTTTGCATCGGATGTGTCCACCGTCCACCCCTTTGCAGATCAAGCTTCTTCGAAGCAAGGTCTGGTGGGCGTTGCTGTGGCAAGACTCTTTGCTCTCCATCTCCTATGACAGGGCGTCGTCAACTACTACTATCGACCATACCGTTCCCTTGAGCCCGCACACTGCACCAGGGACCAGAACCTACGTTGAGAGCATGTATCGACTCTGCAAAGTGGGTCTCGATATCGTTCGGGAGCGGCAGCGACCACAAAACTCACACGACGCACTCATACGGATTACCGAGCATCGAAACGAGCTGCAAGAGATTATGGTCGACGCAGCGGACTATTTAAAAGATTCTAGGAGATGTCGATCAATGCGCGACCAACTTGAGCACTGGGCCCTTTACCTCCACATCTCGTACATAACCTCCGAGCTGTGTCGACCTGCGATTAGCCCGAGCACCGCCGGCTTCGATCTTTCAAAGAACTTGAAGAAGACTTGCATCGATAGTCTGGCAAACACTGTCGAAGCATTTCTTGGCCTGCAGAACATGACCCCCTTTGCGACACGATCGTGGGCCTCCGTTCATCGATCGGTTAGCTCCGCGTTGCTGCTTGGAATCCTACAAGAGCACAACCGTAACGAACGAGCTCGGTCCCTCCTCACCAACCTGGTGCAAGTCCTTGGAGATGTCACAGCCAACGTGGATCCAGCAGAGCTATCTGCGCCAATCACACGATCAGTATCTGCCCTCCAACGCCTTCTTAATTACTCACCGATGAACCGGAAGGCCAGCGACTCTGGCTCACAATCTTCACCCTCTCTCCCGACATTCAACGCGGACGAGCTCAATGGGGCACTCAACGGTGACGGAACCTCTCTGAGTCAGTCGCCAATTCTGGGATTAGATCTGGATTCGTCGCCCTATGCGCTCATGGAGTCCATAGTATGGGGTGCACAAAAGACGCCTTGAGCGATACGTCGAGGAGGTGGAATCAAATGTCTCATCACCAGCTTAACATCTTTAATAGCCGAGTCATTTACTACGGCCCCGACACGATATGCGGAGATATCCCGGCCGATCAACGACCATCCTCATCGCCGTGAGACATAGCGAGACGTGGTGTAGGTCCTATATATGCCTCGGCATGAAATGCGGCTTCGTCATCCTGATAGAGATACCCTTGTTTAACCGGGAAGAGGTGTACGGTTTATGGTCACTACATGGAAGGAATTGTGTCAGCCAGTCCTTATCAGTCCGAGTATCGAGAGTTGCCAACACATGATCTTTGGAGGAAGAGAATGGACCACTGCGAGGACCTGCTCATGCAGAAGGAAACCCATCTCAAATAGAAAAGTTGAAGGACGATACGCAAATCTAGGGCATTTGTGGAATCCACCATATCCAGAGCGGGTGCTGGGCGCTTGCATCGGATAGAATTGCTGGAACAATATTCAGTCGCTCTTCGCTCACCCTCGGTCAGTGGCCTGTGACGCTCGAGATATTCGACTGGTGGTGGCCACCACCGCGCTTTCCTTTCACTCTGTTAATACTCGTGTATGTCTTGGTAGCTGCCACCGCTTGCTGACCATTCACTCGCTCAGCAATGCGTATTCTGCGTCAATTTAACTTCCGCCCGCCGCTCAAACAGCCCTAGCAACCGGGCGCTCAATTTCAGAGCTCTGGTTGCTAGCACAACGTCCCTTCGTTGGGCCTTTCTCCTCTCATTGTCTCACGGCGGCTCCACAATCGCGCGAGCAAACTTATCCAACCCGGCCTACAGCACACATAATTCGTACGAATTCGCTCAGTATCGATATGTCGTCGGACCTTGATGACTTACCGCCCCTTGACGAAGCGCTTGCAACAGTCGAGCCGGAGCTTATTTACTACGAAGCTAAACGCCAATACGAAGCTTTTATGCGCCCACAGGCTTCTCTAGACGATAATGCGACTCCGTTGGTCTCGTCACGCCGGCTGACCCGCCAGCACACTGATCTTTCACTACACTACCGGAACTTGTTCGAAAATGCGATAAAACATCTCGATGAGCTTCGAAAGCTTCGCCTCTTGCATATATGTTTCGCGTACAAGACGAAAACGCGGGTCCTCCGATTTCTGGACTTACTCGATGAAGATGCGTTTGAGTGGGTTCGCTCGCTGAAACAGATTGTCACTGAGTATGCGAGAGACAGTGCGTTCGAGCATGAAGTGTCAACCGATAGGGAAGAGTACGAGGAGCTGCAAGAGGCGGGACAAGCGTTGGGACAAACCCCGCTGGAGGCGTTCAGAAAGCAGTATGTTATAAAGAAGGTAAGGGCTCTTCCCCCACCCTACCCATCGGGATCGGGCTGTGCGCTGCCAACGCATATGCCGTCCCCGGATATTGACGTAGGCCATACCGGCCACCGCGTCTGCTCACCGAAGAAGGCTGCCGTCGCCAAAGCAATGCCGACCAAACAACCTGGGCCGTACTTTGTCATTCCAACCTTGCCTATCGCCTTCCCTTCGCAGTTCTTCTCCGCTCTCGCTTCTTACGTGCCGATTACCCACCTCACAGTTGCGAGCATGCTCTCATATCCCTCTGCCTATCTCCTCGCGGTTTCCTCGGGCTTGAAAGGCGTGCTACGTTCGAAGCTGCCCAACTTCTGGAAAGACCAAGGACCTGTTGATGCGGAGGAAGAAGCATTGTGGACTACGTTCTTCGATCACCTACTACGTGGTCGAGAAATGCTGATCATGCGCAATGGGGCCGAACTGCCAGTCGACGAGGGAGACGGGTATGGCCATATGGATCTGGAGATGTGGATCGCGGGCTGGCTGGCAGAGCGACAAATGAAGGGGATGAGGGAGAAGGGGTTGGAGGAGAAGGCGCGTATAAGGTCCAGCATGGGGGAAATCGCAGCCGCGGGCGATGAGATCGAGGAAGGGGAGGACGGCGACGCTGAGATGGATGAGAGCGATGGTGAGGATGAAAGCGAGGATGAGGATGAGGTCGCGGGTGAAGAGTCGGAGCAAGAGGCGGAGGACCGTGACGAGGTTGAGGCCATGGATCTCATGCCCGAGCATGAGGATCCTACTCTACATCTTGGTAACGATACCACGCTTCTGGATCTCGAGCACCTGGACACGATCCACGTTGGCCAGGGGCGCACTGGGCCAAGGAGGGTGAGCTGGAACGAGGGCGAGCTAGCCAGCTTCTTCGAGATCCCCGCACGACCAACGAAGAAGGGGAAGGTTAGGGCAAACCGGTAGATGACAGCGGTTTACTAGATTGCCAGCATGTTAAGAAAGTATTGTTAATATCTCGGTTTCTTTCTGGTATGTATCACCACCGTTATTGTACCCCTGAACATGATCTCGATTAAGCGATTGACTAGTATCATTTTTCAGACCACCATATGGTCTATGCGTATTTATATGTACACGAAGTATATGCATGCTTCGAACAACAGCGAGCGTCCACTCCAACTCTATCAGTCCTCATACCTCTCAAGGATATACAAGAAAGTCTCCCTTTTCTCGGTCCATCTCTTCTCACGTCTTCTCACGTCTTCTCCCACCCCTCTCCCTCCTCTTCACTTTCTCGATACCATTCCTCATCCAATCCCCGATCGCCTATCTCACTGTAATAATCCTCCACACTCCACTCCTGCTCCGCCGCAGGCTCCTCAGTCTCCGCAGAGTAGTCCCACTCCTCATCCGAGCTGCGGTCGTCGATCTCTGACAAGTAATTCTCCGCGGTCCACTCCCCGTCGGAGTGCCTGCTCTCGACGTCGGACAGCTCGCTTCCCTGCGCATCAGTCTCCTCCACAGGAGCTTCAACATCCGTCTCCGTCGCATTCGCACTACCGGTTTCCACCCCACTAGTCCCCGCCAACGCCGCCGTCCACGCCAAATACCACGTCCTACTCGCCCCGCCATCCAGCAGCCCCATATCGAAGTTCGGATTCGAAAAGAAGGAAAACGCCGTCGCGGGATCCACAAGCGCCAGATTCGCGTAGAGGATGCCACGCCACCCACCCAGCACCTTATCCGCCCTGCCCTGACTGAAATAGCTATCCCACTCCTCCTGCACAAACTTCTTAGGCCGCGTATATGGAGAGGTAGGGTTGAGCGGGATCATGTGGATCCCTTGGATATACTCGGCGTTCGCGCCAAAATACGTCGTATGATCGACTTTGTTCTCGAACAGGATCCCCGTCACTTTGTTCGGCAGGAACTGGCTCGGCTGCACCGTGTTGCTGGTTTCGAGCAGGAAGTAGTTGTGCAGGCTGCGCGCTTGGACGGCGAGCTGCAGGTTCGCGCGCGCCTCCATTGCCGCGTCGCCCGACACTTTGCCCCACATTTTGAGCGCGTACGTCGCGAATGTGTCTTCGGACGTGGACTCCTGGTCCTTGCCGTCGCCGGACTCGAACAGGCCTTTTGCCCAGCTGTGGCCGTGGAACCAGTCGAAGGAGCGCTGGAAAGGGAAGTAGGGGTCGGTGGTGGAGGGGTTGGCGTAGTCGCGGACGAGCATGTTGACCCATGCCTTGTTTGTGCCTTGGTCAAGCCAGGATGGGTCGAGGTGCCCGATGACGGCGGCGCTCCAGACGAAGTAGCCGTAGTGGAAGTGGTGGTCGTTGTACAGCGTGTTTCCGAAGTCGAGACCCGTGTCACCGGACTGGTATGTCCCGGACGAGACGGCGCCTTTCCAGACGCTGTCGTACACGAGGGGAAGAGGCTGCGTGTTGTTGACGAAGACGTTGAAGGCGTCTTTGAGTTTTACGAGCCCAGCGGCGGCGAGCTCAGTGTTCTTGGCGATGGTTTGGATCGCGTAGATTACGCCGGCGAACTTGGCCAGGCCTTTGCCACTGTAGTACATGCTGTTGAGGCGAGTCTGCGTGTCGAAGTCCTGGGCGAGTTCGATGGCGCCGGCGTTGTCCACCATGGCGAGGGCCTCGCTGTTGAGGTTCGTGTTTTCGCTGCCGCCGTTTCCGCCGTTGGCGTTGGGGATCCAGGGTCCGAAGCTGATGGTGTCGGGGAGGTTGCCTTCGGTCATGGTGATCTTGTCGGCGACCACGGCGCGGGCATACCCCTTGGTCGTGGTGACGAGCTGGATGTCGGTGAGGGCTGCGGCGGTGGACTCATCGAAAGATTCAACGTGATGTGGTAGTGCGAACATGAGCAATGTCTGATTCTGAACACCCATCTTGCCCCATTGGAGGGTGTAGCTTCCAGAGCCGCCATTTACGGAGCCCGAGATGGTAGCATTGGCTGCATAGGCGCCGGTTGTGGAGTCGTATGTCTGCTCGCCAGTGGTATTGGCAGGGTTCTTCGCGACCTGGATCATGCCGATGAAGTCTGCAGGTCCCTCGATCATGGAGCTATTCTTCAGCGTAAACGGGGGAGTGCCGAGCGAAGCGACCGGCGTGGCATAAAGAAGCCATGCCGAGTTATCCTCAAGCGTGATGCGGTACTTGTACGTTATGCCGTTGAGTTGCTCCACGTAGTCCAGAGTGCGGAAGAAGACTCCGGAAGTCAGCTGGGGCTTTGCTGAGTTGTACAGAGCTGTGACGAAACCCATTCCCTGAACGCACGGGATGGTGATGAGAGGGTCAGCGTTCGCGGAAGGAGCAAGGTTAGCATAGACGGAGAAGGCAGTCAGCTCTTCTGTGGAAAGGACGGTGTCTGAACCAAGCTCTGCAGCGGAGAAGACGAAGTGCTGTATCCCAATCGGAGCGATGAAGTACTGCGGCGTGTCTCCGGGGCCCCAGGCCAGCTGACTCCGCTCAATATGCGAGACGGCCATGCCATACGTATTCCCGTGCCCCTTGGCCCACGATAGAGAGTATGGATGCGTCCAGACTGACTGTGTTTGGCTTCCCAGGAAGAAGTTCGCATAGAACTTGTTCGTGCTGATGGGAACGTCATTGTCGACGATGTTAAGCTTCTTTACGACGTGGTCATCGCGAGAAGTGATTTGTTGTGGAGGGGCATCTGTGGCCATAGGCACGAAGATGTTACCATCGACGCCACCCAAAGGAGTCGTAGGACCCGGAGCGAGAGTCGAGTCGAGTGGCTTGAGGGATCCAGTCGGTTCTGGAATGTCCGAGGTCTTCAGAGGATTCTGAGTGAACCCTCCAGGTGGCAGGCCGGTCAGGATGGTCTGATTGGACGCGAGTCAGTATACAGGCAAGAATTGCCTGAAGTGGTTGAGGGACTTACTCCTGTCTGAGAGGGTGACACGGTTACAGTTGCCGACTGCAGAGACGAAATAGCGCTGGTATAGCTCGTCGTAACCTCAATATTGGAAGAAAGTGTAATAGCCCGCTCATCGAACATATCCGCCTTACGCCTGTCCTCAAGCGTAGGCAGCGAATAAATGAGCGTGCTCTGGGCTAAAGCCAGTAGGAAAGCCAGCCGTGCCATCTTGCAGGTAAAGACCGTGACGAAGGAGTGACTTGAGTAAAAGGAGCGACTGTTGCTTCAAGCAACTATATAAGAAACGAGTGTGTTTGGAAAAAGAGCGACTGTGTTTAGGGCTGATGGCAGCGGAATGTGCGAGTGCCTCCAAAGAATGAAGCGCGGCTCCGGTGGTGAGGAATGCCATAGTGCTTCTCCCCTATATTATATACCCACTAAGGAGATGGAGTTAAGAAACCAGGCGCAAAAAGACGTTTCATGTGCCAAGCGACGGAAACAGTCCTTTGGGAAGGTCGAATGGGAGACTGAAGACATGGAGTGTGGTAGTGGAGGCGGGTAGGACCCTTGATGTCGGCGGCTTTTCCCAAAGCGGACGACTATCTGCAGGGACGCTTCTGAAGGGTGGTACAAAGGGCTTCTAGTACCCTGGGATGGTGATACAAGGGCGCGGAGTTAGGCCCCTGCTCCGTCTCAAGGCGCACAGCAGGTGGTACCAGCGGTTCTTGTGACCTGTGCGAACCGTTCGGATGGTCATGGCGTACTTCAAACATCTCAGCCAGCCTAGGCAGGCTTCTTCAATGTCTAAGATCTGTCGGATGTGGCTTTCGTATCCTGCGTCGATGAAGAGGAAGAACGCGCGTAAAATATCCCTAAGCCAGATCCTCGGGCTCCGCGGAAGGGCTAGAATAACGCCTATTTAGGAGCAATAATGAGCTTGAGATCCAATTGCAACCACAGCCTCCCATGTGATGGGGTCACATTGCGACGTTCGTTTTGCTCGCCGCGCAAGGGTACATCCCGGCAAGCAGACCGAGCAGCGGCAGTGCCGCTCGACTGCTGGGGTTTGACGGCTTTGCTGTTCATAGCGGTAATTTGATGGATGGTCTACTGTATGCGGAAGGCAAATTGGCCAGCCGTAGGACCAAGAGGATTCGTCTCCGCAAAACTGATCATGCAGAATGCAATGCCGCGAGTGCGCATGTTGGTTTCTTCTCCCGGAAATCCAGAAGGCCAATCGCTCATATACCTTCTGTCACCTGCTCCCACCATCCTACGCTGCTCCGGTCATTGCGGGCAGTCATGCGCTTCCTTTCTCCTGGAAGGGGCAGGTTGGAGCCATAGATATCGGCGGAATCGGCGCGGCAGCCAGTCTCCGCGTCTGCGGCTCTGCCGCGGCGGGAATACGTATAGTGGTGGCGACAGTTTAGGCCTGAAGGCACGACCTGCTGCTTTCTGATCATGAGAGGTGAGGTTGACGTTGGGTTAATGAGCCGCCGGCGAATCCGGAGGCGTAGAAAGCTTGTCTACGCGCGACCCCGGCCCACCTTCCATTTGCCCATATTCTGGCTAATCACAGCGAAGCACACCTGAAACGTATACACCTTGTGTTATGAAAGGGGCAATGTTTCGGCTTTAGGGCTTCGCAAGCGCAATCCTTCGTTTCACGATCTTCACATGCTCTCGATCTCAGATCGTAGACGAATACGATTTTGAGACCTCGTGTACATGGCAACGCCTTTGCCATGGTGGAGAGACAGTGAGATACTATCTCATGTTTTCTACGTAACCCTCCCGCGATTAAGATTGAAGTCTTGGATCCAAAGCCTATTACATTCACCACGGAGAACAGGGAGAATTAGGAAGCCAGGGTCATGCGACATGGAAGCCCCGGTGCTGTCCTCCTTAAGCGTGCATGCATGTTCTCACCTGGTTCCCAACGTCCTATCCAGGTTGAATGCGGCAGAGACCAACGCCAGGTGACTGAAGGCCTGAGGCGTATTGCCCAATTGCTGCGAAGTGTGAGTACTTCCCTCTTGAACGGCTGCGTTGGGTAGCACTTACTTCTCCTGAGCGGGCGATCTCTTCCGAAAACATGTGAAGATGATTTCCAAAGCTCAGTATGTTCTCGAAGATGGTAACGGCTCGCTCTAGGTACTTTGGCTCGTACGCGCCGGCCTGTGTATCATTAGCGGGGCGTGAAGCACGGGAGCAGGAAAGAGATGGAGTACCCTCGTCAAGGCTTCAACAAGCCAGAAGGTACACATACTAAAGGCGCCTTCGCGGCCGCCAACTCCTACAATGAAGGTCAGCGAGTTGCATTACGTAGAGCTGCTGGGATCTCTAGAAGAACATGGCTTCGATCTCGAACAGCAGCAGATGACAGCCGTTGTGGTACAAGGTCAGCTGAGGCGCTGTTCGAGCGACTCGGGCGTGGGCTGGAGCGTGGGCTTACCGTCGTCGCTTAAAGCCGAGTTGTACCTGTATACAAGGCCAGTGCTGGTCAGACCACCTTTCTCCGGCGGCTTCAGCATGCGATCGAGCGTCTTCAAAAACCTCGGATCGGTGGGAGCGATGAAGAAGACGAGAGGGGCGATGAGAACGGCCGAATCCAGCACGTCATTGTGCTCATAGCTCTGGATGAAGCACTCTAGTTCATGGTTGTAGCCTTTCTCCATGACTTCCTCGCAGATTTCGTCTCGCACTTTGTACCACTCCCATCGGTGGGGGCATGGAAAGCATCTCTTGTCGGCTAATCGCAGAGCGCGATCGATAGCGACCCACAGCATGATCTTGGAGTCTGTCAGATGTTAATTCATGTTCCCAGAGGCGGAGGGATCGAGGAAGTCTTACAGACAAAGTTCTGCATGTCGCCGCGCACTTCCCAGATAGACATGTCCTTGTCCCTCCAGATCTTGCAAACGTAGTCGGTGATCTCACGCACCGAAAGCCACTGGTCGTACGTCGTAGGCTTGCCGAACTTGTTTGCGAGGTAGATGCCGTCCATTAGCTCCCCGTAGATATCCAGCTGCGTATGGAACGCTGCTCCGTTCCCGATCCTGACTGGCTTGCTGGCACGATAGCCGTCCAGATGCGAGAGCTCGATCTCGGGGATATCTGTTTCTCCTCGGATAGTGAACATGATCGGCAAAGCACCCTCTCTTGCATTCGCCTCTGCCACCCGCTCAAATATGAAGTAGGTGTACGCATCGGCCTCGTGCTTGAAGCCCATGCGAAGAAGGATATATATCGTGAATGAAGAATCTCGGACCCAGGAGAACCGGTAATCCCAATTTCGGGCGCCTGTGATGGTCAGCCAGATTCCGAGGATCCGATGGCTTCACCCACCTCCAAAATCTTCTGGCAGCGAGAAGGTCGGGGCGGCGACTATAGCACCAGTCGGCTCGTAGGTCAGAAGCTTGAGGATAAATAGACTCCTCGTTACTACACCTTCCCACCGGCCGCGGTATTTGCTCTGCGCAATCCATCTAGACCAGTATTTCTGCGTGGTCCGTTGCACTTCGTTGACCACTGCTGTGGTGATGTGCTCAGGATCGTGATCGGTATGATCTCTGAGCACAAAAGATACAGTCTGGCCTTCCTTCAATCGAAACGAGGCGGTGACGCCTTCTCCAAGCGAGTTGTCGGTTGATGTTTTCTTGAATATGAGAACTGGGCACTCTTTCTCGTCTTCGCCGCAGTCGATAGTGGCATTGAGCTCCAAAGAGAGACCGTCCGATTTGAAGATAACCCTATGACGGACTTCACCCTGTTCGACGCAATCATTCAGTGTCACGATTTCGGTCGTGTGTTTATCGCGTGCGTAGTCTACAGCAGTCAGTTCTGGCCTGAACGAAGGGCGCACGCCCCAAAGAAGAGACAATTTGCAGCTGAAGTCGCCTGTTCATGAGATCCATAGCCGGCATGGTTAGATTGCACTTACTGAAAGCTGGAAAAACTTCCACGTTGACGTCTACCTGATCTCTCATGCATTCGACACGACGGACCAACCACTTCTTCAAATCGCTCCGCTCATCGGAGGGATTGAGCACTTCGCCCCTTTGCTTGCCTCGAAGGACCTTGGCGTGGAACTCAGCATCGTTGGCCTTGTTGTTCGGTCGCGGGAAGAAGTCAACAACATTCATCACGCCATCCTCGTGGAGGTATCGTGTCTGCAGGATGTTGCTAGAAGGGAGGTAGTGCTGCTTTGTCGTACAAAGCTGGTCTTGCCCTGGGTTGATTGTGAAGTGCCCTCCTTTGTCTTTATCTAGCATTCGAGCGAATACAGATGGCGAATCGAAATCAGGCATATGTGGGTGTTAGCACATTACCGCGTGAATCCGGAGCTGGGCTGGCATACCAACACATGAAGTCTAGCCCGCCATCGGTTGCAACCAACGCACAGGTTCGCATGTTCCCGATGAGGCCGTAATCCTCAACCTAGTCTAAATTAGACGGAGTAGATGGGAAGACCAGTGGATGCAAGGGTGAACTTGCCGGCATGTATCCCGTTGCCGTACGCATGGACAGCTCGTCCTGCGCTTTGGAGCGATTTTTAGCAGCTTGCTGCATATTGGTCGAGCTTCCTGGATTCGACAAAGCCGTGTCGCGGTCGATCTCTTGCAATTGAGTAGGTCTTGCAGAAACGCTGTTAGTGATACCCTTGAACACCTCCGTTGTTCGCTCCGCATCGGAGTTAATCGTGTATGGAGTGGTCGGCATACTTGGATGTGATCGCCTTTGTCAAGTCCGTGATACAGTCCTATCGGGCCGCATGTAGCTGTCAAACTCGATTGTGAATGGTGTTGGAAAAGGGTCGTGGAACGCTAGATGAGATGGCTCTTGTTGACGTCATGTGATGAAATGCGTTCCGCAGCGCCCGTAATTGCTTCTTCCACGGTCACCCATTCCAACGCCTCTTGCGCGATTTGTTTGTTTCGCTTCGCTCCCTTTCCATGGGGGCCTCGTGGCGGCGCGGGGCGCTGGTGCACCCCCATATTATACCGTGTACGTGGACATTCAGGTGATGGAGCTCTCTCTTGGGCTTTACGCGGTTTCGCAGAAATAATTACACGTGTTTTGTTTCCAATTCAGTTATAACAGCTTACTGATAATGGGTCTGGCCGGCGATGTTGGCTCGAGCATCGTGTGCCTGAGGCAACCACACAACTGCGCAACTGCGCGCAAGCCGGCGGAAAACTCATTACTCGGCATCTACGCAAGAAAGTCGCACTCCGCGCAACCTATGGATGGCAATATTCACCCTGACTCAACTAAGGCATCGAGCAGAGCAATATATAGTGGGTGTACCGCCCTTGAAAATGGTAGAAATATCCTAGACACCTGTCAAGTGAGTGTCATGCCACAAAAGGCACGATGACGGCCATTGCAACCGGTACGGGCCGTAAAGCGTAAGTGTTATATCCTCTCAATGTTTGAATTGAGCGACCGTTCCAAGACTGAAAGCGACTACCTCCGCACCCGGCCGCCTTGGTCGCAGCTGTTGCGTCAAAGTTCGCCTGAACACATACAGCACCACTATTTTCGCCTATCGTCGGCGTCTCGCCAAGACATTCCTACCATGTTGAATTGGATGGTAACTATCCACAGGAATAGTCAGTACTCGCCTACACTCTTGGCATACCTGTCCAGTCCCGCAACGCTGCACGATCGTATCGCAACCGGAAGCTTGACCGCGCAAGACGCATCGGAGAGAAGACGGGAAACGGAGAAGACCATACGGCGTTTGCTCAGTGGGTTGCAAGCCGGAGCGGACGGGGGAGGGGATGCGACCGCTGTGGTGAACGGATCTGTTGGGCAGCCGTGAGGACGGAAGATGGACTATCGCAACGGGTGTTTCTCACGGACGGATAGTTGACGAGTCCAGACCGGATCCGATGTCAAAGTCGATTGATCGAAGCGAGGGCGCGATCTTCCTTTCCTTGTCGGCGCACGCGTGGGTCGCGGTTCTTGTAGAGGAAGTCGTACGCTTCCAAAGGCATCGGGTCATCGTGCCACCGTCCTAATGCAATCTACTACCGGCCGAGTTTGCCATCTGAGAATCCGTATCCGTACCGTGAGACAAACCCGTGATGCGGAATCCGGGTGACAAACCTTGGAACGCACCGCCGTAACTGCGCCACGCACCAGCGTTGTCGTTGCCAATCAGAGCATCCTCCGATAGAATTGCTTTGGAACCTACTCCATACAGAGTGCGCAGTAGTCGCTGATAGATTAAAGATTAAAGATTGAGAGGACATGGAAAGCAAGGGAGGGTTTGATTGAAGGGATTCGGTGGCTGACTGACGAAATTAGGATACCTTACGTTAGCACTGGGACGGTGCCCGAAAGCGTTCAACAATGAAGCCCAAAGTGGAAGTCACTCGACGAAAGTGAGAAGAGCTTCATCGCGTTCTAGTTGACAGGATGACTATTCAGCAGTACGGAGGCGCAGCGACTGCGGGGAATCGCACAAAGGATGCGTGAAAGGATGGCAGATGCGCACCACAGGTACCGTGCACGAATGGCCAGAATTTCGGGAGGGGTTAGCGAAGACGTCGCAGTTTGGAGGGGAATGAGCACGAAATGGCGTCGATGCCGAGACAGTCGTGATTGAGCGACCGCTTTGTCTCGTAGCGTCGTCAAAGTGTGTTCGTGTGTATGCGGGTTTTTCTCGCGTGTTTGTGCGAGGCTTCTCGCGTGCGCTACGACGGGACAGGGACAAAGACAGGGAGAAAGACGGGGAGGAGATGCCACGGCAGGGTATTTCAAGAAATAGCTGCATGAAGACGTACAGTAGGCTGTGATCAGTTCCTTGCAGAGGGGGAGCGCTTTGGTGTGAGCTGTCAGTCAGCTGCTTGGTGGAGACGGCGTCTATTTTTGAACGGGGGCACAGCCACGGAGCCACCGGCTGGTCGACTACACTTCTGCCGATGCCTTCCTCCACGGGCAGAGCCGCCATTATTGATCGCTGTCGTCATGCGCATCTGGGAAGAGAAGCCGGTGCGAAAATAGATTGTCGGCGGCTCTGCGGAGTCTCCGGGCGCGATTGAGGGCTTCATGGCTTGTCTTGTTGTTGAAAGGCGCGGGCTGCCACTCTGCGGCGGCAACAAAGGGCTGGGGACGCGGGCTGCTTGGCGGCCATTCTCCAGCCGTTGGCCGCGAGCACACGAGCTTAGCCACGGGTCTCGAGCGTTGTCTCGGCGCGTCTGATAGGACCGCTCCGCAGCCTGGTGCAGAGTCGCATTCTTCAGCTCCCAGCGCGGCCAGTAGCAGCCAGTGGTGGCAGAGCACGCGGCGAGGCGCACGTCTTATGGCGATTTGAAGGCTCCCTAGATAAGAAGAAGCGGCGCTGGTGTCGCGCGACTCTTCACGCTCACGAAGCAACAACTCTGGCAACGATCTTCCGGCCTGTTCTCGAACGCCCACACCAGTGACACCACCGGCCATCCTTCGATAGCGGCGCGCAATAATCCTGCAGAAGTGAGCCATCGGCCGGACAAAGCGCCGCGCGTACTTACCCTTTTCGACCACCTGCCGGTCGCCCCTGCCCTTACCCACCGCCAAGGTTTCAGCGGCAAGCCCAAACCTGCCGCTTCCCCCATCATCACCAGTCCTTCTCATCACTCCCTCCATCGGCGCCCTCGTCGTTTGTCCCTCGTTTCACCTTCGCTTTTTCCGCATCGCTGCATATCCCTAGAGTTTCGTCGTCCGTTTCTTCCCGCTTCCCTGCTCGATCTTGCCTTCATCTTCGACTTCGACAACTTCATTCGGCACGAGAAAGGTTGATCCTGCGGCCCTACCCCGTTTAATCCATCGCTATCCATCACGAACTTTTCCTAGTCTGCCTCTACAGGCCTTCGACCGCATCCGTTATCGCATCTCCTTGACTGCATCTCCCGTCGCTGACGGGGAACCTCGCCTCCGGGCGGAAGTTGGACAGAATGAGGGCTCACATCACATATTCCACAATGCTCGCCCCATTCATATTACTAGCATCGGCGCCGTTGGGTGCCTTAGCCGCAGACGTCCTCAAGACGAACGGCTACAGCTCCTGTCAGGAGAATTCTGACATCACAGTAAACAACCTGGATATCGAGTTCGACCGATCAACGAAGAAGATCAAGTTCGATGTTTCCGGTACGAGCCAGAAGGAGCAAAAGGTCATGGCGACACTCATCGTGAACGCCTATGGTAAAGAGGTGTACCGGAACGAGTTCAATCCTTGCGATGAGAACACCAAGGTGCCAAAGCTATGTCCAGGTACGTCTACGTCTTTGAGCAGCCCTATCGCAGGAGTGGGCTAACTTCTTATAGTACCTGTTGGTTCCTTCGGCGCACAAGGAGAGCAGAGCATTCCCGATTCCTATATCTCGCAGATTCCCTCCATCGCCTTCAGCGTGCCTGATATCGACAGCCAGGCGACAATGCAGCTCAAAGCCGTGGACGGAGGACAGCAACTCGCCTGTATCACATCGCAGGTCAGCAACGGGAAATCGCTCAACACCCCCGCCGTTTCATACATCGCCGCTGGTATTGCGGTGGGTGCGCTCGCGGTTACTGGGCTTTCCGCTCTCGCAAGCGCCGGTCATGCTGGAGCTCCGACGTCTAGCCCAACATTTGGCGAGGTGATCGGCTGGTTCCAATCTATGGCTTTGAACGGAATGATGAGCGTCAGTACTCCTGGCGTCTACCAAAGCTTCTCCAAGAATTTCGCCTTCAGCACTGGGCTGATCCAGTGGGACGGCATGCAACAGTCCATTGACAGTTTCCGCAATAAAACCGGCGGCAACCTTACTACGGACAGCGTCGCCTTTTTGAGGAATGCCACCCTCATCCACACCGACCAGGGAATGAACCTCACTAAACGCGGAGTCGAGATAACCAGGCTTTGGGCGCGTGACGAGCTCACAACCAACGTCAATGGGACCCAGGACTCCAGCGGAGGAGACAGCAAAGTCATGCACGCCGTGTCGGGCATTCAAGGCTACGTTGAAGAACTCACCATCCCGAACGGAAATACCTTCATGACTGTTCTCCTGATCTTCGCCATCGTTGTCGCCGCCATTACTGTTGGTATTCTCCTGTTTAAGGTCATCCTCGAGTCCTGGGCGCTGTGCGGAAGCTTCCCTAAGCGACTAACAAGCTTCCGGAAGCGGTACTGGTGGACCCTCGCCAAAACCATCACCAACTTGATCCTCCTTCTCTACGGTATCTGGACGCTCTATTGCGTGTACCAGTTCAAGAACGGAGATTCCTGGGCCGCGAAGCTTCTTGCTGGCGTGACTCTCGCACTATTCACCGCCATCCTCGCATTCTTTACCTGGAAAATTTGGCACATCGCCCACAAATTCAAGAAGATGGAGGGTGACGTATCTGCTCTGTACGACAACAAGGACGTGTGGCGGAAGTACAGCATCTTCTACGAGAACTACAAGAAGAGCTACTGGTGGATCTTTGTGCCGGCCATCGTCTACATGTTCGCTCGAGGCTGCGTCATCGCTGGCGCAGACGGTCACGGTCTTGTTCAGGCAGCTGGTCAGCTCATCGTTGAGGCAATCCTTCTTGCCCTGCTCCTCTGGTCTCGTCCTTTCTCCCTTAAATCCGGAAACTGGATCAACATCATCATTCAGGTCGTTCGTGTGCTGTCCGTGGTCTGCATCTTGGTCTTCGTTGAAGAGCTTGGCGTTGCCCAGACCACCAAGACTGTTACTGGCCTTGTCCTGGTGGTGATGCAGGCAGCATTGACTGGTCTTTTGGCTATCTTGATTGCTGTTAATGCCATCGTCATCTGCTGCCGGCAGAACCCGCACCGCAAGAAGAGGAAGGAAGCTGGTACGTCGAACGGTCTTATATTAATCATGCCTTTGCTAACAATCACGCAGAGAAAGCACGCGACTTGGATAACCTTACACCTCTTGACGCTCGCAACTCGCTCCTCATGGATCCCCAAGAATACAAGCGCAGCTCAATACCTGCTCCCTTCGGCCAGCGTGGCTACGAGCCTGTGCCCCTCACCGAACAGCCCACAGCCTACCAAGGCGCCCGACCCTTCCGGGAAGGCCAGGAACACCTTCTGTCCGATGCAGCAAGCTTTGGTCACAGTCACGCTCGGAGTGTCAGCCGCGACCGAAGTCCTAGCCCTCCCAGTTCAAGAGCACCACGATTGCCCGAAGTCAATTTCGGCGGCCAACAGACTGGCTATACCTCATCAGGCCCATGGCAACCTCAGGGAGGCCATCGTGGACACGCATACTAAACTCTGTATACCCAAAAGTAATTTACCTTTGTACATTTTTCGTGGAGAAGAAATTCCAACCATGTCGTTGGTAGCTGTGTATATGTCACACTTGGATCATCTGTTGTACGGCATTGGGCGAGGCATTTGAGCTTGTCATATTCATCGAATTTGGAGAGGCACACATTCCGGGAGATGAGCGCAAGCGGGTAAAGGATGCGAGACCTGCTTGAGACGGCCCTCCCCACGACACAAACGTCTTTCCTTAACACTAGCCTTATAGACCCTGCGACACATTATTTGTAATTGATGATTCGCGTCGGCCAGTGGCTGGCGCGCGGATAAGTTCTGTGGGAGTGGGAGTAAGAGTAGTAGTAGAATAGCATTGGTTACATATCATCATCCTGACTCTGGCTGAACGTGAATGTGATAGACCTTAGTAATCTCCACATGGGCGTATGAAACGAGAGACTCCATCGGAGAGAAAACAACCGATTCAGAGGCCCAGAGCTGGACCTGCTGTAGATTCTGTCATTCCGTGCTCATACATACGCTGCCTCGATTTTGTTGAGGAAAGCTGCCCCTGAGGACCAAATATTGCCTAGAACCTCGGCACTAACGCCACGACTCCTGCGTCTCGCCATTATCGATATCTTGACATCCCGCTTCCCCTGCTTTCCGGTAGCTCCAGAGCCTCCGGCGGCGTGCTTCGGATCTTCAGTGCGCGCGTGACGGCGCGTGTATCTCCCGTAGCAGGGACGCCTTTGCTTGTTCCTGCATCTAGACACGCTATTTCGGGACGGGTGAGGCCAAGCGATAAGAGATGGCTCAACACCGCGCCTTGGGGGCTTGGGAATGGCGTACCTGAGCGGAGAGCTGAGCTGCGGTCTGTGGGGATTGGGAATCTTGCTTTATCGATTCTGCTTTCTCTTGTCTTCTGCTGCTTGAGTCGCGTCTGTCCTTCCTTTCTTCCTTTTCGGTCTCATGAACTTCTAGAGTGGTTTAACGTGCCGTGCAACGTTCTGCTGGTCTTCTTAGACGAGTGTCCTTTCGTTTACAGTGCTGTTTCTTTTGAGGGCAGACGTGTGTGAGAGTTCGTTGGACGCTTTCGCACACTTCCAGAAGTGGTAACCGTCTTTGGCGTTCTTGCTCCCGCACACTCCTCTTCGTCCTCGATATCGAGACATCCCCCAACCCACAAGCATGCGCTCCTCGCACTTAGGCTTCTGCGCCGCCCTCTTCACCCTCACATCCGCCGCCTCCACCTCAAAACGCGGCCTCTGCCACGTCACTGAGAACGGGCACGCCAGCGACGACGCCATATGGACCACGACGCCCGGCTCCGACCTCTCATGGTACTACAACTACAAGTACGAGCCCTCCGACGCCTTCGCATCCGACGAATCCATGGTCTTCGTGCCCATGCTCTGGGGCGCCTCCGACTCCGACACCGGCACACCCTTCCTCGACTCCGTAAAGTCCCAGCTCGCAGCAGGCGCCAAAATCCCATACGTACTCGGCTTCAACGAACCAGACGGCACGCACGCAACAGGCGGGTCTAGCCTCGCCACTGATCTAGCGGCCTCGACGTGGAAAGCGCAGATCGAGCCGTTGAAAGAGCTGGGTATCAAGCTTGGTGCGCCCGCCGTGACAGGCAGCCCCGACGGCTTCACGTGGCTGGAGAATTGGCTCAAAGATTGCGATGGCGGCTGCAATCCGGACTTCATTCCTGTGCATTGGTATGGGAATTTCGAGGGGTTGGCGGCCCATATTGGGCAGGTGGTGGGTGCGTATCCGAATTTGACGGTTTGGGTTACCGAGTGGGGGTATCCGAATGAGAATCTGGAGGATACGCAGAGCTTTTTTAATCAGAGCGTTGCGATGATGGATCGGTGGGAGTGAGTAGCTAGCCCCTTCTTCCTCTTTGATTCTTCCGTTCTGCCTTGGCGTGATAGAGTGGTTTTGCTAACGTTTGGTTGTGATAGGAATATCACGCACTACTCGTACTTTGGCGCTTTCCGATCAGACGTCTCGAATGTTGGACCGAATTCCGCGATGCTGACCGAGAAAGGAGAGCTGACGGATATTGGGAGTTGGTATCTAGGCGGTGCGGCGACGAATAATATTCCGCATTCGGGGGCGGCGAGTAGCGTCTCTACGAGCTTCGCGTCGTGGAGTCTGGGTATACTGGCGAGTTGTGCTTTTGTGCTGTTTTAGAGAATCTTGAGGGGTGGGAATCGGGTTTTGCAAGGGAGCGATGGCGTTCAGAGTTAGGAATGGTAGGTTGTCTAACTGGGTCTTGGGATATGGGAATGCGCTGAGGAGTGTAACGGCGTTGGGTGTCCGGAAAGAACGTAAGTGTCGAGCATCCCATAGAGCCCTCCTAGATTGAAGGAAATGCGAATATCGTTTCCTGCAGGGGTGGGTCTTTTGGGGTCACGTGTTGTGGCTGTCGTGGCTGCATGGCGGTCGCAGTTGCCTAGACTCGTCCGAGCTGGTCTCTTCAACCCCACACTCACACCCGACTTCATAATCTTCAGAGCTCCTCGATTCCCTATGGTGACGGTATGTGTCTTCTCCGGCTCTCTGCATGGGAACCCTTACTGTCGCATGATCTCGTCAACTAATGTGCCCAGGCCCTTGCGGTAGGGAATTCTCCGGATTGAAGGCTCGCTGTACAGATAAAATTGTTTGTACAGCTAACTATACACGCACCTGCGAAGGCCTCCAGGGCTGCTGTACGGGCGTCGTTGTATCCGGAGAAGTCCCCACTGTTAGAGGTAGATAACAGGATTGGGCAAACTATCGCGAAACGGCAGTGAGAGAGTCAGCCTTTTCTCCAACTTTGTCGCCGGTCGTGCCCGACACTGCCATGGATAGAACAACGAGTGCTTCAGAAGGATGCGAGAAATGTGCGAGAACTGCAAAGGCCATTCATGCCATAGAGAAAAGAGCGAGGGTCTTAGAAACAAATGGCCAGAGAGTGATCGATGTCATCATGGATGACGATGATAAACCGGTGTTCGAGACGAAAACAGATGTTGGCGACTATCAGCAAGCAAAAATAGCCATGCGACTCATCCATCGTCACATGGGGGTCCCTTACCTCCACTTCAACGCCCAAATTGGAAGATTGGATCAAAGCAAACGGGAGAAGGAATGTTCAACATGCGCCGAGCTTCAAATGATAGGCTCGGTGGCTCTCGGGCGTTCAGGCGCCTATCCGTCTATCTCTTTACACTTTTGCGTTACTTCCGATGTCTGGTACATTCGAGCATACGAGACGCCGCCGCTCCCCACGCTCTCTGGAATGCGAAACCGGGAGGGCGTGCTCAAGGACTCGACAACAATCGACATTGCCCTTAACCGCATTACCACTTCGGCATTATAAAAACACTTTTGAAGACTGAGGGTGAACGAGAATTGGGTCAACTTTGACCAAGTGCTAACATGGATGCGTACTTGCGATGCTCGTCATGTTGGGGCTTGCCACACAATTATCGATCCTAGGCTTCGCATCGACCCACCTCAGCATCTGATCTTCATCGATGTCGCAAATGCCTGCCTAGTTCGACGGCCTGGGAGATGCAAGTATGTAGCTTTGAGCTACGTTTGGGGCAAAAGTGGTACACCATTCCAGACTACCAAGGATAATCTAGATGAACTCCTCCGCCCTGGCGCACTTGACCGCTACCGAATGTCCATTCCAGATACGATTCGCGACAGTATGGCATTTGTCGGCAGCATCGGACAACGATACTTGTGGGTGGACCGTTTTGCGATCATCCAGGATGACAATGCCCACACCAATGCTCAGCTAAAGAACATGGCGGGAATTTATTTTAATGCGTACTTCACAATAGTCGCTGCCGAAGGATCGGATGATACCTATGGGCTTCGTGGACTGCCCAGTTCGGCCCGCCCTCGCCTCTTGCAGGCCCGGAGCCTTGATTTCAGTTCCACCTCGAGCTTCTATTACGTTCTACGAAGCCATCACGACACGGGAAAGTACGATGAGCGCGGATGGACGTTTCAGGAATATGAACTGTCACCTAGGAAGGTCATTTTTCGCAACAATGGCGTTGAGTGGAACTGTTGCCAGTACCTATGGGGAGAGTTCGAGGCCAAGCCGCATTTTCGTGGACGCATCAGTCACACTCCCTCGTACGGCTTCTTTCGCATTGAGGCAGTACTGTTCCATGGTTACGCAGTATAGCAGGCGCCAGTTGACGTACGCAGAAGACGTTCTGAAGGCGTTTTCAGCATGCATAACGATTACTGCCCGCTCTTTCAATGCAGGCATACTGTATGGAATCCCGGAAACGTTCTTTGATGGCTGTCTCCTTTGGGAGCCTTCCAAAGTGTGTAAGACTCCCTTGGAGCGAAGGAAAGATGTAGCAGGAAATACACTTCAGCAATTTCCAAGTTGGTCTTGGGTCGGATGGAGTGGAGCGGTCGATTGCTCCCGCTGGGAAGCAGTGCACCACTCCATTCACGATGCAGCTAATCCTGTTGTCAATCCTCTCGAACGCCAGGCCGATGACAGGATATATCCCATGGTCACCTGGTACAAGTTGCCGAAACGCTTGACAGGAGCTAAACAACGGATTGAGAGCACGTATTGCAAGAGGGAGCCACTACCTTATCGGGAGAACCCCCCGGTGATTGGATCTTCAACGGAAGACACTTGGAGTCATATCCTGTCATGTAATGCCCGCCGGGTATATCTTCTGGTCTCCAAGCACTGGCCATGGAAGCTAGATTCAAGACTTGTGGACGAGAGGATCGTGCCTCTAGTAGACTCGGCGGGTATAGTTGCAGGTGTACTGACGCTCCCTTCCCGGCACTTGGACTTCGTTTCAGCTGGGCAAGAGTGTGAATTAATATGCATAAGCAAGGAACAAAGGGATGCTAGGCGGTTACAGGACACACTCCACGGGCTTGCAGAGTTCCACATCTTGTGCGAAGACCACCCTTTCTTCCGCTCTGCTGATCCCACGACTCTGGACCCGGCTCGATGCTTTTATAAGTTCTACAATGTGCTCTGGATTGAATGGAAAGACAACATAGCTTACCGCATCTCACTTGGCCGCATATTTGAGGAATACTGGGACTCGGCACAGACTGAAGAAATCGACTTGCTTCTAGGTTGATGCCTCCGCGAAATATAATTACTTCTTGCGGGAGGGGATTCTCCGGATCTCGGCGGTCGCCGTTAAACGTGCTATTGTACGCAGCTGCGAAGGCCTCTAGGGCGACTATTACGCGCGTTGTTATATCCGAAGACTTTCACGCCTTGAGAGGGTGCTTGAGCGATCTGCCTGCAGATGCTGAAAGGACATGCATACCCAACTATGGACACTTATCGTACACTATACACCCCACAATATTCGGTATATACCATCCTCTTGTGTTCATATATATGTATACTTACTCATGAAGATTCTGGCGTAGAATGATAGCCGCTATCCCTGCTCTTCACCCTCTCCAGGGGCGCAAGCTCAATTGCCGCATCTTCGAAACTCTTATTGCCGTATTCAAAGTCATCGACGACCGCAGCTGGAGCTGGAGCAGTGAGCATTGGATCGAGTTTCGTGGGCTCCCTTGTCTCGCTCGGTTTGGACGCCTTCCCTACACGCTTCGAACTCTTGCGGATAATCTCTTTGAGAGTGACAACGGGCGAAGTGGTGAGCGTTGCCGTTACCGACGGTAAAGAAGGGGCCGAAGGAGCCGACAGGGCTAAAAGGGCTGGGTCGATGGTCGTCATATTCACATCTCCATCGTTATCTCTACTAGGAGAAGCTGGCTCTGGCTCTTCGACCACACTAGCAAGCGGAGACGAAGGAGGAATGCTCTTCCGCCTCGTCGCACTTGCAACCAATGCGCCCCAAAAATCCGTCCTGTCGGCCTTTTTCTCCTTCTTCATCTCCTTGCAATTCTCCGGCTTCAGTATACCCTCAAACGTCATCGGCGGAGGAGGTGGTGGCGGTGGCGGCCGAACATCAATGGTCGGGAACTCCGTAGCTACCGGCGTATGGATGCCAAATCTCTTCCCCCATCGACACTCACTCGGATAATCGCACGTATTCCAGCAGTCCTTCCCCTGCACCATCTTCTTTTTTCCCTCAGCACTCCCACTGGTTTCACTATCCATCTCTTCCTCTGAGGATCCGTCCGACGAGCTCGAAGAAGACTCCCCAGAACTCTCATCGTATATGGAGTCCCTGCGGCCACTTCTCCTCCACCGCCCCCAAGCTTTCCACCCCTGATAATCGAACTCGCTCGCGCATGCCCGATGCCTTCTCAGTTTCCCCGGCTTCAGCGGCTTCCGCCAAGTTTTCACTGTCGTGGTGCCGGCGCAGAAATGGTGTCCGTCTTCGAGGCAGCGCCGGGTTACCCCGAGGGAGTAGGTACGTCGGCATTGGTGGCATTGCCAGAGCCATTGGAGCGGGGAGGGCGGGTGAGGCACTGAGGAGTCGGGCGCGGGATAGGATTTGGTTCGTCGTTGGGAGGTGGAGGTCGTTTGGAGGAAGGGGGTTCGCGGGGAGTAGGGCGATGGTGGAATGGAGAGGTGGGAGGGTTTGAAGGGGGTGGCGTGGATTTTGAGTTGCTGTTTGTTCTTCGAGTCGACCATGGTGCTTGAGTCGCTAGTGAGCTCTTCCTTTCGAGAGTCGACGGATCGGCCCTAGTGTGTAGTGTGATGCTCAAGCGATGGTATGCTGCTTCAGTGTCCAATGAAAGGTCTTGCGCTTGCGTCAAGCGATCGGTATTGCTGTTGCTGCAAAGTCCTGCTTTGCGTTCGTTCCTATCTGGCCGAAAAGACCGTATTGAAGTACGCTGTATGTACAGCTCCTCATGCAAATGAAATGCCTCGAAGGAAAGACGGATAACCACAGCCATCAAGAATAAGAACCAGGAACAGGAAATTATTAAAACAAATTGGCAACAACCTACGAGTTCCTTGTCGGGATTGCGGCGAAACTAACAAAGGATTACTTGCTTCTCCTCTTTGTCTATTAGCTCCTCCCTCGTCGGTCTTTCCTGGCGCTTCTTTGTCTGGAGCCATGATGCATGTGTATCTCTACGTGCCACGTGGAGAGCGCCTAGAATAGCGACTTCTTTGTCCTCTGGGATCTAGTCCGTGTCATGAGACTCCGAGACGCACGGGAACGCGGAAGACAGACCAGGGAGCGTACAGAATCTAGGCAATTGAGACTAATGATGGAGAATAGAATGGCTAAGGGGATAAAGAACTGGAGAGAGTCGATAGAGAGCGAGAATATACTGTGATGACGATGTAGGTAGGAAAGGAGCGAATGGCGGCGACGGAACGAACAAATACGGAAGGCCATGCTGTTCAGCTGACTTCTTCCCCGTAGCGACTTCGCCAGAGGTAGAAGGCACTTCAATCCTAACGTCTCTTCTCCATCCACAGTAACCGTCCGACTTCGCGGAGTCGAAGTAGGCGAGGAGCATCCAGTAAGCCCTCTTGCAGCCACCGGGGGCAGCAGCTACTGCACCCCAACCTCCGCCCAGCCTCATAGCCGCCCTATTCACTCTTCACCTCCAATCCCCCCCTCCCGATAAGCCCAGCACAAAGCCCCTCCAAAATCAATGACCTCATCTCCTTCTACCTAGCCGTCTCTTTTCGCAGCCAGCACGGCAAGACGCGGCAGCCAGTCCAGTCTCCTGAGCTTTGAAACTCCCCCAGCGCATGTGACATATGTATGGCGCGGAGTGATGTCCCAAGGCAAGTCAATATCAAGCCAACGCCTTGGCATGGGGTGAACCCAGGGAGCAAGCCGTACGATGCGTACGATGTGGCTTCCCGCCACGAGCCAGTCACACGGCCCTCCTATCCAATGCCGGAAATGTGCTCAGCTCATCTCAGCCCATTCCAGCAGCCGGTGCATTACCCAAAATCTCATGGTACTTTTACTCCGCAGATAACGATTCCCTTCGCCCTTTGCCCTTCCCACTCCACCGCCCTACCTATCGATCTACGAGTCGACGTCAGATCAGACACGGGAAGCTTCTCCGCACGATCAATGCTTGACATCATCCAAGCCCGCGGTATCAGAAAAATCCGGGGTAAGAAGCGCGGGAATGCGTCAGCAACTGCCTGATCGCCTGCTCGACGAAGACAAAATGAGGTGTTGTGGCCGTGCCAGAGATAAGGAATGGGGGCTTGGCATCAGGTCAAAGGCAGCACCATCTGGGCGGCAACGTGCCCGCCACCAGTCGATCGCGCTTGGCAGATAAGGCAAGGTTTGGCACCCGAGACAAGAACACCGGTCTGCGGCTTGTGCGTGTCAAGACCCGCTAACCCTGGTCTGTGGGAGAAGCTTGGCCTCGAGTGCAGTGGTTCTGGATCACAGGCTCAACGTGGAGGTTTGAGAGCTGGGTCATCTCGAAATCGAGGTCTCATTCTCCAAATTATATGTACAGTACAGGGTGTAAAAGGGAAATCGGGGAAAAGGTAAAAGCCAGCTCTACTGCTGCGCCGCCAGCCGCCGGAAAAGACAGACACATTTGTTTGGTATCTCGTAACTCCGGCCAGAAATGCTCATACAAGACTCCGCGAAAAGCACACCACCTCTATCCACGTTGGCTTTCTAGTGATGACCCTCAAGCTCGGCCTTCTCCTGTCCGGCCGCAATTGCATGGCGGTCACCGCCAATGCCGGTGTGGGCGTGGTCCGCGCTGCTCTCGCTTGGCTCCTTGCCCTCGAGCATCTGGCTGTGCTGCGTGATACCATGTCGGTCGCCCTGAGGAATCGAGTGCTCCGTGTTGGCCGGCTCGCTCTTAGCAGGCGTCCAGGCAAGATAGTCACGACGGACCTCGACGTAATCGTAAGCGAACTCGCCGAGCTGGTCATCGTCCATTCCGAGGAGCTCAGCCTCTTCTGAAGCACGGAGATGGAGGCCGGGAATCTTGTCGATGAGGAAAGCAAGAAGAGCGCTAACGCCAAAGGCGTAGGCACTGGCGGCGACAATGTAAGCAAACTGGATATACAGCTGCTTCCACTCGTGCTCGATCCAGCCACCGGGGAATAGGCCCGTGTTGACTCCGTCGAGACCAATGATGTAGCCTGTGCCGAAGATGCCGTTGAAGAGAAGTCCGACCATGCCGGCGACACCGTGCTCAGCGAACACGTCGAGAGCATCGTCGATCTTGATCCAAAACTTGACTGCGCAGCTATTAGTGCCTGATAAATAAACTATGTGGCATAGACATACTCTTAGTGGCAAAGTTAGCCACAACGCCCGTGGTGATACCGAGAACCACGCTAGCCCACGGAGGAATGAAACCAGAGGCAGGAGTGGCGGCGACCAGACCGGAAATGACACCTGAGCACCAACCGACCATAGACCACTTGCGAGCAAGGCGCCAATCGAGGAGGACCCAAGTCATTCCGGCGAACATGGCAGTCAGGTTGCTGTTCCAGCAAGCCATGGTAGCACGCATGTTGGCACCAAAAGCAGAGCCTCCGTTGAAGCCCAGCCATCCGAACCACAGGAAAACGGTACCGAGGGTGATGAGAGAAACGTTGTGCGGGCGGAAGTTGAGCATCATCTTCTCCTGACGACGTCCAAGAATCCACGAGTAGGCCAGGGCAGACAGACCAGAGCCGATTTCGACAGGGCCGCCTCCAGCGTAGTCCAGACCACCCCACTTGTAGAACCAGCCATTGATATTCCACGCCCAGCAGGCAATGGGGCAGTATACGATGGTGGCCCAGAGCCAGATGAAGACCATCATGGGAATCAGGCGTCCGCGCTCGGCGACGCATCCGACGATAATGGCAGCGGTAACGGCGCAGAATTGCATCTGTGAAATCCTGTAAGCAATTGCGAATGTAGTAGCGGATTTTGCATACCTGGTAGAAGGCATACAAGAGCTCTGGAATCAGTGGACTGCCGGGGCTGGGAGCACCAAGCGTGTTCATGAGACCAAAATGGCGGAGATCCCCAATGTAGCCGCTGGTACCGCTTGCGCTAAAGGCGAGCGAATAACCCCAGAAATACCACTGGAAGGTGATGACGGAGCTGGAGAACATGCAGGCCCAGATCAGAGAGAGGGCAGATTTCCTGCGCGCGAGACCAGAGTAGAGGAAGCCGAGACCCGGTACCATGACCAACACCATGGCCGAGGCCACGATGATGTAGGCCTGATCACCCGATTGGAACCATTGGTTCAAGTTCTCGACATCTGGAGTTCACAGCACATTAGTTTGGGTTTCCAGAGTGCGGAGGGCGGTTTTGCGGGGCGGGTCGCGCAATGGTGATGGTGTTGCGACCTTCACGTGCGTGGTGACACAAAAATGTCTAACTTACTGGAATCTCCACCCAGGTTGGTGTTGGTGCCATTGAAGACGGTGGGCGCCCCGACCCACGAGTACGACATGGCGGGAGGTGGTCTCGGTGCCGCGTGGAGTGATCAGGTATTAAAGGGTGTATAGGAATGCAAAGGAGGGTGAGGCGGTCGGGACTGGATGAAGGAAGGAGAAGAAGAGGAGCACAGATGGAATTGCCCCAATGATATAAGAACTGGCAAGGGAGAAATCGGAGCCCATGAGATCGTCACGGCAGCTTCGCCGGGGCCCTTTATGGGTGAAGCTATTTCTTATCAGCCCTTGTCCACGGACCACCATTGAGGCAAAATAAACGAGAGCCAGCGCCCACAGCCGCGACCGCCGTGGGGTCGCGTCAGATCTGGAGCTTTGTTCTTTTTTCCTGCCGGGACCGGGGCGGGCTGGCGTCACTGTGCATTGTGCCTTCACGCGTCCTTATCGCGCGGCTCCCGGGGCTGCTGTCGCGCTGATAGGGACATCTGGGGCCCTGAGCGGCCACGTCGCGGGCGTCTCGTAGGGAGGCCCTCGCCGGCCGTCGAGTCTGCGCACTGCCGGCCGCTCGCGCGCGTCGAATTCGCCTTGAAGCTGCGCTGCCGGTTGCGGTTTCATCTGCGACGCTGGGCTTGGCGTGTGGGATTGTTGGTAAGGCGATTGTTCACGGAAAAGTACCAGAGATAAGCAGGCGGCGCTGGTTGGGCGGCGGGGCGAGGGGGCGCTAAGCCTTTTGCACCCGCGGGTCTTGCCATGCCTGGCCGCTGTCTGTGGCCGATGGCCGAGGGGCCTGCCACACGTCAACCGCCATCATCGCGACCGCGGGCGAACCATTGTGCGAATGCTTTGCACAGAGATAACAGTCCGTGGACGCTACCTGCGTGCTTTGCGAGCTCGTTGGCCGCCGCTGCGCCGTCCTCATCTCTCTCCCCACAAGACGATTCCACGTCTTCAACGGATCCCTCCCGACCACTCCCGGGCGCCTGGTTCTCTCCTTTCACGAACCTTCACAAACACCTGGAATCGACCGCACGTGCTCACGACCCGCGGGATGGAATCAGCTGCGAACCCGTCCACCGTCGGGCGGGTGCACCGAGGGCTCTCGTCAGCTCGTCTCCCAGGCACCGGTCCGTGATCGCCAGCGGAAGTCGAATCGAGTCTAAGCACTTGGCGCCGTCCTGAAGATTCTGCCCGGCCACAGTCGAACCACTCTGAAGCTTTACGGGCTTCCGTGCGCGCGTCCGCTCTTCGTCGTGCTGCGCGCCCCACTCGCCATGCAGAACGCAGCCAGAATGCTGACTCGCAGCACCAGCAAGGTCCAGAAGCAGATTCGAGCCAGCTCGATTGACGGCAGTAACTCGACAGTCGTTGTCCGTTTGTTTGTGGCATGCGTGGGCGCACCTCCACACTGTAGTAGGGCTGTCAGCATCTGCAGGTCAGAACCCTTTCCGCCCGCCCCGCGCTGCAGGGCGGGAGTGTCGCGAAAGCAGGTGAGCTCACGCGTCCATCTCAGCTCGTTATGCTTTCCGGACCAGTGGGGTGTGAGAATGGCCGTGGCGGTCATCTTGGAGTGTCAGAACCTTTACACGAACGTGGGGCAGGCTTAATTTTGAGGGGCAGCACCCAATCACAGCCGACGTAAAATTTTCTCGACAACGCCTAATACCTCATTGCATTCCACACGGTAGCGTTTTCTATGTGGGACATGCTTGTCTATCTGTGCTCCTGAAACTTTTGCAATTCTGTTGAATGGTGGGAGCCGGCGGCGAACTTTGTGCGTCCGGCTTCGGAGCTCTTACTACGGCCGCAGACTAACCGATATTCCAAGCTGGTTAGCGGCAATGCTGTTGTTCTAGCCGGAGCACAAGACTGACATCTCCGTAGTACTGGGTACTAGAGCTTATGGCCCAACCCACTCTTCGCCGCATCTTCCGTGCGATCCATAAGCAGGCTGTACGGCGCACGAGCTATCGAGACAGCCTTCCCTATAGGATCCGCGAGCACGACTCTCGTCCTTTACGCAGTAGCTTTGGGGACCGTCCTCTCGTCTTTCATGGGACCTTCCGCCAAAGCGAGCATGTCAGTCCATATCATTTCAGCAAACAGAACCGAGCGTCAAGCCCCTTGCGACCAGTTTGAGGAAGTAACGAGGGTTTGCGTACCCTCCAAGGCCCGCAAAGCTTACACTGTGTTACTGGAGACTTATCGGAACAAACATCTCAATGATGTTCAGCATGTATTCCGCACTTATTTCCAGAAACACCACCAGCCTAGCGCATGTTGTTGGCCAGCTCACGCCCGATCGCCCCTTTTGAGCTCCGAGCGGATGTCCACGGTGACTCGAGAAGCTCGCAAGGTGCCACCTTGGGTACGCATCCATATCCTCATTCCACTAATATTGTAGTTAGCCTGTCTTGCGAGACGACGTCAATCGAGCCTATACAATGATGCCCAGCGCCGAAGCCCCCGCAAAACGACCAGCATCATGACTTTCAAACGCTCCGGATACACTTTCCACTCGAGACCAGCTTCCATTCGGCGACGTCCTTGTTGATTTGGTATAGCTTCGAGTAGGGCGTCTATGTTGGAAGCGCGCCGGTCGATTCCCAGAGTACAAGGGATGTATGCTTACTCGTCCAACCCTGTGCAAGCGGAAGAAAACTCCTACATTGGATGTGACGGCCCCTAAGAATGTCTTGCCTAACTGGAATCTGAGCCTGTCGGAAGGTCCTGCTCCATTGTATGAGGGCTGGGTCAGGAGCTTAGCGCGGCAGCACTGACCTCGGGACACTGGTGGCACAAGATCCTCTTCGCATCGGCGGTCTAAAATCCTCGGAGAATTAGGTAAATGGCAGAGTTCTCGATCTTAAGACGGGGATTCTGTACTATGGGAAGAGTCTGGCAAAAGGAGAGAGGTGCTATTACCCCGTGGAGGACTCTCTCTACCTCCCGCTTGTTGCGATATGAAGGCTATGTAGCATAGCTTCCGCTTTCTTTTTATCGACGTCCTCCAGAATGTCCTCCACAGGCAGTGGGAATGTTTTCCTCGCATTAGATTTGATGCCCGAGACTGTCACAGAGACGGGTCATTCATAGCCCTGGGCTCGCTTCATACGCGGAGACAGCTTGCATTCAATATGGAGGCATTTTTTACCCCTGGCCTCCAACAAAGGTAACCCCGCCATGCCAGATAAGCCTGGTCATTTATTTATCGGCAGCCTTGGGTCCTTGCTGCGCTCCACGTGATTTCCCTTTTGAGAAAGACGGAAGGAGCTGAATTAGGTATAGGGCTGAATGCCAAAATCGTGAATGCGGGGAAAGCTCCACCAACCTTGATCAACTTCTCCTGATTCCTGCACCTGCGACTGCTCCTGCATGCGCCCTTAACATCCTCGCAGAATCAGCGGGACCTCCCTGGCTAGGGGCACCGGGCGCTTCGCTTCCGCCAGCTGAAATCTCTGTGTTACTATAAGGGCAACTTTGACCACACCTTCTTTCGACGTTGACCTAAGGCATTGGTCTCACGCCGGTTTCCGCGCCATGCACTTCTTCCAAAGCGATATGGGCCAGCAATTGCCTTTCAATGGGATGGTTTGGACCGTCACTAAATCCCCTTGAAAGGCGCAGACGATACAAAACCAGGGCTTGCCCACCTCACGAAGTGGTTTAAGAGGGTGGCTAAATTCAGGACCCAAACCGTCAATACTCTCCACAGCTTGGCATGCACGACCCATACACGTATACGACTCTACAAGCCTGCCCACCATGTCGTTTTCGGAGGACCGCGACTATACTCGGATGTTTTGCGTGGAGGGCGCACTCACCGCCAGATGTGAACTCTTTTTGGGCCCTGTCACAGCCTCTATTGGTGGGAATTTCTATATTCAGTCGTCTTCCGCTCCCTGAAGGGCAAGAATCCTCCCCGTCACTCGTTTATGCAGAGCTGTAACTCTGCTGGTCATATGCCTCGGGAAGCCATGATCATCTCTTGTTCCATCTACGGGGTTGTCGACAATGACGAATTTGACGGCCGTCGAGCGACGCCCGCGAGCGAGAACTATCGACGACAGACAGACGTAGCCCGTCCGATCCCTCCGCCCATTACGGTAGACCACGTTCCGTGCTAACTTCCCGGTCTTTTCTTCCGCGGCACGTGTTCCTGAGCATTCAACAGCTGTTTCGACTCTCACGATTGACGTACGCCCCCTCGTACTCAGTGCTTCCTATCCGCCTGCGGCTCTGTCGCGGGCTCTACGCTCGCGTAGCCTCGGGCTTGATCCTCTATCACTGTTTGGTCTCATGAACTCTTTACCTTGCTAGTCTATCAAGTCGGGAGAGAATGCAAGGCATGCAGGTTGCGTAATCTCCAGCCTACTACCAGAGCCGGAAACCTCCACATCCGGACCTTTCCGACTCTAATGCAGCTCTTCGGCAACTAAAACGGCCATCTGCTGCCTGCATCCAGCTACTCGTGTACAGTAGCTGCCCTAGCATGAAGCATGCCGATACGGACCGAACTTCAATCATCGAACTGCTGCACTGCCCCGTAAGAGCGGTAATAATCCCCCCATTATGACAAGCATCCTCAGACTTTTGCGGCCGAAGCCAATCAGGCTCCGTCTTGGGGGTATCCAGGTAGATGGTGGCGACGCCTAGGCCCCTTTCTCCACACTACATGGGGATCTGCCGTCTGGGGAAATCGCCAGGCCCCTGGATAGTCGACCGGAAAATGAAAAGGAAGACATTCGATACGTGAACGCCCATATCACCCCAATTATTGGACCCTGGATCTACAGCTACCGTTCAGACCTCGATCGCCGGCCATTAGTCGCCTGCTCAGACTATAAGACCTGTGGTCTATGCTTTTCATTTGGTTTCGCTCTTCAAAAGAAATTCATGACTTTGTGACAAACATTCTTCCGGATGGCAGGAGACTTCCCTAACCTGGATCTCGTCACTACCTCACAATGGGTGGAACCAGACCACATCCATCCTGTCATACGATCATGGCTTCCCGCGTATAGCATCACCCTTACAGTCGTAGCCACACTCATATTGACAGCACGGATTTGGTCGCACAGCAGGACAAGCGTTGGTGGCCTTGGTCTGGATGATCTTTTTATAAGTAGCGCCTGGGTATGGTTCCATCGCTACTGCCAGACATTTCGCTCACTCGCCTGAAGGTATTTGCTACGTTGTTCACTGCGGCATGCCTCCTCGGGACCCTGAAGCACGGCTTCGATAGACATGTATGGGATGTGGAGAGCACGCACTATACCCATGCGGCATTGGTAAACATTGCTCAATCCTCTGTTCAATCGGTTCTAACGCTCATCAGATCCAATGGCTCAGCGAAGGTGCCTTTACCCTTAGCATCTGCTTCACCAAGATCTCGGTCCTTTGCTTCTATCGCCGGCTTGATCCTCCATGCACAAAGTCTTTTAGGAGGATCCTCTACGTTTTCATCGCGTCCACTGCATGCTATCTGCTTGCATCTCTCTTGACGCAGCTATTGATTTGCCAACCCATCGCCGCATACTGGGCCGTACCAAAACCTGACGCTTTAGGTCGGACGTGTACCAGCCAGCGTGTCTACTACCCTGTCCATGGGTCGTTGGGGGTCTTTTCTACTTTTTACACTATTGCGATTCCCTACTCAGTCCTTCGCAACGTGCCCATGTCGAAGGTTCAGAGGAACGGCCTAAGGGCCATCATGGGCATGTCACTAGTGTTCGTCATTCGTTCGGTTGGTGACACAAAACGCTAACAGCAAGCAGTGTGATAGGGGCTGGCATCGCTCGAACCATATTTCTGTTCCGACTGGCAGACAGCCAGAACGGAGACGCGACCTGTAAGTTCACCCCTGCTTCCGATTACTGCACGTCGAAAGCACATGCAGATAGAAACCTTAAACCACCCATCAGGCAAGCTTGTGCTGCGTGAGAAATCTGACCTTCTCTTAGGGAACGGATTCAACGTCTTCGTGTGCGCGCAACTGGAATGCCACTTCGCCCTGATCTGCGCGTGCCTGCCATTTCTCCAGCGCTGTGTCTCGCAAGACCCGTCCCTACCTATCATCTACTACTCTGACAGTAGCAAAGATCGAAAGGCTTCCGTCGTATCCAGAGTTAGCAGCTCCCTGTCAGACCAGTTCAGGCGCCTACCCCTCAAGCGTGGCGCCAGCCCGCGAAACTTGGAGGCTTCCCGATCCCGACCGCCGGTCGCGGTGGAGATACCGGAATGGGAATTTCAAACACTGGGGTCGCCACAGCATGCGAGTTCACCCGTGGACGAGATCAGCTACGAACAGTACGTGCAGGGCAGGTTTGGCCCGCCAGCGCCGCCAAAAGACAGCCGTGATTTATTTGATCAGTACCGAAGGGAGCGGGGACACATTGGGTAAGGCTTGCAGGGGCGCCAGGGGTGTGCTTGCGTGCGAGGCGGTGAGCTTTCTCTGTGGAATGTATCCATTCCACGTATTGGAGTGGGAACAATAGAACACCAATATCGATTGATCTTCTCGCCGCTTAGGCAAGTGTCTGAATCCGAGCATACGAAAGGCTATGTCCATCGCAGTGGAAAGGCGCTGCACATAGGTTTCAGAGGAACGATCGCCAGGAGCTTGACGCTGTCGAGATGAGGCGCACACCATCGCTTCGAATAGAAATGCCATGTGAACTCTTGACCCTTGATCCCCGCGGCGCCCATGTGCAGAGGTGTCACATAGCACGCCCACTTTCAGGGGCACCGTTCTCACTCTCCTCAATTCTGGTAGCGATGGTTGAGGTGAGTGAGGAGAACGTTCACTCCAACCAATCTTAGTGGTCGGCTAAATGTGGAGCCCCGATGTCATGCATGTTCCGCAGGCACGAGCCAGCGGCTTGCCCCGAACAAAGCTTAGCTCGAGGTCCCGCCAAGGCCAGCCCGGGCGACTGTGACGGCCCGTAAACGCATAGAGACGCCCGCTCATCACTCACATATACCACACCGCTTGCGCTGAGCTGCACGGCGTCCCGCACCATGGTGCTTTCGTTCATTCTCATACAGAATCGCCAGTACGTAGCTCGCTGCCGTCAGCTTTGATTCCGTCACACGGGAACTGACGGGTGCGATTAGAGGGAAGACCAGGTTGGCGAAGTGGTATGCACCATATAGTGTAAGTCACACCTCTATTTTGAGGCCTGCGATTGCGCCGCGGAATCACATATTAATCTGAATGTAGGATGAAGAAAAAGTCAAACTGAAGGGCGAGGTACGCATCCCTTTCGCACACATTTCCCCCAAGCTCCACCATCCTGTCGCTCCCTCCCTCCCCTCCCTTCCCGTCGACTCTTCGATTCCGCGCCCGTACACCTATCCTCACTCGCCATCCTACCCGCTCCATACTCGCTCCTCCCGATCACCTATCCACTGTGCCCTAACCATGCCGAGCACAGGTCCACCGCCTCATCGCCCCGCGCGACCAAAAACACCAATCCAACTTCGTCGAATTCCGCAACATGTCCAAAATAGTGTACCGGCGCTACGCGGGGCTCTTCTTCTGCGCGTGCGTTGACACGAATGATAACGAGCTGGCATACCTGGAGGCTATACACTTTTTCGTCGAGGTGTTGGATGCGTTCTTTGGGAATGTGTGTGAGCTGGATTTGGTGTTCAATTTTTATAAGGTATGTAAGCCAAGGAGGACGCACAGAAGGAGAGTGAGGGAGTGGTATGAGGGGATGAATTGGAGTTGGGGCTGACGGGACGTATAGGTCTATGCGATTTTGGACGAGGTTTTCTTAGCGGGAGAGATTGAGGAGACGAGCAAGACAGTGGTGCTTACGAGGCTGGCACATCTGGATAAGCTGGAGTAAACAAGGGGACAAAGGCCGCCACCGATACGAGATTGGATCAGCTTTGCGTTGCCATTGAGCAAGGGCTGCCGCCGCGGCTCGAGGGTTGAAGTTGCAGTATGCGGCTAGATGGCAACCACTGACAGGGAATAGGACGAGCGAGGAAGATGCTCAGAAGCATTTGGTTGAATGCCGTGCCAGTACGCCCTCAAGCGACTTATGGCGTGCGAGGAAAGGAGCGAAGGCCATGGAAGGCGGATAACGGTAATATAAAAGCTGAAGCGCTCTACAAGAGACAGCAGCTATAAACTATAGCGTCTTCTTGATGATCTGGCCCTTCTTTCCTACATGCTGCTTCGCGAGATGGCTTGTAAGTCGTTGTGAGACTGTCGCCTGTCAACAACGCAAAGCTTTCGACCTAGTTGGATTGGAACGCGTCATGAAGTCAAGTTGACGCGTATGCGATGCCCAGGCGAAGAGCTTCTCGCCGGATCCCGAAGCTACCGATTGTAGATCATCGGTGGGAACATGGAAATGCACGATTAACAAAAGTCTCGCACGCCCGTGCAGGTTGCTCCAATCGCACGTGGTGGTAGTCCGCTTCGGAAAATGGCTCGATCCGCCGACGCGCACAGACCATGCGCTTCGGTATGGAAAGTTCAACGGCTACGAAAATAATGCCAGATCACCCAAATCAAACCCCCGGCTACACACCTGCCGAGCCTTTCAGTGAGCTTTCTCTCTGATATGGTGCCCTCCAGAATTACTCCGCGTCGCTCCATTCTTCCTCAACGTGCGTGACCGCGCGAGCTACGTGGCTCGTCCTCGACCGCGACCGTGAGATCCCCGCGCCGCAATCATGTCCGACTTCCAGATGTACCACGCCCTCGGGCAGGGCTCGCCGAACCCCAATGGTCCCACCAGGAAAGACGAGAATAGATTCCGCCCTCCAGTTGCCGCGAGCCCTTCGGGATATCAGCAGACTGACAGTCCCGCATACGGTCATACTCCCAATCAGTACGCTGGCGCTCCAAGCCAAAATGCGCCTCCAAACCAGCAACAGAGCTACTTTCCGCCGCAACCGTCGCCGCAGTATCAAGCAGGTCCAGATGTCAACAACTTGACACAACAGATGGGAGGAATGGGATTGGGTGCGGAGCAAGCAGGACAACCCAGGCACCACAAGAAGAAGGATCGCCACGCATATCACAACATTGAAGGACCTGGCGGGAGCTCGCAGGCGTTCAATGGCATGCCTCAGAGCGGAACGCCCACTCAGTTTCTGAACCAGAGCTCTCCACAGGCCGGCGGAGCACAATGGGCACAACCTCAGATCACGCCAGCAATGAACCAGTTCCCTGCGGCGGCACCAATGTTCAGTCCGGCGAATCAAGCTACAGGCATGCAGCATGCTGCGCGGGCGGGCACACCTCTCACTGGGACACCTGCTTCGTCATCGCAGGGCCGCGTGGATCCTGAGCAGATACCAAGCATACCGAGATCTCGAGACGCGCCGGCGAAATACTATCTGGAGCACGTATATCCAACTATGGAACATCATCTGCCTCCGCCAGCTTTGGTTCCTTTCGTCGCCTACGATCAGGGTAATTCCTCGCCTAAATTTGCGAGACTGACGTTGAACAACATTCCCTCCTCACAAGATGCGCTCTCCGCCACACATCTACCGCTAGGTCTCATTGTTCAGCCACTCGCGCCGTTACAAGAAGGCGAGCAACCGATACCGGTGCTGGACTTTGGAGAAACAGGCCCACCGAGGTGCAGGAGGTGTCGAGCATACATCAACCCCTTCATGCAGTTCAAATCAGGGGGCAACAAGTTCGTCTGCAACATGTGTACCTTCCCCAATGATGTTCCTCCGGAGTACTTCGCACCTACAGATCCGTCTGGTGTGAGGGTAGATAGATTACAGCGTCCCGAACTGACGCTTGGTACCGTCGATTTCATGGTCCCCAAGGAGTACTGGTCCAAGGAGCCTGTGGGCTTGAGATGGCTATTCCTGATTGACGTCAGCGCTGAGGCTGTCAATCGAGGGTTCCTCGACGGATTCTGCGAGGGCATTATCAGCGCACTCTACGGCGGAGAGAATGAGAAACCACAGGTAGAAGGCGAAGAGGCACCCCGAAGGCTCCCGAAAGGCGCCAAAGTCGGTATTGTGACGTTCGATAAGGAGATGCACTTCTACAACCTTAGTCCAAATCTGGACGCAGCTCAGATGTTGGTAATGCCGGACATTGAAGATCCGTTCGTGCCGCTGAGCGAAGGATTGTTCGTCGACCCTGAGGAGTCGAAGGCGGTCATCACTTCGCTGCTCACTCAACTACCGAATATGTTCTCAGAGTTCAAGAACCCAGAACCTTGTCTGCTTTCGACTTTGAACTCGGCTGTGGCAGCGCTTACAGCGACAGGAGGAAAGATTGTGTGCTCATTAGCTGCTCTACCGACATGGGGCCCTGGGCGCTTGTTCCTTCGCGACGACGGCAACCTCCACAATACAGATGCGGAGAAAAAGCTTCTATCGACTGAGCATCCTGGCTACCGAAAGGTAGCGCAGAAGATGGTGGAGAGCGGTATCGGCATAGACTTCTTCATGGCAGCGCCTAGTGGCGGCTATTTGGATATCGCTACAATAGGTAGGTCATATTCAGAACAGCTTTTGTAGGAGATGTAAACTAACGGTTGTGCAGGCTATGTGTCAGCTACCACGGGTGGCGAGGTATATTACTTCCCCAACTTCCACTCACCACGGGATACGCTCAAGCTGTCCAAAGAGATCAAGCACACTGTCACCCGAGAAACCGGTTACCAGGCTTTGATGAAGGTGCGATGCTCGAACGGTCTCCAGGTCGCCGCCTATCACGGAAACTTCTACCATCACACTTTCGGAGCCGATCTTGAATTTGGTATCATTGATGCCGACAAAGCTATCGGTGTCATGTTCAGCTACGACGGCAAGCTGGATCCCAAGCTCGATGCTCATTTCCAGGGTGCGCTTCTTTACACGACGGCCAACGGAGAGCGTCGGGTGAGATGTGTAAACATCGTCGCTAGCGTCAGCGAAGGGGCTGCTGAAGCGATGAAGTTTATCGACCAGGATGCCGTCGTAAGCATCATCGCAAAGGAGGCTGCTGCTCGCATATCCGAGAAGAACCTCAAAGAGATCCGAGGAGCTTTGACTGAGAAGACCGTCGACATTCTTGCGGGCTACAGGAAGAACTTCACGGGACACAACAACCCTCCTGGCCAACTCGTGCTTCCTGAGAATCTGAAAGAGTTCAGCATGTACATGCTAGGCTTGATCAAGTCGAGAGCATTCAAGGGTGGCAAGGAGCCTACCGACAGGAGAGTGCACGACATGAGGTTGATCAAGCACATGGGTCCGTTGGAATTGTCGCTGTATCTTTACCCACGGATGATCTCAATACACAATCTGGACGAGAAAGACGGTTTCGCCAACGAAAACGGCCATTTAAGGATGCCAGATGGTGTACGGGCGTCGTTCTCAAAAGTCGAGGAAGGCGGCGCTTACCTCGTGGACAACGGCCAAATCTGTCTGCTGTGGCTGCATGCGCAAGTGTCACCGAACCTGCTCGAGGACCTCTTCGGAGAGGGACACACCAGCCTAAAGTCTCTAGATCCGTTTTCATCCACATTACCAGTCCTCGAGACACATCTCAACGCACAAGTGCGCAACATTCTACAATACATGGAGACCACCCGCGGCTCCAAAGCGCTCACCATACAACTCGCCCGGCAGGGCCTAGACGGCGCCGAATATGAGTTTGCGCGGCTACTCTATGAAGACCGCAACAACGAAGCGCAGAGTTATGTGGACTGGCTCGTCCATGTTCATAGACACATACAGCTAGAGGTACGTTTCATCGATACCGGTCTCCCGAAAGAATATTTCCAGACGTGGATTGAGGCACCTTGGTTGAGTGCTAACGAGCGGACAGCTTGCGGGACAGAGGAAGAAGGAAGATAACGATGGGCTGGGATCGACGTTTGTGGGGCTGAGGACACCGTATTGGGGGTAAAGGGAGTGGTGAGGGTGGTTTATTGCATAGCGTATCTTTGGCGGGGTTAGCGATGGTATGCAGAGAAACATGAATTATGGCTTGTTGAGAACGACCATGCGATCCCGGACTTATCGCAGGTCTCAGTGATATGAGTGACGCCTAGGTGGACATTGAGAATTAGCAAATCAGCACGTGACCTTCGGAACAATGGATGGGCCGCTCTCGCTTAGCATTTCCGCCCACCCAGAACTTTAACGACCTGTCGCGACATTCCGCTCAGCGAACAGTAAACCTCGATAATCCTCCACCATGCCGACCCGCTTGACTAAGACGAGGAAACAGTAAGTTGCGACATGTGCCCCCTTTTGAAGACTCGATAGCTAACAATTGCATGCAGCCGCGGCCATGTGTCCGCCGGTCACGGTCGTGTCGGAAAACGTACGTCGACTTCGTAACTCATACAAGACATTCCAAGGCTAACAATTATGCGACAGACCGCAAGCACCCCGGTGGTCGCGGTTTAGCCGGTGGACAGCACCACCACAGGACGTGAGTCTATACAAACCCGCGGAGCGGGTGAGCTAGCTAACAGGGTTTCCCAGCAACATCGACAAATACCACCCGGGCTACTTTGGAAAAGTCGGCATGCGGTATTTCCACAAGACGCAGCAGAAATTCTGGAAGCCCGTCATCAATCTCGACAAGCTCTGGTCGCTCGTTCCCGCCGACAAGCGCGACGAGTACCTAGCCAAGAAGTCGGATAAGGCGCCCGTCCTAGATCTGCTCTCCTTGGGCTACGCAAAAGGTGTGTGTGTTTTTAGACCGCTACTCTTCTCTCGTCTCTCTCGGCGTCTCCGTGGTGCTAATTCTCTCTCTCTAGTTCTTGGCAAGGGCCGCATCCCCGAAGTTCCCATCGTCGTCCGCGCGCGCTACGTCTCCAAGGAGGCTGAGAGGAAGATCAAGGAAGCTGGTGGCGTCATCCAGCTCGTCGCATAAGCGGTTGCTGGTGTACGCGAATACGGTAGCTTGGGTCGGATAACGGATAACAAAATACCTTGCGAAAATGGGCTTAGGGTCCGTGTTGCCTCACTGGCGCACGTCTTGACTCTTGCAGCGTGGTGGCTGAGGAATGGTGTCGATTCCATAGGAAATTGATCATCCATTCCTGAACAAACCCTTTCTTGCCCAATGGCTCCCTACCTGGTAGGAGCCGATGCTCCTTGTGGGTGTCACTCTGCTTCGCTGCGGCTGGGGCTGCGGCCGCCGCGGGAATTACTGCAATGCCGTGACCTGCGTCTGTGATTCTCACATGTTGTAACGCTGACACGCTATGTTGTGTCTCATTGCCTCGAGTCTAATATACAGGCCTTCAGAAACCACTTCTGTGACTTCTACTGATTGCTGCAACTAATCGCTTACAAAATGTTTCCAATGAGAGCGCTGCTCATCCTGGCAAGAGTCGCGCCTATAAGGACTATGACGTGAGTCCTGTTGCACTGATTGACTTAATAAAACAGCCCAGAGGTCCAGCCTTACTCTAGCTACGTGGGTACTTCGTCCTCTCAACCAGAGCTGAAACGAGGAGCGGGGTATCAGTAAGTGTCGCCCCTGGAATAGACGATATATAATATAAACTGCTTTCCCTTATTCACACTACTTCGCATAAAGCGAGCGGTACAATTATGTGAACATGGCCAACGATTCTCATAATCCCATATTTATCCTAGAACGCCGACTTTGCTTTTGAGAACGCAGCGTGCGTACACTCATGTTGGAAATTCATAGAGCGCCTTGTCAATGCGGCGATTTACATACATGTAAAAGTAGAGAAAAAAGACAAATGGTTTACACATCCCTGAAACTCTGGTTCGGATGAGGACCCGTATAATGACCCAGATCGAGCGCTGGCCCTACACTTGCGCCGTTCTGCATGCTACTTCGCTGTTGTTGCAGCGGCGGTGCAGGATCTGGTTGATGATGATGATCGACATGGTTCGCGTCACTGTGTGGCGCTGCATTCTGCACTGGAAGCTCTGGATGCGGCGAGAGATATTACGGTTCGCGTCTCGCTCAGTTGTAGCATCTGTTGTTGCTGTTGTTGCAGAGGAGGTTCTTTGCTAAGCCTACTGCCCTTCGGCGATTGTGGCTCTGGATGGCCATCGTCCTGGGAAGGAGGAGGAGGATCTTGGGAGGACATAGTACGCCGCAGATCCATTTGTTGCTGTGCGGTTACTGGGGGCGGTTGATATGTATCTTTGGGTTGTTCCTGGTGGGTGGGCGGAGCGGGATAGGATACCGGTTGGGCAGGTGGGCGGCTGGAGCTGGTGTGCTGCATGCTGGATGTGCGGGGTGGGACTGTGAAAGTCTCAGTGGAGTGATGCACAGGCATTGGATGGTTGGCGTCGGATAAGGTGTAGGGTCTCGTTAGAGTGGAGGTTCGATATGGCTCTTCGGATGTACATGGCGCCGCGTTTTGCGGAAGACGAGGAAGGGAAGAGCGGTGGTCGGATGCGGTAGGTAGGTTGTTCCATGCTGCATCCCGGCCGTTGCAGTTGTCGGTTTCTTGTAAGGATGTATGCGGTCCTGTAGGGTCTCCGTGCTGGCCTGCAGAGAGGGCGTACGAGGCGTGAGGAGGATCCTTATGGAGTCTCTGCTGCTGACGCGGAATCGTAACCTCTTGAGGTCTAGCCTTCCTCAAAACCATAGCCCGCGTCTTATCCTCCATCTCCACCCGCTCTCGCTCCCTCCTCAACCTCTCTCGCTCCTCGTCGCCAGCCTTCTGCGCCACGCGGTTCAGTCTCTCTTCACACTCTTGCCAAATTCCCTTCTCTGCGCAGTCTCTCCACAAGACTTCGGTGTCTGGAGTATCTGCTTGCGGACGCTCATTCTGCGGGGTTGGAGCGAGCGTTGTGCCGGATATGCGGTGTTGAACGTCAGGCGCGCCAGGATTCTTTCGAAACTCGTCGGTATCGCGGTCGACTTGGGTGAGGAGTTTTTGAACGCGAGGGGTGATTAGGAAGGGGCTCTGGAATTGTGATTGGGGCTGGGGAGCTTCGATTGCGGGGCCCGCGTTTGGGTCGTGCTGAGGCGTCTCCGGGCGGAAATCTGGGAGCTCATGATCGAGGTGTGTCTGCTCTGTGTAGTTGCTCGAGCAAGAATTGATCAAAGGCGAAGGGGGCGCATATGTAGGTTCGTTATATATTTGCGGATCGCTGTTGCTCGCAAGTGGCTGCCGCGGGTTTCGCGGGTTTCGCGGCGGATAGGACGCTGGCCGGAGAGGTGGAGTCGGTGTTGGTATATGTATTGACGCTCTTCTGTGCGTCTGAGGTTCCGATATACGGGTCGGAGGCGCGAATGCTGACTGTCCAGTTGGTGGAAGGTCACTCAGGTTGAGTCGATTCTCTCCCTGTCCGGCCTCGTTCACTCCTTCCGCAGCGTCTAGGTCCTCGGTAGAGAACGGACCATATCTGTTCTTCCACGACTCTGGGACTGCACTCCTCGCAGGCTGCTGCCTCGCTCTCAACGGCGGGCAGGTCTGGCTGGCATTTACCGTATCCAACTTCTTCCTCATGCTCGGCCTGAGGCGCTTGTCCACTCTGAGAGACTTGCTGCGGCCCTCGATTATCTTCCGCCTCTCTTCTGTCTCTTTATTCTGCTGGCCCGCCAACCCCACGCCCAGCCTCCTATATTTCTCTAGAGAGCTCGCGTTCGTAGGAATGGGGATCCGGCTAGGCTGTCTGGTGGAAGGAGTCCTTCCCAATCGAAAAAGCTTGGAAATGTGGTCGCGTCCGTTGGAGAGGGTGCGTTTGAGCGCCGATGGCACCGGCTCCGGCTCTGATTCTGGCTCTGGCGACCGTGTGGGATAGATGTCAAAGTCTGGATCTGTGCACGGTTCGGTGACGGTGGGCGCATATGACGCTTGGATGTTGCCGCTGGGATTTCTATACACAGACGGCATAGTGGGTTCGTCGACTGAGTCTTCAAAGCTAAGACTTCGTTTTTCGTACGCCGACCTGCGTCTCAACGACGAATACGGAGCGGCTACCGGTTTGAAAGGCAAGCCGGGGTGCAGGCTGACATCCGATGATGCATCGCTTCGAGGTCCGTCTCCAAGGAGAGGGGCGAAAGGCGGATGGTGGCATTGTTTCGGTTGGCTATGAGCTTGCATCTGTTGCCGTTCCGTAGCCTCACGGTGGAGTTGATATGCGGATGGTTGGCGCTGCGTCTGAATAGGCGGCACGAACCGGCACCACCCAGGCTGCCTCTGCACTTCCTGGGCCCCGTTACCCTCCTTCTTCTCTGAGCTGAGGCCAAGCCTCTCTTGAAGGGCAGCGAGCCACTTCCGTCTCGCCATGGTCGAGCTTTTCGAATATATTTTCCAGTGTTCGGAACACTCGTCCTCCGTCGGTGTAGATGTCGATGAAGGTTCAGTTCGCTCGTTGAAGCTGCCCATGCACAGTGCAAGGGCGTGAAGAGTTTTCCTGTACTCACGGTGCGCTACGGCCCGACTTTCGATGTGTCCCTTGCGAATTGGACGTGAGTACCGCTCGCGTAGCCGAAGACAAAAGTGTGTCTGCTTCGGAGAGCTCTTCTCTAGAATCGTGCGTATTGCCTGATCTTCAGCGAAGCGTTGAGGGGAATGGGAAGAGGATGTCGCGGCGCCAGGCATTTCCGCCATGGAAATGGAAGGTTGGGCAGTGTAAGGGTTGCGACGAGGTCGTCGAAAGAAGGTTGGGCGCAGCCAATATCGCCATCTTTGGGAGCGCCTAGGCGGACTTTTAGAGCCTGGGGGTAAGCAGTCCATGGGTCGGCGACCCATTGGAAAAGCTGTAATTCGGGGTATGTTTATGAAAATGACGTTCGTTTCGTTACAGCTTGCCAAACGGCGGTGATGAGTGATGAAGCAGGCAGCTCACCGCGGGATAACGCCATAGTACACGATTGGAGGCACGTTTCATATCCCATTCACCGCTCTACACCCTACTTCTGTTCCATAGGAGCAAGTTGCAGCAGCTCTCTGAGAACCGCCTCGGCAGAATCCGGTTCCACTGTTCCTTGAGCGCTTCTCGCCATCATTTGCCCAACGAACCACTTCACCTTCTTGTGCTGCTGCTTTTCCACAATATCCTTTACCATATCCGCCTTTTCGTCTAACAGCTTCTGAGCCAAGTCCAGGTACTCCTGACGGGACAGTGGTCGTAGAAGCATGTCTTCGTCGGCAATGATCTGCTCCGCCGAGCGAGCGTCACCATCGAATTTCAAAGAGAGCAAGAGTTTCGCGGTTCGGCTGGTAATTTGTTTGCGCAGAAGATGTGCGATGATGGAAGCGAGCTGAACCGAAGAAACTCGATTTTCGGACCATTCTTCGCCCTTGAGGAGGCCGCCAAGTTCCATGAGAACCCTGGGTCATCGTTAGCTTGGGAGAAAATATTCGCGAATGCTGCCTGAGGGGCGCCCCATTAGTGTTTGCAAGGGCACTTACCAGTTACCTGCTACTCTGCCGACACGTGCTAGAATGTCCGGATGCCCGGGGAAGGTATGGCGTAGGTGCTCCACTACGTCAAAGTAGTAGTCCAAGCGGTCGCCATCGTCGAAGAGGAAGAGGGTACTGGCATCCTTTGAAGTAAGCCCGTAATTCTCGCTATCAACCAGCGTGTTCACGCAATCGTCAGACAGCATGGGCAGGGTATGCCGAAGATGGTTTACAAGGTCGTCCCCGATCACAACAGGGGCGATATCGGGGTCGGGCATATAGCGATAATCAATCTCGCCTTCCTTGCCTCGCAGGCGCTTCGTCGACTTGCTGCCTAGTGTCCATCCGCGCGTCTCGCCCTCAACAATAGCGCCACTTTCAAGGATATCAATTTGTCGGTCGCGTTCCGCAACAATAGCGTCCTCAACGGCCTTTACGCTTGCAAGGTTCTTGATCTCCGTCCGCTGACCCAGCCCAGTGACGCCATGATATGACTGCCCATGCTCGGTTGAACTGCCATTCCTTTCGCGGACGGACACGTTGACATCAGCACGAAGACCACCCATCTCCATACCCGCTGTGACGGCATTTACAGTCTTCAGGATTGTCTGTATTTTCCGAACCAATACCGCCGCGGTTGTGGGATCGTGTATCTGTGGAAGTGTAATGATTTCGATGAGGGGATGCGACACGCGGTTGAAATCGAGGAGGTGGGTGTGTGGGGGTTGTAGGACGGTCTTGGCTGTATCTTGCTCCATCTGAATCTGCTTGATACCAATGGTGATGGGGACATTTTCAGGACAGGCGCCGGCGGGGAAGTCGTGCGGATAGAGTGTGATGCTGCCATTTCTGGCAAAAGGTTCTAACGAAGTTAGCATGTCGATGAAGGCATCAACAGATCATGGGGGCCTTGCCATAGTACTGTGTGATCTGGTAACCCGCAGGCTGGTCCTGGTAGAAGTAATGCTTCCGATCGAAGCTGCTCTTGTGCTGGATCTCGCAGTTTAGAGCCAGGGCGGCGCGCAGTGCGGGTATGAGCGTTTCCTTCTGGAAATGCGGCTGGCTGCCGGGGAAAGCGATGTCGAATAGAGAGACATGAGTATTGGGCGTCTCGTTGATGGATGTTGCAGCGCTGGAAAAGAGCTTCCGCGCCGTGTTGAGCTCTGCGTGTATCTCAATGCCGACTGTGAGCTCCCACTTCTCTAGTCGAGCATCTTTTCCTTTCGACGACGGCTTGGAGGAGCTGGGAGTAGCTCGATCTTGCTTCTTCTTCTGCTTTGCGGCATCTTTTAGGAGCTTTCGGAAGGGTGCGCCGTCATTCGGCAGTGGTTCGCTATCGGTTTGAAGAGCTCGAACTGAGGTTGCGGCGAGGGCTCGGGTTGAAGCCAATGGCACTTTCCCCACGCGGCGCAGACATGATTGGCATATGTAAGGCCGTTTTGAGAAGATAGCGAAAGCCGTTCGGGTGTTGTGGGCGAGCATGGTGTGAGGGTTATCGAATGCATGTCGAACGATATCAACATTCGCATGTGTCCGTGCGCTGTTCCGATAGCTCGGGATGGATTCCGGAAACCTCCAACGTCCGCAGAGCTCCATCCATCCCATCCTTGGACTTTACCGCGGGATTCCCAGCATTCACAAATATCGGTGCCGAAGCCTGCAAAGCCTGTCCCAGAGTCGGCGAAGGAGTCCCCTCGTCCTATTTGTCGCCGTGAGCTCAGGCGCGCTCAGCCTCTTATCTTCGCTCAACCTCTTCTCGTCCCCCAGAGAGGAAACGTCTGGTAGCTCCTCTGATGAATGGAGAGGTCGGACTCCAGTCGGCAGCTTGCCGTTCGACACGTGAATGTTCGCGAGGATATAGATTGGAGCTTGGACGTACACTGACGAATCGACGTGCACCTGGTAGAACCCCGTACAATGCGGGAATGTTCCAGGTCCGGCTCCTTGTGGAGTAGCAGCAAATGTCTCGCCGGAGTCGCACATCAACGCTCAGTTGGCCTGTTTGTGGCGAGCAGACTTGCGTTGCTCGCACCGATTCCTCAGATATGCGTATAATCTCTTGAACCGATCTCGATACCGCTCCCAGGTGGCGGCTTCTTGCTCACCTTGCCGTGCAAGAGGGACGAAAGTACCAGGCTGGACGTATGTGGCCGGCCAGCGACTGAAATCCGGCTCGTACGCAGTCGCTGTGCTGGTCGAAGTGCGTCTGCTCGACATCCAGCTACGCTACGCTAGCGATCTTCTTCCCTTTCAGCGTAGCCTTCAGCACCCGAAGCTTGAGCTTGAGCCTCTCCTTGTTGCGCTTGAGCTTCTGCTTGTTCCGCTTTAGCTTCGCCTTGCGGCGCGCCCAGGCTTCTGGATCGTGCGGACGCGATATGGACCCTGTGCTTAAGCCAGTCCCTGGTACGAACGCAGCAGTACCCGTCGTGGCTGTAGAGGTACCGCAATTCCCAATCGATGCTCCAGTGCCACAGGCTTCCGCTGAGCCAGAACACGCACCGCCGCCTGCTCCGCAAGCTGACATGCAATAGGCGTTAGATGTAGGTGAGTGGGTGATGAGATGAAAGCGCCTCCGATAGGAAGCGTGTGAGAATATGAAGAAGTGGAGTCTGTAGGTGAAGTGGTGATGAACCAAGCGTATGATCCCGCAGTAAGGATGGCAGCCGTAGAAACTGTGATAAGCAACCAATGGGAACCACAAGTAACGGTGGGTGGGTTGGGCCGGAAGCGAGGATGTGGGATGGTAGAAGAGTAAAGAGTAACGCCTGTGGATCAGATTCGTTTGTTTTCCGGTCCGATCGAGGAAGGAGAGGTGTGTCATGGTTCTTTCCTATAGCTATGGGGAAGGGCTTGAGCGGAGTTTCAAATACGATGCTCCTGCTTAGATTCTGGATATTTTGGTAGGTGCGAGCTGGCTGGATGTGAAGCCACTATGCAGTGACTATGCTAAAAAAAATTTGGTTTAAGATGGAAACGGACATCAGTTGTTGAAGCATACACGTCTGTAGGATACGGACAGTGCTGAAGAATACTCGTTGATTGCCCCGACCAGTGGTCTGGCATCTACATACATACTCACACGCTAAAAGGTTGCCTAGATAGCAATGCAAAGCTAATCGCCCCCCCGCCGGCCAAAAGCGCTCCAAATGCTACATGACTCAATCATGCCCAAAGATAAACACAAGAAAAAGGGTATTCAGTAACTCTGCAAAGCCTCAACGTAAATGGAGAGAAAATGAGCGTACGAACGTAGACAGTTCGGAGAAAGTAAAGTAAAAATGCTGCATGTGCGCCGTTGTGATGCAGGCTCAGGTGAAGATGTGCGTCCGTAAAGTCGTTGATGATCGAGTCGAATCTCTCCGCCGTGCGTCTTCCACACGTGTGCCACTCCAACGTTCCGCAGTGCATGTGACATAGTCGTCATAGGCGGTATCCGATGCGTGCGCGCATGTAGTGCTGTTGGTGTAACTTCGTAACGCCCCTGCGTCTCCTTCCTTCCGCATTCCTTCTGCAGCCACCCCTGCTGCTTTTCAGCCTCCCCAGAAGTGCATCTCTTCTTGGTCATCGATCATCATGGGGTTGGTCCGCAAAGGCGCCTACGAACGGCCGGTGCCAGCGCGTGCAAACTCTCTTATGCGGACGGCAGGGCCCTTGCTGAGTCGTTTGCTGCTGGTAGAAGACGAGGTCTTGGTTGACGTGGGGCTCGACGCGTAGACGTACTCGCCATCGACGTACTGGGCATCGCTGAAGAAGGTGGTGCGCTTTTCGCGGCGTGTGTAGCGCTGCTCGAGGCGGTAGAGCTCAAGTCCTATCCCCTTTATTAGCAGCCGCTCGTACTCGGGACTCAGACGCTGGAGGCTCGCATGCGCCGCTAGCAACCACACCCAACTGGTGAAGGAGAAACGTACTGGCTTGAAGCTTCTCAATCAAACCCATATTGACGGCGCAAACGGAATCCAGATACGTGTGCGTTGCGTTTCTCTTGTCGTGGATTTTGGAGTAGCGAGGGGCGTATATATTCTGCGTGTCTCGCAGGGGGGCAGGGAAAATGGCTGTCGAGCTGCAACACGCACGCGGCAGACGCAGTATCGGCTGTCAATGCAGCCGTGGACGATCAATCGGTCAACGAAGGACAGGTATCCGCAATGGTGGGTAACAGCAATCCAGCTCGCAGCTCGCTGAGAGAGAGTCGTGGAAGAAGAAGAGGAAGCGGCAGAAGAAAGCACAAACGGCAACGGCACAAAGAGGGAGGAGCGGGCGAGCGAAAGCGAGGATAAGGCGCGCCAAACGGGCTGGGCAAGCACTGGCAGGGCACTGGCAGGAACGGGTCCAGCTTCCAGAGCGCACGCTGTTGGGTTCGGGCAGGCGAAGGCTGGATCCCAGCGCCGCCTCCAAGCCGCGGCCTGCAGGCTCTCGAATCGGTTTGCAATCGCGGCTTGCACTATTCCAGCACACGAGCCGAACCTGCGGGATTTCGAACCCTGTGCCGGCCGATGCAGACTAGAAAGCACGCTTCTGCAGGTTGAAAAAGGGCCTCTCCTTTTGCCTGCGTTGGGCAGGTGCAATGCAACAATGCCGCCGACATCACGCACTCACGCACGCACGCCTCATGCTTTGCGCATCTTGCACCTCGCACCGCGCGGCACCGAGCACAGTTAGCAAACAGAGAGCGACTGTTCGGCGAATTCCCCGCCGGCAATGTCACCGGCTGCCCGAGTCAGCACCCACGTGGAAAGTCAGCCGTCTAGCCCCTTCGAGCCACGAGCGCCCCAAACGTGCCACCACCACCGCTTGGCACGCTACTGCTCCCTCCAGGGGCGCATTGACAGATTGGCCGTCCAAACCTGAAAAGCAAAAACAAGCTCGAACAAGGCAAACGTCAGAGATGATCACGAAGGCCACTTTCATGCATCGAACGCCGCCTCGTGTAAATTAGGTACAATTATAGAAGGGAGCACGCGGATGGCATAACAGCACCCCCGCAACACTCGTGTTTGATCTCCCTCTGCCCGTCGCCCTGCCGCGTTCTATCCGGCCGGTACATACGCCATGCTCAATGCCTTAACGCAGGGATGCTTGAAATCATGTGCCATGCCACGCCATGCCGACCGAAGAGAGCAAACGCGCCTTATATTCGAGATTCGCGAGACTCGGGCACTGAGCCCTCAACGACGGCAACCGCCCCGACATTTCCTGCATCCGCCGATCCGTTGAGCAACGAAATGACGGAAATGACGTCGGCAGGCTCGACGAGATGCCAGCTGGCCAACGTCTGCTTGGAACTCGCACCAACAGTGACGGAGAAGACATGGTCTGGAGGCAACGTCGCCTGACGCAGCGAGCGGAACATATCTGTGATCGTCAGCCACTTCATCTCCCGAGATTCTCCAGGCCAAAGTACCTTCGTCGGTGAAGTCATCACCAAGGCAGAGGACGAACTCCGGGGCTTCTCCAGGGCCGTCGCCGTATTCCCTGATCAGCCTCTTCGCAATCTCTCCCTTGTTGACGAACCGAGGCCGGACCTCTAGGTTGGCCTTGCCCGTCATGACTTCGACGTCATACTTCTTCGCAACTGTCTTTTCGAGATGCTTTTGGCACTCCCGTGCCTGGAATGCTCCGTACTCTGGGTCTGCCCGGCGATAGTGCCATGTGAGAGCAATCTTCTTGCGCTCGATGAACGAGCCTGCTAGTTGTCAGCGCTGTTGGCAATCCGAGGTTCGCGCCTCTTACCTTGAGTCCTCTCAGTGTAATGCTGGAAGATCTCCATGACCTCCGACTGCCAGTTCATGTCCGTCTTGTCGGTGAGACTCTCCCACTCTTCGGTGCGTGGATGCCGCATAAAGCTGCCATGCTCAGCACTTAGGCCGAGCTCAGTGATGTGACCCATCCACTCGTCCAAGAATGCTTGGTCTCTGCCACTAATAATCCATACAGCGTTCGCGGGGTCCGCTGCAAGAGTTTTGAGAGTACGGATGACGCGGTCGGAGGGGATTGCTGCTTGAGGATCCTTGACGATCGGGGTTAATGTGCCATCGTAGTCGAACATGAATAGGCGTTTCTTGGCTTGTCGATATTGATAGAGAAGCTTCGCCCGGTCGAGCGCAGGGGTCGCGAAGGACTGGTCGAACGACGATAGGTTCGTCATGAGCCGCTTTAGGAAGTTATTGGTCCAAGCCTGAACATTGTTGGCGAGCACATGCTTATATAGCTGCATATGGGCCTCTTCGCGCTGCTCTGTTGACATATTTAATGCCTCGTTGATTGCGTCTGCAACGCCACCCAGGTCCCAAGGGTTGATGTGAATCGCTCCGCCAAGTGAACCAGCAGTACCAGAGAATTCCGAGAGGATCAACGGCCCGTGATTGTCCTTCTGGCAAATGACGTATTCAAGGCTCGTGGTATTCATGCCGTCGCGAACACTGGTGATGAGCCCCACGTCAGCGAGCCGAAGAAGTGCGAAATACTCTTCCCTATCGAGGTACTGTGGGAAGTGCCTGACTGGCGTAAAGCTGAGCGAGCCGTATGTGCCATTGATCCTGGCAACCAGGTCAGACATCTTGTTGACCATCTTCTCGTCCTCCTCGGCGGTCTTGCCAGCCTGAACACTACTCGGGCTGGTGACCTGCACCAAAACGACCTTGTCTTGCCATTCTGGGTATTTTTCAAGGAACATCTCAAAGGCCTGGAGTTTCTGTGCCACACCTCGAGCGGCGTCCAGCCTATCTCGGCCCACAATGATCTTTTTATCCGGGTACAACTCTCGAATGCCCTTGATCTTCTCTTCAATGACCGGGTCACCAAATGCCTGTCGTTGTGTAGATGCAGCGTTGATACCGATTGGGAAAACGTCGACAGCGACATGGGCACCATAGGCGTCAACGCCGGCGGACGAGGAATCGAAACCCAGAATCCGGGTGCAACACGAGGAGAAGTGGCGCGAGTAGCTGTAGGATTGGAAGCCGACCATGTTTGCGCCTAAAACACCTTCGAGAATTTCTTTCCGCCTGCTGAGGCATCGATAGAATTCGCTGCTGGGAAAGGGAACGTGGAGGAAGAATCCAATATAGACATTCGGCATACGCTGGCGGAGCAGACTAGGCAGAAGAAGCAGATAGAAGTCGTGGACCATGATGATATCACCAGGCTTGTAGATTTCCATAATCCGGTCGGCGAAGAGCTTATTCATGCGGTAGTAATCCGCCCAAGTCTTGCGCGCCGCACGGCCGTCGGCGGGTTCATTCTGCTTGTAGTGGAACAAGGTGTAGAGCTCATGCTCGGCATATTGCCGCCATCGGTCCTGATCCTTTATGATCATTACGTCCTCCTTCTCGTCGAATTCATCAAAGAGCCAGACCGGGACGATTCTGCCTCCGTGGTCTCGCTCGAGCTGCTTCTCCAGGCGGTCTCTGTCTTCTCGAGTCACGCGGATCCCTTCTGGCTGCGGAGGATGCGGGGGCGGCGTCTTTCCATCAACTGGAATCGGGGCTGAGGCCTTGTTCATAGTCGGCTGCACTGCACTAACACCTGACCCGGCCCCAGGCAGCTCGCGTATCTCTCCTGTCCACCCGACTAGAGTGTGATTCCATGGTGACGCCGAAGATGCTAGATAGGAAAAAGAATCGAATAGAGCGGATGTTCCCCGTCGCGGGCCCAATTCCCAGTCGTTGCCCGGTGAGAAACCGATATTGTAAGGGACTGCGAACGTCGCACTGATGATTCGACCACTGAGATTTAGGCCTGGATGTGCAGCACGGGGGTCGACGTCTGCCAGATCTTGCTTGTATGAAGGATCCTGCATCAAGCTTAGTTTTCGCAGTAACTCCTCTCCTGATCGAGCGCCAGCTGCTACCTCTGTGGGTGAGCTCGCACGGCCTTCGTCTTTGGGGGCAAAGTATGAGTTTGCATTCCATTGCGGGCCGGGTGTGACTTTTTCCGGGTCGAAGGGGAGCCTGGTATCCTGCTTCTCGGTGTCCTCGGGCTCGAAGTACGCGGAGTGGCCGGCCATATGCACTCCCGGTGTGACGGGCACGTTGGTGACGGAGGGCTGGAGCGCGGGGTGTGTGGAGGCTTCGACTGGCTCCGGAGAGCCCTGCGAGGGCCGGGTTGCGGGTGCCATGCTGCACAAGCCGGTCTCTTGAGTGTCGCGCTGCATGTTGTTTGTCAGTATATGGCAGGCTGGCGAAGGAGTGGTGCGAGAGGGGCAGGGGTGGTGAGAGTAAGGATGGCGTAGGGAAGCAAGCAAACAGCGCGCAGCGGAAGCCTGTGAAATGTCTGCGCGCGCATAGAGCCTGAGAAGCGTACCTGGGTCGCTGTTGCCTCGCGGGTTCTGAGCGGACGGCGGCCTGCACTGCGCGGTGCCTTCTGGGGTGACGGAGACGCCGGGGCTATCGTCAGGACCAAAAGTCGCACAAGGAGGACATGGGCGTCAAGCGGGGAGCGCGCAAAGGAGCGACGGGGGAGCGAAGGGCACAATTAAAATACCGCGCAAGAATTGGACCTTTGGGCCGTCAAATGAAGGCAGTGGAGAGAGAACTCGGCTGGACCTGAGGGGTGGGCTGCCTTTGACATGCCACTTCCGACGTCAGTCAAGCCCGGCGAACGGCGCTCGGGCCACCTTTTGCATGCGGGAGCAGGAATTAAAAGGCCGGCATGACTCTTCTGCGCCGTTCGATCACGCTTTTCTGTTGAGTTATGGCACTGTGACGTAAGGGGACCCCTACTGCCCCAAGCTTCGAGAGCCGCAAACGCACGGCTGAACCTCGATCCCACGCTCTCAGCTCGAGCTGCGCGCCGCGAGCTTCCTCGCCGCAGTAAGAGGCACGGTGCAGCGTGCAGAGGGCGTGCTCAATTCACCGGCGTAGGCCGCTCAGCACTGTCTGCCGCGGCCTGCGCGCGTTCCTTTCCCGCGGGGTGGAGCATCGTTCGATGGAGACTCAGTCGGGACCGCCGGCCCGAAGCGGCATAGCCTCTTGGCGGCATTCGCACCTCGCCCGGGCGTGAAGAAACTGGGTGCACGCTCTCGCGACAGCTGCAATCGCATCGGTCCAAGTCCCCAGCCTACCGCTGCCCGCCGTTGCCGTTGACCCAGGCCTCCCATGAAGCCGCATCGCGTCCGACAAGTATGTCGCTCGCATAACCCCTTTTCGCCCTCAATTGCGCTGTGGCAGCATTTCGTCCTCCCGTATCAACCCCGTCGACAGCGCCTGTCGTCTGCCGCGGCTGGGGCTGCGGAGTCTAGCCCTCTCGAAAATGCCAGAGATGGTTTGCCTACGTCGTCGGCGGCGCCGACGCCCCTCGAACAGCCCGAGTCGGAAAGAACAGAGCAGGTCGCACCCCGGAGGTTCGCAATCCACAAGGTGCTAGATAGGAAACCACAGACCGTATATGCCACTGCGCAAAGTATCAAAGACGTCGACCAGTCCTTGCTTCAGGCGAAGGCGGCCTTTGATGGAGTGGAGGACTACACGGGCGTCGTCGTAGAGGCGCTGAAAAGCAACAGTCCTACACGGGAGAAGGATTTACCCTGGTGTGTCGAGAAGGGAGACAAGCCTAAGGTACGCGCGTCTGAAAGGTGAGAAGTGCTCTTCCTGGAGCGCTCGACCGGTACTTACGCTCTTGCCGCAGATTGAACCTCGAAATTCGAAAGTTCTACGAGTACGCGAGACCCAGCAGAAGCGAAAACCTTGCTCGCAGACATGTCGTCGAGCAAGTGAGGGGCCACGTCCGCCAGGTGTTGCCGGACAATATACTTGAAGTTTTTGGATCAGAGCGGACCGGCATAGCCCTGGCGACCTCAGATATCGATCTCCGCCTCATGCGACATAAGGACCTTGAAGGCAACCAAGCAAAGCTACCGCCTTCGCGGGAAGAACGGATAGTCTTGCTGGAGGACCTACGCCAGCTTCTCGTTCAGCAATTTTCCCAAAACAATGCTTACCTACTGCCTATGTTGCGGCATGCGCGGTATCCCCTCATCACCGTCCAAGACCGCGCGTCAGGTCTGGATGTCCAGATTGTGCTAGCCAATGATACCTCGGTGTCCAGAAACCTCATGCAGCAATATATGGGAGAGTACCCTTACCTCCGCGAGTTATATTCTGTGGTCAAGACCACCTTCGACGTCAGAGGGCTTTCGGACGTGTTCCGGGGTGGTTTTGGGTCATATTCCATCTTCATGATGATCGTGGCCAGCCTGCGGCACATGCCTAACAAACGGCGGGACGGCGCAGGAGGACTCTTGCACTTCTTACGCTTCTGGAGCGAATTCGATACGGAGAGTAAGGGTATCTCAATAGAGCCGGCGTTGCTATTCGATAAATCTGAAGAGCTCGTCATGACGCCGAGGGCCAGGCAAAAGATTCTGGTGTGTATTTCAACTCCAAAGCCACCATCGAGACTCTGGTACTAACTTTCTTTCCTAGGACGGAAGACAACAGCCACTTCCCAAGTACATGCTCTGCTTGCGCGACCCTGCAGACGAGACCAACGACCTAGGCCGCAAAGGCGTCTGCATCAAACACGTAAAAGAGACGTTGCGCCACCTATGCCATCAACTCGAGAAGGACATGTCCGTGAATACAAGATATAGCCTGCTGGCCCCCCTCGTCGGCGACACCTACTCCCTGAATAGGTGGCGCAGAGAGAAGCTCGAACAGCAAGGCCGCAGAGTGCTTGACCAGATGCAAGGATCGTTCGCAGCCACCGCGAAGGCAATCCGCGAAGCGGAGGCCGAGGAGGCCCAGAAGAGCAAACAGGAGGAGAAAGTGCTGCAGTCTAAGCCCGGGGCGTCGGCATCGGATGAGTTCGGCCAAGCGATTACTTCGTCCTTGGGTATGCCGGCGATTGATGAGTGGGTGGATGGAGGAGACGAGCAGAAGGGCGAAGCGAAGATTGTATATGGGGGGCAAGACACCACCGTCGCGAGATAAGTGTTCTTGCCGTCTTCACATGGCGCATGGGAGGGCCATCATCTTTGAGCTGACCATGGGGGCAGCATGGTATAGCACGGTATGGAGCATAGTATTGGCTTAGAGACGGAAATGTACCTGGACATATTGTAGGAATAGGTACTCGCGAGGCGGGTGACATAATGTACAAGTATTTTGAATTTTGCCTGCAGCCTCTAGTTTCTCTCGGCTGCGTCCCTCCAAGCGACTCAAGGGGAGTCAGATAGCACTATTAGACACATCCTTTTGACCCAGGGCGGCGGTGTCATGCATAGATTGAACCAGTTGGACAACAGGTCAACATGTCGATATGTCGATAGCCTCAGACTTGATGCTCAGTAAGGCCCCCAGGGAGGTTCTCCGCGCTTATGATTCCATTGTTGCTCGTATGATCGAGCCACCCTAATCATACCCAGATTCATACCATTAAAGGGACGGAAATCAGACTGGGTACTAAATACCGCAGAGATCAGTCGCTATGCCAACAAAGGCAAGTCTAACTCATGCTCACAGGCAATGGAGAATCAAGACACAAGAAGTGAATACTCATGCAATTCAGACCCGCTCCACGCCTATGGACTGAAACCCGCATATGCATCATAAAACTAAGATTTAGAGGAAGAGACGAATGTGATTGGCAGAAGTGTTGGTATTTCTGCAGAGGGGATAGCAAGCACTAAGAAGGCCGTTCAGCTGTCGACGCCGAATCGCGCAAGGAAACTCCCGTTTGTCCACCATGTCAGAACCTCCTCTCTTGCCATCTCCAATGTCGTATCCATCATCCGTTGCCATGCTGAACCGTAATGAAACCTCTGCCTGCCGATATCACGAGAACGTATTCCCGCCGTCGGCTTACAGGCCCGGACTAAATGGCATACTTTCGAGTCCACTCCCTAGCTGTGGATTCGTACCGAGACCGGTCGGTCTTGTATACGTGTGCGATTTCGGGGACGAGCGGGTCGTCAGGGTTCGGGTCTGTGAGCATCGAGCAGATGCTCAGGAGCACTGTACGCTCAGTCAGAATCATCATTTACACAAGCAGGCCCTGGGGATTACTTGCCCTTCGAGATGGTCAGAGCAGGGCTCCACTGATCTCGCAGAATATCCAAGCAGATGCTGCCATTCGAGTTGATGTTAGGGTGGTAGATGCGCGTCGTGAAGTTGACTTTCGGAGGCTTGAAGGGATAGTCGGTCGGGAAGTGGATTGCGAGGAAGAAGACGCCGCCCGAGTATGGTGAGTCGCTCTAGGGTGCCTGTTAGCCTTGGGTTTGCCTTGGGCTTGCCTTGTCGAGCAGTGTGGCGGAGTCCAGTGTAGCGACCGAACAGCGTTTGTAAGGGCATACGTACAGGACCCATGATGGTTGCTTGCCAGTGGAACTGTCGCGCGCTTCAGTCAGCATTCCGATTTTGTATCGCATCTTTCCCGCGGCCGAGCGAGGGGACTGCCTCAGCCGCAGGAACTGGGCAGCGGGTGTGACGTACCAGATCATCTCCGATGGGGCCGGCTGAGCAGGAAGAAGGAGGGTCACTATGCAAACAGAGTCAGCGAAATGCTCGGAAAGGGTGCCGTTGCGAGGCTTTGTTGTGATATCAAGGCGCCAGCACCCCCGCATTGCAGGCTGTCATGCGAGCAAACGAGCGGGTTGGCGGCCGAAGAAAGAGGGCACAACGTACCGGCCGAGGTCAGTGAGTTCCTTGTTGATACGCTTGAGAGCCATGGCGCTGTGTGTAGTTGTGTGTGTGTGTGTGCTTGGTGGGTGAGGAGGCGGTTGCGTCGAGAGAGTGTTGTGGTGTTGAAGAGTCGAAGCGGGCTGCGAGCAGCGGAGAAGGTTAGCGCCTTGATCCTGGCCCCAAAGAAAGCGCGGCGTATCAGCGGAAGGAGCGCCTCGCAACGCAACGTACCTGTAACCCTGTGGAGTGAAGAGTGGCAGAGGTAAAGGCGCGGGTGCAGTTGAAGTCAAGGCGGAGTACCTGGAAGGGCAGAAGAGTTGCGGCGGGATCGGAGGCGGCTAGGATTATTATATCATGTATGAAATAGCGGCGCGGCGAGACAAGCCGGCCGTCGCAGGCCAGAAAATTATGCACCCATGTTTCTTTACTGTACCGCCCGGCTCGCTGTGGCAACTCGTAGAACCCGGCGGAATCTGGAATCTGCTCTGGTCGGACGCTGACATTCACATCTGCTCACATCTGCTCACATCACTGAATATTCACCAATATATTGGTCAGGGCTGCCGTACACTCCAACTTCACATTCTGACAAACGGTGAGGCGTCTGCAGGCGGCTGTGACACCGTACCAGTTTCGAAACGTGAGACGCTATTCGCATGCATGCATTCCTATTTCTATCAATCACTGCAGCACGACATCTGCATGCCGATGCACGGAGCGCGGGAGTCGACCACTAGCTATTGGCCTCCGCAGAAGCAGTATCTATGTATGGTACAAGTACGGGCCCCCGTCCATCGACTAGTTTGGTTCTGGTGGTAATTGCAGCGGACGCGAGAACAATCAACAGAAGGCTTGAATGCCGGTGATTGCTCTACCGAGGATCAGGGCTGGTGGCATGGTCAGTGGGACTCTCAAAGATCTGAATCGACGACTCACAGTGGATGTCGCTTTGTCCTTCATACGTCTGCGTCACGAACAGGTTGGCCACGTGCCTTCCAATGCCATACTCGTCGCTCACGGCATTTCCACCAAAGATCTCTTGCAGTCTAAACGTAAAAGTCAGCTCAAGCCCTTGGATGAGTCGGGCGTAAACCTACGCTCGCGCGTTGACCAGAGCTCGGTCGCAGTTCTGCCTCTTGATCATTGAAATCATCTCGGGTGCTACCTTGCCCTCGTCCTTTAGTCGTCCCACTTGATAGGCAGCAAGGATACCATAGGCTGCGTCCGTCGTAGCGTCGGCCAGCTTCTTCTGCACAAGCTGGTACTTTGCAATCGGGTTGTCCTTGAATTGTTTCCTCTCCAACGCATATTCCCTCGCTCTTGCAACGCAGTCCTCCAACGCGCCTATGGTACCCCAGGCAATACCGTATCTGGCCGAATTCAGGCAGCTAAATGGTCCCTTCAAGCCTTCTACGTCGGGAAACATGTTGGCTTCGGGGACGGGGCACTCGTCCATCTGGATCATGCCGGTGATCGAAGCGCGCAGTCCATTCTTGTTCTTGATTGGCGGTGTCTCGAGGGTGCCAGGTGGACACTGGTCACGTTCTATGACAAATCCACGAATCTTCCCTGTACTTTCCAGCTTTGCCCATATGAGGAGTACGTCGGCGATAGGAGAGTTCGTGATCCAGGTCTTGGAGCCAGAGAGAACGTAGTAACCTTTCTTTGATGGGTGAGGCTTTGCTGTGGTTTCCATGGACCCTGGGTCTGAACCGTGATTTGGCTCGGTAAGACCGAAGCAGCCCAGCAATTTTCCCTTTGCCATCTTGGGCAACAATCTTTCTCTGAGCTCTTCGGTTCCAAACTCTTCTATGCCCCCCATGGCCAGCGCACTCTGAACTGAATAGCCAGACCGGTAACCTGAGTCCACCCTCTCCACCGCCCTTGTAATCAGACCAGAGGCTACACTGCTGACGCCCGCACAGTCATAACCTTGTATCGTTGCACCCAACAGACCCAGCTCTCCCATCTCTTCCAAGATCTTCTTATCAAAGTCCTCTTTTCGGTAGGCCTCTGTAGGGTCTGTTAGTCTAGTACGTCATTAAGAAGCGGATACATAATGCACCTAGGACTCTTGGGAGCATGCGCTCCTGACAATATGACTCTGCAGTCTCCGCTATGGCAAGTTCTTCCTCCGTAAACAGATTATTAGCGCCTAGTGGGTCTTTCCAATCGAAAGGCACGGGGGCATGCAGATATCGCCTTCCGACCACCGCACAACGGCTTGTGGTGTTCAATTGCCTCGCAGCTCGACGGCACACTGCTCTGAACATGCTGCCCAGGTCAAAGGGATAATCTGAAGGGAATCCGGGGAAGAAAAAAGTAGAGACTGGAGGTGTGAACGGAAATGATGCAAAAACGGCGTTTTAGCATCGGCTACCCCACGATTCGGCAACACAGCCTGGGACCGCGGTTCGCGAGAGCTACTGTCCCGAAGACCGATGAGCGGTGGCGACTGCTACATCATCGCAAAAGAACGTGGGCAAATGGAACCCCTGTTACTGCCTGGAGATCTCGGTGAAAGCCGCAGTAAGAGCCTCAACCCCCGGCAGGCGTGAAGGGTGATGAGTCTGAGAGCGCCAAGAGATACAGGGCTGAGACGTGATTTCGCGAACCTTTGGACGCGTTCGTGACGTACCTTACCTGGCCTCGCCCAGCTTCTCTCTCCACCACTACGTACGCCGCGTTTCGACGTGTACTCGCGCAATTCCAGGCGCATTTCTGTCAGCAGTCAACAGAGAACCCCAACCGCCAATATGGGTATCAAGAACCTCTACCAGGTCATCAGCGAGCATGCGCCGGCTGCGATCAAGACGGGCGAGATCAAAAACCAATTCGGTCGCAAGGTCGCCATAGTAAGTCCACCTCGGCTTTCGCGACTTCTACCTGCTGATATGTCCAGGATGCGTAAGGATACCCGGGGTATAGACTTTTTGCTGCGTTGCTAACAGTGCACTAGGTCAATGAGCATCTACAGCTTCCTCATCGCCGTGCGCTCCGACGGCCAGCAACTCATGAGCGACACCGGCGAAACCACCTCTCATCTCATGGGCCTCTTCTATCGCACTCTCCGCATGGTCGACAACGGCATCAAGCCCCTCTACGTCTTTGACGGCGCCCCGCCCAAGCTCAAGTCCGGCGAACTTGCGAAGCGCTTCCAGCGGAAATCCGAAGCCCACGCCCAGGCCGAGGAAGCAAAGGAGACTGGCACCGCAGAAGACGTGGAGAAATTCTCGCGCCGGACGGTGAGGGTGACGAGGGAGCACAACGAGGAGTGCCAGCAGTTGCTGAAGTTTATGGGTATCCCGTATATTGTCGCCCCGACCGAGGCAGAGGCTCAGTGCGCTGTTCTTGCGCGGGCAGGCAAGGTGTACGCGGCCGCGAGTGAGGATATGGACACACTGACGTTCAATGCGCCAATCCTACTGAGGCATCTTACCTTCAGTGAGCAGCGCAAGGAGCCAATCCAGGAAATACACCTGGACAAGGCGCTTGAGGGCTTAGAGATGGACCGGGAGCAGGCAAATCACCCTTCTTCTCTACTATCCGCGATGCTAACAATGACCACAGTTCATCGACCTCTGCATCCTCCTCGGATGTGACTACCTCGACCCCATCAAAGGCATCGGCCCCTCCACCGCCCTAAAACTCATCCGCGAACACAAGACCCTCGAAAAAGTCGTCGAGCACATGAAATCCAACTCCAAATACACGATTCCCGACGACTGGCCCTTCACCGACGCGCGCCTCCTCTTCCTCGAACCCGACGTGCGCCCCGCTGACGACCCCGCCTGCGACTTCAAGTGGGAAGCGCCGGATATCGAAGGCCTCGTCAAGTTCCTAGTCGAAGAGAAACACTTCAACGAGGACCGCGTACGCAACGGTGTCGCGAAGCTGCAGAAGAACCTCAAAACGGCGCAGCAGTCAAGACTAGAGGGTTTCTTCAAGCCAGTCGAGAAGACGGCCGAGGAGAAGGCGAGTCTGAAGCGCAAGGCAGAGCAGAAGCTTGAGGAGAAAAAAAAGAAGCAGAAGCAGACTGCCAAGGAGAAGAAAGCGGCCAAAGCGAAGCCCAAGGGTGGTGCGTAGATGCCAAAGGTGCCAAGGGTGTGAATACTTTGATGACGCGGGGTCTGGGCGATAGTGGAGCACATGCGGCGTTAAATGGGCATTCCATGGGAGTTTTGCACGGTTATGGGCGGCATACCCAATGATGAGTACGGTATGGTATGCTGTGGCGGTTAACCTGTGCGGATGTAAACAGCATCGTACGGGTCCACATGGTTTTGTTTCTCAGATCTCCGCCAGATACCTGCGAAGATAACACTTATGGAAATCCGAGTTCACGTAAAGCCCGCGCAAAATACCTTTCGAATACCGCCTGATCCATCTTTAGCATCGACCGACCACTCCGAGATGCCAAAGCCAAAACTCCCTGTGCTTCTTCTCTACGAGGTGGTTTCTTGACATAGTGGCGCAGGGCATTCTACCGCCAAAGCCTACAGGGGTTCTTGACCTCGGTGCGTCTAATAAGTAAGGCCACCCGTGACGCGCCTCTGTCCAAAACCCCCAATTCATAGGCCTTTCTATCGTTTATCCCGCCGCCGCCAGTACCAGCCGTGCAGAAGTGTCCTTCTCGTTACCACTCCTGTAACTCGCTGAAGGCATCGAGCGGAGTTGTTTTTCGCTGAGGTGTAGACCGTATTGATGAGAAGAAACACCATGCACTACAGTATCAATCATCGCCACACAGCCCTCAAACTCCCCGCATGAAACCACGCAACCGCTCTCCATTTCGGGGACTATCCCGCGTAGCTCAGCTTATCTACCAATAGAAGCCCGTCCAGAACGCGCAGACAGTCGTTGTGCTAAGCCGAAGCGGAAAGGGATGAGCGCATCGACATCGCTGATACGCCGGCCTCGTCGCTGCAATGGACGTGCTCCGCACCACGAATGTTTGGGGTCCGATTTTGGGGTCATTTCGAATCTACTGTATATCCCGTTGGCGCCCACAAGGCTGAGGCTTTCCAGCCTTGCCGGTTACACCCACCGCGCTTCTTCTTCTTCTCCTCACACAATTGAAAGACGGTCGGGTTGAGTCGTGAAAAGAGAAATGGCAACCTCATACGCGTCGTTGACGACAACCTTCAGCGCGCCGACGGCCTGCTGGACTGTGCCGTGGGCTGTATTTGGGACTCCAGGTACGTAAAGCTAGGAAGCGAGAAGACGTGCGAGGCTGGACATCTACTGACGTTCACCTAGTTTGGCTCAAGCAAGGTGGCGATCTGAACTCTACCTGCTTCCCGCCCGGCTTCGCCTTTTCTCCAGCGGAAACGGGGACGTTGATCTACTCACCCGGTATATGTCCGTCAGGCTGGTCGAGCGCGTGTGAGAGCGAGGCCACTACCTCCGACACCACGCAAACCATCGCCTGGTGCTGTCCTACGTGAGTCTGCCCTTCCAGTCGCCCATTCCTTTTGGCCGGTAGGGCGGGCGGTGGTGCGACTTCGATAGGTGGGACCGCAAGGCTGACGAAGATGGCTGTTAGAAACTATGGCTGTGTCGTCAGAAACCCGGATCACGACTGGGAAGCGAGCTTCGGCTGCGTGTCGCCCTTATCGACAGTCGACCGGTCTGCGTACAATATCCCAGATTCCGCGGTCGTCGTTACCAGTATGTATCAAATGCAGGTTATGATAATCACCGCAACAGTATGTACCTTCCCTCAACCCCTCTCCTCAAGAGTTGGGCGATGATAACCATTTCCCAGCCCACACCTACATCCACAACCTCCTCACAGACTTCCATCGCCAGCCCCGCGTCAACATCCGCACCTACCAGCTCACCAACCTCAACGTCCACCTCATCATCCTCCCCAACGTCAGGCGGCGGCAGCGGTGGCGGATTGTCTAGCGGTGCGAAAGCAGGAATCTCAATTGGCGCCATCGCAGGAGCAACGATGCTCGCACTTCTCGGATACATTGCTTGGCGTCTCAGCCCAAAGAAATCAAAGGAATCCGGTTCAGCGATGGAGTACGCGGCACCAGCGTACACAGACCATCCGTCCGCTACGTGGTATCAGCCGCCTGCGGAGATGGGTGCTACGGAGCGGGCGGAGATGGATGCGGCGGAGAGGAAACCGCCGGAGCAGTTGTATGAGATGAGGGGGAGTTGAGGAGATATCCGATCTTCGATACCTATCTCATTTTATGTTAGCGTGCGTGGGTGGTTTTCATTGCACCAATACCAATTGGAATTGGGAAGGTGTGGCTGGGACTGGTGGTCTTTTCCTGCACCGATTCCACCCTGTGAGCTGGAGTTGAGCTGGAATTTCGGGACGACTCCCGGATGTAGGGCTTGCAATTCAGCCAATTATTCGCTATGTCGCATTGCTGGTGTCTCGAGGTCCAAACCGGTGGGCTTGCAGTAGCTCTCATCGATCTATCAGTAGTGTTTGGCGAGACATTGGACTGGCCGGAGTAAGACCGACATAAATAGTCGGCGACTGAACTTAGTCTGCCGAGGTATACCCTTTCAATGACAATCTGCCATGAACAAGGTTTTGTGCATGCCATGCCTCAAGTGCCGACGAACTCTTGGCCCATGTGGCCTATTCCCCGCAATGTTGCCCAATATGATATTGGGACTGCCACGGGGGATCGTCAGTGCGATGCTCAAAGGCCGATCAACAGTGAAACCCCGGTGGCTATCCAATACTAAGCTTTCGCGTAACCTTCTGTTGAAGCTTCATCCCGCTGACGGCTTGGAAGATCGCATCATGCTGAAGACGGTATTCTGACTCTTTGGCGCGAGCTTAAGCGGCGAGAAGCGCGATTCTGGCAACCTTCGCTCTGCTTTGATAGATGCGAGGACCCTAAACGTGTCAGTATGGCACGCGTGGAAGACGTAAATTGTGAATCCCAGTCTCCGGATATATCTTCATCCGATAACGGGACTTCGTCTAGATCTGGAATGGACAGAGAGGGGTATTGATACTCACCACTCAGCAGTGACAAACTTCACACCTTTGCCCCCGGACCTCGCAATCTCCTTCTGTATCTTGCTTGCAGCGAGGCCACCGCCGCAACCGCCTTGCCCACTAACCGTACCAAGGATGACATGGGTGACGGTGCGTCTACCGAGGGCAACTGAATGCCCGGCGCCATGAGAGGCGAGCATGTGCTTGAGCTTGTGGTCGGAAACAAGGGGTGCGGTCGAGCCATTGAGATAGAAGTATAGCCCTTCGAATATCTGCTTTTCTACGGGTGTTGAGAGTTCTCGGTCGGTAGCTGACTGGGGCCCTTGGGGTTCTTCTGCATACTGTGAGTCCTTGCACATGTACTTATGAAGCTGTGACATGGGATTGACTGAGAACAACTAGTGGCATAACTTTGAACATACCTTCATTCGTTGCCATATCGTCGTCTAGACCGTCTCCGCTCTCGCTCTCACTGCGCGCCTCCTCCAATTTCACCTCTTTCTCCTCTTGCGAACTCCTCTTCGCACTCCCCACTTTACTCGCCCCCCAAACCTCCACCAAACTCCTCTGCCTACCCGTCCTCAAACCCTTCGCGCCCCTCTCCCAACCTCCATTCGCCTTCCTCCCATCCTTTCCGCATTCCTCGCTTCCTGCGCCCACAGTATCCGCAACCCTTTTCCCCCCTCCACCCAGCCCGCCCCTATACTGCTCTCTAAGCTTCAAGTTACGACTGTCCCGCCATGACGTCGATCCTAAGAGGCGGTTCTCGGCGCGCTGGTGCCCCGTCGATGCAGAGTTCCAGGGGTCGAAGACGGTACGGGTTGGGTTTGCTACGGCGGAAGAGGAGGTCGAGCTCTGGAGCGGTTGGGCCTTGCCGTTTCCGCATTTCGTAGAGGTGTTCATCCTGGAGGAAGGAATGTGATCGCTTTGCGTCGTGCTCGGGCGTTGCTCAACCGAGGGGTTGGCGATGGTCATGGCGCGGGATGGCGACGCGGTGTTCTTCGCCATCCTCGCCACACCATCGCCCTTGCTCGAGGGAATTTCATCACGGTGACGTGCAATGGGGCGCCGGCGTGCTGTGCCATCGCTGCGAACGTCTGCAGGCGGAGCCCACGATGAGCGTTGTGCCGACGGCGGGGGCTGTTGGAGATCGCAGTTGCTGTGGGACGACATGGGTGCGCGGGGCGAGGCGTGCGTCCCTTGCAGATGGCTTGCTGCGGCGGTGTGATAGTGTGATAAGATAAGATGCCCTGCTTCAGATTGACATTTTGTCTTGTCAATGTGAAAGAGATGTCGCAGTGAGGCGAGGGCGTGCGAAAACTGCACTGTGCAACTCGCGTAGCGCTGGGGGTTTGTTCTTCCTGTAGGGGCAACAAAGGTCGTCAACAACGCAGCCTTGGCGTTGTCCGGGTAATGGCGATTTATCACTGACACCATCACAGCTTGCACAGCACAAAGCTCGTTGCGAGGCGAAATCGTTCATTGTTCTCATTGAACATTACTACATGTACAGCAGGAGATACGTCGAAAGCCCGTAGAGCAAATGTATAAACATAAAAGTGCGGAATGGGTCCGCGGCCCGTGGAAGAAGCGTAAACAAGCAGCCACCTAGAGACGCCATACCCTATGCTTTCCCACGCCCAAGGCGGAACGCCGTCCCATGATTCCAGTGCCCTAAAGTATGAACATGCAACGAAAGAGTGAAATGAGACAGGCTGTACATAAGCGAACAGGGGAATAGAACGCAAAGCACTACCTGCTTTTCGACCCGTGAGGGTGTAGCCTTTGAAACGCCTGCGGTGGATCCGAACAGGAAGAAGAAACGCCGCTTCAACAAGGTAGCCGCCTGCAAGTGTAAGACGAGGGGTAGAAGAACAAAGGGGAAAAGAAGGAATTCGCATCCTAGGCCACCACCATGACAGTCCATCCCAGACGGCGTCGGGCATCTGCATTTCGTCGTTCGGGAACCCTCGTAGTGCACAGGCCAGGCCGCTTCATCGATAGTTTTTCGACCTCGGTGTAATCATCAGGTTGTTTAGTCCGTGAGATCCGCATCCTCTCGTAACAAAAGAAAAGTCGTCGTCGTTGCAGCGCGTGGTTTTCATCTGACATTTCGAGGGCCACTTCAAGCCCTTACATCGCATTTGGCGCCTGAGAGGCTTCGTACACCATCCGGGCGCGTCTCATCTCTTCGGCATCGAAAGGAACAGCATCGCTCCCTTTCCTGCTTCCGGCCAGCGATGTCGAGCTAGAATTCGCCTGCTTGAGGCGACCGAGGCTGGCGATGGACCGTGCCTTCTTAATCTTCTTTCCTTTGTTCTCCCCCGTCATTGGTAGATGCTGTTCCATCTTTACGATTTCCTCAACGTCTGGCCTGGTCTTGACTCGCATCCGCTTGAATTCGCGCGTAATCTTCTCAAGCGTGCTGAGGCCTTTCGGTACAGAGGCATCGGCGGGTGAATCCGGCAGCGGCTTCTCTAGGCTCGAGCCGGTGCTCGGTCTCAACTCGGAACCAAAGCTGACACCAGAGTCGGTCTTCTTTCCCTTCCTGGACTCCTCCACGGGCTTGAAATCTTCAGTGCCCAGCGTAGCCATACAGTCGTCGATGATATTCTTTGCAACGCGCAGATACTTGTCCACCTCCTTCTGTACAACAGGCCAGTTGGTCTTCTCTCCTTCCATCAGAGGCCGAAGAACGCCGGCACCGTGCTTTTGCACTTGCTGGATGTAATGGAAGAAGCTCTCTCGTTCCTGCTTCAGAGTCTGATGATTAAGTAATGAAGAAGGCAGCTTTCCCCCGTTCTGCTGAGGAGGCAGCAAGGTGTTCAGCATGCCCATGCAATTTATCTTGTTGAACGGATGAAGCGACAGCTCATTGATCATGATCTGTGTGATGGTCAGCAACCAGGTCTCTGGCGAAACGGTGGAACTCACCCATCGGCGCACTCCAAGCCACATCTTAGCATAGTAAAGCTCGGCCTTCTTGTTCTTGCCCTCGAGATTCTTAGCCCATAGGGCAATGCCAGGATACTTTCCGGATATGGCGTCAATATCAGCCTCGAAGCTCTCCGGGTGGATGTGAACGCGGGCGAAGGCGGCTACCATCTCTTTCCGCCTTCGGGTTTCCAGATCCCTGAGGTAATCCAGCGCAGTCAATGCCTGAGGGAAGTCGACGAGAGACAGACTAGGGTGGAAGATGCGGCTGACGAAACTGACGATGAAGGTAGGCGGGAGGGAGCTTGGTTGCTGGGGCAGCGAGTTGATGTGGTGCATGAGCTGCGAGGTGAAGTTGATGGAAGCCGACTCGGCATCGTTCCAGGTGAGCTGTCCTGCGATGGGAGATGGGTTGCTGGAGTGGCCGGTGCCCGTGGGCGAAGGTGCACGGGAGAGGTCCCTCGGTAGTGGCTGAGCTCGCGGGGCGCAGTTGAGAGTGTACATAGTCCGGAGAGGAAGCTCATAGCTGCCAGGGTACTGCAAGACGTGCTCCAGGATCATATTGTAGGAGTTGGTGGTGGCATTCGTCTCCTCAGAGGGATTCCGGGAGTGGTTTGAAGACATGATGGGCAGCGCGAGCGTAAACGGAACAGAAGTAGGTACTGGGTCCGAGAGAATAGTGTTTGCGTCGAGGGTTGAACCTGGGCGGAAATGACGCGGTGGAGCCAGGAGCTCCTTGGTGGGCAAGCCTCGTCCCGATAATAGAGACGCAGAACGTCTGACGACGGGCGGGCCGAAGCCTGGCGATTGTCGACGCGAGCACAGAGAGCGGCCCGAGAGCGGCAGGGCAGACGAAAGAACGTGGGGTTGGTGGGGTGCGGGAGGGTGAGAAGAGAAGAGAAGAGAAGGAGGGAAGGCGCGAGCGGCGACGGCGGGATGAGAAGAGAATATGAGCAGCTGCCTTCGACAGGACGCTGTAGAGACGGAACAAGTGCTCGAGTCTCTGCGCGGGGCGCCTGCGTGGGTGCTGCGAAGGTTTCCAGTTTCCAGACCGGCACCCCGGTCTCACTGTTTGGGGTGTTGGGGCTGGTGCAAACGGGCGCGCGAGAGTGCTGGGTGGGTAAACAAATGAACGACAAACACGCAGGGCGCGGGCGGCGGCTGCGGAGCGGGCAGGAAAGAAAGGAAACGGAGTGCAATGCGCGCCTGGGGAAGTGGCAGCGAGGTCGAGGTCGAGGTCGAGGTCGGCGGCGGGCAGCCGTGGGAGCTCGCGGGCTCGAAGGGTTTTTCGTCGTCGGCGCAGAGCTGCTCGGGGACCCCTGCGCGCCACACTATGCGCGTCGAAGCGCAAATCCGCACCAGCGCGGACCACCATTGCCCGGCAGGGATGCTGAGCAGTGAAAACGACGAGCCGCAGGGACCGGGATGCCGGGGCTTTGGGCGCGAAGGCCCAGCGTGCCGAACACGGCTAGCCCGGCCCCGTTCCGCGCAAGTGAATGGCCCTGCGCGGGCCTGCAAACGTTCTTTTCTGCTCGCAAGTCACACTGCGACATCGCTCGAGTCAACCCCGCCTTCGTGCAGCGCCGCACGCCTCGCCAGGAGCCAGCAGCAGCGCTCACGCAGCCCGCGATGCTGCAGCCGGCCGTCTCTTTTATCCAGAGCTTCACGCGCCCCCGGTGCGCCGTGGGAGCGCCTCTCCTGCGTCGCTCTCCTCTAGCGCCTCGGACCTGTCCATGGGCGGGCGGCGGGCCCGGTGTAGCACGACGGTGCGAGAGTGGAGGCTCCATTGTCATGGCCGCCGTCAGCCCGGCGCCGTGAGTCGTGGCTGCGAGGAGGTTCCCACTCTACGCGGCCCTCGCTGCTCACACCTACTAACTGAATCAATCCGATCGACTGTTTCCGCTGCCAGACCTGTGCCGCACAGAGCAAACGACCGCCAAGCAGTAATCAATTCGCAACACAAATGCAGTGTTTAGGGAACAGGTGCATTGCAAACCGCAGCCGTTCCCTGCGGCCTCACACTAGGCCTTGCAGATGCAGCTGCAACAGGTGCAGACCGCCAGTAGCAGCCCAGGAATTCTGTCAAACCGGCCCAATGAGAAAATCGCTGCGAAAGTGCTGCCGGAGCGAGCAGAGTATGCCCACATTCGGACCGCAGAGCTCGGGACCGAGGGCCACGAGGTCGTCGTGCAGTTGCTCCCGCAGCTGTTGGTGATGGACCCGTCTCAGACCTGTTCCCGCCCCTCCAGCCAACAGACTTTCGTGACCATTCCGTCAGCCTCAGAACAGCCAGCGGTATCTCAGACATCTTTCGCATCCCGCCAATCGCGGCCATCCCGCCATTCCTTCCAATCCAGCTCTTCTGCTGTGTTCAGTGATGATTCAGTGTAGAGTGCTGGCCTTAAAGCAGGCCACCAGGTCACGCCAGTGCTGACCCCCAATGACGGCCCTTGAGCCTTTCTCTGCAGCGGGTTCCCTGAAATCGTGGAGAAAGAGGCCCGTGCGGCGGCATTGCCCTGGACCGCCAGAAAGTCAAAGCGCCGAGCATGGGTAGGAGAACCGCGAACCGATATCGATAGAACCCTCCTTATCTCCAAAAAAGCATCCACGATCACCACCAAACGCCCACACGGCAGCGTAATGAAGGGCGGCCTGACAGAGACGTTGGGAACTTGCAAACCATGTCAGAGGCTGTCCGGTAGGGTGTCCCCGCGCATGCTATCAGATTGAGGAGAGCCATCCTCGGGAGCTCGATAGCGACGGCTCCTCCAAAAAGCGCCGCGGAGGGGCAAAAGCCGGGTTTCCGTTGTTTGCAGTCGGCCGAGCTGCAGGATCGCGCCTCGATGTGGACATGAGATGCTGCAAATAGACGTCCATCTTCTGGAGAGGGATACCATGTCACTCATCGACGACGGCGCAGCTGACTGCGCAAAAAAAAAAAAATCAATATTGGAGATTACTGCAGGCATCCCAGAGAACACGATGGCATTGGAGACTACGCGCGCGAAAACGCGTCAACAAACGACGTCCCACAGCGACGCGCTTGAGATGAGCGCATCTCAGCCCAGAATAATCTCCGAGCTGATCGTGGGACGGGATTAAGTGGCACCGCATCCAATACTTCGACGATCGCCACGGAGCAAGCCCACGGCATATGATTTGCCGCATTGGGAATTGCCCATCGGAAGAACAGATGTTGATGGCTACGCAACAATAACGGAAACGCCGTGGGGGCTCTGCCCGCGGAAGCTTTGCGTGGAGGCGGATCGAGGTCCAACCCTGCGTTGAAAATCGAATGGAGCATTGCGCGACCGCGTGCATTCTGGAAAAGGAGGTGGAGTTCAGCTCTTGTTGAACCTTCAACGCCGAATACGAACGTCGAGTTTGACAAATGTGCAAGAGGCGTTTGCCGTGTCCCACACCAAGACAAAATATTAGTCAGCGTTAGTCACGTGGTTTTGAATTGGACCACGGGTTTGTGGTCAAAGCTGTTCCAAGGTTGGTATGAACCGGTCAGGCTCATGCACAATACTCCTCACGACTTTTATTGGTCGATCGCAAGCATCGATACAAACGTCGCTATGTGACTTTGCAATCGCGCCCGTTGCGAGCAAAGATCGGGAGCGGCGATGAGTCATTCAATATAGCATAGAACATTAGCACAGAAAAGCAAGCGGAGCATCTCTGGTCCACGACAACAGCACCGCCGAATTTACTATCTGTCCAGATGGCTTCCAATCTTCTCCAGCTCGATTTCGCGATCCTTGACGTGTTCACCGACACGAAATACCAGGGAAATCCACTTGCGGTCGTGCGCGTCCCCAAAACATGTCCCTTAAGTCAGGAACAAATGCAGAAGATCGCGAGGGAGTTCAATCTTTCTGAGACAACATTTCTCCACGAGCGTGAGGACGGTCAGTTGGACTCGTGGACGGTAGATATCTTCACTACGGTCGAAGAGCTCCCGTTCGCGGGACACCCCACTATTGGGACTGCATGCTTCGTCCTTTCGAATGAGGCCCGTCATAGTAATATAGAGGAAGGAGGGGTTAAAGCCAGGTTCAACTTGAAGGCGGGACCCGTCGAACTTCGATTTGACGGGAAAATTGCTAGGGCAGAGATTCCTCATGACGTGTAAGTGGGCGCTCTCTTATGGACCGAACAGTCTAGCCACGGCGCTGGCTGATGACACACTCACGTAGATGATGAGCAGCGATAGCCAACCTTTGAGCACTGAGCTGACAAACCATCCACAGCCACATCCATGGAAAAGTTTGGCCCCGGGAAGGACTACTCAAGATCCAACCGCAACTAGGAGAAGCCTATCGCAGAGGCGAGGTGCATCTCAGGGAACAATACCCTATAGTGTCGATTGTCAACGGCATGACATTCGTCCTTGTCGAGCTTGAGAGTCTGGAAGCTCTCAAGCTGGTAGCAACAACTTCTTCTAGACTTGGGGCTGATGATCTTGATCAAGGCTGGAGCAGATCGTTCGTCGGGACGTACTTCTACGTCAAAACGGGAGAGAGTGCGGACGGTGTTAGGTCACTCAGGACCAGAATGATTGAAGGTACCCTCGAAGATCCGGCGACCGGGAGTGCGGCAAGTGATCTGGCTGCGTATCTTTCTCTCGTGGAAGGCGAGTCCAAGCAGACGCTCAAGTACGCAATTACGCAGGGTGTAGAGATGGGTCGGCGTAGCGATATCCACATCGATGTGGTCATGAAGGAGGAGGCAGTGATCGACAAGGTGTTCCTGGCCGGAGACGCTGTCCAAGTGATGGAGGGCCGATTAACAATCTGAGAGGGCGAGGCTTCGGGTGAGGTGTAGAGAGGCATTGGACGCAGTTACGCAAGATGACATGGGTCGGCAACATCAGCCGAAGTCTTGGTGCTCATCCCCCTTGGAAAGACGGGAAGAGGCGTTAGCAACATTCTTTTGCGGCGCTGATTCCGGAATCTTGAAGGCTTGTATGTAGTAGACCCACGACCAAGACTAAGACCAAGAATGAGGCCAAGAACCATCCGCAAGGCGTGTGTTCCGAAATAGCGGGGCACCAAAGGCTGATTCACCAGAATCTCTCTGAGTCTCAACGGTAAAATGCTTGGCAAACGTGCTGGATGAAATGCCAAGGTGTTGTGGTTGTCAAACTGCCAAAAGACGCGCAGTCCGTGGGGTAAAACGACTTCCGCTTCTGTCACGTTCGGCGGGTCCAACCTATTGGGATAGTGAGAGATGGGAGCATAAGGCCGCAAGGTTGGATGTTGTCTGGGGCTCCCGGAAATGGGTCGATTCTTACCTCTTTCTCCGTGTTGGACGGTGCAATTGGTAGATCCTATCGGAAACGATCACTCCGAATGGGCACATCAAATATGGACCGCAGATCGTGACGTGCGGTGGAGCGGATGGATAGAAGCCTTGAGAGCCTGAGGAAAAGTCGCAAAATAATGGGAGCCTGTGCCACCTCCGGAGACCGTCCCTGCGCAATGTCATACGGATAGTACGGATAGCAAATATGTTGCTGAACGGAATATAGGTGCCAAATCACGACTCGTACGGGTCGAAATCTTTGAAAGGGGGACTACACGGAGAAGCGAGGTATCCAAAGGACGCACCTGGATTTCGTTTCCTGCCTCAGATCCGACCACGCTGCCACTTGTCGCAGTTCGACGGCCGTCGCGATGACAGATATTGGAGTCCGACTGGGCCGTTTTGCTCCCAAAGAGGGTCTTGCTAGTCCGATCGAGGGTTAGACCTTAGGGGCTGGCGCGCTAAGGGAGGCCAAGCTTCTTGCCCTCGCCGCCTCCAAGCGCGCAGAACAGGAGTCGGGATCGTCGAGAGCGTCCTGCCGAGGGTTCGGTTGTCGTGGGGAAGGCATCAGAGCGGTTTGAGGCTGCAAAGTCCTTGAGACGACTGGAATTAAGATTATGCTTGGCTTCTCCCATCCGGTTTAGCGCCGCCCCATCAGGGTTAGTGCAGGCAACCTAAAACCACCCGAGCCTCAGACCTCACCTCCACCTCCTCGCACCCTCAGACGTTGCCCGTTTCCAGCAACGTCTTCAATGCCTTGGGCACATTTCGTTCCGGAAGGCTGCGGTTGAAGCCTCAGTCAACATGGCGCTTCTTGATTCTCGCGCCCCGTGCGCTCATCACAGGCAGGCAGGCGGGATAGTTCGTGAGACACGTCCGCCCTCATCGTGGGTTTCATGCCCAAGGTACCCTCAGCCGCCTTGCCAGGTTTCCTAATCGTCGAACGTCGCCAAGGACTTAAAGGTCCTCGCATGGTCGTCCAAGTCGTCTTTTTCTACCATCCTCAGTCACTAGTTTTCTACCGCACCTGGGTCCATTGAGGGTTACATTCCTTTCTCTTCTTTCCTCGCCGTTCTTTCTTCAGATCACGTTGAACGTGTCTGTTCTATTCGTCTTAATCTACCGCGAGCCGGCGTCCATTCTTTTACAGACACCCATACCGTATTCTACGCCCGTCTTCGTCTTCGTCGCCGCCATGCGTTTCTCTACCTTGTTGCCATTGCTGCTCGCAGCCGGTGTCACTCAGGCTCAGTTCGGGAAAGGGAAGGGGAAGGGCAACGGCGGGAACAACAACCAGCAGCAACAACAACAACAGCAGCAGCAGCAGGCAGCTCAGAACGGTCAGAACCAGAATGGCCAGGACAACGCCAACAACAACGCCAACGGTGGCAATGCCGACGCTCTCGCTCTTGACCCGAACAATGTGCAGACGAACAGCCAGTCGGATGGTCTGGATGCGGGTGCTGAGGCGGGTCAGGCTGCCTCTGCCACGTCAGTGCAAATTCCCTCGAATTGCCTCCTATCTTGCTAACCTCGATAGTGATGAAGCCAACTTCATCAACTTCTGTACCGGCAAGACGCTCACCAACGGCCTCCAAGTCAAGCAGGGTTCCTGCAACGGTATCGGTAGGTTCTAGTGATCTCTACCCCCAGCGCATTCTTCTGACGAGAGTAGTGATGGGTGACATTCCTGCTTCCACCAACATGATCTCTGCCGCCTTCCAGAACCCGCAGAATGGTGACGACATTGATGCCAACACGGCCATCAACTTCCAAGTTCAAATCGCCAACCTGGAGGCCGGGTCCTTCACTAACCCGGACGTCACCTACTACGCTGCTCCCCAGGCTCTTAATGGAGGCAATGTTGTCGGCCACACGCACATCACAGTCCAGGACCTCGGCGACTCTCTCAATCCTGCTACGCCTCCGGATGCGCAAGATTTCGTTTTCTTCAAGGGTATCAACGATGCGGGCAACAACCAAGGTCTCCTCGCAGCCGAACTCGCTGCCGGTCTTCCTAATGGTAACTACCGTGCCTGCTCCATGACCTCTGCCAGCAACCATCAGCCTGTACTCATGCCCGTCGCTCAACGTGGCGCTCAGGATGACTGCGTTCGATTCACTGTCGGAGCCGGTAATGGTGGCAACAACAATGCTGGTAACGCAGGCAATGCTGGTAACGCAGGCAACGCGGGCCAGAACGCCCAGAACGGTCAGAATGCAAACCAGAATGGACAGCAGGCTCAGCAAGGTCAACAGGGTCAACAAGGTCAAGCTCAGCAAGGCCAGGCTCAGCAGGGTCAAGCGGGTCAAGCTCAGCAGGGTCAACAGGGTCAAGCTCAGCAGGGTCAACAAGGTCAAGCGGGTCAAGCTCAGCAGGGTCAGCAAGGTCAAGGCCAAGGTGGCGCCGGCAAGGGACGCGGCCGTGGACGCTTTGGTCGCAAGAAGTTCGCAGCTCGCGAATTTGTCGCGTAAGGCCTAGGCTATCATGGACTGAAGGGGATGCATGCATGGGAGTGACGGTAGAAGCAGAGACAGGTGGTTTGCAGTATTCTTGTGGTAATGTACTTTCTTCGAGATTTTTGGGTCCGTCATCGACATAGAATACGCCTTTGTTCTCGGGGAGGGTACAAAGGCATCACTCTACGGAGGATGAAGCGCAGCGCTTCATTTGGACTGGTTCTAAGGGCGCTTCTTTTTCCTATCTTCGGCGCTAAAGTAAATAACGAAATGTAAACTTATTTCTCCCGCGTGCTTCACATCTGCCTCAGCAAGCCATAATCGGACACCCTTCATGTGGGTGAGGCATGAACGCATTGAATGGGCCGAGACGTTGACGTCTCAGGAAGCTTCATCAGGCGGCAAGGGTATGCAGCGGGCTGTCTCAGGTTCCGAGCCGCAGCTTCACCTCAGTCTTGAAGGCACCGAGGTATCCGGCATCCAAGATTGCGCGTACTCCTGGGGGAGATGGCGGCTTCAGATGCCGTATCAGTACGCCATCCTTCTACTCTTCGAATGCGAATCATCGGTACAGTTGCACACAGCTTCGCCGTGGCGCTTGGCCTTCCATGAGCACAGGCCACACTTTAAATTTAGAGTTACCTCTGACGGACCGAAAACCCATGCCATTCGCGAAGCCTGCTGGTGACGAAATCCGTGCCCCATTCTATCCCGACTCTTAAAGCCCATGGTAAAACGCAAGTACGGAATAAAGCACAGGAAGGCACTGTGGCTCCTCAAATCAACCGTAATGGCACCATCCTCGTACTCGGCTACGGCCCACCGTGTCGTGCTCGCCTAACCAAGTTTCTCTGGGAGCGTCTTTTCGACCCTTTTGCTTCGAAATACGCCTTGACGAGTTTCTTCCATTCCACCCCCCAAAACCATATCTTCTGCTCATCATCCCAGCGGATATTCCCCAGATTCTCCATACCCACTCCTTTCCCTCGGTTGCGCCCGAACCACACCCATATCGTCGCCTCCTCCAGTCGTTGCACCGACAGCACACCGGCGGCCTTCAAGTCTGCCATGCTTTCACCGTTCGGGGCCATCGTGGATGTAGCCATTACGACGCGGCGATTGCCCTGGTCCAGGCTAGCGTAACGCAGAGTGACTTCGGTTTGTGGGACGTAGCCGCGATACCGCAGGGTACCAGTTGCTGGATCGTATCGCGGCAGTGAGAGTGAGATCGACAGGGTCGGAAGGTGGCTCGATTGAAACACCCGTTCGGTGTGGATTTTGAAAGACTTAGAGACAAGGCGCACTGTCGCCCAGAGGTATCCTATGTCCGAGATATTCTCCAGAATCTGTAGAAAGAGTTCACTGGGAAGGTTGATGATAGGAGAAGGATGCATGTTTCCGTCGATGTGCCGATTACGCATTGTGGCCATTGTGTATACGAAATCTGACTGCCGAGCGTAGCTTTCTTTTATATTTTCTGGTGGGTCGCCTTGGAAGGCTGACCGATGAGTCAAGCAGACACAGCCACCCAGGCTCGCCATACTGAGTCTAGGCGCTGCGACTTGCAGAATGGACCCCGTAACAGGACCGAATGCTTTGCATATCTGGTGTTTTCGCTATTCATTGTGACCACAGTCAGAATACAGTGCGTACGGAATGAGTGATATCTAGCAGAGCCTATACAGCTACAAGTCTCGCCGTTCCGGCATTAGACGAGAGCTATTTCGCATAAATATTGCGATATCAATCGTCAACACCATCAACGGATTCGTGAACACGTTCGACTGCCGTGAATTGGGCGCGCTCTCTATAATGAAGGAGGTGGCAGCCCTGCTGAATGCCTTTCCCACGGGTGTTGCTCGCTCAGGATAGACAACGATCTACTAAAAGAAAGGCTCGTAAGCTAAAGCAGGGACCGTAATAGCAGCACCTAGCGATGCAAGATGCCTAATTTGCAATGAGCCACAAGAAAATGTTTCCCTTCCTAAATGTATACTGACCTAGACTTGGTTCTGAGCAAAAGCATGAAGGAACCCCATGGACCACGGCTTGTGCTATCGTAAAGGTGGAAATCCCAGAGCCTGCTCTCCTTTTGGAACCAAACCCAGTTCAACTGACCAAGAGCCTGTCACGGGCAGGATCAGCACCGCCTTGGACACAGCAGCAAACACTGCGATATGTGCGTTCATGGTTTTTCCAGAAATGATATATTGCGGTTTCTTCTTCCCTTTGTAGAACATCAGAGCTCCTAAGATTGCCGCGGTGCAACAGAAGCCGACGAGCCAGCTGAGGAGTTCCCACCACCACCAACCGGTGATGATATGATCGTAGAAAGTCATGGATGCTCGAAGCTGAGGCCGCTGGTTCTGGCATTCAACTTCGCTGCCGACCGTCGTTGCATTGCGAGAGGATGCCCGAGAGAATGCATCTAGAGCCACTGGTCCGTCCAGCCGCGGCCATAGGTGAATTGTGCCGTCGCGGTTGGTTGAAGTAGTTCTTGCGCTCTGATTGCTCCCTGCTGCGTCGTAATGCCCTACGGGCTGGGATCCAATACTCCACGCTCGAGTTGCTCTTGATACTGCGCGTAGTTCCGGAGAAGAGCTCGTGGCCATCGTCAGCAGATGCAGATCCCCAAGGGCTGGGGTTCCATCCAGATCTTCCGACCGAAGAAAGAACGTCGTGCAACCTTACCGGAACGCTCGACGAAACCTCTTCAGGAGTCTTGTCATCCTCTTATTATGTCATGTAGTCTTTGGTGTGCCACAACCTGAGTTCCGCAATACAAGAGATTTCCCATGTTTCAGAAGTCAAAAATAGAAATTTGTTGGATTAATTGGGTACGAGAGGCCAAAAGCAGCTTTCGTTTGTCTGTCGGGACGGCGCTTGGGGCCTGTACAACGGTAAGCGCCAACGCACGCTTTTTCCGGCAAGAGACGTTTCGAGACGGGGCATTTGCATCGTGGTAGAATATCAGTGTCCTCGGACACGTCAGTGAGCGCTACCATGTGTACGCGGGTACGTACAGTCAAATGTAGGCGATCTGGAGCGGAATGACGAAAGTCGATGGCCCGAAATGACCGTGCGCAGTCAGTAATCACGCCCTTATGTGGCGGTTCCCTTCGAGACGCAACGAGACATTTCGGTGTCTCGATTCCATTCGCGCAAAGAGAGCACCATTGCTCGAGGCTCCATTGTCGGCATTCCCACGCACACATTCCCAGGGCCGCGAAAGCTCGCCTCGCAGTGTACGAGTGCTTACTCACCCCTCTTGTAGCGCCGGCGCGAATACCGAATGGAGGGTTTCGAGGCTTCTACAAACGAATGCAGGGCAGCATCGCCATTACCGGGCTACAGGGCCCGTCGTGGAAGCGGAAGAAGAGAATATATAAACAAAGAATAGAGTAGATCACAAAGGAGATGGGCATGGCCTTTCGGCCTCGCAGCTGAAGCGTCCCCTCTTGCCAGGTGTGCGCGGGAGAATCAAGTCCAGCGGATCAAAGAGGGATGCGCAAGCGTCTAAGTCAAACTGCTCATATTGCTCGGACGGAAAGTACCCCTCGTACTTCTTGCCGTGCATCGCAACTGCCTGAGGTTAGCGTTGACACTCCTGCCACTCAGAACTTTTCTGCCTTCGTCTATTCTTATGCATTCCCCCCACTACAGTGGACATTCTGCAACATGGCAACAAAGGTCGGCTCAGACCCAGCTGATGATGCAAAGCCAGCACTGTCGGCACTCAGCGGCCCAGGTGCGAAGAGCGAACCCTCCGAGGAGCTACCAGCAGAGAATCCGGAAGAGCTGCAGCCTGCCGTGAGTGATCTAGGTGCAAACCGGCCATAAACACCGTCTCACGCACACACAGGATGCGGAAACAGGGCAGCGACAAGTCGAATCATTGCGCAGTAAGTGGCACCCTCAAGGCCCACCACACTCGTCCCTGGTCCCTCACTAACACGTGGCAGATCAGCTCGATCTTAGCCATTATGAGTACGATACGCTCGCGGAGCAATTCCAGCAGCTGGTCCGCAAGCACAGCGATATGCGGAAGTTGGCTGCAACCCTCCACGGTGTGATTGAAGGGTCTCCGACATACGAACGAGAGAGTGCAAACATAATCCAGCTGCAAGCGGAAGGTGGCCAACGCGGTCTGAGGGCTAAGGCGAGGGAGGCAAAACATTGGTGGGGGCTTACACGGGTGATGGGAGGCATGCAGGCGTTGACTGACAAACTATCGCTTGCAGACGCTGTGAATCCGTTGGTCGAAAAGGCAGGAGGCCTACTGGCATTGGAGTCTCTGGTATCCGAGGCACGCTTTCTGAGGTTCGCGGCGGCAGAGTATCAAGCTGTGAAGAATGAAGTGGAGAAGCCAGATGGGCTGAGGGAACAGGCTTCGAAGTACAAAGCTATGATACAATTCTTCATGGCCCTCGAAGAGGCACCTAGGGCTACGCTCAGCGGCCAGGTAGGTCTCTTCCACCCTTCTCACACACTTCGCGTGGAAATTGACACACTTTAACAGAACAGCACTTCCATGGCACCGGTCACAAAACGGAGCAGGGAACATGACTCTTTCGAGAACATACCCAAGCGTAGGCGACAAAGAAGAGGCCGTTATCGAGCGCGAACCGCTTTGTCAGACACAACAGCCTGCTCTTCCTCAGCGACTGTGGCGAGATATTCCAGTCCAGCTAGTGAAGCCGATCACCAGAAAGCCAGACAAGCCAGCGAGGCTGCTCCAAAACCGGCTGAAGTCCAAGTCCCACCACCCACCCAGGCGCCGCTGTCGAGAAAGGACGACATGTGCACACTCGCTATGTTGCATAGGAGTACTCCGGGAATGGACGCGGACGCGTCGATGGGCGGCCTCAAGGATCGATCTATTCGAAATTCGAGCCCCGATCCTCGTGCTCTCTTCGTTTCGCAACCGCAAGGCTTGGGGATTGGTGGACTCCCAATGCGTTATCCAGTCCTACTGGAAATACCAGGAGCTACGAAGAAAAGGGCCAACATGCCCAAGGACCTAGAGGACTTTCTGCTCGGTGAGCTTTACCGACATATTGATGCCTCGAACTTCGCGCGATGGTTTAGCATGGGGCCAAGTCAAAACACTTGCATCCTCACCGGGCTTCTCGACGATGCAAAGTTTTCGACTTTCAAACGACAACGGAGAGCTTGTGAAGGATGTTCCGGTGAAGGTTCTGAGCCTAAAGTGCCTTCACGACCTTGCGCACTGCTGGAAGAGCAAGACGGAGTTCTGTGCATTGTGTTCTTGCCGCTACTCGATGCCTGGAGGCAATGCATGAAGTGGAAGCAGAGCAGCTTCTGGGTCTTGAAGTGAAGGGTTCGATTGGTCTGCGACTCGGATATCCTTCAATGTCAGCATCTTTCTGAGGGACGAAGGAAGAGAGAGCATATTTTCATGTACATGGGTGGACGAGTATCGACTTTATTAGCATTTCCCCTCGTAGAATCAACGTAGCTAGGTGACTTCCGTATTTAAATATGCGTATCTGAATATGCGTATGGGGCTCTTAACTTGAGGTTCTGCAGGTATTCCAAAGGTTTGCTGAATGCACTAATCTCGATCGGGATAGCGCAACCACTGAATTTCTAGGACAACACACACAGACTGTTTCCGCAATACCACATCACCTAACATTCCGCAATGCTGGAAGTCGCCTGCTTCGACATCTCATCCGCCATAGTAGCTGCGGAAGCAGGGGCCGACCGAATCGAGCTTTGTGCGGACTACGTTGCCGGAGGTGTCACGCCTTCCCCCGATTGTGTCCAGAGCATACGCAAGGAGACCACGAAACCTATCAATGTCATGATACGGCCCAGGCCGGGCAACTTTACGTATTCAGAAATCGAGTACGAGCAGATGAAGGCGGATGTCCATCTCTTCAAGCCGGAAGCTAGCGGGTTCGTCTTCGGTATCTTGGATGAGCAGAATCGCGTGGACAAAGCTCGAAATCGAGAGCTGATCGAACTGGCAGCCCCCCTGCCTTGCACATTTCACCGGGCATTCGATCAAGTCCTGGATCTTTCCCAAGCCACACAACACCTTATCGAATGTGGCTTCACATCGGTCTTGACGAGTGGTGGTCAGCCTGATGCGGTTCGCGGAGCGGACAAAGTCGCCGGCCTACATAAAGAGTATGGGAACAGGATTTCATTCATACTTGGCGGAGGCATTCGATCGATGAATATCGACGCTCTGAGGGCGACGGCAAATGTCGAATGGTATCATTCAGCGGCCATTACCAAACCTGGCGAAGTCGTTGACGGAGACGAAGTCAGAACGATCCAAGCGATACTCGCGCATACTGCATGATGTCGACCGGAGCGTTTCAAATGCAAAGAATGCTTTCATTACACATCCATCGCATAGACGTCCACCAGACATTATGCTTTCACCGTAGCGAAACAGTCGAGCCACGGCGACCACAGCCTCCTGAGGGTATCTTCCTTGTGAGTATCTCCCGAGGAAAAAGTCCAAGAACGAACACTGATATGTACAAAACACACCCAGCCCATATACAAAAGAGCAATGGTCAAGAGTCATTCGCCGGACGCCTTTCTCCCGTGGACCAAATGACAAATTTCGACAGGACTCATCCGACATTACAAATCACTTTTACAGGGCGTAGATGGCGTACAACAATGCCGTGATTATCGACATCCCGAACGACCTGGTGGAGTCTGTGGAGAGTTGTGTTGCTGCTCCCTTGCTCGAAGACGAAGCGGCTGCGGTTTCCGACCCGTCCACTGTAGTCGTCACAACCGCAGTCATAGGGGCGATTGTTGTCGCCGCTGTAACGGTGCGTGCAGGAATCGTCGTGCCCAGCGTCGTCAACGCAGGCAAAGTCGTTGCACCGCTGACCGTGGTTCCTGGAATGGTAGTCGTTATGACAATAACCGAACCCAATCCGGTAGCAGGAATGGCGCTTCCTACACCAGTGCCAGTCCACTGAGGTGGGATCGACAGCGTGGCCGTATTCGGTTTCGCTGAAGGATCCTGCGCGTAGATGTTACCCGACTCGCTTCCCTTCGTGTAGTCGCCGCTGATCAGATTCGCTTTGGCGTCGCCTTGGGTATAGTCGCCTGTCGTCAGCGATCCGTAAGATCCGTCGCTGAAGGCAAAATTTGTGGTGAACTTGTCGTAACACATTGGGATATTCAGACTTTGTACGTTTACGCAGTCCAGGGTCTGGCGACAGCAGAAATCGCCGTCGCGCGCACTGAGAGGTTCTGCCCAACGCTTTCGGAAGTGGATGTCCTTAACGGATGCCAGCAAGTCGACGTACATGTCCTTCAGTTCGGGCCCTACGGAGGGCGGATTCGTTCCTGATGCCCCTTGAGGATTGCATGGGGTACAATCTTCGTCGCGAGCCACATTTTCGAGGGGAGAGGCCTGCGCAATGGCGAGAAGAGCTAGCGAGAAATATTTGAGCGACATGGCGGCGAATTGGGTTAAAACCGACCGGTGTTTAGAACGAGCGATGGAGGACCAGACGAGGCGCGTATGTTTGCTCAAAGGAACGATCGTTGGGTACGACTGAGAATTCCAAATAACGAACGGGAGCGCAAGCAACGTGTGTTACGGGTCGCGAAACGCTGTGAAAGTTCAAGGAGCAGGATTCCACTTTTAAAGATCTGGGCCGGGTATATGGAGAGCAAATAAAGACGCAGTGGCAAGGGACTTTGGGGATTTATTTACTTCAGGAAAAGAGGGCACCATCCGCCTCGCTCACTCCATCCGACCATCCACGAGACCGGTATTAGGCGATCAACCAGTTCCCTCTGCCGAGGCGGCACATCATTTTACAGTAAACGCCACAGTTTCTCCACGACGCCTGGCCCATGGGCCCCTTGGTTGCTGTAGGGCTTCTGCACTTCTCTATTCGCTGAAATTTCAACTTCCAACAGGGGTTGCCGTCCTTGTCAACATTTTACGGACCCCTTGGCAATCTCGCATCGTGGGTGAACCCCACGATCACACGTTGCGTGTTTCTCCGAAAGAGAGGGTTGGCTGGGTCAGGTCAGCAGGGCGGAAGGATTATTGCTTGCGGCTTTGCACAAAACATCGCCGTATCTTACTAGAGTACGTGTTGGATCATGTCACACGCAAACGCCGTTTGCATGCGACCGCACCACGAGCAGGGCGCAAAGGAAGACTTTTCGACTCGCAGCGATCCTCGCACCAGACTTCGGCAGCGGCTCGCCTGCGCAACCGAAGCGCTGCGCAACACGGCATCAAGGCACAGCAAGCCACATTCAACACCAACACCAAGCGTCCATCTAGGCAGCCAGCCTGACGAAGAGCTAATACCAACAAATCTGAGTCAACGCGCCTTTCAGCACGCCGGGAGCGACGCCGTTTTCGCAAGGCTGGCGCAGGTCCAGCACTGCCGCATGCAGGTGTCGCCCCAACGTCCAGCACGCGACAGCCCCGCCGGTCATTGCCCGATGGGGAGCTGCGACAGGCTGTCCAGTTCCTCTGCGCAGGCATCCGGTGGCTCGGCAATGCAGAATGCCAGCTCGAGCCATACCTTAATTCAGCTGCGCTTCTCTCGTGCTATGGATCCGGCCCCGGCAAATGCCATGGATCTTGGTGGTCTTGGATCTGTATTCAGTCGTCAAGGTTTTCTTCGCATGGCAAGTTCAACAACTCGGTCGCTCGGCACCGCCACTGCGCGCTATTGGATAGTGAATTCGAAGAATATCTTGGACTAAAAGTTCGATAGTCCACTGCCGGAAATGTCGGCAGTCAGCGAAATTGGCCTCCGTATCCAGCGATGATGACGAAGCTACGCCGTCAAGGCCTCTATACTTGTTCCTAGCTTCGGTCAATAGGTGCTGGATGGAGAAGTATTGTCTCGGTTCTGTTAGCATTACTGAGCTATATTTAGCGCATCCGGGCGAACAGGTCGTGTGAACTAGGACAAGTGGCACCTCAAGGTTGCACTCTTCGCCACAAATCCTTACACTCGAAAAGAAAATTGTTTCTGACTGCTCAATAGCTCCAAGGGCACAACAACACAGCCGACGGTCTCCAACTTCGAACATGAATTAGGACGTGTCGTGAAAAGAATAGCGAAACCCTTCCACGAAATCGGCCGCCTACTTGTCTCCGTGGGCGACAGGTCGACTGCTCACCACGCTCTTCCTCTCCAGATCTTTCATCTCGATGCCATTGACCAGCGCCCTTTTGCCCTTTCCCTCCCTTTCCTTCTCGAACTCGCCTTCTTCCCAGATCAGCTCTTCTATGAGACTGACCGGCCACAGAGCGACCGCTCCGAGCAGGCAAAAGAAGGTCGACCAGAATTGCCATAGCCAGACCAGTATCCAGCCCGGAGGCGCCACGAACTTGATAAACTCGTCTACCTGGTATAGGTCGTTCTGGCTGTCGATGTAGTATTTTCTGTCGCCGCGGTTGTGTTTGAGAGTGAGGACGCTAACGAGAGATACTGGCGCTTTGTAGAAGGGGATGACCCAGATGCGGAAGATCTGGTGAATGCTGACGTAGAGGATGAGGTTGGGTTCGTCGTAAGCTATCACAGATGGTCAGCTTTTCATTCAACTCCAACGAAAGCCCTCGGCAGGGCACGCCGGCGCGATTGATGAGGGGCCATTCTACTAGGTAAGCGTACCAACAGACTTGACCTCAAGATCGATTCGCGGACTCATGATCTTGTACCAGCGGTATATGGCCCGCACGAGGAACCGCGAGTTTTCCCAGCTTCCTGTCCGGCAGAACGGGTGCGTGAACGAGGCATTGGGCGTGAAGTGGGTTTCTATCGTGTCGCGCTGTATCGAGGGCGGCGATTGCGTGAGGAGGTGGATTACGCGGGTGATTTCTTTGGCTGCAGCGCGGTCAATTGCATAGAAAGGATGGAGAATGCGAGTGGTGACGAACCTGGGTTCTCCATCGTGAAGAGATGGAGGTTAGGGTGTTCCGGCTAGAGTACCGAGATAGTAAGATGTGAGGATGTTAATGTGTGGCTGCTGGGAGAACTGGCAGTTTGGGGTTCTGAAGCTTGAGCTTTTTCACATGCTTTCTGTTGACGTCATGTCGCGCACAGCTACTCTCGGAAAGCGGAAAGCACCATCCGTCATGGGCGCTCCTGAACACCATTGCGGCACGGTGGTTTGATCGCTCGAAAGTCTGCATCCTTCGCGATGGAGTCACTGAGTGTCTCGAGCTCACATGGTTGGAACGTCCAAGACCGTCCGCGGATTGCCCCGCGGTGGTGGCATTACCCCTGCATATACCGATTAGCGCTCTATCTTCGCCAGTAATTCAACACGCCATGCTGCACAGCAAGGGGATGCTTCGCGTGGATTTTCAAATGCGTAGGTATTCTCTTTCTTCATCTCGTCAATTATTATCCAGTCTTCGAGGCACTGGGATCCCACATCCTGCGCGATAGGACTATCGCGGGGCAGCAGGACGCGTACGCGTCACCCAGATGCGACGCGATAAGAATCCCACCTTTCTCGTGAAGGATACTTGAGGTCCTAGCTACCCAGGCCGCAGCAGCAAGCAAAGCTGCACCTTCCGTCTGTTTCATCCAACGGCCTGGATTATGCCCTATCGGGCATGGTTCCGGTAGTACGGTCAAGGCTTCCCGAGGTCTCCAGTCAACGACCCACACGTGAGTCTTTAGATGCAAGCACGGACGCATCTATACACCATTCTCCTGTGGTTCCGACTGCTGCAAACATCCATCTTCCTTATGCCGTCCTGAACTGCAGACGCAGCTATACCCGCCAAAATGTCTCATGCAGCTTCTTTCGTGCCGGTCCTCTTCTTCCTACTCCCACTTGTCCAGGCGGCATCGTTCCTCGAGTTCCTTGACTTCACGTCCCCGTCACCGCTCATCTTCCATTCGCTGGCTACTCTTCTCCAGGTCCAGCCGCAGACTCTGTTTCCCAATGGCCACACCATAGCCTCGGTCACCGTTCCCCGGCATACACTTCTCTACCATGGCCGTCACGATAACGACCCTGTCCCGAGCCCAGAATGGCTAGCTTTCGATATGGAGATGGCATACGGAATTATGGGAAATATGCCGGACTCTCGCCTCCTGACTTACAAGACTACGAGGAACGTTCGGGCTGTGTACTTCGACGGGACGAGCGCGAGCCTTATGGGGGACGGCACGTTTTCACAGATGGTCTTCCTCTACAATGGGACTGACGATGTACCTAAGCGAGGAGGACGGGGTCCGCCACCAGGACGAGGCCACCGCGACCACGGTCACCCAAAAGAGCCCGAGAACGAAAACACATCCCCACGGCCACCTTTGAGATTGTCATTTCCTCGCTGGAATCCCCTTCAAGACGAGTACTTTCGCGCCAGGGAACTCTGCAAGTGGCTCGAATCAAGCGGTCTTGGTGGTCAGGGATGGGGTTACGAAGGCATCGTACGCATGAACGCTGGTTTTGAGCTGATCTGGTGCGACTTCGATAGCCCATCACTCAAGCTGGTCTCAAATCTCAACGTATCTGCGCCCCGCAACTACGATCCTACAGCTGCGCTAGAGCGGGCTAAGGCGCGATGGCTTCGGATTCTCGAACTTGAGGAACCTTTATCTTCGGAGGATCAAGCGAAGTTAAACCAAGTGCTTGGTATTCAAGAACCAATTCGTACGAACCCTCAATTGACCTTGGGTCCGAGTGAAGATGAAGGGCCTCATGGACCTGGGATGACCGATCCGCGAGAGCCATTCCGGAATACATCAAGTTGGTTCTGGTCCACGGCTGCAGCAAAGAGATATCATGGGGACTCGAGAATGAGGGTGGATCCGCGGGGAATATTTTCGTTCTACGAACCTGGCCTTCGTAATCAGTTTCGCTCCAGAATTGAAGACGATATCAGTCGGCTGAACCTGGAGACGAACGGAAGATGGCGAAGAGGAGGTAATGGAGAAAACTCTTTCTCTTCGTATGCAGAGCGCATAGCACGACGATCTGACGAATTGCGGGCGTTAATGGAGCGCCGGCGGCAACACCGCTTGACCAGCGTTGCGGGCAAAGATGGCGTCTATATGCGCGCCGCCGTAGAGAAGAGACTCAAGAACACTCTGGCAGCATCACGGAATGGTGACGATGTCGACTGGCATTACACAGCGGAGGAAATCATTACCAGGTACCACAACGAGCTGACTACCCTTCTGGACTACCTGGAAATGGCCCCAAAACCCCATGAGACCCACCTTCCTCTGGATGCATGGATATACCAAGTTCGGCAAGTAACCCACTGGTTTATGCTTCCCTCCCTCGAATACCCCCCTGATAGGCCGTACACACAGGAGCGACTGCAAGAGATATTCAACCTAGACTCCCGTCTCGCGCAGACAACCTTGGAGCGCTGCATTACTCAGTACGACCTAGACGAGCAACCAGTCGGCGACGAAGACTCAATTCTGGGCAATGCAATCAAAGAGACTCTGCACGGCATATGCTCTACAGTTATCAGGATAGGACTCGGCGTCGAATACTACTGGCTCATGTACTTCAACCCCGCACCAGAGCTAGGCAGTTCTCGCTTCCTAGCCGTGTCCCAGGAACTCAAGTATGCCGCCGAGCTCTGGGAACAGGACATGCAAGAGCTGCTGGCCTGGCTGGGCTGGGCTGAGCAGTGGTCAAGGTGTGAGAAGCAGTGTGACGTGGGCGAGATGTGCTACATGCCGATGTGGCCTGTTGCTGGGTGGGGTAGGGGTCGATGGGGAGAGGATCCCGAGTTCTTGTGGCAGCCAGTGTGTGTTGACATGATGGATTATCCGCCAGAGAATAGCGGGAGCATGTAGATAGATAGATACCCTGAGATGTATAGCGTATGAAGGAACGGCTGCGCAAAGTATGCTGAAGGGCTTCAGGTTTTGTAATACCAAAGTGATTCTATGTTGCAAAAATCCCTGAAGCCCATCAGCGTCCCTTATTCAAAGCCCGTAAAAGTGGCGGCGACGACAATACATGGAGGGAGTCGTAGGATTCCGGGGAGTGAAAACGAACACGAGGGTAATCCATGAGACGGAAACTACACAGCTGCATGCATGCTCATGATGCAACTCCTCTGCGTGACTTTCCCAAAACCACGCCGTAACGCCCACTCTGCCTACTAATCTCTGCTAAAAAAAACTTGTCTACAACAAGTATGCTGCCTCCCTCCGTCGGCCCGGCATCATACCTTTCAGCGGGCTTCCCACGAAAATCTCGATTTCGTACCACATCATGAGTGTGAGTTCCTAGTCGGCGCAGCAAGACTTCCTGCGCTTCTAAAATGCTTAGCGGGAAGTGAGACTGAGAAAGTGCTCCGAGCCAGATGAAACACCAAAGACCGGCATTTGCCCCTCATGGAGAGGGAGGGGAACTCTGGAGAAGCGGGGCATTAATAAGTTCGCGGAATAGTTCGCGGCATTTCTCTCGTGTTGAACTGGAGCGAGCATGCCAAAAAAAGGATGCCCGCAAACTTGGTAGAAACTCTCATGCGCACTAATTAAACACGCGGAACTACGAGGAGACATCAAAGAGAACAGAGCCGCCTTCGGTGCTGGACCCCTCTGGGGCTGCGCTGTATCCAAGAGCATTAAATCTCCTTTCTGGCCTTCCTTAAGCTCTTTACAGCGACTAAGATGCACCGCTCTCTACACAGCAAGAAAGGCGCTACATGGCGGGAGCATCGTGTTAGTTTACCACCTCAAAGTCGCCGGAAGATGATGTGTGCCGAAAAAGGCCCTTGCGCAAAAGGTGCGTGAGCGGCCCTGCCAACCCGTTTATAAACATCCGGGCAATGGCGCAAACCAGAGAGTCCTGCGGCGAGCAGGTTTAATGTGTATTCCAGTGGTTGTGAAGATATAAACCGAGGATGTGTGGTGAGTTTAGTCTCCGATAATGTTGGTCTATGGTTGGCGATCAACATGGAGGATGCCTCGGAAACGCTCTCGAACCTCCTCCCGCGGTTCTCTCTTGACAGCGACTATGGCGCTTCGAGTGCTGTTCGTGACGTTTCTCTCAGCATTGTGGACATGTCCAAGCTGAATAGCATCGGGTTCCAAAGTCCGGTGAAAGTCCCACTTCGGTTCTCCACGAGAGGAAGTTTCGCTGGCGCTTGTACTAGACCTTTCTCGATGGTGTTCCGGGGGCTGGCGGAGAAATTTTGAGGCGGTTCGGCGAGCTCCTGTGTCTTGAAAGCGGGTCCGCCATCATAGGATGTGCGTTCAGGTTGCCGCTGCTGTTGACGCTGTACCAGATCCTAGTAATCCTGCACTAGCCTCGTTCTCCAGCGAAATTTTCATATCGAGCCAAGAGTAGAAGTTCGGCGAATGACAGAAGCTCTCGTACAATCCGTCTCTAGCACGATGTCTCTGTATCGGGCTCTGCCCACGGAATTTCACGCTCGTTCCGTGCTTCGACAGATTATGTAGGAACTCTGGAACAGAAAAGCTCGCGTATCGGGAATTGCCGCCGGGCGAGACGACGTTTGTTGCGGTGAGATAACGTGTGATGGGTGCGATGAACTGAGCTGTTAGCTCAGCAAAGTGCCGTCGAATAAGAGGTCCAACTTCGTGAGTTTGATCACCAGGTTTGAGGAGGGTTTCGACTTGTGATAGGAGGGCAGACTCGGACTTCAGAAAGCGTTTCGAGGGCGCATGCGCGTCAATGCCGCCTCCAGGCAGATCCAGTAGAGCGTTCCGACTCAATTTACGGTGAAGTGAGTGGTGGCGCTTAGCTGGTACAGGTCCGTCAAAGTTCTGCAGATATAGTATATGCGGCCTTGAGCGCTGGTTGCCCTCTGTTGCGGAGAGTATGCGCTTTAACAGGAATGGATTCGTGATGCCGATGATGAACGAGCTTGGTGTGCCTCCGTCGATACCGATGCCGCGAAAGTCGGATTGCATGGTCATGTAGGGCTTGATGACTCCGGCGTACGGAACGGGGCGAACGAGATCCACCAGAGCGGAGACGGCCTCACTGGCCAGCTGCGGTGATTTGGCGATGACGATGATGCTCTCACAGAGAAGTAGCATTTCGTAGAGGACATACAGATCGGATATGCAGGGCATATAGTGCATGATAAGGTCCCATGAGCCCAGCGGTTCGTACGCATAGATGGAGGAAGGCTTGTCTGAAATCAACGGAGTAGGTCCGGCCAAGCCTTGGAGTGGGAAAGCATGGTGCGGCGCGATATCCAAAGCTATCATGGAGCCCATGAACGGAAGCTCCTGTCGTCCCAAGGCTGGCGCGGGCCAAGTGACCATCTGCGTATATGCTGATTCCAGCGTGGTAGGGTCGCTGATGAGGCCCGATTCTGTCATCTGATACAATAGGCGGTTGTAGAAAGCGAGAAAGTTGTGGTGAGAAACTAGAACGAGAGTGCGTTGATTGAAGCTTCTCTTCATGGTATGATCAAACTCTTGGCGGAAGACGCAGCAGCCATAGAAGGTGTTGGGATTCCCGTGAGGGGCTTGCGGTGAGCTCAGGTTGATGTCAGGCGAGTTGTTGGTAAGGGTGAAGTTGAAGGCAAGGTCCTCAGCGGTTTCGGTATTTTGCTGCTCAGGGAAGCTATATACGGATCAGAGTGGTGTTCCGCCAAAGGCCGACGATGCAGACCTGTTGAAGCAGATGGCGCTCAGATCTGTGGTCGAAAAGGGCACGTCTGGCGGGTAGATGATCTCAATCTCGGGCCCTGGATTGCACGACTTAACCCCTGAAGCCTCTTCGCACAAAAGGAAAGGTTCGGACCTACCTACGTCGACGTTGAAGTTACAGACGATGAATGCCACAGCCCAGTGCTGGAAGCCAGTCAGGGGGCTGCCGGAGTCCTGTTTCGTGTCTTCATTCGCCGCCTGCCGGGCGCGCCGGTGAGGGTGCAGGATCTTGGTCTTGAGCTTCTCCATCTCGAGCCGGTTGAGGCACCTGGCGGGTGCGGATGTGCGGGTGGAGCGTGGACGTTGGGATAGCTTCACCTGGGCAGGACGGATCGGTCAAGCGCGGCATAGCGTGCACAGGGATCAGCTGCGGCCGGCAGCGCTATGACGTGCCCTGCGAGGAAGCCCGTTGACTGCTGCAGCGCCGCCCACCACGCTGTGAATGATATTGCGTCTGGCTTCAATGCAATAGCCACACGCGCGCCCGCTCCGCCATGTGAGGCGCCGCCCCGCAGCAACACCAACATGGATCCCAACATCACCAAGGCGCTGAACGACAAGCTGTACGACCGGCGCAAGAGCGGCGCCCTCGAGCTCGAAGGCCTGATCCGCGAAGCGCTCGCCGCTGGCGACTATGACCGGATCCAGAAGATCGTGCACCAGCTCTGCCACGAGTACGCCTATGCCGTCCACCAGCCACACGCGAGAAACGGCGGGCTCATTGGGCTGGCCGCAGCCTCGATAGCCTTGGGACCGGTATGTCCTGCTCCTGTCGATGCTGGCGAAGGGATGGAGCTCACGGTGGCATAGGCAGTTGCCCGATACCTCGAAGAAATAGTCCCCCCGGTCCTCGCCTGCTTCTCCGACCAGGATGCCCGCGTCCGATACTACGCATGCGAGAGCATGTACAATATTGCCAAGGTTGCAAAGGGCGAGATTCTGGTCTACTTCAACCAGGTCTTTGACGCCCTGTGCAAGGTCGTAGGCCTTCTTCTTGCCCCCTTTCCTCTGGCCCGGGACATGGCTGACGGATCGTGCGCAGCTCGCGGCCGACTCAGAGCTCTCAGTCAAGAATGGGGCCGAGCTACTCGACCGGCTGGTCAAGGACATAGTGGCTGAATCGGCATCCTCCTATGTATCCGTCCTGCACGCTCCGGCGGAGAATACTGAGGAAGCTACCGATGGACAGGATCGACCCGCCCAAGACCTCCCCACCGCCTTCTCGCTCGAACGATTCCTACCCCTCCTCGAGGAGCGCATCAATGTCATAAACCCCTTTACTCGCACATTTCTCGTGGCCTGGATCACGTTGCTGGACTCCATACCTGACCTCGAGCTTGTCGCATACCTGCCCCGTTTCCTCGCCGGCCTCTTCAAGTTCCTTTCCGATCAGAATCAAGACGTACACACTGCTACTCAGGTGGCCTTGGACAGGTTTCTGAGCGAGATCGGCAAGATTGCACGCATAAAACGTGGCATAGCGGAGAGCAAGAAGAGTTTGCGGGAGGATGGCTTCAAGCACTCTACTTCCAGCATCCAAAGCAGGGCAGACGCCTCGAGCGACGCGGATGATAGCACCACCCCGGAACAAAGAGGCTCCATAGATGAGAAGGACGACTCAAGTGTAGAGAGCGGATCGATCGCCATCGAGGATGAAAAATCGGGCAATGGAGATGGTGACTGGGTTCCCGGACAAGACGTGCAAGTTGACCATTCGAGGATCCTTGAGATCCTGGTCATGTTCTTGGGGGCTCCTTTTGGGGACAAAGGTAGCTATCATCTGCCTTATGATGCCGTTCGTTCTGACAGCCTGCAGAGGAAGAGAATCACGAGATCCTGCTTACCACGCTGCGATGGATCGACAGCTTCTTCGAGATTTGCCCCGAGGACATCATGCCGTTTGTACCAAGCCTACTAACGCACGTTCTACCCAGAATGTCTCATGACCTGGATTCTGTCCGTCAAGCAGCAAACAAAGTTAACGCGTCGTTAATGGACTACATCATGTCCCTGTCCGACGACAGTCGCCGCTCGGATAGCACGGCAGCGGGCCAGATACAGCTTCCCAATTCCTTGTCCGCGCTTGGCAAAGAACTTACCGGCGTCGAGCGACGCGATTCGAACCTTTCAAGTCGGTTATTGAAAACTGTGATTCAGGACCGCGCAGAAGTTAAGTCCGAGTACAGTAAGGGTACGAGGACGCCGACGCCAGCGGAGGAGCGTGGACCATCACCGCGCCCCGTGCCGGAGCTGGACTACCAAGCAGCGGTCAACGCCCTCACACTACAATTTCTGAATGAGCATGAAGCAACCCGTGTTGCAGCGATCGCGTGGCTGATCATGCTCCACAGAATGGCGCCTGGAAAAGTAGGTTTCCCGCGGGTAGTAGAAGACGCAAGGAATACTGACTGTTCGCAGATACTCTCCGTCGAGGACGGAACATTCCCTGCGCTTCTCAAGACGTTGTCAGACCCCTCCGAGGCGGTGGTCACACGCGACCTTCTACTCCTATCTCAGATCTCCAAGAACAGCGATGACTCCTACTTCACTTCTTTCATGGTAAACCTCCTCAAGCTGTTCTGTACCGATCGCCGGCTCCTAGAGATGCGAGGCAATCTAATCATTCGGCAACTGTGTGTTACGCTTAGCGCAGAGAGGATATACCGGACCATGGCCGACTGCCTCGAGAAAGATGAGGTATGATTGCAACCGGCTTATCCTCCTATGTGCTGACAGAAACAGGACGTAGAATTCGCTAGCATCATGGTGCAGAATCTAAACAACAATCTCATCACCGCTCCAGAACTCGCGGATCTCCGAAGACGGCTCCGCAATCTGGATTCAAGGGACGGCCAGTCATTTTTCGTATCTCTCTTCAAGTCATGGTGCCACAATGCTGTCGCTACCTTCTCACTTTGCCTTTTAGCTCAAGCTTATGAGCAAGCATACCACCTCCTCCAGATATTGCAAGTTGCTCGCCTTCTGCTGCAACGAGATATACGCTAACAAGACTAGCGCGGACCTTGAGATGACAGTCAACATGCTCATCCAAATCGACAAGCTGGTCCAGCTACTTGAGTCCCCGGTCTTTACATGTAAGTCTCCCTCTTAATCTTGAGATGCCTCTGATATATTTCACAGACCTCCGAATGCAACTCCTCGAACCCGAAAAATACCCACACCTCTACAAGTGCCTTTATGGCCTACTCATGCTCCTGCCGCAATCCTCTGCATTCGCAGCATTAAAGAACCGCCTGAACAGTGTCTCCGCGATCGGGTATCTCCACATCGCGCCGCGCACGTATGTCCCCACCTCCAACTTTAACCATTTGAGACAGAAGAGCTCAGAGACCGGTCCTCCCAGTGCATCGCAGGGAACCCCTGTATCCAGCTTCGAGCGCCCGAACCGCCTCAAAGCCCGAGAAGACGGCGGCGTCAAGTGGGTCGAGCTTCTCGAGAAGTTCAAGAGCACGCAGGAGAGGGCGAGAAAAAGCCAGCGGATGGCGAGTATGGGTGAAGATATGGGTGTCAGCCCCGTACAAGAGAAAGAGAGGGGTCCGCCCGAGGTGCCGCCGAAGAGTGCGGGATTGAGGGGTGGGCAAGCGCCAGCGGGGATTAATAGGCCGTTGCCTGTGCCGGCAGGGGCGCAGCCTGCTGGGCACAAGTCCAGGAGTAGTTTAAGTAATCTGGGGAGGTTTGCGGGGGGTGTGGCCGGGAGGAAGAAGAAGTAGTTTTTTCGGGTTCGATGTGTTTAGTATTATTCCCGGTTTGACCGGAATTAGCGCTGGGACAGCCATAGATTGCATGGCGGGAGTTGAGTCTGGACTTTTGGTATCTTCATTGCCTTCTGCATAGCGTATGCGGCCGGGATTAATGGGTTTTTTTTTTAACGATGCTTCCCCTTCCTATACCTTATGCACTCTTCGGGCTTGCCTTTCAACCCTCCCGACACAGGGACTTCTTTGTTGCTGTCCCTATCAATCACCCAGCTCTGGACAATCTCCTTGATCTCAGGCTTCTTCTTCTCCCTCCTCTTCGCCTCCTTGACTCGCCGCACATACCCACTATACACCGCCACCTCCGCAATCGCAACAGCCCCGCTCCCACCCATACTCAAACCAAGCCTCTTCGCGACGCTCCAATGCCGCGCTGCCACCCATATAAACACCGCACACGCTACTATCGACACCAAAACATTGATGATAAGAATCATCTGGCGGTGCACCTCCTCGTAGCCGACGTCGTCTTCGTCAAGCGGGGCGTCGGTTCCGATGCTGAATTGGACGGGGGCAGAGGGAGGGCGACGGGCGGAAGTGAACGACGAGGTTGGGGGGTTAAGCATGCGGGTGTAGGCGCGGGCTTCTTCTTCGGCGCGGAGGCGGGCCATTAGGGCGACGTACGAGGGGCTTGGCTCGGGCTTTGGTGGGGGCGGGGGAATGTAGATTTTAGAGGAGCGGAGGAGGGTGTTGAGAGTGTAGACAACGGGCTCATTTTTCTGGTCTTCTTCGGCGGACCGGGGGTCCTCGGGGGCTTCCTCTTTCTCGGAGGATGCTGGCGCTTGCACTTCTCCTTCCTTAGCAGGAGCTGACTCTGCTTCTGCACCTTTCGTAGGAGACACTGGCTCCTCTTCTTGGTTTTCACCGGTAGAAGTGGCAGAGGCGTGCTTCTTGAGCAACTTCGAGAGGTCGATTAACTGGCTGTGCGAGATGGGGTTCCCCGGCTGGGGTCCTGCGAGCGAGGGCTCCGATGGAAGCTGAAGCTTTCCGAATTCCTCCGGCGAGATGTCTTCGGCTCTGGAAAGCGCCCGCACGATGGCGGGCGTCATCGTGAGAAGCACCATTGTGCGGTGGTTGAGTTGAAGCTGCACGGTCGCAGGCAGATCGGCGGCTGGAGCTCTGGCTCGGTTCGGGAGCCCGGGTTGTCTTGGCGGCATCTTAGCGTAACGATGTCCCAAAACTTTCCGATGGTTCACGTCGCAGCTGTCGAACCACCAAAACACCCCTATCGTACCCTCAAATCCGACTGCGGAGTTCCAATTGCACTTCCGCAGTTCCTTTTTGTGGACAGAATCCAATGTCGGGCCGATCTTCACGGCTCGCGACGACCTTGACGCGATGCTCCCCTCGCCTCCCGCAATGTACCTCTCGAAGAGAGTGTCTTCTTTCGAATCACGAAGTCGCAGCTTTCTACCACCCGTCCCGCCGGCGTAATCAGTCGTCATGGGCCGCCGCTGTCTCCGCTGCACAGCATGTTTTCAATCCACCTGCGCCCGATCCCAATGCTCCATTATCAATGGACCCGTTTCAGACGGTTGCGAAAGAGATGAAGTTTCTGACGAAGAACATACGGCAGTTGCTTGGTTCAGGGCATCCGACGCTAGATACGGTTTCGAAGTACTACACGCAGAGCGAAGGGAAATATGTGCGGCCGATGCTAGTGCTGCTCATGAGCAGAGCAACGGCCCTTACGCCGAAGATACCAAGGGACAGGAGTCCATATTCAGTCAATCGACCTATAACATCACCCAGCATACTTTCAGACGAGAACCCCTCCGCGCCAGATGCAGAGTATCCCAGCATATCTTCGACGATCCACGACACCTCTTACCGAAACGAAGACTCCGACATCCTTCCATCCCAGCGAAGATTAGCTGAGATTACCGAGCTGATACATACGGCGTCGCTCCTTCATGACGATGTAATAGACCACTCGATATCACGCCGCTCCGCGCCCTCTGCGAATATTGAATTTGGCAACAAAATGGCAGTTTTGGCAGGCGACTTCTTGCTCGGCCGTGCCTCCGTGGCGCTCGCTCGTTTACGAGACCCTGAAGTCACAGAGCTGCTCGCAACCGTTATCGCCAACCTCGTCGAGGGTGAATTCATGCAGCTAAAGAACACCGCGTCGGACGAGCGCAACCCCGCTTGGACGGAGAATACGCTGACGTACTACCTCCAAAAGACATACCTGAAGTCGGCGTCATTGATCTCGAAATCATGCAGAGCGGCAGCGATATTAGGGCAGTGTACTCCGGAAGTGGTGGAGGCGGCATATAGCTATGGCAAGAACCTAGGTCTTGCGTTTCAGCTGGTGGACGACATGCTTGATTACACTGTCAGCGGGGAAGAGCTAGGGAAGCCTGCGGGAGCGGACCTGGAGCTGGGACTGGCCACTGCACCGTTGTTGTTTGCATGGAAGGACAACAAGAGCCTCGGAAAGCTGGTAGGGAGGAAGTTCTCTGGGGATGGAGATGTGCAGAGGGTGGGTTCCCTCTCTCCTAAATGCTCTAGAAGGGAGGCATTAGCTAATTCGAAACCAGGCACGCGAAATCGTCTCCGAAAGCACGGGGCTTGAGCAAACGCGCGCTCTAGCACAAGAATACGTCGACAAGGCTATCCAATCTATTGCGTTCTTTCCCGAAAGCGATGCGAAGAAAGGGCTCATTGAAATGTGCACCAAGGTCATGAAGAGGCGGAAATAGACAGAAGCAAGTTTATTCGGCGGCCATCTGTACAAGTACGTATACACAAAAGGCGTTATGACGGAGCGTCCTATGGCCGTTATTTTGGAAGGACGAGGCCCCTTCGCGCAGGGAACACTGCGTCCGTTGTTATCCTACCACTCACATTACTCGCATTCTGTACATATACTGTAGTATCTACACTATTAAAAGGAGCATCGGACATGGTGAAACGGGGAGATCAAAGAAGCTCACGCAACCGGGAATGCTTTTCGTACGATGCTATGCTGTGCTAAACTTTCAGGGGTATCTACAAAACCACACGTCCGGGGTCCAATTATCTTAATCAACACACGGAGTTTAGCCATCCGCGAATGGATTCGGTGGCAGTATGTCAGGGTCGTACCCGTTGGTTGTCGGTTCTCCAGCAGGTTGCGGAGGTAGTGCTGATTCTTTCCACACCCGCACTGTCCTGTCCTGTCCTCCGCTGACGAAGACCTTTTCGGTCGGATGAGTGTCCACTGAAAGCACTGCGTCTCCGTGGCCTCCCTCTATTCGCTGCAAGACATTCTTTGTGCTGACGTCCCATAGCACGATGTCGCCGTTCTCGCTCCCTGAGGCAATGAATGCGTATTGGTAAGGTGGATCAGAACCATACGTCCCAAATGCTCCTGACAAGCTGTATTTCTTGTTGATGTGCCCCTGATACGTCTTTACGCACTTGCCCTTCCCTTCGATGTAGTTCCAGAGCCGGACACAGGAGTCGAGCGTCCATGCTAGGACGTACTTTCCGTTTGGGGAGAAGATGACTGATGTTACAGGCGCGTTATCCTCATGCACAAGTGTGCGTAAGCATTGGCCGGTTGCAGTGTCCCACACTCGGACCAGGCCGTCGTGCGAACAACTTGTAATGAGGGTGCCGTCTCGAACGAAATCTACCCCACCGACGGGATCCGAATGAGCTGGAAGCGAGCGCATGACACGAGCTGCGCGGACATCCCAAAGGAAGACAGCTTCATCGTAGGAACCGCTGACGAGCATGTTGCCTTTCGGCGAGAACGCGATGGAGTAGACATAGTTGTGGTGGCCGATGAACGGAGTCGGATGCGCCATGCCCGTCGCCACGTCCCACAATCGGATGGACTTGTCGTCCGAGCCTGACGCAAGGATCTTGGAGTCGGGAGACCAAGCGATGGTGGAAATGCCGGCGAGATGGCCTTCAAGTGTGTGCTCTAGCTTTCCCGTCTTCGCGTCCCAGATCTTGATCGTGCAGTCTGCGGAGCAGCTTGCTATCCAGCGGCCGTCAGGAGAAAACTTGACTGATGATATGCCTTTCTTGTGGCCGCGGAGGATCATGGCGGGTTTGTAGAAGAGCTCTGTGGGCTTTGGCGGGGGTGGGCTGGGGTGCGGGGACCGTGAGCGACGCTGGGATATGGACCTTGATCTTGATCTCGAGCGCGGTGTCCTTGACCGAGATCCTGAGCGTGGGCTCCTCCGATTTCTGTAGTATCTCCTGTCATCCTCGCTATCCTCCCTGCTATACCGTCGCGGCCGCTCCGCTAGCCTATACTGAGGAGAGCCATTGGGCGGCGTGCGCGATGCTGAGCGTTTTCGCGGCGGAGAATCATATTCATCATCATCCTCCCTTCGGCGCTTGGGGGACGTGTTGCGGTCGGCCATGGTCTTGTGGTGGTGTCGGAACGCAATCGCCAGGGACGAGGGGAATATTCTGCCCGCCTAGCGCGCCAATCACTTATGTCAGCAGGGCGGTGAACGCCTTATTACCCTGATCCCTGTCACAGGCCCACCATATTTCCCCAGCTCTCCACCAAACACTCAATCCTACCTTTATACATGTACCCTCCGGATTCTCCCTTCATGGCGGACGATTCGAGCCGGCCCCCGTCCAGCTTACGGATAGTGTCCCTCAATTGCTGGGGCCTGAAATACATTGCCAAGCTTCGCAATGAGCGCTTGACAGAAATCGGGAACCAGATCGCCGCGGCAGAGCATCCACCAGACATTGTCGGCCTCCAGGAGTGCTGGACGCAGCAGGATTACAGTACTATCCGAGACAAGACCCGCCATTTGCTTCCCTATGGGAAGTTCTACCACAGCGGCATATTCGGCGGCGGACTTGTGATTTTGTCAAGATGGCCTATTGAAGAGAGCAGCATGACGCAGTATCCGCTCAATGGACGACCTGCGGCCTTCTACCGCGGAGATTGGTTTGTGGGGAAAGGGGTGGCATATGCGCGGATACGTATGGGACCGACGCGAAGAGATATTGCGGAAGTTTTCTGCACGCATGTAACGAGACCGCGTCACCGTATGGAATCACTGATCTGAACTGACCTCCGCAGCTCCACGCCCCTTACGAATCCGAGCCTTTCGACTCCTATCTCTGCCACCGAACAGCCCAAGCATGGGAGATTACTAAACTTATGCGTGGAGCAGCCGAACGCGGTCACCTTGTCATCGGATTGGGCGACTTCAACATGATACCCCTCTCGCTCGCCCACCGTATAATAGAGACACATTCCCCGGTGCGGGATGTATGGCGAATACTTCATCCCGATTCATCGGTCGGTGCGGCAAGAGACAATGTGGAGCAGCTTCGCGACAAGCCGATGCCCAACGCGGAGTTTAACCTGACGAAGAATGGAGCCACATGCGATAGCGCGCTCAATACATGGCGGTGGAATAAAGCTCACAAACAGCGCCTTGATAAAGGGGAGAATGTGCAAATTCCGTCATCAGTAGACGATCCGAATGCGAAGAGGCTCGATTATATCTTCTTCAGTAGCGGAGAACACCACGATGCCACAACCGGAACGCGGACCGCCGAGTGGACGCTTAAGGAAGCCAATGTGGGCATGACTATGCGGCATCCCAAACTCTTCTGCTCCCTCAGCGACCATTTTGCTGTTGAAGCAACCTTAGTCAGGAGTGTGAAGGCGCCGTCATCTTCGAACGGCCCTTGGGCACTACCGGAGACTTATCTTCCAATCGAGGTTTACGACGAGATACTGGCGACAATAGTCAAATACCAAGGGCGAGAGTGCACTCAGCGAAGACTGCGGTTAGGCCACTTTGGCTTTCAGTTCCTCCTCACGGTTGGGTGCCTTATCGGCGTCTGGTGGTCTCCGCATAACTACGTTTCCTTTATCTTGATACTTGTCAGCTCGCTCAGTCTGAGCGTCGGCGTTATCGATGGTCTTATGGGAGGGCTATTTGTCTCGAGCGAGCTGAGAGCTCTAAAGGAGTTTGAGTGGGAGGTCAAGAACACGAGAGAAAGGGCGCTCGCAAAAGCAGAGAAACACAGTACAGCAGGGAATCCATGACGTTGAAAATCGTCCGGACAACTCTAGGACTGGTTATTCATAGGCATCTAATGTAATAATACCAAAGGACATGATCGGTCACTGACAGTGTATGCCTCGTCTGTGCACCATATGAACGCTAGGCGAAAAGCGGGAAAGGTCAAGGCAACAACCTTGGGAGACCTCGGGACGACCACAATATCCAGGAGTATCCAACCCCAGACCATTCCAAACAGCTCTGCGCAAACATCTGAATTCTTCTCACCTATACCATCATGGCCCTTGACGAGCTCCCCAAGGAACTTCTCCTCATGACTACCTCATACCTCCTTCCCCTCGACATCGAGTCTCTGGCCCTCACGATGAACAAGTTCCTCACCTTAACCTGCCTACCCCTCTTGGAGCCGCTCTTCGCCAGACGTCACCATGCAGAGCAAAGTATATCACGCTTTGGCCCTTTCGTATTCGACAACAACGTTCCAAACGAGGTCATCGAGCACCACCGTGAACTCTTCGGCATCCCTGCTTCAGCCGAACTTATTGATCCGCGAGACGTGGATCGCATGCATTCTCTAGACTACCTGCGGCTGAACGGTGATCTGCATTGGCTGGGGCCCCTAGATTCAGGAACGGATATGGAAATGCAACCGCACAAAACTTCGGAGGTGACAACATGGCAGCTCGAAGAACTGCAGCAAGCCGCGACCAAAGCAAATGTCAAGCTACCACCAGCCTTTGTCAAATTCATCTCAAACAAGTCACTCATGGACCGCATTCCGAGCTCCACGGCAAACTTCTTCGACATAACCGGCGGCCTACGCAAAGTGCCCGCAGCCATCGACGGCGGCACAGGCGGCTACAACGTATGTATGTACAGCGACCAGCAAGGCGGCGGGTACTGGAACCTCTACTTGGTGCCTGGAGAAGAGGGCGCGCATTGTGTGCTCGCTTCAGGATTAGATACTGGAGATGAGTGGGAGGATATGAGTGAGGATGAGCAGTTCGACGAGTTTCCGGTCACGGTGGATGAGAGGGTGCAGGCGGAGAGGGAGGGGTGCCAGATGGCGAGGATGATGAAGGACGATCTAACACTCGAAGGATGGGATTTTGAGAGTTGGCTGGCGGGAGTGTATTTTGAGCAATGGCTTTGGTTTATGGCTAGCAAGGAGAAGCCGCGTGACTACGAGGAGTTGGCGCCGCTGAAAGAGTATGTTCGGAATGTGTATGTGCGGGACCCTTCTTAGGTGCCGGGAAGCCTTGCGCGTCGACAGCCTGGGAAGCTTCACCTTCATGTGGGAAGAGACTGTATCAGGCTCATTCCATCCAGCCATGTCCATTTCCAATTCGTTGTCGACCCAGGCGACCAAGACAAAGAACGTGGGGACAGTTACTCGACTCCTAGATGCTCCAACGCGGACCCTCCTGGGACGGAATCCACCCCTCCACTTCCCGTCCTCGATATAAGCTACGTCGGCGACGCGAGTAAGGTTCAACTCGCCGTCTTCAGCTGCAACTAGAACAAGTCCACACAAGCCTCTGCAATGCCGCCTACAACAACCAGAATACGCTGCAGTGACACTTTAACGTTTTCGGCAACGTCAGAACTAAAGGAGTGTTCAGCCAAAGGCGTGCTTCTGGTGTCTTCCGTAGTTTCAGTCCGTTTAACAAAAGAGACAATCCAGACAGCGGGTCCCATCCAAACGGTGCAACCACGTACATGGACTGACAGTTCAAGCTCGACTGGGCTCCCAACGGGGGATATGACATCTGTTTGCTATCTCGCGTGCGAGGAAGCTTGTGTGGCACTGTTTCAAGTGACGTGTGGATAAAGGGCGGATGGCTAGAATGTGATATCTGTGTCGTTGTAGTTTATGAACTGGTGCGGAACGTACGGCTTCGCTATCCATAGTATTTCCGTTTTTGAGCTGACGGCATTTCTCGCCGCTTCGTAGGTCTCAGGTCCGGCGGTTCATGAGCAGCTCTGGAAGCTGCCGTTTTCATTTGGAGGGGAGGAACCAGGGGCCAGACTTTTGGATTTGGTATTTTCCGCTGTGCTTTTTGATTGAAGGGAAGAATGCGTCCATCCATATCGGACGGTCGCCGTTCTTTTCATTTCTTCGTCGGGCAAGCAATCTGGAGCGCACGGTGATCCCCTGCTGCCTTCTCATCCCAGCATTGAGTGCATGAGTTAGTCAGCCATGCTGCGAAGTTCTTCTACCTAGGTATCTTCGTTCCGATCACGTGCATACGTTGGAGAAGATTAGGTCGAGAAATGGGGCTTGTACCGACCAAATGCTCTGGATTAAGATTGACTCAAGTAGCGAGGCTACGCACACCAGAATGCTTCGTCCGGTCTAGGTTCAGATACTAAGCCGCGACCAAGTCAATCGCTCGATGTAGGGCGGGAGACGAGCAAGACGAAGGCTGAGTCGAGTCATGAGTAGTTCGCCAAGGCTGTCATGCATCATTCACGGGCGCGCTTCCGTCTCAAAGCCGCTCCGCACGCCTCCACGCTCGCTCAACGCCGCCGCCCTCCGAGTGTGCATCTCCATCCGTCTTTCCCGTCTTCGCACAGCGAAGGTCCACAGGCGTCCGCGCCGTTGCTCCTCCAGCATGAGCAACCCCCAGCCGCAAGGAGCCCAAGGCCCAGGGCAGGCACAGGGGCCGCAGCTGCTGAAAGCGGACGACGTGCCGAAGCTGCAATGCTTGACCGAAGACATGAAGCAGAAGTACCGGCCGGTGGTGCACAACCTATGGCAGATCATGCAAACAAAGCCGGCTGGTACCATCGAGCACAACCAGGCGCGCCAGAAACTGCAGGACTGGTCGTCCAAGCTCATTACACAAGAGCGGACATACCGCGCGAAGCTCAAAGCGCAGCAGCAGGCCAGCCAAGGCCAGCCAAACCAGCAAAACCAGCAGCCGGGCCAGGCAAGCCAGCAGGCCTCTCATCAACCCGCAAACGAGCAGCCGCAGCCGCAGCAGCAGCAGCAGCAGCCCGCCCCGCCGATGCAGCAGCCTCCGAACCCCGCCCAAGGACAGCGTCCGCCGCAGCAGAACCCGCAGAACCAGGTTGATCCCGAGATCATCAAGCATGTCCAGACCTTCAAGTACTACCTGCCGCTCGACGGCCCGCAGGAGGGAACGCAGGCGTACGACACGAAGATAAAGGAGATGCGGAATAGCTATCTCATGGCGCTGAACCGGCAGCACCGCGCGACGCAGCGCATCAAGATCCTGGGCAACATGATGGAGCAGCGGCAGAAGATGGGCCAGGAAGTCCCCGCGGAGCTGCTCAGCCAGAAAGCCAACCTGGAGAAAGAGTACGGCTCCGCAAAGGACTTTGTCGATAGATTCAGGGACAAGCAGAAGAACTACAAGGCCGAGCACGAGCAGCGACGCTCTGGTGGCTCCCAGGGCCAAGGGCAGGCACCCCAGCAGGCTCAACAACTGCCCGCGCAGCAGCAGCGTCAACCCTCTCAGCCGAACGTCAAAGAGGAGCCGCAGATTAAGATGGAGGCGGGCCAGATGTCGCTGCCGCCCCAGGCGCAGCACTTTGGCGCCATGCAGGGCGGCGCTGCACAGCAAACGCAACAACCGCCGCTGCAGAGCGCGCAGGTACCCGCACCTTCACTTTCTCAGCAACCCATGCGACAGCCGCCCGCACCTCATTCACAGCAGGCCCAGCCGCCAAACCAGCACCCGCAGTTCGCGCAGCCAGGCCAACCGCAGCCCCAGCAGCAACCGCCGCGACCTCAGATAAATCCTCAACAAGCGAACGCGCACCAGCACCAGGCGAGCAACTCACCGCACCCGCAATCCGCAAGCTCCAATCCCGCAGGCCCTCCCGTCCCGCTCTCTCACCAGGCTGCTATAAGCGCGGCGCAGAGATCGTACTCAAATCCCGACGCTCAGCGCACTACGACCCCAATGCAGCCCGGCGGACAAGGCAGCTTCCACGCCCCCGGCAGTCGTGAGCGCGAGCAGCTGAACAACCCCAAGATGCCGATACCACGCCAACTGACCGTCACTCAGCCCACACCTGTGGGTATGGGTCAGGCGCGTCCGACAATGAGTGGCCCCACCAACGGTGCTCCTGGCCAGATGGGCCAGCCCGTGCTCTCCAAGTTTCCCCAGTTCCAGCTCGAAGGCGAGGGCGATCGTGTGCTTAGCAAGCGCAAGCTCGACGAGCTCGTGCGCCAGGTCACCGGCGGTTCGGAGGAAGCGCTCACCCCGGAGGTCGAAGAGGTGAGTTCATCGAGATTCATCCGTTTGCAGCGAAATTCTTAACTTGTTGTCAGGCTGTCCTCCAGCTCGCGGACGACTTCGTCGACACCGTCATTAGCAACGCCTGCAAGCTCTCCAAGCTCCGCGAGTCTCCGCAGCTTGATGTTCGCGATATCCAGCTGGTGCTCGAACGCAACTACAACATCCGCATTCCGGGCTATGCTTCCGACGAGGTCCGAACGGTGCGCAGGCTGGTGCCCGCCCCTGGATGGACGCAGAAGATGAATGCAGTCCAGGCTGCCAAGGTCATGGGTGGAAAGACGGACATTTGATCATTTCCCTCGCCCTCTTATATTATGTTTCGGCTGTTTGCTTATGCGGTGCCGGTCATTTTGCGGTATAGATGACCAGACGAGGCTCAATCCCCCCAAAAAAAGGATGGCAAAATTCCTGAAGGTGGCTCTCGCCACTGAGACCCTCAGTTGGCCATCCTCAGTGTCAGCATCCAAAGGAGGTCCTTGCGGAGGTACAGAAACAAAAGCACGCTGGACCTGGAGGTGAGAAGGCGAAGAATAAGGCTGCGGCTAATGAACTATGGCAAGGCAGTTCTTCCCCGGTCGCTGTAATGATGGTTTGCCGTCCTATTTGGGATAGCCATCGCATGCGTTGAGATTCTGACCAACAGTTAGCACACCTGGGTCGTAACCAGGCTAGAGGCTGGCATTGGTATTTGAATAGAGATGTGAAGTTTATGATAGAGTTCTTGCACTCATTGGTGATGTGCAATTGGTCGCAGAATGTACAGCGCATGAACTGTCGATTTCATGAAAGCACGAGACAGTCCTACTAGCCAAGGGCACAGGCACGTAAGTGCAATCCAGCATAACTAGTTGCCCCTTCTACAATGCCGCAATACAACTACTACTTGTAAACTGCAGAAGCTTTGGAACTGTTTCGGGTGCCAGCGAGAACCTCGGAAAGAATACGTGGGCTTAGGAGCCAACCGCCTGCAACAATACGGTGGCACGGGACGGCGGTTGCCTGCTCGCGATCGGTGGGGACAGCACTTCTCCCACGCCTCCGTGCGACATGAGGCTCTGCCTTGCCTTATCTTTGCCACCATGCTGACCGGACGGTGTGTTTCTCATCTAACCTCCCTCTCACGGTGTGGAATTCTCCGGATAGAACGACGTGCGCAACAGCTACCCTGGAGGCCTTCGCGGGTGCGTACAATGGACGAACTAACCTTACTTACTTGTACGGCGAGCCCTTAGCCCCGGAGAATTCCCTACCGCAAGAGCCTCCCACTACCGACCGGGTTTTACCCGCACTTCTCACGTGTCGGGCCTCATTCCAAGGTTATTCCATCTGGGCCTCGCTAGAGACCACTCGCAGGATGCCCCATTCTCGACTGGATTTCGCTAGCACTTTCCACGACCTGGAGCTCGACCCGGCTGGACCTTCGTTAGAAAGTTTTTGCAGAATGGCCGATTCTTCCCTTTGCTCATCCCGATCTTCTTCTGGCTTTGAGAACTGCCGCGACTCAGCATCCCACCAGAGCAACGCTCCGGCGTCCCAAGAACCTATCGAGATGAAGGGGCGAAGCTTCACGCTGCGCGCTATTATGTCTGGACTCCTAATCGGTCTTCTAATCAACGTCTCTAATACATACTATGGACTTCGCGTTGGATCCGGTAGCGGAATGTCCATGGTTTCGGCGTTGATGGGTTTTACCGGTTTCAGACTATTCTCGAGGTACACGACGACCAGATTTGGCGCTGCGGAGAACGTTTTGCTCGTCAGCGTGGCCACGGCTACAGGATGTATGCCGTTCACAGCAGGATTGATCGGTGCAATTCCCGCCCTCGAATTCCTTATCGGTCCCGACGAAAACGGCCCGCTGCGCGAAGGCTTTGGAAGCCTTCTTGTCTGGACAGTCGGTCTTTGCTTCTTCGGGATCGTTTTCGCCGCCATGCTTCGGGGACATTTCATTGAACGGGAGCGACTACCATGGCCGGGCGCAAGTGCTACGGCCCATCTCATTAACACCCTTCATCACAGCGCTCCGAAGTCACAGTCAGCTTCTCGTAATGGTCTCTCTTCGAGGCGGGAGTCTCTTATAGGAGAACCGCCCCTTGCGTGTGTCCAGGGCGACGAGATTTCTGATGAGATCGAATGGAAATCTGCGATGAACAGCCTCCTACGGGGTGCAATAGTATCTGGAATCATTGTATGGCTCTATCTCTGGTCTCCGGGCTTTCTGATTCCACGTCATGCTGACCTCTTCCCTCAGTCTGTCACTCTGGATTTCATACCTATCCTCCACGAATTACCACTTTTTGGGCACCAAGCGGCCAGCACCTGGCTCTGGACTGTGGACCTTTCACCTGGTTTCTTCGGCCAGGGGATGATTATCGGCCCTTACATTTCGTTGCACATGCTGGCTGGTGCCATCATTGGATGGGGAATATTATCACCGCATGCAAAACGCCGAGGCTGGGCGCCCGGCCCAGTGGATGACTGGACTTCGGGATCAAGGGGATGGATTATATGGATCAGCATAGCCTCATTACTTGCTGATGCGTCGATCAAATTGGCCTGGCTTGTGGTGCGACCGTGTTGGAGGGAATACCGAGCTAACATACGCTCCGCAAGCCGATTGGCAGCCTTCTGGAGGAACCGCGCTCGACGTCGGTCGCCACCACCACCTTTCGAAAACCAGTACATGCCTATACCAAGTGAGCCACATTCTGATTCCGACCCTATACCCACTCAAAGGATGCAATGGACCACGCTCGTTCGGAAAAGATGGGAAAGTATTCCCTCGTCTGGCGGCCTCAGCGCCCTACCAGTCCTTAGCTTGGGCTTCCTGGTCTCCCTCCTCATTTGCATATTGACAGTACAACTCGTCTTTGGGAAGCTTACCCCCTGGTATTATACTCCGCTCGCCATAGCTCTGTCGCTTCCGATGGCAGCTGTGGGGATACGATCTCTTGCAAAGACGGATGTCAATCCAGAAAGCGCTATAGGTATGCATATTTGTGCTAGGAGACACGACTATGCTTACCTTGCCATATAGTCTCCCAGTTTGTATTTGCAGCATTGATTTCGCATTCCGATCCAAATGCCGTAATTATCAACCTCATATCTGCAGCCATCGCCGTAGCAGGTGCGGTCCAGTCAGGAGACCTTGCGTACGATCTCAAAGTCGGAAGCATCGTTGGCGCACGCCCAGAAGCACAAATGCATGGACAAATCATTGGCTCACTCTTCGGTGCTTTCGTATCATGCGGGGTATACAAGCTCTATGCGTCTCAGTATCCCATACCGGGCCGCTTCTTCAGGGTCCCGTCCGCATATCTCGTTCTCAGCACCTCCAGATTGCTTTTGGGCCAGGGCCTCCCAGAGGGTGTTTGGCCCTTTGCCGTGGCAGCCGCCGCCCTCTCCGCTCTGGCCACAATATTGAAAATGCGATATGAATCTCGTTGGTGGCAAAAGCTGATTCCCAGTGGAGTATCGTTCGCAATTGGTATGGATATGCTCAGGCCCAAGCGTATGATATGAGAGCCACTAACTCCTTTCAGGCATATATCTTTTGCCCTCGTTCAGCATCACCCGCGCACTTGGAGGACTGTTCTACAGCGCATATACGCAGCGTAGGAAAGACAGGGAGGGCAATCTCATCATCCTTGCTAGTGGTCTTGTGTTGGGAGAATCTATCGCGAGCCTTGTCAACCTTGGTCTTAGCGCTCTTAATGTGCCGAAGCTCTGGGTGTAATAAGGATCCTTTAGCGAGAAGCCGCTTTTACCTCTTCGTGCACATCTCTATAATGTCGAGACTTCTACATCATGTAGCAATAACGCAATCGCAGTAGAGCGGCATGCAACAATCTTATCTTCTATCCCTACTCACTAAATTTCTCGAATTGTCATTGCCGATTTCATGTCGAAACAAGGGTTCTGGTTGTCACACATTTTTCTCCAACCGCGGAACATTTGGTGGTGGAAAAAGTTTATAAGAATAGGACGACAGCACTAAAGAATTCGAGGTCATCGCGACAAATTCGTAGTGTATCCTTTTGCCTCTATCTAATAAGTGAACGAAGGCACCTAGGACCATTACGCCTGGTGTTAGGAGTGACTTGTAAGGTAAGGAGGACGAACAGCTTAGCAAATGCCCTTTGGGTCAGAGCTCAAATTGACCAAAAACAGACCAAGTCATCGAAATCCATAGTCTCGAGCTCCCTTTCTTCTTCGTCCGGTCAGATCTCTCGTCGAAGTAGTTTCGCCCGTTCGACCCAACGATTTCCCATCTCGACGTTCTGCTCGCCACCCAGAGACAGCAAGTGAACACCACGCAAGAATGATGAGCGCGCGGACTCGTTTTTATACCATTGACGGTCTCCCCAGATACTTAGGGCGCGGTCGAAGTAGGTCCTTTTTCGTGCGTGAGCATGGTATCCTCCAAAGTTGGAGGGGGTCTTACTTACTGGGCCAAGGTATGTTCCTTCCTCCGGATATAGTGCTCAGCTAGCTTATGACAAGCATCGGCCGTGCGGTGGTTGAACCGGTCCAATGTCGATTCATACTGCTTGAGGCAGTCCTTATGTATGGCGAAGGCTTCATCCCAGAATTTGCTTGCAGACTCATGATCCCCCTCGGCCTCCAGACGCATTGCTTTGCTAGATCTTACATTCCCAAGAGCATGGAGGACCCTTCCCGTTCTGGGTTGTAGTTAGTAAGATAGCTAACGCATGTCGGTTTCAGAACAAGGGTCCTTCAACTTACTTGTAAGACACTCTGTCCAACTTTCCATGAAGTTTCTCTCGCTGTATGAGCAGGTCTGTCAAGGTTTTGTCCGCAGCATCAAGCTCCCCTTGAACCCAATATGCCAACCCTAGATTGCAGACCGGGAAGCCAAACTCATCTGGATCCACTGCGATTGACTTGAGCATCTCCACGCTTTGCTTAAAGTATTCGGTCGCCAGGGCAAACTTCCTAACCATCATATAGGCAATTCCCATCTAACTGTGAGCAAAAGCGAGTCTCAAGTCGGGTTCATTGCCCTTTGCGGCTTCAGCTTTCCGTATCGAGAGACACAAAATGTTGTGCTCTAGACACGTTTGAGCATCGTTCGTCTCATTTGCTAATGCACCCATAGTAAGGTGCATATCGCTAACCAAAGGCTCCTTGGTAATGTTGAACTGCTCGCACAATGAGAGCACCAATCTCAAATAAGGTTTTCCCTCGTGCGAGACGCCTCGTTCGTGAAGATATCTAGCATGTATTTAGCTCGGTCTGCTGGCCACCTTATCCTCCGAGTAGAATCTGCACTTACACTGCTGCTTCGTTCAGAAGCATAGGAAACGTTGGGTCCACTTCATGGAGGTCCCAAGAATCGGCGTACTCGAGGTAGAGCTGGTAAGATCGCTCTAGGCGGGGTAGTAAATGCTCACATACCGCCCACCTCTTGATTTGCTGGCTGCAGTGATCTCCAGGTGCCCAGACTATAGCGAGTAGAGATACTGCATCCTTGAATGTTGGGTAGCGATGGCTCTCGTCAATGCGAGTTCGGACCTCTGCTTGTATCACGCGATGAATCCACAGTTCTTTTTTGTGAATATTACGCTTGATAATAGAGGACGCAAGAAGCTCGTATCGGGCGCTCTCGAAAACCGAATTGGTCCAGTAGAGATTACCTTTCTCTTTAGACGTCTGAGTGTTCAGGAATATGTACTCTTGTATTCGATCAGGGTTCATGAAGGCAAGCAACTGGAGGAGCCTGGTCGCATGTGGACTGAGCCCCTGGAAGTTGTACGCGGTGGCAAGAGTGTAACCGTATCGATATTCCTGGAGAGGGTTGCCAACGTTGTGGATCTCCGCATAGCGAGCGTCTGTGGCGTACAGGCTCACGAATTCTCGAATTGAAAGGTTTCTGCGCCGAATGAACCCCGCCATCTGAGCCATGGCTAAAGGCAACCCTGCCAGATGATTTGCCAACTCAATCGACGCAGTTTGTTCATCCATGTTTCGATCTTGCTCTGATTTCGTGATCAATTTCCGGAGAAGCGTTGCGGAGTCGGTTGTTGATAAAGGCTCCATGTCGATCCCAGATCCATTGGAGAAGAAGTGTTCCTTTGCAAAGGGATCCCGACTAGTTACAAGCACCGAGCCATTTCCGTGGTACGGGACGTAGTCAGTGATAACATCCAGGTTGTCAGCGCTGTCGAAGATGAGCAACCAGTTCTCATTCTCGCTGTCGTTGCTACTCCTCGGTTTGGTAAGCCAGGCCTTGGCTATCTCTATGCTTGATTCGAGGCTTTTATTCTCTTCAGCGGTCTGAAGCCTTAAATGAGATGCGATGCGGCCGAAATCCGAAGCAAGTTGCGACACACCGCCTGCTTCCAGCCAAAAGATGGCCGCAAACTTGTCTCTCCTGGAGTGCGCATACTCTACTGCGAGGTCAGTCTTCCCGATTCCACCCATACCGCAAAGAGCAAAGAGACGTGTGCTCTGTGCGTTCCCCCAATCCTGAGTCCCTCTCGGAAGAAGGTGCTCATCCATGATCTCCAATATATCCTTTCGGCCGATGAAATCCGGGTTTGGATACTGCGAAATCGTGAAGCAGGGGAGATGGCATTTCTTGGTCTCCAGGAGATGCTCCGTGCTAGTGTTTGAGATTAAATGCAAACGCAGTGGAGGCCTGAGCGTCGTCGACACTTGGGGGTTGTCTTCGTGCTTTTTTTTTGTGGAGCTGGAGTTCGTTGCTTTGCCCGACCTGATCGGTTCGATAGGGGCGAGGTTCAGTGGATTCAAGGGATTTGAGATTGGAGGTTGTCGCACTGTCGAACTGCCGACCTCACCGATCCATCTCTTGCTCTTTACAGTAGCGTCAGCATGCAGTTTGCTTCATTCCTCGCATCTTACTTACCGTCAAGATCCTGAAGCAATGAACGAAGAAATTCTCTCGCTGAATACGTATCGTTCTTCAGCATCGGTAGCTTGCAGAGCTCATTATGGCTGAGATGCACACCGAGTAAACGCTCTGCGTCCGATGATACTGTAGCAAATTGGTCATCGACAAGTACCTTTGAGAATTGAGATGAGTTATCAATACTCCAAAGGAGGTCCACTTACCCTACTTCTTTTGCTGAAGAGCCTAACTCCAGAGCGGGGGCCTGCACATTCGAACACAGATAGGAGAGGAACCGTGGCAATTTGTTCGAACGCTGCGGCGGGATTTGCTAGTTGGAAGACATCTTGAAGCCCCCTTCTGAACCGCAATCTTAGCGCAGCTATACAGAACTTGGTTGTGTCGAAGTAGGGTTTCTTCGTCTGGTCCACTAGCGTGAGGCGTTCCCATGAACAAGATGCCAGAAAGGCACTCCACGACCAGCTTGAATCTTGGGTCTTGGACATTCTGATGCGCTAGAAGTAGTGCCTCCAAAAATTAGTCTTGCGAAAAAGTACCGACCACATAATGGCCACAGGGCGTATATACCTTCTTTAGGAGCACACCTCCAAGAGAATGAGCGACAAAGATGATCGGTCTATTTGGAAACTGTGCAAAGTCAGTTTCATGGGCTAGCGCTTAATTTGAGTGGCGTCTGGCGACCACATACCTCAGTGGCGAGGCGCGCCAGCTCCTCAGCCAAGTCAATTCCAGCCTTGAGGAATTTCTCCCATGTAAAATCCTCCGCGAGTTCGAAGGACGGATCGTAGATATACATGTGTAACTGCGAGACAGGCTTCACTGAGACAGCTGCTTGTTCGAGCTCGGTTCTCAAACCCCAAGTGTGGACCAGAGGCGCAAAATAACCGGGGACAGCAATGACGAGGGCATGTGATGATAACGTTGCACTCACTTTGGCTCGACACCGGTCTCGTTGCTATCGCGCAGTCGCACGACGCCGCTCAGGCTAAGGGAAGATTGGCTAGAACCTATTTGCACAGACGTGCCGCTGTGATGACTAGTAGAGCGTTCAGAAGCTTGCCGCTTGAGGCTATCTCGATGGCGATGCATTGGCAAGGAGATGATGTGAAAGAGTAGTACTAGCAAGTAGACCAAGCACCGCACATACACCTCACTTATGTTTAACCGATGAAAGGGGTCCCTTACGGGCTGGTGGAACGATTCCGGGGGAGCAAAAGCCTTGAGTTGTTACTCGTAGTGGCTACTGCGCAAGGCTGTAGCCCGAACACTCCAAGATGGTAAACCGTAACAAACTCATCCCTGACCCTAGAAGCTGGCTTTTGGGGTTACATGAGCACCATAGGCGTGTCTCCCTCGTGGAGGCAGGTTGAGAGACCAAGTAGCACTCGAGCCTCATTCAAGCCTAGGTACTTAGAAGTGCAACAGCAGTGCCACCCTATCATTAGTAAGTACTAGACATGGTCGATCATGTACTCCGATGAACCTTTAGTTTGTAAGACATTTAGCAATCGTTGTTGCTGGCGTGATCGCCGATAAAATGGCTGCACACCCCACGCACCGGCACGCAAAGCTGGGAGTGATCATCAAACAGGGCGCTGTTGGTCCGTCATGGCCCGTGTGCCACACCTCCCTCATGCGTGGTACGAAACCGGCAAATTCTGATTCACGCTGGACCAGAGAGCGTGAACGTCAGTATGAACCACTCACATTTATACCTCGACTTTTCCAATAAGTTTCAAAGCCCTGCACTAGGTACCCCCGCGAATTGTCCATACCAGTCATTGCCAAAATCCAAATTCTTCGTCCGCCAATATGGCCAGCAGCTCAGCTTCCAAGATTCAGCCATGGAAGGCCATGAAGACCATGGAGGAGAACCCAAATCCCGACCTCACCAAATTGAAGAAAATCCAGGCGGCCGAACCCTCCATGGGCAGCTCTCGGGGGTCCTCCGTCAGCAAGCCCATGGACCGCAGGACGGAATATGGGAGCTCGGCTAAGGAAGCGGCCTCAGATGATAGGGCTCTTCAGAATTAGAAGCCAGCGACTGTAAGTCCAAGAAAATCTTGGTTACACCTGACGAAGATTAGACTTTGACTAATGTATATAAGTCGTTGAAGCTGACGCGTGAATGATGGCGAACGGAGACGGCGAAGAGCTGGTCTAAGGTGCAGCGATAGTACACCAGTATGGAGCAATACTACAGAGTTACCTGCCACTACAAATGGAGCCACCCGCGTCGGTTGCGACAATGAATTCAGGTCTGCTCTTGTTTACATAGCCTATCGTATGAATTGAAAGTGATGTATGTGCAGGCCGAACTGCTTGATGATGAAGCTACCTAGGTACGTGAGTGAAACAAGATGGTCGACGTGCGGATCAGCATGTTTGCGTTGTCAGTGACCAACTAGGACTAAATGTATTAGAGCAGGGGCGGCACGGTAATACTGCTGTGTGCACTGATAGAGGGAGGACATGAAGCTCCTATGCTCGTTCAAAAGCATCAGGAAGCTCCTGAGGAGCCTTTATAAGAGTCTCTCTCAACTATCACGTACCGACATAGGCGTTTGACAGGAGCTTCTATGCTCACACTCCTTCGTGCACAAAGGGCTCAAGGAGGCCGACTGTGTTGGAGTAATTCCATATTTGAACCCACAGGTCAGATGGACGCATGGGCGAGGAAGCAACTCCGTGTGCGAGGCGCCGTTTGGGACCGCGAGCGCTCCGTAGCTCTGTATTTCAACCTTGGAATGGAGCTTTCATGGTCTCCTAGAGGCCGCAAGACAGCCAGACGGAGTGGTTCTCTTGGCTGCGAGCGTACAAATGGTGGCGAATGTAATGGTGACCGAAGACCTAAAACAAAAATAATTCGCATTATAGCCGTAGCTTTAGAATTCCGGATCTTGTTGCGCATCACAGGTATGATAAAGCGAAAGAATGCTGCGATGTAGGCAGTCGACAATTCCAAACAGTGGGTCCAATATAAGACCCTAAACGGAGTTCACTTGCATCATTACGTCTTATGCATCTTCCAGGGCATGCTTGATACCAAATCCTTGATCAATCCGACCAAGGCTCGGACGCTGGGTAGTTCATATCTGCATACATAACCAACAGTCGCACCTCGATGCTTTCCCTTAGTGGAACCGTGTCGTCTTGTTCTGGGAGAGGAAACGCACCGTGAGGACACGCTACATGTGGTCAGCCTCATAATAGTAGGCGCTGAAAGGAAACGGGAGCGGAGCGGGCCCTAAAAGTGAGACTCACGCCAGGACGTAGAACCAACAGAGTCGACAGCCTTGAAGACAAGTATTTCATCGTCCTTGTGGTCAGGAAGTCAGAACCACTTCTGCTCCTCGTTGAAATGAACCATGCAATTCTCTGCTTGATACTTGGGGTAGAGTATATCCTAGGTGTTACCGGATATATAAGGCGTCATAACTGAAAGAGCAGAAGGATTGGATCCTTTTGCTCCGGATACTAGGGTACCAGGTCAGCCTGGTCAACGCTAGCGGCATCGCAAACGGCCAGAGGCCAGTCTCCGATGGGAAGTCGACACGGTTTCCAGACGCTATGTGGTGATTTGTATCTTTGGTCATTCTTGGGTTCGCATAAGATAGGCTTACGTGATGATTTGCCATCGGGACTGAAGGATTTGCGCAGCAACATCTCCGTATACCTCGTGAACGATCGACTTCGCGGCACCGGGCGTTACATCTAGATATCATATGAGAAGGTGGAATAGGTATCTCGATTTGAGAACTTGGGAGATGTACCAACATGTGTCAGAAGACTCGGCTGCGGTCTGGGTGGAAGTCTGCCATTGAAGTAGGGGAATTGGGGAACTTTTCGCCTGAGCTGAAGCCTCGTCAGCCTGTGTGTGCGCATCATTCGCAACGAACCGACCTGATTAAGCGCCTGTGTTGTGCGGGCGCTATTGGTGGCTGTTGTTTTGTGTTGACGCGGGGTTTCTTCGGTCACATTCCCGGCCTTGTGCAACGACTCCCCTACTCCCCAAGGCAGCAGGCATGGCAGACTTGTCAACCACAATCACGAGAGATTGTGCACTGCACAAAGCCGAGGAAATTCTATATTGCACCTTGATGCTCACATATCTTTGCATACGTGTTTGGCACGCGCCAATGCAACAAAAGCAAACCCCAACAAACTTCAATGTCGTCAACCAGGCCGCCACAATCCGCCACGAGCATCGACGACGACGTCGAAATCACCGTGGGGGATGTCAGATACCTCTTGATCCCGAACAGTGAGGTTGTATTCCATCGCCGGGGCCCCTTGCCTCCCCGCCACCACTTTCCCCTCCACCCCTCCCTCTTCCCTTCGGGTATTGCGCTAACTTGTCCAGAATTTTCTCCATGGCGCCAGTTTCGGGGGCGACGCTGTTGCCTTGGTGCTTGTGTATGTTGTTGCTGCGGGCCACAAGATCTCCATGTCCGCTCTGCGCGACTTCCGTGCCAACATACTGGAGCGTGACGACGTGTTTCGACCCGACTTCTATCACAATCTTGTCTTCTATGGAAGCAAGAAGGAGGATGTCCACATCGACCCCGACGCCCTAGACGAGCTGGCCGTGTGGAATGTGAAGACCCAGACGTTCGTCGCGGGTAATCCGGGAGCCAAAGTTGCTCCTGGTCCATATGCATTCCTGAGAGGGAAGACCTGGCAGCCATGGAGGATCTACTACGACTTCAATGCATGCTTCATGACCTCATTCAAGCCTTCGTCAGATGCTCCTGGAAGATGAGTGTCCTTACTCCCTACGCTTTCGAGTGCGAGAGGACTGACTTCTGTATACTTTAGCTGTAGTCGACAGTCCCCGAGCCGGCATCGACGGGAGGGTCGTTGTACCATCTCGGTGCTACTTTAAACCATCCAAGTTGCGTCCTCTTGACGGTGCTAGGATCAGTGTCAAAGACAGCATTGACATCGCAGGACACAAGACCACTCTCTGCAACCGATCATGGATCGAGCTTTACCCGCCCAAGGCCGAGCATGCAGCCTGCATTCAAGTCCTCCTGGACGCTGGCGCTGTGATCGTGGGCAAAGTAAAGCTGCAGGCAATGATCATGCGAGAGGAGCCTCTGGAATGCGTCGAGTTCACCGCTCCTTTCAATCCTCGTGCTGATGGATATCAAAATCCCTCTGGAAGCAGTCATGCGAGTGCAGCGGGCATTGGTTCATATGACTGGCTTGACTTCTCAGTCGGGTCTGATAGTTTGTATCCTCGATGTCTCGACTGATCGAGAGCTACTGATAGGGTACCAGCGAACGGCAGTGGTCGCAAGCCTGCTTCCTATAATGGATGCTTCTCAATTCGTCCCTCTACAGGCATCATGGACAGGCAGGGTGTCGTAGGCTATTTCCCGTAAGCTTGACCCGAACCACGATGACCAAAATATTGACTTTGTGGCGCCTATCTCAGGCAGTTTGACATGCCAGTCTTCTACGGTAGAGATATCTCCAGATTCTCCGAATTCATATCTGTGTGGTATGGAGACTCACCAACGCTTCGTGCTCCCTCGGAGGTTCGTCATATTTGGGCCCCCCACCCCTACTATTTCATCGAACTCACTTTAGCCCAGATGCCGGTCGAAATCCTATATCCCTCGGACTATCTTCCAACTTCGAACGCCGCGCAGACTCGCTTGATTGACAAACTAGTCTCAGGCATGGAGTCTGCCCTGCAGGTCAAGAGAACACATATATCTCTGGCCGAGCTGTGGAAAAGGGATTGTCCTGATGGCACGGAGCATCGCAATATCGCAGACTACCTTGATACGGTATGCTTGAGGTCAAAAGGCCATGTGAAGCTTTTGCTGACTTTTGTGGGCCGGTATCTATCCTTTCTATCATGATCAATACCACAACCTCGCTCCGTTCAGAGAAGAATATGCAAAGAAGTATGGGAAACCCCCATTCGTCCACAGAGCTTTGCATTGGCAATGGCAAGTGAACTATCTACTGTTCAGTGTTAGGAGCCACTGCTGACGTGCTGGCTTCAGGGACGTCGGCAAGTCGATTTCGCAGGAGGAACGCGACGAATGCTGGCGCCGTTCCGAGGTCTATCGGCACTGGCTTCTTGGGAAGGTCTTCAAAGCGGACTCGAAAGATTCCATCACCATTATGGTCCTTCCCATTGAAGCTGGAGAGCCGAACTACCGCGACGCTGAGCTCCCGTGAGTGCTCATACGTCTTGGGCTGTTATGAAATACTCACAACACTGCGTAGGCCGTATGGGTTGCTGAGTGGCTATGCTGCGTTGAATATGTCCCCGATGATGCGAGCACCCGAGGTCACCGCACCAGGCAAGTTCTCTCTCTTGTTAATCCCCTGCATTCGTACTGACGAGCGCGGCAAGTTGGTGATATTCCATACAACTCCATAGTCACCCAGAGGGAAGAGCTCCCAATCGCAGCCTCAGTCATCGGAGCCCCAGGTATGACTCCCCTCTGGTCAATGCTCTTGCTCCTGGCTGACATTACTTGCCGTAGGCATGGACCTCATCCTCGTGGATCTGGTAGAGAAGGGTATGAATGCTGTAGGGGTGCCGACAAAGGTCAAAACTGGGCGGTCAATGTATTGAGAGGTTACACGACGCAGTCTAGCTTCCTCCCGTAGAGTTCTACAAAGCCTCTTTGGCGCCACCAAGCGGACTATCGCATCCCACTATAAAGAAATGCGCACACAAACCTTTAGAATGAACTTTACCGTGTGGTGCGTCACATGTGAACTATTGACAATCGAAAATACTATCATTAGATAAAATGTGGGCCGCGAAACCTAAAGCTCCACCAAGATGTGGCGTAGGGTCTTGTTCGGTTAGCCTTATAGGACCAGTTCCAGTCAATGGTTTGAGTTAACCGCTCAGCCTTCTCATTACGGCTACTAGTCACCTATGCTGCGGCTACTAGTCACCTGTACTTCTGCCTGTAGGTCTCAAAGCCACGTTACCTTGGCCGACTGCCAAAAGCGCGGCTGAAGATGCCTATAACTATGAGCAGTACCCTGCTGCAGCTCTTCCTCTCGCGTAAGAGGAATCTTACACGGCCCAACCATATCTGAGTACTGATGAAGGGCAACTCATTGCTTCATTTGTTAAAAGACCCATCTTAGGCATTCTTCATACGTCACAATGTCTCATGACCAGGGTAATGATCTCCTCTCTGGCCGGCTTGTTCCAGGCTAATCAAAGTGACAGAGAGGACCTTCAAGGAAATCGAAATATATTCCAAGAGATCGAACAAAGGCCATCTTTATCCCAGACCAGATCTCATCATTCTAAACCGCTACCTGAACGATACCGCCATACATAGATCGGTCGCCGAGTCTCCGAGTGCTATTCCTGCGAACTCGGGCGAGAGTGTGACGGACAATTTCGCTGTGATCCATGATATCAGGGCTGGTGACGGTATTTGTTTTGAAGGATCACTGAAAGAGTTAGTAGACTTCGGGGCCTACGACAGCCCCTCTACGTCATTGCTCCTCTTCCTGCGCGGCTCCGCCTCGCCTCAGTGGCTGGCGGCTGTTGAAGGACTATATAGAGCCAGCCCCGAGCTCTATTGGCGCCATTTGGATTTCCAAACATTCGCATCTGGGGCTAGAGACTTGTATACTCCACCGGTGCTACCCGGGGCCTGAGGCTGCGAACCAGAGGATCTTCAACAACCTCGTTCTCTCGAGTCGGAAGCCATGTCCAAATATTTCCAGCAACTGCGCAACAAAGCTAGAACAGCCGACTCAGTGGTTTACAAATGCCTGCTGCTGAGCAAGCAGGAATATGTCCTGGAACAAACTGTTTCCATCGACGGAGATCTTCCCCAGAGTGCCACGACCTGGTACAAGATCCTGGGATACGTACTTCTTTCTAGTGATTGTGCACCAGCCGTTTGATATTCAGTCGCAGTAACGCGACAGCGCTGCACAGCAACGAAATCCCATTGTCCATGCTATCTCGAATGGAGCCAACCGTATCAACGCCAAGTCGGAAGAGTGGTGGAGGGTAGCGTAGAATATTCGTCTACTTCCCTTTTAATATGGATGATGTCTCGATATAGACCTTGCTAGTCGGGACGCGCTATAAGCCCTGAGCGAACTCTTCCGCTTCGCTGCTTTCGCTGAGGTACAACTCCTTAATCTTCTCTACGGGCGTATCGAGTTTGAGCTCTCTTTTGTCGGGAACGACTGCGTCGGACAGTACCACTCCGTGTCATTGCTGAATTTGAGGTATATCAAGACACTGCTGGCATCGCATCTATAGCGCCTCAATGAGACTATTAGTATCCTGCGGAACCGTCACTCACTCGGCTGGCCACGTGTTAATAATGCCGCGACGGCCAAAAAAGAGGCTGTTCTGTTGTTGCTCGCTGACTTTGAGCATCTACTCCGGCGCGCGGAGACCCAAACCAGCGAATGTGAGTAGGGCATGGTCACGCTAGCCAATGGCTCGGTGCTGGAGGAGTCGAGGCGCTCCGTAAACACGGGGTTACAGGTGCAGAGACTCACGGCAATCGGTGCCATCTTCATTCCTTTGTCATTCGTTTGCTCGATATGGGGGCAAAACTTCAAAGAGATTGTACCAGGAACGAAGCCTATATGGTTGCTCTTTGCCTCGGCTGCACCGCTCGTCTTGTTCTCTCTATAATTGGGATGGCATCACTAAAGTGCGTCGCAGGGTTGCGTCAAGGCGGACGGTGAAGCCCCAGACAGACACTGAGCCGCCCAGATTGAAGCAAAATCCTACTTCGCCTACCACCAAATGTAGTACGTAGTAGATCTAGAGAGGAGATCAAGCACCAAACAAAATTGGGTTTACGGGTGGCAGTTCTCGCCTTTCCTTTTCGTAAAGGGTGCAAGATGTTCCCTTGCACCCTTAGAAAGATGCCGCCTGTCACTGCTGCCCAGTCGGTCCTCGACACGGACAGGTAAAAAAAAAGAAAATCCTCCCCCGCGTGGGCTCGAACCACGAACCTCCTGATCGCTCAGTCCTTGGACCTAACAGTCAGACGCGCTAGCCAATTGCGCCACGGAGGATTTTTTGATATCCAGGCATTGCTCCACGGAATTTTATGCGGCATTTTGAAATTAGCCAATACATAACTTATGAGCTCTGCTGCTCAAGGCTGGACGAATAACGTGGGGGAAAATTTGTTGGCTTTGTGCGGGCTGTGTGACATCTGGCGTGCCGGTATCGGAAGATGGCTGCGTCAGCGTGCTTACCTGATACTTGGTGGGGTGGGACATTCGCAACCGTTTCCCCCTTCTAACGGAGAGAACATACCCAACTAAAATGAGTGCCGTTTCAACGAAACATACGCCCACGGAGAGAAATGCTGCAGCATGTTGACTGCCTGGCAAGTCTGTGGGCTTGACTTCTGATCTCTGTGCTTGCAGCATTGCTCCCCGACCCGCTTTAGGAATCCACGTTGTGAATCAGCACAAGCCTATCCAGGAGCAAGCCCTCCTTCAATTCTCCAAAGGTGGTTTAGGCGAGTAGTTCGGGTCCTCGAAATCTCTGAGGGCTTGATGTTCGCATGCCGGTACCGAACCCGCACGAATCCAGGATGATTCTCGAAGTTGTTCCGTCGCGAGTCTCAGCGAAAGCGGCCTTTCGAGAGCCTGCGCTTTGTTAGCAAACATACTTTGACAAAAAGCCTGATAATTGTTCGAACTACTTCAGGTGAGGGCCTGCTTCGAAGCATCTCGAGATCTCCGTCATTGCCCTGCTCGCTTGCGAACGTCGTGATACACTTCAGTACACATTCCTAAGAGCCAGGGCTTCATTTGGGGAAGAGGCACGTCTTGGAAATTTCCGCCTGCAAGCCTCCCACGGAAGGAGACCTAGGCTGAATGTTTCGTGTGCCCTGACCTACGCATCCTTCACTCTAATGCCGAGTCGACACGCGGGATTCGTTACTAGGAGATGGGGCTTGATGGGGAAGAGGTAGAAGGTGGAAAAATCCATCTCTAGACCTTCAGCAACTAACAGGGACCAAAGCACGGTGGGCCTCTCAGCAGTGTGGATGGCGGATGTTGCGATGGACATAAAGGGAACGAGATGTTAATTGTGAAGCCAAGACTATGAAGAACGATGCCGATTTCGGGATAAGGAATGCTCTTGTTTACAGGTACCCACAGAGATGATCACGTGCCTTCCCTGTCCTCTCCGTCAATAGGGAAGGAGCGCCTCGTTCACTCTCGGACAATATCACGGCCGCCAGACGGCTGTCAGGCTGCTTTGGTAGCTAAGTAAACAATTAGAAATGCATTTAGACGTAAGAATGGCGCTGTGTAAGGCGTCGTGAGCGCATAATACATAGGTAGGTTGACTAGTATTAGTGTGGAGTATCGATGTGGCGAACATCGCTGGGAAGCTTAGGATGCACCGAGCCCGTTGGTCGCCCCAACAGTTGGAGGGAAGTTTACAGCGGTGATTCGAAGCAGGATTTTGGTGAGGTTGATAACACAGTCGTGTATCCAGGCAGCATCTCTCATGGACAAAATCTCATTTACCCTCTATCGTTGGTATCACGCCGCTTCCTTCCTCCTCACTTCCTGCCCCATATTCCATCTCAGGTTTTAGAATAACAATGCCATATGGATCTCTATCCACCTCACTGACCAGCACCTCAAAGTCCTCCTCGTCCAACGCCTCCTTAATGCCCTCATCCTCGACTCCACTGTTCTCCTCCCTCACCGCCTTCTCCTCCCTCACCGCCGCCCACTCCTCCTCCACCGCATCCTCCAACTGCTCTCTCAGAACCTCGGCCAAGAACCCGCGTTCTGAATTGCTATGAAACAAGTTAATCACCACCTGCCCCTTCTCGATCGCCGCCAGAGCCTCGTGATGGCTCATCTCGCCCGTGAAGAGTAGGTCGACGTCGAGATTTAAGAGGAGGGAGGCACCACTGCCGGCGCAGATGCCAACGCTCGAGATACTTAGATCTGAGATGGACGTGTTTTGCGGAATGGCGATGGGGAAGCCTTTGGGGTTGTTGAGGCCGCGGCCTATGCGGTCGAGAAGAGCTGTGAGGGGTTGGGGCTGTGTGAAGTGGACGATGCGGCCCATGCCTGCGCCGGGATGAGATTCTAGCTCTGGCGACTGCGGAACGATTGGGCGGCGGGTGTGGGGTACCGCGGTTGTTGTGGGAGGGTCCTGTTTCGAGAGATGCAGTGTGGTTTGGCTGGGATGGTGCGAGAGGGTATACACAGCCGGCTTCTTGTCGACGAACGGATCATCTTCGTCTTCCCGTCTCTTTTTCACCGCCTCATCCGCGTCCTGCCCAAAGCTCGTCTTCGTTCCCGTCACAATATCTGCCAACCAGTCTCCCAGCCCTCCTGGCGCAGCATCAACAGCCGTATGCGGACTATACACGCTAATGCCATGACTAGCCAACCGTAGCAGTGTCTGCTGCTGCGAGTTTGCGAACGTAAGGGACTTTAGTCCCCGGAATATGATCGGATGGTACGCGATGATGATAGAGGAGTTGAGTGCGATAGCTTCGTCCGCGACGGCTTTTGTGAGGTCGATGGTAAGGAGGACTATGTTGGATGGGCGGCGCGAGGGGATGAAGGCGGCTTCGAGGAGGAGGCCGGTGTTGTCCCAAGAGCTGTCTGCTAGGGCGGGGGGGTAGCTGTTGTTTGTGAGTTCCGTACTTGATTGATAGAGATGGAACTTACAGCCTGCGCATAGCTCTCACGACCGCTTTCGAAAACGGTGCAAAGCCGGTAGCTATACTCATGATGCAGGCGCGTCTGAAGGTCGAAGAAAACATTCAGTGTCCTCCCCGAACCACCTTGCAGCGTCAACACAGACCTCGGGAGGAGCTCTCATTCTCAAGCTCCCAGCTGGAGTACCTCCGCTAATCCCTGCGCATGCCGCACAGACCCCATCACGTCATCTCTCGCCAAACTCACAGCGCGGTCCCGCCATCTGATAAACTCCTTATCAGATCCGAGGATTCGGCTCCCATAAAAGTAATTACCAAGGAAGCACGCAATGGACCCACGCCACAAACTCTACAAACAACTCGGCCAGCTTACCGTTGACCCCGAAGCTTCCAAGATGACTGCTGCAAGGACGGACGCAGAGGCGGAGCAGGCGGCCGCTAGCTCGGGAGTTACGCCGGAGGCGATTAAGAGGAAGTTGGAGCAGGGTCTGGGCGCGACGTATGTGGAGATTGAGGATATGAGCGGTATGTTCTGAATTCTGGCATCGATTTTTAGGAGTGCTATGGGTATCGAGAATTGTTTGGAAGCCTGCATTTGGAGATTTAAGTATTTGTTGTCGTGATGTGTTGGCTGATATCGTGTGCAGGTGGATGTGGGCAAATGTTCGAAGCCATCATTGTATCCCCGCAGTTTGCAAAGAAGACAACATTGGCAAGACACCGACTAGTCAATGGAGTCCTGAAAGAGGAGATCGCGGCGATACATGCGTGGACGCCAAAGTGTCATACGCCTGAAGAGTGGGAGAAGAAGAAGCCTCAGACTTGAGTGCTCGACTTCCGACTTGCTATGTTCGACCTTGACGTCCTACATGTGGGAATGCATCACGGTATGCTCGAAGCAGTTGCAAATCATTGAAGACAAGGGTATGCACGGAAGTGCATAGAGTGGGTGTCGTGGACTTTCTATTTTGCGAGGCCAGCATGAGATGGGTGGCAGTCTTCCGGCTTCACTTTAGCTCAATAGCACACGAATCTCTCCACTGGTGCGCGGGAACAGGTCCCTCAGTCCCGGCGCCGGTTCCTCCTCCTCCGGCTCATCGTTATAGAGCAAGTTATCTGCCGCAAGTATCTTGCTCTCCACGAATTCAAAATCTTCACAAAACCTTCCCGCTGCTTCTTCGGTGATATCTTGTACCATCTTTCTGTTTCGCAACCGCTTGAGATTCTCCGCGGCATCGATGAGCGCTGAAGGTAGGAACTCGTCCAGCTGCTGGCTTGCCGCTATCAACGCTTCAGGTTTGAAAGTGTCTAGCTCCGGGATCGTCTTCAGACTCTCTGAAGAATCCGTGATGACCGAAAGAGCTTCAAGGAGGTTGTTCAACCCGGAAGTACGAGTGAAGTACTGGTGCTGATACTCGATCAGCTTTGCGGCATGTTCGCCTATCGTGTCGCCCATCTCGATGATACGGTCGCTTGCGAATGAATATGGCGACAGCACTGCTTTCGCTGCCAGGAGACAGTTGATGGCAAAGACATCACTGTTGGGTGCCTGCAGCCCTTTGTATAGGTTTTCGCAACCGCCAAGGAAAGGATCTAGGGTCTCTGCGAGGACTGACTGAAAGCCGTCCTCCTGGCTATCCACCGTTGCTATAGACGTGTCGTAACTCTTCGCAAGTGCCTCCAACATTTGGAGCGCTTCCTCTAAGAAGTCCGGTGGTGACAGGTCTGTGGGCGCCACGGCTAAGTCGCTCTGAGCGGCTGCCACATAATCTCTCATGTTGGCGCGGAATTGTCTCATAGCTGAGCCTTCTAGTGTGCTGAAAAGCTCCAGCACTTCCGAGTCAGCTCCGAGCAGCTTGACAAACGTGTTCTTGTAAAAGCCAATGAGGTTCGCAATCTTATAGGCTAGCGTCGCATCGTCGTGGCTCTGGATGACCTGCTCCGTGCGCTGCCGGAGTAACCGAGCCACGCCTGTGAGGTCCCGACTGACGAGCTGATTCAAAGCCTTCTTTCCGTCAAACACCTCCTCGTCTCCCTCAGTGCGCAGCCACGGTTCGCTCTCTAAGCCAGCCTGGATAGATCGTTTGATTTCATCGCCGTCGGATATGAATAGCACTTCTAGAGCCTCCCGTTCTGATACCGTGGCCGAGTGAGCCCAAGCAAGCATATCGCCAACGTAACGCAGGGGATCATGGGCGTGGAACTCGATGGGTTTCGTCGCCAAATTCTGTGTCTCCGAGGTTGATCCCGTCAGGGCTGCATAGAATGCATCTGATAGAATGTTCTCCCGTGCCTCCGCGAAAAAGTCAAGGCAGTTCTGGAATAAGGCAGGGCGCTCAGCGAGAACGCGCAAGGAACGCCTGATTGATGCATTGATCTGAGGATTCTCGAGATCCAACGTCTTGAATTCTCGCTGTATCCACCGGTAGAGCTTCTGATAAGCAGCATTGATTTGCTTCGAGCTTTTCTCAAGCACTTCGAGGCCCAGACGTTGATCTTCCGTCCCTAGCAGCACCTGACAATCGTGATGGATCTTCTTGGCTCGCGTGAGTGTCTGGAAGAACTCCTCGTCTACAGGCTCAGCGGTCGACGTCAAAATCGTAGACTCCTCGTCTGAAATGAGGAAGTGCGAATTGAAAGCACTCAGGATCTGCTGCTTAGTCTCCACCTGTTTCCTCTGGTTTATGAGGCCAGTTGCCTCTTCTAAGACGGGCGCCGTCTCGCGGGTTGCAGCCGCAATGTGGCTACGCATCTCAGCGCAGTACTGGTTTAGGCTGGTGATCGCGGTGCCTATGCGTGTCAATTGCTGTCCCCTTTAGTACAGACTCGTGTTCGGCAGCTGTGCACAAACCTCCGCAATTGCGCCAAAGTCCTTAACAATCCCGCCGTTGCACTGGATCACTTCCCTTTGGACGTCCAACCGAAGCTGACGCCTGGTCTCCGCTACGTTCCGCACCCCACGAGCATCAAGCGTCTCCAAGGCATCGCGAATCTCGAGGTCAGCATAGGACGCCGAAAGAACGCTGGTAATTCTGCTGGACAGGGCATTTGCACCCCGCGACGGAGTGCCCAGCGCCGGGGAAGCTGGCGTAAATCCATCCTGGGAGACTGGCGTAGGGCGCTCTGAAAAGTAGCTGGCAGACATTGTTTGCGGCCGGCCCTCTTGTTTCGCGGCGCTGGCGAGGTGTGGTGGTCGGCAACACCTTCCTCCGATTGCCGAAAGCCTAGTCTAGCTCTTTGAATGGACGAGTGACGCCAGAGCACATGACAGCCGCGTTCACTACCCCAACGAAGCGTGACGCCAACATGGTCACAGTCTGACGCTGTCTCAGCTTCCATGGCGCTGAGTGACTGTTCCGAGGATCCCCAATCCGATCCGCTGTCCACGTTGTACCTCCAAACGCGCAGACACGCTCCTGCACGGCCGCCCCCCCCCGCCGCTGCCTGAGCTAGGCTTAGAGATCCCCAAACATGATGGCTTCCAACCTCCTCTCCAAGCTTCTTCCCTCTGCATCCGACGATCCCTACGAAACGCATCCTCTTAACCCCCAGAATCGCCGCCATTCTTCTTCGACCGACGAGCGCCACGATATGGACATAGACGAGGAGAACCTGGAGGCGCGCTTTGAAGCCCAGGACTTGGAGCACTTGCTCGCAGATGCATCTGCAAGCCAGATGACAACAGAAAGCACCGCGTTTCTTCCTCAGAACACCGAGCGTGCTCCGCCTGGCATCAACACTGCGAACAGGACCGCTGCATGGAGACAGCCGCCTCCCCCTCGAGCTTCCCCTCTAGACGACGACGATGATGTGCCGCAGTCGCTTCTGCTGGAGGGTGGACGCGATACGCCGAATATGAAGAGGAACGAGCGCATTGAAGGACTTCCCCCTCCCGTACCGGGCCCCTCGACACGTCAAACTCGAGCACAATGGGAAACCACAAGGCGACAACAGCGTCTGCATGACGAGGGGCAAGATGCTGCACAAGCGCGGACTTGGGGCCATTCTGGAAGAACAGGGCAGCTTGCGGCCGATCCTAAAGAGAAGGCACTCTGGCTCTGGGTCAACCAGACCGATCTGGATAGCTTCCTCGCCGAAGTATACGAGTATTATATCGGATGCGGCATCTACTCGATTCTACTGCGGACCTTTTTGATGCTCCTGCAAACCGGCTTCGTAGTCGGCTTCTTGACATTCCTCGGCTGGTGCATTGACTACTCTAAGATATCAAATAGTCACAAGATGAGCGAGGTGCTCGTCGAGAAGTGCACGAAGAAGTAGGTCAATCCAACGCCTAGTTAAATACTCACGCTGACCTTGAATAGAATGCATGGCTTCTGGATCTTCGCGCTCTGGCTGTTCATCATCTACTGTCTGTATTCGCTCTATCGACTGGTCACAGATATACCCAGGCTTCGAGCGATGCACGACTTCTACCACTATCTCCTCGATATCCCCGACCGCGACGTCCAGACCGTACAATGGCAGCAGGTTGTCAGTCGGATCATGGCGCTGAGAGACCTAAACCTTACCACGGCATCGAATCTGTCGCCCGAAGTTCGAAAGCTGCTGGACTCCAAGAGCCGGCAACGGCTCGACGCAGTTGATATCGCCAGCCGGCTAATGCGGCGCGATAACTATCTGATCGCGCTCTTTAACAAAGAGATTCTAGACGTGAGCATTCCCATACCGTTCCTTGGGAACAGGTACATCTTCTCGGAGACGACAAGGTGGCACGTCAATCTCGCTATCATGGACTTCGTGTTCAGTAGCCCCAATGGCCAGTTCAATCAAGACTTCTTAAGGGAGAAAAACCGACGAGATCTTGTCGCCAAGATGAAGAATCGGTTCTTTTGGACTGGCATCATCAGTATTATCTGTGCGCCCTTCGCAGTGTGTTTCGTTCTTGCATCGTACTTATTCAAATATTTTACCGTACGTCTTCCTGCTCCAATGACTCATCATTTGGCTGACATACCCAGGAATATCACAAAGACCCATCGCAGCTTGGCGATCGCGACTTCACGACCTTCGCCCAATGGAAATTCCGTGAATTTAACGAACTACCACACCTGTTCACTCGTCGAAGGAACATGGCATATCCTTACGCAAACCTCTATCTCGCACAATTCCCAAAAGACAAGACGGAGCAAATCTCGTCTTTTGTCGCTTTCGTTGCAGGGGCCTTTGCTTTTGTGCTAGTCGCATTCACGTTACTCGATTCGGAGCTATTCCTCACTTTCGAGATTACTCCTGGGAAGACAGCAATTTTCTGGATCGGCGTGCTCACCACGATCTACCGAGTTGCTCGAGGGAGCAGCCCCCAAGATGATCAGGTAGCGGATCCAGCGTACTATCTGAGTCATGTCATCTATCATACGCGGTATGAGCCAGCTTCATGGCAGGATAGACTCCATACCGACGAAGTGCGAGCCGAATTCTCCAAGCTATACCAGCCCAAGATCCTCATCTTCGCCGAGGAAATCTTGAGCATGGTCATCACCCCGTTCTTGCTCATCTTCCGCCTACCGGGGTGCAGCGAGCGTATCGTCGACTTCTTCCGCGAGTTCTCCATTGTCGTGGATGGCTTGGGAGTCGTGTGTTCATATTCTATGTTCCCCTTTAAGAAGGGCGAGAACAACATTCCCGCGAATAGGACCGCTGGGCCTCGGGAAGATGCAGAGCTGCGTGAAGACTACTTCATGGCGAAGGACAATAAGATGCTCGCATCCTATTACGGCTTTCTCGATACGTACGCCACATCCGGCCGCGGCTACAACGGACGCTTGCAGGGTAGAGGAAGCTTCCATCCTCCGCCGGCATTCCCGAATACTTTCGGGAACATGTCGCAGACCGCGCAGCCTATGGAGGTGGGCGCTCGTGGGTCGAGCAGAGGTCCAGCGGGACGACAGCCCTTGCCTCGCCGGACACCTAGACATGGGCCCACCTCTGGACCGAGTGAACCAATCAACTCCATCCTTCTGGATCCCCATCATCAACCCTCTGCCTCTGCGCTTCGGGCTTCACCACATCATGGCCCGCAAGGTAGATACAGACCGATGTCCGACCCTCAGGGGCCGACTCGCATCGAGGAGGAGAGTACGATTGGTGATTCGTGGCGGACGAGTCGGCTCGCACAGGACGATGACGAAGAGGAGGAGGTGCCGGGTGCCAACCGTGGTGGCGTGCTGCAGTTGCTGCAGCAGTTTTCTAGGGCCCAGACTGAGGGTCGTGGGGCTGGTGGCGTCGGCATATGATATTCTAGCATGAGCATTGGGTTTCGGCGTTTGTTTTGGAATTGGAACAGGTATTACCCAGGGCGGTTCGTCGGGTTTACGTAGCTCAGGCACACATGTGCTCAGAATAAAGACAGTGTCTTTAGGACTCGTAGAGTATCCGGTGCATCGTACCATCATCAGTATCCAATTTTCTACTTTCAATCAACCGTACACGATACCGATGCTTTTCGTATCCCAAGCCAATCTCTAACGTGAGCAAAGCGGCTACTATTCAGATAGTACCCGTTGGTACCTTTAATACCCACTCTGCTCTCTCCTACTATCACCCTCAGCCCCATCGTCTCCATCCCCATCCTCCCGGCTCACCTTCGCACCCCCAGCAGCCTCCTTAATCCCCTCTGCATCACCCCTCAACTTCTCAAAATAAGCCTTAATATCCTCCGCGCCCACCGCCTGTCCACTCTCTGCATACGGCTTCAAAAACGCTTTCAATCCATCCTTCAAATGCGCATACGCCATAGCGCCTTGAATAGCACGTACGCGGTCCATATTATTAAAGGCGGCTTCTCCGCGGTCGAGGAGAGAACCCGTGCCCACCGAGCCCGCGGCGTCGTTACCGTCTTCGGACATCGGCGGCTCGTAGACGTCTTCTTCTTCGAGGAGTTGGGGGTGGGGACGTAGGAGGGGGAAGCAGACGCTACAGTGGCAGAGAGTAGTGCGGAAGGAGGGCGGGAGGAAGAGGGAGAAAGGAGTCCCTATGGCTGCGGGTGGAAGAGAAGGTAGGGAGGGGAGTTTGCAGGCGTTGGGGTCGGGCTTTTTGGGTGTGAGGGGGAGGGTTGTGGTAGTTGTGGAGTCTTCGGGTATAGCGGATAGAGTTATGGTTGGGTCTTCGGACTTTTGGCGTTTGGGAGGGGCCATGATTTCTGGGGTTGCTAAGTCTTCGTCGTCGTCGGCTTTGCGTTTCTTGGACTCGCCATTTGTGGTTTCGCTGGCGGCAGCTGGTGCTTCCTTCGCTTGAGCGGCGTTGAGACTGGAGTTGAGACTGGCGTCGAAGTAGACGGGTGGAAGGAATCCTGGCGCGCCAGCGTACTTCTTGATCCAGGGGAACGCCTCGACGCATTTGTAGCAGAGAAAGTACTCAAAGTCCTCTTCTAGAGGAAAACTAGGAGGAAGTGGCGGATTATCATCGTCTTGCTCCTCCGCTTGCGCTGCGATGTCGTTTCCGTCCACACCGTTGCCGTTCGCTATGCCAGCAGCGATAGCCGTCACAATGGAAGGCCTCCGTGCATCAGGGTGTTCGTTGACATCTTCCTCCTCTCGTGTCACGCTAACCTCCTTCATGATGCCATTCGTCTTGGGAGACCCTTCTTTCTCATCCTTCGGTTTCTCGATACTCTTCTTGAATTCCTCCCTTGTGAGTCCAACTACGCACTCGGGATGCCACCAGTCCTCACCGCATCCGCCGTCTTCCACAGTTCCGAGCCCAAGGCACTGGAACATGGTTCCTTTCTCTTGATGCGGATCGTAGTTCTCGCTGCAGCCGCAGAACCTGTTCCGGAAGTTCTGGTTGTACTTGTTGCTCTTCGCCGGCTCCTCTCCGGTCACACCTCCTTTCTGGCCAGTCGCGGGGTTCATGCGCAGGGTGCATGGTGCGGTTTCGGGGAGGCGCGTGGTTCCGCAGTCGCAGACGAAGTTGCGCTTGTTGAAGAGCTCGACGAGGGTGTGTTCGCCGTGGCAGGAGATGGAGCAGGCGTAGCAGACGGCGGCGGGGACATATGGATCGGAGGAGTTGACAGGCGGAGGATTGCAATCCAGACATGAGTAGAGGCCCTGGCGGAGAGGCCCGAGGTCGCGCGTGCAGGTGTCGAATTGCTGTACGTGGTCAGACACGGCCGGCTTCGAGGCAGGTTGGTGGGACTCACATAAGGGAGGGCCTCGCGAGCTTCAGCCTCGAGATTGAGCTGCTCCTTGATGAACCTGTTGTGATCTTAATTAGTGTCGTTACCACATGGCATATATCGGTGTCCATTACTCACTCCGCTGCTGTTTGCGAATTCTCAGATGCTTGCGATACAGAGCTGGAGCGCGGCTTGGACTCGGGGATAGCGGGGGACTGTGACTCGGCCATGGTGGTGAGAGCGCGTCGACTTGATGCGCAAGCTTCTTTAGGTACGAGAGAGGGGTGAAGAGAATCGCAGGTTCCCAAAGAGGACAGGCAGAGTGATATGACGGAGCGGTGGTCGCGGAGGGGCCTCCGGTGGAGAGTGATATTGGCGCGTTACCGAGTTGGGGTCAAATTGGAACGCGCCAAGAGCAGAACGCGTCGAAACGCGCCAACGTGCTATCCAGCCGCCCCTCGCCTCAATTCTCGTCGTCAACACTCCTTTTCACCTCACCGTCCACACACTGCTTTGTGACCGCACATTGACCCAACATGAGGTAGGTCTCCTCCCCTAGTGACAGCGACGACCAGCCCTCTGGGACCCAGCCTCTCATTTACAGCCAGTCCATCCTTCTGACAGACCTCAGTTCTCCTCTCCGACCGAACATGTCTTCCGCAAATCGAGGGCCGCAGCCCGGCAGCAGGAGTAACAAGCGCGCCAGAGATGACGATGACCTCCCTTCCTCTGCGGCGCATCCGCCATCGAGCCGTAAGTTGGACGACGTCCCAGGGGCCGGAAAAGATACTGACAGAATCTAGCAATGGCTTCGTCTCCGCCTTTGATTCCCCAAGACGACGACTTGCTTGACGATGACGACATGATGCGTGACGTTGACGATTTGGAAGAAGATGTCGAAGAAGCTGAAGGAATCGACCTGTTTGCCGACGACTTCGAGCGAGACTACCGGGCACGAGAGAACGATGCCTACGAAGGTGCCGACATCGATGACCAAGAATACGAGGAGCTAGACCTGGCGGCGAGGCGAGATCTCGAACGACGCCTGAATGCCCGAGACCGCGAAGCCAGGCGCCAGTTACCACCTGCTTTTTTGCCTGGCGAAGACGAGGAGGGTGGGTTGGCCGATCTCATTGCGCGGCGGCCTCGACGACGAAGAGGATACGATGAGGAACAAGATGAGGACATGGACGAAGACATCATGAACCAGGAGCTGTCCCTTGAAGCGCTCTCGGACGTGAAAGCCAACACATTGACCGACTGGGTTGCTCAGCCAGCAGTTGCGAGGACGATTGCACGCGAATTCAAGTCTTTCTTGATGGAATACGTCGATGAGCACGGCATTTCGGTCTACGGAAACCGCATTCGGACGCTAGGTGAAGTGAACGCTGAGTCGCTAGAGGTCTCTTTTGATCACCTCTCGGAGTCGAAAGCTACTCTGGCATACATGCTCGCCAACACGCCGACCGAAATCCTGAAGATCTTCGATCAAGTAGCCATGGAGGTTGTGCTCCTGCAGTATCCGGACTACGAACGTATCCACTCTGAGATCCACGTCCGAGTGTCAGATGTACCCGTCCAGTACACTCTTCGCCAGCTCCGTCAGTCCCATCTGAACTGCTTGGTCCGCGTCAGCGGAGTTGTCACTCGCCGCAGCGGCGTCTTCCCGCAGCTTAAGTACGTCAAGTTCGACTGCGCCAAATGCGGTGTTACTCTAGGCCCCTTCCACCAGGACGCGAACGTGGAGGTAAAGATATCCTTCTGCCAAAACTGCCAGTCTCGTGGTCCGTTCACTGTGAACTCGGAGAGGACAGTGTACCGCAACTACCAGAAGCTCACCCTCCAAGAGTCTCCTGGGACCGTGCCCGCAGGTCGTCTGCCGCGTCACCGCGAAGTCATTCTTCTTTGGGATCTGATCGATTCAGCTAAGCCTGGAGAGGAGGTTGAAGTGACGGGCATCTACCGCAACAACTACGACGCTGCTCTAAACAACAAGAACGGCTTCCCAGTTTTTGCTACGATCATCGAGGCCAACTACGTCGTCAAATCTCACGACCAGCTTGCAGGTTTCCGCCTTACCGAAGAAGACGAGCTGGCCATTCGCAACCTCTCCAAGGACCCCAAGATCGTCGACAAGATCATTAATTCTATCGCGCCAAGCATCTACGGCCACACGGATATCAAGACAGCTGTTGCTCTTTCGCTCTTTGGCGGTGTAAGCAAGGAGGCTTCAGGACGTCACGCAATCCGTGGTGATATCAACGTACTTTTACTTGGTGATCCCGGTACGGCGAAGTCTCAGATCCTAAAGTATGTTGAGAAGACCGCGCACCGAGCCGTTTTCGCCACCGGTCAGGGTGCGTCTGCCGTAGGTCTCACTGCTTCGGTCCGCCGTGACCCAATGACCAGTGAATGGACCCTGGAGGGCGGGGCGCTTGTGCTTGCTGATAAAGGCACTTGCTTGATTGATGAGTTCGACAAAATGAACGACCAGGATCGGACATCCATTCACGAAGCTATGGAGCAGCAGACGATTTCCATCTCCAAGGCCGGTATTGTCACTACACTTCAGGCGCGATGTGCCATCGTTGCAGCCGCCAATCCGATTGGTGGACGGTATAACTCGACGATCCCCTTCTCTCAGAATGTCGAACTCACAGAGCCCATTCTGTCTCGTTTCGACATCCTCTGCGTTGTACGCGACACCGTGGATCCGAGCGAGGACGAGCGTTTGGCCAAATTCGTCGTGAACTCGCACGGCCGCGCCCATCCACTTGTTAACTCTGCGTACTACTATCCAGAGAAGAAGGATGGAAAGAATGGGCAGAATCAGGAGAGTATGGAAGTCGACGGTCACGGCGAGCCAACCAAGGAAGGAGAGATTCCGCAAGAGTTGCTGAGGAAGTATATCCTGTACGCGAGGGAGAAGTGTAGGCCCAAGCTGTACCAGATCGACCAGGATAAGGTAGCGCGTCTATTTGCGGACATGAGGAGAGAGTCTCTAGCGACTGGCGCTTATCCCATCACTGTAAGTTAATCTTAGCTTTTATGCGGAGTAATTACTAACGAGTTCAGGTCCGTCATCTTGAAGCCATCTTGCGTATGTCTGAAGCTTTCTGTAAGATGCGCCTGTCGGAGTACTGCTCCGCGCAGGATATCGACCGTGCCATCGCTGTCGCTGTTGACTCGTTTGTTGCCTCGCAGAAGGTTAGCTGCAAGAAGGCGCTGGCGAGGGCTTTTGCCAAATACACGCTCAATAGGCCTGGTGCCGTTCGTGGTCCTGCGAGGACAGGTCGACAAGGTCAGAGGGTGGCAGCGTAGACCGTGTAGATACGTGCACGCGGGAATGATGGGATGAGCTAGACGGCTATGGTGTTCACGGTGTCGGCGGACTGGGAAAGGCTTTCAAGTGCGGAGTGGAAATATCATGGTGCACAGCATAGTTGGAGTCGCGACATGGTCATTGATCGTTTAGACAGATAGTGGCTTTCTGGAATTCGTGTATTAGCAGGCTTCATTGATTGTTCCGAATAAGAATAATTTGTCTCATTCCCCATGATCCATCTGGCTACGGTTGAGGCTCAGTCTGTACCTGAGTAGCGATTAAGAGCTGTCTCGTCGCGAGCTCTGAAAGACAAGCCAAAGACTTCGACCCTCTCTCAAGTCTCCTCCACAGACTACATTGTAATGTAGAGCGTAAGAAGTTTTCGCATTGTAGGGAGAACGAAGCTGACCAAGCCAGAGCAATTCAAGTCACCTGGGCACACTCCGCGGTCTAAGCGCATTCGGCCTAGCGCCTCGCCTAACGCGCCAAGATTTCAGAAATCGCCCACATCAACTTCCGCCCAAGGACTTCACGAACCTAACCAGCAACAAGCCGGAGCTTACAACACCCCCTTCAGGAACACCACAGACAGACTTCCTGCAGCAACGATGGCACCCAAGAAGGCCAAGAAGACAGCCGACTCCATCAACTCGCGCCTAGCGCTTGTGATGAAGTCCGGAAAGTGAGTTCGCCCTGCCTCTAACTACACGGCGAGTTTAGATCGTGGAGACTTCGCGACATTGATGGAGCAATTACTGACAAGATGCGAATAGGGTGACATTGGGATAGTGAGTTTCCTAATGAGAGCGAATGACTTCGTCTTTGCTTGCGCTCTGGCGCCAAAGTTTGTGAATGTTGACGAGGTGCAGCAAGTCGACCTTGAAGAGTCTCCGCTCCGGCAAGGCTAAGCTCGTTATCATCGCCGGCAACACTCCGCCGCTGCGCAAGTCTGAGCTCGAGTACTATGCCATGGTACGTTTCCGTCGCGGGTGAATCGCGGTCCATAAGTCAGAGGAAATTTGGTGGGAGGCATCCGAGGGCCTCAGAGAGGACGCAGACATGGTCAACTTTATGCTACGGGCTTTCCACAGTTGACTGAAGCTGGACTCTTTGGTTTGAAACCAAATGCCTAGCCGTGGCATCACACGACGCCCTCCAAGCACTCTCCGGGCGCCGAAACCTCCTCAAGCTCCCCATCATAAGCACTTGGCTAACTCAAGCATCAGCTGTCAAAGACCTCCGTCCACCACTTCTCCGGAAACAACGTACGTACCAGGTCCCGATCCCTCTCAAGGCCTAACGACGAGATACAATGGATATTCTCTGAGGGCTGGCCCTGAGAAGAGGTCTTACATGACTTCGGAGGGCGATTGACTAACGTGACTGTAATACAGATTGAGCTGGGCACTGCGTGCGGTAAGCTCTTCCGCTGCTCCACCATGGCCATCCTCGATGCCGGTATGTATTACTGTTATGTCTGCCTCAAAGTCCTTCTCTGACACTTCAATAGGTGACTCCGACATTCTGAGCACCAACCCTGCGTAAACGGGCGAGGATATGGCTGTGGGCGGCGTTGAGCGGGTAGATCAATGGATATGATAGCACCTCTCATACGAGTTCCAATCCAATAAAAATGGAAATGCCACAGCAGAACGCGTGGATGTCCCTTTCATTCTTGTAGCTTTAAGACATCGTCTGTGACACGAGTCTCGCACCATTCGTACAGCAGGTTACAACCACTAGTATGGAGATAACCCCACCCTGCAACTACAAAGTGGGCGCGGTTGGCAACTTGATTGAAGAAGTGGAAATACTCGCGGAGTAAAATGCCTTGCCGTATTGAGACACAGCGAAATGACTCCTTCCCTGCGCCATGTTGCTGTGCAATTGCTGAGAAATCCAACTCGGACAAATGCTCGCGATGTCGCCGCGGGCTAGCGCCAAATCAGGACTAGCGCTTCCCACACCGATTTCAAACCAACGCTGCCTCTGAGCGAACGACAATCTTGAGACCTCTCCACTCCTTCACCGACGCATACAACTCAAGGTACGAGACGTCGCTACTTCTTCTGTAACCTCACCAGTGTTCACGTATTCCCGCGAAACGCTCGCTGCCCTCACGCCCTCGTCCTTGCGCTCGAACGACCGCTCATTGTTGATTTGAAATACAGACAACCGACAAGATGGCACGACGACCGGCTCGCTGCTACCGCTACTGCAAGAACAAGCCGGTATGTGGATATCAGGGAGGAGATTAGAGGATGTACAGGGCTGATATAGGCTGTAGTACCCCAAGTCGCGCTTCAACCGCGGTGTGCCAGACCCCAAGATCCGCATCTTCGACCTGGGCAGGAAGAGGGCCAATGCCGGTATGTTATGTTATGGTGGAACCCCGTCGCAGCTGAAATCGCCTGCTGTTCCCGCCTAGAACCTCTCGTGGGTGATTTCGCAGAGGAGGAATCGCTGGCGGCTGGCATATGAGTCCCCATTTCAGCCTTCAGGGCGTGTACTGACGTTATTACCTACTAGATGAGTTCCCGCTGTGCGTCCACCTCGTCTCCAACGAGTACGAGCAGCTATCCTCCGAAGCTCTTGAAGCTGCCCGTATCTGCGCCAACAAGTACCTCGTAAAGGTTGCCGGCAAGGAAGGTTTCCATCTGCGTGTCCGCGCCCACCCCTACCACGTCATCCGCATCAACAAGATGTTGTCGTGCGCAGGCGCTGATCGTCTTCAAACCGGCATGCGTGGTGCTTTCGGCAAGCCTAACGGTACCGTCGCTCGTGTCAACATCGGCCAAATCATTCTCTCTGTTCGAACGAGGGATACCCACCGCGCCACCGCTATCGAGGCTCTGAGGCGATCGCAGTACAAGGTGCGTTGGAACGGCAGGATTGCATGCGAAGAATGTACTAACGGTGCGTAGTTTCCCGGCCGCCAGAAGATCATCGTCAGCAAGAACTGGGGCTTCACCAGCCTTCGCCGCGACGACTACGTCGCGAAGCGCCAGGAAGGCAGGATCAAGATTGACGGCGCCTATGTCCAGTTCCTCCGCAACAAGGGCAACCTCCAGACCAACATGCAGCGTTTCCCCGACGCTTTCGAGCAGGAGGCGTAGGTTGCTGGGTGAAGAATGGGTCGTGGCGATATTATGTGCATGGGATGAAGTGAGATACCGGTCATGGCGTGTCTTGCTTCCGTTTCCTTTCCTCTGGTCATGGATGAGGGTTTGCAGGTGGAATTTCTACGGGTGCATTCGCAGAGATAACCAAAATCTGACCTGACAATGGCAACGAATGGTACATCAATGATGAACTTCTTCCCGTGATGATGTAATGTCCGTAATAATCGCGCTTTAAGCATTATAAGGTATTGTCTAGAGGAATGGACTTGATATTAAGTATTATCTGCATCTATCCAGATGGATATCTAGGTACAGTAAAAGCACAAGATTCGCGGGACTAGCCCCAATGAATCAATCCAGTAATAAGGCTGCAATTGCTTTTGCAGTGAATCTTACATTTTCTTAGGCACAGTCGCACTTCGCTTATGCCGTCACCGTAGTAGTCACTGTGACCGTCTCCTTTTCAGTCGTCGTAACTGTTACGGTGAAGATCTGACTCGGCGGAATTGGCGTGACGATCAACGGCGCGTCTGAAGTTGAAGAAGGCACTGATTCGGGCGATGATGACAGCACAGCAGAGGAACGAGACGGCTCCTGAGGCGTAAGCGTAGGTATAGGATCTGAGGAGTAGGCGCCTGATAGCGTTGCCGATGCCGATGCCGCAGCGGTGGTGGTGGAAGACTCAGGTGGTGAAGGAGGAGGCGTGGTTGATGACGGCTCGGGCGTCGGAGTATTTTGCGTGGACGCCGCAGAGGAGGATTCTGGTGGCGCGGTCGGGGGCGAGTCGCTGCTGACTACTGTTGTGGCTGCTGACGTTTGAGCGGCAGTGGAAGAAGGCACGGGTGTTACGGTTGTGTACAGCGTTACGATTACGACCGGTGGGGGTGAGAGCGGAGTTGTGGGGAGTCCGGCGGCGGTTGTAGAGGATGACGGGACGGGTTCCTGGCCGCCTGCTGCTGACGAGGACGCGTATGTTGGACTCGGCTGCTCAGATGTGGCGGTGGGGAAGATGGTTGTGAAGATGGTTTGAGTTACTATTACGAGGGTTGGGGATTCGTCGGCGCTTGATGGAGCTGGTGAGATGATTTGGGATGAGGATAGAGCGCTTAACGACGGTGTCGGCGGGAAATCTGGGGTAGTAGATAGTGTGGTGGAGGCTTGCGCAGTAGTCGATGCGATGATGCCGGTCAGGGACGTGTTAGTCGCTTGTCGCAGGTTTGTTGTTAAGCTTGGGTTTGTCGCTGTGGCCGGACTGATCGACGAAGAAGACGCTGCTGTCCCGCTTTCGTCTAGAGAGTACGTGAACATCGGGCCATTGTATCCCGTCCCGCTCGCTGTGGTGCTTGTACCGTGTTTCAGTTTTCTGCTGAATGATGTGCCGGAAGGCTCATCTGACTGATCCCCAGAAGTGACGAGAGGAGTCGAAGAGTCGCCGCCCGTCGGTTCACCCGAAGGCGTGGTAGTCGGAGGGCTTGGGGTATCCGTGGGGGTCGGTATTGGGGATGGCGTTGGCTTAGTTACGAATGACGTTGAAAGGACGGTCTGCTCTGGCTGCGTGACAAGCGGTTGGCCATGCGGATCAACGAAGGTAATTGCCGGCTGGAGCGAGGTGAAGATGGTCTTTTCGATGGGGCTTACGACGACAGCAGTGTCTGCATCGACTGGCTGCGCAGTTGAGGGTGAAGCACCGTGTGCTGTTGACAATTCCACAGCTGTACCGGATCCTTCGAAGGATCCCGCAGCAATAGTGGATGCTATTGACGAGGTGTTCGCATATCTCGGAGGCCTTGTATATGTTAGTTTTGGGCCTTTCTAATCGATAGGTTGTTCTTACGGCAGTCTTCGAAAATGCTGTGGTACCGGTCCTGGCATTACAGTCGTTGAACAAGCTGCCAGCAGCCATATAACAGAAAGAAAAATCATCTTCTAGACGACTATCGCGATCAGTAAAAAGAAGCTCTCTCGGAAAGGTAGAAGACTTCAAGGAAAGAGACGCGCGCGCTTGCACGGAAACGAGAGAAGTAACAGGCAGACAGGAAGGAAGAGACTGGGAAACTTCAGAATTATGAGAGAAACGATCGACGGGCACGAGAGAGGCGACTAAGAGAAGCCCGAAAGGAAAGACTTCGTCTGCGTCAAACAAAGGACGAGACAGACGTTCGTGTGAGGCTACGGTGCTCCCTCGGGGAGCTCATTGCTGCCGGGGACACGATCTGGTTTTGAGGCTCTACTAGCCGCTGTTTGACGTCAAAATAGAAGGCGAGGCGGCACTGGCCCAGCGTGGCCGCTGAGACCCTTCATTTGGCTGCGTTACTAGAGTTCGCCGCGTGCTGGCCAGAGGAGTGGTGGTGGTTGCTCGAAGACGAGGCGTGAGGTTTCAGGTACCGCCCAATGGGAAGCGGGGCACGCGAACAAGAGCTTGGGCGGCTCGCCGGACATGCACTGCCTCCAGCAATAGGCACTTTGACCGGGAACTTGATGGAGCGGTAGCCATCTGTTCGCCCGAGAATTGAACATGTACGCACGACCGTGGGGTGAGCTTCGGAGAAGCGGCGTGCCCATTGAGCTCCGTCGTCCCCCACCAAGACGTGTCCATGACGGACTCGAAGCTTCAAGAGCACTCCGACTATTCTGCCCGGCGAGCTGGCACAATGCGCTGCCCGAAGATGATGTCTGCATAGGCGGATGGAGCAGTTCAGACTCACGTGCGCCCGATTGTGCCCAGCCCTGGCGGTGTCGCCTAGGCAACGGGCCCCTGGAGCTGCAATCAAACGCGGCCCATCCGGATGTACCTCTGCAATTGCGAGCTTCGACGTCAGCGTAGCCCGGACATTCTTTTCTCTGTAGACTTAGACATTGTTCTGTTCTACGTTTCCTCATTTCCTCTTGCAGACCCTCACAATGAGCGTCAGGGTCGTTACCCGCATCCGGCCGCTGCTCAAACACGAGCTCGACAAGGACATTATCGTCACTGCAGAGTCCCACGAAAACGAAAGCGGAACGAAAGGGCGGCCGACAGTCGTGCGGATACCGAATCCCAAGAACGATGCGGAGTCGTTCAGCTTCCAATTCAGCTCTGTTTACGAGCAGGATGCGACGCAACAGGAGCTTTTCGAAGCAGAGAGTGGGTAGCATGCTGGAACGCGCGATACTATTTCAGCTCACACTCCTTAGTATCGCCGACCGTCAAGCAGCTGTTCAACGGCGTGTAAGCTCACATATACCGTCTCCGCTAACTACCTCGCTAACAACTTCGAGCGACCTATCTATCTTTGCTCATGGTTGTACCGGGACCGGAAAGACTCATACCATGCGTGGCGGAAAGTCGTTAGCAGATCGTGGCGTTATACCCAGGTTGCTCAGCGCGATATATCGCCGGTGTAAGAAGATTGAGAAAGATTCGGGCGGGTCCACACAGGTCGAGGTTGTGTTGGAATACTACGAGATATACTGCGACCGCGTATACGACCTGTTCGAGCCCCCGGAGAAGCGGACACCCTCTGGATTGCCCATTAGGGACAACAATGGAAAGACTGTAGTGGTGGGTTTGACGGAGAAGCCATGCGCAACATTGAAGGAATTCGAACAACTCTACGACCAGGCAAACACCAACAGATCCACTTCGGCGACGAAGGTAAGTATGGAACCACCCAAACTCCCTCAAGCACCGCTCATAAAGCCAGCTCAACGCGCATTCGTCTCGATCGCACGCTGTGCTTTGTGTGAAAATCACCCAAACTACGGAAACCACAATACGCATCAGCAGAGCATCCTGCATTGATCTGGCAGGATCAGAAGATAATCGAAGGACGGACAACAACAAAGAGCGGTTGGTGGAAAGCTCTGCCATCAACAAGTCACTCTTCGTTCTTGCCCAATGTGTCGATGCCATCAATAAGAAGCAGAGCCGAATACCGTACCGTGAGTCTAAGATGACTAGGATATTACGGCTAGGCCAGAACAACGGTCTCACGGTCATGATTCTCAACCTCGCTCCAACCCGGGCTTACCACCTCGACACGGTCAGCTCCCTCAATTTTGCCAGTCGGACGAAAAAGATTGAAGTATGTGAAGTGGAGAATGACCCGGTTCTAAGGACGATGGTAAAGCCTCTTGTGGCTATGAGTAGCATCGGGGGAGCAAATATAAGCCGACAACCTCTGCGACCGCTCACAGCAGCCCACAATGCGAATATGCAAGAGACGGACAAGAGGAAGCAGGGGCTGAAGCCTGTTAAGGCATTCTCAGTATATTCTGATGCCCGTAAATCTCCTTCCCGCGCTTCTAGCCGTCCCGCTCAGAATCAAGGCATTCGACGAGCAGAGGCCCATAAACGGCCGGCTGAATCAATGGCTTCACGGCCGTCCAAGATGTACAGAGCAGCCGACAACACATCGAAATTCCGTGCAACAGAGCCCGCGATGACGAAAGCATCCATCGAAGCTCTCATTGCTCAGCGCATAGACGAGAAGCTCGCCGAAAAGGCTCTCGAGGACCCTACGGTTGCCGCCCCCGCCCTGTCTACAGAGCTCCAAAAGCGTCTCGATGAGCTTGAACAGCGGATCAACGCCCATGAAGACGATGAGAGAGCAGAAGGCTACCAGTTTTTGCACATGGGGAAGCAGCACATTGCACGGGGGGAGGACACTAGCGCATTACGAATGTATCGTTTAGCCGTGCCATACTTTCCCGATAACGAGAAGCTCAAAGCGAAGATCCATCGGCTGGAAGACCGCATACGCGCAAAGAAGGAGGCAGAGGTGAGCGAGCACCCCACGGCGCCGTTGCCTGTGCCGCCCGTTCCCTCGTCGAATCTCATGGCGCCTTTGAGAGCAGATAAGAGGTCTGCAAAACCAAGAGCAACGCGCAAGGACGAGTCCGAGGATGAGGACTTTGCGCCCGTTCACGACTCGGAACCTGACGAAGCGTACGCGTCCGATTCTAGCTTCAAGTACAAGAAGGCGGTCCGGAAAGCGAAGAAGATTACCAAGAAGCTCCCCATCTTCCGCGACTTGGACGAAGCGCCCCAATTCTCCGGACCCACCTCACAACCCGGCGAGCAAACCCCGAGGACGGCTCATCTGCTAAAGATTATCAATTCGCGGGATGTCAGTCGGATTAAGGCACTGAAAGGAGTAGGGGCGAAGAAGGCAGATGCCATCGTCAACTGTCTAATTGAGATGGACGATGAAGAGGTCTATGACTTGGAGAGCCTCGCTATGCTGAAAGGCGTTGGCGGAAAGACTGTGGAAAATATGCGCGTTGGACTGAGCGTTGGCGTATAGGCCAATACATGAAGCTTCGATGACTCCCGTCCTGAAGCGTTCTGTCTGCAAGCACGGTTTGGCGTTTGGGGCATTTGGTCGGTAACGCGGGCACCTAGCATTTGCATGCATAGCATGGCGTTTTCGGTGCCTTTCCCTCTCTAAAGCACATGCTCTTTCTAATCGATCCCTTGCTCGTCAGAGATGGTCTCTTTTCTGCCTTGCCAAACCTCATCTTCAAACGCCTAGACTACCCCATCATACTCAGAGAATCCTCAGCACTACCATCTCCGTTAGACTGGCCGCTAATCACGCCAGGTCACGGTTCCTGCCCAAGACGCAGGGCCCGAGCAAAGGTCCAGCCCGAAGCATACCACGCCACGCTAACAGCGCGAATAATGCTCGCGAAGTAGTGTATCCTGGCGTGGCCAAGCGTTCAGACGATGGACAGCGATGATGGGTTCGGCCCCTGATTAAGGGCACGGCCGGATGCGGCAAGGTGATGTAATCCATCAGGCCTAGCGCCCAACCGAGCCCCTCAACACCATGCGCCATCGCCACCGCGGACTCCCGAGGTCACTCCGCTATTCACCATCCGTCTTGCCGCCATTTGCGAGATATCAGCCAGCCAGCACGACCATTCAAGCTGTTGGCGCCTCTTAACATTGCGGCCATCGTTATAAGCACGGTTCAGATGTCCAGTACATGAGCGGGTTCATCCACAAGGCGCGGATATAGCGGGCTGTCCTGTCGTGCGGCATCGATCAATATTCGACTTCTTATCTAAATCTAGATTAACGTGTCCTTTCCAAAGCGACACTCCAAGGCCGGCTGCACGACGGTATTGTTGGGAGAAAACTTAGAATACGGACCTTCTCCCACAAAGGAATCATCAGATGACCATGGGAGTCAGCCATGCACAGCTTAGGATCCGCCCTGTTCACTCTCGACTCGCTCAATCTGCTACGGCCGCTTCTCGCCGCCGTAGGCTTGCGCCCTATCGGCGCGAGAGGCAGCGGTATCAGCGGGCTGGTGACTGAAGCGTCGGATGCCTAGTCGTTCGCTTCGGCAAGGTACAGAGGGACAGTATTCTGGTGTGGATCACGTTTCCAGGCACCCCTTGCAGCCGCGCTTGTCTGCGGGTTTAGCCTACTGCACGCCGCAACGCCTGGTGGAAAGTCGGCCAGCCAATGGCCAAAAGGGGAGGCGGTGGCCTTTGCAATCCTCGACGGCGAACAGGCCACTGCAGCCTTTTGACGCTGACGGCGATTTAGACCGGCCGCTCGCGCAAGCTGCAGGACGAGAGTTCAACAACAGCGCAGCCCTTCAGCCTCACACGGCGCTGTGAAACGGGGCCCTGAAACTCGCCTCGGCGTAAAGAGCTGGATAGATGCTCGGCCATATTATTAATATGCCGGATACAAAAGGGAGGCCTGTCTGGAGACGCCGACGCACGGCCGGCCGCGAAGGATCTGCGCGCTTCGTCGCGACTCGCAGGGCGGATCGGATTCTGACCCCAGCCCCAGCCCCAGCCCCAGCCTTCGCCAGCCCGGGCCCAGGGCCGCACGACAAAGGCGCTGCCGCAGTGGGAGCTGCTTACATCCCACCCGCCGGCCCCCCCCAGCCCCTCGCATGCGCTTGCGACGCAATTTGACCTCGATGACCGCCCCCAGTCCTGCTGTCTGCACCTCTTCCTGCTGCTCGGTCGCTCGGCCGTCTTGACTCTGGCTCTGTGCGTCCGTGAGGAGCCGCACGCTGTCCGCGCCCGCTCGTGCCTTTGTGCATCGGCCTGCATCGCTGAGCATCTGCCTCAGGTGGCCGGGATCCGCCCCTCCAGCGTCTTATCGCAGCGTCACTGGCCTTAACACCAAACTCCGCGTATCCGCCTCTATCCTGCATCACCACCCTCTCGCCGTCGACGCTTCGAGCCTCTAACGACTAGCGAGGCCACGACACCTATTGGTTCCCTCTTCGCTCTGCGCATTTTCGTCCCAAGCGCAAGGCTCGGATGTTGCTTCAGCGCCGCTCTCTACCCACCATCAGCTTCGCCGTCTCAGCCTTCCCGCCCGCTTCTCGAGCCCTGCGCGACACTCATCTCCCGAGTAATTGCGACTTGACCAAGTAGCCCCCCGTCGGGCCTTGTGTCCGCAACCCCGCCAGACACCGCTCGAGCGGCTCCGTTGAACGCTCTGCGTTCCCGGTCGAGGCCGTCGCAAGCCTCGACGTCTCCAGGGTTGGCACTCACTCCGGCGAACGCGCAACCACACCCACAAAACTTAGCAGCTGCGCATTTCCACAGTCCACGCCATGTCTACCTTCCAAGCGGTCAACACCACGCTTATGGTGCCAGAACCGCCGCCAGGGCGCGCGGGAGAAGAGACCACGCCAACAACCCCTCGACCGAACAGCAAGTTCTTTACCGAATCGAAGGCCTCCGCACCAGAAGACGTGCGCGCCGAGGACCCGTCTGCAAAGACACCAACGCGCAACAGCTTCGGAGGGCTGGCTGGCCAGCGCCCGCTACCGACTTCGCCATTCACCCCTTCGCGCGAGCTTAGCACAACACCCAGTAGAAACGGACTGTTGAGCAGGGAGAACTCGCATAGGTCTACACAATCAGTGGGCTCACAGGACGTGGAGATGGGTGGTGATGAAGAAGGCCACGACGTTTCAGACGATGAGAGTGTGAACAGTGAGGCGAAACAGGCTTCGAAAAAGAAAAAGGGACAGCGGTTCTTCTGTACTGATTTTCCGCCTTGTCACCTCAGCTTCACGAGGAGCGAGCATTTGGCCAGGCACATTCGGTACGTCGTGGCATCATCCTAGATATTGTTCGGGCTAACACTCTCCAAAGCAAGCACACAGGCGAACGACCCTTCCAGTGCCATTGCTCCCGACGTTTCTCGCGGCTCGATAATCTCCGACAGCACGCGCAGACGGTTCATGTCAATGAAGATATTCCCGGAGATTCTTTGGCCGCCACCGGCACTAGGTTTCAAAGACAAATCCGAACCGACCGCGTGCGACCTCCTGGGAACCGCTCCAGGTCCAACACATTAGGCAGCACAGGAGGACACAGTAGGGGCCACAGTAGGAATTTGTCGGCGTCTAGCATTACATCCACTGCCTCAAGCATAAGCGTAAGCCAACCTCCGGATGTGCGGCGTCGGCCCCCGCCACTTGCCATGGCGAATGATGGAACGGCAAGAGCTCGCCTATCACTCAACACGCTAGACACCTACAATCCTCCGCTCATGGGTAGCCCCGGACCACAGATCGTCGAGTATGGAACGCAATCCAACGGACCCACCACACCCACCTCAGCCACCTTCTCCACCGCCGCTGGGAGCCCAAGTCAGTTTGGCTCTACCATGCAGTCTCCGGTATCCTCAGCGTCAAGGCCAGTCTCATGGGGTGGCGCAGCACCTACTGGACGACGATTGTCAGTGCCTTCTAATGGCAATCCATTCTCGGGTCCGCCCGGACAGTTCCCTCCGCCTTTCATCACTCCTTTGCCGTCAGCCACCTCGTCTACCTTTTCCGGACAAAGTAGCTTGTATGCTAGCCCTACGGCATCAAACTTCCCGGACTCTAGGAGAGAGTCGAATGCAGAAGCAGACTGGAGAAGACGCACCTGGCACCCTGGAACTTATAGTGGACCTCGTCCTGCTACCAGCGGGTTGGGATACTACCAAACACCAGATGCACCGCGTCCATCATTTACCTCCCAGCCTGCGGCATCCCAGACTACAAGACTCCCTGGCATCGAGAGTTTCGACCATGCGCCGCCCTTGCCATCGCTACCCCGCCGTCAACCGAGCCCCATGCAGATCGATACGCCGACTCGTCCGATTACTTACCATGCGCTGACTGACCTTCCCCCGACTATCAGGCACGAGAAGCGTCCAAGTATATCTTGGGATACGACGCTACAAAGAGGAATAAACAATCTTGAGATCGCGAGCCCAAACCCACCGCGCGAGCCATGGTCACAATACCAAGGTAGCCCAGGGCAACCCTCGAATGCTCGACCAACTACAGCACCGCACCCAAGCTACTTTAGCCAACAGCAACCCCGTGGTTCTCCCCAGCCAATACAGGTGTCTTCAGCAGAGCCCGCCAGGACTTCGCAAGAGCCACCTGTGACTCCTCGGAAGAACAAACGGCAGGCATGGTATAACGGGCCGCTAATGCAACAAGGCCCGGGTCAACCTCCTAGGGCAGTACAGCGGACGTCTCCTGAGGACTCAAGTAGCAGTGAGGGCGTTCCCACTCCCTCCAATTCGTCCATGGCCGAGTATCACCCGGCTATTCTTCACAGCAATGGCTACGTCGAAGCGCATCCTCCTGGAGTCCCTGTTGAGGAACAGAAGCCACAAGCATCGATCATGGACAGGCCGCATCCGATTCACTCTCAATATCAGCAATATCATAGCCACAGCCTGTCCCAACCTGCTTATCGACCCCAACGAGAGCCTGAAAGGGGTCCGATTACCTTTGGGCAACCGCTCCCGCAACCACCCGCGAACGATATGAGGCGACTGGAGGCGCTCGTAGCCGTGGCTACTGGCGAGCAACAAGCTGTTGGGAATCGATCATGAATTGAGGAAGGGTGATCAAGAAGCGGGGCATCGCGTCTAAGGATCTCGTGTTGTCTTCGGCTGACACACATACATTTCTTTCTAGTCCACACGGTAGGACCATCTCACATCGTTTCGCTTCAACGTATGGGCGCGAATCGGCACGACCTAACGACCATCCATATCACTCACGAATCTCCTTGCCTCACGCTATACCTTTCGGTTCTCGTTTGTCTTTGCAGCATGCACGCACGCACGACGCCGATGGAACGGGATTCGGTCTCCTATTATCGGTGCGATGATACCCATCCTCGGTCGGCATCTTTTTATCGTTTTTGATTCTGTTTTGCACACGCCTTTCTCGGTCGCTTCACGCTCACACGCCACGCCACGCCACGCCACGCCACGCCACGCACGTCATGACAGCTTTCCTTTGTGTTTTGGAGGTATACCTGAGGCTAGGCTGGGGAATGGGATATACCAGATGGGATGGAATTGGATCGATCACAGCGGGCGTTTATGGGGCTTTCAGGCCTTGGTACCTCTTTGCGTTGGCCTTTTGCTACTCGCTGTTTTTATCCTTTCCGCTTCTTCTTCGTCATGTCGGTTTGGCTTGCGTTTTCGGAGGTAGCGGTAGGATAGAAGATTGAGATTCCGTGGGTGGCTAGCGCTTTGCAGCTAATGGGTGGAGGGAAGATTTGGATGGCTACTACTATAACTTGCGTGTATATGTTTTATGATACTCCTTCGCTTCGAATCTTCACTCTTACCCACGGTAACTTATCCACCTCCATTATGACACATTACGAGCCGAATTACGTGTGGTTTCTCTAACGCCCCCTGACACCCCTCCGAAGTCTGATAGTGAAGCGCCTAGCCCTTTGCCGGGCATATGTGCAAGGCACAGCACAAACCATTGCCTTGAGGAAACCCGGCCCATGTAGCAACGATCGAGGTATTGGTTCTTTATCATCTTTGTCCGCCATTCAATAACCCTTCTAGAGCTCGTGAACATCTCTACCCCTCGTTTCGTACCACTATCCTCGTCCTTCGCCGATATAGCCCGGAGCAACCCTTTGATCTTCCTCCAACAAAGACCCCACAGTCGTCAAAGTATCTTTTAGAATACCCCGTCTTATGGACTTACTTTTCAGCCCGCTATGCAAATGGAGAAGCACATATTTCGTTCGATATATCTACTCTGAATCAGAGGCGCATATGACCGGCACAACTCTTTCTCAGCTCTCTCAAGGCCACACCCCTCTCCCCGTACTACATCGATGCACAGCCCTCAGCCGCGAGCAGCACAACATGTACGCACCCGACGTTCGTAGCACCTCCACTCCACCCATTCGCCCAGCCGAGTCGCACAGGCACGCATTCCAATGCCGTGCAGCCATGACGGGTTCTAGGCAAGCGGCGCCGTCCTAGCATCACCATGAGCTACAGACTTTCACCGCCTTCTCCGGCTCCAAGTCACACGAGGCTAGGTAGATTTGGAAACTGCGAGCGTTTTAAGGCTGGCTGCGATAAGTCGAGCAGATAGTCTTGGGCGCACGAAGTAGGCAGCAAAAGCTCCAAGTATGACGGTCAAGTAGCACCACGGGCTCGTTATAAGTCCAGACGAATTGAATTGAGCTTCCTAGCCTAGCGATGGCTGTAAACAATGCCCCCCCTGGGTTCCCTTGACTCATTCAACCCACAGATCAATGATCCCTCGTCGCTCATGAAACACAGAGCATTCCGCCGGTAGGCCTACAAATCTTGCTTGCTCCCCCCTTATTGCACGACCTATCCCGTCAAAGTCAGTTGCGATCAATCAGGCCAGGTAGAAGGCAGCCAATGCACATCCTCAGTGTTCAAACGTACCTTCTCCCTGAGCATTCCTAACCACTGTTGCAAGCTGACTCCCTGGTCTGCCCTGTCCTCGACGAGCAGTGTCTGCGCCCAGAGCTTCAGGCTTGGGTCGCCGTCCTCCTTGACCACGTACAGTGTCGGTACGGTGATGCTACCAACGCCCTTCGACCTGTGATCCCGCGACTTCTCTAGGACGGCATTGATACGCTCGCTGAAATCGTTGTCGAGACGAGGCAATGTTGTCTTGCCCTGCTTGACCATCGTACGATCTTCTACGCCGAAGACGTCTTGAAGGAGGGCTGGCACGGAGTCGCGTCCTACCCACAGGAATTGATTCACTCCGTCATCCAGAAGATACAATCCGTAAGGGACTATGCGCTCAGAGGAGAGGTTCAGCAGCGGCGGCATGATGATACCTCCCGTCTGAGGGTCCGGAACACCGGCATCATCCGGCATATCATGCAGCGAGTAGAATGCGGGGTAAATGTATCTTAGGAGCAAAGCGGTCGGTAACGTAGAAAGGAGACATAGCGCAGCCGCGCGTAAATCCTGGATTTGTTAGCTGCAAGTATGGCAAGATCAAGGGCGCGGGCACCTACGGATGGGATCTGCGCGCTCTTCCTTAGACCGACGTTCTTGATCAAGCCAAGGAAGAGGACCGGCAGCGTGCGAAGATTAGCGGGTAATGCTGGAATGCGTCAGCGTATGTAAATGTAAGCTCAAAGGCGTTGACTTACTGAGTCCGCCTGAACTACCACCAGCGAGGTTAGTCCTGTAGGTGCTAAGGATCTCAACGATCTTCGACTGCAGAGCGTCTCGAGCAGCATCGAGACCACTTGATAGTGCACGCTCAACTGCTTTGTGGCTGAAATACGTCGTGATAGCTTGAGCATCCGCCGAGGCATAGACGTTCGCTAGATTGTCGGTGGTCGGGAGCCCAAGGGTCATTACCCGGATCCTCCGAGAACCGTTACAGCTCGTGTGCAGCACGGCAGCTTGTAGGAAGATGGTCGGGCGAGTTAACGTCTCGTCAATAGCGACTTCAACGTTGTACTGTTGATCCCTTGGGAATGAAGGAAAAGCGCATAGGTCAGAGGAGCGGTTGAAGAAATTGCCGTAGAAAGCGGACATCCGCAATCCGGTGCTGGCGCGGACACGGAGGACAGCTTCCAAGCCGATCTCAGCGCTGAGATAGTTTGTAAACTCATGAGCCAGCTTTATCGCGTCCTCTGGTCTCGCCGCATTCCATCCTGGGTAGAAGTACGTTTGCCCGCCGGTGTATCTCGGGAGATTGCTCAGCGTCGCCACATCCTGGTACGCGCTGGAGAACAGGAACATATCAATCGACACCTGGTTCTTCGAGCATTCCACGGCGAAACTCTTGTAGAACGAGTTCTGCGTCTGAAGAAGGCTTCCCTCCTTGCTTGTACCCAAAATATCTTTCCTTTCGCGACTCTCCAGTTTGCCGTACCCGGTGTTCGGAAGGGAAGAAGAGAGGACAGTTATCTTAGCGCCAATCGCCGCAGTCATCCGATGTCCGGCGCGAAGTGCGGATCCCATACAGGACCCTGCTTGCGGGTTCTCCTGGAACATGGTCGGAAGCTTCTCCAGAAAGTTCTGCACGTTTTGCATGGACTCGGATAGCGTCACGAGCAGATTATCGGGAGTGGGGAGGAATGGCTCGTCCAGGTCGGACACAACGAGCATGGACGGCTCGCTATTCTCGCTTCCATCGCGCGGGATCGAAAAGTAGTATAAGCTCGAGTCAAAGCCAATGAATCCAACCCTCGTCCTGTACATGCGTCAGAGTGTGCCAATTAGGGAATGCGGCAAGATGCGTACCTGCCGTCTGCGTTGGGTATCCGCGGGAGAGCTTCTGAAATGATCCTAGAGATAGTTGCACAGAGTCCGTTTACTAGCGATGGATGCCCGACTTCAATCAAGAAGAGATAGACTAGGGGCTGCAGGTGATCAGCCCGTGTTGTATCGTGCATCCGAGATGTGAACGTACCTGTGGAGGTCGAACCATGTATTCCTGCGGCGCCACAAACTCGCAAACAGCGTAGTTGAGCTCGCTTCTCTGCCAACGATCAACGCTCTTTTGCTGAGCTGCATCCCAATCGAAGGCCTACACTCCTGTCAATGCCTGTGTACTGATGGAGCGAAAAGTGGGTACGGACCTGCGGCACGTCGTTTGTTAGGTTGCACATATTGCATCGCCATCTGTGTCCGTGGTCTAGAAAGGTCACGAAGGGGTTGATGTATGCCCTGCAGCCAGTCAGTCCAGGAGCAATTGGACACAGCGCTTCCCGGTAGTACGTGCCTACAACGCCTACACCTGCTAATGACCTGATCATCGACAACTGGAACGGGCGCGTCTGCATCGTGGAGCGAGGTGTATGGCTGCACAATCAAAGAGAACGGCAGCTTCGACTTCTTCAACAGGCTGTGGGTGGTAGGCACACACGCCAGCGTCGAGCGAATGTACGGCGGCGGGCAATTCGAGTGCGGGGAGGGCGTAGCAGCGAGATTCGGAGGCAGGTTTATGGGCGGAGGTGGCGAGTCGATTTCCGAGGCATGGACGGGTTGGGCGATCAAGTCGGACGGGTAGAGCTGGTTCTGCTGCATCTGGGCCGTCGGCTGCATTTGCGGCGTGACCTGGACAGGCTGAGGCCCCAGAGTCATCTGTCCGAACTGCTGGCCCAGCGCATTTGGGTCCTGGCCCGGAGGAGACATTGGAATCCCCGGCGAGTAGCCCTGCGCCGGCACGCCGTACTGCGGAGCAGCTGGAGAAGCAGCCGCGCCCATGCCAGCGCCGCTCAACCCAGCATTTGCGCCGAACTCGTAGGCCGCTCCGGCATACCGGTCCCTCTTCTTCTTGTGTTCCGCCATGGTGGAGGCCGCAAGCAGGCGTCCTCGGGGGCGTGCAGGTAGGCGAGTGTGGGCTGGCCGGGGACGGGGACGGGAATTTAGAGGAGAGGTCGATCGATGTGCACTGTGTTCTTACGGCATTCGCCGCTAAACAGCCCCGCCAAGCTGCGAACGCACGGACCAATGAGGCGCCGTCTGAGGAGTGTACACCTCGCCAGAGCACCCACCAGGCATCCAGCAATGACCCCGACCCGACCCGTTACTCACATGCGATGGCTCTCAATCTAGCACTTGACTGGTACCATATATCAACGGTAGGCATCAGAGTTTCTCAGACATGACTTAGTGCCGCCCTCCAGCAAAACCTGCCCAAGCCTATCCAGGATGAGCGAAAGGTGTCCTCTGGTCGGTAACCCTAAGCGATCCGTCATAATACATATAGTCGTAACAAGCATCCTATCGATACCGCCCGCCAGGTCCACGCCCGCGGCCGCGGGAAAGGCCACCTTTAGATGACGCCCGCATGTTCCACTTCCCTCCTCTCCGCCTCGGTCATAGGATAAGGAGGATGTTGAACCTCGCCGCCCTCATGTGAGCCCAACGACCCGCCACTAACGAATCGCCTTTCGCCACTGCCGCTCCTGCTCCTGGCCGTCTTCTCGCGGAATGCCGGATGCTCTGGAGAGCCGTCCTGGCCCGCTTCGCTTCCATACGCACTGGTTCCGTTGCCTACCATTCCGCCTCCAGGCATCGCCCCCACCCCGAGAGCCCCAGCAGAGGAGTGGATTGGCTCAACATTAGGTTGCCAATTGCGAAGCTCGTCTTCGGCATCATTGAGAACTTGGCGAGCGGCCTCGACGCCTTCAAAGGATGGATGCGTGTCGCCTGGCACGATGGGGGTATCGTCAAGCAAGTTCAGAATGCGGCGAGCCTGCTTGGCCAAGATGATCTGCTTCTCAGCCCGCTCGATAGTGGCGGCGAAGTGGATGTCGAAGGCTTCCTTGAACTTCTGGCGCGTCTAGGTTGGTCAGCACCTGGCCAGGGCTAAATACGTGGCGTGCGGGACATACGATATTGGTAAGTTGCGCCTCCGCGACCAAGCTCTGGGCCTCCGCGCGGACAAGCTCCTGTTCAAGCTGGACAATCTTAGTGCTCTGTGGCTCCTTGTACTTCAGCTTGGCAATCTCGTCCGACACCTGTTACATCATCAGCCTCGTTCGTAGGATGGCCAAGGATCCTCATACACACCTTTGCTTTGTGGTCTCGGCTGGGCTGCACAGACGCCTCCGTATTCCGAATCTGCTTCAGGACCCCTCTGTACTCCTCCAGCGACTGTGCGAAAACATCCTCTTGCTCCGCGATCTCCGCCATCAAGACGCCCAGCTTGTCCGAGATCTCCGAGAGAGAATCATCGTTAGTAGCTTCACCCCACTCGGAGAGCTGCTGAGCAATAGCGACGCGCTCGCGTCCGGCGGTCTCGTAAGCGCCGATGGCGTGGTTCTCCGACTTGATGAGCTTGTACAGCTTCTTCGACAGGTCTGGCTGCTGCATGCCTCGGAGGGATGCCATTGTGAAGCGGTGCTTGGGCACAGACTTCTCGCCGCTGCCGGAGCCATCCTTCTTGGATCGAACAGAAAGCGATCGATTCCTAACGCGCGTAGGCATGATGGTAAGTGAACGTGCTCGCGACGGGGTGCGCGACGGAAGACCCGGATATGCTGGAGGAGGTGGAGGAGGCGGAGGGTTGGTAGGATAAGCGAAGACGGCCATTTTGACGTCGGATGAATCGAAACTGATACAGCGGATGGAAGGAGTAGCGGGAATTAAGGCAAAATAACGAGGCGACACAGGGCAGCAGAGCTTTTGAGAGGAAATAAAGGAAACGAAGACCAGCTTACATTTCGAATACGCTCTTCGAGGCCGTCGTCGAGGGTTTTATTGCGTTCTGCCCATGGCTATTGTTAGCAGTCTGTTGTGCGCGGGACGCAGCGGTTAGGAGCTCGCGTAGCCTCACATGGCGGTTCCGTAAATTGGACACCACTTAATGCCAGGTGCGAGTCCAGTGCTCTCGAGCGTGTTTGGAACCGTTGGCGCTCTGGTGCTGCGATGCTGGAGCGGGGGACGGCGAGGGTGTTTGAGGTTGAAGGCAAAGGCGACATCAACTGGATCAGATGGCCTCGTGCAAGCGCGCGCTGTGATGTCATTCAAGCCACACCCAGTGGTTGTGACGGCAGCCACGCCAAGTCCGCAACACCAGAAGCGGGCATCGCGACCTCATCCACCTCCGGACGGGTCTGCGGATGCACGCGTCCAACGATCTTTTGCATATCGAGCAAATTCGCGCCGCCCACTTCTTTCTCTGCGTCTTTGTCGATGCTGACTGCCTAGGTAAGAGTACATACACGTGACAGCCAAGGCCCGAAGAGGCACGGTTTCTAGGTGCTTGCATCCCACGCTACGTGCCACAAAGTCGCTGTGGCTTTCGAGGGAGATCCCTCCCCGGTGCCTGGAATATCAGGCAAAGGAAATGCGGAATGTGAGCTTACCCGCACGCTTACGCCAGCGGAGAGGAGTCCGCGAGACGAGGTCCCGGACGGCGACGTTTTCAGTAATCGCACTTGTGCACGAGAGACCCCGTTCGACTACCATCTACTCAAAGGAGCCACTGCGTCGACGCCGCGTCGGAGCACCTCCTCTTTGACTTGGTGGTGGTCAGTCGTCAAGATAAGCCAAGGCATTGCTGACACAGAGCAGTGTCTAGAACACCACCCTTCGAGAACTCGCGTACCTAAATTAAGCAGGACGGAGGGGTCTCTAATCGAGACCAGCATGCCGCGGATCGGACATGCGTCGCACGATTCACCGCCCATTGAGCGTGAGAAGGACGGCTCGGGCCTGTCTCCGCGTTACCGGGCGGCTACCAGCGACTGCATCAGTGATGCCGAGGGAATCGAACATGGCCAAGCAGCAGGTCCATATGCAGGATTGTGCACATCGTTCCACCTTAATGATCTCCACGTTGCGCATCGCAGATGTCGACAGGGAAGGTCGAGGTAGACGTGCCTGCACTATGAGCGCTCGGCCCCAGTAATCGAGATGCACGGATGGCCCACGGACTTTGGCCATTCTCGCATAGTCGCAAAGAGAGCAGGTGATAGCATTGCTGCATGTCAAGGTCTACACGCTGATGTGTGTTCACGCTCTCGGTGGACGTTGGTTACGAGCGGTGGAAATTCTCCGACTAGCTTGATGCGCATTAGCCTCTACGCGGCATTCAACGTCTTCCAAGCCCCATCATCCCAGCCTCCCCCCGTCTTGGACTCCCGCACACCATTCCCGCCGCTGTCTCCTGATCGGCACAACAAAATTTCTACGTCCCCATAAAAATTTCTGGTCAGAGGTCCTTGGCAATGAAAGCCAGTCCCTCGTCCTGTTTCCAAAGTTTTTCGATTCTGTCAGAAACTCTCCCTTCTGCAACTTTTCAAATCAGGAACCTCGACTTTGGAGGGTCGCACGGGCACGGTTGGCAGTCGGGAATTACTGCGCGCTTCTGCTTTATACAGGCTACCCATGAAGGAGTACATCGTCTTCTTGGCGAAATGGACCTTTACGGATCGTCCAATTACTAACACCCGTGCATCTGGGCCAACGCGATTCCATAAGCAGCCCTTACCAAGGACCCCATTCCCAACTTGCCTCTACTCCTTCACTGCCAAGGCGGATAGCCGCGTCAGGGTTGAGTCCATCACACTGTCCTACTGTCCAACGGTTATCACACCAGCTCCCGCACCTTGTCATAATACGAGCGGACAGAGCGAATTGACACACGGGAAGGCGCTTTGCGAGCACCAGACGTCATTTAGCTCCAGTCCTAAATTTCTGGGCTCTCATAGCACGGCCTTTGTCGAGCTCGCACCTTGCCTCCCACAACGCAAGATCCTGGGTCACGTCAGTATACATCCCGCAAGTCAGGTTGTCTCGACGTGACAATGCTAAACCCCGCCGACATAGCTTCCCTGCTCACTACTTGTCAACCCAGGCCATCGGCCCTGGTGTACCGCCATCTGAGGAAGATTCAAGCTCCTTTGTACTCCACGTTAGGTGAGAGGGAAATGTAAGCTTACCGAACTCTGGGTCTGCCGTGCTGCACTGTGGCATAAGCTTTCTTCAGTCCTACAACCGTCGTTCCTATTCCCACTTCAAGTTCTACGATGGCAAGCATGTCATGGGCCCCTTGAACACCGACACCTCGCCTAGACGCTGTGCTCCGTACCACGCCCACAGATCCACGCACGACATCCTGGCCTCGCCATCATATCAATGGCCATTTTCGGGACACTTACCCATTCATCACAAGCGTGTCCAATTGATTGGTGCGCCAGCTGATCAAATTCCAAGGCGCTCATTTGGTCGCTGATGTACGTTCGGGCTATGAACGCCTGGGACTTGACGGAGTGTTGGGCATAGTGGGCCTGCCAGAGCACGTTGCTCTGTTGTGCTCAACTTAAAAGAACGTCATTTCCACCCTCTGACCGACACCTTGTCCTTCATTGAACTCACAACAACATGGTCGCCTCTCGATTCTTCGCAGCGCTTGCCGCCTGTAGTCACCTCGCCTATGGAGCTTGCCCGTACATGGAGGATGACGCTCGAGACCTTCCGGCCAATCACCGTCTAGTTCGACGAGACGACCCCACGGCTATGCCTACTGACGAGTTCATGTCACAGTGGGAAATCAACGACGACGACTCCTACATGACAAGCGATGTCGGTGGGCCCTTTGAGGACCAGGAAAGCCTCAGTGCAGGGGAACGAGGTCCAACGCTCTTGGAGGACTTCATCTTCCGTCAGAAGGTTAGTGTTTCCGTGAAAAAGGCCTTACATTCATTAACGACGTTAGATAACGCACTTTGATCATGAGCGCGTCCCCGAGAGAGGTACGCTAAAGCTATTCGTTCCTAGTCACACTCGTTAACTTCTCCAAGCCGTCCATGCCAGAGGTGCTGGTGCGCACGGCGTTTTCACCTCTTATGCGGACTGGTCTAATATCACCGATGCGTCCTTCTTAAAGCACGCGGGCAAGGAAACGCCTGTCTTCGTTCGCTTCTCTACCGTCGCCGGCAGCCGTGGGTCCGTCGAGACGGCCCGCGATGTACATGGATTTGCCGTCCGATTCTACACAGATGAAGGCAACTTCGGTGAGTGCTTCGCTTGCTATGGTATCTCCAACCTTTGCCCGTCTGTCAACGAACATCGTCAGCCTACCGTTGCACAAGCCACGACGCTCAAGAAGACGGTGCCTGCAACAATACCGCCAACTAGCGCCCCGTACAAACGCGTCGCAGCTGGAGCGCCTAGCAGCGCTCCATCCAAGCGTCAGCGCTCGTGTTTCCAAAGTCATGTCCGTGGCCATTGGCCCCCCCCATCGAGCCGGAACTGCGCATCATTACATTTGCACATATTCTTCAAAAATGTGGTTGCCTATTACGCTACTAACATCATGCTTCAGACATCGTTGGAAACAATATTCCGGTCTTCTTCATCCAGGACGCCATCAAGTTCCCCGACCTTATCCACTCTGTAAAACCAATGCCGGACCGCGAGATTCCTCAAGCCGCAACCGCCCATGACACCGCGTGGGACTTCTTCAGCCAACAGCCCTCTACACTTCACACTCTCTTTTGGGCTATGAGCGGGCATGGCATTGTACGCTCTTACAGGCATATGGACGGATGGGGTGTACATACATTCCGCCTCGTTACTGGCGAAGGCAAGACGAAGCTCGTCAAATTCCGATTCAAGACTCTACAAGGAAAAGCATCACTGCTTTGGGAAGAGGCGCAGGCCACTTCGGGCAAGAATGGTGACTTCCATCGCGCAGACTTGTGGGACAGCATCGACAAGGGTCTGTATCCGGAATGGGAGGTACGTCAAGCTTGTATTTTGGCAAGTACATTGCCTATCTCTGACCCTTCTTCCAGTTTGCGGCGCAAATCATGGAGGAGGAAGACCAACTGCGCTTTGGTTTTGACCTTCTTGACCCTACAAAGATCGTGCCCGAGGACCAGGTACCTTTTACGCCTCTCGGGAAAATGACTTTGAACCGGAACCCTCGAAACTATTTCGCAGAGACCGAACAAGTAATGGCATGTAGTGCGGCGTCCGTTTGCCAAGCCTAATGCTGATACGCATCACTAGTATCAACCTGGTCATATCGTGAGAGGAGTCGACTTCACGGATGATCCGCTCCTCCAGGGTCGCTTATTCTCCTATCTGGATACACAGATCAATCGTCATGGAGGCCCGAACTTTGAACAGCTTCCGATCAATCAGCCCCGCGTGCCTTGGCACAACAACAATCGGGACGGTGCTGGTGAGTATCAGCGATATAATGTAAATACCTCGCAGCCTTGCTGACTCCATGCAGCCCAAATGTTCATCCCATTGAACGTTGCGCCGTACACCCCAAACACGCTGAACAACGGCTTCCCGCTTCAGGCGAACCAAACAACAGGCAGAGGTTTCTTCACCGCGCCGAACCGTTCCACCGGCGGTAAACTCGTCCGCTCCGTCTCGTCCACGTTTGCCGACGTGTGGTCTCAGCCGCGCCTCTTCTTCAACTCCTTGCTCCCTGCGGAACAACAGATCATGATCAACGCCCTGCGCTTCGAGATTTCCATGGTCAAGAGCGACATCGTCAAGAACAACGTGCTTATCCAGCTCAATCGCGTAAGCCACGACATCGCCTCCCGCGTGGCTCAAGCGCTTGGCAAGACTGCCCCTGACGCTGACCCAACCTACTACCATGACAACACCACTATCGGGGTCTCAGTAGCCAAGGATCCGCTCTTGAAGGTTGACGGGTTCAAGGTTGGCTACCTGACGTCGACTTCCGCGTCAGGCAACTCAAGCGCATCGTCTCTCCGAACCGCGCTGGCTGCTATGAACGTGGACCTGATTGTCGTTGCCGAGGTGCTCGGCGGCGGCATCAACCAGACCTACTCTGGGTCTGACGCCTCAAACTTCGACGCCATCGTTGTTGGTGAAGGCACCGAAGCACTGTTTGCTGCGCCCTCTAGCCTCGCAAACCTGAACACTACTTCCGGCAACGGCACCACGAGCACGCAATCAACGCTATACCCCGCGGGTCGTCCGCTTCAGATTCTGCAAGACGGGTACCGTTGGGGCAAGCCCGTCGCTCTGCTTGGATCCAATAGTCAGACATTTAGTGTCGCCGGCATTGAGGCCGGCACTCCAGGTGTCTACTCTGGTAGTGATATGGCTTCGCTAGCAAGCGATCTGGTCGAGGGACTGAAGACGTTTAAGTTCTTGGATCGGTATCCGCTAGATCGGTAGAGGGATATGACGGTCTTCAGGTGTTCCATTACTGTAGATGAAATTGCTAATATGATATGTTGCATTCCCACCGATGAGTGTCGGATTTAGTCCCGTGATATGTCCTTCCTTGCACACGATGTCTATTCGAGAATGGCAACTTCAGATGACTTTGCAATCGTTTCAAACACAGAAAATCGATCTGTCGAAAAGATCACAATTTAGACTTTTCCCAACCCACACGGCGGTCGCGTTACACATTAGCAGATATCTCAGACTAACGACAAACGTTAACACCCAAGCACGTCTTAGCTTTATCGACTGCGGAAGGTTACTCCTGAAGACCTCCAGCAGGCAAAAGCCTGAGACGGATAGAGAGATCGAGGATCCAGTTCACTGTCAGGCGAGTAGGCTGGAGGGTGCCCCTAGACTCCTCATCGGGTCGGGTCCGCGAATGGGGTCGTTCTACGAAGTTGGGTATCGGTCAAGGAATGAGTCCCTCATGGTTTACATAGACCGGTTAGATCGGAATTCTATGTACCGCCCACGACCAAAAGCAGTGATATACTTCTGCCTTTCGTGTGACGTCAACAGCAGCCGAGGTCTACCGCTGTGGTATCTGCGGGGTCGTTAGGCCACCACCACACCATACGCCTGAATCGCGATTAACTCCGCAGCATGTGTTACAATACGGCAAGAGACTCGTTTTAGTGCGATAGGATGAGGTCAGCTTCTACTGACAAACCACGCAATTGATACAGTCACAGAGCTGCAAATGCTGCTGATCGCCAGCACTGACTCCGCTACACTAGCATGCATGCCCGGCCACAGTCCTACATCCCGTTGGCGGAGGCCTGACCGAGAGGTATTTCAATCGTGCTCGTCTTCGTTTACCAGGACAACACTACGATAGCCAGAAGGCTTCCTCCAGCAATGCATCTTGAGATCCACACAGCTGTCGTCCTTCTCCCCTTCGCCCTCCTAATCCTGCGTCTCCTCACCGCGCTCTACAACGCCCTGGTATCCCCCCTCCGCGGTATTCCGGGCCCCTTTTCCGCGCGCTTCACCAAGCTCTGGTACTTCCACCGCGTCCTCCGCGGCTCCTTCCACCACGACAACATCGCCCTGCACCAGTGCTACGGACCCATTGTGCGCATCGCACCCAACCTTTACTCCATCTCCACCGCAGACCCCAAAACCATACAAACCGTCTACGGCATCGGCAGCAAGTTCCCCAAGTCAGACTGGTACGATGGCTGGGCGAATCCCAAGTCCGACAAATACTCTCTGTTCCCGGATCGCCATATCCGGAGGCATGCGGAGGCGCGGAAGAGGTTCCAGCGAATGTATAGTATGAGCGAGATGGTGAACTACGAGGGGTTTGTCAACGCTTGCGCTCGCATTTTCGATCAGCGGCTGCGCGAGTTTACTTCTACAAGAGACGGGGTAGATATGGCGCATTGGTTCCAGTGCTACGCGTTTGATGTTATTGGCGACGTTACGTACTCAGCGCGCTTTGGGTTTTTAGATGACGGCAAGGACAAGAGTGATTTGCTGACGGCGCTGCATCGGACGCAGGTGTATAGTACGCTGATTGGGATATATGCAGAGTGGCATAGAGCGGTTTGGGATCTGGCTGTTAGGATTCCTTGGACGGGTGCTAGCGCGCGGGGCTATTTGATGCAGTATGTTTCCGAACAGATCGAGAGGAGGCAGAGAGAAAGAAGGAAGAAAGATGCGGTTGAAGAAGGCAAGAAAGAGGATAACGAGGGCATGCCAAAAGACTTCCTGGACAAGCTCATGGACGGACACGACGAGGATCCGGACAAAGTAACCGCCTACCACATCTTCATGATGGGCCTCAGCAATATTATAGCAGGCTCTGACACCACCGCTGTGACCCTCTCTGCCATCTTCTACTACCTGCTCCGCAACCCTCCTACACTCGCCACGCTCCGGGCGGAAATTGCCGACTTCGATCGCCGCGGCGAGTGCAGTCATCCTGACCTCTCCTTCAAGGAAAGCCAGGCGATGCCATACCTACAGGCCGTCATTAAAGAAGCATTGCGTTTGCATCCTGCGACGGGCCTACCTATGTGGAGAGTCGTGCCTGAGGGTGGAGCCGAGCTATGTGGGCAATACATGCCTGGCGGCACAGTGGTCGGACTGAACTGCTGGGTTGCGCATTACGATAAACAAGTGTTTGGTCCTGATGTCAAAGAGTTCCGACCAGAACGCTGGATCGAGGCAGAGAATGATGCGGCGAGGCTGAAAGAGATGAATGCGGCATGGATACCGTTTGGCATGGGGTCCCGCACATGCCTAGGCAGGCATGTGTCGATGCTAGAAATGTCGAAACTAGTGCCTCGCTTGGTGCGCGATTATGACTTCGAGCTTGAGGGAGATGAGAAGGAGTGGGATACGGCGAACTTCTGGTTTGTTAAGCCTGTCGACTTTAGGGTCACAGTCAAAGCGAGGAAGGAGGATAGTTAACAGGGGTGATTAGTTAAGGCATATGCGGGTAGTCATTTGTAATGAGCACCCAGCTTGACGCTAGGAATGATCAACCTCGAGATACTTGGCGCTTTCCGTTAGGTGTGTTGTGGAAGAGAGTACCCCTCGCCGCCATGATCTGCCCTTGGACATGAGAGCGCGGTGGTAACACTTTACATAGCCAAAGTCGGGTCCAATCAATCCCTCTATGCGCTCATACATGGAATCGCCCGTCCGCAGTAGCCGAATCAGTGTGGAGGAAGTGGACCCCGTCGGTCTTTAGTTGTGGATATAGGATCGCGTCAGCCTCGGCACAGCTCCAGCGGCCCCAGAGCGACATGGGCACGACAACGTGGCTGCAGATTAAGCGGGCCCAGGAAGCTGCTCTCCCCCTTGTGGTCGCCTGTGGGCAATCCGGGGTAGAGTGCCTTTCCCAGGGACAAGGGGAGCAGTTCCCTTGGGCCTGGAAACGCTCTTGTGGGCCGTAAACGAGAGACGCGGGCCTACGACTGGCTGGCAGAAGATTGATCTAGCCACGGGGGCAGTCAGTTCGGTAGTAGTTCGGACGAGTGGAGCTGCTCCAATGTTACGGCGCCTTCAATCTAATTCGTCCACTTCCTCCCCGGATCCCACTATGCTACGTACCTTGTAGGATCAACGGGAAGCTAGACTGAGAAGGGAGAGCGGGTATAGAGATCAGATACACGAGGCGTTCATCTGGAGACAGCGGCGACGGTACTCCATGGAGCCACTGCCCAGACGCGCGAGGTCCATGAGCCGGGCAATTCTTCGAGCGCGGGAATATGATGGGAGACAATGACGGCAGTTATTAGCAACTACATAGAACAAGTATAGGGTTGGAGAGTGGAAAAGGGGAATATGGGAGGACGAGGTATCGAACTTGGCGCCGATTGGGGGATTGTGCAGACGGACGCTCGAAGGGTACCATTACCACTAACCGAGATGTGCTGATAATCTGTCTGCAAGGTGTCATGAATACATGATGCCCTGGGGGAGGAAGAAATCCCTATCGTCGGCTGCCTTGCTACCGCATACAGTCCGATCAGGCCAGACAGTCCTCGACCCGACGGCTGAGATATGGCTGAGATTGATGAAGGCTGACGTACATGGAAGTCGTCGAGCGACAGGAGCCGGCCTATCGCCTTCGGCCCACGTTGCAATGGCTGGTAGAATCATACGAAGGCTTACCGATGGATGGAGGAGCTGCATTCTGGAATGCCACCATGGATTCGGACGCGGAGCCCGGCTGCGCGCCAAGCTGGGCGGTCCAGGCCGCACAAGGCCAGCACCAAGCGCGGTAACGGTCGGCCAGCGCCGGCCTGCCTACTAGGCGCATAAGGCGTCGGAACTGTCGGAAAGCAGCGCCAGGCACCTCCAGGGCTGTCGGTAGGGCAGCCAGCTGGGGAATCTCGGGCTCAGGAACGACTTCCAGGACGAGGCTAGAGTATGGCCGCGTATGGCCGCGGACGTCAAGTCTGCAGGAATTTTCGACACGGAGCTTCGAGAAGAAGAAGCGGCTGGGTCCACGGGTGGGCGGCAATCAGGTGCTCTGGTGAGGCGATGGACGAGCTCCATGGTCTGGTAGCTCTGGTTGCAGCTCTCGCGTCCGGATGGGGCCTAGCGGGTGGGGTTACTACGCCGGATCCATGCATGTCACTCCACCATAATTCCTTCGCAATCAATCGGAACGCGCTCGACTGCAGCGCTCACCCCATGATGAAGGCTGCCCTGCCGGCTCCCATCGATCCATTGCAACATGTGCCATCAGGAGAGCTTTTCCACCGTCGACCGCGCCAGCACCCTCGCCCTCACCGCACAGCTCCCCTGCCCTTTAAAACGCTGGCGGCCCGTCGCAAGAGCTCATTCCTGCCCGCACCACACCAATTGCCCGCAGCAAGCCTCACTAAAGCTTTCTAAGCACGCTTGCGCTCTTTGTTCCGCCGATTCCCGACAACGACATCATCGGCGCGTCCTCTGACCCTCACAGCTACCCCTCCTCTTCCAAGCCCGCAACTCCGGACAGCCTCCCATCAGATACACGTCCACCATGTCGTCCGACGTCGTAAAGACCGCCAAGCAGCTCGACACCATGAGCATTTCTCCATACGGGCCCGCGAGGGCAACCGTCAACGAGAAAACGCTCAGCGACGACGAGGTCCGCAAGATGTCCGACTATTTCTACGCGACAATGTACCTCTGCTTGGGAATGATCTATCTGAAGGAGAACCCGCTTCTGCGCGAGCCTCTCTCGACCGACCACATCAAGCGACGACTGCTCGGTCACTGGGGTTCCGACGCCGGCCAGAGCTTCACCTACATTCACATGAACCGCCTGATCAAGAAGTACGACCTGGATGCCATCTTCATTTCCGGTCCCGGCCACGGTGCTCCCGCCGTCCTCTCGAACTCGTATCTTGAGGGCGTGTACTCCGAAATCTATCCCGACAAGAGCGAAGATGTGGACGGAATGAGGCGCTTCTTCAAGCAATTCTCTTTCCCAGGCGGTATCGGATCACATGCAACGCCCGAGACCCCCGGCAGTATCCACGAGGGTGGTGAGCTTGGCTACTCAGTATCGCACGCCTTCGGCACCGTCTTTGATCATCCCGACCTGATCGCTCTCACAATGGTAGGCGACGGTGAGGCAGAAACCGGCCCGCTCGCTGCCAGCTGGCATTCAACCAAGTTCCTCAACCCCATCACCGACGGAGCTGTTCTTCCAGTCCTCCACCTCAATGGCTACAAGGTACGAGAGTTGACCATGGCCATTGTATGAGCAAACTAATGGATCGCTAGATCAACAACCCCACTGTGCTCGCCCGAATCACCCACAGGGAGCTCGAAGCTCTCTTCATCGGTTACGGATGGACGCCTTTCTTCGTCGAGGGCAGTGACCTTCCAACTATGCACCAGGCCATGGCAAGCACGCTAGAGAAATGTGTGACGGAGATCAAAGCCATCCAGAAGCAGGCTCGAGAATCTGGCAAGGCTTTCAGGCCTCTCTGGCCCATGATTGTCCTGCGTACGCCAAAGGGCTGGACAGGCCCACGGAAGATCGATGGCCACTTCTTGGAAGGCTTCTGGCGCTCCCACCAGGTTCCCATCACCGGTATCGTTGGCAATAAGCCGAAGCTGCTGCAGCTCGAGGACTGGATGAAGAGCTACAAGCCCGAGAAGCTCTTTGACGAGTCTGGCACGCTCATTCCAGAACTCAAGGAGCTCGCGCCTACCGGCAACAGGAGAATGAGCGCAAACCCGGTCGCCAATGGTGGTATTCTTCGCCGCAAGCTGCATCTGCCTGATTGGCGTGACTATTGCGTGGATGTGAAGAAGAATGGCACCCAGATGTGGGGCAGTATGAATCAGTTCGCTACATACCTCAGGGATATCGTCAAGAAGAACCCGACCCATTTCCGCGTTTTTGGCCCGGATGAGACTGAGTCGAACAAGATGGGTGTCATCTACGAAGCAGGCAAGAAGGTCTGGATGGGCGATTACTTCGACGAGGATGCGGATGGTGGTAATCTCGCCTATGCAGGCAGGGTGATGGAAATCCTTTCCGAACACACTTGCGAGGTAAGTTTCCTAGTGCCCTCCGCTTCATAACTAACATTCCATAGGGCTGGCTCGAAGGCTACGTCCTCTCCGGCCGACACGGTATGCTCAACAGCTACGAGCCGTTCATCCACGTCATCGATTCCATGGTCAACCAGCACTGTAAGTGGTTGGAGAAGTGCCTCGAGGTTGACTGGAGGGTGAAGGTCGCTTCGCTGAACATCCTCCTTACTGCGACCGTCTGGCGACAGGACCATAATGGCTTCACGCACCAGGATCCCGGCTTCCTCGACGTGGTTGCCAACAAGAGTCCCGAGGTCGTCCGTATCTATCTGCCACCTGATGCGAACTGCTTCCTATCAACGATGGACCACTGCTTCCGCAGTGCCAACTACGTCAACGTCATCGTGGCCGACAAGCAAGAACATCTTCAATTTCTGGACAAGGAAGAAGCCATCGCACACTGCACAAAGGGTGCTGGCATCTGGAAATGGGCGAGCAACGACCAAGGTGAAGAGCCCGACGTCGTCATGGCCTCTTGCGGTGATGTCGTGACCCACGAAGCCCTCGCTGCCACGGCCCTCCTCCGCCAGTACTTCCCAGACCTCAAAATCCGGTTCGTCAACGTGGTCGATCTCTTTAGGCTCATTCCCGAGAGCGAGCACCCACATGGCATGTCAGATCGGGAATTCAAGTCTCTCTTCACCGAGGACAAGCCCTGCATCTTCAACTTCCACTCGTATCCATGGCTCATTCACCGCTTGACCTACAGGCGGAAGGGTCAACACAACCTGCATGTGCGCGGATACAAGGAGAAGGGCAACATCGATACGCCTCTAGAGCTGGCCATCCGCAACAGCACTGATCGGTTCAGCTTGGCTATCGATGCTATCGACCGCATTCCCGGGCTTGGTAACAAGGGCACGACAGCGCGCGAGGAGCTATTGAACCAGCAGATCAAGGCCGCTAACTATGCGTTCCACGAGGGTATGGATCCGTCGGAGCTGACGAATTGGGTGTGGCCGTTCTAAAGAAAAAAAGAATTCCCTTATTCTATCATGGTTGGATAGATTGATTGGGTCTTGGGTGGTTTTCTAGAACATGGCGTTTCTTGTAGATATACTCTAATCACGAATCTCATTGAATGTTCTTCACTTCAACCCTGGTCGCTGAGTGATCTGTGACCAAGTTTGACTTAATGATGCTTGAATGCGATTATTGAACACTTTAAACCTAACGGTTGAGCCCGAATCATCACATAGTAAAATGCGGGTTGCAAGCAGGTCTTCTACCACCAAAAAATATATAAAGCATATCTCTACAAGCATCGTCCCAAGGGATTCATTCTTGAGAATCCTAAAAGCACCGGTACGATGCATGTCCACAATTCCATCCTGACGATCCCTTTCCTATTCTGCACCGCGATCGCTGCACCGCACAACCACGAGCATACCCTTCTACCCTCGCCCACATCCGAGTCCGCGTCCCATAACGAAATCATCAAAACCGTAACAGTAGTAACCACTCAGCTTGTAACGACCGCAATCACGCTCTACCCACTTACATTTCCCACTCTCCACCCGTCTTCGAATAAAAGCACGACATGCCCGCACTCTAGTATGTTGCACAAAGTCCCCGGAAACAGGACATGGAGATCTGCTCCTACAATCACGACACTCCTGTCGGTTAGCGGTAGCAAGAGCACAACCTGCCCGCACTCGATGTCCCATATTGTGCCTGGAAATCCCATCTCGTTTTCAATGTCACTGCCAGCTCCTTCTCTTCCGCTCCCCTCAGCAGGCGGGAACCCCAAGGGAAAAGCAAGTGCATGTCCAAAATCGAAATCGATAATCATTCCGGAAACGCCGAGTTCGACAACCACCAACTTCTTAGCCGCTGAACCAAACTCTAGTATACTGTCCGCTCAAACGGCTGAAACGTCGTCCATTCTACGCGTCAAGCCGGAGACGGAGCCTACTAAAGGCGCAGCGGAGATGTCGATTCTACCAATCGCTCTAGGCACACCGAGCGAGCCGGGTAAGGCAGAGAAGGTGGACAAGGTGGACATCCCGCATGATCCGCAGCTGGGAGGCGACGAGGAAGGGCCGCCGGTTTGGATGGCGAAGCATGGACGGGCGAGGAGGGTGAATCGGACGGGTAATGGGGTGTGGAGGAGGACGGCGGCGAGATGGGCGATTGAACCCGTCGCTGGATCAAAGGAAAACGGAAGGTTGCACGCTGGCGCTGTGACCACCTATGTTGGCGTGTAAGGCTGGCGGGCGCGAGCGGTTTCGAGCCTGCGGATGAGATTTCTTTTATTTGTCTTGCAGGGATAAATGGAACTTTTCTTAAACTGCTCCTCCATTATCATAAGCACTCGCTTGGTGTGATCGCGAACTTTGCAATAGCAGATCTATAATTACCATTCTTCAAGGGAGTCCAAGCTTTTAACGTTGGAGAGCTGGGGGGAATGACCTTGATGATCTAACGCAACTTAGGTTACGTAGCAAGGCGTGAACTGCCTGAGTACTGAGTTAGCGCTCGCTTTCCTGCTGGCATTACCTTGATAGTCACTTCGAGGAGCCATGCGCGCGGGTTTGACAGCACATCATGGTCGACGTTCGTGAAAGAAAGAAACTTTGTGAATTGACCGTTGAGGCCAGACCATTGGCTCCAAGCAGCTCTTTCCCCGTCCTATAAATGCTAACGAGCCGCACAATGCTCGTCACGGGCATCGGCTATCCCTTTCTGTAAAGCCAAAGCACATCCCTCAAAAGTTCTGCAATCCATCATCACGGGTCGTAAGTCATGACCTCTTTAACGCCAAACCGTGTAATCTGTTCCATAGCCATTTCGCGGATAGCTTGACGTCGCGCCAGTCGCAATTGCGGCAACCTTTTGGTGTCGCTATCGCTTGGGGCTTGTCCGTCACGGTCGAGCTCGTCGTCGGGGTTCGCGTCCCGCTCGGAGTTTGGGGTAGTCGCACGCTATTGAGGCCCACAGGATCCCTAACACTACTTCCCGCTCGCGCGTTCACCGTTTCCGTGGGCCTCGCGTACCGCTAATCGATACCGTGTTGGCGTTTGAGCTTTTCTAGGTTCTCTTGGCGCTCCGCGAGGTCGTTCGCCGCTTTTATCATCTTCTCGGGCTGGTGGTATAATACTGTCAGGAACCCGTTAGCTGCCGGATTCGGCTGGCGGGAGACATTGATGCATACCGACGAGGTATCGGTTCTGGAAGTTGAAGCCGTTGAGCTTGTCGCAGGCCGATTTCGCATCCATCACGTCCTCATAGACAACGAACGCGGTGCCCTTGGTGTTGTTGGCGATACCCTGGCGGATTTGGCTGTGACTCGTCAGTATTCAGGGCGCACGGCTCGATGCGCGAAGACGTAGGAACGTATCGGATGCGGGATTGGACGTACCGCACAGGGCCGAACTTGCCGAAGAGGTCGAATAGCTCCTCTGGAGTGACGTTGAAGCTGTTCAAGGGCGTTAGACGGTGGTGGCTTGCGATGGGTGAGGAGCATACTGACCTCAGATTCTTCACGAACAGAGCTCTGCACAGCAAGGGTGGGTTAGCGGAGGTCGTGTGAGTTGGCCGCGGCGGGCTGCAGGACAAAGACTGGGGCGACTTACCGGTTGACTTCGGGGGCAAGCTTTCCGCCGCGACTCATACTTTGGCGACTGTGGGTGGACTAGGAAAGACTGGCTGCTGAATGCAGGATTGTGTAGGGGGCGCAGTTGGTGGTGTGGGTGTGGGTGTGGTGTGCAGAGGCGGTCGGAGATGGGTGGTGGCAGCCGAGCGCGGAGAAGAAGACGGAGCGGCTGGTCCGTGCCCCGTGGCGGCCGGCCACGTGACCCAGCATTTTCCTCGAACCGGCAGGGCGCCGGGGCAGGCCTTGGGACTCAGCGCGCCACGCACGAGGGATTGGGGGATGAGTCTCCCGGGGACCAGACAGCGTGACGGGCTCCAAGGGGCTGTTAGCTAGAATTATCATGAGCGAATACTGTCTGCGTGGACTATGCCGGGGCCGGTGCTGCGCAGATTCGCGGGTGCCAGTCGGACCTTTGCTGCTCCAGCGAATGGCTGTGCGCACCACCGACAACACCTCCCCCCAGCGCTTCACTGCAGTCGCACTCGCTCACCTTCGCGGCGGCCCGAATTCGCCGCACGCCCATCTCCCCGCAGAGTCCGGTCCTGCTGGTGGAGCGCAGGATCCGCCCGGAGCGCTGGCGGTTCTCTGTTCACGTCGCTGCTACCACTAGCTAGACCTTTCCCCACCAAGCCTCCAAGCCTCTCCGCGATTTCTCAGAACACACACGCCCACCACACTCGTTCATCCCTCTCTCGGCGCTCCGCCCGCATCGGCCTTCAGGATATGCTGTCGCTCGCGTCCAGCTCCATCGCCAGCCCCCCTCGCGCTGCCGCTCCATAGCCCGTTGACTCTGAGACGCCAGCACCGAGACCGCACCTCCGCCGACACGACCCCCCCTTCAATCCGCGCCCCGCGCCCGCAATTATCACCATGAGCGTCACATCCTGGAAATCGCGCTATATACAAGCTCCGCTGCGCGCTGGAACTCCTCCGCCGCCCGTGTGGGAGCCCTTCTCCCCCGTCCTCCGCCCAAACGAAGCGCCCGCAGCAACCCCCGCCCGTGCCGGCGACGGCGACCCGAAACCGAGCAGCAATGGCATCGGCGGCGCTACACAGCAGACACCAGTTCAGAGCGTGGCCGCTCGCGCGCAGCTTCAGTTGAGCTCGCCGGCAGTGGCGTACGAGCCCTCGCTGCGGTCGGCGCCTCTGCCGCAGCGGAACACGCCATACTCGCCCGCACTGGGCTCCCCGATTGAAGCTCTCGCAGACGCAGCAGTATCTTCTCTGCATGCCAGCCCAGCGTATATGAGCGCAGCGCGTCGCTCATCGCAAGCTGCCACCTCCCCCACAACCGCCTCCCATCCCCCGGGCCAACGCGCACCGAAACACGCATACCCGGTCGATTCCCTCTACTCCTACGACGAGCGGCCTGCAAAGCGGGCACGCTCCGAGTACGTCTCTTCACCTCAATATGGCCAACACTACTCGAGGCCGGCCACGAGCCACATTCCGGGCTGGTCCTACAACGTGGAGCAGATGGCCGACAACGGCGCGCGCATGTATCAGGACAATGCAGCGCCGGCCCAGTACCAAGACGAAAGCAGCCTCAAGAGGCTCTCCGACGCTCAATTGCTGATGGACTTCGCAGTGAGCGCCTCGCATTCCACGCCACGCCACGTCTCGTCATCGAAGAGGTGGAGCATCTCCCACCCCCAAGTCTCTGACCAGCGCTCCCTGCAGCCTCTGGATTCGAGTAGCCCATATGCGAGAACGTCGCATGTTCCATTGCACCAAATGCACCAGATGCCGCCTCCACTGGACGACCAGGATGCTCCAGAACCGACCTCAACTACGTCCGATAAGACGCCGAGTACGTCCGCCGCGCAGACCCAGACGCCCCCAGAAGAGTCTTCGGCTACAACATTACCCCAAGTTGTCAACGAAGGCGGCGCCGTCGAAGAGACAAAGCCTAAGAAGCATCAGGGATGGCCCAAGGGTAAGCCTCGTGGCCCGCGTAATGGCGCCTCCAGCAGCAAGAAGAAGAAATCAACCCCAAAGCCAAAAGGCGTGCCATCTGTCGCCGTAGCGGAAGCTCCTGAACAGCTACACTCACCGCAGAGCCTCCCAGCGGAGCAACAGGACCTTCGGACCGAAGTTGCGCACACCGTCCCTGCGGCGACACTACCACCTACCGAGCACGCGCCGCATACTCGCCGCCATTCTTTCTCGAACATGGCGCCTGGGACGCAGAATGATGGGCCACCCATCGCATTCACCCGCGCTCAGTCCGTTCCCCCAGGAACCGCCATGACAATCACGCCTCCCGCCGAGGAAGCGCCTCAACCTACCAAACCGAAGCGCAGTGTTGTCGAACCTGACACCATCTGTGCCGGTTGCAATTCTTCCGACTCTACTACCATGATCGGCGACGGAGAGCAGTGGATCAGATGTGATGGCTGCAAAGAGTGGTACCACTATGCGTGCGCTGGTTTCAGCAGCGAGAGGGAAGTGCGCGATGTGGACAAGTTTTACTGTGAGCCGTGCCGACCGAAGTTCGGCGAGACAACCAAGGTGCGAAAGTCTGCCAGGGCGCATACTGCTGTGGACTATGCCGGTTTGAATGAGGGCATTCTGAAGACTTCCGACGACAATCCAGAGCACCACTACATATCGGCTTTCAAGAACGGCGATATCGAGTTTCTGCCGGAGACATTTGCACGCCTCCCGCCCGAGATCATCTCCGCTGACTTCCTCGAAAAGACCAATGGGTTCAAGGAACCCATTCTGGTTCCCGCAGCGCTGAACCCTCGACCGCAGTTTCCAGGCAGAGCTTATCCTGATGCAGACGATGCCGATGGGGCGAATACGCTACTCGACAATTCTGCCGATGAGCGTTATGGATACGAGATGGTCTCTGACGACGGCCAGGATAAGCTCGACATGGTCATACCCGAGGGCCTCACAGTTCGCCGTGTTTCCGAGCTATACGGGCCGCAGGAGAGAGTACCCGTTATTGACGTAAAGGCACAGGAGGGAGAGGACAAGCGATGGACCATGGCGAAATGGGCCGACTACTACGAACAACAGGGCGAGAAGCCCGTCCGCAACGTCATCAGTCTAGAGGTATCGAAGAGCCGGCTAGGGAAGTTAATTCGTCGGCCCAAGGCAGTGCGAGAGATGGACCTACAGGACTCTGTTTGGCGGGAAGATGACAAGAGATCTCCTCCAGCGGTTCAGTTCTACTGCCTCATGTCAGTCGCCGATTGTTATACCGACTTCCACATCGACTTCGGTGGCTCGTCGGTTTACTACCATATTGTCAAGGGCAAGAAGGTCTTCTTCTTCATCCCACCGACGAAACAGAACCTAAAGAAATATGAAGACTGGTGCCTGTCACCCAGACAAGGACATGAGTTCCTAGGTCTGCAGGTCAAAGAATGCTACAGAGTCGATCTGTATCCGGGAGACACAATGCTCATCCCCTCTGGCTGGATACACGCCGTTTGGACACCCGAGGACAGTCTGGTTATCGGGGGAAACTTCCTTACCCGAATCCATTACGGCATGCAGATCAAGGTCCTGGAGATTGAGAAGAACACCAAAGTAGCGCTCAAGTTCCGATATCCCTTCTTCCAGAAGATTATGTGGCTCTGTCTGATCAAATATCTCGAAGAAGATGCTCTCCCGGCATCGGTCGAACAGCTGCTTCTGGATGGCTCTCAGTTTAAGCGGGACATTCCGCTCTACTGCGAGACCGATAGGTTCGGCCACAATTCGCACTTGGGTCCACAGAATTACAATAGGCGATATTACTCGAAGGCCGAGCTTGAGGGGCTGCCAGAGCTCGCAAACTACGTCTGGAGGACCGTACTAATCTCCCTTGGGAGGATTGAAGGGATCACCGAGACGGTGCGCAAAGCAGTCACCTCTTCCATACCAAAGGGCTACGGTGAGCCGCTGGTCTTGGCCCGGCGGTTTGCAATATGGATTGCGTGGAAGAGGGGAAATGAGAACATACCTCAGTGGGCCTATCCTGACGCCACGCTCCCAGAAGCCGCCGACTCCGGTGGCGATAAGAAGTTGAGCGCAGCCCAGGTCAAGAGGATGGGGCGAGAATCATGGAGTGAGGCATTGAGGGCTACCGCCGAGAGGCATTCAACAAGGATCAAAACCACCGGACCTTCTTCACCAAACGGCGCAGCACCCCAGGCACCCGCTACTCCTGGCCCGCCTCCGTCTATGCCTATGACGGGATTCTTGCAAAAGACGGACCCCACGAGACCTTTGACCACTCCAAAAACATCACAGCTTGGCCCCAAGCGCATTGCTTGTGATGCTTGCAGGAAGCGAAGAATACGCTGCAAGCACAAGGACGAGCTTGTCGACCCCAATAAACCCGGTAGTGGTATGATTGGAGGCATGATGAAGATTGATTTATCCGGCTCGTTAGGCTTGTCTGTCAAGCGACGTTACAGCGACCTTGATGACTCCTACAGTCGGCCACCGAACCTAGGCGACAATTCAGCGGTCGTTAATGGTGGTCCTCTGCTGGCAGACGTCAACGCCGATCCTTACGCGCTCAAATCTGGGCGAGTGAAGGCTTGTGCTGACTGTCGCAAGAGCAAGGTGAGCTTGGTGCTTGTCGTTTTGGGACGAAACTAACAAATCCGCAGCGGCGTTGCATACATGACGAATATGGAAATGTAGACCCCGTCAAAGCGAACGAAGTACCGATCCCAAGGGGTGCGGCGTCCAAGAAGCGACGAATCAGTGAAGAAGATCCTAACACTGCCGCTCGCAAAATGAGAAAGGAATCTGGTGTCGATGGCGGCATGACGAACGGCGGAGTTCATTCGCGGCTTTCTCTGCCGAACATGAGCATCGGAGGCACAAGTCTTCAAGATATCGCATACTCCGCCCAGCAAGCATTGAACGAGGTATATCCCGAAGATACAATGCCGATCGACCCCGCTTTACAATCCTACGATACAATCAGGATCAATGCGCCTTCTCACTCATCTCGAGATGTAGCCATGTCTTCAATCGAGCATGTTCCCGATAGTCTCATTAATGGCGTAGAGGAGCAACCACGGAGCGAGTTAGGGCCGAGCGTGGAACCGCTCACCCCAGGCCCTTTGTCGGTCGAACCGAACGGTATCAGTCCATATCGGTCATCACCCCAAGAGTACGATACCATTGCCGTAGCTCTTCCAGTTACTCCAAGCGCGCGACGCCCGGCGAAGGCGACCTCGGCTCGGAAAGCGAGCCAGACTCCGCGGCCATCCAACCGAACGAGTACCACGCCAAAGTCTGCGCCAGGAGGTCGGCGCCGTGGTAGCAAAGAGTCGATCAAGGTGGAACCGAGGTCTGAACCGAAGATGCGCGCTATGTCGTCCACCGCGGAGTCTGAAGAGGATATGGCGAGCCTCGCGCTTGCGCTGCAGCTGCAGATGGAAGAGCATGGTTTGCGGAGGCGGAGCAAGTGATGTCTCCCTTTCTTCTCTTTTTCGTGTTACCCTTTTCAAAAGGTCTTCTTGGGTTTCAAAGGCAAGTTTGCAATAGCGGCGTTCAAAGGACCTCCCCAGGCGTCGGCGTCATCTGGAAGTAGAGCCCTTCTCTTTCACCTTACTCCCTACGCTGCACTTTCATTGCCACAACGCAAGTTATGAACGGCGTTCCGGTTGCTCAAGCAAAGGATGGGACATTTGCTTTTATACCCGACCTCAAAAGGTTTCATCATACCTTGTATTTGTGCGACGAACTTTCCCTGGTGTTTTCTTTTACTTTCACGGTGTTTTTCGTAATTAAGTGACACGGGTGCGACAAATGAGCCAGTACGAGCTGAGCTAGACTTTGCGATTGTGTTATTAGGAGATGGCTAGGTGTATGGAGAGAACGTAGTCCGAACATGACAATCCAACGCCCGGCCCGTGATGCTTCACAACACAATTCGTACTATCTTGTCAAGGGGAACAATCCCCTCACATCCATCGATCCATCCCGCCAAAAGGCGGAAACCTCAGCCCACTCCCACTCCTCCCGCCTCTGCTCCCTCCCCCACTAGCTGCACTACTAACGCAATCCCAACTCCATGGCACCTCCCTACCCAAAACTTCATACCCCGCCACTCTCCTCAACCTCCCTCTCTCTCTCCTCTCTGGCCGTACTTCCCTCAGTGCTATACGCGTCGTCTCTCTTACTTCCTGCGTGCGTGCTGGTTCTACGATTTGCGTGCGATAGATTGGCTCGCGGTCTGGCTCTCGACACCGCGAAGGATTACGCGATGGAGGGGGCGGTGGTGGAGGCGGGCAGCGCTTTTTGCCAGGGCCGTGGAGGCGAACGGAATGGTGATTGTGGATGGGATGCATATGTAAGGGGTGGATGTGTGGGTGGAGGTGATGACGGTGGTGATGATGATGGTCGTCCTCTACCACTATGCTCGGCGCTACAATGCGAACTTTACTATAGCGGGGGTTATACGCGTCGTGACGGATCCGAACGAGTTCTTCCACAGATGAGCCAGGGTCGGAATGATGTGTATGATGATGATGGCGTTTGGCGGGGCTGAGGGTTATCCAGCACATGGCCCCGAGAGTAGGCGAAGTGCGATGGTAAGGAGCGGATGCGGACGGGTGGTGCAAGGCGGTGGTAGGTGTGTGTTGAGATGGGGCTGTAGGCGTGTTGGGGCGGTGTTATGGGAGTGTAGGTGTAGTCGTGCCGTCTTCTCGACATTCGAAAAGATGGAAGAGAGATGGAACGAGAGGAGCACCGCAAAATATCCAAACAAAAGTGTTTTAGCTTAGAGGAATGACCCGGGGTGCTTAGGAACCCCAATGCGCAAGCCGTCGAGTTATAGTGCCTGAGTAGGTGTCATGCTGAAAGTATCATGCCTCAGTCGCACTTCTCCACGAGGTCGCATATTGCCAGCAGAATACAAGACAAAGGAGGCTTATGACGGCTGCAGGTACCACGGGTATGCAAACACATGTTCCCATTTCGTGTCCGAGTGACCGGGGCTGGTGGTTGGAGGGGCTGCACATGGCGATGCGCGCGCATGTCTTAGATGACCTCGAGTCTCAATGGGGACACATGATCATGGCAGAGCCAGCCCGACACTGCCAAATATGAAGTAAAGAGATTGGGGCTGACGAAAGAATAGAGAACTATAAGGATTTTGGGTTTCGAGGTTTCCTAGTTGCCGGCCCTAGACTTGGGAACGGCTGCAACCTCAGCAGAAATTAGCTCACTACACCTTTGCGAGCTTGGACAGCGCCATATCGCCACATGTGCCGGTGTACTATAATGTTGTGCTAATTGGCTGTAGTAATGGCGTCGGTAGCAATCAGTAGCAGTCAGTGAGCCCAGTCCGGAAGTCCGCTATTCGCGTTGCTAGCTCCTGCTGTCACCAAAGCCTGCGGCTCAGTATAGAAAGACACGTGCGGCAATGGTGGATCTCCATCCATAGGTCAGCATCAGCGGTAAATGCGCGAGAGCATACGGGAGATGGAATCGGCAGAAACATGGAGTTGTTAAGTTACGAAAATAGGAAAGCGACAGCGAGTAAAGGTAGATGTGGGAAGGGGAGGAAGAATGCGGCCATGAAGGGGGCTCTGGGCCCTGTAGAAAGAAGAGCTCGCGAGGCGCGTGTGAAAGCAACGAACGCTCTTCCAGAGTATCCATAACAAGCAAGTCGGAATGGCGTTGTTGTGACGTGAGTTGGCGAGGAGCGGTTCGTCTGGTCAAGGCAACAAGCTTGACGCGCCAATGCCAAGGCCGACGACACAGCTGGCCGGGGAGCTTCAACACCACAACCCCAACCTCAACCTCACGGCAGACACCCCCCACCATCGCGGCCCCTTTCGTCCTCGATATTTCCCCCCCTACCATCTCCGTATCGACATATAGCCAGTCATGGACTCGTTAGTGGCGCAATACAGCCGTCCGGCGTTCGCGGAGGAGGGCCAGTCGCAGCAAGAGCAGCAGGAACTCTGCCAACCCACCCCAGAACTCTCCCTCAAGTTTGCACTGCCGCCCGTAGCTCAGGTACGCCTCATTCCCGGCCCTTCATCCTCTGAAAGCTTCTCCGAGCTGTCTGCTGACCAGAGGCCCGCCAGTCCGCATCGTGGCTCCGCGCAATGACAGACGACTACTCAAACCCGAACTGCCCCATCAAGATCGCGCACGGCACAACCACGCTCGCCTTTCGCTTCAAGGGCGGCATCATCGTGGCTACAGACTCTAGGGCAACGGCCGGCAACTGGATAGCAAGTCAGACGGTCAAGAAGGTCATCGAGATCAACAACTGCCTGCTGGGGACCATGGCTGGTGGCGCTGCTGTAAGCGCCGGAATCCTCTACGCGGAGGGAGAGGAGAGTGCTGATTTTAGGATAGGACTGCCAATACTGGCTGGCATACCTGGGCATGCTATGTCGTCTCCACGAGCTGCGACACAAGCGCCGCATCTCCGTCGCCGCAGCCTCCAAGATGCTCGCCAACCTCGTTTACTCGTACAAGGGCATGGGCCTGTCCATGGTACATTCACCCATCATACTCCTTCCCCCTTCCATAAGCTAAACAGGATGCAGGGCACCATGTGCGCCGGTGTAACCCCTCAAGAAGGCCCCGCCCTCTACTACATCGACAGCGACGGCACGCGCCTCGCCGGCAACCTCTTCTGCGTCGGCTCCGGTCAGACCTTCGCCTACGGCGTGCTCGACGCACAATACAAGTACGATCTCTCAGACGAAGACGCGCTGGAGCTCGGTAGACGGAGTATCCTAGCTGCTACGCACCGTGATGCGTACTCCGGCGGCTTCATCAACCTGTACCATGTGAAGGAGGACGGATGGGTCAAGCACGGCTTCAGTGACACGAATCCCATCTTCTGGAAGACGAAGCTGGAGAAGGGCGAGTTCTCAAATGTTACGGCGGAGATGGAGTAAGCGCCGAATGGGGGGAGGAGAGCGAAGGGATGGAATGAGGAAGGACATATTTTGGAGCAGCTGATGCTGCTGTGTAGTTTCTACCTATGTAATAGATAGATTCTTCCTCGAGAGGAATGACAACCCAGCCTTGAAGGCATCATTGGATCTGGTTACGTCCACGCTGCGATAAGCGTGAAGTCCCTTCTTTCAGGCTATCTCGCGATCCTCATGGTATTGTTACGGGCTGTAACATGTCTGTATGAAGACTCGCTCAACCCAGCGCCTTCTTCTCCTTCTGCCTCGCCATCGCCTGAAGTACATCACTCGCACTATTCTTATCCCCCTTCTTCTTCTTCGGCCCCCTCTTTCTCTTTTTCCCAGCTCTCCCCTCGGGCCCCTCCTCCTCATCCTCCTCGGCCCCAAGACCCCTCCACTCCGAAAACTTGACCTTCTCGCCTTCCCTCTCCATCTCCTCAGCATCATCAAACCGCGACGCACCGAAACCCATGTCCAAGTCTTCCATATCGCGGTCACGGGCGGCAAGTTCGGCAGCGCGCTTTTTGAGGCGCGCTTCTTGCGAGTCTGGGTCGTTGAAGAGGGTCGAATTGGGATCGAGAGTGCGCACTTTTTGCAGCGCGGCGCGCACGGTGGCGTCGGCGGTGGAGGATCCCGCAGGTGTCGTGGTGTCGTTGGGGGCGAAGGTGCGAGAGGTGTTTTTGAAGTAGTCGCGTTTGCTAGGTGGACGTTCGGTTGCTGTAGAAGGTTGGGATGAACGGCGAGTGGACTCTTGGTCATTAGCGACTTCCTCTCTAGATTCTGATGCTTCAGGCTCCCGCGTCTGCCTCTGCTCGCTGTCTTCGGCATCTGCTTCTGGTTCCGCAATTTCTGAGGGCTTCTTTTCGCCTTCCTCTTCCTCGGACGATTCGTCGTCATCGTCCAAGTTAGCCAGCGGGTTGTAATTCGACCCTACACCTTCGAAGATGTCCTCATCTTCTGATTCCTCGGTAGGTTTCGGTGGCGGCAGATTGTGCACGTTGATGAGCTTGTTCTCATCGTCCAGGTCGTGGCATATATCTGGCGGCGGTTCCTCGACCTTCTGTTTCCTAATCTTGCGCTTCTCCTTGCCATCTGCATCAGTTACGACTAGCACTTCTCTTCCCTTCACATCGACCTCGATCCTCGATGTACCGGGCGCGTTGACTTTCCGGAAACCAGCTCCTAGACTTGGATACTTCTTCTCGTGCTCAGCTGCGGCTGCGGCAGCTGCTTCCTCTCTCTGCCTTTTGAGCTCCGCTAATAAATCATTCCTGCTTCTTTTGACTCCAGTGACGGGTTTCGGCGGGGCCATCTCGCCCTTCTTCTCCATTTTCTGTCTCTCGATGGGGCCAATCTCCTGCTCCGCCAGCTCGTCAAACTCATCCTCCACATCTGGCTCGTCCCCCTCTTTCTCCCTCGACGACCCGCCAAAAACATCCTCGCCCTTCCTCACGCGTTCCAGCAGCTTCCTATCCAAGCCTTTGACCAAATGTGTGGAAGTGATATCACCGCCCGTGATCTCCTGTACCAGCTTCTCGAACATGGGTCGATCGATTTCCCCGAGATTCATAGCCTCCTCGAGGTTCTTGATCCGCTGCGCCATCTCGTCCTCTTCTTCGTCGATGCGGTCTTTCGTGCGGTCGGTGTATCCGGCGGCGAGCTTGGTGCCCTTCGGGGCGGCTGACCTGAACGTCTTCTGTGGTTTGGCTCGCGCATTTCGGTCGGCGAGCTGGCGGGCGAAATCTGCTTGGATTGCGCTGCGACCCACTTGGCGACTCATTTGAAAGTCAGCGGTGGAGGGGCGCGCAACGGGATAGCAACTTACGGCGTCATGGGTATGCTGGCGTGCTTGCGCGCGCCGAGCACGGCGGCGGGCGTCCGCACGCCAGGCGATTTGCTCGCCCCGCCATTCTCCTGCCTTGGCGTGTCAAGCACAAGACGGCGGAACTGCTGGTTGTTCATGGTGTGGCAGCAGTGCGTTGTGGGAGACAGGCGGCAGCGTTGGAGGCGACAAGTTCCTGCCAAGAAAAGCGGCCGCGATGGGGGCCCGAGCGTGCAGCGTAGATGCGGGGAGCGGGCGGAGACGCACCTCACCCCCGAGCGGCTATCCTCCACGGACCCTCAACTCGTCCGCCGTCACCTGCTGACCAAATTCCCGCGTCTGTGCCTTGATCAGCAAGGCTAAATGAAGCTCCTCCGGCGAGCGAGTAAGGCGACGTTGCTCCGAGGCTCCACCAGGATGGTGCTCCGTTGTAGACCACGATGTACCCTCACTTGCTTCCCGCTTTCATCCTCCCAGCCCCCTTCTATACAAGTAGTGCAATATGTCCGCTTCCCGAACTTCTATCCTCCACCCCTCCTCTTCATTCCCTTCTACTTCCCTCCCTCGTTTGCCCGGTCGCCATGTTCAAGTATCTCGCAATAGCAGCACTCGCTGCCTTAGGATGGTGCCAGAACTACTCATCAGGTGCGACTTTTACGAATCCGATTCTCGAATCCGTCGGTGCGGATCCGTAAGTTGGAACCCCTATATCGCAAAATTTGAAGAAGCGTTGCTAATCCTTACAGATGGGTCTTCCGGCATGGTAGCTGGTATTACATGACCTACACCACCAACGATAATATCACTCTTCTGCGTAGCCAGGTTCTTACGTATGTATGCTCAAAGTCACACGGCCCCTCGCCCTTTCATGCGACTATCCTGCGCCAGGATACTCGGCAGTACGGCCCCTAGTAAGAGCGCCTTCGAAAGAATAACAATAAGAAGGGGGGATACGAACTAGACCGCCCGCATGAGACCGAGGAGAAACGTGATGCACTGAAGCAATTCCATATATGCCGTGCTAACCCCACCCCAGGGACTGGAACACCGCGGAATCTCGACTTCTTTTCCAGCCACCGCAAGGCCTCAACTATTCCACGGACCTCTGGGCACCCGAGATACACAACCTAAACGGCACCTGGTACATCATCTTCACTGCAGATCCCAACTTCGACAACCCACCCCCAGAGCAAGCGATGTGGTGCGAGTACACTTGCCCGGCCGTCCACCACCGGTACTAAGGCCCCGGTACAAATAGTAGACTATATATGCTAACTTATACACAGTAAGCAAAACCTTCCTTATATTACGCCCTACCTTAGGGCAAATGTTAGACACTTTCCAACGTTTGCTGCCTAGCTAAGACATGCGGTATTTGTACCCCAGCTTTCTGAGCGCCCTGCTAATTGTGCCGTCACGTTGAGGCATGTACGTCCTCGAAGGTCGCGGCCCCTCCCCTTGGACCGCAAACTTCACCTACAAAGCGGAACTAGATACTTACGATCAATTCGCTATCGATGGAACGTACTTCCAGCACTCATCAGGCCTGTACCACATCTACAGCTGCTGGTACCGACAGTACGACGGCTGGCCAGCCAACTTATGCATTACGAAGCTCGAGAACCCGTGGACAGTCGCATCACCTTTCTCAGAGCGACAGATTCTTTCCGTCCCTCAATACCCTTGGGAAAAGACCCCCTACGGCCGCGCCTCCAACGACCGTCTCTCCTCCAACGAAGCCCCGCAGCAGCTCACCAACCCCGCCACCGGCCAACAATTCGTCATTTTCAGTGCTGCCCGCTCCGACAATCGCAACTACTGCCTCGCACTCCTCGAGCTCGTGGGGACCGACCCCATGAACCCGGGCGATTGGCGCAAGCACCTAAACCCCGTCTTCTACCAGAACCCCGCCGAGAAGGCATATGGAGTGGGCCATGCGAGTTTCACGAAAAGCCCGGATGGCAGCGAGGACTGGATCGTGTACCATGGGATGCGGGATCCGCTGACCGGGTGGGCGGCGCGGACGATTCGGACGCAGAAGTTCACGTGGAATGAGGATGGGACACCCAAGTTTCCGCCGCCGGGATATGGACCTTATCTAGCGCCGAGTGGGCAGTAATGAGAACCACATTGCGTAGTAGTAGAGGGAATCGGGCTGGATTTCTTACATTTGGGCGGTGGGAATTTACCAAGAACCTTGAGCGGAAAGGTTGAAGCTGGCATGCTCCTGTGTTGAACCGTTGAGGATAATAGAAAGAGAAAAGCACTTTATGTTTAAATTCTAAGTCCAAAGCGCCCCAACAGCTCTAACAGACTAGAAAATCTCCATATAATATATTACATAGATCATAAGGCCGGGATATCATAGCACTAATAAATGCACAAACCAACCATCCGTTCCAAGGGCACAGCCCTCTTAGCTATACACCCAACTATAGCCTACCCAGGACTCCCACCTCGACACCCCTCCACATGCGCCAGATCAAACAGCGCTCTTCTCCCTCTTTCCCCGCCTCAACCGATGCTTTTCCGTCGCCTCCTCAATCTTCGTCTTCCGCCAGCTGCACTCCTCTGCAAAATCACACACCCTACACTTGAAGGCCTCTTCAATCTCCACGCCTTTAGCCTCCCTCACTCCTTTCCACCACTCCATTTCGCTCTTGACATATTCATCGATCGTGTCAGGGTTATACACGGTAAGCTCGCTGCCGATGATGTCGCCTGTCTTGGAGTACCGGAACTCAGCGCGCAGGATATCGCTGATAGAAGGCATGGTGGCTTGGAACTCGGTGATCATGAGGGACCAAAGCGAGAGGAGGTTCGGGTGGGAGCGCAGTTCGCTTTCTTGGAGGATGCTGTAGGGATTTTCGGTGTCGATGTGCATATCGCCTTCTTGTGCTCCGCTGGAAGTGCTAGCGTCGAGCATGAAAACTTCGGAGAAAGACTCCAGGGGCATTAGATTGTACCGCACGAACACGGTTTCCGCATCGACAGTGTTGAGCGAGAGCGATTCGAGGAGTTTTCGGTAGAGCATAAGCTGCATCCATGTTGGTCGTAAAGACGCGGCGGTGGGCAAGGAGCGCACGCCGCGCGTTTTAACGTCCGCGATGTAGACCTGTCGGTCGGGCTCTAGGGCGCCTATCCATGCGGTCTCGTCGTCTCTTTTAGTCTCCAGGTGACACACCCCAGATTTTGCGAAGGCCTGCTCGATGCTTAGCTGTCCGAGTGGCAAGGTGTCACCGCTCTTCTTGGCTTTCGAGAGCTCAAGCTGCTCCTCAAAATTGGGGTCTGGACATGTGTAGCTCAGCTCGTCGATGACGCCATTGACTACTTGTCCGTCAACGACGCCCCACACTTCCAGCTCCCGCGTCAGGCCAGTTTCTCTCAGACATCGCAGTCCTTGTATAGTGTTCCATATCCTCAGACCGAAGCGGTCTTCCTTGCTCTTCACTTGCACGGGCACAACTGTATGAACTTCGTCCTCGAGTGTCTGATGTATCTTGGTGCCGGCTTTCATGGCGCGCGTCGGCGGCTTGCGACCGAACTTGGTCAGCGTATAGAGATACTGTAGTTCGCACCATGCTGGCGAGACGAGGTCTGTGACGGAGAGCGGTTTCTTGGGCTTCGTGCGGAAGCGTTCGAGAGGTGTACGCGTATCATCGGCCATTTCTGAAGGCTCATCAGCCCGTCCCAGTGCTTCGGAAGACGGTTCTTCTCTCGGGACTAGACGCTGTCAGTAGGTCAGTCGACGAGTACGCGTAGTAGTCCCAGCCCGAGATTTCGAAACGTACCGCTGAAAGCGCGCCGCGACCAGCCATCGTACTCGACTTCCACCGACGCGCTTCTCCTACCAAGCGGTCTTGCAGGCGAACTCCGAATCTCCCTCGTCCGCTGCAGGATCGCAGGCCTACACGGTGTGTTGACCACAACGCCCTCATCCTCCCTATGCTCCAGCGCCTCTTGCACTTCTATGCTTGGATAAAGGACTGCCTTCGGTGCAGCCGCAGCTATCTGCACGAGGAGCTCGCCGACAAGCGTGTCTTCGGCGATTTCGTTGGGGTCGAATTCTGAGCCATAGTCGCTCAGCGCGGGCAGGGAGCGGAGGTCGATATCGGACCCGTAGTCGCTGTGGGCTTCTGCGTTCACTATCGCAGAAATGGATTTGTCGCCCATGGTGCCATTTTTTAGTCTCCGGGCGCGGGCGCAGGCGCGGGCGTCTCTAGCTGGCGGACGCGGTGTTGATTTCGCCTCTGGCGCGGGATCGCGTGGTGTCGTGAGGTCATCGGCAGGTGTGGCGCGTCGCCCAATGAAACGGACGTTCTTAAGGGAACTCATGCCCACGGTAATACTGTTTATTAATAATTTTGGTATGTTAGACGCACTTTTAGGTTCTGCAGTTGTTTTCCGTCCACAGCGGCCTCCACGCGTTTCGCGCCGGGTGAATCTGCTCGAGTGCCGTGGTGCATTCGCCCAGCATTCAATGCTCGTCACATTGAAGCCTGATTACCTTGGAAGACAGCCACCCTTGAAGTGGGCAACTACACAGTATTATGGCAAATTCAGATTACAGTCTGTTCTCACTCATTCATTTGCCCTCCAGCACCTTCAAAGCCTCCACAAAATCCGGCACATCATCCGCGCTCCTACTCAAACCTCCCCACTTCACAATCCCCCCTCCACCGCAAAGCTCCCCGAGCTCTGCCAGCGCGTCCCGCTCTCCGTCGGCCGATTCCAAATGCCATCCTCCTTCCCCAGCCTATACACTGAATACAAGCTCCCAGGGACTCAAGACATGCCAGAATGAAGTCACCCCCAAGCCCCATGCCGCATAGATCTTGCGTTCGTCGTCTACGATTATTTCGGCAGCGCGGTTTTAGTCAGGGTCGGGGAGGGAGGCCAGCCAGCGGCCGGTAGAGGGCGCATCGCTGTGTAATACGGCTACGAAAATGGACGTCTGGATGTTGCGAGGCGACGGTGCGCAGGCCGAGGAACGTCTTCTCGGCGACTAGGATAGGACAGTGAGCAACATAATGCGGCGAGCAGAAGCGAGCTCCTACAAGGACAACCGCAATACCTCAAGAAGGTCACTACGGTTGGTTTTCCATCTGCAGCCGGAATTGCGAGCTTGGACGATGAAGGTGCTTCCTGGCCGACAGAGGGAGGGTCAGTAGTGGTCACATTGGACGGGAACATCCATGATTGAAGCTCTGTCTACCAGGACATGACAATGAAGAACGTTATGGACGACGATAGGCTTGAAGAGAATACTAGGACGGCAGCGCATCCTGCTCCTAGCGGCGTGAAGCGGTCTTTGACGAGTGTATGCATGCGCGTTATAGACGGGTGTCAACAGATACCATCCGCTAGCTGGTCCTCGTCCGAAAGGACATGGACCTCCAGGTGTCAACAGAGACGCGAGACGCAATACACGTGTCACGTCAGTGCCAAAACAATAGCGCGAGAGCAGCTAGGGCAAAGGCGTCACCATGCAGAAGACAAGGTATTGAAATAACCGATCGATTTCGTCAATCGTGGTCAGTGACCCTTTCACTGATTATGGTATACTACATCGCCAGCACCGCTCCGGTGCGCACCCATAGACCCAGAAGATGGAAGAACCGTGAACCATAAACCCATGAACGCCAGAAGAGACCAACCCGATCATGCTTGCATCAGTCCGAAGAAGTTGACCAGGTCAGACGATGTTGAGAGAAGGCATTTAACCACGCTCACCGCGGAGACGGCGGGCAAGCTGGATGTCCTTGGACTCTGCGAACTGTTAGCGACTGCTCGAGTGAAGTGAACAAGGGCACGAGGAAAGACGTACGGATGGTGACACGCTTAGCGTGGATAGCGCAGAGGTTGGTGTCCTCGAAGAGGGAGACGAGGTAGGCCTCAACGGACTCCTGGAGAGCGCCGATGGCAGAAGACTGGAAGCGGAGGTCGCTCTTGAAGTCCTGGGCAATCTCGCGGACGAGACGCTGGAAGGGGAGCTTGCGGATCAAGAGCTCGGTCGACTTCTGGTAGCGACGGATCTCACGGAGAGCGACGGTACCAGGCTTATAGCGATGAGGCTTCTTGACACCGCCGGTGGACGGGGCGGACTTGCGGGCGGCCTTGGAAGCGAGCTGCTTACGAGGGGCCTTGCCACCAGTGGACTTGCCTGCGGTAGTTGTTAGCGGCGACGTTTGTTGTGATGCGACGCGAAGGCGCGACGAGAGAAAGGTGGGAGCGTGTCGCGATGCTGAGTGGCGCGACAAGCGAAGGCCGCTGCGACACCAACCCGAGGCGGGCGGCGATGCGGGCGACGATGCGGGCGACGATGCGAGCGGCGGCAGCAACTGCAGCGCGGTGCGCAGGGTGCGAAGGGATAATAAGTAATTACTTACGGGCTGTCTGCTTGGTACGAGCCATTGTTGATGGAGTTGGAGATGGGGCAGATGAGATAAGGTGGTGGTGTTGGGTGTTGAGTGGCTGGAGTGGGTGGTGGTGAGTGTGTGATGGAAGAGAGACGGAGCGGGCGGGGCGGGCGAGGTTTATATGGGCGGGCGGCGACGGGGGCGGCTGCCTGGATCAACAATTGCGGTGATTTGGCGCTAGCGTTTCTGCTTTTCGCGGGCTGGAAAGCGAGCGTCAAACAGATCAAAAAATAAGCGGGCAGCTGCGCGGCGCTTGGCAGAAAACCAAAGTGATCCGGCAGGCACCGCACGGGCCGCTTGTGATCTGGCGCCGCGCCCTCGCTTTCTTATAACACCGCCCGCGCCCCATCACTTCTGTTCTATCACCAACTCACGACGCCCGCATCTCCAACACATCCGCACCCAGCCTCGCAGCTCATCCCGCCTTCCACTTTCCAACTACCCCACACTCCCCCATCACAATGACTGGGCGTGAGTCTTCCCCGGCTTCTTCTCTCGTCTCGCTCGACGCGTCGGGCCTCTCGTCGCGTCTTGCCCTCTCTCGCCCTTCGCAGCAACAGTACTGACGCGTCTGCACAGGCGGCAAAGGTGGCAAGGGCCTCGGCAAGGGTGGTGCCAAGCGTCACCGCAAGATCCTCCGCGACAACATCCAGGGTATCACCAAGCCCGCTATCCGCCGTCTCGCCCGTCGTGGTGGTGTCAAGCGTATCTCCGCCATGATTTACGAGGAGACCCGCGGTGTCCTCAAGACCTTCCTCGAGGGTGTCATCCGCGACGCCGTCACCTACACGGAGCACGCCAAGCGGAAGACCGTCACCTCTCTCGACGTCGTCTACGCGCTCAAGCGACAAGGCCGTAAGTACTTCGCCACTCGGCAATCCGCAGCAGCACCTGACAAGAGTCACAGGCACCCTGTACGGTTTCGGTGGTTGAGCGTTTTCCATATTATGTTTTCATCACGACTTCCGGCTACGCCTCTCCGCGATGGTATCGGGCCTGTGGTCGGCTCTGGTGCAGTGGGATGGGTTGGGTTTATGGTTTACTGCCTTGTATTATAGGCTACGGAGTTCACGGCTCTCGGGATCCACACGGAATGATACCATAATTCTTCACACTGGCTGTCTGTTTGTCTTGTTTCGTGACGCGTCGTGTCTCTTCGCGTTTGTTGATGTTTTGCTGTCACGTCGCTGTGACGCGCTGGTCCGTGCTTGAATATGAATCCGGACGCGTCTTCCATACTGTTATCGTGGGAAGCTGTGCCAAGCGTGATGTTGGAGAAGGCAGGCTGCCACTCAATCCGTGCTAGCGTGCTACTATCCACATGCGGCTTGGGATCCATGGCATCTTAGAAGTCGCCTCTGCAACGCTTCACAACCCGTTTGAAAGAACAAGGAACGAGGCGAATCGGGCCTATTTCTCTGCCGTTCACGATTTCGCGCGTGAGTCCAGGCTGGTATGTATGAATTGAGCCCCGTCGGTCGAGTGGCAGCAATGGCAAGCGTCTCCGGCGGTGCTCCCTGTGTTACCGGTGGTGTCGCAGTTGCTCGCAGTCCCTCCTTATGTTAGTTGCATCTCAGAGCTCTTTGTCGGCGGCTGAGTTGCAGCTGTTGTCTCTACCGCGTTCGGCAGGCAAGTCTCACTCTGCGACCGCAGGTCTGACAACCACATCGACAAAGGCAGCATGCAGGTTCGCTTGCTCTTCGTACTTCTCCAGGTTCGATCACTGCCGGAGCCAACAGACACACGCGCCGCATTATTATTGTTCCTGGACTTCTTCCGCACTCTCTGCGTTGCGGAGCACATTCTACCTTTTCCGTGCATTTCCGATCCATCTGACGTTGTTCCGGACCCCTCAATGGCTACTCGCCCACCCAACCCGACACTACATAATGACCTCAGCGCGCCAACACCGCTACCATCTCCTCCCAAGTTGATTCCTGGTATCACCATGGCTTTGCACACGCCGCCGCGGGCGTTGCTCTTCGATGTGTTCGGCACCTGCGTCGATTGGCGTACGACGGTAACACTCGCGTTGGATGCCCAGTCACATGCAGCTCTCAACTCAGCAACAGCCTCTCTCGCTTCGAGAGTGAGGCTGAGGGCCTCTGACATGACTCTGGCGCATTGGGGCGACTTTGCACAACAGTGGCGAGACTCGTACAAGGCCTTCACTCAGAAGTTGGCGGCCGACCCGACCTTGCCCTGGAAGACGATCGATGAGCATCATCTCGATTCCTTGAAAGAACTGCTGCAGGAGTGGCAGCTTGAGGGTCTGTGGGTGGATGAGGAGGTGCGCGCTCTGAGTTTGGTCTGGCATCGCCTCGATCCTTGGGCAGATTCTGCGTACGGCATCAAGCTGCTCAACCAGTTATTCTGTACGTGTCATAGCCTCTGCGATTTTTATCTCAGATCCCGATCTTTCCATTGCCTACTCGGCAATCGGCTCTTTGCTGATGCTTCGCTAGGGACCGCTACCTTGTCGAACGGAAACATCTCCCTGCTTTCAGACCTCAAAGCGCACGGCAAGATGGAGTTCACTCACGTGCTCAGCGCCGAGCTCTTCGGTGCATACAAGCCCTCGCCGAAGGTCTACCTGGGAGCCGTCGAGAAGCTGGGGCTTCAACCGAAGGAATGCGCAATGGTTGCGGCGCATCTGGGCGACCTGAAAGCGGCAAAGTCCCATGGTCTTCAGACTATCTATGTTGAGCGGTCCGGTGAGGAAGACTGGTCCAATGAGGATGTGGAGAAGGCAAAGGATGAAGGATGGGTGGACCTCTGGATTGATTACGCCGGTAACAGTGGGTTCGTGACTGTGGCGGCAAAGCTGGGTATTGAGGTTCCTGACAAAAACCCGAAGCGACTGAGTTCTTCTGCGTAGGATGCCGTGGACTGGCTCTAGTTGATGGACAGTCACTTCATGTAGCCCTTCCATTTGTATATCACGGTGTCTGGCTGGTCCAGGTCGAGCTGGAGACTGGGATCGCAGGGCGGCCCGTTTAGATAGCCTACACGTAGATAATGGCAGCCCGTATGGGCAGTTTCTCCACTCTATCGGTCCATATTTACTGGATAATCTTTGTAACGTTCCGTGTTACGTCCCGTCTTTCCGGTCATTTTCGTTAGGCTATTTGCAGCATGTTATATGAAGGTATACCTTCCTTGTCACGGTTTTTTTTCTGGCTTCTCTGTGTGTTTTCAGTGTTTCCATTCTTTAATCTTACTTGGTTGTATGTGATAAGTATGGGTTATGCTATTTAGTCGTACTCTGTTGTAATGGGCGTGCAACCTGTTTCCGCGTTTAAACTTCAATATTAATTAACGACAAAAATCACCACGCAACATTACTACACCTAAGTAGCCTAAAAAACTCATAAAATAAACCCCGAGTGCACAGAAACAGCATTCCAAATTTAATCTCGAGGCAATTCTAACGTAGTCTCGAGATATGGCCATCATATCCAGGGGAAGGCCGCAGTGTGGACCCGACAACCAGGCCTGTCGCGGGAAGCTTAATCAATCCAACCAGTAACAAGAAAAAGAGTAGAAAAGGAAGGTACATTCGCCTTAACGTATAAGAAGGGTCGGAGAGGGGTAGAGAAGCCATTGTATCGATTGGTTGCGCCGTGGCGAATCCTGCAGCTGGCGCCTGGGCCAGATAGGAGTCGACCCAGAGCACCCGACTACCGCCCATAGGGGTATAACATCCACTGCAGAGTCCCCATACAGCTCGTACGCAATATCCCGGGGAGGATCTATTCACAGCCAAAGAACGCTAGGGCTGACCAGAGCAAGAGAGGTATCCAGTACCCAGCATCGAGGAATACACCATTCTTCTACGCCCAACACCACGCCCGATACAACCTCACAGAACAAAGCCAGCCAGGATGCGCGATTCGCAGCTCCAGTCGAACCCAACACAGACCCGTTCCATGGTCACTCGGTCGGACGCAGACGAGAAGTGCAGCAGCAGTCGAGCAAGAGAGCGCCGGCCGTCTTACCGAAAGCTCGGACACGATGCCTACCAAACTCAACGTATAAAGGGTGACAATGTATCGTGACTCGGTCACAAATGTCATGAGACAGCAACGTGCTGAACGCACCACGGTGATGGTTGACGGAATCTGGGGTCTGGGGAAGACGTCCCAATTCGGCAACTGCGGGGTGCTAGCGCGGTTCCCTAGCTCCGGACACGGTACCTCGCTGCCTCGGCGAGGGCGTCATACGCAGCTCCCGTCTGGCCGATCGCTTTGCCGACTCTGCATTTATATTCCACACGCAGTGGCGCCGTTGTAAATTGGTCTTAATTCCCCTCTATCCCAGTGCTGCAGCCGTCTTGTTCATTGGGTCGTTAAGCATAGTTGTTCCTTACCGAGGCGTGGTCCGACGTATTGTTTGCTTGAAGTTTGGCTGAAGAGCCCCTGAAGAGCACCCGGAAGCGCAGAGAAGAGGTGCCCCTGGGCGATTCGAGCAGGTTTCTATCGCAGTACCACTAGACTGCGGGCTCTATACCCCCAAACAATCCAGGGGAAGAGACTATCTCCGCCGTCCCAACGCGGTTGTTGACCGGATACCGCACCCGACCCGACCACCAACAAACTTTCCTACATCGTCCTCTTTTGCGAACATATCCAACCAGCCGAAAGAAGTAGGAAAACCTCTCTTCAGCGGGACAAGAATACCCGCCTACCGCGAAGACCGACGCTTTTCCTTTATTGCCTCTCGACATCCACATACCTCACACCTCACACCAAAATCCAACATGGCCCCAATGCACATTCAAGATCGTGTTTACGATGCGTCAATCGCGGACCCAGAAGGCTTCTGGAACCACCAAGCCGAGAGTGTCTTCTGGCATCGAGAGCCAATGCGAGCCTTCCAGAAGGGCAAGAAGACTCTTAAGAGTGGCGTTACGCATGATCACTGGAGCTGGTTTCCCGGAGGAGAAATATCCACCACGTACAATTGTGTCGACCGACACGTCAAGGACGGCAATGGAGAGAACGTCGCGATATGCTGGGACAGTCCAGTCACCGGGCTTAAGGAGCAGTATACGTACCAGCAACTTTTGGAAGAGGTGGAGACATTGGCTGGCGTTCTGAGAGAGGAAGGGGTGAAGAAGGGTGACGTCGTGTTGATCTACATGCCAATGATACCCGCCGCCCTCTTCGCCATGCTGGCAATCGCCCGCCTCGGCGCAATCCATGCTGTGGTTTTCGGCGGCTTCTCACCAGCCGCACTCGCCCAGCGTATGGAGGCTTCCCGCCCTAGGGCAATTATGACGGCTTCCTGCGGCATCGAGGGAAATAAGGGACCAATGGGCTACAAGCGGCTCATCGAAGAGGCCCTTCAGAAGTCGAGCTTCAAGCCTGAGAAGACCATTGTCTGGCAAAGAGAGCAGCTGCGGTGGGAGCCCGTGATGAAGGAGAATGGCCAGCGGAATTGGCAGCGTCTGGTGAAGAGCGCGAAGAATAGGGGATTGAAGGCAGAGGCAGTTCCCGTGGGAAGCGATGATGGGCTGTATATCATATATACGTCTGGTGAGTCTCGATACTTTCGAGTCTATGATAAATGCTGACCTGAACTAGGAACAACTGGTCTACCCAAGGGCGTCGTACGAACGGCAGGTGGACATGCCGTCGGCCTCAACTTCTCCATCAAATACCTCTTCGGCGTACACGGCCCGGGCGACGTTATGTTCACTGCAAGCGACATTGGCTGGGTTGTTGGCCACTCCTACATCGTATATGCTCCATTGCTCGCCGGCGCTACAACTGTTCTGTTCGAAGGCAAGCCCGTCGGAACGCCAGACGCTAGCACTTTCTGGCGCATCATCGAAGAGTACAAGGTCACGACCATGTTCACCGCGCCCACGGCGCTGCGAGCCATCCGGCGAGAGGACGGCGACAACGACTACTTTGAGAAGATCTACGGTGAAAGAGGTGGACTCCGAACTCTTCGAGCCTTGTTCCTAGCTGGCGAACGCAGCGAACCGAGCATTGTTCAGATGTACCAGAAGCTGCTCGAAAGGCATTGCGCGGGCGGTGCGCTGGTAGTCGACAATTGGTGGTCATCTGAATCCGGATCGCCTATCTCGGGGATCGCCCTCAGCGCGGCGGCAGGACAGGACTTCTCCTCAGGGCATCGCCATAAACCGCTCCTGATTAAGCCTGGATCTGCTGGCAAGGCCATGCCTGGCTTTGACGTGCGGGTCGTGGACGACGAGGGCAAGGAGTTGAAGAGGGGCGAAATGGGCAATATCGTCATGGGGATTCCGCTCGCGCCGACGGCATTCACGACGCTCTGGGAGGACGAGGAGAGGTTCTACAGGAGCTACTTGAAGAGGTTCAACGGGAAGTGGATCGACACCGGTGATGCGGGTATGATTGACGAGGAGGGATACATCTCCATTATGTCGCGAGCCGATGATGTTATCAACGTGGCTGCCCATCGATTTAGTACTGGTAATTTCCACTCTCCAGGGCGCTCGAAGCTAAGCTAACATGTGCGTCAGGTGCCATCGAGCAAGCTATTACCACTCACCCCGATATCGCTGAAGCGGCTGTAGTCGGCATCCCAGACGCCCTCAAGGGCCACCTCCCTTTTGCCTTCATCACCCTTTCCATGCACCACCACCCGCACCCTGCCGTCCCCAATGACATGCTCTTCAAGGAAGTGCAGAAGCTGGTCCGCGAGCAAATCGGTGCGATCGCTAGCCTCGGCGGCATAATTCAAGGCAAGGGCATGATTCCCAAGACACGCAGCGGGAAGACGCTTCGTCGCGTGCTGCGTGAGCTGATCGAGAATGCGACGCATGGCGAGATGGATAAGGAGGTTGTGATCCCGAGCACGATTGAGGACAGGGAGGCGGTTGAGGTGGCGAGGGCGAAGGTGAAGGAGTATTTTAGGGTCAAGGGCAAGGATTTGCACAAGGCTATCGAGGTGAGGGCGAAGTTGTAGGCTACTGTGGGCAGCCCGGTCGGTTTAGCTGGTGTAGTGTTCGTTTCGAGGTTGAGAACCATTGCCTGTTAATGTGTTGGTGTCTGTTCTATTGTGGAGGCGTTCGAGGCAGTAGCTAATCTTGCTGAATAGAGAACGGTGTAAGATAACGGCTCGCTGACGGCCAGTCTCGCAAAGCTCCATAAGCGCAGCATGCCCTTGGAGGAAGTTGTAAGCTTGACCAAGCCGTTTGTACGTTCATGTGCGGTAGATTCCGGTCGAAGTATGCTATGCGGTCTCGAAAACGAATCAGCACACGGTAGTAAGCAATGGGCGGTAGATGCGGTTCTCGTATAGCAGCAGGCGCTACGGATTCCGAAACGGCAATCTCTTATGTTCAAGTATTTGTAGTCGCTTCTGATTCGAGGAGCAGATTGATAGCGGGCGTGACCGCGTCTCTTGCATGGTGTTGTGTTTTTCCAATGGCCAGCAGGGATTGCTTTTCCTGGCCGTTGTTTCGTCAGCCATTGCTGTTTCGGTCTTCGAAGGAGCAGCCACCTCCCAGGGAACCGGTCGTCGAGCAGTTTTAAGTTTCGGGAATGGCTCGGGCATAGCAAATGGGCAGCTCCAGGGCTGTCGCAGGGCCCGTGATGCTTGGCAGCTGCTTTATGCGATACAAGCCCGCGAAGCAGACGACCATGAAGGTCGACAAGCACTGTTTGGAGGCGGACCAGCCACGGTCGCGCAGCTGGAGGGAGGGTGCATTTGCACATGCAGACAGGGCGAAGGCGCGACGAGGACAGGTGCGGTTGAATGCTTCGAAATCATCCGCCCCTGTCGTCAGACTCGCAACGGCCCGCTCCCCGTGAAAATCGCCAGTACTGTACAACGCTCCGTGTCAGCTTCAAACGGCGGCCAAGGACGCTTGCTCACCTTCTCACCTCTGCGAAGGTGCGGTGCCGAAGCCGAGAGCGTGCGCAGGCGCCATTACACAGTATTGGGGCCGTGATGAGCCGGTGTCTCACGTGCTCGCCGACTGCTGCGAGGGCTGCAGATCTTGGACGGCCCCGTCCGTCGGCCTGGTGTGCCTGGTGTGGTGCGAATTTATCAGATGCTGCGTGTCGTGCGATGGCGCGCAGTCGCGGCTATTTTGCGGAGACAGGCCTTAGCCGACGGGCATGCATTATTGCTCGGGGCTGGGGGTAACGGTCAGGGACTCAGGGTCAGGCAGGAGGAAAAGAGTTTGGGAAGAAAGGAGAAAGCAGCCAACGAGGCGCGCGGAGTCTCGCATCCGGCGACAAACGCCTGGCGGAGACGTCTTCCAGCAGCGGGGCCCGTCGGCTAGTGCAGTGCGTAGTCTAGATACTGTACATGTGGGCGAGTCGCGAACAGGGCGCCAAGGGGGCGGTCGGCAAGGTTGCTGGCGCGGGAGTGGGCCATGTTCCGCGAGCGCGCGACGGCGCCGATTTGTTGAATAGAAGGTGAAACTGATGCAACAGAGGGTCTACGGAGATGCAGACGCCGCAGGCGCGGCCAGAAACAGCCCAAGCATCGCGATACATACATACATACATACCTAGGTTAGTGGCTGGGGCGGGTGCCGTTTGCATACGGTGGTGGACTGCTTCTTCTGCGGCGGGAGTGTTCCGAAAGCACCAGCAGCAGCTACCACCAGCACCGTACATACAGTACATACATACGATGGGCAGAGCTAGCGGCGGGAGCTTTGTTGGTGGTGGTGGTGGTTTGGGGCAGAGCCTAGACAGCAGGGCCCAGGGCTCAGAGAGACTGACTGACTGACTGACTGACCCGCCCGCCCAACGCCAACGCCGGCTCCACCATCGGGCCTCTCAAAACTGTCGCCCTCCCCAACCAGGCAGCGCAACCCCCGAGCGGCCTCTATCGCACCTTGCTTTTCACCTCCCTCATCCATCGCCGCAACCTCGCCCGCCGCCTCGCACACCCCACGCGCGCCCGATCCCGCGTTGATGCGACGCTGCCCCCGATAGACAGTGATAGTCGGCGTCGTCTCTTCACGTGGGATCACGAGCCATCAAGAGCGCCCGCCCGCCCACGCCTCGAGTTCTGCCACCCCGTCCCCCTCAGCACCCGCCCGCAGTAGTGCTCCGTCCGCGCATCCATCTCTCCCTCTCCCTCTCCCTCTGCCCTCTGCCCTCCTGTGCCCTCTGCCAGCGCTGCCAACGCCGGTGCTCGCCCGCCCTGCCCCTCCTGCAGCGGCCTTTTGCGAGAGCCACCACTCTCCTCCTCTGCATTGGCCCAGCCGCCGCCGCCGCCGCCGCCCGCCGCCCACAACCACGTCCCCGTGCAACGCTGTGCTCCGCCGTCCCCCGCCCATCGCAGCGCCCGCCCTTCGATTCTGAACAGCCTGCAGCTACCCGCGACACGCGCCGCCGCCGCCCGCTGTGCGTCGTCTCCTCGACACGTTTTTGGACCACGACAGTCTCCCGTCCTCCCTTCCCGCAACACGCCTCGCACGCCCCCCCCGATCCTCCCCAGCCAGCGTACACAGTAAGCTGAGCGAGCCCCCGTCAGCTGCCTGACCACCTCCACGAGACCAGGCTGCTCCTACGTGGCTCGGGGCTTGCACCACGTCCACGGCTGCCCCGACATCACCGCTTCCGGCCCCCTGGCGACAGGTCCCCCGACCTCTTAACCCCTTCCCGAGCCCGCGGTTCGCTTCCCTCTGCACACACACACACGCACACATACCTCTGCTCCCTGAGCGCCGCATCGTGAAGAGCCGACAACATGGCGGGGAAGATGACGCTATACAAGCTGGTGGTGCTGGGCGACGGCGGCGTCGGCAAGACCGCCCTGACCATCCAGGTAAGCAAGCATCCCGCTGTTCCCCTCCCCCCGCGCTAACGACGGCAGCTCTGTCTGAACCACTTCGTCGAGACCTACGACCCCACCATTGAAGACTCGTACCGAAAGCAGGTGCAGATCGACGGCCAGTCGTGCATGCTCGAGGTGCTCGACACCGCCGGCCAGGAGGAGTACATTGCGCTGCGAGACCAGTGGATACGCGACGGCGAGGGCTTCGTCCTCGTCTACAGCATCTCGTCGCGCTCCTCCTTCGCCCGCATCCAGCGCTTCCACGACCAGATCCAGCGCGTCAAGGAGAACTCGCTCTCCGGCTCCCCGACCTATCCCGGCTCGCCGCTCACGGCCTCGTCCATGGGCTCGTCCTTTGGCCCAGCGCCCGTCATGCTCGTCGGAAACAAGTGCGACCGCGTCACCGAGCGCGAGGTCTCGACCCAGGAGGGCAGCGCCCTGGCGAAGCTGCTCGGCTGTGACTTTGTCGAGGCGTCTGCCAAGAACTGCGTTAATGTGGAAAAGGCCTTTTTCGAAGTCGTCCGCCAGCTTAGACGCCAGCGACACCAGGGCATGACCAAGGAGCGAGTGCCCAGGAGCGTCGGCCGTGGCGGACACGGTGGTGGAAGGACCAAGGAGTACATCAACGGCGATATCTACCGCAACCGCGGGAAGGGGTACTCGGACCGCCCCCGGAGACAGAAGGACAAGCCCGGCAAATGCGTCATACTTTGAGTTGCTTGCGGCAGGAGGCATTTCGGTTCACGGCTGCGATATCACGATTCTCACTTCTACTTCTACCTTTGCTCCGAGTCCCACGGCCTCTCTCTTCCACGATTTGGACCGCCTTGGTGGATTGCCCGCGGCGGAGCTTACAGTCTCTGCCCCTTCGACCAGAACACCGCCCGCGCTTTCGTTCGGCATTTGCCAACTGCGGCATCCTTTCGCCCACCCCCTTTCACCACCATAACGAATGACGACGCAGGCCTTGGCAGAAACCCGCGCTTTATCACGCACGAGCGCTGCCGCGTCCGTCCATCACGAACCAATAGAATCCAAATCATCAGGCGTCGGCATTGGAGCGGCGTTTCGTATTTTCGAGTGCAATGGAAGCATCAGTGGTCTCCCCGTCGCATGAGACCAAGGAGTTTTGGAGTACGCTTTTTGGATTATGTTGGGCAAGGTCTGAAGATCTTGCATGACAACGATGCACGGCTGGGAGTAGCATCTTTTCACCATCTGCGTGCGACACATGGCCGGCCACGTCTGTCTCTTGTCTTTGCGCAGCCGACCGGTTACAAACCGTGTCACACGCCACGCTATAGGGAGTGTTTGCGACACAAAAGTATGGGACAACTTCTCAGATTTTCGGCGCGGCTCTGGACTGTAGGCGCAGGCTTCCTCTTTTTTTCTTCCCTCTTCCACTCCCCTCCCACCACTCACCTATTCTTGGCATTCTCGTGGAAGGGGAGCCCATTTCTGCTGCTTTCGAGGCTTAGCTTGGATTGAGGGAATACCCGTCTTACATCATGTCTACATAGTGCGCATTTACAAAAAAAAAAAGAGACAAGATTCACGCCTACGCTTGGGGTCTGCACGCAGTTCTCTGAATTCAGGATTCGTGAGTCAGGGGTGATGTGACACTGCTAGGCGGAGCTCCAGCTATGGAAGGCCTAGAGGTCGACAACACTCTCGCAGCGTCTCTGCTGGTAGCACACATATCTAGCTCCCGGACTACAAGGGGAGGGAAGCTTCTGCTTGGAGCATGAAAATCTCGTCGCGTGAAAATACGAGCGGTGCGCTCTCGTGGAAGTGGTGGGTGCCGCACGGCGGTGCGTTCCGTCCCAACCTCGGACCTCTGGGCCGAGAAGGTCTCGCTCGCCGCGTCTCCAACTCGCCAAGCCCAGGGCAGAGCGTCTGTTCCCCCAACCTGATCGGCGGCAGATCAGCAGCGGTTCCATGTCTTCGCTTGGGAAGCCTTCCGTGGGCCTGTGGAACGTCGAGTTTTGGGCAGGCATGAGGGACGAGCGGAGGTGCGGAGGTGGTGTGGTGCAGCTCCGCCTCAAAATCCTAGGTGGGCATGTCATCGCGTTCCTCCTCTACTAGATAAAAGACTGCCTCTAGGGAGCAGCCCCCTTGTTCTGTATGTGTACCTGGCAACCGCATCCGGAACTGGTATCCCCGCGGCGGCTTCACCCGATACTTCTTCCCTCACGCTCGTTAACGCTCATCGCCGTCGCAATTTCCCCGTCCGTAGCGTTTGACTTCAAAATCCACCAACGGCTGGGAGGGACATGAAAGAGGGGTAGCGCTGACACCCGTGGAACCGAACGCTAATTACATTCTTTACGTCGTAGTCTCCTCCAGTTCCTCATGCCTACGCCACCATCTCCGAAGCTTTATGCAAGCAAGAATAGAACCAGGTATAGCAGCAATACCGCCGAGGATACCAAAGGCAACTCCAACCCAAGCTCCCGCACTCAGGCTGCCTCCGTGTGGCTTTGTCGCCGTGGCTGGAGTCGGACTTGGGGAAGAAGTTGCCGTCGTCGACGTGGTGTCCGTTGTCGAGGTTGGAATCGCGGAAGCTATTGAGCGTGGTGTTGGGGACGCCGCATACCATGTCCACGGCGTAGTCCAGCACTCCACGAAAGACCAGCTAGTCGATGACTTGTGTATGTCATCGTAGAGCATCCCGGTGATACATTGCCATCCTTCGGAGCTATACACAGACCGTGTTAACTTGCGTCTACAATGGAACGCTGCAGTTTTCTTACCATGTTGCCTGCCCGTTAGCATCACTGATCACAGACCCAGACACGCACTGTTTGCTCACGAGGCATTGAGTCGTTCCGATTAGACAGCAGCTGACGTAGCGAGCATCGTAATGGACTGTGTTACCAGGTCCGCAGCTCATCGGGGTATCTATAGTGTGGAATTAGACTGTGTGACATCTTAGCGTAGCAGATTGGATGCTGACATGATTCAGGTTGATCAGGGACGGGTCGCCACCCAATGATTGACGACGATGGATCGTTGACCTGGAGCAGTTCAGGCGCTCGCGTGATGGTCGGCCACAATGCCTCTGGATAGGCCGCTCCAGAGACGAGCAAAAGTTGAAGCGAAAGCCAGAAGCTCGCGAATTTCCGCATGTTTAACAATGTTGAGCGCAGGGTCTCCTAACTTGGGTTGGATGATGAAGGTGTCCTGACACGGAGACCGGCGGACTTCGAACCGTGGAGACGTCCATGATATGATAAGGAATGTTGCGTTTTGCCCGCCTGAGATGGATGCATCGTAAGGGTGGCGAGTACCAATGCGCCACCTTTCACTATCATGAGAGTGGCTTTTAACACTGCATCTGTGTGGACGCCACGCCCTCGACATGCGAAAAATACGGTGCACATGGGCAAGGAAGAGAAGCTAGGAGAGAAAGCACTGTAGAACATGTTCTGAGGCTGTTGATGCACATCGCTGCCGTCGGAACGTTGGACTCCAGCGGGAAGGCTGATCCAAACAGCCACGACAAGGGCAGGACATAGGAGAGCGAACCCAACAGACACATACTATCTTCCCCTGGGCCGAAAGAACACCGGGAACAAAAATCGCGGCTCATCCAACGTACCTAGCAAACTCCGTAAACCTATGGTCAACCCTCAGCCTCTGCAGGTCCTCCTCACGCAAACACATTGCCACCGCAATCTCCCCATCTCTCGCCTTCGGCATAATATACATCAACGATTCCAAGGGTACAAAGCTCGGCCTCCTCACCGCTTCCGGTAGCCCCAGTCCCAGCCCGAAATCCAGCTCGTATGCGTTGACTTTCGCCCAGGAGCTGAGCATGATGTCCGCATCGGGCTTCACATTCGCCGTGGTGTTCGCGCGAGAGTAGTTGCCAGGGGACTGAGAGAGGAAGGTAGCGAGGGAGCGCGTAGCGTACGCCATGTTCGACGTAGAAGGGTCGACATGTCGCCGCATTTCCGCTGCGATTTCTCCGAGCGTGCGGGCGAGAAGCGTGATGAGCTGGTAGCTAGTGTACGCCATGTTTTGTAGAACTCCTGGATACCCTGCAGGAACTTCGAAATAACGCCTCGCGTCGACCGCGCGGGCGAATGTGATCACTCGGGAGGGTTGGGAAGAGAGCCGCGGCGAGCGTGCACGAAGGACGGATTGGTAGATAAGTGCTGAGAGAGCATCGTCTGTGGTGATATACCCTGTAAAACTAGAAGGAAGGGTGCGCGTCGCTAGGTCCTTTAGCCGCGAGAGTGCGTATGCACTGAAAGTGAAGTAGACCCAGCTGCAGGGCGGCGGGGGAGGTGTCTCCAGCGTCGCAAGATCAGGTGTTGAAGCTTCGATCGCTGGACTAGTAGCCGGCTGCGCGGGGAGTAGCTGGCTTTCCAGCTCCTTCCCTGGTTTCCATCCTTCTTCCTCGATCAAAGGAATCATGTTCTTCCTCTCTGCGTTTCCGATCCGAAGCTCTTCCTCCGTGAACTCCTCCCCATGACACGCTTTCGACAGCAGCTTCATCACCGCACCCTGGCCACTCATATCCGCGGTGTTATGTTGCATGTTGATGCACAGGACGAGCCCCCCTTTAATAAAGTTTGCCTGCAAAAGGAGAACCGGTGCCGGGTCTGAACTTTCGCCAGACGGCTTGGTGGGATCGAAACTCAGCGTTGCGAGGGTCGGACACGGCGCCCATATCGATTCGTGCAGCATTGAGAAAGGATATCTCGCTTCTCGTAGCTCAGATAGCGTGGGGGTGTTGGTGTCGCTCCCGTAGTCCTTGACGACTAATTTCGGTATCCGCTCGAACGGTCGGATCTTGTAGAACGGTGTCCCTTCCGCGTCCGAATGTGTGTTAACAACCTGACCCGCGACCCATGGAAAACTGTCCGATAATCGCTCGAGCCCTCTCGTCAAGGCCTCGGCGATTGGTGGCTGATCGACACTGTCAGGGATCGAGAAAATGAAGCAGATCTGAGTGTACAGCTTGAAGAGACCCGGCTGCTGGCCCAGGATGTCGAGGTCGAAACCTAAGGCAGCCATTCCTAATCTAGAATCGATTTAGCTAGGAGAACGATTCAGGTCTAAAAGAATGTGACTGCTTGCCTAGTGCGCGGCCTCGTTCGCGCCAGTCGTGATCGCGGCTGAGGAAGGAGGAGACGAGAGCATCTTTATATCTAGCAAAAGGATATGTGTTATCGTGCAGCTCTCCCGAGCTTGCATACTTCCCGGTAGAGCATCGTGACGCTAGCCTTCGCCGCGGCCGTAGCGTAGTTATTGTGTATCTTTATGAGACGTTACGGTCTATAATAGGCAGAACGTAGAGTACAGGCCCTGCGGTTGAAGTATCGCATGTGGCTCAGAATGAGTCATTCTGGGTAAGTAGAGTGTGACGCCTATCCAGCCGGAGACCCCTCGGAGCCTGGTCGGGCCGACCCCGGTCACGTGCCGGCCTAGTATGTAGCCTAGTCTTCTTCTATTCTTACTTCGTAAGAATATAACTATATACTAGCACTACCTAATATATTCTTTTACTACTTCTTAGTATACTATCTATCTATCTTACTAACTATCTTATTATAATAGTCTAGCTTAGTATTTACTAGAGTTATATAACCTTATCTAGTATCTTAGCGCTTAGCTCTCTATATATAAAGCCTCTTAGAGTCTTTCTTTACTTCTTATCTTTAGATAGCTAAATTTAACCTAATCTACTCTACTTATTACTCTTATTCTTATAGCTTATTATATAGCAAGGTATAAGTAAAGTAATTATAATTAAGTTTATAGAATACTAGTAAAACTTTAGTTTCTAATTTAGACGAAAAAATTACCTAATTTAAATTAGTAGAATTATCTAATTAGAGACTCTAACGTTCTACTAAAAAGTAATTAGGTATAATTAGAATTAGATATAATTAGGTATAATTAATTAGCTAATTAGCTAGTAGCTTATCTACGTCTAATCTATAACTACGCTCTACGTTATACTTACTTAGCTTTATATAGCTATTAAATATATTTCTAAGTAATTCTAGTATAATACGTAGTAATAATATAGCGCTAGTAGGTATTATAAGTACTTATAAAGAGCTCTTAGGTATCTAAAAGCGCTAGTAGCATAGATTAGTAAGTTAGAGATTAGTAATTTAGTATTAGTTTAGGTATTAGTTACTAGCTTTAATATATATAGCTAGCGTATATAGCTACTAATTAGAGTTTACTATAGCTCTATAAGCTACTATAGAGCGCTCTAGCTATAGAATATTAAAAATTTAGAAATTCTATATTACTTATAGCTAGTATACTAGAGTTACTAGAGTTAGTTATAATAGTCTAGCTTAGTATTTACTAGAGTTATATAACCTTACCTAAGTTATATAATCTTGCCTAGCGCCTTAGTATAGATACTCTATATATAGAGAGCTTTTAGAGTATTCTTCTACTTCTTATCTTTAGATAGCTAAATTTAACCTAATCTACTCTACTAGTACCTCTTATTCTTATAGCTTATAGAGATAGTACTACCTATAGCTAACTTACCTAGCTAGGTATTTAGAGACGCTTATAGTAGTAGAGACTGTAAAGCTAGCTCTTATATTATTTAAAGGTTAATACCTCTTTAGCTAGAGATAGTAGTATAATATTAGGCTAAACTAAGTAGCCTTATAAGAAGCGTTTACTAATAGCTATACTAAGAATTACAGCTATAAGAGTCTAGTTACTTACTCTAAGAATTTATTAACGTACTAATTAATTACTTATCTCTAGTACTATATAAGACTACTAGTAGATCTAGTTAGTAGTAGAAAAGATACTACTAGTAGTAAACTAAAGAGAGCTATAAGAGCTCTACGTATAGAAGAACTTTTATAGAACTTCTACGTATAAAAACCTCTCTCTTATTTTAAAAATTAATAATTCTCTACTCTACTAGTAGAGCTAATAATTAGCTACTTTACTAGTAGTATATACTTTTACTTCTTAAATAAAAGCTATACCTAAGTAAAACTACTTAAATACTATAGATAAACTCTTATAAAGTAACTCTAGAAGTAAGACTTTAGTTCTATAGTACTCTTTTACCTCTATAATTCTTAAATTCTAGGTAGAGAATCTACTAGCTAGTTACTTAAAATAATATTATTATTATAAATCGCCTATTTAATAACATAATATAATAACTAATAAGAATTAGAATAATAACTTTAAATAGAAGCTAGTATAGCTACGCTAGAGCTTAATAATACCTAGGTTATTAGTAGTAGATAGTTCTTATATACTCTCTACTTCTAGAAAAAAGCTCTAAGAGCTTTTTCTAGAAAAGCTAGACGAAATTATTAATAAATTAGTTAGCTAATTACTTATACGCTAGAAACTTAAATAATAGATCTATATATATTACTAGATTACTACTAATATACTTACTAAAGAAGATACTATATATAGAAAGTATTAGAATTTATAGTAGAAAAAAGCTACTACTTTAGTAAAGATTTAATAGCTATAAGCGTAACTATAATTCTACTCTAGAAGCTAAATACTATCTATTCTATTAACTTAACGTATAATACGCTTTATAAATTAAATACTATATACGTATAAGTCTAGTACGTTACTACTAGAAGACTCTATTTTAGGTTCTTATCTAATTACGTATACGCTTACTATACTACTAGTAACTAAGTAACGTTTAAGAGACTAAATAAGGCTTTTTACTAAGTTTCTAGACTCTCTATTACTATTTAATAGTAAGAGCGTTATCTTTAACTAATAAAGAAATAGCTTATAAAATAAGCTCTAAGCTAATTATAACTAGTATCTAGAAGAGATAGCTAAAAATACTAAGAAAACTATTATAGTATATATATATATATAAATAGAAGAAAATATATACTAGACTCTCTTTATAATTCTACGTACTCTAAGAAATAGTAGTACGTAGATTTCTTATAAATATATACTTAAGTAGCTAGAGAGAAGCTATATAAACCTATATAAAAGGCTAAATATCTACTATAATTTCTAGAAGCTATATTACTAAAATACTAGTAACTTTGCGTACTTTTAGATTAATTTCTTCTACCTAGCGTAGAAGCGCTAGCTTCTAATAGACTAATAGGTAGAGAAGCTTTATAAGAAGCTTCTAGTAAGCCTATATACGTAGATAGGTATCTACTAACGTTAGTATACCTATAATTATAATTAATATATAGATTTTACTTAAAACCTTACTAGAGAGCTTATCTAAGAAGAAGCTTATATATTTAGAAAGGTTAAAAAGCGTAACGTACTTATATTAACGCTACGTTACGCGCCTATTACTCTTCTACGTATTCTACAAACTCTAGATAAAGCTCTAGTAATTAGAAAGCTAGTTACCTACTTCTAATACTAGTAATCTAGCTATATAAGCTATAATTATCTAAGCGTCTCTACTACGTAGAAAGCTATTAAGAACGTTAATCTAGAAAAAAAGCCTATAGAGCCTATAGAGCTATAAGTACCTAAGAATAATATGTTAGAATATAAATCTAATAATTTAGAAAAAGTCTAGCTCTAGAAGAAGTCTTCTTTTCTAAGCTACCTACTAGAGTAATAAACCTATATAAAAAGCTATTTAGTAGTTCTACATTTACTCTATCTTACTAAATATCTATAAATAGTCTTTCTCTTAAGCTTAGAGACTTAATTAATACTAGAGTAGGTAGTTATATTCTAATATATCTAAAGCACCTTTAGACTCTTAGAAAAAACCTTTACGTTAAGCTATCGCGTATAGAACCTATTCTCTTTACTAGTTATAATAGACAACCTAATAGCTAGATAGATAAATACTTTAAAGCTAATTTAGTACTAGAAAGCTACTAAATACGCACCTACTTTATATATTATAATACTAGCTACTATAATATAATAATTAGTTATAAGCTACTTAAAGAAGCTAACGTTTAGATTAACTATAAGTAGCGCGTACTAATATAGCTAGATACTAATTAATTAATTAATTATAAATATAACACGTTTATCTCTATATAACTCTTTTAATCTACTACTAAAGCTTAAGTAGCTTACTAAGCTAATACTAATTACTATAACGCCTTAATATTAGTAGTAGAAAAGCTAAGAGTAATATAATAAGAGAAGAGAGAATTATAACGCTAGAAGCTTTAAGAAAACCTATATAAGATAGATAGGTAGCTTAAGAATCTTAACCTACTAGCTAGGTTACCTTATAAGCTAAAAAAGCTACCTATTTTATAAGAAACGTGTCTAAAGGCTAGACTTAACGTTAATATAGTTAGCGTTACTACCTTTATAATTAACGCGCGTAAAAAAGACGTTATAATTATTAGAAATAATAATAATTATAAAAATACAGATTCTTAGAATTCTACTACTAAGAATAAGTAGAAAAAGTACTAAAATAAAATCTAGAAAATCTAGAAAAAATATATTACGTAATCTAATATTTTTTACTAAACTACTATATGTTATTATATATTATATAGTTAACAAATACGTAATAATAAATTAAAACTAAAAATAAGCTTTTTAGAAAATTTATAACTATATAATATAAAATAAATTATATATACTATAAATATTATAAAGATTACGTATAAATATATAACGCGTATTATAAAGAAATAACTAAATTAAATATAAAATAAAAAAGTTAAATATTTAGTTTAGAATTTTATAAAAACGTGTAATTCTAACCTCTCTAAATATTAATAGTATAACGTACTATTATATTAATAATAATAATATTATAGCTATAATATAGGTTATAATATAATAAAAGACTATTTAGAAGTTAAAAGATTTATATAATAAATATACTTAAAAGTTTAGAAATCTAATACTTAGAAATTATTACTTCTATATAAGTAAAACATAGAATTTAAATATCTAAAACCTAGAGATTATTACTTTTGTATAAGTAAAACACGAGATTTAAATATCTAAAACTTAAAAACTAATATTACTAATAGTATTAAGAAATAGTAAAATACTAAATAAAGAAGTTATTTATAATTATCTTATATATAGAGAACTTAAGTTACGCTAAACTTTAGGTAGATAATTTAATAATATTTCTTTCTACTATTCTATATTTTATAGGTTATAAGCCTAGAGCTCTAACTATCTATATTATATTATACTTTTTTATTACCTCGCCTATTCTTACTTATTTTTACTTAAATAAATTCTTACTATTTAAGCTAAAATAATAACGTTTTATATTTTTCTTTATAAAACTAGCTAGTCTAGTTATATAGCTATACTATATAGCTATATTTATAATTTCTTTAACCTATACTATTTTCTATATTATTTTTATAGAAGA